TTCCATTCATTAATTTACAAAAACCTCAAAATGCATCAATTTTCTCAGAATTTGTGGGCTAACACCTTTGAGTTTTTCCAAATTTTGAAAAAATTGAAATAGTGTTTTATTTGGCTTTCTTGGACACTCTTTTACACTGAAAAATGGTTGGATCAATTTAATATCACTTTACACATTCCATTCATTAATTTACAAAAACCTCAAAATGCATCAATTTTCTCAGAATTTGTGGGCTAAACCTTTGAGTTTTTCCAAATTTTGAAAAAAATTGAAATAGTGTTTTATTTGGCTTTCTTGGACACTCTTTTACACTGAAAATGGTTGGATCAATTTAATATCACTTTACACATTCCATTCATTAATTTAAAAAACCTCAAAATGCATCAATTTTCTCAGAATTTGTGGGCTAACACCTTTGAGTTTTTCCAAATTTTGAAAAAAATTGAAATAGTGTTTTATTTGGCTTTCTTGGACACTCTTTTACACTGAAAATGGTTGGATCAATTTAATATCACTTTACACATTCCATTCATTAATTTACAAAAACCTCAAAATGCATCAATTTTCTCAGAATTTGTGGGCTAAACCTTTGAGTTTTTCCAAATTTTGAAAAAAATTGAAATAGTGTTTTATTTGGCTTTCTTGGACACTCTTTTACACTGAAAAATAGTTGGATCAATTTAATATCACTTATACACATTATTTTCATTAATTTACAAAAACCTCAAAATGCATCAATTTTCTCAGAATTTGTGGGCTAACACCTTTGAGTTTTTCCAAATTTTGAAAAAATTGAAATAGTGTTTTATTTGGCTTTCTTGGACACTCTTTTACACTGAAAATAGTTGGATCAATTTAATATCACTTATACACATTTTCATTAATTTACAAAAACCTCAAAATGCATCAATTTTCTCAGAATTTGTGGGCTAACACCTTTGAGTTTTTCCAAATTTTGAAAAAATTGAAATAGTGTTTTATTTGGCTTTCTTGGACACTCTTTTACACTGGAAAATGGTTGGATCAATTTAATATCACTTTAGACACATTCCATTCATTAATTTACAAAAACCTCAAAATGCATCAATTTTCTCAGAATTTGTGGGCTAACACCTTTGAGTTTTTCCAAATTTTGAAAAAATGAAATAGTGTTTTATTTGGCTTTCTTGGACACTCTTTTACACTGAAAATGGTTGGATCAATTTAATATCACTTTAGACACATTCATTCATTAATTTACAAAAACCTCAAAATGCATCAATTTTCTCAGAATTTGTGGGCTAACACCTTTGAGTTTTTCCAAATTTTTTTTTATTTGGCTTTCTTGGACACTCTTTTACACTGAAAATGGTTGGATCAATTTAATATCACTTTAGACACATTCCATTCATTAATTTACAAAAACCTCAAAATGCATCAATTTTCTCAGAATTTGTGGGCTAACACTTTGAGTTTTTCCAAATTTTGAAAAAATTGAAATAGTGTTTTATTTGGCTTTCTTGGACACTCTTTTACACTGGAAAATGGTTGGATCAATTTAATATCACTTTAGACACATTCCATTCATTAATTTACAAAAACCTCAAAATGCATCAATTTTCTCAGAATTTGTGGGCTAACACCTTTGAGTTTTTCCAAATTTTGAAAAAATGAAATAGTGTTTTATTTGGCTTTCTTGGACACTCTTTTACACTGAAAATGGTTGGATCAATTTAATATCACTTTAGACACATTCCATTCATTAATTTACAAAAACCTCAAAATGCATCAATTTTCTCAGAATTTGTGGGCTAACACCTTTGAGTTTTTCCAAATTTTGAAAAAATGAAATAGTGTTTTATTTGGCTTTCTTGGACACTCTTTTACACTGAAAAATGGTTGGATCAATTTAATATCACTTTAGACACATTCATTCATTAATTTACAAAAACCTCAAAATGCATCAATTTTCTCAGAATTTGTGGGCTACCTTTGAGTTTTTCCAAATTTTGAAAAAAAATTGAAATAGTGTTTTATTTGGCTTTCTTGGACACTCTTTTACACTGAAAAATAGTTGGATCAATTTAATATCACTTTAGACACATTCATTCATTAATTTAAAAAACTCAAAATGCATCAATTTTCTCAGAATTTGTGGGCTAACACCTTTGAGTTTTTCCAAATTTTGAAAAAAATGAAATAGTGTTTTATTTGGCTTTCTTGGACACTCTTTTACACTGAAAAATAGTTGGATCAATTTAATATCACTTATACACATTCTTTTCATTAATTTAAAAAACCTCAAAATGCATCAATTTTCTCAAATTTGTGGGCTAACACCTTTGAGTTTTTCCAAATTTTGAAAAAAATGAAATAGTGTTTTATTTGGCTTTCTTGGACACTCTTTTACACTGAAAAATGTTGGATCAATTTAATATCACTTTATACACATTATTTTCATTAATTTAAAAAACCTCAAAATGCATCAATTTTCTCAGAATTTGTGGGCTTAACACCTTTGAGTTTTTCCAAATTTTGAAAAAATTGAAATAGTGTTTATTTGGCTTTCTTGGACACTCTTTTACACGAAAATGGTTGGATCAATTTAATATCACTTTAGACACATTCCATTCATTAATTTAAAAAACTCAAAATGCATCAATTTTCTCAAATTGTGGGCTAACATCTTTGAGTTTTTTCCAAATTTTGAAATAGTGTTTTATTTGGCTTTCTTGGACATATTTTACACTGGAAAATGGTTGGATCAATTTAATATCACTTTAGACACATTCCATTCATTAATTTAAAAAACAAAACCTCAAAATGCATCAATTTTCTCAGAATTTGTGGGCTAACACCTTTGAGTTTTTTCAAATTTTGAAAAATTTGAAATAGTGTTTTATTTGGCTTTCTTGGATACTCTTTTACACTGGAAAATGGTTGGATCAATTTAATATCCATTGATATAACCATTTTCCAATGATCAACTGGAAGGGACGGGACGGGAATTTTGTCTACCCCTAATTATATTTAGAGACGAGACATAGATAAGACATTGGAAATGAACATAATAAGATATGATGAGACTGAATGTGGCGGACAGAACGAACGGAATAGGAAAGAATATGACAAAATGAAAATGAATGAAATAGGATAGCACTGAACGGGACGGGACATACATGACGGAAAAGAACGTATATGATGAAAATGAACGAAATAGGACAAAAATTTGCCTAACTCTAATTATATTTAAGTAATATGTGTGTAATATCTTTGAAACAATACTAAATTTGCAGAAAAATAATAAAACTAATACAACCCGCGCTACGTGCGGGTCACCCCTAGTAAAGAATAAATTGAGAGAGAGCTTATCGTCTTAATTTTTATAGAATTGATGCGCTCCTGATACTTGATTTTAATTTCATAATTGATAATTTGATATCTTATTAAATTCAAGACTTTTCAAACACGTTCGCGTGATATTATTTTAAAACCATTGATTTCATAATTGATATGTTATTAAATTCAAGACTTTTCGAATGTGTTTTTAACTATCAGAACTAAGAAATAAAAAATATTATGAGATACAACGGACCTGTAAAGATTTATTCATAAGATATTGCTTTTTCATATATCATAAGAGAAGAATGTAGAAATGATGATTATTGCCATAATTTGTATATGATTACGTTAGTGACTATTGACCCGAATAATATTCTTTTCTAATTATGAGAACACATATAGAAGCTTGACTCTAGTACAGTATTCCACAATCTAACATTAAAAACCATTTTTGGCACGCCTCATAACACGGTATAAATATACACCAAGAGTAAAGACCATAGAGAATCTCATCACGGTCAAAAACATATAGAGTAAAAGTTAGAAAGACATGGCAGCATCAAAGGCAACATTTCTCATTGTTCTCGTCGCACTTCTTCTCTCATGTTAGTCTACGCCTCTATCTCTCTCTCTCCCTCTGTACTTTGAGATTGTATATATGATATGATCGAATGTGTGTGTTCTGTGTGTGTATGTAGGTGTGTGGATATCAGATGCAAGGAAAGTGAAACAGACACCAGAATTGGAGTGTATTGGAGCATGCAATCCGAGTGCACCACCGCAATATTTTGGGTCTTGCTTTAAAGATGAAGATTGCCAAAATAGTTGTCTCGAATCTTGCCAATATAAAACATGCATTTACAATCAGTGTTCTTGTTTAGAGTGTTAGAAATCGATGTTATGCACTTTTTATTTAGGTTACAAGAAAATTAAATTAATACAAGTTTACGATTTTTTTTAAAAACGATATATAAAAAATAGTTTTCGTGTTTCTAAAGTTTCTTTTGATGCCCTTTAAGTGTATCGATTTGTGTTATCTTTATCCAATGAAATTCAGATTATTGGTTTATTACAATCTTGCAAAACAAACACACCAAACAAAACAGAGGTAAAAGCTTAATCAGGAAATTCAAGGTTTGTTTTTCATTCATGGCTCCAACAATAAAGCTAAGCCAAAGCCACACGCATTTTGAGAACAGAAACAAATTTCCCAAGCTATAATATTGCAAACAGAGTTAAGATAAGATTTGGATTCACTTTTAATTATATGTTGGAGATTATTCAAATGAAGATCCCAGGGTATTTGTGGAAACTAGAGCAAACAGCAACTCAACAAGACACAAAGCAGATCCACCATACCTATTATGGTTTCAAGAACATGTTATAGAACCTGAAACCACTGACAGAAAGAACCAATTTCTGCAAAATATTTTGGAATATTCAAAGACTTTATCACAATGGAGAAAATGGTATTCCAAAATAGAATCAATATTCGTAATTCATTCAAATTCCATATGCTATAAAATTTGGTTAAAACCCGAATAAAATCCACATAGCAGAGCGACTAAAAAGGGTTATTAACCAACAAATTCCAATAACAAGTCAAAAACAATGCTCCGAGATTTGTATACCAATCAGGAAGTCTCAGATGCTGAGAGAAACGTACACACACTCTCTCTCTAATCCTTCTTCTTGTTGAAGGCTCCTACGGGAATTTTGCTCATCACCTGCCTCAAAACCTTCTCATCGAACACCGCGTACTGCTTCTTCATCTCCTTCATCGCCTTTTCACCAAAGTCATCTACTTTGTCTTCATACTTCTCGTAAAGCACGGGAACACTGAAGAGAAGTACAGTCGCTGGAAGCAAAAGGAAAGAGTGAATTAGACATCAAGAAACAAGCAAAAGGGTGGTGATTTAATGAAAATGGATGCAATAAAAGAGTATGGATTGTTACCAATATAGACTAAGGTCAAGAAGTTGCAGGAGCCACCAACTTTCGACAAAACCCACAGCCCAGCAATCACCTAGAACAGGATTAAGAGCAACAGCCAATGTTAAAATCGAGAAACCAGTAATCTAATTCTAATCTAACAACATCTTATTTAACAAAAAGGCTTACCATTAGAAACTTCTTGGGGTCTCTTCCTAATGCGATGCTCCTAAGAGTAGTAAAACCACGGTTGATTTCAATTCTTAGTCCAGAAGCAAGCTGGAGAACAATTTCCTCAGGGATGTGGACTTCAGGGATATGAGGAGGAGTCCTGTAATGGTGAAAAATCAGCATTGATTTACATCCCAATCTCTCACTAAAGATGAAAACAACATTCAGTCATTATAAACTTACTTGTGAATGAAGGTAGTAGCACTAGACCACAAGAACAACATCGCGAGAGCAAGAATCGAAATGTGGCCGAAGAGAGTGAGGAGGTTGTATTCAAGGTACTCGAATAAGATCCATGAAACAGTTGCAGCACCAAGAACTCCTCCTGATACCTTCTTGTTCCTCCACAGGAAAATGTCGGCAGCTGAATCAAAAAAAACAAGTCAAGCCAAAATTTAAGATCCTGAGCTTAAACGAAATTACTCATTCAACAGATCCTCTCAGGTTTCAGAGCAAGGTGTATGTATAATATACCAGCAAACAACAGATCAAATCGTTTGATTAAATACTTCTCATATCCAGATTTTCTCAATTTACTCTCAGTCTAAGCAACGAAACTAATCTACAACAACATCAACAGCTCGGTAACGAGATATCCTAAGCTCAAGCAAGCATACAGCAGAACTTCAAATCCGATCGAAAGTAAAAGCTATAATCCAGATCCGATTAGAAAAACTATCTAAAACCGCTAATCGGAGAAGCTTGATCTTAACAAAACTAATCGGCGATACCTCAAAGTTCATACCAATAGGGAAACAGAAATCGAAAAAGGAGATAAACCAAAATAAAAAACTGGAAAATAAAAGGAGAGATCCATACGTTTTCCGCCACCGAAGACCTTGTGAACAGGCTTTTCTCTTCCGAAGAGGCGGTAAATCTTCGTCTTCATAGACAAATCAGACGCAGCTTTCTTCTCGTCATCTGAATCAGAAGACGACGACGACGAAGAGTCATCGTGGCCACGGATCTTCTCAGCTATCTTCTCCATGATCGACTCCTCGTGCTTGTGCTCTTCCGCCATTGTAACTTTCTTCGTTGAAACCTCCGCAAAAACCCTAAACGCTTTTCTACTTCAGAAGCGATGAGTGAGAAACGGAGAAGAGAATGAAATGACTTTCTTCTTCCCCAGTCACCTCTAAATAAGAGCGTTTGACACAGATTCAATCTCACCCGTCGATTTATCTAACTAAATCGTGTCCGTTGGTGTATCCGGATCCGGGCCTCGGGTATAACGGGCACTCGGGCAGGTAACAGCCCACGTTGGAAACCAATATCTTTACTTTCTAAAAAAATAATAAAAAACAGTAACATATTTTCGACGGAAGACAAACGACCTTTAAATTTGTTAATCAAAGCTTCTTCCTACTCACGTCTCCGTTAGTGAAGCGTTAAAGATGTCAACCGTTAAAGGAATCAAATAACGACGCCCACGTGTCAACCGTTCGTTTGAGATCCTATTTGGGCCTGTAATGTTTATGGGAAGGCCCAAAATGTAAAGCGACGATATAGAAATTACAGCTCGGTTTTTTCTTTTTTCTTACTCACTTTAGAGATTTACACAGCCTTAGCTTAGCAATACAACAGATGTTTGTATCTTTGGTTCGATGTATAGGGTCATGTTTATCATAGAAGTTTATTAAAACCAAATTAGGTATTCAATAAATAATAATCCTACCTATTTTGGACCGTATAATCCTAGTTAACATCATAATTTCAGGATTTGGTATCTTATTTTTATTCTTGGATCTTCAAGTTAAACCAACTAAATCATTGCACACAACTTATATTGATTTTGTCGCTAAAACATAAGTGAACAGAAACATGCTCTTAATTCTGTTTCCTGCTTATAAATCGATGCTTTATGCATCTCATACACATAGTTAATGTTGTTCATTTAAGACAAAAACAAAATTGTAGTTATTGGTCTAATACTCTAATCACATTGTCTGCTTTTTATATTATTGGATTTTCTAATTCACTTTAAATGCTTTAGGATAATTTTTTTACTACATACTGTATCATTTAAAACAACCATATACAAAAGAAAAAGGTATGCGGCTACGTCCTAATCTCTAGGGGTTCTATTGCTGCATCATGCCAAACATTTAGCCCGACAAGATCAGATTCTATTAGGGTAATAGTATTCTTCTCGTGATTAGCATGATAAAGAGAGCATGTGAACTTTCATATACCTAAGAGTATATGTATCTGAAATCATTTGGGAATTGGGATCAACGTTTCATAAAAATAGATAATTCGACTAATCATTGAGTTGGACGGAAATAGCTTAGCTAGCTGCAATGAGGCGTTTTTTTCTGCCTCATACAATAGTATGAACTTATTTACTTAGTTGGAGTCAAAACTTGATCACTATCATGTTAAGTTTATTTGTAAAATGTTTTTTCGGTGATGTGCAATTGTTAAAGTGATTTTAGGAAATTCCACCTGAGAAAATTAATCATACTGATTCATTCTCTAAAATTCATAGGCTAATTCTGCTAACAAAGTTAGTATGTATACTTTATATTATCATGTAGGATAAAACTTTATAATTTTGGAAGAAATCCACTACAGCTAAAATTCAGGAAGCCTATCAAAACAACGAGAGACTAGCTTCTTTGACTTACTTTTGAAAGTGCTTTGTCCTTTTGAATTTGATAAAGCTAACAGCCGAACAAGAAGAAGAAGAAAAAAAAAAAACTTTTTTCTTCTTTTTGTTTCGAAGAGTGTGTCCCATTTATTTATTTAAAAAATCAAGCTCAAAACAAACCTATTTAATGGAGCATTGAATCAAACTTCAACTGTAAACGAAATTATTTAGCATTGAAAGAATAAATACCTGTGAATGCAGTATTAATGAATTTGAACCGATTCCACGGATTGGATTAAATGGATTCACAAATTATTGTAGTTGAGAAAAATGTTATAAAAAAAATCATACGAAAGTACGTACACATATTGAGTGTTAGGGACTAAGGGCCCATAATCTTTACCGAATTGGGGAACTTGAGGCCCATTAAGAGAAGGATGATGATAATGGGGACTTTGGGGACCACATCTAATAATCTGACGGTCTAAAATTTTCGCCGAATAATGATGATGTTAATAAGACGTCTCGGAACTATAAACTTTACTCTCATAGTGCACTTTTACAAATCATATCAAACATTATCCAGATTCTTTCAGAATCAATTTAACTTTAAAATATTTCTTTGGCGACACCTTCAGTTTCTTTTGATTTCAGTTTATAAAATTGCTTAATTTGTGTTTCAAATGCAATATTTTGAAGTATGACAAAAAAAAAAAGTGTTTGTTGTTGATGGATGTGTACTATGTAGATGAAGTATAAAAATAAAAGAGTACGTATGTATACTTTAATGATATCTGACCTTTTGGTCTGACTGTCCCAGTCTGAAAGTCACGTGACTGATCTGCTCTCTCAAACTCTCTTCATACGCAACTCTTTGCCACGTTTTTTTCTTCTTATTCATCTCTTTTGGCTCTGCACTGTTTCTTTTTGTTAAACAAGGAAAATACAAAGTGAATTTTACAACTATTTAATATGACAGACATAATTTGTTTTATTCTGCATAAATGTATTCTTTGAATATAGAGACAGATAACAGCATCCAAAGCCTGTTGTTTTTGTTTTTTGGGTGTTTTTTTACCAAATTGTAAAAACCTTCATTAATGATTTTGCAAGGTTTATTTTCTAATCTTCTAATTTGGCCAAACATTGGTAAATAAAATTCACATAAAGACTTGTAACTTGTAAACTGATTGTATTATGTTAAGACTATATAAAGACTTGGCATGTGAATTAGCATAGTGTTTTAGGTTTTGTTCTTGTCATATTTGGCAATGCTGAGTCAAAGCAGGTAAAAATTAAAAATTACTTATTTAATTCCAGAGAAAAAAGAAGGTAAAAATTAATGTAATTTATTTACCACTTTTATATTTATAGCTTTCACACACTTCTCTTCCAAGCTCTCATCTTTTCCTCTCAACTTTTGTAAAAGAAGAAAGCTTGAAAACGCAGCGTTTTGGGTGTTTTTCTGAAGGCTGACGATTCTGGCTTTCCCTACCATGGAAGCTTTCAGTCTCCTTAACTACTGGAAAAACAATGGTGGTGTCTCCTCCGGCCTTAGCTTCCTCCCTCACTCCTCCGACTCTTCTTCCCGTTACTCCGGCGAAGCCACCACCATTGTCACCTCCGTCTCTCTCACCGAAACAGAGGACGAAACCGCCGACAACGACGACGACGAAGGACCATTCTTCGATCTCGAGTTCGCTGTTCCCGTAGAAGAAGAAGACGGCGACGGAGAAGTTTCCGTCTCCGACGACGATAGCAACGGAGAAGAACCTAGAGAGAGAGATTCCGATTGTACGGACGGTGGTTGCGAGTTCAAATTCACGCTCTCGTCTTGCTCCGGCGGAGAAGACCGAGTAGATCCAGACCTTGGTGACGGCGACGATGTTTACTTCAAGGGACAGATTGTGGAGGAGGTCGAGCCACCGTCTACCGGAGCAGAGCAGACATGTTCCGTCAAAGCTCCGGCGGCGCAGTTATCGGCGTCGATTCTGAAATCCGCCACGAAGCTCCGTGTGTTCATGCTCGGGATGAAGAAATCGAAGCTTACCCAGGCGAAATCGGAAGCTAATCTCGGATCTGGGGAAGTTCCTCCTCCTCCGCCGTCACACTCGCCGGAATCGCAACAGAAAAGTACAATTTCAGCGAATTTGAAAGCGGAAGAGGTGCCGATAAGTTCTCTGTTCACGAGAGAGAACAGCTCTAGAAACTCGTCATCGTCGTCTTCTTCTTCGTCGTCTTCCTCCGTGAAGAAGCAAAACGGCGGCAGCGAAACCACCATTTCCGAAGAGAACCGTTTCGTGATGATGCAGAAGTATCTGAAGAAGGTGAAGCCGCTTTACATCCGAGTCTCGCGTCGGTACGGCGAGAAGCTAAAGCACTCCTCCGGCCAGTTAACTTTCGGCTCCTCAGCTCCGGCGAAGAAAACGGAATCTCCGGCGGCGGTGAGGACGGCTCATAAACCGGGGAACCTCAGCATCAACATTCCGGCTGGTCTTAAAGTAGTGAGAAAACACCTCGGAAAAAGCAGATCTTCGTCATCGACGACGACGACTCCGTCGTCTACGGCGACGACTGTTACGACGCCGTCTGAGTCAAGGAGACGCGACGACTCGCTTCTGCAGCAACAAGATAGCATTCAAAGCGCCATTTTACACTGTAAAAGATCTTTCAACTCCTCTCGAGGTATACATTTCTGATTTCTTCTTCAAATCCATTAACAATTTCTTAAGAATTTTTCTTCTTTCAAGATTGAAAATTTATTAATTTAATTTTTTTTTTCTCTGTAAATATTTTGCAGATAAAGATCCGTCGGTGTTACCAAGATCAGTGAGTGATCCTTCCTGTTGAGATGGTTGAAATACCGTATCTTTGTTCGTTTAAAGAGAATCTCAATGGTTTTGATTTTCTCGCAGTAACACTTAGTATGATAATTATCCCTAATAATAATGGATTATTGTACATATCTTTGTAGCTTATTTTGGTCAGAATGGTAGTAGTAAGTGTCGTGGATGTTATCTTAGTATATGTTTGGTCATGTAGTGACGATGACTGTTGAAACTTAGGAACATAAAAAGTTTTATGAAGAAGAAAAATAGACATCTTCTTTTTGTCATCATTTGACATACACACACTCACACTGTCACACACACAAGCATACCAACCATATGGCAAATATAATGAAATTGATTATTGTCATATGGAAAATAGAAAATTGGTGTTCTCGTAGTTTTTGACAAAAAGCAGTTTGTTAAAGGCAAAAAAATATGCTAAATTTGTCATTTACTTAGGATTTGTTTTATTTATTTTGTTGTTGTGTGAATGGTAAGTATATTATTAATTTGGAATGACGGAAAGAGAAGTAGATGTGGGACTTCTTTATTCGTAAGTTGAGATGGTGAAAGTTGAGACCGAAACAGTGAAATGTCAGATTTACTTTTTCCCTTTTTGTTAATGTGATGTTCTCTTTTCTTTTTTGTTCGTAAGTGGTTAAAAAAGAATGGACGAAAAGAAACAAGTTCCCGTAATAACATAAGTAGGTACAGTAAGTTCTGTAAAACAAAAACAAAAGTTGGCTTCAGATAAATAATTCACAATTATGGGAGAAAAAGAAGAATACAAAAAAACAATCATTTACGAGAATATTAATCCGATTGCAAATTCATCAGCTATCAGCCAATCATGTGTTACAAACTTACAATTTACAAAATGCATGTTTTTATTTTCATCGAAGTGGTTTGAAAACTTATACAAAATGGATGTTTACAAAATGAATATTCAATGCCTTTACCAAAAAAAAAAAAAAGAATATTCAATGCCTGTAGACAGAAATAAAGGATGTACGTTATAAATAGTAGTTCTAAAATTAGGCTTATGGTCACACTCACTCACTGTTGTCTTCAGAGTCTTCCTCCAAGTCATCGCTCCACTCGTCGTCTTCGTCTTCTGAAACTTGGTCTATCTCGTCGGTCATTCTCTCCCATTCGCCCGTCAAGATTTGTACACCACATTCAACAATCTCGTACTCGTCCAATGGATCTTGGCTGATGGAAAACTCAAACAAGGCTTCGTCGATGATCGCAGGCATGCCGGCATGAAATATACACAGATGTTCCGTTCGAATTCCAGTGGATTGGTAATGGTGGTTTAAGCCAACGACATCTGGATAATCACACCACTTGCTGCCTACGATACGACACTGTAGGTTAACATATACGAAGTATCTTACGTGTTGGCGTTCGATAGACGAAATCACGACGCAAACTTTGAACGTGGATGGTGCAGAAGAAGGACGCGTGATGGTCAAGGAACTACCTCTTGCTCTGTGATTAAACTCGCTAGGTATAATTTTTCCTGGTAAGCATGCAAGCCTAGAAAGAGTCAATCTTTGGATAATGACTCTCCTTGCTTCTTCACCGAGTTTAAAGCAGTTTATGAAACTGAGTTGAGCATATTGAGTGTTGAAAGGGCAAGTCACTCTCTCCAGTGATCCGCAATCTTCTGCCATCAGAAGTTCGAGCAAACCAGGGAGCTCTGGCAAAGATCTAAGTCTTCTGCATCGAAATAGACGAAGGCTTTTTAGCCCTTGTAAGTCTTTGATGCAATCTGGAATCATCTCAATATCGGTAGAGCTTAGATCCAGTTTCTCTATGCTCTCAGGGAGATGTGTTACGCTCTTGAGAATTCCACTGTAGCTTGTATCGAAATGCGAAAGTTGAGACCAGTTCCTAATTGATTCAGGCACTTCTTCCACCGATGTGTCTGATAGAGAGAAATCCTTAATATTTGTAGAAATGTCTGGAAAAGTTTTCAAACGTGAGCATCCACTAATTTCAAACCACTCGAGAGACGCCAAGTTGATGTTAGTTGGTATGACTTGTAGTCTATCGCAAGAACCCATCATTAACTTCTTTAGTTTATGAAGATTCCCAATGGATGTTGGAAGCTCTGCCAAAGCTGAACAAGAACTCAGATCCAATCTCTCCAGGTTTGTAGCATTTGAAAGATCTGGGAGTTCCTTCAAATGCAATGATTGTGACAAATCCATCCTTTTGAGATTTTCCAACGGCTGAAAATGTAAAAATGAAATCATACATTATTCTCATATCTTAATAGGCTATATATATAATTATAAATATATTAATTTTTCTCTTCTTGGAAAATTAGTTTAGTGAAAATTATTGTCATATCTTTAAAAAAAGTTACACTTTCATATGTTTGTAAGAAAGATACAATGAGCTTGGAAACGGATTCTAAAACATGTTAAACTATAGTAGGCTGAGATTTTTGTTCGAAAACATGTTAAGCAAAGTTTGGGCCATGTTTCTTTAATTTTCATCTAACCCTTGCTTACATATTCAAGAAACTTGATTTTATTATGTTTAGTATTCCATATTCTAAAATTATGTTTTATTATGTATTCAAAAATGTAAATAAATTATTAGTATAATTAAGAGGTAGTGTAGAAATTGTAATATATTTTCTAGTATTTGTGAAAAGAAACTCTACACACACTTATTGTGAAGAGAGAGTAAAAACAAAAAAATCCTGTTAAAATTTTCAGTATCATTTTCTTAATTAGTAGCTACAGACCTACAGTATATGACTACTAAAATCAGAGTTTGGTTGTCTTGTTTTCGGTCAAGACACATAATTAAAAACCATGATAACTAACCTGAGTTCCTTTCCAGAGCTTCTCGAGCTTGCTGGCTTGCATGTTAAGTTCGACAAGAAATTCCGGATTAAATGTTGGAAGAAGGCTCTTGCTCGGGTATGCCTCCCAATGTAGTAATCTTAGGCGTGGTGGGAACTCCATCTCCTCAGGTATGTGCACTCTGATTTTCGCATCATAGTTGCTATTGTATACTTTGAGGAATCGGAGATTACGCATCCGTCTAAGAGCTCTATTGCTTACAGTCACTTCTTTGATTCCTAATGTATCAAATGATATGCCAGACAAACTTCCAGTTCCCTAAAACATATTTCGAGTATAAACAAATTGTTAGTAAAATAGGTAAAATTTGTTTGTTTTTAATTACCAAGTGTAAGGTAATCTTGCACCAAAAAAAAAAAAGTGTAAGGTAATCCAAAATATAACTTACGGTATCATCATTTTCGAACACATCACATATATCTTGAGCATTAACTAAGATCTGGCGTTTCCAAGGCTCTTGTCTTTGGATGACTTGTCTACCCATTTGTTGTAGTAACTTGTGCATCATTATGAATCCTTTGGTAGACATATATATGAGAGATCTCTTGACTAGGAGTTTCAACCCTTGTTCAATGTCGAAGTTATTGTGACTACTGTCAGCAAGCATGGCTTTGACAAGATCATCATCTTTATAGTTAAAGAAGACTGCAATATGGAGAAATAGAGATTGCTCATCCTCATGTAATCTCTCGTAACCAACTCTTAGTACTTCCTCTATATCTCGATCAATAATAGTTTCTAGCCTGCGCATCATATATTTCCATTCGTCCTCATTCTTCCCACGTAAAGATGAACCCACCACACGTAGACCTAGTGGAAGGTTACCACAAAGCTTTCTTACTCTTCTAGCAAGCTCTTGAAAACCATCAGCTGGATAGACTTGCCTAAAAGCATATCTACATAAGATCGTGAGAGCTTGGTCATCAGATGGAAACCATACATGGTACGTATTGTCAATACCATGTTGCTGCAAAAGATCTTTGTTTTCGGTTGTCACAATAATCCTACTTCCAAGACCAAACCAAGAAATTTCATTAGCCAAAGCCTCCAATTGCCTTGCATCATTCACATCATCAAGAGTAATAAGCACTTTCATGTCGCATAGCCGCTCTTTTATTGCTCCCAAATGGCTTATCCTCATACCATTTTCGTTCAGAATATTTGAAAGCAATTGTTCTTGTAAACGCAACTTTAAACCATACTCATCAAGACCAACGGGATAGCTTCCTCTAAGGTTGTCCACAAAACAAGTAAGTTGAAACCTATTAGAGAGTAGACTATGTAAAGCTCTCGCAATGGTAGTCTTACCAATGCCTGCGGGGCCAGAGATTGCAACCATCTTAACTTCATCATATTCCAAATCTAGCAAAGACTTCATGTTCATCAAATGAGCCTCGAGTCCAACCATGCCATCAAAGTCCCTAGAAGGTGTAACATTCAGTTTGTTTGAAACATCTTTTGCAATCTTCTCAATCATTTTCGCTTCATTGTCCCTGAAAAAATATAAAGAACCAACAAAAATTGTTTCCATCAAATTGCCATGAGGAATAAAAAACACAGAGATCTTTTGTTGCTACAACTAATATATGATCTTTCAGAAAATGTATCTGCAATATATATGGATGTGTTTTTGAGTTAAATACATCCAAATACATTTCAGATACATTTTTAAAAATAACAACTAATATAAACGGGAATATCTATTTCAAATTTATTTAGCAAACATTTTATAAATCATAAATACTTTTGAAAATATATTCTATTCAACCTAAAATTCCTTTTGACATCACAAAACACCAATTTTTGTTTGTTTTTAACTTTTCTTTCCTTCTTGTGGTTTCTACTAGAACATACAAAATTAAGAGAAGTAAAATTATAATTAATTAAGCACAAACCAGTTTAGGAGGTGTTCTCCGGCTATATTGCCCACGTCGTTCAAAGCTTGACTCCATCTTTCCGACTCCTCCTTCGTTCTACGAGAGCATGTTTCCTTAAAAACGCTCCCAAAATCTCCGGTTTGTTTCCGCACATCAGATGGATCTATTTCGTAGAAGATGGTCATCACTATTTGCCCAATATCTTCCTTGCACTTCAAAATCTCCAACAGTTCATCCAAACACCAGCCTGAAGAAGCATAGTTCTTGGAGAGAATCACGATAGAGATCCTTGATTCCCTAATCGCTCGCGTGAGTGAAGGGGAGATGGTATGGCCTCTCTCGATCCTTTGGTCATCGAACATCGTAATCCCGTTCCCGTCAAACTGTTTTCGTAAATGACTTAGAAATGTTTTACGTACGTCAGGTCCGTGGAAGCTCGTGAAGACGCGGTATCTCCAGGTACGAGGCGAAGAGGAAGAGGAAGAAGCCATGAGATTAGAGTAACGAGAATATTTGAAGAAATGAGCAATAATGAAGTTTCTTTCGGTAAGTATTGGAAATTCTAAAGAAGTTTATTTACATACGTACGTAGAGAGAACAAGAATTTTCCAACCCGTCGTCCATCAGCTTAGCTATGTACGTATATGTTGAAAACTTCTTTACAAAATACAAATGTATATTATATATATATATATATATATATATATATACCTCATCAGATAGAAAATTATCTACTTGTAAATCGCTCATCAGCTAATTCAAAGCAATGTTCAAAAGGTCTGAAATAATTTAATATTTTTTCATGACTTTGGTTTGGTTTTTGGATTTAAACTCACGGTAAAACTAATGTTGTCTTATATAACTTCTTCCATGAGTTAATGTAATCTATATGAAACTTATGTAGAGACCGGAACTATGACAACTAAGGTTGTCATATGACTTCTTCCATGAGTTAATGTAATCGAACTTCTTCCATGAGTTAATGATTGTATATTTACGTATGCGTAGATTTGATACGTACATGTATGAATGAGTCAACATGTAGGGCTTGAGCAATTCATTTCATTATTAATGCATTAATTATTGGAATTGTTTTTTTTTTCTTATATTTAATTTCTGGTTTTGTTTGAGCTCCAACATTTCTCAATATATCTTAAAAATTCACACAAAAACATTTTATATGAGTCAAAATGTGGGGCTTGAGCAGTTTATATCACCATTAATGCATTGATTTTCGTTTTCTTAAACTTTACAATTCTCATATTTTTATAAAATATAAATTTTTATATCAAATGACGTATTGACCAGAAATAAAAGAAATAAATCTAACATTTTCCATATAACAAACAAAAAATTGAAGAAATCTAGAAATAATTAATTTTAAAACGGTACATTTTTTAAAAAATAATAAAACAGCAATATGCTAACTGAATATTCTTTGTATTTAATTATATTTCCTAAGATTTTTTTGTCTATATTCAAAGCTATTTTAGAAAAAGTTTCAAAATTAACATGAGAAAAAACAAAAAATGAAAGATATAGTTTCCATCTTTTAACATTTTATCAAATGAGAAGATTTTATTCCTCTTTCGTTTTTAGGTTTTTTGGTCAATTTTAATTTTAATTAATCTGAAAATTGAAAAGACGCTCTTGTCTTCGTCTTCCCAAAATTTCAAAACCCGCCTCTCCACTTCTCCGTCTCCCCTCTCCAATTTATATTTCCCCCAACTTCTCTTTCTCTCCATCACTCGATTCCATTTCTCTCTTCGATTCGAAACAACGGCGCAGTATCCTTGCAACGGAGAGGGTGTTTGCATGCGCTGCAATCTGACTCCTCCGGCGGAGACTGAGTGCTTCTCGTGCACCACGTGCGGCACGCCTTGGCACGTGTCTTGTCTCTCGTCTTCTCCGAAAACCCTAGAATCGACTCAAGAGTGGGAGTGCCCCGACTGCTCCGGCGTCGTCGATCCCGTTCCCGTTTCCGGAATCGCCGGTGTTGGATCATCCAACGGCTCTGACCTCGAGGCCGATGAGTCCTTGACTGAGGCGCATAAGAAGCAGCAGTTGGTGAGCGGCAAAGCCGGTGAGGACGACGATGACGAGGAGGAGGAGAAGAATGCCGGTGAGAATTTCTTCTGCTCAATTTGCGAGGATTTGCTTGAGAGGCCAGTCACGGTTTGTTCTCTCTCTCTCTCTCTCTCATAGATTCAATGTATCTGAATTTGAAATCTCTGCTCTTAAATTCAAATCCAGTATTAAAGCTGTTAACTTTAGGGTTTTTTTTTCCCTCTTTTTCTGCTTACCATTTGTAGCAATTGCAGGAACAAGACCCCATTGTGTCATCAATATTTGGTCGTTTACACTTTGATTGATCGTTGATTGTCCAATTTTGAAAAAAAGTTGGTGTTTTGTGTCAAACAAGGCCAAACTTTTTGCGTTTGCTGTGTATTTGTGTGAAGTATACATAGTAACAGTGGCAAGAAAGTTTTTGTTTTGGCTATTGTTTTTGACAAGGATGATTGATGTTTAACTAGTCGTAATGGATATTCTTTTGCAGACACCTTGCGGGCACAATTTCTGCTTGAAGTGTTTCCAGAAATGGGTTGCGCTAAAGAAGTTTGAGTGTGTGAAATGCTGCCGTTTGATTCCAAAGAAGATGGCGAACAACCCTCGCATTAACTACTCTCTACTCGCTGCTATTCGTCTGGCCAAAGTCTCCAAATCCGCTGCTTCTAGGAGCAACCAGAACCGCCCTGACCAAGCCTTTAGAACTGAGAGAGCTAAGAAGACCAATGCCGCAAGTGGGAAGATGTACGTGACCATCCCGCCTGATCACTTGGGCCCAATTCCAGCTGAGAAGGACCCAATCAGAAACCAAGGAGTGTTGGTTGGTGAGTTTTGGGCAGACAGGCTTGAGTGCAGACAGTGGGGAGCGCATTTTGCTCACGTTGCTGGTATTGCTGGGCAAGCTGACTTTGGAGCTCAGTCAGTGGCACTCTCTGGAGGCTATGCGGATGACGAAGACCACGGTGAATGGTTTCTCTACACAGGGAGGTATTGCTCTTAACAACACTACTCTTAGCCCATTAGTACATTTGATTTCAATCATATATTTGTCAATTCCTGGCCTTGAAATCTTGCCTGAATGTGTGTTTGCAGTGGAGGAAAGGATCTTAGTGGCGACAAGCTTCTGTCTTGTGACCAAATGTTTACAAAGTCGAATGAAGCTCTAAAACTTAGTTGCAAAATGGGCTATCCTGTCCGTGTTATCAGGTTAGCTGTTTCTTCTCGCTTTCTGCATTCTTTCATTGAAATGTGATGATTCTCTGTGCATAATCTTTCTTGATTCTTACCAATTTTCAGGTCTCACAAGGACCGTTCAGCATATGCCCCTGGGGAGAAAGGAGTGAGATACGATGGTGTTTACAGAATTGAGAAATGATGGAGAAAAGTCGGAATTCAGGTTTCAGATAAAAGCTAAACAATCATAAATGTTTTCCTTTAATGCAGCGACTTGATTTCCTTTTCCTGACATTACTCTTGTGTTGTTTTTTGATGATAGGGTAAATATAAGGTCTATCGTTACCTGTTTGTGAGGTGTGACAACGAGTCTGCCCCATGGACCAGGTTTGTTTTGTCTCTTTTTCTTGAAAGCTCCATTTTTCTGTATTGCTTTGCTGCTAGTTAGTTATGCTCACTGTTGCCTTTTTTTTTATATATACTGCAGTGATGAGCATGGTGATCGTCCGAGAGATTTGCCTGATATTCCAGAGCTTGAGAAGGCCACTGACCTGTTTGAGAGAAAGGAAACTGAAACTCCATCATGGGGTTTTGATGTGAGCCTCTTCTTCCTTTTCTTTTATTTCCCTTTATGTCATGATGATATGTTTGTTTGAGCAGATAATGAATTTTCCTTGTGATACATATAGGAATCTGAGGGTCGCTGGAATTGGATGAAGGCTCCACCTGCGAGCAGAATGGCGCCACGAAAAAACTCTGTCAAGGACAAACTTCTGGAAACACAAGTGAAGAAAACGTGGACTCTGAAGATGGAGAAGAGGAATCTCAGATGATGAGCAATCTAAGTATTGACATGGAACTCTCTCTCTCACTCTTTACTCATCTCTATTTCTCTTTTGGTCTGTAATATTACTCATCTTTTACTCTCTTTAGGCTTTTGTTCTTTACTCTCTCTCTTTTGGTCTGTAATATTTACCTTTTGCGGCATTATGGTCCTTTTTTGGAAACAATATTAAATGTTGCAGTTTAATTTTGAAAATATTATAACATGTAAGCTGTAATCACAAAAACAAATGCAAACACGAAAGATATTGTAAGGGTTTAGAGATGTTTATAAATATTGAGACGGGCTTAATCTTCACTCTATTCTCCTAATAAGACAGTTTGATTAGTGGATGTATACGTAAGTACGTCAATGTGATGATGTATGTGCATACATGTCTGAGTCAAAATGTGGGGCTTGAGCAGTTTATAATTATATCACCATTAATGCCTTAATTATCGAGAAATTTTTTATAATATTTCTCGTTTTCTTAAATTCTCTTAAACTTTATAATTCTCATATTCACATCAAAAATAATAACACCCACATACAAATAACATTCTCAACAAACAACAAAGAACTCTTCATAAACCGAATTACAAAACCGATCAATTGCTGCTATTCACATAACAAATTCTGAATAAACCGGCCGTTTAAATTGAGTCTCATGGTACAACTCATCACACTCTTCTTCAATCTCCTTCTTCCCATCACCTTAACTCTGCCTCCAATCTCAGCAACACTCGTCAACTCCAAAAACCCCGATCTCAATTCCGTTCCCAAATCCCTAGAATGCAATAACCGAAACGAACCGATCTCAATCACAACCCCGGTTATTCTAACCGTCTTATGAGCGTCCACTCTCCTCCCACCGATCGTCGTCTCTCCCACAACCTCACGACCTTCGTAAACAACTGTCACCGAACTGTCTCCGAACTCGAAAGCTCCGAAGTTCGAGTTTCTTATCGAGATGTCGAGCACTAGCGTTGCGTTGAAGTAAGGGCTCGTTGAGTTACTGCCGAATAAGAGATCTCTCGTGGATACGGATGCAATTTCGATCTCCGGTTTTGAGACGCGGAGGAAGATCAGTGAGAGGATTAAACAAACTGCGAAGACGATGACGAATATTGTTAAGGAGTAGACGATGCAGTTTCCTGGTGGCTGCTCTGTTTTCCGGCGCCAGATTCTCGGTCCGTTCTGTTCTTCGTCGCTCCGGCCGTAGATTTCCGTCGGAGCTAACGACGTACGATCTTCCTCCACCATTTTTTATTGTTGTTGAGATCAGAGGAAGAAGAAGAGAGAAAGAGGAGTTAATGGGATGTGTTTGGTTTCTTTTGGCGGTTAAAAGAGGAAATGGGGTCTTTTGTGTGGGACACGTGGCGAGATCGTGTTGAGTTAAAGACTTAAAGTCGACTTACGCGGTATTTTTCTTTTCTTTTTCCTTAAGTCTTTTTCGGAGGCTTATTATGAGTCTTTTTTCAAACATTTTATTTGAATGATTCAATGTTTTTAGATGATTTGTTACTCGTTTATAAAAGCGAGATTTTCTCTTTAGACGACGTCAAAGAGTAGAATACTTCACCTAATAGTATTACTCGTTTTTATATTAGGCTTTCATCGAATCATCGTACCACTTGATTCTATTTCTCTTATCATGTCATCGATTTGAAGTTACAAAACTAATTATGGGTAATAAGTTTTGATGCGTTGGAAGCTTTCATTGTTATGACAATTTGGTCGACTTTAGAAAGTATGGGCTTAGTAGATGCATCTAACGCTGAAACCAATGAATTTGTAGTGTTATTTTGTGTTTGATTTTTGAAAAACATAATTGTATTGTGTTATCTTTTGACCTAGAGTCCAAATAGCGAACATGTAGCTAAACATATCATCGGGGGTCACGCCGCTTAAACCGTAAAATACCAAAGATAATTATTAAGATATGGAGAAACATAGACAATCTTTGCTAAATCATTTGCAAAGAGTACTAACCCCTCGCAGAATCTGGAATAATTTATGATGTCACGGTTTAGTACCTAGAATTGTAAGATTACAATGATTAACTGAATTTTCAGAAAAAAAAATGAGGAACTTTGGTGCATAAAAACAATGTTATGTTTTTTTTGCAACAACCTTAACACTTCAAACGGCTCAGTAAGCCAACCCGATGACGAAGAATTTATATAATATACATCATGAATGAGAGCTTGAGCACTCTGTACTAACAAAGTTATGTTCTTATAAAGTTTTCTCGTTAAGTTTACATAGTCGTGGCCAGAGATACTTTTGAACAGGTGTAGCTCATTAGGTAATGGGTGTAAAGGAACCCATCTGAGTCTTACAGCTATACGTCCAACATTTGTGTCAACCTACTTTTTCATATTACTAAGGAACATTTTAATCTCTCTATTTGCATATTCATTAAGGTAAATAGTTTTTTTTTTTCTTTTTCATTTTGCTTACCGGGATTGCAAGTTTGGTGTAAACTAACAATTAGAGTTTAAAATGTGAAAATTTATGTTTGTTTGGCCAACAACTTCCTTGTGCTTTCGATCAATCACCTCCCAAATTAATCACACAATCTTTTGTTTTTCTGTCTCTTACTCTTTGGAGTGGCCCATTCAAACATTCAGCACCAAATTCCATGAAATTAATACATCAAATTAGTTTTTGAATCGAGACAGAAAACATTACCAATATCGGACCTAATTGATTAAATGGGTCATAGACTAAGGTGATGATTGGTTCTCCCGCTACCACCCGCAAACGCAGCGTTTGCGGTTCGTAGCGGTTCTTAGCGTTTTATAACAATCACGACAACCGCTTTCAACCGCTCTATACCACTCTGTACCGCTCTATATCGCTGAAAATCAAAAGCTCCTTTCCGCAAGCGTTTGCGGTTGCGGGCGGTTGCGGTTTGAAAAAAAAAAAAAAAAAACATAATATCTCCAAATTTGGAATAAGGGTATATTTTTTTGAAAAATACCATAATTATGTTTAAAAATTTCGAAAATACCCTAAATTTTTTCTGTTTTGAAAAATACACTTTTAAAATGTAAAAAGTATGTTTTGACGTGATTTAAACAAAAAAATAATAAATAATTACAAATTATAAACGAAAATTTAAAAAAATAATAAACTAATAAGTTTTTTTTCAAATAAATATAGTATATGTTAAACTGAAACAAATTTTAATATTTTGGATCTTTATATAAACAACTTAACCTCATACACATTCAAACCAAATGAAACTTTAAATAAATTAAAACTTTACATATATTTAAAGTTTATAAATTATTAAAAATTTAAAAGTGGAGAAATATATCTTTCATTTTTAATGTTTATCTTTTGAAAAATTTAAATATTTTTGAAACTTTGCATAAACAACTTTAATCTCACCCCATTTAAACTTTATATAAACAATCTTATATTTTTATTAAATTGTTTAAAAAAAAACTAAACAGGTAATTAGGATGTTAAAATGATACAAAATTATTATCAAATATTAATATTTTATATTTCTTATTTGAATTTCGTTTTTATTAAATTAGGAATAATCATTTTACATATAAAAAGTGTATTTTTCAAAACCAAAAAAAAAGGGTAGTTTTCAAATTAAAAATTCATCAAAAAATATATTTCAAAAAAAAAATTATTAATATGGTTATAAATGTTTTGAATAATTATATATTATTTTTATTTTAGTAACTTTTGGTTAAACCGCTCTTGCACCCGCTGGCTAACCAGTCAAAAATATCCCGCAAACGCAACCGCTATGAATTGCTATACCAGTCGTACAAACAGCTTTTAATCGCAAACTCCCGCTTCCGCAAACTCCCGCAGCCGCAAACTCCCGCAACCGCAACCGCAGCGGTTAAACCAGTCAGACCCTAAGCCTCTTTAGGCTTGTTACCACAAATCCTACTAGTCTTAAAACTATTTAGATCTTAGAAAGTATGGGCTTAGTGGCTCATAGTTATGCCAATTTGGTCGACCAAAAATAAAAAGATTTTATGACAATTTTGGTCCATATTTTTTTTTTTGAACAACTTTTCATTAAGTCTGAAAATACGGGTTTATTAAGTCTAGGAGCGAGATCACGCGAAGCGAGTTTTGCGAGAGCATCAGCTTCAAAATTCGCAGATCTAGGGATAAAGACGAAGGAAATTGCAGTAAAGAAAGATGCGAGAGTTTTTATGTCGAAGAGGAGTCCGTAGATCTCCTTAACTTGCTCCTGTGATGTTAAGGCTCGGACTAAGTCCTGAGCGTCAGATTTGATGCAGATCTTGAGGTAATCCTTGTCGATTGCCTGGAGGAGGGCTGATCTGATGGCGATTGCTTCTGCCATGATTGCGGAATTGGCGAATGGTTCAGCCCCTTGGCCCGAATCCAGTCTGTCGTCGGCTTGATTGTGGAAGATCCAGCCTGCTCCTGCAATTTTTGTCTCGGGATTCCAAGCTCCGTCCGTGTGACAGGTAATTGTGTCTGCATGCATTACTCTGGTTTGATGCGATCCATTTCGCGGGTTTGGGGTTTCCAATTGCTGAGCCTGTTGCCATTCTTTTGCCGCTAACAGGGCCTTGAGGATTGCTTCGTCTGGGGAGAAACCTCTGTCTTCGAAGAGGAGATGGTTTCGTGCTGTCCAAATGGCCCAGCAAACCCAAGGAAAAATGGGTCCAGAGCATATACCTGTTGGGGGAGGCACAGCAATGCTTTTGAGTTGGAGAGGGTTTGCGAGAAAGTCTGGTTTGGGGTTATGGCAAGAGGCGACATCAGGGGAGTCAGAGCCCAGACTTTTTTGGCAAAATCATAGAGGAGAAAGGTGTGCTCTGTTGTCTCTAAGTCTCCGCAATGAATACAGCACGCACTCTCAAGGAGGCCTTTGTGGAGGAGGTTTTCACCGATGGGGATCGCCTTTTGGATGATTTTCCAGAGGAACACTTTAAGTTTTGGTGAGAATCTTCCATTCCAAATATCAGCCATCCAGTTTACTTGTGCTTGGTTGTGTTCCTCGGGGAGATTCTGTAAAGCTCTCGCCACATGATAGCCCGTTTTTGCTGTGCAGATACCTGACTTTGTGGGCAGCCAGATATGACAGTCTTGTGCTCCATGTTTACTTAATCTGAAGCATTTGATGGTGGTCTCGTAGAGAGGTAGGATCTTGTTGATCTTTGTAGAGTTCCAGGTCATGGTATCATGGTTAACGAGAGATGCAACTGTTAAATCTTTCTCGTTCAGGTTCGGAGGGCCCATTGGCTTAAGAGGGTTGGTTAGGGAAAGCCATGACTCGTTCCAGAGGGAGGTGCCGTGTCCGTCCCCTATTGCTTTCCCCAATTGTTCGATGAGACGAACAAAGAAAAATGAGTTCACATCCCTAGTCTCAAATGAATGCTTATTCCTCGAACTCTTTAAAATCTTGTTTCAAACAGTGTAAGTGTGTAACTTTTAAATCAAACTCTGAAACCGTACTTGAATACCTTTTGACAGAAAGAAGCATTTAGAAGAGAAGAAACAAATATAAACTACTAAAGCTTATGCTATGTACACCTTACATTACATTAGTTATAATATATATTGATAAAAATATTATAATTCCTTTATTTCCCAAATATCCTCCAAAGATTCTAGAAGCTCTAGTCTCTCTTTCACTGTCTCCACTAATAAAAAAAAAACAGCAAAAAAAAAAATCTTTAAAAAATCTCCCAAAAAATGTCTCCTTTCTTCCTAATCACATGGACCTTATCAACGCATTATCTGCTTTCCATGTGCTCTATCGTTCTTGCAGCTGTATTACACTTTCTCCACAACCGAAAACGACATCGGATTTACACATTACAGGTCTCTTTCTCTCACCAAACCCCCACCCTCTCCTCATCTCATTGCTTGCTATACAAGTAACATAGAAAAATAAACCCTAATATACAACATTAAAAAAAACTATAAACTTCCCCTTTATATTTACACGTATGCCTCGGTGTATATAGTAGACCTAGAGAACGTGTGGAACTAAACGTTAACACACTCACTTTTTTAACTACATTGAATTATAAAGTATGTAATTATATTGGAAAAAGGGGTGTGAATAGCTTGATTCTATACTATTACTGACTAACGTGTAAGATATTAAAGAATCTAAGGGGGACTTTAGGTTTCTTCCTTCTTGTGTTTTAGAAATGCTCCTTGTGAAACTCGAACTTCGTTGAACCTTTTTGGTTGAATGTGTTGCAAAGTTTGCTTAGCTCTTTGCCTAGAACCGGTACTCCACAATAAAACACTCCTGCGAACAAATAACCAAAGATTTAAGAATCATTTTCATCGAAACCTTTTTATTGTTGTTTGATTGTGATAGAAAACGAAAGCTTCTATTAAAGCACGAAAATGAAAGCTTATTACCCACGGAAATGTGGGGGACAAAATTGATTGAATTGATTTTTGTGCGAAGCTTGTAAAAGTATGGACCGGAGAGAGAGTGAGTGATTGTTACCTATTCTTGCATTGCAATGTTTGGAACTTAGTTTCGAGAGAACCTTATTCCAATTGGGTCTTGCAAAGTGTGTCCTGACCTGAAAATATGAAGATTGTTTTAGTTGTGGGGTTAATTTTTCCACGTAGAGAAGTTGGGGACCGTTTTGGATAATTCAAAAGAATCACGACTCTGTAATTGCAATTTATTATTAAAAAAAATTAACGTACCCTAGTGCCAGAGACAATGTCGACACCATTTTTGGCATGGTTAAGAGCTTGAACCATTGTGATGAGAGCAGAACGAGCATCACCTTCTTCATACACACTTGTCAAATAGTTATGCATCTCTATCACACCCTGTTGTTCCACACAAAAATTGAATTTTACTCTTGGAGAAAATATTGATTGTCTTAGGAAATTTGGTTTAGGTTTTGGTTTTTACCCGTTGGTCAAGCTCTGCGACTTCGTTCATGACGCCTTTAAACCAATCAAAAGAGCCTTGTTCTCTTGTGACCCAATAGAAGTAAGCATTTGTTGTCTTTAGTATTCTCTTTCGTCTCGGTGTATTATTATTATTGGTGTCACTGTTGCTTCCTATGCTATGCTCCGATGATCTACTGAAATCCGAGATCGAATCCTGGAGATGATTGGAAAAACATTCATCAAGTCTTAAGTAACTTGTTTGGGAAGTAAAGAGAAAAAAAAAATAGGGTTAAAATATTTTGTGTTGTTACCGCTTGCTCTTCCATTTTAACAATGTTGAAAAGCAAATCTTTCAAGATACTGATGAATGGAGTTGCACCGATGCCAAGACCAACTAACAAGAGAACATCATATTTTTTGTAGTCTTGTGCTGGTGCACCGTACGGTCCATCTATCAATAGCTTTGGCAAACTGATACAAAACATATCAGCAGTTAGGTCAAAAATAGTTTAATTTTTGTGTGTGTTTTATACCTTTTCATTGTTGTTTCGTCGGCTCTAAGAAGTCCACTTTTACCAGCAACGGGTGGCTCACAAACTTCAGAGAACACTCTTTTGAGTTCTTGAGTCCAATCTCCGAGTTGTCTAATGTGAATACTGATATAATCATCTTCAGGTGCTGATGTGATAGAGAATGGATGCCTGAAACCAAAATCAAAGAATTAGTATAAGAAAGGTTATTTGATGATTAACTTAACACATGGATTGGTTTATTTATGTAAGTATTACCATTCGAATGGCGAAACCGCAGGACACTGAACGAACATGTATTGACCGCTTTTGTATCGAAATTGAGATGGTTTCGACATTTGCAGCGTCAAAACATTACCAGGATATATTGCAACCTAAACGAAAAAAACAAAAGAAATTAGCTTCTGCTTACAAGAAAACAAGTAAAAACAGAGAAAACAGAGCACTCTGTTTTTGATCTTTTTGTTACGTTACCTTAAGAAGCCGAACAGAATAAGAACCAGAACGGAAGTAACGAAGTGTTCTTTCTCCACCATAGAGTAAAACTGGTACTGCAAGATACATCCATGTCTGAAAAACAAAAAACATCTCAAAATCAAGAATCAAGATTATGTTTTCTTCTTCAACAAGTAATGAGCTTAGAGTCATAGAGACTTACCGTGCGAACATACCAAGGCTTGGCGAAATAGAGGAAGATACCGTGAAGTATAAGCAAGATATAGACAATGACGAACAAATGATGCGAATACCAAAAGGCGTTAAATCCAGTGAGTCGATCAAATGGCTTTGGAAGCTTGACAAGGTTACGTCTAAGCCATCTTGTTGCTAATGTGAATGAAATAGCCATCAAAATGATCATTAAAATCCCTGTGATTCCTTCAGGTCCTTTAATGAGGTCGAAGTACGTCGGTTTCTTCTGTTGGAAGTAATGAAATAAGTAACGATTGTAATCGTATTCACTGGCTTTAACGATTCTTGGGAAATCACAAGCAAGATGGTCTCCTACATGAAGTATCACACCTACTACAATGGCTCCTGCAATTGTCTACACATAACAAAATGAAAAAAGATTAAGTAATTCTTTAGAAACCGAACCAATATTTCATATACACAAGACTCAAGTTTAATTTTCTTTTGTGGGTTAAGAAAAAAAAAACTATAAAAATGGAAAGCGAAAGAGCTGTTTAGCTGTCAATTTCCACTGCGTGCAGAAAGAAAAAGAGCCCCACATTCTCGACAGCACATTGCGTTCGAAGAGGATTTTCAATTGTGTATCTAATTAGTATTGGTTTTGACTTATAGAGTCACGAAAAGAAAGTTCTAATGGGACCCCAAGAAAATGCTAAAAAAAGTAGAAACAAAAAAAGAAGTTTTTAATTAGTTCACTAACCTTGTGGAAGTTGATGTTATCATCAAAAGGAACGAAGTAAGAGAGTCTTGTGGATCTAAGCCAAGTGATTGTGTTTCTGCAAACCGGGAAAAGTATGAGAGCCATGTTGAATTTAAGTGTTTCAGCAGCTCCTTTCGCCGTGAGTAAACAATAACCCATCACACGAAATGCATCTTTTTGCTTGTACTGGAAGAATTTCCACAAGAACAGTCCGATCATGATCATGATCCATAAGGACAAAACCCATATCCTTTTCCAATTCTCTTGCATGAAGTAGACGAAGTCCGAGCCCATTCGATGGATTCTGCTGTTTCTTCTCAACCCTTGAAGGTTTTGGCTCAATGCTTGGCTTGTGTAGCTCAATGCTTGACTGTAATTTAGGTATGTGTCTTTTTGTAGTAGCAGAGTCTCTAGTTGCCATAGCTACACAAAAAACAAATCAATCACTGAAATCTTTGCCTTAATGAATCATAATCACAAAATAAAGAAAGTGACATGTATTAATTTTAGTAACTTTCTTTTCTCTTCTACCTTAAATTAGAAATTAGAAATAGTTTACTTGCAAGTGTGTACTACTTCACCTACCATTTGAGTTAATAGTAGAAAACCTCTCCATACTATAATTTGAGCTACTGAATAGACGAATCTAGGTGTCAGCAAATGAGATAAAGATTAGCAAAAAAGCAAACAAGAAAATTTTAATTTAATGATAGTGAAATTGTTTCTTTGCTTTTGTTTTTATTAACCTGTGAGGTCATTGTATAAAAGAATTATAGAGTTCTATTTATGGGCGGCGGTTTAGCATACTTTAAAATATTCACATCATGCAAGCACGGAAACAAAACATGTGATGGCATGAAAATTGAATTCAGATTCAAATATGTGTGACAACATATTAAAGATACAGAGTATTGAGACCAAACCTCTATGTAGCCAAGTCTTTCAGGATCTAGCTCTTCCATGATCAAAGCTGCATATTCCTCTGCTTGTTCCTTCAATCTTGATAGCTTATTTGCAGATGCACTCAGCATTATAATCTATCAAATAGATTTCAAAATTTTCAGATTTCTTGTTCATAATGTTAAGTAAGCCATCTCTGTTGTGTCACCGTCATTAGATATACTACTAGATAGTATTAAAAACAATTAATACTAGTATTATTTAGTCAAAGGACTCAAAACCATTATTCTAATTTATAAATAACATATTTTCAACATCAATGCCACCTTAATTACAGATAAGAATCTAACGAACATGGGGTTAAAAATATCAAGGACAAGAAAATTCGCATTTTGGTTCTTTTATATTTTTTTTAAAAAAATCAGATGGAGTGGTTAGTATATCAGCATTTCATGCGATTTAAGGTCACCAAATCCCCGCCTAACTTTGATTATATTTAAAAAAAAAAAACTTGACCACCAGTCCCAATTAATTATTTTTGAATCTTACGACTACTTTTTTTTTTGTTTAACTGTATAACGACAAGTTTGATAACTCTAATGATAAAAAAAAATTAGTCAGCATTTAATTATTTTACCTCCTTAACTTCCTCTTCTGTAATTCTCCCATCTTCGTTCTTGTCCACTCTGTAATTTCCGACAAATAAAAGTGATTAATGATTAATGGATTTGTAATCAATAGTGCATTAATTATCTACATTAAAAGTCAAAGCCTTATATTAAAAATAGTGTATATATAATTAAAACATACGCATCGTCAGGAAAACAATAATTCCTGCACACATGCAAATTACCATTAACTTGAAAAACACTGTTTTATTAATCATAATTAAGAAGACTGATCTGGAGAAAACGCTGAAAATATGGGATCGTTTATAGTAAAATGATTACTCGTATGAGCTTTTAGGATAATGATTCATATGATTAGGAGCGTAATTAATTTATTAATTAAATAATTAAGTAAGTAAACTTTCTGTTACTGAAACGTACATGTCGAAGAAGATCTGGAGACGAGAATCGAAGCTCTCGTCGTTGATTTGTGACCAATACTCGTAAAGCTCGTCGTGACTGATCTTCTCAACTTTCAATCTTCTTCTCCTGCTCAATGCGTCGAACAGTTCGAGTGCAAATTCCTTCGAATCTTTCATTCCTGCAAAAACAAACGAATTCGAATTTCGAAATCTGGAATCGATGGATTGAGATTTGAATTTTGAATTTCGAATTTCGAGAACCTATGCAATGAGCGAAATCGGAGCGATAGACGAAACCGTTTTTGGAGAGTTTCTCGAAATTGGATTGAACATCGTTCCAGGCGTCGACGTTCTTATTCTCGTTGCTGCTGATGAATCTCAATCCACGGAGAGCTCTCTGCGCACTCGACCGAGTCCGATCCAGCTGAGCTCGCTGTTTCCGCAACGCGCGAGCCTCTAGAGCCGAGTTCACTAAACCTCCGGTCTGATTCGCGGCGGATAAAGTGCCGGAGAATGACCGAGACCAGGAGAATCGCCTCAGCTCCTGCGATAGCTGCTTCGCCTTCGCGACTGCTTCCGCCTTCAGCTCGTGAGAGAATTGACGGAGCCGATTCGACGAAGTGCGCTTCATCGTCGGAGATCTCGAAATCGAAACCGGAGTCAACATCCCTCCTCCGCCTCCGCCTCCAGAGGTCGAGGCGGTTTCAATATCGGAGATGTCGATAATGGCGGTTGCTGGCTCGACGCTTCGGAGAACGATCGTGTCGTCGTCTTGAAGATCGATCGTTACCTCGACGAACTCTTGACTGTAACCACCGTTGGAACATTCGGTTCCCGGAGAAGTAGATGCACTCCCGATATTGCCGGCGGAAACGGAATCGAACGACCACCGGCGTCGATCGTTCTTCGAGAACGGCCTCATTAACAAAACAAAACAAAAACCGGATTGATCCGAAATCCAACGATTTGATTGGATCGGCTCTTTGCCGGCGAACACTAACGATCAAGCTGCTCGGCGAGGGATATTGGACGTATATACACGTAGCATAGATATATATATATATATATACACTGTATATAAGTTGGTGGAATCTTTTGGAGAGAGAGAGAGATTGAGATTTCAAACGCGTCGTGGCTCAGTGGGAAAAGCCATTTTTCACGCGCTGCGAAACTCTGTGCTTTATAGGGGATGAGAGAGAGAGAGAAAGTGAAGCAGAACGTTGACGGAGAGAGAGAGAGAGAAAGCGAAGACGATGGTGGTTCGAACCGGACCGGGAAAAAGTTGACGGCATTTACGTTTAATTTTTTTTTAAAACTTTTAAAATAATAATTACTTTTAATTGACACGACTCTATAAAATTCTTATACAGTACTTGAAGTTAAGGTTTTAGGTTCTCCCGCTTTTTTTCTGAAATTGAAAATTATTATACTAATAATTAATAAATTGTTAATCATATATAATTATATGTATTTATGATAATTAAGGTTTAACATTTATTTTCTTACTATATGTAAAAACTCTAAAAAATTCATTTTTCAGAAATGGAAAGAATATTTTTTCTGCTTCGACAATTGAGACTTAACACAACTATGTTTTAACCAAACATTACACTTACAGTAGTTTATTCTTCAGTAATAAAATGTAAAGCATAAGTAAACGTAATGTATGGGTTGCTAAAAAATATGTAAACGCATACATATGGCTTAGAACTCTTCGAAAGTTTTGCGTAATTTTTATTGAAAATAAATTTGATACTGAATTTTTATTTACATTCTGTATACGAATATCCAAAAGCCAATATAATCTATTATTTTTCTTATAACATGTTAATAATAGCAACAATTCGGATAAGTTATTTCAAGTAGTACAAAAATAATCTTTAACAAACAACAAAAAGGAGTATCAAAACTGAGTGACCGATTGTGTGACTGTTGTTTCTCTGCGAGTCTACTTTATTTCGTTTTTTCGCCCGACGCGTTTTATCCAAAGTTGTGCTTGTGAATGTATGTAGGAAGAATACGAATTGAAGGGGACGACTTTGAATATACTTTTAGATGATACTTGTGGATACAATTGTTATAGCTAGTGATCGATGATTTGATGTATTATCGTTAAGCCCACGACTTAGAATGTTTTCTCATATTTGAAAGAATACCTTTTTATGAAGAACAAAACAAATTTGATGACAGCAATTTGTTTTCAGTGCTTCACTAATAGACTAAAAAGAGTTTACAATAGATTTAAAATGTAGATTTCATGGGTCACCCATCCATAATCTTGTATTGCGGTTTGATATTAGCTTAACAGACTAAAATAAGTTTACGAAACAAACTAGAAAATCTTAATTAAACAACTTCGTCCAACACTATAGATCAAGTTTTGATGAAATGGAACCCTAGATAGAATAAAATCTTTCTATTTTTGTTTGTTATCGTGTAACGATTCACATCTTCTTTATCAAAAAAGTAACGATTCACATCTAAATATCTATATCATTTTAGCTATTTTTTTTGTGACGTATCTTAATAGCTAGTTAGAATTGGTTTAACATCTAAGCAATAAATCTATGGGTTAGTGCTTAGCTTAAATTAGAATAACATTTCTTTTTCTAAGCGGCTACCTAAACAATTTATTTTTGTTTTAGTCTAAAGAAATTCGGGTGTATATTGCTAAGATAGATGAATAAGAACAACTATTTACAAGAATTTTTACACAAAAATAAAATATTTACAAGGTTGCAATTGTTTGTTTTTGTTGTTGGTAACTTGTAAATATCATATAATTGAAAAGTTTGGATATAGTGTATGTATGCATGTGTGTTTCAATGTTTCAATTTCCTCGTGCACTTAGTAGTTAGTACATATGAACTTGTTAAGATTGCGACTTAGCAACAAACTAATAGACATATTGAACATTCTAAACTTCAAATTGAAATATCGATCTAACCCAAGCAATATTTAATTAATTAGTTTATTTTTTAGATGTTTCTTGAGGGATTTTGTCTCCTTTCTTATTGTTAGAGCACGTCCAACGCAGGACGCTTCAGGTGGCGCTTAAGCGAAATTTAATTCAAAAATAAATAAAAACCAAGAATCCGACGCTTATTCAAGCTTGAGAAGCGTCGAAGCTTACGTGCCACGTGGCAGGAGCTGATTGGCTCGGCGGTATTGAGAAGAAACAAAACTCTTTTTCTTCTTCATTTTCTCTTTCGGTTTCTCTCTCCTCTCTCTCACCACTCGGCGGCTCTTCGAAGGCGATTTTGGCGATTCTCTGGAAAATAGAATCAAACGTTTCTCATGCTTCTGGTCCGTGGGGCTTTTGTAATCACCCTGCGGTGATGATAATCGGAGAAGAAGACACGCCGATCAACAGGATTTCAATCGACGATTCTGTCTCCTCCGTGCATGGTAAATTTTCTTCAACAGTCGGTTGTAAATCGTGGTCAATTAGGGCTCATGTGCTCATTAAGCACCACTGCAAATTGCTTTCATCTTACCGATTTAGTTTAGGAAATCTGGTTTACTTGTGATTTAGAGTTTTAGTGTTTTTTGTGCTTTTGATTTGGTCAAAATTCTCTAGTTTTAAGTTTTGATTGTTCTTGTTGTCATTTGTTCTCTGAAATCTATCAAAGTTTGTTACCTTTTGTTAAAGTCTTGGTTTTTTTGTCATTGGTTATGGCATCATCTTTCTTCTTAGCGATAAAGTTTAGCACTTTCAAGAAAACTCTCTGCCGATTTCACACTCACATTTCTCCATCGCTTGAAAGATTGTTTTTTTTTTGTTTCTTCTATTCACCATCATTGTATCATACCTTCTTTCAGTTGATCTCCTCTGCTTTTAGTTAACTCAAAATGTATAACTTCTAATGTTTCTTAACTAAGTTTCACTGATTAGATTAATACAACTGCTGCTGTATGATATTATGTTTATCTTTTTGCAAACACTACAGAAGCTATGGCTGGAAAAGCAGCTGCAGAAACCGCGGCAAAGACAGCGTTTCAGCGTCCGTGATTCCGTGGAGGGCAAAGCTCAACAAATACAGAACGGAGGAGTGTATGGTTACTGGGAGATGGGGTTGTGGAAACTCAGCCATTCTCAGGTAAAAAGATGAATCCTCCCTCCACTAATAGATTAATCAAAACACATCCCTTGTTTCTCTAAGCAAGGATTATGTTTTTTTACTTGGAAAATGCAGTGGTGGATGATAAGTTTGTCAAGGAACCAGTGACATTCTCCAACCAAACTACTTCTTTCGGACAGTGACATTCTCCAACCAAACTACTTCTTTGGACAGTGACATTCTCCAACCAAACTACTTCTTTCGGACAAGATCTAAATGGCTTCTGCACCTAAGAAAGGTTCTTCCTTACTTACCCAAATTTATGTTTTACTTCCCCGAAATCTCTTGTGGATCCATCCGTGTGAGATTAGTGTTTGACTATGCAGGAAAGGCCGAAAGGGTTCCTCATCAACAGTGGTAGACATAGAAACATAGAAGCAGAAGTAACAGATGCAGAAGTAAGAGCACATGTTTTTATGTTTGATGCAATGTATTTTATGTTTTATTCATAAATTAAATTTACATTTACAATAAAATAATTTTTTTTAAGCACCCTCCATTGGAGAAGAGATAACATAAAAATTTTAATAGAGGCGCTTAACCAAATTTTAATAATAAAAAATCTTTTAAGCACTACTATAAGCACCCACCATTACACATAGCCGCTGGGAGATGTTTGCGTATCTACGAAGTAAATTACTTATATATTTTGTTGTTGATTGTTGTATATTTAACCACGCAGGATACTTTGAAAGCTATACCATGCATATGTACTACGATATGGTGTTCGACCCTATTTGATATTAAATTTTATTTTCTTAAGAAAGAAGAAAACTATTCTCATATCTCATATTAGCTAGAATCCGTGGAAACTAATCTATCGCAAACGTTTTAGTAGTATTGTGATACACATATATGATATATCTCATACATCTTTATGATTTATTTATTGATTTGACATCTGAAAATCATGCATGATCTTTTGACTCTGGCTATATATGCTATTCACTATTCACATACACTTGAAAACGTTTATGCTGAAAAATAATTAAAGGAAACAATGATCGTTAGTGTCTTTAAGATATTGTCAAATTAATCTGATGTAAAAGTCAAGCTTGATTCTAGTTGCTATAGAAATATTTTCAAACGTAACTAATCTCATCAATTTAATAAAACCTATGTTATTCATGTCTTACATCTAATTTCGACATTCAGTTTGACGAAATGTACTTTTGTTAATGTATTCGGTAAAAAGTACTAAAAATTTCTTATAGTCTTTCACTCTTTTGTATAGATGAGCAAAAGTCAGAGGTTTTCGAACAAAGTGGTATTTCTTTAGAAAAGTGTGTATATATGTACACACATGCAGACACAACACACTGGTTATATTATAGATAGCCTATTAAATTGCTTTTCACTGTCTTCTGTAACTTTTATAATTTTCTAACGAACCCAACGACGACAGTTACTTGTCCCATGCACAAGTTATTCTTTTGAAGAATAAGAATGTGATATAAATATTCCACCAACCCTTGTTTAAAAAAAACATATCATTTTGTGTGTGTGTGTGTGTGGGTATTTACATGTAAAATCTACTGTAAGAACCAAGAACATGTAAGAAAAGTTTTATCAAAAAAGAAAAACATGTAAGAAAAGTTGTATAGTAAATTAGTAATATACTGTATACACATTTTCTCTCAACTGCAGACTAGAAAATCTTAGGGAAGTTAAACCCACCTACTTGACTTTTAAGGTTTTCAAATTTGACATAACCTTTACTTTCTGAAGAACTGTTAACTAATTAAAAATTACAACGATTCGTTTACCTTCTTGTTTTGTTTTTCTCTTTTCCTGTCTCACTCAAGAAAACATGCATGCACCACGCTACTAATTAATGGCTATTTACTTAAGTCGATAGTTTTATTCGTCTGTAAATTATAGGTACATCGTTTATTTTCGTTGAACAAACAATATTCCACGTTCATGCATATGTATTATACACACCCACACAAACGTTTGGGCTTCTAGAATAAAATTACGTGATTGAGGCCCAATATAGAGTGAAATGGGGCCACCATATATCTTCCAAGTCAATGACTCAACCACTCCTCGTACTTACAGGAGAGAATCTCTGTCATCTTGTTTCTTTCTTTTTGTGCCTCGTTTTCATTAAATATTTTTTTTTTAAAATTACATCAACAAAAGTTATCCTTCTTTGACAGCAAGAAGTTATAAAAATAAACAAAGCAATAAAAAAAATAAGTATGAACAAAATTATTATTATAATTTATTTTTGGTTTAGTGACTTATCAAATGTTTATAGATATTTTTTTGATTAATTTGGTAAAATTTGGTAAAAGTTGTTGATAAATTTGCTGGTGGCTATCAAACTCAAAAGTTATTCAACTAAGTAACCAGTAAATACAACAGATAATTCCCAAAGTGTATTTGACAATCGAACAATTAAGAAATACAAACTAACTGATCGTGATCGGTGTGACACCACATACTTAAGCGAATGACTTTTGAATTAGAACCGATCTCATGATGGCTTTTCAAATTTAATATATTATCTAAGGTTATACTAATTATTTAATACACAACCACATTAACTACACATGTGTGGTGTGTGCATTTACAAATCTCAACCAATAAACAAAAATTTATTCGTAACACGTCTTACGCTTAAGCCTGAAAATTTGGAAAAGTTTTGGCAAATAATTTTAAGTTTGAGTAGTGACGCGTTCACTGAGTTTGGTGCATGATAAAACGTAAAAGCAGCGCACTGATGAGCCAGCCACACAATTTTATTTTGTTTTCTTCTTCTTGCGATGAGATTTTGGACCAAAATCTAAACTAGTTCCTAAAATTTATAGAACACTGATTGTAATACAATCTAAGGCATCCATAATTATAAAAACCATAACTGAATACTCATCAAACCAACTTTCGGTTTCTACTAAATATATTCTCTCCAATAATTAAGAACTTGAACTAAACCCCAAAACACCACATTAACCAGACCATACCGATTTAAACCTAATCTTAACAAGGTTAAGAAGATTTGGAAGGATCAAAGACTTGACCGGCGAACAAAACAGTTTCAGTTTTGTCTTCTCTAATTAAGAAAAGAAATGGATGATCAGCCACAAAATCTGTGCTATACCTAATAAAGCTTGTTGGCACACACAAAAAAGTGACAGCAGCAGCTTCAGCGCCTTCTTCATCGATCTCTACACAAGCTTTATGGTACATATCAACTTTATCAAATCCCAAATCGAATTCCTTGGAAGCCTCAAACCCGAAAGAGATCTTAAACTTTGGGATACTGACTAAACCAACAGAAAGTGTTTCACTCGGAATGTGATTATCCAAGAATCCAGGAGCTGATGTCATTTTCTTGACAAGATTATCCAAACCATGTTTCTCATCAGGGAGATAGAAATGCATGGAGAAACTGCGATTCTTGTCACGGCCTTGTCGAAATGGGAGCTTAAGGACCTTGAAATCATCATAAGCCTCGACGTAGTGTGTCTTACGATAGCTGCTGATCATTCTCATGAATGGCACAGAGACTGAGGTTCCATTGAGAAGATGAAACTCGTTGTCTATCGTCAATATTTGTCGAATTTGTCTTCCCAAGCTCCCTTGAAGTACAATGCGTTTCCAAAAACGTGATTCGTTTTGCTTCCAACGGATCCAGGAGGAAGAATATCCTTTATGAGACCATTGGTATTATCTGAGGCCCATTGATTCAGCTCTCTACGCACTTGTTCAGCCTTTCAAAAATATACAAAAACATGTCAGTGTAATTATAAAACTAGGTCAAGTTATAAAACTAGGTTAGAAATCTGTGGAACGGAGTTAATTCACCTTGGATCTGAAGTCAACTAGAGTGTAAGTAGCTTTGAAGTCATTCACAAAGAGATCCTTCAACGTCTGATCAACAGGGAGTGATTGCTCTCCACCCAAACGCCGTTAATCGCCGTGATTTTGGGGCCACCTTTCTTGCTACCGTCGGCGAAAACGACGGTAGCTATCTCACTGGAGAGAGCTTTACGTTCTTCGGATGCTGACCTGGCACCGGCGGCTTCCACCATTGCGACCGCCGCGTTGAGTGACGCCGGAGAGAAGACGAAGTTAGAGTGACGTGCTTCGGAAGCTATTACTTTACCAGTGAGGAACCAGTCGGCGTCGTTTTGCTTCTTCATTGCTTCTCGCAAGGGGCTTGTCGTGATGACTTGTGATTTGCTTACGTTTGGCTTTTTCTTCATCTTTGAGACAGAGAGATCTGTTTCTGAAGATGTGCTAAGTTTTTGATTCTTCTTCATCATCTTCGAAACGATGGAACTTGAGATTGTGAATCGTCGAGCAAACATCTTTTCAAGTTTACTGTTTACTTCTTCTGAGCATATACTCACATACATACGTCTGTGTGTGTAAACAAACATCCTATAAAGAAACTAGGGTTTTGTGAATCGTCTCATTTTGTTAAGTTTCTAATACGAAAACAGCGTGCCGTTTTGTCCAAGTGAAACATCAGGGTTTTCATTAATCGTTTATATCAGAGAGAAAAAAAAAACAACACAAAGTGTATCTCACAGATGATATCTCAGATTCACATAGCTCAAAGGTTACAAGATTATATAAAGTCAGATATTTCATATTCACTCCGTGAGAAGAAAGTGAAGAGAAAAGACAGTAATACCCCTTGCCAAAAGTGATCCAGAGCAGCAGAAGAAGAAGAAGACAGTGTGGTGGATGATAATGATGATAAACTTCAGCTCAAGCAAGTGTCTTGAGCCAAGAAACATGACTTCTTCTTCAGCCTTTTCCACCCTAAAGAAGAAGAACAAAAAACAAACAATGAGAAGATGCTTACTTAAGAAGAAGAACAGAGTCATTTCTAAACGAAGCTCTCAAAACCTTGCGTGGTGGTGTTCCTCGCCTTCCTCCATTCTTGCCAAACCCGAAATTTCCCTTCTTTTCAGATGCTTTGAGGATTTGAAAAGAACACGTCAACGAATCATCCACACTCATCATCGCACCCGCGTTGTCAAACTCTCCACAGTAGTTTGGAGCCGAGAATATCGTAACTAGCTGCCTGTTCGCAAAGAACTCATACCCGTCTTCCACAACCTAAACTCAAACCAAATCAAATCCCAATGAGTTTAAAAACAGAGAGATCATCCAAATAGTTAAGCAAGTCATCATCAGCTTTACCTGATGAGCTCTGCAGATAAGGTCAAGGTCATGCGTTTGGAGAAACTCCTCGACTTTATCAACGCCAAAAGTGTAAGAGACGCCTCTATCATTCTCACCCCAGCCTTCAATGTCTTTATCAGGATCAGACCACAAGAGATCACAGAGCAGTCCATGATCAGGAATATCCACAGGACGAGCAATGTTCCTGATCTCATCCAAGTGCTTCAGCTCCGGCGAGAGCCCGCCGTGCATACAGAGGATCTTCTCGTCGATGAGAGCAGCGACAGGGAGACAGTTGAAGCAGTCGGTGAACGTCTTCCACACTTTGACGCTATATCTCTTCTTGCACTCGTCGTAGAATCCGTATATCCGGTTTATCGAGGCGCACTCGTGGTTCCCTCGCAGGAGAAAGAAGTTCTCTTTGTATTTGATCTTGTACGCAAGAAGAAGGCATATCGTCTCTACGCTCTGCTTCCCACGGTCCACGTAATCACCGAGGAACAGATAGTTCGCCGCCGGTGGGTAGCCACCGTACTCAAACAGTCTCAAGAGATCTGAGAACTGACCATGTGTATCTCCTGCCAAAACATGATCACAACACCATTAACGAAACATCAATGATCATTTCTAATTCTACAGATTCAGTGAACCAATACCTTAATCTAAAACAACAGATTTCACCAGGTTTCTATGCATTTCTACAAATCTCTGCTTAGCTAATAATCTCCAGCTATTGACCAAGTTTCAGATGCATTTTCTCCAAAATTCAACATCTCTGATGAGCAATCAACCAAAGGAATAAACTCTACATCAAAGGAATTTAGGGATTTTGACTATTCAAAACGAAATCAAAATTTCAACGAGATAAGAGAGAATTTATGTTTGATCGAGAATCAATACCACAAATTTTAATAGGAGCCTCGAGTTCGAGAAGATTCGGCTGGCTCAGGAAGATCTGCTTAGCCGTCGAGCAGAGATGTTTAATCTCCGCCTCCGTAAACTGCACCTGCTTCGTCGTCTTCCCGTTCTTCGCCCCCAATAACCTCTTTATAACATCATCCACCACACTATCTTCCATCAAAAATCCAACCACTGAAAACCTCAGCACCAGCGAGCGATGGACAAAACCCCCTCGAATTCGAATCACCGGATGAGATTAAAGAGTTTTCTGTTTCCGACCTCCAGTACCGGAACCCCGTCGCCGATCAGGATGGTTTAGAATCGCCTCTGTACGGAGAGCCAGAGAGAGAGAGAGAGAGAGAAAGGGTTTGTGAAGCTAAGAAGACGGAGCCCTAGACAGAATCGGCTAGAGAACGGGGAAGGAAGGAGAAAAGCGAACCACACGTGCGGCTCGTGTGAACCGGAAGGGACGGCTCTGTTTTGACCAAACTTATAATATATTTCTTATATACATACAGTATCTGCAGAGGAAAAAGAGGGTATGGCACCATTCCTTTTCTTTTGATTCCTATTTGAAGTTTACATAATCAAAACATACCTTTATAAAAAAATGTGGACTATATGTCTATATTGCGATCGAAAACATAGTTTTACACTGTGTCATGCACTCCAAACAATAACTATTGATTATTATGGTTCACCCGCTTAAGGTAAATACGTACTTATTGTTTCATCAAAAAAAATGATAATGAATTAATTTCTTTTGTTTATTTTTTAATAAATGATAAGAAAATGACTGAAATTCACTATAGACATTACTTTACAGAATAAGAATCAAATGTAACTATAATATAAATGGTCAATGATTTTGAGATAGATTTGTTTACATAAAATAAGTAAATTAAATTATCAAAAAGAAACACAACATTCAGTAAATTAATAATTAATAACTGCACAAAATACAAAAATGTTTTCAAAAATCAAAAAAAAAATTAAAAATATTTTAAACAAATAAAAACCCGCGCGTTGCGCGGGTCCTCTCCTAGTTTTTTTTTAAAAACACTATTGTCTCGAGATACTCCTACATTTTTAATTTGAATGGAGTAATATTTTAATATTTTTGGTTTCAAATTCAAGTGTTTAACTAGAGTATTTAAAATTTAAACGATTAAAGTCACCTGTTTAAATAAAAGAAAAAGGCTATAGAGTCCACCATTATCCGGATGCGAAGTTTCAAAAAAATCTTGACATGATTCGATTTGTATCATTTGTTCCTTATTTTGTTTCAATGTGACTTGTTCAAAAGAATATCAAAGACTTGAAGAGTAAATAAAAACAAAAAATAATTGACGGAATCTACACGTACAATCTAACGGCATCCGTAATCAGATAAGGGGCAATTTCGTCTGATAAAATTAACGTTCACCTTAATTCTCCAGTGGCATTTCTGGAAACTCACCTAAAAAGTCACACGAACAAGTGAAAATCCACTTGACTACGTGGCATTCTACTAGCGACTAAGATGGTAAAGTCCTCGTCACCAGTCTGTATCCAACGGCTCTCGACGACCCTGTCTCGTAGCCTGAAGCAATAATGTAGTCGCCACGTCATCATCACCGGTACGGACGAGCTCACCGGAACATATCACCGTCGACGGCTTATCTAAACAAGACAAAGTGAATTTCCCGAAAACTATAAATAGTCATCTTTTTCACTTCATTTTCTTTGCCCTAGAAAAATCCCCCGATTTACGCAGCCGCACCATTGCGTTTCTTCTTCTTCCTCCTCTTCCTCTTCCTCAATCGAGAAATCCCCAAATTAATTCTCACTCTCTTACCTCACTTTCCCTTTTTGATTTTTTTTTTCCGATTTACTCAACTTCTCGATCGAAGCTTCCAGCTATCTGTTGGCTTCTAGCTTTTAGAAGATATGAATTCGTCTCGCAGCCTACGAGGTTACGACGCCGCCGATTTGGGTTTCTCACGGCGGTGATGAATTGTTTGGAGATTTCTTTCCCCGTGGACGTTTCGGTGCCGGCTAAGCTTATGGGATCTGAAGGCTTTGGTGGTGGAGGAGGAGTTAGGGTTTCGTCCAACAAAGCTGATAACAAGTGTGAGACTGCTCGCGTCAATTCTCCGATTGAGCGTTGCAGTGCTTCAATTAGCAAGAAAGGTTGAGCTCAATTTTTATTTTATTTTTATTGCTGTGTTCTTCTTCTGCTTCATTTCCATTTTGACTTTTGAATTTATCAGTTTGAATCGATCAGGTTATGAATTGGGTACAGATTACATTTACAGATCCAAATGTGTTTTGTGTATCAGAGTTTGGTGAATTTGCAAACTTTTCAAGATTTGGATACTCAAATTTGGTAAATGTTTCTGCTTGATCCAGGAGCTGGAAGCAGCAGTGGTGCTTCAGATTCATCGCTATGGCGCAAACTGATGCACTCACACGACTTTGTGCATGATAGGCTTACAAAGCTTCGTGTTGAGACTTCATCAGAGCCTCAAAACGGTTATCTTCCAATCGCGAGCCCAGAGAGTGCAGAGTTTCCCAGGAAAAGAGGGAAGCTTTCGAGAAGTAGCAGTAGCAATGTGACTTCGAAAAGGACTAAATTGATTCTTTTAGATGATACAGTGAACACAGTGAGAGTGAGAGAAAATGACACCAAGGAGATTTGTGGACAAGGATCTACTTCTCACTCAGGTAGCTCTCGTTTTTGTTTCCTGTATATTGATCTGGCTTGGCTATAGGTTACTAAATTACCTTCTGTTGAATGATTCGTAGATAAACCCTTAGCAGTGAAGCAACGAAGCAACTGTAGTGGCAGGCGAGGTGAGAAGAGGAGTTCAAAAGTTCCCACTAGAACTTTCTCCAACGTCAGTGTAGCTACTGGCGAGAATGCATTCTTCGGTATGTTACTGCTTCTCAACGGTATCTAATAATAGCCATGAGTCCTCAGACTTGGTCCATTTACTTTGGCTACTTATTGTATACTTTCAGTTCTTTAGATTGCATCGTCTGAAACTTTGAAGTGATTTACAAATGGACCTGTTCTGAGGTAGCTTTAGAGGTTCCCTCAGCTATCTGTGGTGATTTTGACCTTTTTGAGTCTCTTTTCTCTTAATCTCCCTGACATGGAATTGAAAATGCTTCACTCGCTGACACATTCTTTGCATTGCTAAGGGACAATGTGAGAGTCATAGCACCTTTGATCTGATCTTATTTTGCCTTACATGCAGGTGCGTATGGCCTGAAGCCTGAAATAAACGATGTGACAAAACTCATTGAAGATTTGTCTTTGAACAAGCTTCTTGAAGGCTCTTATGAGTGTCCTTCTTTGGGCAGCAAAGACAAGATGAAGAAACCGGAGAATACTAGTGACACTCTGCTGAGTGTGGTCAGAAACGTTTGGTCTATTCTTCCAACAAGAAGGCCTCTCCAGTCTCAAAGCTCTGCTGAATTAGACGCTTGCATCAGCAGAACTCTGGGCTCACCAAGCTCTCTCTCCGCCACACTAAATGGTGAAAACAGCGATAAGTTAAATGCTCTTGATGGAGATCCATCCTCTTCTTCCAAGGTAGATTTCTTAACATTTTGAAGTTTCTTGTGTTGCTTCAATCTGAGTAATGATTTGACGATTGAATCTTTGTTTTTTCTTTTCAGGATTCTGAGATTCCTTCTAGTCCGCTTAATTTTCAGTTATGCGAGGCTAGTGATGTATTGCAAAGACTAGACCTTCCTCCGCCGAAAGATTTAGACTCTCTGCTTCAAGATGCTTCAAAACTTTCTCAGAGCTCAAAGAACAGCTCTGACCAGCAGCGTTCAGCTAAACAAGCACCTCCTCGTGGTGGGTTATTGCCGCATTTCCCTTGGTCTCAAGCATTTAACGGAAGCTCGAGAACCAGCTCGGAAGCAGCAAAGCTTCTAAACGGCAAGACACTCTGTCAAGGACGTTGGCTAAGAATAGCAGACACCACCATGAGTCCTCCTCCCACCAGTCAATTCACAAATCTGGATTCACTCACTTTCAACCAAAGCTTAGTCCATCCAGTACAGAACCAAACTAACACCACTTCTTGCCAGTGCACAGAAGCATCTGTCTCTACCTTTGTTCCTACAGGTAAGAATCTATCTCCGAGTGCAGAACCAGAGAGATCCGGAGATGTTCAAGACGATGGTATGTTTAAAAAAAATGCTATTATTACTCAGTTTCTCATCACCTTGAATCATCCTCTTATGATGGTTGTTGGTTGTGTGTATGCAGCTTTATCCTGTCCTCAGCTGATAGAAGCTGCTCAAACGCTATGTGACTTCACAATCCAATCCGGAAACCACAACAACAACAACCCAAACGGTATCCTCAGATGGCCAAAGAAGCTTTCTCAGAAGTCCATGAAAGCTCGTAAGTCCAAACTAATCGAAAAGCCTCCGGAAAGAAACGGGACAATCGTTTCCTCCTTGGATCTTAACTCAAGCAGCAAGAACAACAACAACAACAACCACGTGAGAAAAGATTCAGGAGCAGAGCATAACCATCATCAACATCAACATCAGCAACATCATCCTAAGCCTTCAAAGAGACTGAAACTATCAACAATGGAGAGTAACAAGAAAGGGTCATTCCCAAGCTCATCATCATCAGCCGCGATAGAGTCAGATAGGAAACATTCATCTTCAAGTTCAAGCAAGTTCAGGAACCATTCCCGTATGATGATGCCGCCTCCACCATCAAAGAGAACACTCCAAAAATCATCCACTTATCCTCAGAAAGCTCGGAAGTTTCCATGAACCACGTCGTAGGAGTCGTCTGTAAATATGATGAATGGTGGTGTGTCAAGGTGTAAGGTAAGCTCTTCTCTTATGTGCACAGTTTAGGTGCAGAAGACTATATATATATATATATATATATATGGTTTATTATATATGTATTGCCTTCAATGTTGTAACATTTTTATTCAGTTGTAGTTTGTAGCCACACAGTTCTTTTGAAGTCTGTTGTGTTTTAAATAATTTTTAATTCTACGAGGTTAATTATATAAATCCTAACTTGAGTATCTTTGTATATATGTATCTCCTTAATGTAATTAAGATATGTCTATATATGTAAACCACTGATCGAGTCCGGGGAGTTGAAAGTTTCAAATCTGGAACTGATTTGATATTGTTTAGGTGAAATTACATTTTGCTACAATAGAGCCAAGTTTGGTTTGTGGACATCGTGATATTTTTTGAAGAAAATAAAAAAACAAATTTTGAGCTTTCAGAAATTTCAATAATTTGAAAATTTATTGCATTTGTATACCTCCAAAAACTTAAAGGTTTGCGCTAAATACCTTTTATCTATGTAATTTAATGATTTTAATTGTGACAAATAAATACCCGTGAGTTCTGTTTCCTGGTCTCCTTGATATTCTCAACTGGGACAGTAAATTGAGACTTGAGAGCCAAGGAACTATATAAACTTGCGCAGCAAGCAAGCAGGAAATCAGATAATAAATACGTAAGATTTGGTAAAAGCAGTTTTCTTTGTTTCAATTTTCAAGGGTAAAAAGAAACAAGTTGTACAAATGACAAAAAACTAAACATGTGAATAATCTTTGAAGCGAAAGAAAAATCATCATTGTGAGTGCCAATAACGCTATGGAAGGTTTAGCGTTAATAGTCAACAAATCATAAGGAAAACTGGAATGTAAATTATGGAAGGTTTGTTTCTTCAAGAAGCTTGCTCCTTTTTGCTGTATGTGCGGTGCAATCTTCTCACAAGGGGCTTTGATTTCCGTGTCCTTCTTTCAAATTATCTCTCACACATAACCTGCACGAATTACATTGTTACTCCGAAAATTCTATGAAACACAAAATATCAGTGAGTCCTCTACATTTTGTTGTTACTGATCTTTATATGATCTTACTGCAATTCCAATCAAATTCTTAGCCTAATGATTATCGCATTCCAGCATGTTCGTACTTTTCATGAATTCAAAGTTTGATACTATGTGCGCTTCTTATATCTGTTTTCCAGCTAACTATAGGATAAGCATTAAACACTAGCATACCTCCCCAGAAACCATATTGAATTGCTTCCACTGATAAACCTACACAAATTAAAAAAAGTATATTCAAGCATGACCTGTATTTATAAAAACTCTCATACACATGCATAGATGAACTACATAAATCAGGAAATTCCAAAAAATAAAACACTATAGAGCAAAAATATAAAACTTTTGCAGCTAGCAAGCAGTAATAAATGAAATAAACTACTACGATTTGCTAAAAGAAAATTTCTGTATTTTTATTTGCAAGGGTAAAATAAAAAATTGTATAAATGACAAAAATATATGTACAATTGTATAAATTTTACAGACATTCCATAAATAAATTATTATGATTATTTTTTCGTTTAAAACCGACTATTCGACAAAAGATCTAAAACCCTAGTTCTATTTTGATATCTTTCTGTATATATAAGTCGTCACATATATGTGTTCACAAAGAAATAAACAAAATTGTTAACACTTAAAGATGGATGCAAGAAACAGAAAACAAAAGCTTATAGCTTCAGACACATCAGATCCCTCTCTCTCGAAGATGGATCGCAGAAAAAAGAAAAAGCAAAAACTCAGCAAATCACAAATAATCGCAAGTCCCTCTCTCTCAAAGGAGGAGTTGCAAGAAGCGATGAAGACGCAAAACGACGCAGCTTTGGCCCTTACGCGTAAAATAGTCATTTCCGAGGCACGTCACTCTAACTTCGTCTTCTCTCCGGCGTCAATCAGCGCCGCGCTCACTATGATGGCTGCTGGTAACGGCTCCGGCTCCGAAGAGCTTAACGCCGTCTACAGCGAGATCGCTACCGTCGTTTTCGCTGACGGCAGTGCCAGTGGTGGCCCCAAAATCTCGGCGGTTAACGGCGTTTGGGTCGAGCAATCACTCCCGCTTGATCATTCGTTGAAAGATCTCTTTGAGAATGTCTTCAAGGCTACTTTCGCTCAAGTTGACTTCAAATCCAAGGTACATCACTCTCCGTTTCTCAGTTTTCTAATTTAACGAGCTACACAGATAACTTGATAATCAATTTTTATGAAAGTTTATATGCATGATCATGCATATAGTTAATATCATCTTGTTCTACTTACTTAGTATTCTTATTTATAATGATTTAAGACTTTTTTAGGGTTTCAGATTCTTATAATATAAATAAACTGCAAAGAAAAACAATCTTACAACATCGTTTGTTCTTGGATGTTTAACTAGAATAAAAAAGTCTTTTAAAAACCTTAAAACCATTTAAGGATCATCTTATATACATTGTTTTAAGAAATTATTTAAATCCATTATTCGAAAAAACCCATTATGAGATCTTTCAAATTAACTAATTGAAATTTAATTATTGACATCTTGTATTATTTTGTAGGCTGAAAAAGTGCGCAAAGAGCTGAATAATTGGGCTTCAGCTCACACAAATGGTCTCATCAGAGATATTCTTCCTCCTGGTTCCGTTAATTCTTTAACCAAACAGGTTTATGGAAACGCATTGTACTTCAAAGGATTCTGGAAAGACAAATTCAACAAGTCTTTGACGAAAGAAGAAGAGTTTCACCTTCTTAAAGGCAAACCGGTACGTGTGCCTTTCATGAGAAGCTACGACAGACAATACATTGGGGTTTACGACGGTTTCAAGGTCCTTGGACTACCATACCGACAAGGCCGTGATGATGATGGTACCAACCGGAAATTCTCAATGTATTTCTATCTTCCGGACAAGAAAGATGGATTGGACAATCTTCTTGAGGAGATGACATCAACTCCTGGATTCTTGGATAGTCACATTCCGAAATACAAAGTTTTAGTTGGCGATTTCAGAATTCCAAAGTTTAAATTCTCCTTCATGTTTGAGGCTTCAAGGGCTTTGGAGGGAGAGGTTTTAGTGGAAATGTACCATAAAGCTCGTGTGGAGATTGATGAAGAAGGGGCTGAAGCTGCGGCTGTCACTTTTTTTGGACAGAAGGTAGGCTTGTCTCTCTTCAAGCCTCCTCCTCCGAAGAGGATAGATTTTGTGGCGGATCATCCATTTCTTTTCTTGATTAGAGAAGACAAAACCGGAACTGTTTTGTTCGCTGGTCAAATCTACGATCCTAGCAAGTAGGTGGTATTTGAGATCATATATCAGGTTTGGCGAAGTGGTAGAGAGGTCGAATGAGTTTCTATTTATTTGCAATAATATGTTTTGATGAAAAACGTCGAGTGTTGGTTTGAGTCTATACCTCGAGGTGGTTTTGGAATTTAATTTTGTTCTGGTTAGGTGTTGAGCTTATATCTTCGTATCGAAGAAGGTTTTGAGACTGGATCATTTTGATTTATGCGATTGGATTTGATGTTTTTCTATTATGATTTCCTTATCAATAAAATTTGATATTTATGTCTTTGGTGGTTCAGTTTTGAAACTACATGTATATCATTATCAGGGAACTTCCAAAAAAATAAAACACTATAAAGCAAAAATATCAAACTTGTGTAGCTAGCTAGCCTAGCAAGCAGGAAATCAAATAAACTAATACGATTTGCTAAAAGCAAATTTCTGTATTTTTATTTGCAAGGATAAAATAAAAAATAGCATAAATGACAAAAAAAAAATGTACAATATTATAAATCTTACTGACATTCAATAAATAAATTATTACGATTCTTTTTCGTTTAAAACCGACTATTCGACAAAAGATCTATATAAGTCGTCACATATATGTGTTCCCAAAGAAATAAACAAAATCGTTAACACTTAAAAGATGGATTCAGAAAACAGAAAACAAAAGCTTAGCAGTGCTTTAGACACAGCAGATGGCTCTCTCTCAAAGATGGATCGAAGGAATAAGAAAAAGCAAAAACTCAGCAAGTCGCAAGTAATCGCAATTCCCTCTCTCTCAAAGGAGTTGCGAGAAGCGATGAAGAAGCAAAACGACGCTGCTTTGGACCTTACGTGTAAAGTAATAGCTTCCGAAGCACGTCACTCTAACTTGGTCCTCTCTCCGGCGTCAATCAGCGCTGCGCTCACAATGATGGCTGCCGAAAAAGGCTCCAGCTCCGACGAGCTTCTCGCGGTCTACAGCGAGATCGCTACAGTCGTTTTTGCCGACGGCAGTGCCAGTGGTGGACCCAAAATCTCCGCGGTTAACGGCGTTTGGGTGGAGCAATCACTGCCGGTTGATCAGTCGTTGAAGGCTCTCTTTGAGAATGTCTTCAAGGCTACTTTCACTCAAGTTGATTTCATATCCAAGGTAAATTTTTCTCTCACTTTTCTACTTACTTAGTATTCTTATTTATAACGTTTTAAGACTTTTTTTTAGGGTTTTCAGATTCTTAATATAAACTGCAAAGAAAAACAATCTTATAACATCGTTTGTTCTTGCTGTTTAACCCTAAAACCAAAACCACTTAAGAGTCATCTTATACTTTGTTAAAAGAAACTCTTTAAATGTATACAAAATTGTTATTTATTGACATATCTTCTTTTTGTTTTGAAGGCTGAGGAAGTGCGCATAGAGCTGAATGAATGGGCTTCAGATCACACCAATGGTCTCATCAAAGATCTTCTTCCTCCTGGATCCGTTGATTCTCGAACCGAAAAGGTTTATGGAAACGCATTGTACTTCAAAGGAGCCTGGAAAGACCAATTCAAAAAGTCTCTCACGAAAGAAAAAGAGTTTCACCTTCTCAACGGCAAACCGGTACGTGTGCCTTTCATGAGAAGCTACGAAAGACAATACATTGGGGTTTACGACGGTTTCAAGGTCCTTGCACTACCGTACCGACAAGGCCGTGATGATGGTACCAACCGGAAGTTCTCAATGTATTTCTATCTTCCGGACAAGAAAGATGGATTGGATAATCTTCTTGAGGAAATGACATCAACTCATGGATTCTTGGATAGTCATATTCCGAGGGACAAAGTGTTAGTTGGCGATTTCAGAATTCCAAAGTTTAAGTTCTCCTTCATGTTTGAGGCTAAAAGGGCTTTAGAGGGAGAGGTTTTAGTGGAAATGTACCATAAAGCTTGTGTCGAGATCGATGAAGAAGGCGCTGAAGCTGCCGCTGTCACTTTTGTGGGAATGAGACCAAGCTGTCCCCGTTTCATGCCTCCTCCGCCGAAGAGGATAGATTTTGTGGCTGATCATCCGTTTCTTTTCTTGATTAGAGAAGACAAAACCGGAACCGTTTTGTTCGCCGGTCAAATCTACGATCCTTGCAGGTAGGTGGTATTTGAGATCAGGTCGTGGTTTAACTAGACTCCGGTTTGGTTTGAGTGTAGGAACCTCGATGTGTTTTTGGATTTAGTTTATTTTTGTTCTGTTTAGGTATTGAATTGATATCGAAGAAGGTTTGGTTCGGACCGGATCATTTATACTCAATAAAATTTGATATTTATGTCTTTGTATGTGGTTCATTTATACATTTGTGAATTCTGATTATGGAGCCGAAATATTCTGAATCCCAAACTCCGATTAAGAGAGACTTCAAAATCAAGAAGCAAGAAAACTTGGGAAACAAGCAATAAATTAAGTAACAAATATTTAAATTTTGTTATCTTTCCTTAATTGGCGCGATACACCAAACCCTAGTTTTATTTTGGACACCTTATATCTTCTATATACATACACTAAAATGTATGCGATTATATGCTCATAAAGGAACAAGCAGAAAACCTAAAAGATGGATCCGGAAGCTAAGAAACAAAAGCTTATCACATCATCAGAAATCGCAAGTCCCCTCTCCCTCAAAGAAGAACAACAAGAAGAGAAGCAAAAGGTTTGTGTGGTCAAAGCGATGAATAAGCAGAACGACGTCGCTATGTTCCTTACGGGGAAAGTAATCTCCGCCGTAGCCAGAAACTCAAACTTCGTCTTCTCTCCGGCATCGATCTTCTCCGTACTAACCATGGTTGCTGCAAGCCCCGTAGTAGAGATATTAAGATCCTTCATCTTCTCCTTACTTAGGGCTTCCTCAATCGATGAGCTCTTCGCCGTTTTCCACGAGGTGGCTACAGTCGTCCTCGCCGACGGAAGCGAGAGCGGTTTAAGTGAATGTGAACACAGGGTGAGCAAGTGGTTAAGGAGGTGAATACGTGGGCTTCACGTCACACCAATAATCTCATGAATAACATTCTTCCTCCAGGATCCGTTAGAAGCGACAGGGACATGATATATGGAAACGCATTGTACTTCAAAGGAGCTTGGGAACACAAGTTCCCAAAATATTTGACAAGAGACAAAGAGTTTCACCTTCTCAATGGTACCTCAGTCTCTGTGCCTTTCATGAGCAATAGTAGGATGCAATACGTAAAGGTTTACGATGATTTCAAGGTCCTTAAACTCCCATTCTGACAAGCCAGCGACATGAATCGCCGGTTCTCAATGTATTTCTATCTTCCGGATGCAAAAGATGGATTGGATAATCTGGTGAAGAGAATGGCATCTACTCCTGGATTCTTGGATAGTCACATTCCAACTCAAGAAGTTGAAGTTGGTAAATTCGGAATCCCAAAGTTTAAGTTGTCTTTCGAGTTTGAGGCTTCAAGGGCTTTCAATGAATTGAAAGTGGATGCGGCGGTTTCATTGTACCATAAAGTTTTGATCGAGATCGATGAAGATGGTGCAGAAGCTGTGTCTATTGTTAAATTAGTATCACATGGAAGTTTGTATGGCTGCGCTAGACCGATTGATTTTGTGGCTGATCATCCGTTTCTTTTTTTGATTAGAGAAGACAAAACTGGAACTGTTTTGTTTGTTGGTCAAATATTTGATCCTTCCAAGTCTTCTTAATAGGATTCAGTTTGATTATTATTTTAGATTTTCTTTAGGTCAAAACTACATCTTGCTAAATTAGAGCCGATATTGGTTCGTACGTGCCTGTTGATTTATTATATTGCTCTACAAACAAGTCTTGAACAGATGACATCGTGAAAATCAAAACAAATTTTGAGATTTCAGAATTTTCAACAACTTGGGGCTTTTATTGTAGTTTTATTTTATACGTCCAAAAGATTAAAGGCTTGCGCTACATAATATTTATGTATTTAATTAAATTTAATGATTTCAAATGTGAAAAATAAACATCTGTGAATTGAATCTGTTTTTTTTGGTCTTGAGAATCAAGGAGATAACACAAACTTGTGCAGCAAGCAAACAGGAAATCAGATAACTAATTGGTAAGTGCTCTGAGGAAGTGCGTATAGAACTGAATGAATGGGCTTCAGATCACACCAATGGTCTCATCAAAGATATTCTTCCTCCTGGATCCGTTGATTCTGGAACCGAAAAGGTTTATGGAAACGCATTGTACTTCAAAGGAGCCTGGAAAGACCCATTCAAAAAGTCTTTGACGAAAGTAAAAAAGTTTCACCTTCTTGAAGGCAAACCCGTACGTGTGCCTTTCATGAGAAGCTACGACAGTCAATACATTGAGGTTTACGACGGTTTCAAGGTCCTTGCACTACCATACCGACAAGGCCCTGATGATGGTATCAACCGGAAATTCTCAATGTATTTCTATCTTCCGGACAAGAAAGATGGTTTGGACAATCTTCTTGAGGAAATGACATCAACTCCTGGATTCTTGGATCGTCATATTCCAAAAGACACAGTTGAAGTTGGTGATTTCAGAATCCCAAAGTTTAGGTTCTCTTTCATGTTTGAGGCTTCAAGGGCTTTGGAGGGAGATGTTTTAACGAAAATGTACCATAAAGCTTGTGTCGAGATCGATGAAGAAGGCGCTGAAGCTGCTGCTGTCACTTTTATGGAATTGGGAGGCATCTTTTTCGAGCCCCCTCCTCCAAAAAAGATAGATTTTGTGGCTGATCATCCATTTCTTTTCTTGATTAGAGAAGACATAACCGGAACCGTTTTGTTCTCTGGTCAAATCTACGATTCTAGCAGTTAGGACGTGGTATTCAGGATCATATCAGGTTTAACCGGATTCCGGTTTCTTGACTTGGTAGTGAGCATGCCGAATGCTTTCCTAATTAAGACGATTTTGTTCAGGCCGGATCATTGTGGTTTCATTCGGTTGGATTTGATGTTTTTCTATTATGAATTTCTGATTAATAGAATTTGACATTTTATGTCATTAGTGGTTCATAATTTTTATATTTTTGCTCAAATCTAAACCAGATTGACTAAAATTTGTGTTGGAATTTGCTAACAAGGTACAGTTTAAGCCAGCAAGCCACTTTGCTTGTGTAACAAGCCACTTTGAGAATTCTTAGTTACGATGACATTTTTCCAAAAACCGATGGGTTATTGACAAATTTGAAATTAGCTTTTGATTTATTGGTGATGAATTTGAAATTAGTTCTCATTCGGGTTTGAGACGTCCAAGGAGTTCAATTTGGGGTTTGATGTGGTGGATTTGTACCATAAAGCTTGTGTTGAGGTTGATGAAGAAGGTGCTGAAGCTGCTGCTGCGACTGCTCTTGTTTTTAGCTTTGTGGCTGACCATCCGTTTCTGTTTCTGATTAGAGAAGAGAGAACCGGAGCCGTTTTGTTTGTTGGTCAGATGTGTGATCCTTCACTATCTACTTAGTTCGGTTTGATCATTTTTTATTCCATTATTGGGGTTTAGTGTGAGTTTTTTTGTTTGTTTTCAGTCTTGTTGAATTTATGGTTTCATAGATTGAGATATTGGTACTGATGTTTAGTTGTTTGGTAAATGCTTCAATGTTCTTAAAATCGTATCGGAAAATAAACCGGTTTATTATTGTACAAGAAGTAACTTCATTTTGTACAAGAATTTGGTTCATTTTAACTTCATTTGATCTTGTAATTTGTTGTTTAAGAAGTAAAAGAATTTGCTTATATTGCATCTAGCTGTGGGTTTGGCCTATGGTTAGACAATAGACACTGAACTATTGAAGTGTGATGAGTACTTAAACCAAACCCGAACGAGGATCAATTGAGTAAATTAAGGATCACGGTTTTTCTAGCTAAACCGTTTCAAATCGAACTTTAAACCGGTTTGTTATTACTTTCAAATGATCCGACGCATTTGTTCATCTGTGGCGAAGCAAATCAAAGGTCGAAAACAAATTCCATTTTCTGGAGCTGCAAACCAGTAAGCTCTTTCACTTCATCTTCATCTTCTTCGTCTTCGTCTTCGTCTTCGTCACAATGTTTAATTGGGGTGGAAACTTTATCCATATAGGCGTGTTGTAGTTTTGCTGAAGGTGGGAATGTATTCATTTTTCTTTACCTCGAAAATAGTTTCTCTGTCTCTGTGTGCGATGCAACGATGGTGATTCCTTTGTAATTGTGTTAACATTTTGGGATTCATGAGTTTTGTTTAAAGTTTCAAATTTTGGATTGGATGGTTTCATTTCTCTGTTTTTTGGGACTGTATTGTTAATGCCCATAAGGTGTTCGTTAAATTGCCTGCCTAAGAATTTTGGAGTTAGTATCAGTTTTGCATAAAAGAAATGACTTGTAAAGAGGCTTGATGGGATCGTTTCACTCCAAATCTCTAAACTTTTCAGTGTTGCAGTTATCAAACTTGTGCATTTACTTGGATATGTTTGTTTACAGTTTTAGAGGATAAAGATCTGTGCTTTACCATTGTTTTCAGCTAATGATTATGTACTTTGCATTTGTAGATTACCTACTTGGCTATTCAAGAAAGGTTACAACATATGAATCTTCATGGCATATGCAACAGGAATGCCGCTTGCTTCTAGGACTATCTTGCCTTTTTGTTCAAGAACCTTCTTATCTCCTTTACGTGTGGCTTCTTTACTCGTTTCTCCTGAGAAATCCTCCTCCACTTTCTTCAGAAGGGTCCATGTTCATCAACTTTTCTCCACTTCCACTACAACAACTCGTCTCTTCTCCTCTGTTAACTGCTCAATTCAATCTACTTCCACACTTGAGGCAGAAAGTCAAGCTCTTTCTCGCCCTAACGTAGTCGATATTCTTGAAGAAAGAGGACTACTAGAGTCAATCACCAGCGAGAAGCTCAGGTCTGCTTGCTCTGATCCCAACGTAGCTCCTCTAAAAGTCTACTGTGGGTTTGATCCAACGGCTGAGAGTTTACACTTAGGTAATCTCCTTGGTATCATTGTGCTTTCTTGGTTCCAAAGATGTGGACATCAAGCCGTTGGTTTGATCGGTGGTGCCACAGGACGTGTTGGTGACCCGTCTGGTAAAAGTCTAGAAAGACCTGAGCTTGACGCCGATACACTGGAGAAGAACATTTCAGGGATTCAAAACATCATCGTCAAGATTCTTGGTGGCAATCATGTGATTCTTGATAACTATGACTGGTGGAAAGATGTGAAAATGCTCGACTTTTTGAAAGATGTCGGCCGGTTTGCTAGGGTTAGCTCTATGATGGCGAAGGAGAGTGTGAAGAAGAGGTTAGAATCAGAGCAAGGTATGAGCTACACAGAGTTCACTTACCAGTTACTGCAAGGATATGATTTTGTTCACCTGTTCAAGAACGAAGGGGTCAATGTTCAGATAGGTGGGAGTGATCAGTGGGGGAATATAACAGCTGGAACAGAGTTGATCCGGAAGATTCTCCAAACGGAAGAAGCGGCTTATGGACTAACGTTTCCTCTCTTATTGAAAAACGATGGGACTAAGTTTGGAAAATCTGAAGATGGAGCAATCTGGTTAGCTTCTTCGATGTTATCTCCTTATAAGTTCTATCAGTACTTCTTCTCTGTTCCAGACGTTGATGTGATACGCTTCTTGAAGAGTCTGACTTTTCTGAGCTTGGATGAGATCAAGATCTTGGAAGATCAGATGGGGAAGCAAGGGTACGTTCCTAACACCGCGCAGATGAAACTTGCTGAGGAAGTAACACGGTTTGTACATGGAGAGGAAGGTTTGAAGGAAGCTGTTAAAGCAACAGAAGCTTTAAGACCAGGAGCTGAGATGAAACTTGATTGGAACTTGATTGAGAGAATTGCAGAGGATATACCTTCTTGCTTACTGCCTATTGATCGAGTCTTGAGGTTTTCGATTGTGGATGTATCGGTTTCTGCTGGTTTGTTTGAGAGCAAATCTGCTGCGAGGAGGATGTTGAAGCAAGGTGGGTTTTATATGAACAATGAGAGAGTTGATGATGAGAATAAGAGAGTTGGAGATGAAGATATTGTTGAAGGGAAAGGTCTTGTTCTCTCTGCGGGCAAGAAGAATAAAGTGGTCGTTAGAATTTCATGAATTTGAAATTTTGTAATAACAAATTTTTATACAGAAATTAAGAAGTATCCGAAAATAAACCGGTATGCGTATCAAATCATACCGGTCAAATTTTGAATTGGCTTTGAGCATTTCTTTTGTCGTTAGTCTTGTTGAACTTATTGAGAGGTCACATACTCACAAGTTAATGAGTGTACTCTGCCTTTTGTCTTGTTGTCTTGTTTCGCTTACACGACAAGTCTGTTTTGAATTTCCCACATAAACTCATAGGTCAAAACTTATTAACTTGGTTACCACTCAATTTCATACAGAAAATAAAGGTTATGTTAGCTTGGTTAGGATTCTTTGGATACTCTTTTACCACAAAAATGGTTGAAACCATTTATTTTTCATTTTGGACACATTGGTTGTAATTATTTTGGAAATCATACTACAAAACAAAAATATTATCCGGTTGTCACATATCTCGTATATTTGTTACATATCTCGTACATGAGGTTCCACGTTCTCAAATGCTTAGCACGACCTTTTTTATTTATTGTTTCTTCGTTTCTTATTTTGAGACAAGAATCACATGATTCACATGGAGAGATCACACTCAATATCAAAAAGATCTTTAAGCTAAAGAGTAGCACGAGCTGCACGATGCAAAATTAGATATTGATTTTTTTTAATTCGATACAGGTAATGATTTTAATTCATGATGCAACGTATATCCATACAAAAGGATAAACAAATGGATGCAAATGAAACATGATCCGGCGACTATTTATTTTTTAATTATTCCCGAAACAAATCCATAGTCCTATTTAAACATGAGATGGTTTACTTGTCACTCATCATCTTCTCCTCTGTCTCGCATTTGCTTAAGCTTGTCCAGAGATTGCTCGACCGTAAGTAAGTTCATCTCTCATCTTAATATCTTGTTATTATTTCAACTTCAATATTGTTTAGAATCTAGAAAGTTCATCAAGCATCCAAGCTAGCATATTTAAAACAAAACAAAAATAAATCTCATACTTTGCATGATAAGTACGTATCCAAATAATTGTTTTGTACACGGTTGTGAGACAAAGTTTTCATTTTGATGATACATACTTTTTATATAGATTCTACTTGGATTCGGTAAGATTTAATGCATCAAACCAATATATCGTTGTAGGAATTTCTGTAAAGATGAATAAGGGTGAAGCATCAAGGCAAGCCGAAAACATTGTCTTAGTGGGCCGTACGGGGAATGGGAAGAGCGCCACGGGGAACAGCCTCATTGGAAAGAACGTATTTGAGTCGTCAGAAGCAAAAGCAAAATGTCAGACACATGGAGCTGTCATAGGAGATAATCACACAATCAATGTGATTGATACTCCAGGTAACATAGTTACACTTTGTCAATGCATTTGTTTGTATATATGGCCTTGAGTATACTGTATGTGCTAAATGTTGGTTTGGGGTACGTACAGGTCTGTCCGACTTGAGTGTATCCGCTGAGTTTATGAGTAGAGAAATCGTTAGATGCCTAACTCTAGCGGAAGGAGGGATCCACGCTGTGGTCTTAGTTCTATCTGCAAGGACTCCGATTACGGTAGAGGAATTGAGCACACTTGGAATCATGCATGCTCTATTTGGGAGTGAGATCGCTGTTTATGTTATCGTCGTTTTCACCGGCGGCGATGTGCTGGAAGAGTAGGGTGTGACACTAGACGAGTTCTTGGGTAGAGAAGACTGTCCTCCCTTCGTAAAGGTAGGTTGGTTCTTGGAAGAACATTATGATATTTAGGGTTTTACATTCTCATATAAGTTAATTTTTTTGAAATGTAGGACGTTTTGAAGCTGTCTGGTAACCGAATGGTTCTGTTCGACAACAAAACTCATGATGAAGGCAAGAGGGCTGAGCAAGTCAATAAGCTTCTCTCTCTGGTAGATGAAATCAAAAAGAACAACAATGGACAGTCATATACCGATGACATGTACAATGAGATAAAGGTAAAGATTTATGTTTCAGCTCTTGCCCTAAAATTTGTTCCTTCTTCCCTCGAGAATATTTGTATAGATATAATCCTATCTGTGAACTATCTCAGCAACATACCGACAAACTAAGCAAGGAGCTTGAGGAGCTTGAAGCAAAGAAGCATCCAGCCGAGTTGGAATCAGAGTTGAAAGATAAGTTGCATGCATCGTTTGAAGAGAGTATGACCCTTATGTCTAACGCGGTACGTAAGAACTTAGTTTATAATCTAGATAGTTAACTAGTTGTAAATTGTTATTTGCTGTATGCTAAATAGCCTCTTGATCTTTCGCTAAGGTGGAGAAGAAGCTGAAAGCTGCTGTGCAGGCGCAAGAGATTCTTTCGCCGGGAACTACACTAAGTTTGCTAGAAGACATGGTTGATTATGCCCGTAGGAATCCCATTCCTACTCCACGGAGAAGGACAGGTTGGGAAGGCGTGGGGGACTCTCTCAGTTCTTGCAGCATCCAGTGAACAATGTGCCTAATAAATATCAGTATCAGAAAAAGATACTGGGTTGCTATGTGATTCGACTGAAGAGAATCTTTTCTTCTAAATTTCATTTTATTTTTGTTTTTTTTTCTTCAAAATTCTGCTTTATGTTTTTCCATTTTGCACCTCAGAGTTCATGCTTTATGTTTTTTTTGTATGAGTGTATGGCCACATATACGTACACTTTTTATTAATGGATCTTCTTATTGCTTTGCACTTTTCATGTCTTTTATACATTTTGTCCTTTTGCCAAATATACTGATAAAACATAAAAACTCCGAGGTAATATCCATTTATTTATCATAAAATGTTTTTTTAATTAAATGTGATCAATTCATTGAAAGAAATAAATATCAATATTTCAAAAACGCAGAAACACTGAAACCGAATGAAACAAATTTGATTATGTTGATCAATTCTGAAAATTCACAGAACTTAAATATCTCAATATTTGGAAAATTATTCTGACTATCTTTTTATATATATATATATAAAGTTGTAATATGACTATCTTAAAACATTAAAAATTGATATCCTGTTCAAAAATGAAAACTAAATATTGATAAATCTCAGATTAATTTGGTCTATGCATTTATCTCTTGGGAGATTGGGGTCAATAGGCTGATTAAATCATGATCAGTATGCTTTAATTACACGAATAATCAACATTTAAATCAGAAATCAGAAACTCTAGACAGGAATTGAAGTTGCCGAAGGAGAGGACTAGGGATATCTCGTACATGAGGTTCCACGTTCACCAATACTTCGCACGACCACAACATAGTCCAAACGGGAGAAGGGATCAAGCGTAATCAAACACGATCTTTTTTTTATTGTTTCTTTGTTTTTTTTTTTAACTAATCAAACACGACCTTGAGACAAGAATCACATCAATGAAAGATCACACTCAATATCAAAAAGATCTTTAAGCCAAAAAGAGTAGCACCAGCTGCACGATGCAAAATTTAATATTGAGTATCTAATTGGACATTAGTAATGATGCAAAAATTAGTGTAACATGATCAGGCGACTATTTTTTTTTTTTTTAATTATTCCCGGAAAAAAAAACCTGTGTCCTATTTAAACATGAGATAGTTTACTTATCAAATATTCTTATACTGTAAAGTCTGTAATCTCTTTGTTGGCTCATCATCTTTTCATCTGTCTCGCATTTTCTTTAGCTTGTCCAGAGATTGTTCAACCTTTAGTAAATTCATCTCTCATCTTAATATCTTGTAAATTCAATCCCTAACCTACTTAGTGAGTTCACTGATGCTCATGTGATATCGGGAGATATGGGATGAGGAAGCTTCATGTGAGGAAAACGCTCTCTCCTTGCAGCATCCAATGAACAATTTCTTCTATGTAACAAAAGATGTGCCTAATAAATATCATTGAATCTTCTTATTGCAACTATCTATTTATTAGGCACGGCTTTTGTTACATACAAGACATTGTTCATTGGATGCTGCAAGGAGAAAGCGTTTTCCTCACCGTTCCCCATCCTGTATCTCCCGATCTCACATGAGCGTGTCTACGGCATGTCTCTTGCTCCTGCGCTTGCACAGCAGCTTTCAGCTTTAAACTATGTTGTTTCTTTTGTATTTATGTTTGTTTGCATGAGTGTACGGTCACATATACTTTTGATTTAAGGATCTTCTTATTGCACCTATCTATTTATTAGTTTACATTTTTCATGTCTTTTATACATTATGTCCTTTTTTCCAAATATACAGAGAATAACATTACAATTCGAGGTAATATCCATTAAAAATCGTATTTATCATAAAATGTGTTTTTTAGAATGTGAAATTCATTGAAAGAAATAAATATAAATATTTACAAAATTTGGAAGTAGACGGCATAGCTCAAAACAATTTAAAAAACGCAGAAACACTAAAACAGAATGAAACAAATTGATGATGTTTTTTTTTTAGTACCCAATTGATAAATCAGGCTTAAACGGGATCAAAAACCAAATTATATGTGTTTGTAGGTTTATTAGGAGACACGAATTAGAAACAGCACTGAGAGAGTATAATATGGGAGATGATCTCATGATCAAGTGTAATCTAACATAATTTTTTTTTCTTTTTTTTAAAACTGATCTTGAGACAAGAATTATTGTTTACATAAATGAAAGATCTGTCAAGAACAAAAAGATCTTTAAGCCAAAATGGGTACCACGACAACCACATTTTATAGTTAATGCTCAACCACATTTAATAGTTAATGCTTTTTTATAATGAAAAATTTAATTTGACACTAATAAATGATTTTAATTCACGATGCAGCGCATCCATACAAAAAGATAACCAAGTTAGATGCATGATCCGGACCTTACTTATTTTTTTAATTGATTCCCAAAAAAATCGAGAGTCCTATTTAAACATGAGATGGTTATTTCTACTTGTCAAACATTAATAATCTCTTTGCTTGCTTTTCATCTTCTCCTCTATCTCGCTTTTGCTTAAGGTTGTGGAGAGATTTTTTTTTCCACTTTAGGGTAAGTTCATCTCATCTTAATATCTTGTTATTATAATTTTACTTTAATATTGTTTAGAATCTAGAGAGCTCATAGAGCATGCAAGGAGACTTAAGAGATTGGTTTTGTTGGACAAGTTTTCATTTTTTGTTTTGTTTTTATTAAGTATATTTTTACTTGGACACGCTAAGATTGAACAGTTATGCATCAAACAATCGTTGCAGGAATTCTGTAAAAGATGGATAAGGGTGAAGCAACAAAGCAAGCCGAAAACATAGTCTTAGTTGGTCGTACAGGGAATGGGAAAAGCGCCACGGGGAACAGCATCATTGGACAAAAACTTTCTGAGTCAGAAGCACATGCAACTGGTATTAATACCACAAAATGTCAGAAGCATGGAGCTGTCGCCAGAGATAATCACACAATCAACGTGATTGATACTCCAGGTACATGGTTAGATTTGGATGCCTGGTTTTGTCAATGCATGGCCTTGAATATATGTGCTTAATGTGGGTTTTGGGTACGTACAGGTCTGTCTGACTTGAGTGTATCCGCTGAATTTATAAGTAGAGAAATTGTTAGATGCCTAACTCTAGCGGAAGGAGGGATACACGCTGTGGTCTTAGTTCTATCTGCAAGGACTCAGATTACGCAAGAGGAAGAGAGCACACTTGGAATCTTACATGCTCTCTTTGGGAGTGAGATCGCTGCTTATGTTATTGTCGTTTTCACCGGCGGTGATGTGCTGGAAGAGGAGGGTGTGACACTAGACGAGTTCTTGGGTAGAGAAGATTGTCCTCCCTTTGTAAAGGTAGGGTGGTTCTTTCACTTCTTTGAACATTATGATATTCTTGAGATGCAAGGTAGGTTGGTTTTTTTTTTAGGGTTTAAATTCTCATATAAGTTAAAAAAAAATTGAAATGAAGGAAGTTTTGAAGTTGTCTGGTAACCGAATGGTTCTGTTCGACAACAAAACTCATGATGAAGGCAAGAAGGCTGAGCAAATCAATAAGCTTCTCTCTCTAGTAGATGAAATCAAAAGGAACAACCATGGACAGTCATATACCGATGACATGTACAATGAGATCAAGGTAAAGATTTTTGTTTCATCTCTTGCCTTAAAATTTGTTTGTTCCCTCGAGAATATTATTGCATAGATATAATCCTTTATGTGAGTACTATCTCAGGAACATAGCGAAAAACTACACAAGGAGATTGAGGAGCTTAAAGCAAAGAACCATCCAGCTGATTTGGAATCAGAGTTGAAAGAGAAGTTGCATGCATCGTTTGAAGAGAGTATGAGCCTTATGTCTAACGCGGTACGTAAGAAAATAATATATAATCGGTTGTAAATTGTTATTTGCTGTATGCTGAATAGCCTCTTGATCTTTCGCTAAGGTGGAGAAGAAGCTGAAAGCTGCTGTGCAGGCGCAGGAGCAAGAGACAGGCCGTAAAAACGCTCAATTGAGTTCGGGAAAAGAAAAAGGTGTTGTGGAATCGCTTAACGTAGTAGAGAAGCTGATTCCTATTATAACCAAACATATCACTTTCGACAAAGCAATGGAAGTGGCTGGCAAACTTTCTCCTGGTGTTACTGTTTGCAGCATCCAATGAACAATATCTTCTATGTAATAAAAGTTGTATCAAAAAAAGATATTGGGTTGCTATATGTGATACGATTTAGGAGAATCTTTTCTTCCAAATTTAAATATTTTTTGTTTTTGTTTCAAAATTATGCTTTCTGTTTTCCATTTTGCACCTCAGAGTACATGTATGACATCGTCAAGATAAACTTCGGGACGACCTAGAAGGAATTTTCCACCCGAAGAACCTTGGACGCAAGTCGTGCACTACATTGCAATAACAAGTATTCAATTTTTTCAAAATGTTTGAAAACTCAGCAGGTGTTAAATCATCTCAATAAACATAAAAATTTGATAAATCTCAGATTAATTGGGTCTATACATTAATCTCTTGGGAGATTGGGGTCAATAGCATGATCAATGTGCTTTTGTTACACGAATAATTAACATTTCTTTACAAATCAGAAACTCTGGAGAGGAATTGAAGTTGCCGGAGGAGAGGACTAAGAGTCTCCATGAGCTTCTCACAAGGATGATTATGAACACCTTCATAGGTTGTTACGACGACGTTTGGATCTTTTGCCAATCTTTGCACTTGTTTCTTCACGTTGCATGTATGGTACGTACATCTGTAATAGCTTCTGCAAAAAAAAAAATTGTCGCAAAATCAAAAGAATGATATATCAATCCATATCTGATATTGCGTTTAGCAAAATGAAACAAACAGATCCAATTGTTCCGTTTTACCTGTTGTTAAAAATATGACACAATAATGATCGATTAAAATCATATTTTTGGTTATCTCTATATACCAATATTATTTTGGACATTTTGATTCAGGGATCGGTTTGGATAAACCAAACCGAAATAAACACCCTTCCAAGACAATAACGTAAAGCACCAGGACAAACACGTTTTGACTCACATATCGTTTAGGTTGTTAAACTAATGTTTCCAACCAAGATGTACACGTGACAAAAAAGTGTGTGCATAAATATTCTTAGGTCAATTTGTCAAAATCTACTTTGTCGATGTCATACTTTCATATAAAAATACATTAATAAATGTTTTAAATGTAAGTTAAAAAAGAACCTGGGATGAGCATTGTTCTTGACAGATTTCTGACCGTACTTTCGCCACCGATAACCATCATCAAGAATATCATCATCACTCTTCGTATGAAAAGCAATCCTCTGCATCGCCGACGATCTCTTCCCTTTCCCTTTATTTTTCTTACTATGATCGCTATTGTTACTATTACTCAGTAATCCTCCCATCTCCACCGCGTCTCCTCCTCCTCCACCTTGAAAGTTCTCCGGCTGAGCACTCGCCAGAGAACAATAAGAAGAAGAAGATGGACCAACATCGCTAGAAAACATTAACGAAGGAGCCATCATCATTAAAGCTTTGTCGTCAAAGGAAGAAAAAGGGTTGTTTTCGCCTTCTTCTAGTGTCAACACCGGGTTTGTGTCGTCGACCCCTTCCATTGTTAATTTATAAAGCTTCCGTATAGCTTGTCTAGATAGATATATCTCTCTCTCGAACACTATATGTTTGTATCTTTTATGTGTTATATATATGTATGTGCATATGAAGAAGAAGGAGAAGAGAATAAGAAAGGTTATAAGGATATTTGTATATGGAAGCAAGAAGAAGAATGAGTAAAAGGGTAATAACATTGAGGCCAACTATATTCACCTAACTTTCTGTTCAACTGCCTATTTCCTCCTCCTTTTCCTAGCTATATATCTCTTACAACGTTTTTTGGATTTATTAATATAATTATTTAGAATCATATAGTATTAAGATACGGGTAGTTCTCTTAATATATATCCTAATATGTATGTAATATGCCCATTTAATTTAATTGAAATCGAAATGAAGTAGTTTTGTCTCAAGGAAATACAATGTACTTGACTTTTGACAACAATGGTATATACTGAATATTAAACTTTTATACGAAAGCAATAATAAAAGATGTATTTGAAGTTAAAGTTTTTTGTGTAAATGTAATTGTTATTTAAAATTCTAACTTGAAATGATATAATGGTTATTTATAATTTTAACTTTATGTGAAAGACTATATATATATATATATATATACCCATTTGCCCATATGCATGTCTCCATATGCCCATACATCTAATGATATTTGTCAAAGTTCTCGTTGATGTAATTTTCCCATGACAAATGGAATGTTTGGTAAAGGCTTTAAGTGCTAGCTTATAAATTTCTATGAATTTCAAATGCACCACTTTTCTTTCATTTCACATGTTTGGCTAATTATAGTATGTGTGAAAATTGAGTTATGATGAAAATTGTTATTAATTTGTAGTTTTTGATTATTTATCGATGTATATCGTACATTAGGAACCATGAAGTGGCCTAAAGTGTTGGGCATTAAATACGGATAAACGAACTTAAGCAAATTATTGTAGTTGTGGGTTGTTAAGAATCTCATTTGACCGGTCGAATAATTCCAAACAGGATTAGCATTTCTACCATTGCAAACTCAACCATGCACGTGGAAGCTTCTCATCTTTATGAACTATAATCTATACAATAAATCAAATGCTAATAGATCTCATCTACCTATCATAATCAAATGCTAATAATTCAATCATTTGTATTTGTTTCTTTTTGTAATAAAACGTATAATTTCCGGTTCAAAAAAAACAAAAAAAGATACAACCGTAATGAATTTTACAAATTTGGATTCTATACTTTGATTAACAGCTAAAGTAAAAATGTGGATTATATATATGCAAGGAATCATGGTTTACTCAATAGATTAAATTTTCACAAGTAGAAGTTCGGTGAAAAGACTCATGAACTACATGCCGGTTTCATATGCCTAAAACGGCACACAGTTTACTTACACTGTTACACGTGTCAAACTAAATGCGCAGCTTGTTAAAACTTCACGCGCCACTCTCTCTAAAATTCAAAAAAAATCAAAAAAAATTTGTAAGCAGAAAAAATCTCTGGAAATGGAGGAAAACTCAGGACTATCATCAATGAAGTTCTTCTCCGATCAACACCTCTCTTACGCTGATATTCTTCCTCCTCACGAAGTAAGTTTCGCTGCCGATTCATCAGAATTCGCCATCTCCTTCCCTTTTTTTTTCTCTCTTTGTCGAATCTCGTGGTTCCGATTGAAAATTGAAGATCGTTGTTTACAGGCGCGAGCTAGAATCGAAGTCTCCGTTCTCAATCTCCTCCGAGTTTTGAATTCTCCAGATCCAGCCATCTCCGATCTCTCCCTGGTACTGTTAATTTTCCGGCAACTAATAATCTCCTGAATCAAATTTCTTAGATCTCCGATATTTTCTGGGTTTTGTGATGATTCGATAGAAAATTGAAAACAGATTAATAGGAAGAGAAGCAATAGCTGTATAAACCAAGGGATTCTCACAGATGTTTCATACATATTCCTCTCTGCGTCGTTTACTAAGAGCTCACTGACGAATGCAAAAACAGCTAAAGCTTTTGTGCGCGGTAATCTCTCTCATCGTCTCTCTCTATTCATTGATTGAAAATCTGAGATCAATTTCAGTGATCGATTATGCTTCGTTTTGTGTTCAAAACAGTGTGGAAAGTTATGGAGATTTGCTTTCAGATTCTGCTTCAAGAGAAAAGAGTGACACAGAGAGAGCTGTTCTACAAATTGCTTTGTGATTCACCGGATTTGTTTTCATCTCAGATTGAAGTTAACAGAGCCGTTCAAGGTCAATTCCAAATTCACAAAATCATGCTTCGTTTTAACGAGATCTTAACATGATGCATATTGATTTTGCTTTAAACTTGTTTTTATACAGATGTTGTAGCACTTTTGCGTTGCAGTAGATACAGTCTTGGGATTATGGCTTCAAGCAGAGGCCTTGTTGCTGGAAGATTGTTTCTACAAGTGAGTCATTTTATCAATCTCTTTGCTTATCTAGTCTTTATGTTTCTAGCTAACATTGTAATCTCTGACTTTGACTCAGGAACCAGATAAGGAAGTTGTGGATTGTTCAGCCTGTGGTTCTTCAGGATTTGCTATATCTGGAGACTTGAATTTGCTAGACAACACCATCATGAGAAGCGATGCTCGTTACATCATTGTTGTGGAGAAGGTATGTTCTTGATCCAATCATGGACCTAATATGACATAACGTAATCGTTCATGTAAGTCACTCCTAAGATCTGTTTTTCAGCATGCGATATTTCATAGGCTTGTGGAAGATCGTGTGTTCAATCACATTCCTTGTGTGTTCATCACTGCAAAAGGGTATCCGGATATTGCCACAAGGTCAGTTCTTTAACTCAGATTACAGAAACCATGTCTGCAATGTAGTCATTGATATTGAGTAGCTTGGAAGTTGAATCTTGTGTAGATTTTTTCTTCATCGGATGAGCACAACTTTTCCTGATGTACCAATTCTTGCTCTAGTAGACTGGTAAGCATAAATATACATCCTGCTCTATTGTTTAGATTATAGTTTAGTTCACAACTGAGAGAGATCTATTAAAAAATTGCTAAAAGGAATCCAGCTGGGTTAGCTATACTATGCACCTTCAAGTTTGGAAGCATAGGGATGGGTCTTGAAGCTTACAGATATGGTAAAAAGACTCACTGTTTGCTTAAGATCATCTCAAAAAGTAACTGAAATGATAGTTTTTGCTTTGTTCTTAGCTTGCAATGTGAAGTGGATTGGGCTCCGAGGAGATGATCTGAATCTCATACCAGAAGAGTCTTTGGTTCCCTTAAAGCCAAAGGACTCACAGATTGCAAAGAGCTTATTGTCCTCCAAAATCTTGCAGGTAAGTAATTATACGTTATAAGCAGGATCAGTAGTAAATTTGTTGATTGAAATTGTAATATTCAAAACCATAATCTAACGATTTTGATTTTTGCTTCTGGCCAGGAAAATTACAGAGACGAGTTGTCACTGATGGTTGAAACTGGCAAGAGAGCCGAAATTGAAGCTCTGTATTGCCATGGCTATGATTATCTGAGGAAATATATAGCCACAAAGATCGTGCAGGGCAAATACATTTAACACTAACATGTAACAATTTCTACTTAAACCATTTAATATGTGCTTGTTTTATATCAAAGAGATTAATAGCTTATTATGGTGAAGTTTTAGGCAAACTCTCATTGGAATGTATGAATAGATTACAAACACATCAAAACTTCCAAATTAAAGGATGATATTTGTTATACATATGATTGGCACCGTGATGGATCAGTAACAAAATTTTGCCCTAATCTCCACTGTCCTATGCAGGTATAATGATAATTCCAACAAAAATTTGTCTTCACTTCTTTCTTGATACGAGACTGATCTTCTTTCCCGCCACAACAAACTTCCCACTTCCCTCCAGCTGTAACAAGGAGGTTACAACAACATTATCAGTAAAAATGACATCTTTTACCTTTCTATAATGATAAAAATGAGAAATCTTCAAATAAAAATGATCTAGTTTCACTAAACTCGCCATCAAGAAGTAAAAGGATGATGGAAATGGAATAAGGTAAGCTAAGATCTTGTATTTACCTTAAGTTTCAAGTAAGCAATAGCCTCTTTGGTTGAAGAGAACTCTGAGAGAACTGACGGTGCTTTTTCATCAATTAGAGATTTAAGCTGTTTCAGCTTCATGGATCCACCACTACCAGCTTCCTGAGAATGTTTTTGCACATTTACAATTTGGTGAGAGATGCTATAGACGAAGACAAAGACTGTTCAAAGCAAAAACTGACAACGTACCTTTTTAAGAATCTGCTTGCAGAGGTTCTTTAACTTGATTTTAGGTTCAACGATTTCATCGTGCTTCCTTTTTGCTGGGAGAGAAGTTTTGACAACAGTAACAGAGTTGTCTTCACTCTCTTCCTCTTCCTCTTCTTCTTCTTCTTCTTCGTCATCATCATCACTGTTGTCAAAAGCTGTCTTCTTCCCTTCGTAACGAACACCAGCTATTTTCTTTGGTCTGTCTTTGATACCCAGACCTTGTTTTCCAGCAGTGGCTTTATCCTGAAGACATTTCACGGCGTTAAGATTACTAGATCCTAACCTCTTTTCCAAGAACAGCTTGCAAAGAAGAGTTGGGGAGGAACACAAAACACACATACCTGAACCATGTTGTAAAGATTCTCTTGATCGTTCTCACTAAACATTTTTCTCTCATTAGCCTCAGATGATTTCTTTTTGCCAGACTTGGCTCCAAGAAGACCTCCAGAGACAAACCCAGATTTAAATCCCCACCAGTCTGCAGACGGTTCTTCTATTTTCTCTTCTGTTCATTCCAAAAGATCCCATAAATTTTCAGCGCAAAAGAACAAAAACAGCTCAAAGTCACACCATTTTCAAGATTAAGGACATATAAATCACCTTTAGCACTATCATCTTGGTCCTCAGATATAATTTCAATCTCCATAGTCTCAGCTATGTCGCAAACCTCAGGAGAAGGTTCCTCGGTTCTCTTAACCTACAAAATAGTAAAATACGACTATCACATCCATAATGGTGATTGCAGAGAAAATCCTTCATAACTTCTACATATTAATGCTAATTGACATGAATCTTGGTCAAGAGCGGATAAAACAAGGAGAGGACTGATTGGAAAGCAAGCTTACCAATATTCCTTCAAGATCTTTAGACGAGTATGAATTGACACGCTTCCCTTTCTCTCTACGTTGATACCTAAACCCCATGAAAAAAACTCAAAAACTCAACACATCATGCAATACATATTTGCTAGAGAGAGGGCTATAACAAGAAGAGAAAAAAATCTAACCTTCCTTGTGGACGAGTGACTTTCGCGACCGGTTTAGGCTTGGGAGGCTCAGATTTGGCAGCATCATCTTCACTTTCTGAATCACTCTCTGAGTATAGCGTATGCCACAGAAACAAGACAAATCATTAAGGATAATTAAACTTCCATAATCAAGTAAGAGCCAAAGTTAAAAAGATGTAGTTTTACCATCATCATTCCTGCTAGTGATCGGTGCAGCTTGCTGCAAACAAAACACACAAAAACAAAAACCTTAAATCATTTTCAATTCTTCAAAGAAATTAGTTAAAAAAACAAAAATGGTCACAGCCATTACCACTTTCAGTTTCTTGAGAATGTTATCGAACTGAGTTGTATCAAATGCCCATGGATTCGGCTTATCAACACCAACACCTGCTCCCAAATTTCAAATTTTTAGTTAACAACACAAACTATAGATAATTTGCATCTATATACACACACATTCCCCTAAGAAACACAGCAAAATTGTTCTATTTCAGCCTCCACTATCATAAAATTCCACAATTTCAAATTCACAAAACTAGAGCAATCTAAATCTGTAATCGCTAACTATGAAGAAGAAGAAGAAGAAACGAACCAGTTGTATCTTGTTTGTTCTTCACTCTCACATAACCTTTGATCCCTTGCTTATCTTTACCAAGTCCTTCTCCTTCTTCCCAGCCCTTAGAAAATCCAACATTCCAAAAATTAGGTCTATACAAAAACCAGCTCTACGCTTGGATCATTTACGAAAATTTGACTCACCATCGATTTCATAAGCTTGAAAGCTGCGGACTCCTTAAGGATTCCGACGTACTTCACTGGAGCTTCCGGCGCCGCCATCTTCTCTTCTTAATTTTCCGGCGATCGATTGCAGACAATCCGTCGCCGTTTCGTTTGAGCTCAAAAGCGGTGAAGAAGAGAAGAGTGGGCGAGGGAGTTTAGAGAAAGCTCGGAGTAGAAAAACCTAAAGCGAAACAAATGACGAGCAAATTATACTCTACAACGCAGCCTTGTGTACACTTCAGTGGAAAATGTTAAATGGGCTATAAGTATAGGCCCATGAAAGCCCAACTTAAAGCTTCTTCATACATATTATTTATTTATTTTAAATAATAGTGGCGGAGAGAAATTAATCACAGGAGAAATGGCTATGGCTTCTTTTACTCAGCTATCATCTTCTTCTTCTTCGCCTTTGTTTCACCCTCAAATTACCAAAACGCCATTCCTTCTCCCGGCGGCGAAGATCGGCCGTCATGGTTTCTCTTTCTCTCTCTCGTTATCCCGTCGTTCTTCTTCAGTCTCGGCTTTAGCTGCTTCTTCTCCCGCCGTCGGCGTCAATGCACCGGTGACTTCGGAGAAATCAGTCAGAACTCTTCCGTTTAGAGTCGGTCACGGTTTCGATCTGCATCGGTTAGAGCCAGGTTACCCTCTGATCATCGGCGGGATTGATATCCCTCACGATAGAGGCTGCGAAGCTCACTCCGATGGTAAATTTTCTCGATTTTTAGTGAAATTCGTCATCTTCGTTGAAGCTGGGATTAGATTTTTTAGGGTTTTGATTTGAGATTTGAACTTGTGAATGATGTGGGATTTGTGATTCCGTTGAAATTGGGATTAGATTTTTACGCTTTGAACTTGTGGATGATTTGGGATTTGTGCAGGTGATGTGTTGCTTCACTGTGTGGTGGATGCAATTCTGGGAGCTTTAGGGCTTCCTGATATCGGTCAGATTTTCCCTGATAATGATCCTAAGTGGAAAGGAGCTGCTTCATCTGTCTTCATCAAAGAAGCTGTAAGCTTCTTTGCTTGTTCTTCATCTTCAATTGCTGTTCATTTCTGTATGCAGTGGTTTCCAATTTACAGTATTGCTATGTCTAGTGTCTCTTTAAGCCTTATTTTGTAGAACGGTTCAGATTTTTCAAGCTAGATCCATAGTGTTATGGAATTTACTCGGTTTGAAAGTTTTGGTTAGTATCAAGGTTCTCTGTAGCACTCTTGAGTAGAATCTTTTCATCTATAGAAAATATAAGAGATGTAGAGATCAGATCGGTTAAAACTTTGTTCCAGTGCCTTCTTAAGTATTTTGTGATCACTTAACGATGCTATGTACAGTCTTATCACTCTTGGGTACATGATTTTTGTCTTGCAAAGTCTCGGCATGACTCAGTTTTATCAGTTAAGTTAGTTTCCTGCAGCCTGGGTTGATAAATGATAGAACAAGTCTCGTATTGTTACATTTCCTTGGAGGCAAGATTGATTGAAACTATAAAGTTTCTCTCTCTCTTGTCTGGCGTTGTAAATGATGTGTCAGGTTTAGCTTAATATGTTTGTTAACTTCAAAACCATGATTGACTTTGAATGTTGATTACATGAAAGCTAATGAGTCACTTCACTTGTAATGAGGTTATTTAGCAGAGAAAATGTCAGTTTGTTGTTGGTATGGAGAATGATTCAGTGAATTTGAAAGAATGTTTGTTTGTTGGTTTGTTTTTGATGTTGTCAGGTGAGACTCATGGACGAGGCTGGTTACGAGATAGGAAACCTAGACGCGACATTGATTCTACAGAGACCAAAGATAAGTCCACACAAGGAGAACATCAGAGCCAATCTGTCTCAGCTTCTTGGAGCAGACCCTTCCGTGGTGAACCTTAAAGCCAAAACCCATGAGAAAGTTGATAGTCTCGGAGAAAACAGAAGCATTGCTGCTCACACTGTTGTTCTTTTGATGAAGAAGTGAGTCAATCAATAATTTCATCACATTCCTTAATGTATCAATTCTCATCTAAGTAAAAAACAATTTTTTAATGTAAATTATTTACATCCTTATTAAGTGGATGATGATACATTGGTTATGGTTTCGTAGTCAGAAATAAAACTGGAAATTGTTACTTTTTAGCTGGAAATTTCTTGTGCCGCAATTTTCAACGTCTGTCATTTTCATATTCAGACATTTAATGATCATCACATGATGAAAACAATTCTCATTGATCAAATGGTAATTTGACACAAGAAAAAACCAAACTAACTCCGATTAGATAAGACGAACACAGCTAAAAGTTATAAGTGTAATAATAAAATCATCAAATCTGTCAATTAGTCAAGATCAACTCCAAACACGACCATATGCTTTTTTTTTATATCTTTTCTTCGAACTCTCAAGTGATTACACATCCCTGTCCCTGGTGATAGTCGTGATCGAAGACACTAGTGGTGTAATGAGGAGGAGGGTAATGAGGAGAAAGAGTTTGGTTTCCACGATAACCCTCAAGTCTTTGTCGTTCCATTTCTTCCTTCTTCTTCTTTTCAGCAGCGGCAGCGACTTCGGCTTCTTTCTTGGGATCGTACGTGCCAAATGTTGCTATATCTGAGTAACTCCATTTTCGTTCGAGTTTGGTGAGGAGCTTCGTGAGGTTAAAGTCTCCAATGACTGTTAACTTTCCATCCTGTGAGTCCATTGTAATCGATGTGATCCCTACAAGAAAAGAAAAAAGAAAGATTTGGCTTTCAGATTTAGGAACAGAGGTCTTTTGGTTTGTAAAGAATTCCAAAACAGAGCGTATGTGTAATTCAAGGCAAGAGTCAAATTCAATTCTTTAGGGATTTCAGTTCATCAATTCCAATAACAACTCAAGAACAAGACAAATATTAAATAAAAAATCATGATCAAAATTACAATCAGAATCATTCTCATGGATTTTAATTCATATCCCACCGAGAAACAGAGGAATGTGTTTAATCAAAGCTTTGGTTTTTTTTCAGTAAAATTCATGAACAAGAAAAACGATCAAATTCACTTTTTTGGGTTTCAATTCATAACACATTGAATCCAAAAACCAGTGTGTGTTTATATGTCGTGTAATGAAAAGTCTTGTCTTTCCAAAAAATTACTCATGATCATGAACAAGAAAAAAGATTTGGTTTTTCAGTAAAAGTCATGAACAAGAAAAAAAGATCAAATTCACTTTTTAGGTTCCAATTCATAACACATTACGGATCCCAAAACCAGAGTGTATGTGTGTGTTGTGTAATAAAAAAAAGTTTTGTCTTTTCAAAAAATAAAACTCATTCAAAACAAGAATCAAAGACAAATGTTTCATGGTTGATGAATTTACCATGACATTTAGCGACTGTACGAATGATCTTCGCCTTTGATGCCTCGTCATGAACTCCCATCATCACCACCATTTTCTTCACAAAGTTTGAGAAAAGAATCACCATTAATAATTAATTAAAACACTTAAAAAGTCTATACAAATCAAAAGAACAATTCTTTAATACTTTGTGAATTTCAAAGAAAATATACCTTCATTTTCTTGAAAGAGCGGAGAAGAAGATGAGAGAAACTTTATAAAAAAAAACTGAATACTTTTTTATGCCAAAATGTAAGAAAAGCCAATCCTTTTATACACTGAAACAATAAACCGTCATATGAAATGGGCTTTAAAGAAAACTGGAGAAGAAGAAAATAGAGATTATGAGATATTTCACACGCGCCTTGTCAAATACCAAATGGTTTTTTTTTCCTTCAGAAGAAAAGAAAGCAAGAGTGTGAAGCTCACTCGCGAGAAGTGTGGTGTGGAATTTTACAGGTTCACTTTATTTTGTTCTTCTGTGGTCGTCTGTGTGGTCTTTGGCAATTTCTACTAATGGTAAATGATGTGTGACGGTCGATTAGTAATCGTTACTAGATATTTAACCTTTCGCAACTTTTTGGTTTGTCAAAGATTCTTCCATTGCCTTGATCACTTCTCTTTTTATTGATTATGTTCATCACTTGGTTTCAGTGCCACACATCAAACATCTCATTCCCATATTTGTTTGCATTTTATTTCACTTTGTTAACACATTTGTTTGCATTTGCAGTCCTCTTTATATTATTTTTGTATAAACAACTAATATTAATAAAACGATTACAGAACATGACAGAAGTTATATTGTTGTAGTAGATGATTACACAAAGTGTAAAGATAATACCACAAGCAGATGTGGAGATAATAAATTGATTGATTCATTTTAGTCAAATGATGAGCTCGCAAAACCAGACTCAGTTTTCATACTGCAAATGGATGTGTACATTAAGGGCATCTCCAATGTATTGCCTCATATTTGACTCCAAAATGAAGAAATCTCAAAATGGAGTTGGGTTTTGCTCCAATGTATTGCCTCATTTTTTACTTCAAAACTTTTTATTAATTACTAAATTTATATAGTATATTTATATATATTACAAATTGCCCCATAATTTTGTTTTCTTCAAAATTTTCACAATTTATTATAATTATTTAAATTAATTATGAAACTTTTCATTTCCTTTTAAATTTATTATTAGTTTAAATAATTAAATTTCTTTTAAATATGTGTTATTTGTATTTTAGGGTAAAAATAAACTTCAAAATAATTACTTATATGTAAACTGAAATAATTTAAAACTTTAAGGACTGCTATATAATTTAAAAACTTTAACTCCAAAATGGAAATGAAAATGGGATCAACCTCAATTTGGGAAAAAATATGGCATTTTGCTATTTTGAGATTGAAAATGGGTTGGATTGGAGCAAAATTGACTCCAAAATAACAATAAATGTGAAATATGGGGCTGGGTTGGAGATGCTCTAAGAGGAATAAAATATGGTAGAATTAGGTATTACTCTAAAATTTTATTATTTACAATAAAAGTTAGTGGAAAACAATTCCACATATTATACTGAAAATAATTAAATAACTGAATCTCTGAAGATACTGGCTAAATTGGTGACTGTTCTAAATCTCTGAAAATAGTAGCTAAATTGTTACAACATTCCTTGCCACCACAAAAAAACTCTGAATCCTGTTGTCCTGAAGTTTTCAAGACTCGATAATCCGCTTGTTATTTTGATGGGCTCAAGTAACTTTCTTCATTTCATCTTCTGATTATTGTCCTCACACACTGTTTGCTTCTAGTTCTTCTCCACCAACTAGCGTTGTCTGATTTTTGTTTCCTGGTTTGGAATCCTACAAATGTGTAAAATGACTAGAGCTTGGAATTGTATTTCTGCAATGTGGAGTTAAGTTCTGACAATCCTATTGTTTAGGTTGTAGTTGTTGTTGATCTTACTATTCGAAAAAGATGTGTTCTGTCTCAAGAGGTATAATCAGCAGTCTTCCAGTCTTCCAGATCCACTGATTTCGCACATCTTGTCTTTCATCCCCACAAAAGAAGCAGCTTGCACATCTGTTCTCTCTTAAAGGTGGCGTTTTTTGTTTGCCTTTGTAACAACAATGGTTGGTGCAAGAACATAAGTTATGTACCACTAGATCAATACTACTTGGTTATAAAACGATTACATACCATAACAAAAGTTATGTTGTTTTAGAAGTAGATTATACAAAGTGTAAAGATAATACCCCAAGCATATGTGGAGATAATAAATTGATTGATTGATTTTAGTAAAATGATACTGCAAATGGATTGTACATATATAGGAATAAAATATGGTGGAATTACTCTAAAATTTTACCATTTACAATAAAAGTTAGTGGAATACACATATTCTACTGAAAATAACTAAATTTATTCACAATTCACCAGATATGGTGAAATTGAATTTATCTACTATTTTGAAGAGGAATTAATGGAATATAAACATCCCTCTATCATTTTTTATTTCATTAAATTGGAAAATAATTAATTAGATGGGCCGAGAGATGTCAAAACAGCCCGAAACGTTTTGAGTTACTAGATATCAGTTTACTCATTCGATGAGGAAGAAATTGGGGATTAATATTCTTCAGAAAAATTGTTCTGTCTAAATCGACGGCGAGGTTTGTGCCTTTGTGGTTCAAGTTTTGATCCAAAGTCGATTCAGTTTGGTGTTTGAAATTGAATGAAGAAGTTTTGATACAATGTCGATTCAGTTTGGGGTTTGAAATTGAATAAAATAGTCACATCTAGGTCTAGGGTTAGGGTTTGGATCTTTTGATTATAACTCTGAATTGTTTCCTTTTTGTGTTTTGATTACCAGAAAAAGCCCTCTGAAAATGGATTCGAAACCGAGCTCTGCCGCTAAACGTGTCCGTCCATTGGGTGGAAGTGAACCTTACAGATATTATCCACAAGCTACAGGGTCAGTGATGTTACTTTGCCAGCTCCTTTTTAGAGCTTGCTCAGGTCACAAATATGAGAGTAGTGAGTTTGTTGTTTTGTTTTGTAGGACGGACTCTGGGAAGGAAGACGTGAAACAGGAGGTTGTACGGCTAGGAGTCTCGCTCTCACTCTATGTAGCTGAATCCATGTTCTTGCTGTGCGATGACATTGGTACTATGTTGTCCTTCTCCTACAAGCTATGGAAATATACGTTACCTCCTTCGGATCCCGTGTCACAGAGTCTGCTTCGTGTGATTCACTACGTCTACTCTAACGACATCAAACCGAAGAAGAGAGTTTGTCAGGATGGTGGCAACTCGGTCCAGTGGGAGTTGATCAGGACCAGTTGGAAGGACTTCACCGAGGGAGTCATAGTTTTGCACCGCCTTGTTTACATTCTCAGAAGAAGAGATATAATTTTTGATGATCGACTATTATCCTCGGCCATTGCAAAATACAAGCAAGTGCTGAAGAAGCTAGAGGATAAACTGAGGTCGGCAAAAGATGTTTCAGAGGCGAATGGTTTTGCGAGGGAGACAATAGAGTCCAACATTTCTCACATGTGGATGTCTCTCTTTGATGAAGAAGCTGACCAAGGAAAAGCAACAACAGAAGAGATGAGGAATATGATTCTTAGCGACGTGTTTCAGCCTGTTTTGGGCAAATCTTGGCATAGCCTGATACCGACACCACCCGTATATTATCCTTTCATTCTAGGGTTAGTAATATTATTACTTGTGTCATAAGTTACATGACACAGTCGTTGTCTTAGTGGTTTGACTAGTTTTGTTTGTTTTTTTAATATTTTGGCAGGAAGGATTTTGCAAAGGAGAATATGAAAGAGGAAGTTTTGGGACTAGGAGTTGAGCTCTCGCTGTATGTGGCTGAATCGATGTTCTTGTTGTGCGATGACGTTCGTAGCACGTTACGTTTCTGCTTGAACATATGGAGAGATTACCTGAATCCTGATAGTTACATATGGAGAGATTACCATAAACCTGATGGTTCCTTGTGGGGAACGTTGCTTCGTGTAATGCATTACGTATACACAATACATATCAAACCGAAGAAGAACGGAGTGTATCGGATTGGTGGCGAGTCGGTCCAATGGGAATTTGTCAGGACGACTTGGGAGAGTTTTGATGCTGGTTTAAGAGATATGCAGTTCCTTATTAGGTTCCTCAGGATACGAGGAGGAGCAGTCTCGGATTGCCGAGAATTCACAACTCGTATTGAAGAATCGATGAAGAAGGTGGAGGAGAAGTTGAGGTGTGCCAAAGATGTTTCCAAGGCGAATGGGTTTGCGAGGGAAGCCATGGAGTCTAACATTGCGGACTTGTGGAATTATTCTCTCTTTAACAGAGAAACCCAGGAGTCATGGACTCTGGAAGTGATAAGGGATGATATGTTTTCTGAGCTGTTTCAGCCTCTTCTCAAAGAAGAAGAAGAAGCAAAACAGCCTCTTGTCTAACACTTTGCTTTGTAACGTGTAAAATTCAACAAAGAAAAACGTTTAATTTTTTTTTTTTACATCGAATAACGTTTAAAAATAGGTAAGATAATAAAAAGGTTACTTGCGAATTTTACGTGGCAAAAATAGTTGAAAACATTAACCAAATATTAATCATAATCATTTAATTATATTGGTGCCGTAAGCTAAACACAACATCACAAAAGTCACATCTAGGTCTAGGGTTTCGGATTTCTTTCTCTCTTGCCCCATTGATAGAATCAACTGCGTCTTTTTCATTTTGTACGATTCCGACAAGCTGTTATGTTTTTGTTTTGATTACTTGAATTCCCTTCGAGACCCTTATAATCAAACGAATTTTGATGTGGTAACGATTCCATGGGAGTTTTTCAATATCGGATGATGAAATATACGATCAAGTCCTAGGGTTTCTTCTCACTATTACCTCCGACGAGTTATTTTGATTAAATTGTTTCCTCTGTGTTTAGATTACTGTAAAGCCCTAGAAATGGAGTCAAAATCGACCTCTGGTGGTCCTCAGCGTCGTCCATTGGCGAGATCTTACAGAAGCCATCCATACACTACAGGGTCAGTAATGCTACTTACTCATTTCCCTTGTAGAGTTTTCTTAAGCTTTTGATCACAAAGGTCACAACACACTTAGGTTTTGTAGGAGGATCTTGGGGAAGGAGGAAGTGAAACAGGAGGTTATGCGACTAGGAGTCTCACTCTCACTCTATGTAGCTGAATCAATGTTCTTGTTGTGCGATGACATTGGTACTATGTTGTCCTTCTGCTATAAGCTATGGAAATATACGTTACCTCCTTCTGAGCCAGTCTCAGAGAGGCTGCTTCGTGTGATTCACTACGTCTACTCTAACGATATCAAACCGAAGAACATAGTTTGTCGTGAGGATGGTGGCGGCATGTCGGTCCAATGGGAGTTGATCAGGACCACTTGGAAGGATTTTGCAGAGGGAATCATAATTTTGCACCGCCTTGATAAAGTTGTCAGAGAAAGATATTGGACTTTTGATGAACGGCTATTATCCTCAGCTATTGTGAAATACAAGCAAGAAGTGCTCAAGAAGCTAGAGGAGAAGTTGACTTCCACAAAAGATGTTTCAGAGGCGAATGGTTTTGTGAGGGAGACAATAAAGTCAAACATTTCTTACCTCTGGATGTCTCTCTTTGATGAAGAAGCTGAAGCAACAACAGAAGAGATGAGGAATAAGATTGTTAGCGACGTGTTTCAGCCTGTTTTGGACAAATCTTGGCGTAGCGAGATTCCGACACCACCCGTATATTATCCTTACATTCTAGGGTCAGTAATATTATTATTACTTAGCCCCTTTGAGACATTTATTTCTCTTTAGTTTGATTTGTTGTTGTTTTGGCAGGAATGGTTATGAAGCGGAGGAGATGAAAGAGAAGGTTATGGGACTAGGAGTTGAGCTCTCGCTATGTATGGTTGAATCAATGTTCTTGCTGTGTGATGACACTCGCAGCATGTTACGGTTTTGCTTGAAGTTATATAGAGATGTAATAAAGGACATGAAAACTGGTCTCGTGGTGGAAAAGATGCTTCGTGCTATGCATTATGTCTACAGAATACATATCAAACCGAAGAAGAATGGAGGAGTAGTAGATGAGATCGGTGGCAAATCTGTCCAAGTACGGGAATTGATCATGACGACTTGGGAGAGTTTTGCTTCTGGATTCAGAGATCTGCACAAGCTTCATACGGTTCTCCTAATACCCGGGCGTTGGAACTGCAGCCGAGAGGACGCGACTCTTGTTGAAGTAGAGCTGAAGAAGGTAGAGGAGAAGTTGAGTTGTGGTAAAGATGTTTCCAAGGCGAATGGGTTTGCGAGGGAAGCCATGGAGTCTATCATTGGGGACTTGTGGAAGTCTCTCTTTGACGAAGAAACCGAGGTAGTGTGGACTCGTGAAGTGATGAGGGTTGAGATGCTCTCTGACCTGTATCGGCCTCTTTTGAAAGGAGAAAAAGATGCAAAACAAGACTAGGACACTCTCGAGCAACTTGTTTTGTACCCAAAACCAAGAACGGCTCTTATTTAACTCTTTTGTTTCAGTACACTTTTGTCATTTCTTACACAACGCACTGCTTGCTAATTGTCTTGAGGAGACAGATGGACCTGTGACCGACCCTTGTTGCGTTGACAGATGCAATGCAAGAAACAATTACTTTCTTGGTTGCAGAACAAACCCTTTCAGCGAAGTTCCATGAATCATAATCTAGCAACTAAAAATCTTAATCGTTATGAATTTGCGAGGAACAAGCTCTGTAATGAGCAAAATATGATTTCATCAAAAAGAGGAAATAACTTATTCGTGAAAAAAAAATTATTTATTGACAACAGTGATCTCTCTATAAAATCATTTTTTCCATGGAAAAGATGAATACTCTCTCTCACCGAGAATAAAGATGCTGCTCTCTCTAACTCTGTAGAGCTGCTTGAGCAATCTCAAGGGCTTCTTCAACTGAAGATGCGCTTGCGAGTTTAGCTTTATCCACTAGAGGTTGGCTTCTTGCTAGCTTTGGCAGAAGCTGGAACTCCTGTTTTTGTAAGACATACACAACAATGCAAGGAATTAGTAAAACCCAATATACAGTAACATGGCAAGTCCAAGATGTTAACAATGGAGCTACTGAGATAGACTCTTACCTCAGGCGATCCACTTTCGACAAGAACACCTTTCAACCTACCTGTGTTACAATAATCACTCACCAAAGTTAGTTTGATTTGCTAAATTTGTGTGTGTTTGTGCAAAGGTGGTCAAGACTGAGAAGAGAAGTGAGAAAAAGTATTATTTACCAGAATCAATCCAGAAGGTAGCTATTTTCGGGTCGAAGTTCCCAACCTCAACTGTTTCTCCCACTGGTACTCAAATATGAAACAGAGCTTTAGCTAAACAAACAATAAGAGTAATTGCGCTGTGTTGTACTATTTAGGTTCTAATGAGACTTACCATTATCTCCAAAAAACTGCCACCAAACTTTTCTTGGGCTGCCTTCATACTCGAACACTCTTGAGTAGAAATACGGGAGATAATCGTACCTGCAGCGTTTTGAACAAAGACATGAACTTCTAGGTGAAGAAGATCTGTTGATAGACATGGTGGAAGAAGCTTTACGTGTCAGTGTGTGCAGTGAGGAGCGATTTGACACAGTGTTGCGCAGAGCGGCGGGCGTGATCAACGTGTTCAACACGAGTCATTCGATCGTATATCTGTTTCATCACACAATAACAATCAGTTTTACTAGATTTGTGGCTTAACATTGTTTTTTTATCTAGCAGCAAAGCAAATTACCTTTAAAGGGAAGGCTGCAACATCTCCAATAGCGAAAATTCCAGGTGTGCTTGTCCTGAACAAGCCATCAACCTGTGGTTGAAGATGAGCTCTTGTCAGACTATTTTGATTGTAAGAAAATAGCAAACGTAATTTCTTGTGTTGTGATAACAATACCTGAATTCCTCCAATGTTTTTGTTCATGGCTAATGTTTCAAAGGGGCCAATAGCAGGCTTAGCTCCAATTCCGATCACTACCTGTAAAGTTGAACAGAAGTCAGCATTTCATTGACCTTCACAGTTTTCATTTGAGAGAGAAATAGTAACTGTACCGTGTCTGCTTCAATTGTAGACCCATCAGCGAGCTTAACAGCTGATACACGCCCATCGGAACCTGCTTCTAAGTTATCTATGGAAGCGCCCTGTTCAACAGAAATAGGAACTTAAAGAGTTTACTCACTCTGTTTCTGAAATTCTTAGGATTGCAGGAAAACAAAGGCATTGATCTTGGGTTTGATATCTTACCTTGACAAACTTTACACCATTTTGACGGTAGAGTTCTTCGTATCTTTGAGCAAGTGATGGCGTGAACAATCTTTGTAAAAGCTGATCTTCAGGGAACACAATCTATCGTTGAAAATGCCAACAGCTGTGAGTTAGCATATTCATGCGAAAAGACAAACACAATTCAAAGATTAGAGTAAAAAAGGATAATAACCGTTGTATCTAGATTCCAAGCAACAGCTGCAGCAGCAACCTCCATGCCGATGTAGCCACCACCAACAATCACAACTTTCTTTGCCTTTCCCTGAATCATATATCAGAAGGTTACTTTTTTCAGCTAAGAGTTTCCTAATACATATGCATAGTGTAACATTTCATATAAATGACGTAATTGATAAAATTGACCCTTGGCTTACCAGAGATGCTATCAATGAATCAGCATCTGCAACCTCACGGATATAGTGAACACCAGGCAAGTTCCCACCAATTTTATCAGGGAACCTGCAAGAAAAACAAAAAGCAAATATTCATAACATCAATGGACAATGTTGATAAATGATAAGTCCTAGTTCCTGTGATGGTTTTTTTCATCAATTCAATGCAGATAGAATGACACTTCACTCACCTTGAGGCTGTACACCCTGTAGCAATAATTAGCGATCCATATTTCAACTGCTTCCCTGTGGTTGTAGTGAGGGTTTGCTTTTCAAAATCAGCTCCAGTCACTGGATCTTCATATATCATCTTTTCAAACATCCAAATGCATTAGTTTAAGACCTCCTCACTCAAATACACATTTTTTGGAAAAAAAAAATACAAAAAACTATGCATCATCATCATCATTAGAAGAAGAATCTACCTCAATTCCTTTCTCCTTATACCAATCTGGTGTTTGCCTCTCTCCACCACCTCCAACACAAGTATGAAACCCCTGCACATTCATTCACCCTCTCAATATAAACAGAACACACACACTAATCCAAAAATCTAATCCTATACCAGTCTTCAACTTAGAAAAAAAAGCCCAACTTTATACAAAATCTATAAAGTTCATGTAGCCATGATTAAGATTAATACTAGTCGAATCCAACATTGAAGTAGCAAAGATAACTTACAGGTAAACGAGCTGGCTTCTTCTCTGGAGGGAACAAGTAAGCTTTCGTCAAAGCAGGTCTCTCATAAGGTGCGTAAGCCTAATGAAAACAACAAACAATTACATTCAGAGTAAAAACCAAGAGACACAGTGATGAAGAAGAGAAGACACTTAAAAAGATTGAATTTTTGAGTCACACCTCTTTAGTGACAATGCAGAGACGACCATCGGCCATTCCATTCTCTACAAAAGTCCTAGCAGCATAACCAGCAGCATTTCCTCCACCAATTATCACAAACCTAACACAAATTCACGCCATCTCAAACCTCAATTCGCATTTACGGCAATGAAAAAAAAAAAAAAATTGGAGGAAAATTAAATTGTACTAACTCGCGATTCTCGTTAGCGAAGGAAGCAGTGACGAGGCCTCTGGAAGCGATCCTGGAGCCGATCGGAGAAAAACGAGCGGGAAGACGGCGAGCGAGAGACGGAGAAGACGGACACCAAAGAGACAATCCGGTCTTCGTTGGCAACGTGGTGGATGCTAACGCCATGGCTCTTCGAACTGCAACAATAGAAGGATTAGAGAGAGAGAGAGAGTCGAATTAGGGATTGAAATCGAGAAAGAGGGTGGTGTGAGAGTGAGAGAGAAGACCTGGAGACATTTGTTTATAGGATTAGGAACTGTAGTGTTGCCTCTAGAAGAAAGCTAAAGGGCATAAAGATTAATGATTTTGAAATTGGGAAGAGAGATGATTATTGTAAAGATAGGTAGTGATTACTGATTAGTGAAGAATGGAGCTGACTTGTCTTTATTGTTGTTTTTTGGTTCATTTTTTGTCCTTTGTAACCCAGAAAATTACAAGAGTTGGGATATTTTTCTGACAAGAGATATTGGTATATTCTTTTATCAAACTTTTTTTACATTTCAATGAACAAAATGCAGATTTGAAAATATAAAAAAAGTGACGAAAACAAGAAAAAAATGTACTACTAATGTTCGATTCGATTAGTAGTATTAGTCTGTTTAGAAGTCGAATTATAGTCTACTTATCCAAATTAACGAAATTTAACAAGATTAAATGTGGAAATAATATAGAAGAAGAAAGAGAAGACATAATATGATATGGGCCCCCATTTCAGAGTTCTGAAACCCAGACGACGGCCAGAAACACGATAAGACGGATCTAATAAGAAAATAAATATTCTATTAAACCCCAAAAAGTTACAAAATGTTGAAATTTCAACCCCCCCAATAATTTAAAACCTTTACACAACTGGCGCCGAAAGTTTTCCGGCTTGCTCCAACACCTCGAGAATCTCCGCACGACTCCTCACGATCCTATGAAAAACCTCTCTGATCTGTTGCTGCAACGGCACGAGCTCCTCCTCCATTCTCCGGCATATCTCCGCCATCTCCGCCACTTGCGCCGCCGCTGATTCAGAAGCTTCTTTCTCCGCCGGATAATGAAATGCATCGGCGAATTCAATCAACGAGTGACCAAGCTTCTCCATCCTCGTCATCTCCTCCATCAATCCCGCGGATCCTTTCTTCTCTTTCTTCTTCCACTCATCTCCGATCTTCTCGTGAATTCCGATCAAACTCTGAGCCCAGCTCAAATGTTTCGGCGGCACAGGCAAATGATTCGCTAATCCAGATCTCTCCTGACACGGAACCGCCGCCGTCAACACCCACATCACAAACACCATCACCGTGCTCATTATAAACATCGGCTGAGGCAATCCCGCCGCTTCGTTGCCACGCGGCGGATTCAGATTCCCCGTCATCGCGTGGATCTGCTTCGCCGCAGACCAATTCCTCCCGACGGCCCACGACGACGATTTCAGCTGACCAATCGTCGCTCCTCCTTTACTCGCCGACGATCCGCCGCTACGACGTCCAAACGACCACGATCTCTCCGTCGTCTTATTCCCTCCGCCTCCTCCTCCGCCGCTTGTGTTCTCTTTGTCCTCGAGGCTCAACGCGACGACGAGATTCGCCAACGCGCGTCTCGCTCGCCTCACGTTACCGTCACCTAACGGACGTTGCTCCAACGCGGATACAGCGATCTCAGCTAACCGCTGGTAATGTCTAACGGAATCGATTCCGTTAACAACGGCGGTACAGATGTCAAGCGCTTTAATGGACCGGTCCAACATTTCGGGAACTAACCGGTCGAATGGCGGTTTAGAAATCTGGGTCGGGTCACGGCCCATTAACAGAATCGCTTTGAATTCGGCTTCGCAACAGAGGAAGACATCCATTAGCTTACGAAGCCAAGTCACGGACATGATCTGCTCCGTCGCGGCTACGGGAGCAACCGTGTTCGCTTCATCGGACGGTGGTTGTTGTTGTGGTGGAGGAGAGAGAAGCTCGGTGAAACGATCGGCGATGTGTCTTTGGAAAAGCTCGAGATCTTCTTGCTCTTGTTCGTTGTTGACGTCGACGAATTGATTGCGACGGATACTAATCCGGCCGAGGAACGATCCTTGGTTATCCTGCGCAGGTCTCATGATTTTGAATTAATTTTGAAGGAAGAAGAAGAAGAAATGTGAAGGTTTTGGAAATGGCGGATTTATAAACGGACACGAAGGAGTTTGTGGTGCGCATGTCTTGTCGGAGAGCTTGAGACCCGTTCTTCGTGCGCATGCAGTTATCTCCTTTTTTTTTTTTTTTTTCCATTTTTGGTTTCGTTATTAATTTACAAAATTCTATGTAAATTAAACTTCCAAAAATATATTTTGTTTATGTGATGATGTTACTACTGAAAATATTTCAGATTCAAAGTTTACATAAAAAATTTATATGGAAAACGAATAATAGCTTCAAAGACACATACATGATAAAAATATGGAAAACTAATAATATCTTCAAAATTTTGGCATCTCCATATTTTATTGAGAACATGCAAGTATCGTCGTCATACATATGGTTGATTTGAGAAAACTCTAAAATGGGCGTGGTGAACTAAAAATATCCTAACTTCATATTTTGTCGTGTGAGAGGTTGCTTCGTGTGATTCACCATGTCTACTCTAATGATAACAAACCGAAGAACATAGGTTGTCGTCGTCAGGATGGTGGCGGCAAGTCGGTCCAGTGGGAATTGATCATGACCACTTGGAAAGACTTCACCGACCGGATCATAATCTTGCATCGCCTTGATAAAGCCTTCAGAAATAAAGATAGCTCTTTTGATGGTCGGCTATTATCGTCAGCTATTGTGAATACAAGCAAGAAGTGCTCAAGAAGCTAGAGGATAAACTGAGGTCAGCAAAAGATGTTTCAGAGGCGAATGGTTTTGTGAGGGGGAGACAATAAGTCTTAACATTTCTTACATGTGGATGTCTCTCTTTGATGATGAAGCAAAAGCAATAAACATGATTCAAACAAACCTTACTACATAGCTTTCATTATAGGTTATTTCGCCCAGTCTCGTGTTTCGTCTCTCCTCCTAAATTATCATGATTTACATATTTTATACACATACAAATGTTTAAGAGCAAGATCGCACAAGTTTGGTTGGCAAAATCTATATAAAAATGTTTTATAACTTATTTTTACGGTTTTATGATTTCAATATATATGTTCCAGAAAATAAACCACAGGTTCGTGGAGAGGAGGTACAAATACAAACCGGTGAAGATTGTGGAGTTTCACGAGCCACACCATCAGAGGATCTTCTACTTGGACTTGAGAGTACTTTCACGTACCAGATACTCTCAAGGCTCAGTTGTGGCGAATCATCAGTTTCATCTCTCTGCTCGATGCAACAAGGCCAAAGGGAGGCTTTGCCTTGGCCTGTTCATCGAGGAAGCCAGGTGGCTTGGAGTGACAAGATACTCTACGAATTTAGCGTGCGAGCAAATCCATCACATTGGGTGTATTCCTTGACACTATTTAATAAGATTTTCATTTTTCTCATTTTACCATTGGTATATTTTGGTGTAAACGGTATCATGTTTTTGGATAAAATGGCCAACTAATATAAACAAAATTTACACATGCTTAACTTTTTTTTTGATCAACTTAACTATATGTATGTTTGACCTATGAGAAGTAATGGATTCAGAGTTGTACCGCCAAATGAGTGAGTTGAGATTTGTGAACAGTTATCAATATATACGTCTTGACAAAAGAAAATAGAAGAAACCATGTTCAATTCTTATAAACCAAATTTTCAAACTAGATAAGTTAAAAATTTAAAGGTTTTTTTTGTCGACAAATTTAAAGGTTTTTTAACATGAAAATCATAAATTGATAACTTTAAAAATAAATTTGATTTTAATACCCTACGCTACATCAACTTCAAAAACTAGTTTTTCAATACTTTAAAAAGGAGAGTGATCATAAAGCAGAGAAAACTTAATTATGTATGGTAGACAAATCTCAATCTAAATGATTATCATTAACTCGACCAACTATCCCTTGAAAGGCTTGTTTTTTTTTTCAATTAATTAGCATCAGTATTTAATCACCAGAGATATGATTTATGTTGACAAAAACATTACCTTGTTTTACAAAATATACATTTGATTAAACCAAACATTGTGGACCCAGACTAAAAGGCTCATTCCATTGCTCCTCCTTAAAGGTAAGCCCTTAATGATTTCATTGATAGAAAACTAAACCTATGCTTAAGTTGGATTATCATAAAATACATGATTGCTTATACAAAAACATATGTAAGATTCATAATTGTGTAGCGGCAATAAATGCTCTCCTGTTTCACAATTATTTAGGGTTTCTAGTTAATTAATACTTTCCAAGTAGTTAAGATTTATTGAATATAGTAACTTTTATACTAGAATGTTTGCAATTTTTAGAGCTTTTCAATTTTGATTGTTGGCACTTGGCAATGTTAAGGTCTCTTTTTTTTTCATTTTCTTATAAATTGAGTAGAAGAAAAAATAGCTGAGGAAAAGATTGCGATATATAGAAGCAAAAGTCATCTTTATATTTGATCATATTAACATCGATGTTTGGTGATTGATATGCTTCAAACCAACGGCCCCACTTCTCCATTAGTCTCATCTACGTACATAGGGTCTCGCCATACATGTGTGTAGGGCTATATTTATATCATTTGGAACATCGATTCTTCTTCACTGGATCACGACGATTTAACATTCAAGTAGCAGCATAAATTGTATGAAAATATGAAATGAGTGGAACAGCCAAGATAAACTTAAATGAAAAATGATTTAATGATTTATGGCGAATGCCGAATGTTTTAGACCTTTTGTATTATAATAAGAGACTTGAGCATGTTTACCATGATAATAAAATTATTTGTTAAGTTTTGAATAATTAGCACAAAACAATCTTATTTATATATAGGTGTTATATATACTTATAACAGAACACAACACTTTTATACATTAGAAAATTAAACAAAGTATACGAGATAATCTAATAGATTATTACTTTGTCAGAACGAACAAAGTCATGCCATCAAAAAGAACAAACCTGATGTGACATATACGAATATAATGTAATATTATATTGTATTTGCATGACTATCTTTACAAGTTATCAACACGAAAATAAAAACAATGAAGGCGAAAATTTCTAAACGAAGCGATTTCCTTTTCGGCTAGGTCTCTCCATATGTCTCCTAACTAATCGAAGCCTTGTAGTTGTAACTTGTAATGATTGTGATTTTCATATATCTCTGACTAAGTTTCGCTATTGGACGTAGTACATTAATTTTTAAATCTTCAATTGGTGATGTTGGTACAACATATACATATATATATACTGTACTTTGTATTGATTCTCACTTTACTATCATCTCGTACTATTATCCTGTATCATAAAAATGTAAAAAGATCACTACAAGTTCGGCTAAAAAACGTAGAGTAACGTATACAATGTATATGTGTGTTGTATATCTTATGAACGACGTTCTATTATGTAATTAGAAAATGTTAACTTGCACATACTCTGTGTTTATCGACACAAACTTCATAAACTGTCATCCTCTGCAAAATTCCATTCGTTAATATCACTTCTTCTTTAAAACCCTATACAATCTATCTTCACGTAGATACATGTTTATAAGTGAGGCGATATGATTTGTTCAACGGATTAAATCAGATTTACATCGTTAAATCCTTGACAAAAAAAATGGCAAAAACTTTAGCGGGAGACAAAAGGGTACGTGAAGAAAAAAAACATATAAAAGTGATAAGGGCTTAACGTAATAATACTACAACAAAATCTCTCTACGTACAACGAGTAATAACACATGAAAATAGAAAGTTGATGAGACGTCATTTTAAGGTTAGATAGATGAAGAAATATCTCAGGCCCCACCCGTGGGACCTGACCCGACCCGACCTTTGTCTCCTTCCCTTTTAAAACTCTCCATTGCTTCTTCTTCTCATCCTCTCTTCTATAGCTACAAAACCCCCCACAGGCACAACCGAAGAAAGAAAGAAAGGGTTATATAAATTAATTTAAGATAATTATTGTGGTTCGTCAGTGATCATAATTAAGTTAATTTGAGGAACTACAAGTCATGGGTCATCACTCATGTTGCAACCAGCAAAAGGTGAAGAGAGGGCTTTGGTCACCAGAAGAAGATGAGAAGCTTATTAGATATATCACAACTCATGGCTATGGATGTTGGAGTGAAGTCCCTGAAAAAGCAGGTACTTAATATTTTAGTTTCAACTCTATATATTTTCTTTGCAATGATCTTCAGCTCATTAATTTTTAAATTCATTATAGTATTCACAATGTATATTTGATCTAATTCAGGGCTTCAAAGATGCGGAAAAAGTTGTCGACTGCGATGGATAAATTATCTTCGACCTGATATCAGAAGAGGAAGGTTCTCTCCGGAAGAAGAGAAGTTGATCATAAGCCTTCATGGGGTCGTAGGAAACAGGTTTCCATTTTTCTATTTTTAACCTAAAATTATATATCTCACTCAATACATTCTAATATTCTATCATTATATTTGAATAGAGGGTTATTTGTATTATTTTAATATTTTAGTATTGATGCCATTTCTAGTAATAAGTTTGTTGGTTATGGGATACATATATACACTAGACTATAGTTTATTAACTAGTGCTATTCAATTTATCATGTTGTTAGATTTATTTAAATATTTATTAAATTATTATATGTTTAGTTTGGCCACGGTTCTAAGCAACGACCAGCCTACAGTCGATGACCAAAGAATCTTTAACGTGTGGTTTCATTCATCTCCTTGTGTTTTTGTCTACTTGCTCGAGCTATTAAGTAGTGTACTTCAAGTCACTTTATCCTTTTTTCTTTCAACATCAATACATCAAGTTAATTAATGGAACATTCTCAAAACTATAAAACAAACGTATATGAGACGATATATGTCCTTAGGCCTTAGCCATTTAATATTTTTGTCTTATTATTTTTGTATATGTTTTTCAGGTGGGCTCATATTGCGAGTCATTTACCCGGAAGAACGGATAACGAGATAAAAAATTACTGGAATTCATGGATCAAGAAAAAGATACGAAAACCTCACCACCACTACAATCGTCATCAACCATCAATCACTACTGTAACATTGAACGCAGAAGCTACACCAACTGGTACTGCTCTCTCCTCTACCACCTCCACGACATCGACAATCGATAACCTACATTTTGACGGTTTTATGGATTCTCCCAACCAACTAAATTTCACCAATGAACAAGAAACTAATATCAAGTTCCAAGAAACCCTTTACTCCAATAAACCTCCTCTCTTCATGGTAGACACAACACTTCCTGTCCTAGAAGGAATGTTTTCTCAAACCATCATCACAAACAAGAACAATGATCATCATGATACACAAAGAGGAGGAAGAGGAAACGTTTGTGAACAAGCATTTCTAACAACTAACATGGAAGAATGGGATATGAATCTTCCTCAACAAGAACCGTTTCAAGTTCCTACAATGGTGCCACATATGTTCAACAGCTCTACCAATACAAACATCGAGACGGTTATAAGTTACAATCTACCGGGGCTAGTAGAGGGAAATGTTGATAACATCGTCCCAATTGACAATAGCAATGGTCAAGATGGAGATATGGCGTCGACATACGAATGTTTAAAGAAGCAAGAACTAAGCTATGATCAGTGGATAGATTCACAACAATGCTCTAACTTTTTCTTATGGGACAACCTTAACATAAACGTGGACGGTCCATCTCTTGTTGGAAACCAAGATCCATCAATGACCTTGGGATCGTCTGCTTTATCTTCTTCTTTTCATTCTTCATTTTAAATTATATGTTTGAATTCAGCAGAGAAACTCACGCTAATTTGTTCATAAGTTTGTTTCTTTAGTTTTTTTTCTTAGAGTTTTTTTTTCGGATTTTTGTTTCTCACTTTATTATGATATTGTAATGAGTGTTCTAAACTGTTGATGAGGTGATGGTGTGAGTGAATTATGTATCTATGCGTGTGTTATTTGTTAGCTCATGGATTTGTCCTCAGTTTGATGTATCAAAGGACAAAAAAGAAGTACAATTAACTATGAATCCATCTTATATTGACACGATGATATAGTTTTTTTCTTCTTTAAATATTAAAAGTTGTGATTACTACAGAATTTTAAAGAATATATCATTATAGAGTCTTGAAGTATATACCAACAACCTCTAATTTATCTTTCAGTCAAAGTCTAAAAAGTATAATGTAGGCTAAATTTGAAAGCTAAAAAAAAATACACCATTTTATTTAGAATTTAGGACTTAGAATTTGTTGACCAAAAAAAAAAGGACTTAATTTATTTTTTTAAGGGTAACTTAAAAGATTTTGGCTATGTTTTCTAAAATTTAGAGTTTCATTTTCAGGGGCTGTGAATGATAATTTAGGATTTAAGTTACAATATTATGTATTTTCTTTATTTGGTATAAAATATTTAAGATTTTATATGTTTACGTATAAAATATTTACTATCTTACAGGTTCAAGTACAAAATCTTATTTGTGATAAATGGTATAAAATCATGGTATATACATTTACGAAAATAAATGCAAACCAGTAAAACAACAAATTGGTGTATTGCAATTATAAATAGTATTCAAGTTCTCCACTATAGTTACACAAACAACTCAGACTCAAAAACAAAAATACAACCTTATTCAATAAAAATGGAGAAATCAGCTTTGATATTCATCGGCCTTCTACTTATCTCAACATGTAAGAATTATTTTCAGTTGCATCTTATGTTTACTTGCTTTTCATCACCATCATCTTCAAAATTATTGATCAACACACATGATATTACAACTTCGCAGGCACTCAAGTTCTTTCAAAATCTTGCAACAAAGATTCTGATTGTTATAGCATCAAATGTATACATTTCACGAAAATCAAGTGTGTGCAAAACACATGTCAATGCGTTCCAAAAAGAAACAAGGTATTAAAACCGCTTCAAACGAGGTGTAACCCTGATGCTTGCGCTGCCTCATGCAAGTCAATAGGCCAAGAAGTTGCATTCTATAATTGTGCTTTGGACCATTGTGCGTGTCGTCACAAGCTACCAATGTAATAACAAGCTTGTAGTATCTTCAACTTTTGTTATTACCGAAAATTCACATATGTATTGAGTTTATTATATTTTTCTCCACTTTTCTATCAAGAGTAGAATGATTTATATCTTATCTTAATTTTTTTTTTCATAATTATCAGTTAAATTATTACATTTCAATTATTAAAATTTTTACGAGGTATTGTGAGAAAAAGTTAACACAAGATACTTTTCAAACATTTGCTTTGGCCCCACTTAAAACTAAGAAGCAAGAAGTGGAATGTTTTACTACCACAAACAATACATTAATATATGAATTTGAGATGATGATGGTTAATTGAAGATTTTTTATCGCTTATGATGCATACCAGATGCATCTTGGCAAAATATATTGTCCTGAAACTACACTATGAGCTTGGATTGTTTACAAGTTACACAAGAAACTCATAGATTAAGCCAATGTAGATCAAGAAAATAAGAGGAAGAAGTAGACTTGATTCTCGTTGACTTTGGGGCCGCAATAACTGGGCCTGTTATCTTTAGGGCCCAACTCAAACCCAATCAGGTAAGTCGTCGTTGACTCGATTGACCAGAGTCACCAGACTAAGCAGCACCTGAAATCGAACCAGGAGGCTTCACAAAACATGAAAGTAGCGCCAATGGGAGCTCTTTTCCATTTGTGGGAGTTGGTGAGATTCAAAATCAACAGTAGAGAGACAAACTACAAATTGCAATTCTTTTCATTTTTTCAAAGACCAAACGAATTTAAAACCTTAAAATGCAGAAAACTCCACATTTCCCACTCACTCTCTCTCTCTCAATAGACGCAACTCTAAATCTATGATTTCTTCTGAAGAGATTTCTGTGAGCTTTTGAACCACTCTCATGGCTTCTTCTTCTGCTTTGACTCGCACCTGGAGATACCGCGTCTTCACGAGCTTCCACGGCCCCGACGTCCGCAAAAGCTTTCTCAGTCATTTACGCAAACAGTTCGTCTGCAATGGGATTTCGATGTTCGACGATCAAGGAATCGAGAGAAGCCACACGATCAAACCCGAACTCACACGAGCGATTAAGGAATCGAGGATCTCGATCGTCGTGCTCACGAAGAACTACGCTTCTTCAGGATGGTGTTTGGATGAGCTGTTGGAGATTCTGAAGTGCAAGGAAGATAAGGGACAAATCGTGATGACGATCTTCTACGGAGTCGATCCATCTGATGTTCGCAAACAGACTGGAGATTTCGGGAAAGTTTTCAGGGAAACGTGTCGTCGTAAAACGGAGGAGGAGAGGCGGAGATGGAGCCAAGCTTTGACCGTCGTTGGCAACATCGCCGGAGAACACTTGCTAAACTGGTTTGTGCTTCTTACAGTTATGATGAATAAAAAGGAATTACGGTTAGTGTTGAACAGAATGAGTGTTGTAATTTTGGGTAGAGGAATGTTATCTTTATGTTTTTTTTTTTTAATCTCATGACCGTTTGATTGAAAAAAATACCGTTTTTTCTCTCTGTTGTAAGGGACAATGAAGCGGAAATGATCGAGAAGATTGCAAGAGATGTTTCAGACAAACTGAATGAGACACCGTCTAGGGATTTTGAGGGCATGGTTGGACTTGAAGCTCGTTTGAAGAGAATGGAGTCACTGCTAGATTTAGATTATGGTGGAGTTAAGATGGTTGCAATATATGGTCCTGCAGGTATTGGTAAGAGTACCATTGCAAGAGCTTTGCTAAGTCAATTCTCTGATAGGTTTCAGCTTACTTGTTTTGTGGACAACCTTAGAAGAAGTTATCCTAGTGGCATTGGGGAGTATGGTTTGAAGCTGCACTTACAAGAAGAGTTTCTTTCAAAGGTTCTGAACCAAAATGGTATTAGGATACGTCATTTAGGTGCAGTGAAAGACAGGCTCCGGGATCAGAGAGTGCTCATCATTCTTGATGATGTGGATGATCTAAAGCAGTTAGAGGCTTTGGCTAACGGAACTATGTGGTTTGGTCCTGGTAGTAGGATTGTAGTCACCACGGAAAACAAAGAGCTTCTGCAGCAACATGGTATCAACGATACGTACCATGTGGGGTTTCCATCTAGAGAAGAAGCTCTTGAGATCTTATGTAGATATGCTTTTAGTCAAAGCTATCCATTGAATGGGTTTCAAAAGCTTGCGGAAAGAGTAACAGAGCTTTGTGGTAAGCTTCCATTGGGTCTCCGTGTGGTGGCTTCCTCTTTACGTGGGAAGAATGAGGATGATTGGGAGAAAGTAGTACGCAGGCTAGAAACTATTCTTGATCACCGAGAGATCGAGGAAGTAGTAAGAGTTGGTTATGAGAGCTTACATGAGAATGAGCAATCTCTGTTTCTCCATGTAGCAGTCTTCTTCAACTGGGAAGATGGTGATCTTGTGAAAGCCATGCTCGCTGACAAAAACCTGGATATAACATACGGGTTGAAAATCTTGGAAAACAAGTCTCTCATACATGTAACTACGGATGGAGAAATATTTATGCACAAGTTACTGCAACAATTGGCCACAAAAGTCGTTCATAGTGAAGAACCATGGAAACGCCGGATTCTAGTAGATGCTCCAGAGATTTGCGATGTTCTTGAACGTGCCGAAGTATGTTCTTTCTCTTATACTGTCGTATTCACGTTCCACTAAATTATCCCATGGTGCATGTTGTGTTAGCTAACAGTATATTTGTTCTTTCGAATATTGGTTTAGGGGACAAGAGCTGTGTCCGGCATATCATTTGACATGTCTGACGTGGATGAAGTATCCATAGGCAAGAAAGCTTTCAAAAGAATGCCTAATCTTCGATTCCTCAAAGTTTACAAAAGCAGGGATGACGGGAATGATGTATTGCATATACCTGAGGAAATGGAGTTCCCACGTCGACTAAGGTTACTACAATGGGAGGCATACCCAAGCAAGTGTCTTCCTCCTACGTTTCATCCCGAATATCTTGTCGAACTCAAATTACCAAATAACAATCTCGAGAAGCTCTGGGGAGGAACCCAGGTTTGGTTTGGTTTAAATATTTTCCTATTGTACTTTCTCATCTTGTGTTGATGCTCTTCCTTTTTGCTGTGTAGCCAGTTACAAACCTCAAGAAGTTGCAGTTGCCAAGGTCTTTGAATCTAAAGGAACTTCCGGATCTTTCAAAAGCTGCAAATCTGGAGAGACTGGTTCTGCGTGGTTGCAAGAGTTTGGTGGAGATTCCTTCCTCTATCGGAGATCTTCAAAAAATAGTCTGGTTGGATTTGGGTCACTGTAAAAAGCTACAAGTTGTTCCGACCCGCTTCAACTTGGCACCTCATGGTTTTGTCGACATGTCCGGATGCTCACAGCTGAGAAACTTTCCAGATATATCCTCCAACACCACAGCACTCGTAATCGCAGACGCAATGTTAGAACAAGTTGCTAAATCAATTAGGCTTTGGAGTAGCCTCCGGACACTCAGTATATACGACGATGGCGCAAATATTGAGAGGATTCCAGATTGCATCAAAGACCTCCCTGTGTTAAAATCGCTAGCTATATATGACTGTCCAAAGCTTGCATCACTGCCAGAGCTCCCTCGCTCGCTCGAAAGACTAATAGCACGGTCCTGTGAATCACTCAAGACCGTATCTCTGGCTTATGACTCTGTAACAGTTTGCAGTTTCCCCAACTGCTTCAAACTAGGCCGAGAAGCGCAGAGAGTAATCACACAGGTGTCGTTGGGGGCTTGCCTACCTGGAAGAAAAATACCTGAGGAGTTTGACCACCGAGCTAAGGGAAACACCTTGACCATCCGTACAGATTCCCGAGTGTTTAGGTTTTGCATTGTCATTTCCCCTAAACAACAGATTGAAGATCACTACCCGGACTTGTTGTGTCGCATGCGCGTAAACAAGGGTTGCCCCACTGACCATGTGTTACTTGTGTATCTCCTTAGTATCCAAACGGAACATCTATGTGTATATTACGCTGATTTGGCTGGCGTGGATGGAGATGGAGACTTTGAACTGGAGAGTGAAATAACGTTTGAGTTCATCTCATGCCAGGAGATCGACATTATTGAATGTGGTGTCCAGATCTCGACGGAGGAAAGCGAGAGTAGAAGAAGGATTGAGTTTGATGAGCCCAGCGAAGAAGACTCTCAAGACTCTGAACTTACGGATGGACTAATCTGCGACTCGAAAGAAGACAACGATATCGAAACCAGTAGACTTAGAGATTGTTGGAGCTGGCTCCTCCTCTGCTTGGTTTGGGGAAGAAGACAATGATATCAAACTGGAAGCAAGGAAGCACGGTCTCTTAGCGATCATGGTAGATTTCTTCTCTGCCACAGTTGGTATTTTGTTGCCAATGTAATTTCAACAGAGAATGATACATATAACTCATAGTATTTTGTTCCTTTCTTGCAGACTCCATGTATCTTCTGAGACCGCAGAGACCAGGAGCTAGGCTTGGGTTTGGTGGTGCATGCTGAGACATTACTAAGTTACTCAAATGAGATACATGCGACTTTTAAATCAGACAATATTGAGGCTGATACAGTAAGTTATTTTACATTTTCTTGGTCAGGATCCAAGTGTGAACATGAGAAAGTTGAAAAGAATTGCTGGAGATTTTAAAATGCAAGAATGTCTTGGGAGGGCTTTCACTAGTATGATGTACAAGGAGAGGCGGAAATGAAGTCAAGCCTTGAGTGATGTGATGTGTGCAACATACTTGGAGAAAACTTCCTAAGCTGGTTTGTCTATAAAACTATATATCCAACTTTTCTTTCTTTGGATCCAAGTGTGAAAGAGAGAAATTACGGTGAATATAATTTAAGTGATTAGTGGGAATGTTTTACAGTTGCATGAATACAATATTATGGTTTTGGATAGAACTGTTCATTTTTTATTAGTAACAAAAACATTATGTCCTTAGAGATAACGTAGAGGAAAAATGAGTTAGTTGACATGAGGTTATCGCCTAGTTTCTTATTATATTTATTTCCCAATAGGCCAATAGTCTTTGCATGTGTCATTGTTATAGTACCGTATGCATAATTTTCAAAAGTCAATGGTGCATACTCCATTTTCTCCATCATATATGGCTGATCCTGAAACATTTTTGTCTATGTGATGTTGAACTTTTCTAGCTACTCTAGTCTCATGGATTCTTCTTCTTCGTCTATGCCTCGCACTTGGAGATACAGCGTCTTTGCAAGCTTCCACGGACCAGACGTCCGTAAATCGTTTCTGAGTCATTTTCGAAAGCAGTTTGTTGTCAATGGGATTACCATGTTCGATGATCAAGGGATTGAGAGAAGCCACAACATCGTCCCTTCACTCACGAAAGCTATTAGGGAATCAAGGATCTCTATCGTGATTCTCTCAAAGAACTATGCTTCTTCCAGCTGGTGTTTGGATGAGCTGCTGGAGATTTTGAAGTGCAGGGAAGATATGGGACAGATAGTGATGACCATCTTCTACGGAGTAGATCCATCTGATGTGCGTAAGCAGACCGGAGAGTTTGGGATGGCTTTCAGTGAGACTTGTGCTCGCAAAACAGAGGAGGAGAGGCGAAGATGGAGCCAAGCTTTGACAGATGTTGGCAACATAGCCGGAGAACACTTGATAAACTGGTTTGTGTTTAATTAATTTTTAGTTTGTTTTTCTGATGTTTGAAGTGGTAAGGCAAGACTATTTGATGAGAAACAATGTTTCTCTGTTTTGTTAGGGACAATGAAGCGACAATGATCGAGAAGATTGCAAGAGATGTTTTAGATAAACTGAATGCCACACCTTCTAGAGATTTTGACGGCATGGTTGGACTCGAAGCACACTTGGAGAGAATGCAGTCTTTGTTACATTTAGATGACGAGGATGGAGCTATGATGGTTGGAATCTGTGGCCCTGCAGGGATTGGTAAGACTACAATTGCTCGAGCTTTACAAAGCCGACTCTCTCATAGGTTTCAGCTTACCTGCTTTGTGGACAACTTGAGGGGAAGCTACCATAGTAGTTTTGATGAGTATGGCTTGCGGCTGCGTTTACAAGAAGAGTTTCTTTCAAATATTCTGAACCAAAATGGTATGAGGATAAGCCATTTAGGTGCAATAGAAGAAAGACTATGCGACATGAAAGTTCTTATCATTCTCGATGATGTGAACAGTCTAAAGCAACTAGAGGCGTTGGCTGATGAAACTACATGGTTTGGTCCTGGAAGTAGGATTGTTGTAGCCACAGAAAACAAAGAGATTTTGCGGCAACATGGCATCACTAGCACGTATGAAGTGGGTTTACCATCTAGAGAAGAAGCTCTTGAAATCTTATGTAGATATGGTTTTAGACAAAGCTATCCACATGATGGCTTTCAAGAGCTTGCAAAGAGTGTAACATGGCTTTGTGGTGACCTTCCGTTGGGTCTACGTGTGGTGGGATCGTCTTTACGTGGGAAGAAGGAAGAAGAGTGGGAAGAACTAATGCGCCGGCTAGAGACTGTTCTTGATCGAGATATCGAGGACGTGCTAAGAGTCAGCTATGACAGTTTAGATGAGAATGAGCAAATACTGTTTCTCCACCTTGCAGTCTTCTTCAACTATAAAGATGGAGATCTTGTCGAAGCCATGTTCGTTGACGGTGACTTGGATGTCACAACCGGCTTGAAGATTCTAGTCAATAGATCTCTCGTAAGTATAGATCATTTCTCTGATAGCATAGTGATGCACAAGTTACTTCAGCAAATGGCTAGACAAGCCATTCATAAACAAGAGCCTTGGAAACGCCAAATCTTGATGGATGCTCATGAGATTTGTGATGTCCTCGAAAACGAAACAGTAAGTTCTTTTTTCATTATACTTAAGTTAAACAAGTCAGTTTGGTGAAGTATTGGTTTAACAATTGTGTTTATTTGGAATATTGGTTTAGGGTACTAGGAATGTGGTTGGTATATCATTTGATATATCAAGAATCAGCGAAGTCTCTATAAGCAACAGAGCTTTTAAAAGAATGCCTAATCTTCGGTTCCTAAAAGTTTGCCAAAGAAAACATGATGGAGTGGTTATACCTGAGGAGATGGAGTTTCCGAGTCGTCTAAGGTTACTTCAATGGAACGCATACCCAAACAAGTGTCTTCCTCTCACATTTCGTCCTGAACATCTTGTCGAGCTCAATATGTCTGGTAGCGAGCTCGAGTACCTCTGGAAAGGAACTCAGGTTAGTGTTGAACCTCAAATCTGTACTTTCACTTACATGTTATATGATGTTCTTCTTTCTCTCTGTTTTTGATTATGTGGTTTTGTATTCAGAAACTTACAAATCTCAAGAAGTTGGATTTGTCATATTCCCCGAAATTGAAGGAACTCCCGGATCTTTCAAATGCTACGAGTCTGGAGAGATTGGAACTGAGCCAATGCGTAAAGCTAGAAGTGATCTTATCTAACCTGAACATGGCGTCTCTTGAATACGTCAACATGCATGGATGCTCAAGACTGAGAAACATTCCAGTTATGTCGAAGAAGATCAAACAACTGTACATTTCAAATACAGTGGTGGAAGATGTGCCTGCATCGTCAATTAGCCTTTGCTCTCAGCTTATATCTCTTGATCTAAGGTCCAACGGAAAGCTCAAGGACATAACATATCTCCCCACAAGTCTAACAGAGCTAAACCTAAGTGATTCTGATATTGAAAAGATTGATGGCATCAAAGATCTTCCGTGGTTACAACATCTATATCTATCTGGCTGCAAGAGACTAGCGTCATTGCCAGAGCTCCCTTGTGCTCTCACGATACTATTGGCAGACGACTGTGAATCTCTGGAGACCGTGGTTTGCCCGTTGAACACTCCGAAAGCTATACTCAGTTTCATCAACTGCTTCAAATTAGACCAACAAACACGGCGAGGAATTATCCAACACTCGGTCTTCCGAGGTGCTCTCTTACCTGGAAGAGAAATGCCTGCAGAGTTCGATCACCGAGCCAGCGGAAGTTCATTAGCCATTCGTCGTCCCGATGGTTACAACAGACCATTAAAGGTCTGCATCGTCGTGGTTTCTCTTGACCAAACGTATAGATTTCCTTCCGAACTATGGTGTCATCGAAAAGGCAACGGCGACGGCGACTTATACCCAAAGTTGTTGTGTTTAAGTGACATGTTCAAATGTCGAACAGAACATCTGTTCGTGTTTCCCTCTTACGCGAGCAGAGTGACAGTGTTCGAGTTCAGCACAAGGTTCCACTTCTTTGACGTTATTGAATGTGGTGCACAGTTCTTGAACGAAGAATGCTATGAAACTGGATCCGATCAAACGTTTGAAGACGACAGTGATAGTGATAGCTCCGCTGATGAGAGTTGTGGGATCACAGATGGAGTTCCGTATAGAACTACGAACCAACGACTAACGCTTGATGATCCTTTGAACCATGTAGTCTTTCGTACATTTCCATTTCCAAAACCCCAATTCTGATGGAAAACCAAAACTAAGGCGTCAAAATGAGATTGTGAATGCGAATATGAACAAGAACCAGAACCATGTTCACAAGAGAGCATCGACATGGGTGGGTGCTCACGAGTCACAACTAAGAAGTCTCAGATATTTTTACCATCATCATGAGTTTCAATCTATACACTATTATGCTTTAGATATTTGGTCTCTTTCGCTTGGTACACAATTTCAATTGCTTCAATATAAATGAACAAGCACCAACTCATTGGCAAGCAAACACCTTACGTTATTATATTTTGTATTGAAAATATGTATAATTCAAATGTATTGTTCTCTAAATTAAACAAGAGAGTATACATACACTGTAACGATTTTGAGGTATTTACAGAGAGACTCGAGAGTAGAGAAATGCTTTCTGAGGCATGAGTTTGTTGTTGTTGTTCAGTGACGATAAGTCTTAACCACCTGATCTATTCGTCTCCGGCAAAGTGGACAGTTGGTCAAGTGAGAGGAGCATGCGGTGCAGCAACACATATGACCACACCTGTTGTAAGTGACCAACAACAAGCTTTATTAGCAAGTTGCAAATGTAAGAAATGAACCATATAGAAGAATGATTGCTTACGGGACAAACACAGCGTTGTAATCCTGCTCTAGGCAGATCACACATAGATCAGGAACAGCGTCTTCTTTCTTGATAGATTCTGAAACGCTCTCACTTATCCCATTTGAACCTGAAGAGCAGAGTTTGTAGTCAGAGGAGAGAGAGCCAGTGACTGCAACTTAATAGTATGTAGAGAAAAGGTTCACCAATAGATAGATACCTTCACTCTCTAGCTCAGCTCTCTTCGCTGCTGCCTCAAGCACTCTGCAACAACAGCTCACATTGCTTAACTTTGTGTGGATATGGAAACAAACTGATCTAGATGGAAATAATCTGTGAGATACCTTTTTTGCATCTCTCGCCGTCGTCTTCTCTCTAGAACATAATCAATCACATGCTTTGTGATTAGAAACACACCAAAAACAGATAAACCCATGGAAGCATACTTGTACCACCTGTGAAATCAGACTCTTTATCAATCAGTTTGTCTCATCGCCGGTTAGGAGAAGAACCAAGAGGAGGGAGAAAGAGACGACCTTGACCATTTTCCCAAATTAGAAATGAGCTGGTCGAGAGATTTAGGAGAGACGTAGAAAGGCCCTCTGTCTGGTTTCTGAATCCTCAAATCTCCAATATCGTCCTTCACAGCCTGCAATATACATAGAAGCAACATAAATCAGATTCAAACAGATACAACTTTAAGCAAAAGAGATGAAACGATAACATACCTCACCAACAATCGTTAGCGGCATTCCAGTTGGAAGAACACGCTCAATACGCTTAACTCCAAGCATCTGAAACAAACAAAAACGATGGCCGCTTAATCAAACAGAGAGAGAGAGCAACAAAACAAAGAACCTGAAAGAAAAGTGAAAAAAAACCTTAAGGCCTTGGAGATAATCAAGTGTTCCTCGTACAAGCGAACGCCCTGACTCTTCAAACACTTCACTCCCAACAGTCAAAGCAAAACCCGTTGCGCCACGAGCTCCCACTACATTCACACGACTCGTCCCATCATCCTATATCACAAAAAGTTTCAGACTTTACAAAAAGGTTTTTATGAAACATCCAAGCTACCATATTTGACTCACCAGAAACCAAGGAACCTCTTTGCTCATTGACAGCATCAATGCACTATCTTGCACCCAAGAACCAGTCTCATTGTGTTTCAGAAAATGTTGCTCCGCCTGTAAATGGATCATGCCATTGATGAAACAAACTCGATTCCATGGCTTAATTTTTTCAGTCTCTACACATACCGTTTCCTCGACGATGACACCGCGAATGCCGCTATGCTCGCATTTGATAGGAGTGTCGGAGCCAACTCTTCCCGACACGGCAACGATGAAAGGGAGGAGCTTGCTGCTATCTAACTCTAGCAATTGCGCTGCAACACATATATATATATATACAGAGCAATCCGAAATTGAGCTGAGAGTAGAAGATGAAGCAATTTGGGGGAGAAGAAGAGAAGCATTTACCTAACTCCTTGAGCTGACTAACTCTCGTGACGGTTTTGAGTACTTCAGCATCTCTGAGCTCAGGAGGAATAAGAAGGGGTTTAATTGGTATTTTACGATTTTGGGGAAGATGAAAACAATGGAGATTGATCGGAAGGAAATTTACAAACCTGCCACTACTCCGGCCGAGAAGGTAAAGAGCCGCCGCGCTGAGGCAGCAACTAACTCCACCCCAAGGAATCATCTTCGAGAGATAGCGATTGAAGTGACTCTTACTTTTTTGAAGAGAAACAATGTTCAAATTCAGCAGCCTATTGCAAGGATCTGGACGGAAGAAATCGAACGGAATAGAGACGGAGGCAATCGAATCTGGATAAGCAGAGCTTTGCAAGACGATCGTGACAATCTCGGGAACGAGAGGTATGAGTTTGATATGGAGGAAGCGTTTGAAGAATTAGAGACTGAGAGCTGTGGTGGAGTAATCTGGGGAATCGAAAAGAATGAAATGAAATTCGAAGGGAAAGTGAAAGATTCAAATTGTTGGAAATGGATGATGATCCTTTGCTTGCTTCGATCACTCTCTCGTATTCTGAAGCTCATTGAGGTTTTGGGGAACAAGACGATAACAGACGGAAGCAAGGAAGCTGATGACGTGGCCATTTCCCAATATTCAATGGGCCTAGATGTGTTTTTTATGTTTAAGCCCAACTACTCATAAACCGTTAAATCTTTTGTTTTCATTATGCAATTAGGTTTAATTGTTGTGGCTAATGCATATTCAAATGACAGATATTTTGTAGCAAACTAGCAATGTGTAATTTTCATCTTAAGATATAGAGATGGTTTGTAAGAAAATGTTAGAAAATTTGTCACTTTGTGGGTTTTTGTTCTATCATGATTTTATGTGTGTATAAAAACTACTTAAAAATCTCGTATGTGATCTATCTTCAGACGCCATTTTACGTTGCATTGTAGTTTTCGAATATGATGTTTAATTCTCTCTACGAGCTAAACTCAATGGAACTACGAGTTTGATAAAAATAAAACTACTTTAAAATTTCAAGGAGATTAATTTGTGCCCTCTCTAGAAGCTCAAATCACTTGAGTCTTAAAAACCTTTCGAGATTCTTGGACTTTAAGGAAACAAAACACAGTGTCTTCGTAGTCTTTGTGCTTTGACAAAAAATGTCTTCGTAGTCTTTTTTTTGTTTGTTTCAAGTCTTCTTGGTCTTTTTTTCTTTTGTTTTAAGTCTTCTTGGTCTTTTTATTGTTTTAAGTCTTCTTGGTCTTTGTGACACTATTTTGGGATATATGTGAGTGGAGGAGAAAATTTCTGAAAAAAATAATAAAAACCAATAATGTCAATTTGAAACCAACTTGCTCAAAGATAAATGGTTGTAGACTTGAAGTTTGGTGTGCAAATTGAGGTAAACAACAAAGAAACCTTTAGTCTCTTTCATTTGAATTTTCTTCAGTCGTCGTATCCATACAGCAAATTTTTCAATGAATTTATTATTTATCACGAAATATTTTTTATCCATCGTGATTTTTTTTTCCAGTTTGGCATTTAATTGCCATGGAATTAGGCCTTTTTGAGACAGAGTTTTCCTCGAAACTCATATTTCTTTTAGATAAGTCTTTTTGTTTTGTTTTTTTTTTTTCTCTCAAAACGCGTTATTTATTTTCTCTCACAACACATTTTTTATTTTAGCTTTCACATAGCCCTCCAAAACTCACACACTAACGTGAAGTATATCTTCAACTTCTCATAATATCATCATTACCTTTTTCCCATCTTTCTTTAGCATGTCTCTCATCATGGCTTCCTCTTCCTCTTCTACGTCTCCTAACTACACCTACAATGTCTTCGCGAGCTTCCACGGGAAAGATGTGCGTAAAACACTTCTCAGTCACATACGTGAACAGTTTAACCGCAACGGGATCACTATGTTCAATGATGAAGCGATTGAGAGAAGCGCAACGATCGCCCCATCGCTCACACAAGCTATAAAAGAGTCCAGGATCTCGATCGTGATTCTCTCCAAGAGATATGCTTCTTCAGGCTGGTGTTTGGATGAATTGGTGGAGATAATGGAGACTAAAAAAGATATGGGACAGATAGTGATGACCATCTTCTATGGAGTGGATCCGTCTCATGTGCGGAAACAGATCGGGGATTTCGGGATCGCTTTCAATGAAACTTGTGAACGTAAGAAACCTACAGACAAGCAAAGACAGAAATGGAGCCAAGCTTTGAACGATGTAGGCAACATCGAGGGGGAAGACTTCTTAAGATGGTTGGTCTTTAATTAATCTGATTTTATTTTTATTTCTTAAGTGCTAATTAATAATGGTGTTTTATGATGAATAGAAGAAATTAAAGAGGATGGAACTGCTTTGTTTGTTGAATGAATATTAGAATTACATGTCATAAGTATTTTGGGAACAAAGGAATGTTTTATATGTGACTATTTGCCAGGAAACCATGCTTAAATTTATTTATATCTTTTTTGTTAGGAACAATGAAGCGGCAATGATCAAGAAAGTCGCAAAAGATGTTTTAGAGAAGCTCAACGCGACACCATCTAAGGATTTTGATGGTATGGTGGGACTTGAAGCTCATTTGGGAGAAATGGAGTCTTTGCTAGATTTAGATTATGATGGAGTTAAGATAGTTGCAATCACTGGTCCTTCAGGGATTGGTAAGACTACCATTGCTAGAGCTTTACATAGCATACTCTCTAATAGGTTTCAGCTTACTTGTTTTGTGGACAACCTTAGGGGAAGCTACCCTATTGGTCTTGATGAGTATGGTCTGAAGTTGCGTTTACAAGAACAGTTTCTTTCGAATATCTTGAACCAGGATGGTATGAGGATATGTCATTTAGGTGTGTTAAAAGAAAGGCTGCGTGACCAGAGAGTGCTCATCGTTCTTGATGATGTTAACAGTATAAAGCAATTAGAGGCGTTGGCTGATGAAACTACATGGTTTGGTCCTGGCAGTAGAATTGTAGTCACCACAGAAAACAAAGAGCTTCTGCAGCAACATGGTATTAACAATACGTACCATGTGGGGTTTCCATCTAGAGTAGAAGCTCTTGAAATATTTTGTAGATATGCTTTTAGAAAAAGAGATCCACTCGAGGGTTTTGAAAAGCTTTCTGAAAAGGTAACAGAGTTTTGTGGCAACCTTCCATTGGGTCTCCGTGTGGTGGGTGCATCTTTACGTGGGAAGGAGGATGATGAGTGGGAAGAAGTAATACGGAGGCTAGAAACTATTATTGATCATCAAGATATAGAAGAGGTACTAAGAGTCGGTTATGAGAGTCTACATGAGAATGAGCAATCTCTATTTCTCCATATAGCAGTCTTCTTTAACTATAAAGATGGTGATCTTGTGAAAGCCATGTTCGCTGACAACAGCAAAATTGATATCAAACATGGTTTGAAAATCCTAGTAGACAGATCTCTCATATATATGTCTACAAAAGGAGAAATAGTGATGCACAAGTTACTGCAACAAGTGGCTACAAAAGCCGTTCATAGAGAAGAACCATGGAAACGCCGAATTTTAATAGATGCTCAAGAGATTTGTGATGTTCTTGAAGGTGCCGAAGTAAGTTTCTTTCTCTTGTATTTGTTATATTCCTTGTTCATTAATTTATACTTTAAAAAAAAGTCAGTTGCTAAAACTAGGCAGGCAAATCCTACCTATCATGCTAACAAAATGTTTTTATTTGGAATAATATTGGTTTAGGGTACAAGAGCTGTGTCCGGCATATCATTTGACATATTTGATGTGAATGAAGTATCTATCAGTGAGAGAGCTTTCAAAAGAATGCCTAATCTTCGATTCCTAAAAGTTTACAAAAGTAGAGCTGATGGGAATGATGTATTGCATATACCTGAGGAGATGGAGTTTCCGTGTCGCCTAAGGTTACTACAATGGGACGCATACCCTAACAAATTTCTTCCTCCAAAATTTCGTCCTGAATATCTTGTCGAACTCAATATGGAGTTTAGCCATCTCGAGTACCTATGGCATGGACCCCAGGTTGGTTAATTGATTGGTGTTGTAACTTTTAAACTTGTAATATATGATGGAATATGTATACTTTCTCTTCATATGTTATATGATGTTCGTTTTTTCTGTGTGGTGTTCTTACATATTCAGCCGTTTACAAATCTCAAAAAGATGGATTTGTCAGCGTCCAGGAATTTGAAGGAACTTCCTGATCTTTCAAAGGCTACAAATTTAGAGACATTGGATCTGCGTGGTTGCATGAGTTTGGTAGAGATTCCATCATCTTTTTCACATCTTCAAAAACTAAAGAAGTTGAAGATGTCTGGCTGCAAAAACCTACAATTCATTCCTGCTCACATGAACTTGGCATCTCTCGATTCAGTCATTATGGAAGGATGCTCAAAACTGACAAAGTTTCCAGATATTTCAACCAACATCAGAAAATTGGACATAGCAGCAACATCAGTAGAAGATGTGCCTCCATCAATTAGGCTTTGGTCTCGTCTTGAGCGTCTCTCGATAAGAGACAACCGAAATCTTAAGGGAGTGATAACACATCTCCCCACGAATTTACAGTTGGTAAACCTAAGCTATTCAGGTATTGAAAAGATACCAGATTGCATGAAAGATCTTCATCGGCTACAAGAGCTTGATATATCTGGCTGCACAAGACTCGCATCGTTACCAGAGCTTCCTGGTTCACTCAACAACCTAAGTGCCGATGATTGTGAATCACTAGAGACAGTGTTTTTCCATTTGAAACACAGTCCAGATGCGAGGCTTACATTCATCAACAACTTCAAACTTGGACAACAAGCAAGACGAGAAATTATTCTTGGATCGTTTTTTCGAGGAACCGCTCTCTTACCAGGAATACAAGTACCCACAGAGTTCGATCACCGAGCCAGAGGGAATTCCTTAACATTTCCTCATCCTGCTTTCTCAAGATTTAAGGTCTGCCTCGTGATTTCGCCAAACCCTAACAAAAACTGGGAATATATAACTTCACACCTATTGAGTTGTCGCATATTAGGCAAAGATGACGACTTATGCCCCACCGAACAGGAATTCGGCATAGGCGATGTCTCCAAATATGGAGCGGAACATCTGTTTGTATTCCACTCTAGCTTACTTGACAAATATATGGCCCCAGCTGAAGTAAGGAGAGAGATAGTGTTTACATTCAGCAGCCAATCCAACGCCTTCGACATTATTGAGTGTGGTGCCAAGATCTTGACCAAACCAAGCATCGAAAAAGGAGCTATGAGTTGGGCCTCCTCCCATCTGAGATTGTTCCCGCCAGCTTGAAATAACAGCAGAAGCCTCACTTGTAGTAAATTGCTCACTTTGTGGGTTTTTGTTCTATCATGATTTTATGTATATAAAAACTACTTAAAACTCTCGTATGTGATCTATCTTCTGACGCTATTTGAGCTTTGTTTATAATTCCATGTCACATGAAGACTTATCTATCTTATACTTTAATTTTTTAACGCTGTATGGTAGTTTTCGAATATGATGTTTAATTCTCTCTACCACTTGTAACACCAAAGCTTAACTCAATGGAACTAGAAAATTACTTTAAAAATCTCAAGGAGATTAATTTGTGCCCTTTCTAGAACCTCAAATCACTTGAGTCTTAGAAACCTTTCGAGATTCTTGGACTTTAAGGAAACAAAACAGAGTGTCTTCGTAGTCTTTGTGCTTTGACAAAATAAGTCTTCGTAGTCTTTTTTTGTTTGTTTTAAGTCTTCTTGGTCTTTGTGGCACTATTTTGTTTTTATGTACAAGTGCTTAGAGATATATGTGAGTGGCGGAGAAAATTTCTGAAAAATAAATGGTTGTAGTTGTAGACTTAAAGTCTGGTGCAAATTGAAGTAAACATCAAAGAAACCTTAAGTCTCTTTCATTTGAAATTTCTTCAGTCGTCGTATCCATACAGCAAATTTTCAATGAATTTAAATTTATCACGAAATTTTATATTATGACGAGAAAATTGTTTTTCTTTTCCATCGTGATTTTTTTTTCCGGTTTGGCATTTAATTGCCATGCAATTTGGTCCTTTTTGAGACACAGTTTTTCCTCGAAACTCATATTTCTTGTAGACAAGTCTTTTATTTTCTCTCACAACGCGTTTTTTAATAAAGCTTTCATATAGCCTTCCAAAACACACACATTAACGTGAAATATCTTCAACTTCTCATCATTACCTTTCTCCCATCTTTCTTTATGTCTCTCATGGCTTCTTCTTCCTCTTTTACGTCTCTCATGGCTTCTTCTTCCTCTTCTACGTCTCGTAACTACAGCTACAATGTCTTCGCGAGCTTCCACGGGGAAGATGTCCGTAAAACACTTCTCAGTCACATACTCCAACAGTTTGACCTCAGCGGGATCAGTATGTTTGATGATGAAGGGATTGAGAGAAGCGCAACAATCGCCCCTTCACTCAAAAAAGCCATAAAAGAATCGAGGATCTCGATCGTGATTCTCTCCAAGAACTATGCTTCTTCAGGCTGGTGTTTGGATGAATTGGTGGACATAATGGAGGCTAAAGAAACTATGGGACAGATAGTGATGACCATCTTCTATGGAGTGGAGCCATCCGATGTACGGAAACAGACCGGAGATTTCGGGATCGCTTTCAATAAAACTTGTGAACGCAAGAAACCTACGGACGAGCGAAGACAGAAATGGAGCCAAGCTTTGAAAGATGTGGGAAACATCGAGGGAGAAGACTTCTTAAGATGGTTGGTCTTTAATTAATCTATAACTATGTTTTTATTTCTCAAGTTCTAATGATGGTGTTTAATTTATGATGAAGAGAAGAAATTAGAGTGGATGAAATTGTTTTGTTAGTTGAATGAATATTAAACACATGTCATAAGTTTTTTGGTAACAGAGGAATGTTATCTATGTGACTATTCAACAGGAAACAATGCTTATATTTATTTATGTCTTTTTGTTAGGAAAACTGAAGCGGCAATGATCAAGAAAGTCATAGAAGATGTTTTAGAGAAACTGAATGTGACACCATCTAAGGATTTTGATGAAATGGTTGGGATTGAAGCTCATTTGAGAAAAATGGAGTCTCTGCTAGATTTAGCTTATGATGGAGTTAAGATGGTTGCAATCACTGGTCCTTCAGGGATTGGTAAGACTACCATAGCTAGAGCTTTACATAGCCGAATCTCTAATAGGTTTCGGCTTACTTGTTTTGTGGAAAACCTTAGGGAAAGCTATCATAGTGGTTTTGATGAGTATGGTTTGAAACTGGGTTTACAAAAACAGTTTCTTTCAAATATTCTTAACCAAGAGCGTATTAGCATAAGCCATTTAGGTGCAGTAAAACAAAATCTAGGCGACCAAAGAGTTCTTATCATTCTTGATGATGTGAACAATATAAAGCAGTTAGAGGCTTTGGCTAATGATATTACATGGTTTGGTCCTGGCAGTAGAATTGTAGTCACCACAGAAAACAAAGAGCTTTTGCAGCAACATGGTATCAACAATACATACCATGTGGGGTTTCCATCTAGAGAAGAAGCTCTTGTAATCTTATGTAGATATGCATTCAGACAAAGCTCTCCACCCCATTTTTTTGAAGGGCTTGCTAGAAGAGTAACAGAGCTTTGTGGTAACCTTCCATTGGGTCTCCGTGTGGTGGGTTCATCTTTACGTGGGAAGAATGAGGATGAGTGGGAAGAAGTAATACAGAGGCTAAAAACTATTATTGATCATCAAGATATAGAAGAAGTACTAAGAGTCGGTTATGAGAGTTTACATGAGAAGGAGCAATCTCTATTCCTGCATATAGCAGTCTTCTTCAACTATAGAGATGGTGATCTTGTGAGAGCCATGTTCGCTGGTAATAACAACTTGGATATCAAACATGGTTTGAAAATCCTAGTAGACAGATCTCTCGTATATATGTCTACAAACGGAGAAATAGTGATGCACAAGTTACTGCAACAAGTGGCTACAAAAGCCGCTCATAGAGAAGAACCATGGAAACGCCGGATCTTAATAAATGCTCAAGAGATTTGTGATGTTCTTGAACGTGCCGAAGTAAGCTTCTTTCTCTTGTATTTGTTATATTCCTTGTTCATTAATTTATACTTTAGAAAAGTCAGTTGCTAAAACTAGGCAAGCAAATCCTACCTATCATGCTAACAAAATATTTTTACTTGGAATAATATTGGTTTAGGGTACAAGAGCTGTGTCGGGCATATCATTTGATATATCTGGTATCGACAAATTGTCTATCAGCAAGAAAGCTTTTAAAAGAATGCCTAATCTTCGATTCCTCAGAGTTTACAAAAGCAAAGATGATGGGAATGATGTGTTGCGTATATCTAAGGAGATAGAATTTCCGTGTCGTCGCCTAAGGTTACTAGAATGGAACGCATACCCAAACAAGTTTCTCCCTCTTACATTTCATCCTGAATATCTTGTTAAACTTGATATGACGAATAGCAAGCTCAAGTACCTCTGGAAAGGAACTCAGGTTGGTTGGCCTCGTATATACATTCTCTATTTCTCTCCATGGTATATAACATGTTCATCTCTCTGTTTTTCTGTGTTTTTCTTGCATGTTCAGCCGCTTACAAATCTCAAGGAGATGAATTTGTCATGTTCCGTTCATTTGAAGGAACTCCCGGATCTTACAAATGCTACAAATCTGGAGACACTGTATTTGAATCATTGCACGAGTTTGGTAGAAATTCCATCCTCTTTTTCACATCTTCATAAACTAGAAACTTTGCGGATAACGGAGTGCACAAACCTACAAGTCATTCCAGCTAACCTGAACTTGCCTTCCCTTGATTACGTAAATATGGGTGGATGCACAAAATTGAGAAATTTTCAAATTATATCAACGCATATCAGATACCTGAATATGCGAGAGACAGCGGTAAAGGACCTCCCTGCATCAACTATGCTTTGCTCTCGTCTTTATCGTCTCGATCTTAGCTGCAATAGAAAGGTCAAGGAAGTAACACATCTCCCCAGATGTCTTGCAAGCCTAGACCTAAGATATACTGGTATTTAAAAGATTCCAGAGTCCATCAAAGATCTTCATCAGCTAAAGTTCCTTTTTCTATCTGGCTGCGAAAGAATCACATCATTGCCGGAGCTCCCCCGTTCGCTCATGGGTCTATTTGCAGATGATTGTGAATCACTAGAGACGGTGCTTTTCCCTAACAACACTCCAAATGCGAGTCTCAATTTCATCAACTGCTCCAAACTGAACCAACAAACACAAAGAGAAATTATCCTACGATCGTTACGTGATGGAAATACCCGGGTAACCGGAAGAGAAGTGCCAGCAGAGTTCGAACACAGAGAAAGAGGAAACTCCTTGACCATTCGTCTTGATGGTAACATGCCTCTTCGCATTAGATTTAAGTTGTGCCTCGTGATTTCACCGAACGATAAAGGCGGCGAACAGTCTACAGAATCAGTAATTTGTCGTCGCTTTGTCAACGGCGAGTTAGTCCTCTATGACGAGGAGATCCACGGATATTATATTGCTAGCTCCGATTTTATAAAGGTGCATCTGTATATATTTGTTTCTAATTTGCAATATAATCACAGCGGTGAAGTGAGCAGTAAGGTAGTGTTCGAATTCAGCAGCAAAGATCAAGACATGGACATCCTTGAATGTGGTGCCCACATCCAAAGCATCAATGAGTCCGAACCGTTGGAGGATGACGCCGAGGAAGAGGACCGTACAAATGAAGAAATATGTGCCTCCAACGAAGACGACACCGAAGCCGGTGACCGTACATATGAAGAAATCTGTGACTCTAAAGAGCAAGAGAATATACACTGCGCAAAACAGAGGAATCGTAGGAGTGGGCTCTTCTCCTGCTTCAATTTTGCGAGAAAAACATTGTAAGCTTGGATTGGAGGAAGAAGACAATAGAAGCCGGAAGCTGTTGACGTGGCCATTTCTCTAATTCATGTAATTAAGCTGATGCAAAGCTTTAAGTCAAAGGAGAGTTTGGTGACAAGAGTGGAGCTTCTGCTGACAACCAGCCTTCTTTCAAGGTATAATCTTCGTTCTTTAATACTTGTTACGTGTTCTTAAAGTTATGAAGATATATCGAGCTTCCGTCTTTTTTTTCTTAAGTAGTGTTGTTATAACTTCCTAACATTTGTAATCCTGAAATCTGTCCACTATTCTTGTTCTGTTCTGTTCTGTTCATGATAGTAACGCCCTTGCTTGCGTCTCACGTATCGACTCATGTTGGTGCTTTACATGATAGCATGCACTTCTTGGTTATATATTGTGCTTGAAACGATTGAATCTTTTGGGGAGATTTCAGGGACCAGGATCCAGGCATGGGTTTGGTCGTGGAGCTGGTGGTTTTGGTGGTGCTGGTCCAGCCACAGGATCAGATGAGATCTTCCTTGAAAGAAAGAAAATACACAGTTTTTCTTTTTGGTTATGTTAGCTTTGTTTGAGATATAAAGGAGTCTTGTGACTTAATCTGTAGCATCTTTCCTATCTCATTTGGTTGTTTTGAATTTTGTGAGTGATATTTTGAATCCACATTTAACAAATTGATTAGAACAAACACTTTGCAGGTCCTAACGTTCACCACATATTGAAATGAGTACTTTCTTACACTCCAAGAAAAAAAAAACGACATTAGGTTTCTTTCATGCATGGTATAATTTTCGTCCTTTGAATCTTGTTATTTGCTTTGCATCATCTAGAAAGGAACTCCTGAGTGATTTGATTCCTATCTAATGGACTTTTCTGTGCTAGGAACGATGGATACTGAATCTGTGAAAATCTACTTTTCATTCAAATTATGTGCTCCTAACTTGCTAAATATCATTTACAACCCTTAAATCTGTGCAGCCCCAAATTGGCAGTAGGCTACGTTATATTTCTAGACTTGAAGCAAAGCTCGAATCATTCAAATGTTTAAAGGGCCATAAAAACAAGAATTGTAGTTTCAAGTGTATATAGACTTTAAGGGAACCAAACTCTGTTTTTCAAAGTCTTTGTTACTATTTTTGTTTCTATTTACCAATGCTTAGATTTAAGTCTAGCGAAAATATATATGCTAATAATTTCTTTAGTCTTGCAAGCATTCATCTTTCTTTTTTTCAAACTTATATAGGACCACATCTGGATGATTGCAGGAGTTTGGTAGAGATTCCATCCTCCTTTTTGCATCTTTATCCATATCATATTAAATGATAAAAGAGTAAATATGCAAATATGTATCTATGACTTTTTGCCAAAAATATAGAAAGTCAATTAATAATAAAAAGTTCCTAAGGACCAAAAGTTATATAAATAGAGCCATTCATAAAACTTTAAAAAAGTCTTAATTTCTCAATACTTTCACAAACAAACAAACAAAAAATCTTCATTTTTCAGAATAATTCATAAAAAAAAATTCTATGGGTATTACAAAAACTCTAGTGACTTGTTTACTCATAGTAATATTGACAGTTTCATTGTCCAATTACGATGTTTTGGCCTCAAGTATGTTTATATTTTAAATTAGCTACTTGTTTTTTAATTGGCGTTGGTCACTTAAAAAAACAAAAAAGTAGCTTAACGTTTTTTAAATAAATGAGCAGGTCTTTGTTATTTGTTCTTTTTAAAAATAAAACTTAGAATGTCTTTGTTTTTTGTGTATATATAGTCATATAGACATGCATTCTAGAGTTTCGTAAATATTATATTACTTGAACATCTTATAAAACTGTTTCTTTTTAAAATGTTGTAAATTTATATGGTAATGTGGACACACATACATTTTGGTATTGATAACTCTTGTATTGGCGAATTTTTGTAGATGCAAAGACAGAAAAGATTTCAAATGACCATTGCACTATTCCGTGTTCGAATACATATGGACACCATGAATGTGATTTTGACTGTAAAATGGCTGGTTATCACACTGGAGAATGTGTTTCTCGCTCTCCTAAAGAACCTGCAAGATGTTGTTGCCAACCATATCCATATTAATCCTCTCATTAATGATCGTATTGTGGCATTTATTCTATAAACTATTAATGGACTTAGTATATCTCTCGTGATTTTTGTAATAAATGCGATGAATTAAAAAAAAATGTTTTAAATATGTAGTATTATTTTTAGTTTTTTTTCCTTCTTCTTGCCATCTATTATGAAATATGTCAATCCTCTATCACAATAAAAATCTCGGAATTAACTGACTTTTGCATGCCGCTGAAAAACTTGACGGAATAGTAGACGTTAGGGAACAAGTTAATGATAGAAAGTCAGTTTCGAACATTTTTGTCAATGAGTTGAGTCAAATTGGAGAGGGGAGTAAGGGGCTCTCCATGCCGACGTCCATTTCTTTCCCTCCAAAGAGTGTGCACTGTAATCTGAAACACATACCTCATAAGAAAGAGATGTTCTCAATACTTTAACAACACAAAACAAACAAAAATCTTCATTTCTCAGTAGAATTCATAATAAAAAAAAGGGTATTACAAAAATTCCAGTTACTTGTTTACTCATAATAATATTGACACTTTTGTTGTCCAATTTTACGTTTATATTTTAAGCTAGCTATTTTTGTAAATAGCTATGGTCAGATTTGTTTTTGAAACTTTGACTTTAATTTGAAACTATGCATATTATTTAATGATAATAAGTAAATATATAAGTATCTATATATGACTTTATTTTGCCAAAAGTTAACTTTTGACCAGCAAATATGAGAAAGTCAATAAATATTAAAAAATTCGTAAAGACCAAACGCTATATGCTTTAACATCCAGACAACTGTTGCATTAAAAAAACTATGGAACTTACAAAAACTCCAATGACTTGTTTACTCATAGTAATATTATTGATAAATTCGTTGTCCAGTTATGATGTTTTGGCCTCAAGTACGTTACAATTTAAGTTAGTTATACTGTAAACATTATGATCATTTTTTATATATCTAGTAGGAATTCATGTTTTTTAACGAGCATGTCTTTGTTTTTTGTGTGTTTATATACTCAATAAACATAGACATTCATTCTACAGTTTCTTAAAATTTATATTACTTGGACATCCTATATAACTGTATTGACATGTTATAAATACATATGACACAAATATATTTCCGTATTGATTAAAATTTAATTTTTTTGTGAACCTGTGCAGATGCTAAGATAGAAAAGGCTTCATATGGCCTTTGCACTATTTTGTGTTCGGATACGTACGGAGATTATGAATGTTTTTTCGACTGTCAAACGAAGGACTTTGGAAAAGGAGGAGAATGTACGAATTCACCTTCTCCTGGAGATCCTCCAAGATGTTGTTGCAAAGTATAATATTTGTATTGTTGCAAACTATTGGATTTAATATATCTCTCGTGATAGTCTCCATAATACCAAACTATTGGATTTAATGGTTGAGCTGTCCGCTCGACGTAATGGATCCAATCACCATCGGTTAATACCAAATATTGCCAAAAACAAAACAAAAAAAAATCTAAAAGAGGACGAAAATGCTGAAAGTAAAATATAGAAAAACATAGCTAAATCGAAAACGTATATCGCTCGCATCTTCTAGTCCATCATACAAGAAACATGTGTCGTTTGTCTTCTGGACGCTGTAATAACTTGGGTTACTTACTTACTTGTCGTGTGCTGGTTGGAGATGTTTAGGTTTATGGCTTCGCCCCATGGTTGACTATATAATTAATTCAAATTTGCTTTTAAGCTTTGAGTCTATTAACCATTTTCAGTTATGAAATGAGCAGTATTTCTTTCTGATGCATTTCTATCAGTAGTATTAAATTATAAATACGTTTTGGTTAATTAAATACGGTTGTCAAATTTGGTTTTAGTTTGAAAAGTCAAATTACGATTCGGTTGGAATTCGGATCGATGAATTTCAATTCAATTTTGTTTGGTTCACAATAGTTAAATATTTTGAAAATAAGGAAAACAGAACCCAACACTTAGCTCATGTCCACTAAAATATAAGTAAAATATAATTATATAAGTAAAATATAAGTAAAATATTAGTAAAAATTAAGCAAAATATAAGTAAAAAGTAAACAATTTAGCATTTTTATGATTGTTACTTTTCATATTTAAAAAAAATGATTATATGTATAATAACATTTATTATACTGCTGGTTGAAAATGTTGGCACGTGTTGATTGGAAATGTTGGCATGTGTTGGTTGAAAATGTTGATGTTAGTGACTTCACCGCCCCACTCCTCTAGATCTGCATGATCAGTGAGTCGGGTGAAGATTTCTGTGGGCCAATACCCTACTGTGTCAAGGGTACTGCGGTTGTTAAACCCAACAGCCAACCACCATAAGTCAAGTTTAGAATCCTACAATTATTATTATAAATATTAGAAAACAATATTTATAAATCAATGAAATAATGAAAACTAAAAATGTTTAACCTTCCAAATATATATTGTCATCTGGATCTGAGTGCCCCCAACTGTGGATGTATGGGAAATAACCCTCAATGGTGATGTGGCGACTCATCTGAATGAAACCCGGTACCGATAGAGGAGAATTTTGATTGTTTGGATTCGTCAGTTACTGGTGGGAACAAGTTTGCAACAAAAGAACATGTAGAAGCATTTAACAACGCTTGATGCTCACCGATAACATAATCCTTGTTCTTTGAAGAGAGAGAGAGAAAGAGAGATTTTATAGGGGAAGAGAGAGAGGTGAAGTGAACTGATGAGTCAAGAAGAAATATCAATAGGAAGAGATTCCGACGAATCAAGGTCAAAGAATCGTGATCGAAAAAGATTAATAAATAAACGGTTAATTAGGGTGGAGAGCTGAGCTCAAAGCTCTGATACCATATTAAAAAAAAAATACTGAAGAGTTTCTTCCTTATATACAAGCTGTGTTCAAAAAAACGGGCAAAACGCCGTTTAATCGGAGAAAAAAACGTGCATCGGACGGCCACCGTTCGATTAACCTTAACCGTGTGGTTCATATTTGGTCAACGGTCAACGACGTCTTTTTTTTTTTTTCGTTCTCTCACGCTTCTCTCTCTCTCTTCCCTCTCCCTCTCCCTTCTCTGCCTCTTCTTCCTCCTCCTCCTCTCATCCTCACTCTCCCTCTCCGTAATCAGATTCAGATTCTGATTCCGAGGCCGAGCCACTACTCGAATCATCATCGTCACGTGTTTCCTACTCCGTCTTCTCCGAGATTTCATAATCAAATTTCCGATCTGACTTCCTATTCCCTCTCCGTTTTTTACTTTTGCGTCTCTCTTCCTTCTCCGATTCCGAATCGCTCCCACTTTCCAAATCCGAACCACAGCCATACTCTTTGCCGTCTTTTGATTTCCTCTTACTTTCACGGCGACTCACATTGATCCTCTTCTTCATCAGACTCATTTCCGTCACCGCTTGCTCTCTCCCGGGATGATTAAAAATACATAGAAGCATCAGTTATTATTGCCATAGAAGCATCAGTTATTGTCGTTGTTGTTGAAATTAATGTTGACAGTGGAGTTGTTGTTGCTGTTGGGGATGATTCCCTTCCAATGGTTTTGTCTCTTGGATATTTTCTGTTGGAGTTCTTCGTCGTGATTAATGGTGGTTTAGGCACATGGTTTTATTGAACCGACATAATTGAGGTTTCCAGTAGTGAATGATTTAATATTTGATTCGACCAAGCAATTTCAAAGTTAACTTTTCTACGCTATCATTTAAAATAAGTAATTGAAGTAACAACTAGTATTAATATTGAGTAAAAGAATAGAATACATGAAGTAGTAATAGGCTTTCATACAAGAACTAAGGGAAAATAGCATTAAATACTACATAATCTAAGGAGTATATTTTTTGGAATATGATTATAGTTATATTATATATATATATAGGTAAATGTTTGAAAAATATATAAAATATAGTCAAAATTTCATCCCCGTTTAATCCCCGCTTAATTTCCGTTTTTTGAAAAATCTCAAATTCCAGACCGTCCGATTAACGATTTCTGATGTTTTTGAACATAGTATACAAGTATCTAATTCACTATACTACTATACGGAGTATAACTTTAACCGAGTATTTAGAAGAGAATGTACGTTTACTCTCTATATATTAACCATTCTCATGCATATATATTATATTGTTTGTTGGACCCCCGGCCCCATCGCAGAGTGAGAAAAGGATTTTTAACTGCCAATCATTATCTAGTTAATTACAAAATTAACCGTGGTAGTTTAATGATTAAAATTACATACGGAAGCCTGAATCATTTTACATCAATGATTTGGCTACGTTGTTAGTTGGGGACCTGTGTAGTAGGGTTTTGGTTTACTCTGTCATGAATGACAACAAAATAAGAATGTTTTCCGAAAACTGGACTGTACGTCGTTTTCGTCACTGAAAAGTACTTACAGATAAATAAAGTTCTTTCTTTTGGAACATAATTGAAAAAAAGAAAATAAATTAAATCTCATTATTTTTTTTGTAAGCTTATTATAATGCGTTTGTGTTTACTTCATCGAAGTGTTCTTTACATGCCGATCTTTTTGGGCAATTTATATAACTTAGATACAATTTTCATGGTTGACTATGTAACTAATTCAAAATTGCTTTACTCAATTCTGATCTTATGATATATGAAAGGTAGCAATTATGAAAGATGCTAATTTGTTTACTTTTTGCTTATATTTTACTTATATTTTACTTAATAAAATGGTTATAGGACCACATTTATGTATTCCTAAAAAAGATGTATAATAATTCTGTTTTTGGGTTGTTGTCATAATTCTCATCTATACTATAGTGACAAATTATATACTATGGTATTGGTAATAAGATTATACCTAACAGAGTTTAGATTTTTTTCAACTAAAAAACACTTGAATATGTGTAAGATACTCAATACTCCTAAAATACATTTATCAGTTGTACATGATTGTATTGGATAACAACGAGATAACAACCTTATATTTTTATTTCATTTTATTTTATTTTCATTTTCACACAACATTAAATTGTGATTTCATAATATTTATTTCTCAATTTTATAGATTGTTTATTATTATAAAAGTCCATGCACGTACCTGGTGTCCGCTATTGTATTGATTTGTGGCTTCTGAACTGCTTTTGTACAGCTAAAGTCTTGATGTGAAGAATTCTCCAATGAGTCACGTGCAAAGCCGAAGCCATTGACGCTGATAACACGTGAGAATATCATAAACAAGCTGAGATTGATTGGGTAAGGAAATAAACACAATGAAAAACAGTAACAAAAATGGGGAAAGGTTATTCTGTTTGTTATGTACCCGATAAGACATATGACCACCAGGAACGACCACCGGAGTACAACATAAGCATTTTATATATACACATACGCCTTTTTTATGATACTCAATAACTCAAAACTATAACATTATTGTCCCACTTAATTTATTCTCAGCTTTTGAAAAAGGTCTCTTTCAAAACAGCATTAATGTGGTCCCTGATTAAATTACACAATTAGAAGAGGAATAAAATATATGGAACTCATTCCTCCTCATATTTTATAAGGAATATTTTAACACTATAATTCTCTAATTAATATGGAATGGTAAGGAATAATATGGAATACACATTCCTTATAAATGGTGTGATTTTTAAGGAACGAAAGGGAATTGTCTTATTCCCCTCGTTCCTTAGTCACCAGTTACATCCATAAGTAATTCTAGAACTGAAGATTTAGTGTTCTAGCAAAATAAGTAAACTAGTTAAATATGATAACATATGTATGTGTGGAGACAACGAAGGAGTTCTCAATCCTCACTAAACGTAATTAGACAAAAAAAAAATCTTGAATTTCTATGACATTAAAATGTCTAGGCACGCTCTGCATATATGGCAGTGCTAAAACCGAGTAGATTAGAATCAGAGTAAACAATGTACCAAAAGTACATAAAGCAAAGAGTTGAGTTTAACTACAAAGAATTATTGTCAATCGGAGTCCAAAATCTCACATTACCTTATATTTAATTAGTTCGCCCATATGTACTTCATGCGATTCCTTCGAAAGATGAGGTTATTGCGGTTTCTAAACCCTCAAGAAACTACAAAGAAATGAAATAAAAGGTTAACATATATATATATATATATAGATGTATATGAAAACTAAGCTAACATAAAATCAAAACCCACTTACTCTTGTACTGGGAATTATCACCCTTGGTGGTATTGATTTTGGTTTTGTGGCCCTTGTAACATCCCATCTTCTTCTTCCGCCTGTTCATTATCTTCTTCCATCTCAACTCCAACCTCTTCTTCCATTTCATCTCCACCCTCCTCTTCAATCCCATCTCCACCCTCATTTTTCAAAAGATATGAGATATTAATCTTAATCTCAGGATTATACCCATTTTCAAAACCAACTCCACCAATGTCCCAAGGTATTAGTGTTGTATCTTCTCCTTCAAATTGCTCCTCATGTGTTAAGTTATTTTCAGTTTCAGTTGCGAAAAATGTAATTTGTATTTGGTTTTCCTTTTGGTTGTTGGTAAAAGTTACCAAAAAAACTAATAATTTTCAGATCTAATCATACCAAGCCAACTCAAAAAAAATGGGTATTGTTTTTAAAACCAAACAATCAATCAACCAAAACTTCTTAAACAAGATTTGTGTGAATGCAGAAATAAAAATTGTAACTTAAGAAGTCAAAATTGAAGTTACCTTTAGGTGGTTGTTGTAACTTCATCTGTAAACAAGGAGTTGGAAATATATAGCATTTATTTCACGTAACCGATGTGGGACATTTCTCCAACTCTCTCTTCTTCACTTAACAAAACAATCCCTAATTAGCTCTTGACGGAGATTTTTTTTTCAAATTCCGAATATGACGACGACGATCTCTCAGCATGATTTGTCTGATGATGGAGATTCCTAGACTTCCATTTTTGTTGGAGTTGGTTCTTCCTCTGCTTCAATCTCTCCGATTTTGTGAGAAACATTGGAAACATGGTTTTGGGGAAGAAGACTACGATAGAAGCCGGAAACAGATGACGTGACCATTTCTCTAATCCATGTCAGCTCTAGATTTTGCATCATGCTTGGAGATCTCCAAGTACCTCTTCAAAGGTACGTACACTCTTTCGGCTTGTTTTCAGAATTGGCTTACATTGATTATAAACATCTAAAAAGGGGAAAAGGCCACATGTGGCCGACTAATTTGATTGATTAAATTCTATTTTACTTGTCTTATAGAATGCATACTTTCGATGCCTTTTGGGGTTGAATTTTTTTGAATTGAAGGTAAGATCCAATTGGTTCCACGCAACAAAACCATTAGGCGGCACAGCTTCTTGCGACTGTTGAGTATTTTGAAAGTTGAGCTCGTGTACAATCGGCTCCACCACTGTGGGATCCCTCAGATTTTTGTCTTTCTCTCGAGCTACAAGACCCTGAGAAAGAAAACCAAACAAACTCTAGTATGGCTCAGAGATAATCCGTAAAAGAATGTTCAGATTGTGTACCTCAAGATCAGACAAAATCTCTTGGCAAGTGTTGTATTCTTTAGTGGTAAGAGCATGTCCATCAGGGTCTCATAAGGGTCTCTCAACATTAAAAGAAAAAGAAAAATAAATAAAAAAGAGGAAAGAGAAGGTGAGTGATAGAAAGACTGTGAAGCAAAATATGAGAGACCTTGAATGATGTGGCATTATATAATTGGTTAGATTTCCATTTTTTTAAAATTTAATTATTTTTTTAAATTATATTAATTTAATATGTAATATGAGACTCAATATAGAGTATCACCGATGGACATGCTCTAAAGGCACTCTTGAAATCTGTTAGTTGACTTAAAAGCTCACTGTTGGAAGAAGAATCCATCTGCAGAGACAAAGAAATTTTGATCAGAAGAAGAAGAAGAGAAATTAGTTGCTAAAAACAACTTGTACAATCTCGGCTCTACCACTGCATTGACAGGGGGAAGAGGAGCGTTCTCTCTAAGATCCTTCTCTTTTTCTTGGGCTACAAGATCTTGTACAAAGATTGAACAAACTCAAGAAACGCAAGTATGGCTCAAAGATAATCCGTAAATGTATGTTTAGATTGTCCCCTATGAATTTAAGAAAATAGTGTAATTTTGTAAGGGTTTTTCATTATGTCCCTATTGTTATATTATTTTATGCCTCTTTGCTAGTAATTTTCTCATACATTCTCATCTATAAAGACATATTATTTTATTTGACCCCATGAAACTTTGTTCTAGATTCGCCGCTGGTTACGAAGACATTTCTGATTCAGCAATTTGGGAAGATTTACGAAGAGACTTCTGATTCAGCAATTCCTCTAGCGACGAAGAAGAAGCAGAAGCAGAGATCAAGCGGGAAGATACGAAGAGACTGATTCGTAAAAGTGGCCGAGTACGTCGAAGACTTGGAACGAGTGGAGTCTTTGCATCAAGGCTCTTTCTATTAAAACTACGTCGTTTCTCATTTGTCACTCTTCTCGTATTTAAAGGACCCAACTTGTATTGTCTTCAAACATGATATGTATTTGGAGCAACACGAAAATGTTGTATAATATGTTTTTGAAAAATATTCCATTTAATAAAAAGGTCAAAATTCATGTATTTCATAAAAAGTTGTCAAACTTAAATGTTATCTTTAGCATTTATTTTACGTAACCGATGTCGGACATTTCTCCAACTCTCTCTTCTTCACTTAACAAAACAATCCCTAATTAAGCTCTTGACGGAGAAAATTTTCAAATTTTCAGTATGACGACGACGATCTCTCAGCATGATTTTGTTGGCGATGGAGATTCCGAAACTTCCATTTCTGTAACTGTTATTGAGGTATTAACCTTTCACTCGTCGATTTCTTCTTCCGCGGCTTTTTGTTTAACACCACTGGTTTTTGGTCTTGCTCTTGCGTGTAGAATATGAAGGAAGAGTACGGCTTGTTTGTTTGGCCTTGTAGCGTTATCCTCGCTGAGTATGTTTGGCAACACAGATCTCGATTCCGCGACTCTACGATTCTCGAGGTAAGCGAAATTGGGACTATGTGTGATTGTGTTTGAGCTAAGGAATCAGCTTCATGTAATTGGGACTATGTGTGATTGTGATTCTACTACGATTTTGATTTTGTTGATTACAGAATTGGGACTATGTGTGATTGTGTTTGAGCTAATGAATCAGCTTCATGTAATTGGGACTATGTGTGATTGTGATTCTACTACGATTTTGATTTTGTTGATTACAGAATTGGGACTATGTGTGATTGTGTTTGAGCTAATGAATCAGCTTCATGTAATTGGGACTATGTGTGATTGTGATTCTACGATTTTGATTTTGTTGATTACAGAATTGGGACTATGTGTGATTGTGTTTGAGCTAATGAATCAGCTTCATGTAATTGGGACTATGTGTGATTGTGATTCTACGATTTTGATTTTGTTGATTACAGAATTGGGACTATGTGTGATTGTGTTTGAGCTAATGAATCAGCTTCATGTAATTTTGTGTAGATTCCTTAATTTTGCTTAGACTTGTGTTGATTGAAATTGCAGCTAGGAGCTGGGACTTCATTGCCTGGTTTAGTAGCTGCAAAAGTTGGGGCTAATGTAACACTTACGGATGCTTCAAGTAAAGCAGAGGTATAAATATAATGAAATTGTGTTGACAAGTTTTGTTTCACTTGGTGCAAAGATTATGAGATTCACTGGTTATTTCGACTGCAGGTTTTGGAGAATATGAGAAACGTTTGTGAGCTAAACAAGCTCTGCTGTAATGTAATCTATACAACAAGATCATTCATTTCTTGAAACTCTGAAAAGTTTTCTTGCTGTAAGTTCTTGTGGTTGCGTATTGCAGGTGATGGGTCTAACTTGGGGAATGTGGGATGCATCGATATTTGATTTGCGGCCTAATAACATTATACTTGGTGCTGATGTTTTATATGATTCAAGTGGTTAGTTTCGTTTTCTTCATCTCTTTTTTGCCTTTCTTCTCCATGAGTTTGAAATGTTAATTTGACTCCTCTGTTTTGTCTTGTAAAAGCGTTTGATGATCTCTTTGCGACCGTCTCGTTTCTGCTCCAAAGCTCTCCAGATGCAGTTTTCATCACTACGTATCATAACAGGAGGTACACACACAATTCTTGTTATTGGTCAATCTTAACATATCTGCAAGATGATTAAGACGGCGATTTTTCATAATTTGCAGTGGGCATCATCTAATCGAGTTCTTGATGGTGAAATGGGGTCTAAAGTGCGTTAAAATTCTCGATGGCTTCTCATTCTTGCCACCTCGCAAGGCATCTGCACTCAGCGGCAACATTCAATTGGTTGAAATCGTATTGAATTCAGCTTATGAAACAAGATCACAAGAAACCTAATATATTGCGTGGTTAAACTAAAACCAAGATTCAGAATCAGAATATCAAAACAGTAACCAAATTTAGCTAAAGCATAGAGACGAGTTTCACTTTAACAGTTCGTTTTTTCCCCAACACATAAGAAAAATGTACAAAACGAGTGATCTCTCTCAAGAGTTTTCAGTAGCTGAAGCTATGATTCTAAGCCTGCTCGGCGGCTCTTGACTCTGTTCTTTCCTTCTCCAGAAAGCCCGTCTCCACCAAACCTCAAAGCCTCTCTGAATATTGGGACAGTCTTCGTTCGAATTCAAGAACCGATCAAACCAAGCCAAGAAGAACTCTTGCTGCCAAGCAAGAGGAAGAGTGAGAATCGTACTGCTCAACCCATCCTCGATCAAATACCGGTCAAGCCCTTTCGACGCTCTCCTCATCCACGCGAAGTCATCGTAAAAAGGTTTCAACCAGTTCCTAAGCAACAAACACCTCACTTCCTTCGGAGTCAGAATCTGCCCCTTCCCAATCCCAACAAATAACCTCGCCGTGACTCTACTAATCTCAAACCTATGAACAACCGGAACCTTACCGTGAACCTCACATAGCTCGGAGAGAGAAGCCCACGTCACAAGAAAATCCTCTGCGATCTGTCTATCGATCAAGATATCCAAGATCCAATGCAGATTATCCGCTTGTCTCGCGATCTGCTCAACATCTTCCAAATCAGACTCCGCTGCTTGAAGAAACTGCCGCTTCAGCTTATGCAAACAACCGTCACAAGCCAAATACAGAGACTCTTTCCTAAGATCGTTCCCTGAAGAGTTCTCTCTAAGCATTTTCGAGACGAGCGTCTTCATGTCACGCCTCGCTTTCTCGTCTTTCCCTTCGAGCACTATGTGCAAGAGATTCAGCAGCACCTCGTCGTTGCTGCTCCCACCACTGTTCCCATTGCTGCTAGCTTCTACAGAAACCCTTCTCAAAACCTCTGTTGCTCCTACGTTCTCCAGATGTAGCTCAGATAGCAACGAAGCAATCCTGTGTTCTTCATCCTCTGACCATGGTGCTGCTTCCAAGTACTCTAGACACGAAAGCACTCCTGCATCAAATCCAATTGCTGCTGAAACCTGAGAGAACAACAACAGTGAATGATTTTCAATTCAATCATTAGCAAATTGAGTTTGTTCAGCTCAAAGACTAGAGTTTTGAGTATTGCTCAATTACCTTCAAGATACCGAGAACCCTAGAAACGTCGTGCCTCATCATCTTCTTCCTAAGATCTCTACAGTACATGAGCATCAGCGTCTCGATGTAAACCTCAACGTCGTCGCAATCGGAGATCTCGACGATGTACGGAGAAGAAGACGGAGGAAGCTGCTGCTTAGACCATCGATCGGATAATTTCATAGCGAAGAATCTGCTGTGAGCTACGAGGATCTGCCTGTGCACGCACATGGTGATGATAATCCCGTCTTTCGAGCTCAGAGTCAGCTTGACGTCACTCGAAGTCGGGTCGTTGAACTGGTTCCCGGGGCTCCGAATCATCAGAAGATCCGAGATCCGCTGCATTGCGAGCGCCTGCTTGTCCTGAGCCGAAATGACGAGATGATTCCCGTTCGTCGTCCTCGCAGCCACAGCCGCCGCCGACGAAGACGACGATGATGATGAAGACGAAGACGGAGGCGCGCCGTTCTGGATCTGAACCGGAACTCTCCCTATAGTATCAGCTTCGCTAGCCATCATCTCGAATAACGTCGGACTCGATCGCGTCTTGTCGTGCATCGCCGGAGGCGGCGGTGGAGACATCGGATTCAGAAGACCCGCCGTTAAAGCGGAATTAAACTTGGTGAAGCTCGACGGGATTGAAGAGTCACGCGGCGAGCTGTAACCATTCGCCGCCGTAGACGCAGTCGTCGTCGTCGCCGTAGAGAAGTCCATGACAGGAATGATCCTAGACGCCGAATTCGGATCCAAAACGGGTCGGGTCGAAATGTTCGGGTTCAAGCGAGAGAGTGTGTAGTGACTAGTGACGATGGTTTCACTGCAAAAGGAGCATAACCGTTGAGGAGAAGACGTAAACCGGGTCGAATTTTCGGGTTAAAACCCGACATTACGGGCTTGACCCGTAAACCCGATATTTTGGTTTGTGAAAGCGAATCTCGTGATCGTAATTGATGCCATGACAGTGCCTGAAATGATAAATGCGCAACGCTTAGAATTTAGTGCAGATTTTTTATTTTATTATACTTTCTGTGATTTTTTATCGATGGGTTTATATTTTATAACTTTATATTGGGCTTTGGTAGTAACAAAGATGCTCGTTGTTTCTCGAATTAATCATTAATCGCATTAAACTCAAGATAATTAATGCTCTTTTGTGTATATAATTACCCCAAAAACGGATGTGATTAGTTAATGAGAACAAAAATATCAGAGAAAGTAAACTGTGATGCTTGTCGAGAAGCGAGTAAATTTTTCAACGAATTTTGTTTGTAGTGTGGGCCCAAGCCCAAATGCAGGATGAGCCACGACACTGTGATGACGATTTTTGTTTTGGAGGTTGTATGATTTGGTGGAGGCCATCATCATCATCATTCACTATCATCAGTTTTTGTTTTATTCTGATCTCAAAAAATCATTCTTTTGTTAGATTTAATTTTATGATTTGTCTGTATTGTGTCTTGATAATGATTGGATATAAATTGACGATTAACTATATCAAATTCTCAATGCAGAAATCAAAGAAAGGATATAATTTGTCTTTCTTGAGATTTCCAACTGTTTGCATAAGAAATAAACAAATTGAATTGATACTTACTAAAACAAAGGTTATACACTTATACATTTGAATAGTAGAACTTTGAAGTTTGGGCTCATAGTCTCATACATAGTGGCCCAATTGCATTCATGTGACAATTGGTTAAGTTTAGTCATCTGACATGCGTATTTTTGGCCGTATAAAGTGATGATTTGTATAAAATAAAAAAGTAAGAAATTGATCTTGAAGAAAGGGGAAATCAGAATGTGAAAAAGCAGACAAGAAATGAAGCTTTTTCTTTTTATAAAGGACACAGGTGAAATTAACAACCAACAATGCAGATTAAAAAAAAAAAATTCGTCAGGTCATATTTTAAAATTTTACATGTTTGGTGGGCGATAATAATATGGTTTAATGCAAAAGTAATTTGTCACTTTGCGTAGACATAGCCAGTTAAGATAATCGATTCCACTATCAAACCTATATTAAGTTTACTACATGTAGAGATCCTTTAAACAAATCTATATATATGTAACGTATAGTAGATAACATCGTCTTATAGTGATCGATCAGTTGACAAAAACAATTTTCTATTAGAAAACTTTTATTCAACGAAATTTTCTTCAATAGCTTCTTTTAATAACCAAAAAAGTCCAAATATATATATATATATATATATATATATTGTTTTGTTTTCAATTTCAGGTAAAGATATCCATACCTATAAACATTATATAATACTCTTTTAGTTGTTTTATAGACAACAATTTTTTTTTTTTAAAAGCCATTAGTAATGAAATATTTATTTATTTATTAGGAATGAAAAAAAAAGTACAAAAGAGTAACGTGAATGGAAGGCACGTTAGTTTGCCCGGTAGAAGGAGAGACAACAGATTCGCTGCTTCAGGTTTGTATTAGCTGTCTTTGTACTACTGTTTCAGTAACTCTTTTTAATGCCTTTTTAAAAAGATCTTTTACTATTTTGATGTTTTATATATATACATATATACACCATCTAACTTGATAAAATAATACATAAACAAAACTAGTTATAGAATGAAAACTTTCAATGGTGACTGTGTTTGCCGTGGTTAGATAAAGAGTGATAAACACAAAGTACAACAAACATATTTGATCATTATTCAATAGTTTGTGTTGATCTCTGTAAATTTGTTACTTGCTAGTCTTATATTTTCAGCTCACTTAAGATTACTAGTAATACAGAAAAAAAATTACCATCCCGTTTTATCATGTGCATGCATCACATGATGCATGCATTGGTTTATATTGGTGGTTTTTATTTTTGTCATTGCTAATACTTTTTGTCAATAATTTTTACGTTATGTGCTAATAGACTTATACACAAAATAGTATGTTACACGTTTTCATGTTGGCTACTGCTTACTAGTATCAGATGTATGAAAATGTCCCTCACCCAACGTAAATTTAAATTGCGTGACCACATATGCAGAGTGTACGGTCTGACAAATACGGATGTTAAAATGGTATATATTTATAAACGTTAGAAAGAGACGACCCATCATGAAATTAATAGTATTTCTTTATTGTTTTCTTCCTAACGAAAAGGAAAAAGAAAAGCGGCATTCAGAAAAATATAAAGCCACGTGGTCCAAGTCAGACTACATGACCAATCATTAACATTTGAGAAATTTTCATTATATAAAAACAAAAAATAGTAAATAAAAAAATAATATAACCAAACACAAAAATTAGGAGTGTTCCATCTGAATAAATTAACCAAACATAATTTATTTGAACAAACATAAAAAAAAAATGATCTACAGAGATCAAATCAGTGTTAATTAACTTGGTAAAAATACAGAATTAGTAGTTTTGAATAAATTTGTCAAACAAGAAGACATTTTAGTGTATATGTTAATGGTATATTCTAACTATGATTAGCTGGGTGTATAAATAAATAAAAAATAACTAGCGTGATTAGTTGGTCGCTTACTGACAAAACGACAGTGTCTGACATGCAAAACTGGAATGAATTTTGTAGTTTTCCGTTGAGTTAGCAGACAAGTTTCAAGTTAAAGATGTTTAACTCTACTTTTTAAAAAATTAAAGCAAATTCTTGCAATATTTGTTTACTGTGTCTGTCTCTCTCTTTTCTCTTCTTGGTTCCATAGTAATAGTTTAAATCCTGCAAAGAAGCAAAGCATGTTGCCACTACAGTAATCTCCGTACATAACCAATACATTTATACAACAAGTTCTTTATATGTGTAGTAAAATAACTTATATTCTTACACAATACAGCAATGCATATCATTTCTTAACATATTACAAAGTTACTCCGTATGAATTTACAAAACATTATTAATTTTTGTAAACTGATTTAGTTTGTTAAATTAGTTGTCCAGACAAAAGGGATTGATCTTGGCTGGATTAAGCTGGCCTATCTGTTAATATATCTCCAGTAACGCCAAAAACTGACAGTTAGTGAAATATATTAGAGATTGTTTAATTATTTGCCTAACACTTTTTCTATATGTAATGTAAACATCATACAGGAGAGTGTGGTAATTTTGATCTGCTTTAAACTTGATTATGTGGGAGACAAATAGCTCAATGGTTTTTGTACTCTCACACCTTTTTTAGGCTTTTAATTTATCATGTGGGGGATTCAAGGTTATCCAAAGTACATTTTATGTTGACAACACAAAAACCTATTGGATTAAACATAATGCAATGTTGGTCAATTTACTTAGATGCATAATCAAACTGACATATAACAGATATATGTAATGTGTATAGTTGCAAATAAAAAGGTGTTAAATGCAGGAATGTGAAATGTTGGGGGAGAAGATGGAGAGTGTGTGAGGTGGGTCAGTGCTGCTTTGGCTCTTTCGTACATTTTAGTCAGATTCCCATATGATCCCTCTCTAGAAATAGATCCCAAAATATTCTTGGTTAATGAGTTATAGTATTATATTCTAGAAGTTTATTCGAAAACGGAATCGAAATCGAATTTTAAGAGCTATATAGACTTTTCTACGTACGTAGTTAATTTAGGTCATACTATGGTTTCGTAAAAGTCAATAAGTGAAAAATCGTAATAGCAAATGACGGAGATGTAGACTGATGACAGTTCGACTTCGACATGTGAAGATACAAACGTTGATTTGGATTTGAATTCCCTCAATAATTGTTATAATGTCGAATAAAATCGGATTTTGCTAATTACGGTTTCGTCTTGTTTAATAGCCAGCTAAGATATTCTGGTACATGTTTATAACATACAATGTGATTTGATTCTTCATGTTTTATGATTTACATCATGATGTGAAAGAAGATCCTATTTTGATGGTAACCAATAATATTTTTCTATTAAGTTAGAAATATAATTGCATAATCCAAAATAGGTGTAGACAAATTGGAATGAAATGAACCTAACGATCTGTCTTTACCTTAATAGTTTGTCTTTGTCGTGTTTCCGGATATACATTAATACATTAATGATTCTCTAAAATGGCATTCAAACTAGCCTAATATACTCAGCTCCATTATTTTTTGCAATTCGATCAGATTTTTTCTTTTAATAACTACGTACTTAATTCATTTTTTTGTTTAATATTCACGGTTTTTTTTTTTACAACAAAAAAATGGTTTTGTTATGTTAGCCACATCATATGCATTATTTCATCATGGTAAAACGGTTTTGTTATGGTAACTTTAAACCTAATGTTTCAAGTTTCAACATAAAAAGAATAAAAAGATTTGCATGGACTTAATTTTTTTTTTCACCTAGTTAACGTTAAATCCAATGTAACATGGAAACTTTAAACCTAATGTATTTCTAACTACATGCACATTAGGAAACTTCTACACTATTTGACATTGAGGAGAAGAAAAAACTTACTAAAATTATATATATAATGAAGGAATAAAAACAAGTCAATTAGTCTCTATCTATATTATTATAACCTAAAGAAACATCATCACCACATTCCTCGCCACATCCTTTTCATCAAGAAAAACAATTTAACTAATCAAACACCAAAGAAAACACGCAAACAAACACATACATTATGGACGATTAAATTAACAAAGACAATAACTTATTAACTAATCACATCTCATTTCTACATATATATAAATTCCCACCCTCCTCCATATTTTCATCACAATCCAAAACTCTCTCTCTCTTCTCTCTCTAACGGCAAGGCAATGGGTTTTCCGGTGGGCTATTCAGAGCTTCTTCTCCCAAAAATCTTCCTTCATTTACTTTCTTTCTTAGGTCTCATCCGAAAACTAATCTCCACAATCTTCCGGGTCATCGGTTTACCCGATTTCTTAGAACCCGACATGGTTTCATCTCCATGGCCCGACCCGCCACCAAACTCCACCACCTCAGGCCACCAACAAGACTCTAACATCTACGCAGCAGCGATGCTAGCCGGAGAGATCTTGCCCGTTGTTCGGTTCTCGGATCTAAACCGACCCGAATCCGAATGTTGCGCGGTGTGTCTCTACGACTTCGAGAACGACGATGAGATCCGACGGCTGACGAACTGCAGGCATATATTCCATCGGGGATGTTTGGACCGTTGGATGATGGATTATAATCAGATGACGTGTCCACTTTGTCGTACGCAGTTTCTTCCTGATGATCTTCAAATGAAGTTTAACCAGAAGCTTTGGTCTGAATCTAGTGACGTTTCTGAACTACTCGCTGAATCATTATCTTAGGGCAGTTTTTTCTTTTTTTTCTTGAAATGGTAATTTAAAAGTTTTTTTTGTACTTTGTTATGAGTATTGGGTTTGGTGGTTGATGGATGTAAATATGTATTAAAAAATAGGTAGTGGTTACAGGTTAGTGAAAAAAAAGAAGAAAAAAAAAATTGTATTATGATATTACATATAGTCTATTCGGAAAAACAGTAAATCCATTTTTGAGTTACTGATTAACCGATTAACAAATGTGTTATCTTGTCTATTAACAAACAAACAGAAAAGTGTTATATTGCCTATCTTTATCAAAATTGTTGAAACAACTCGGAATATTTTCCATGGTACACCAAAGTTTACAACACACAAACAAATACAAGATCGAGTCGTTTAATTTAGTGCATATTCCCTTTTCAGTGTTACTTCTTTTGTTGGCTTTGATCATTCAAGATGGGTTTTGTTCATCCTTATCATTAAGTTACAAGATGCTGAAACTAACATATCTCACCACCATATGTATTTGAAGTGTTTCTACAATCTATATATATAAGTACATATACATAATGTTCCAATCACACTAAATTATTCAAACCATTAATTGGTGAATACTTTCTATTTCCAGCTCAAGTAACCATCGCATCTTCATCATCATTTGTGTAACAACGGTTAGGTTATCTCTATTTTAAAGTAATGTGCCATACTTGATAGTATAAAGTATTTTATGGTCAAGGCCTTAAGGGTCAGTGACCATGTAGATTGTTGAATGATCATCCATCTTTTTGGAATACATGAATTGGTTTTCCTATTAGCTAGTTTCCAAATAAGTTAAGTTTCTACATCGAAACCCTTATTTTGATGAGACAACATATATAATTATGCTACAACATAACTACAATAGGTTTAAACTGAAATACACATCGTTTTTTGCTCTGAAGAGTTTCATAGAAAGAGGTTCAAGATTCTAATTGGTTTGAGAGCAGAGTAGAGAGAGCGTGACGCCGAGAAGCTTCCCATGTGTTGGAAACTTTGGAATATGTTCTGCTGTCGCCACGTGGCATACGTGGAATTGTCTGTGCGTGTGCTTATTTATTTCAAAACCAAATACGAGAGCCCACACGCTTCTAATCATTTCTTGCTTTCGGTTTACAACAAAAAAAAAAAAATTTAAAGAAAAAAAAAACATTTTAAAGTAAACTATGTTGAGATAGTGAAATCATTACGTAACAAAAAAAAAATCTAACTATGATCTTAATGAATGATAATTTTTGTGTCATTAGATTGCCAAAGACAACTAAACATATGCTATTCCAAAAAAAATAAAATAAAAAACTGTTAGATCTTAGAATGATTCAATTATTTTACCATATAGTATTGTGAAGATTTGTCAACCAATACGCGTGTGATGATATAACCATTCAATTGGTTATTTTCTAACATGTTGGTTTTTTCCCTCTAGATGATTAAGATATTTTTACAACTTCAACTTGTTACATAATTCATGAATAAGATAGTTTGTCCTCTTTCTTTTCTTGTTGCTAATACACTGAATATTCTAAATATAGTGGGAGAAGTCATTTAATTAAATTGATAGACCAACTCTTCGAACATTTGTTGTGCTTGACCCACTTTGACTAGAAAGCGTAAAGGCAATAGCAAAGATGGCATGAATGAAATCATTAGCTACAATGTTCAAAAGTTGAATGAGTTCACACTTCGAATATTTTTGTTTTGCCTCCACATTTTTACTATACGCATAGCTAGATAAACTTCCTAACCAATATTATAGCCCAATCCTCGATGGTTCCACGTCCACCCTCGTGCGCAAGGTTCGCTTGTATCAACTAGCTTATGTTATACATAGTACATACACTATTATCATCAATCTTTTGTAATAATATATGTTACCAAATTTGGTCTAATTGTACTTAAAAACGAAACCTATGTTGGATATGCTCGGATTCTTTAGCTTTAGCATTGTTCGTGCAAAGAAACACTACCAAATGTAATGTGGCTTCTACGAGAAAAACACTCAAGAAACAAACTCCGGTTAAGTAGACTTGAACCGGTTGGTATTAACAAATCATAAAATCGAGAATGTGAACATAAACCGAGTACACACATCATATAGAAGAAACACCAAGGTTCTACACTTTTGGTCCATCAAGATCAATAGGAGGAGAGAAAAACACCAAAGCGTTTAGGGCATAAACCGCAAAACGGAAGAAGATAACTGTTCTGCACACACCTACACGAGAGTAACAACAACACTTCGACACAGAAAAAATGAAGATTATCGGTTTAATGATGGGGATAACCGGGAGGCGGGTAAGACGCAGGTGGGTAGGCTTGAGCGGGCGGGTAAGCTGCAGGTGGGTATCCGACTGGTGGAGGCACAGGTTGATCAAAGCGAGACATCTGCTGCGGTGGTGGCACGCCCATTGGTTGAGATCCAAACACTCCGTCTCTCTTGTCCATTTCAAGCTTGTGCTGCGTCTGCATACACGCACAGACCCTACAAGAAGAATCAAGATCATGCGTTTAAAGTGTGAAGATTGTTATTAAGAAAGCGAAGAAACACGTGTGAAGTGAAAAGACATACGTGCAGTAGACCATATCAGAAAAGCAAGAGAGGATCTGAGAAGCCTCGGAAAGTTCATCGCTACCAACAAGGCAAGCGACGATAGAGAATATGCAAGCGATCTGGCTGAGGCAGAACATGAATCCCTGCAAACGCATCAAGATTGGAGGATTTGTTTTTGGACTCAGATTCACACAAACATGCGTTCGGTGTAAAACGGTAAAACTAGAAGAAGGGAAAGAGAGAGTACGATTATGCAATTGTCGCATTGTGTTGTCTGGATGTTGAATTCATCCTGCAGAAGGAAACGAGTAGAGGCCACAGAGTTTCCGAAACAGAGGAAAACCTGAAAGTTTACAATTGCAAGTTGCTTCAATCAAAATGTTCAATCACAGAATCATCAAGAGAACTCATACAAGCCAAAAATATCAAGAACATCAAGTTTATTGGTAAAGCTCTCAAAGATTATGTAATCTCAACAAAGCAAATTCGAATAAAGAGCATACAGAACACATCAACCAGCAAATGATTCATCTTTTCTACGAAAGGGGCTAAAACGAAAAAGAAAGAACAAGAAACTATCCAAATCCTAAGCTGTTTCATTTGGTTCACATAACAGGTAATGTGTAATCCACTGAATGTATAGCTTAAATCTAGGTTCACCTAAAACAAGATAGTATCGAAATTTCACCTCGGTGGCAAGGCAGAGTTGAGGGCATTTGCTTTCTCCACACCTTCCACTGCAAGGCATGTATCCAGCACAGCAAGTATACCTTCACAAAGCAGAAGGAACACACAATATCTAAGCACAGGAAGAAAGAAAATCTTAGACCAATATATTACTACATACTGTAAATAAGAAATCTCATACCTTGACATGTCATCGTAAAGAGCTCTTCTCCGAAGCATGTATGAAACACAAGGTCCACTACAATAAACAAACAAAGAACATATCAAATGTGTATCAAAACATACAGAGAAACAACAACAATCATTCAAATGAGAACGATCAAACGAAACGCACTTGTTAATTCATTCATTCTATTAAGATCAGATCAAGAATCACACTGATTTACTTTTGAGGAGAACAATTGTCTATACTCTACAGAGATTCAATTCACTAGATCATCATCAAATACTGAAAACATGAAAACAGGTTCGAATTGATTCAGTATTTTCTAGTTTGATTCTCAACATGAAGCTAATTGGATTTAAGCGAAAATGTCTCAAAAGCATAGAGCAACAGCCACTTACCATAGACACGCCAAGCAACAATCTGCAAAAACAAAAAAACAAAAATTCAGAAAAAGGAAAATCATTTCTCCAATTGAGATAGAGAAATCGAAAGGAGAGAGTGAGAAAGAGGAGGAGGATTACAGGGAGTATCGGCGGTGGCGGTGCCCATGAGATCAGAGTGCCATAAATTCCGGTAATCCTGCCGGAGCTTCATCTTCTCAAGCTTATCCTGCGACATTGCGAAAATCCCCAAAACGAAGTTCCTGGAAAATGCAAAAACCCTAAAATCAGTAAGCTATAAGTAAGCCGATCAATCGAAAATCAATCGGTTACGAAATGGTAACAAAATCAATTAGAAGAATCTGATCTACTTCACTCACGCGGAAACGTTCTATCGTCTCCTTCACTGTCTCTCTCTCTCTCTCGCTTTCTCTCTTTTTAATTATCTTTTTCAACGAGAAGAAACTTAAATCAAAAGTTTGACTTCTACTTTTTTTTCTGGATAAGTTTGACCCAGAATTTAGCACACTCGGGTTTTGATTGGTTTGAAATTTGACCTCCGGGAAGACTGAAATTAATTATAGAAAACTGATATCTTTATTTCTGGGCCATTACAAACCGGCCCATTAATTCATTAGGGACTAAACTTTTCTTTAAATTGTAGTGTTACTAGTTTAAGATTGATTCAAGAATAAACAAATATGATGATTGATGATGATGATCAACAGTTTAACAACAATCTTTACCTCAGCTGCTACAAAGATTGAGAGTACTAAAATCAGTATATCTTTAACTGGTCTCTCAAGCCTCTTTTATGACCTAATTCATGAAAAAGTGATTAGACATGATCCTCTATTTAGTAAGACGATGTCGTTTAGTTTCTGTATATTTTTCTTATATGACTTCTCTTAAGCTTTGCTTTTGATTTCTGTATATTTTTCTGATTTTAGTTTAATTCTGCTATAGGAAGAGCAATCTGCCTTGAAATGCAAATAAGTTAGTTGTTTTTTTACCAGCCGAATTAAAAAAAAAAAAAAAAACTGATTCCCTAAAGATTTAAGACATTGGCGATTATCCAATGTGCTGCATTGGATCATATGAGAGGGAAAAGAAAAGAGAGACAAGTGAATGTTAAAAGAAAACGCTGTCTTATTACTTGAAAATTTGGAAATCCACACTACAAACCATATAGAAAACAATACGTTTTAGAGTACAAGATAGGAGATGATTAAAGAACATGATCAAACTTGCTCGAGAATGTTTCAATCGAGCTGTATATATATATAGATATATATCATCAGTCTGTAATGGGCAGGACATGAACCCCAATTTGATTAATCATGTTACTTACTTTTCCATGGAACCCGACAATCTTGTGACATTCCTTCTCGAGTGTAAAGTTTGATTCTGTATCGAGTCCAAAGACTTGAGAGGTTCGCATATTGGTCTTGAACGTAAGCATGCGTACCACTCCGGATTCACTTCCATCTTCCGCCTCATAATAACTTCCCTCGAGTGATATTAGGTATTCAGACGGATACTCCAACTCAAACTGCAAAAAAACAAACAAGAACATCACAAGTAAACAATTGATCAAGAACATAAGAGAAATGAAACCAAGTGGGCTCGACCACCCGTTAAAGGACCCTAGGGAAAGCTTAGAGGACACATGATCGAGTGTCCCTTCGGACCGAACCAATATTACATGCTGTTGTTCCGGGCCTTGGGGATGTACGGGCTTCGGCGTGCAGAACCTCATAGTAATTAAAAAAAAAAAAAAAAAAAGTAATCACCTCATCAACTCCAAGTAATGTCTTGCTTCCATGATCATCTCCTACCACCGCCTGATTGTCTTTGTCGTACATAAACTTTACGAATGCGATACCCATCTCGTTGTGTCCAATGTATATATTTCTAATACCATCGAAACCGCCATCGTCCCAAGAAGCTCCTCCGTTACCACCTTGTGCTTCAAGTTTCTCCGCATCAGCAAGAGGAGGCAACGGACTGAAATACGATCCAAGGGCCCAAACAGAACCACTAGCACGTCCATGGAACCCAACAATAGCACAGCCTTTGCTTTCGAGCACAAATTTTCTATCAGTCGCCCTTCCAAATGTTGGAGAGGTCCTTCCTTTTGATGTTCTGAAAGTTAACGATGCAACTAATGTCTCTCTATCGGGTTTCAAAGTCCCCTCCACAGATGTGATCAATTCAGTTGGATAGTCGACCTCAAACTGCAATACAAATGAAAAGCTTCATATAAGCCAGTTGAGTTAAGTATGCACATATAGAGTATTTATAGTTGTAGATATAAGGACCTCTTCATCTTGTCCAAAAATTCGACCGTGCTCAAGCATTTTTCGTTTTGCCTAAGTTGTCATATTCGACCCTGAGACGCCATACCATGGTAGTATCATAATGAACATGCACCTTTCTAACGCCTTGGTAAGCCCCATCATCCCAAAGCTCGGATACGGTAGCACCTTCGTATGCTACTTTAGTGAAAGGAGAGGTTGTGAAATATGCGCCAAGGGAGTTTAGATTCTTCTCAGCATACCCATGAAACCCAATGATCTTCTTTCCATTGGCTGCTAGTATAAACTTCTTACCGTTGTCGTAGCCAATCAGTTCCGAAGTTTTAATGTTCGTTTTGAATTGGATTCCTTGAATGACCCCAGACTTGCTGTCGTCACAGTAACCCTCTACAGAAATCAAATATTCCTTGTTGAGATGGTTGATCTCGAACTGCCCAAAAAAGTGATATATGGGAAGTGTTAGGACGTTGTATAAATAAACATATAAATAAAACTTAAACACTTGTAGATCAAGTTAGGGCGTTGTATATAAATAAAACTTAAACACTTGTAGATCAAGTTTGTATATGTTTCATATTCCTATGTTTGTAAACACTTGTAGATCAAGTTAGGGCGTTGTATTAATAAACATATAGATAAAAATTATTCAACGTGGTTTGATATGCTTGTTGAATCAATTCTCAAGCTTAGGTTTTTGCCAACTCATACATACCAGCTCTGTGAAACCTCTACCCGTGACACCATGGATTGACCCATATACATCTTGTCCATCCTTGACATAATCAAACTTGATGTATTGTATAGCTTGAGGACCACCTCGGACATATATTTTTGTAACACCTTCATGGTCGGCTCCATCATTCCACTCCTGGCCTCCTTTCCCCCCTTTTGCCTCCAATCTAGTAGGAGCACTCCAGGTGAAGTATGGTCCAAGAGAGCTGAGTTTGTCGTTCGAAGATCCGTGAAAGCCAACTATCTTTTTTCCATCAACAGCTAGTGAAAACTTAGTACCATTGAATTCATATCCCATCAGCTCAGAAATCCTCAAGTTGGTTTTGAATTGAATTCCTTGTATCACATTTGATTTGGGTTCATAGTAACCCTCAACAGATTCAAGCTGTTCATCTTTTAGATGATTAATCTTAAACTGCAAATTTTGGTGAAAGAAAATCAACATCACATCCACAATTACACATAAAAAAGGGAGTTTTTAATTAAGTATTTTTCAAGCCATACAGTTTTAGTGAAACCTGGACCCGTGTAACCACGGTATGATCCAAATTTCAGTTGTCCATTCTTGATATAGTCGAATCGGATGTATTGTATGCCTCCAGAGTCACCCCGTACAGATATCTTTGACACATCATCATAGTCAGATCCGTCATCCCATATACCTTTGCCATCTTTGGACCCTTGCGCTTCCAACCGTTGGATCATCTCGAATAGATTTGTATCTTCAGATATGGATGGGTATTGTGTTTTTTATAAGTTGAAAACTATAAAATAAAAAAAAAGAAATTAAAAGCCCTTTCAAGTAAAGGATGTAAGGAATAAGACCATTTACAGAAACAGAGTATAGATATATATACATTCAAATTTCTTGGGTGAAAAGCAAGCAGTTTATCTAATAAGTAAACATTTGGAGATATTCGTGCTTTAACAATTTCAAACCATGCTTGCATTTACGTTTTGAATAATTTGTAAAAGATCTTAATTAGGGCTATGAAACATTGATGTAAAAATAACGAGAGAGAGAGAGAGAGAACTGACCTTTAGTGGGAGAGAGAGATGATGAACAGAGAGGCTATGGTGATCTGTTGACTAAGCGATTAAGGTGCCTTTATATACAAATTTTGGCCATTTGTATGTTTTAGTAATAAAAATGACTTCGATAGTTTTAAATAATTAATTTTGATTTAAATTAGAGTCTCTCTTTAAAATATTAAATAAAATTGTATTAGTTAAAGACTAAATGAAAGTCTTCCCCGCGAATATTGTTTTGCTGGACTGTAAAACACACAACTCACGATTAAAATAGACATTGTGCATACATAGTGGAACCCCCACTTGCATTATTGTACTGGTTAATCAAGTTTTTGTCAACTCTTGTATTTATATATCTCATTTCAAGGGTAAATGCTAAAGTTTTTTTCTCTCTTTCTTATCCGGGCAATTTGATCAAAATGGACTAAAACAATTTGACCATATTACGAGAATAGTATGTAACTCGTTACTGTTATTGGCAACATCTTATCTGTAATTTGTTATTATAATGTTTAAATAAATATTTTGGTTTATAACATTTTTACCACACACAAAAAAAAAAAAAAAAAAATAGTCATGTTGAGCACCTATGTTTCTGCAAGATGAAAAAGAACATGATTACTGGTTGATTCCAATTTCCAAATATTATAGTTGTTGTTTTGGGAGAAAACGCAAAGCAAAATTGTAAGTTGTGGGACTCAGGTTTTATACAACTCAGAAACAAATTAGCGTAAAACATGAAAGACCATATATTCAAAACTGTTTGTTATTGAGTTTAGATGTTACACAATATATAGATCAATTGCTCGAAGACTTAAATCTTAACTGATTTTGTAACAAGTGATAATAAATCTGAATCGTGTCTTTAAATGCAGCAGAGAAGCTAAGAGACAAAGAAGGACCACCAAAACAGCGAATTTGGGAGAGGATCGTTAGATTTCTTACTAGTTTAAGATTTTGAAGTAGCTGCTGTTATTAGATCCTTGGAAACTATAATTATTGGGTAATTGTTTGGGTAGTCACAAGCACATGAAGAAAATAAAATTAATGAATTCAGTTATAAATTACTTTAACAGCAAAATCTAAAATTTAACAAATTTGAAAAAAAAATACACAACTTACTAAAATTGAACAGCAACTTGAATTTTGAAGTAGTAATCAAATTAGCTATGTAAACTTAAAACTGTTTAAAAAACATTTCTTTCAAATTTTGTTGTACTCTTTTGTCTAAGCAGAGTCTTGAGCTGAACCTTTTGGCACTCCATCTTTGAACCCCAATTCTCACTTTTTGATCTTATTGCTCTCATCACTCTTGGAAACTCCACAAACCCTTTGATCCCTCTCTTAATATGCGGATTCTCCAACTTCCTACTCGCCGTTAAGCTACAAGCTCTCTCCAATACCTTTGGCTTCATCATCATCATCACATTCCTCTTCTCGTTCTCTCTTTCTCTATTAGATCCTTCTAATTCAGATAACTTCTCCTCCAAGTAAAGTCTTGCATCCGACAGCTTCATCTGAACTCTCTCTTCCCTCAAAACCTCCGTCAACCTATGCATCCCTCTCTCTTCCTCAAGCTCTCTTCTCATCCGAACCATCTCTGATTTCTCAGACGATCTCTCTTTCTTGTATTGCATCTCCTCTGCTTCTCTACACGTTCTCTCCTCTTCCAAATCTTTAGCTAGCTTCTTGTTCATCAACTCTACACGTCTCCGAGCTTTCCTCTCGTAGCTTATCTCTGCTTTCAACTCCTTGATCTCGGATCGAGCTTTGTCTAGCTCAGATTCCATGAATACCTTTACGAAATTCAGATCCCAAATAAAAGCCTTGCGTTGGTGTCGGTACTCCTGATGCTGTTGAGCATGTGAACATGAGGAGTAGTAAGGATTATCATAAAGCTTCCATGTTTTGCAGACCGAGTCCATTATATCTCTCTGAGGATCTGTTTCATGACTCATCTCCATCTTAAAAGGAAGATGTGAGAAGAAAGTGTGTTGTAAAGGAAACAGGAAAGAAGAAAGTGTGTTGTAAAGCTGAAAGAATAATCATCATCACATCCTTTATCACCTTCCTTCAATCATTCTTATCTTTAGGAGAGAATAAGAAAAGTAGAAGAAAGATAACAGAAGGCTGTCTTGCTCATTAGGTTAGGTAAACTAATGTTTGTTTGGCCAACAACTTCCCTGTGCTTTCAATCAATCACCTCCCAAATTAATCACACTCTCTTTTGTTTTTCTGTCTCTCTCTCTCTACTCTTTGCCTTAAATGCCTCATCTGTTTCACATCTCTCTTATTAACACTCAAAGGACTTATTATTCAATGCTCTTTCATATGAATGAAACAGAAAACACAATGTAGATTGAGTAAGCTTAAGTATATTATCGTATACTTTACACAGCTCAACCACAATAGAAGAAACACAGAATAATACTAAAGTACTAACTCTACATTGTTGACTTTTTTATGTGTATGTGTTTGGGGAAAAGTATGTATATCTCTCAAATCTCTTTGATCCAATCCAGTCATGCCTGTAGTTTAGGACAGATTGGGGAGCTTGGATTTGACATAGAACCTACAAGCAACATCATCATGTTAGTATTGGATACATAACTAGCTACAACATCAATCTAAGCGCTTGTAACACGTACATATGTCTGCTAGACAAGGTTGTTTTGTGGCTGGATCATCCTCAAAAGCCGGAGGAGCTTGTCCGTATATCATCTCACAACTCATATCTTCAAAATCTACAACCAACAAAAGCGACAATTATGTAAGCAAACATCAATTTAAGTAAAGGAAGACACACATGGTGAGAGAGAGAGAGATACATTACTTGGATTCATGGTAAGTGGGAGACCAAACTCATTGGTGAAGAAATCTTGAGTTGGGATCTTGCACATATTCACACACATTCCTACACAACCACTGTTCTCCAAATACCTTCAAAATCAAAACAGTAAAGAGCAAAAGTCTTTATAAACATGACAAAGTGTTAAGTCAAAAGCATTTCTTGAATACCTAATTACCTGCATTTCTTGATACGAACGCCACTTCTCTGTTTGACACCATTCACTTCAACTTCAATGACCTCAGACGGACCAACCAACCAATGAAAGAAAGGCACAGTGAGAGCCGCGTTAAACTCCGCCGCCCATTTCGTCGGCGGGAACAGTTTCCGAAACTGTTCAGGAGCTCCAGGTGGAAGCATAGAGAGAAGAACTTCCCTCACTGCTTCCTGCTGCTGCGATCTTGACCGTCCTTGCATCACTCTCTTTGACACCTCCACGAAGCTCTCGTAGTCGTAATCCCAAAACCCTTTTTCTTTACTCTCGTTCTTCTTCTTTGTTGAGACTCCTCCGAACTTGTCCATCTTCCTCGCGAACAGTCCCATGAACACTCTCGCCGCTAATCCGTCGTCGTATCTTGTCTTCTGTCCCATCGGAGCTGGCTCTCCGTTTGGTTCCGCAATCCCACATCGAGTGATGCCGCCACGTCGACTAAAGTTGAGGTGAATCGCTTGAAGACTAGCAATAGCCGCCATGGATTAGATAAGATCTCTCCTTCTCTGTTTTGCTCTTCCGTACCAAAGTACTCTGTTTTAGTACATTAGTGTCCACACAAACACACACACACACGCAAAAGAAGAAAATTCAACTGAAAAACTTACAGGTGTCCACTTTCTTTGCCTCTTAAAGCAAATTTCAGTTTTTATTTATTTGTGTGGACGGAAAAAAAAGTACACTTTGGTTTTTTTCAAATCCAACCAAAACCTCATTTCTGTTATCCTCTAGAAAGCTACTCTTTTTATTTCTACGATAGTACGATTCATCGTATTCGTGCTCAAGAACCAAATTAGAAGCTGAAAAATGTGATTTTCAGACAGAGAGACTCACCATCGCCGTCATTATTGAGACACTAGAATTTCAATTTCTTTCACCGGCGATTGCGAATCCGATCGGTTTTTTCAGAGTCCGAATCATTATCTGTCTTCTTCTCGAATCCAGAATCTAAATCGGAATGGCTACGCCGGATTGTAACAGATTGTATTTGTGCCGGCATTGTTTTACCGGTGACCGGTACTATATCGGTTTCTTCTCTATATCGCTGGACTATGTGGGCCTTTTGTTATGAGGCCCATATTCAAAAGCCCAGTTTGTATATTTTAGTTTAAGGAGCAATTCATAAACTATGTAACATACAAGGGCATATCTGTTAAACTCACTTTCTTCTCCACTATATAAACATTAGCCAGCAGACCAAACAAACTGGACCTGTCATGTCTTGGTTCTGAAACAAGAAACTAAACACACTTTTTAGGAAAAACAAAAGTCCAAATTTTTACACTAAGTAGAAAAAAAAAGTCTTTTCCTTTTGCCATTTTTGGATTCTGGTGATTTTCAAAAGAAAACAAAGATATTTCACGAGTGTCACTCGTGTTCCTCTGTAACCGTTTCATTTGGTCAATTCAATTGCAGAGACAAAACAAATAGCCCAAAAGTTTCAATTTTTAACTCTCTTCTTCTTCTTCTTCATTGAGAGAGAAAAAAAATGGATTCTGATCTTTACATGTTTGATGGGTCTTCATCTTCTTCCTCAATTTGCCAGAGTACTGATCCAGACATGTTTTCTTCCGACACAACAGCAACAACAGATCTCTTCTGCAACAATCCTTATGATCAATCTCTTAATTTCTTTGACAGTTTTACCCCAGCGACTCATCATCATCTCCTCTCTTCTTCTCCACCAGTCTCTCAGCTCCAAACTTTAAATCTCTCTCACACAAACAGTTTCCCGAATTTCTCTGGTTTCGAAAGCTTCGACTCCGTCAAAACAGAGCAGCTCGTGTTTAATTCTCCGTTTGATGTTCAAATCATGGAAGATTCCTCGAATTACCAGAATCAGAATTTGTTCAACTCGCCGGAAAATTCCTTCTTCGCCGGTCACATGCGACGAGTCTACAGCACCGGAGATTTACAGGTATTAATCCTCTGTTTTCCTCTGTAATTTCACTTAGAAAAAAAAGTGTAATTTTTCTATAATCTTACAGAATCTGAATAAGGATTTTGCGGGACAAAGATCATACTCGAGTCCTTTAGTGATGGAGAGCTCATCGCCGACTCCGTTTTCCGGCGAAGAACAGAGCTTGAAAGTGGGACGTTATAGTGCTGAAGAACGTAAAGAGAAGATTTCAAAGTATAGAGCCAAACGAACACAGAGAAACTTCACCAAAACCATCAAGGTAATACATAATACTAATTCATTTTCAATAATTACTCCCTTGATATTTCTCATGCATTTTGTTTTGATAACTAAATTAAAAGCGATTTATTGGTCAATGAATTTTAATTGAAAAACTTTGTATAACTTGCAAATACTCTTTTTTTTTTTTTTTTTTTTTACTATAACTTCTGAATTTGAAAATCAAACAAGTGAGATTCAATATAACATTTTTTGGAATTCAATATAACACCATATTATTTAACCATTTGTCTCTTTCACTTGAAAACATTTCTTAGTTATTTGAACTAGTATTTAGTAAGTTTTCAAACGATGAATACAAGACTTAAACAAAAACAAAACAGTTAAACTTAAAATCAACTAGCCAAGAATAACATATGATTTTCTTTCGATTTTAAAATAATTTAAAACTCAAACAAAAGTACAAAACGCATAATATACAATTACTTAATATTTGGATGTTTTAGTTGTAACGTTATTTATTTTTTTATAATTTCTTTTTTAAATGAAGTATGCATGCCGGAAAACGTTGGCGGACAACAGACCAAGAGTACGTGGCAGATTTGCAAGAAACGACGAAGTTTTTGAGAGCCCCAAGATTGCTTCTTCCTTCACCAGACAAGAAGACGACGACCTTTGGGTAAATTATTTAAATTAGTTGCCAAATCACATAAGTCGTATTTATATTGAGCTTAAGTTAATAGTTTAATTATCTAACAAATGTTTTTCCTTAAAAATTGTGGCAGAATTTGGATGGGTTGCATGAGGAAGAAGAAGCTTTTGTGAGCAGCTTTGTAGAATGTCAGTCTCAGCCTCAATTGCAAATGCAACACACGACTCCATTCTGGTGAAAGCATCTGGTCTGAGAAAGAAGAGCTGCATATTTTATATTTTTCGATTTTATTTCATATAAAAATATGGAGAACAATCTAATCGAGTCTTATATTGGATATTTATTTTGATTCTTGCAAACATCAAAAGAACAATAACTATACGATATGCGACTCTCGTTAACATAAGTACTGCAACAGAATAAACAATTTAGGTAAAAAAATTATTGAACCCTATTTATTTTTAGGGGAATAATAAGATAGTGATATAAGAAGTCACTTAGTGATAGTGTCATTCATATAGTGGTATTATAGCTTTTTCATTGTTTTGCCTTTTAGATATAGAAACTGTTTTTCAGTTGCCTTTATATGTGAATATGTAGACAAATAAATTGTTATCACCGTTGGAGAGATCTTTGACCCTAAAAGGAAGATTCTTCGGTCTAATGATGTCAAAATTTACAAGAATTTTAATTATCATTCGCAGACTTCTTAAAGACTTAGAAATTTACACATGATATATCACTGAGAAGATTAATGTTTTAATAATCCGAATCATTGATAATATAGTCAAAACATACTTTTCTTTTAACAATCATGGGCGACCAAGATCCTCTCTTAGTATATATATGAATTAATAATTAGAGAATCGCATTTCAAGTACAGTATGTGCAGTAACTTTGTCGTCGAATATTATTTGCTCAAGTCCAATATACATGCGTGAACAGAAATCTAATTATACAAATCAAAATTCTTGAAGAGGAAGTTGAGTTGTTTTCGTAATATCTATATGATCTTAACTATATATGAGAAGATTAATATTTAATAATGCGAATCACTGACAGTAGTCAAGATCCTCTCTTGTCATGTTGGTGTGTATATATTTGAATTTAGTAGCTTAGAGAATCATAATTCGTACATTAATTAAACAGACATCAATAGAAACTTTGTATCGTACATACCTAAATTCTGCAAGAAGCAGCTGAACTGGAAATAAGGTGTTTTGTGTTTGTTGAAATTGAAAAGAAAAATATTGTTTTAGTATGTGCATAAAGCATGATCGTCTGAAACTACTCCTAAACAGTGTTCAATTTTCTAATACAGTGTATATATATTTGATATCTCAACCTTCTTTTTCTTAATCATAGACCATAATTTATATATGCGTGTTAATTTTTTTAAAGCGTATTTCTGTAAAGATTTTTGTTTATTTGAAATCTTATACGAATGTTTTCAAAGAATACTAGTGGCCAAAACATATAACGTACCTAGTGATTTATATTAATCTCACCGTTTAAGTCATAATCCAAATATAAAATCTGGAAAAGTACGTGATGTTGAAAAAAAATGCAATCAAGTTGCAAAATTATCAACTTACAGATTCTCTCTATAGTTTTTGCTTTCGAAATAATTGGTTACCTAAAAAGGAAAGATGATGCTTTGTTACATGGAATATGTTCTCGCGAACATCCACGATATTAACTTTTTGAATTAGTTTTATGTTTTATCATGAAAGGTAGAATACACCAGCATTATTCTATGAATACGACGCATCAATTAATGAATACAACTCATAGTAATTCGGTCAAATTCGGATTGATAGTTAAATTTCTATTTGGTTATTATATAGTTTACATGACGCTCTGAATGCTTAAGATAAACCCGAGTGTACGTTGATTCATGATATTTTGATATCAAATATGTATTTCATTAATGAATAGAAAGTTTTTATATCTTTTGCCCAAAACATATCGTACTCAATTTTTAGTTAATTGTTCTTTTGCTCGTGTTAATTTGTGTCCGGAATAAACCGGATAAGCTACCAACCAAATCCTTAAATCAACTTGGATATATACTTATTCTCCATTTCATTTTCAAACAAATGTTCTTAAATGTATACTTCGAAATGCCTTTTAGAAAAAGTAGATATATACATCTAAAGTTTAAATGTTCTTCTTTTAAGAAAAACAAACACCCCTTGAGAGAATGAGATGGAATATCAAGTTGCTTATCGATTAGCATATTGTATGAATACTGTTGACGTACTTGCTTTCTCTTTTTATTTATTTCTTCCTATAATTTTATTGTAAGATTATAAATAGATTTACATAAGTAAAATTGCATTTGGTATTGACCACTCGGACTCTCAGGCAGTAAAGTCAACGATATGATAATAGAAGTGATATTTATGAAAAGAAATGAGTAATGGCAAAAAACCAGCCGCCAAAAAAAAGTTACAAATACAATGCATGGAGACGTTGAACACATTGATGTTAATTATGTGATACGTTGACATTTTGTAATAAGCACGTGGTAACAAATTTTAGTTGCAGTGTAAACATCTTAGATGAACAAACAAAACATCTTGCTGTTTAATTGGGTCGGCCGTTTGGGTCTGCGGTTTGAAATGGATTGTTTTTGCTTTGTACAAGTATTACCAATACTCCAATAGTTGATTAGGACCAAAGAAGATTATTGAAAAGGTTGACAGTCTTAATTTTTTTAAGTATTTTTTGGTCCATGGTGGAGGCAAGAAAAAGAAAATTACTAAAACATATCACTTCCAAGGCTAGAGGATTCTACCATTTTATATACATTTTCATTTATTAATTTCTGTTTAATTAACCAAAATGCTGTGAGTGATGTCGAATCCAATATGGCATTATCATGATTCATAATAACCACCATAATGTGAACAAATAAAAATATTATGACTACCAAAAAAGAGCCTTCAAGTTTCTTAAAAAGTTCAAGTGTTGGGCAGCATGTTCATCCTATACAAACGTCACTATCCTAATACTTAGAATATTAATTTTTTAACGTTTTTTCCATTTTCTAATTTTGTATTTTTTTTTTCTGATTTGTTATAGCTGATTTCACCAATATTTTTTGGGGCTGTTGAGGTAAATAGCCAAATCCTGAAACATGTTAAGGAAAAAGTAATAAAATGATTTTTTTGAAGAAAACAACCTAAATTGTGTAGTAGTTCATGTATTAGTAGTTCTTGCATTTTCAGTTTTCTCTTCTTTCACACAACCCAATATAGACATACAAGCATCCCTTTTTTGGGTGCAAACATATAGACATAGCCTTTGGCACGAAATCCTTGGTTAGGAAACTTTTTGTTGATTTCTACCTGACAAATTAACATTAGTGAGTAGTGGCTTTTTTTTTGGAGGAACTATAGAGTAGTGGCTTAGTGCATAAACTTTTTACATACAAAACATATCAAACCATTTGTCAAACTTTACGTGCACCAATGATCTCATGTTTTTACCCGTTACTAAACAGTCGCGTATTTGCATACAACCCATTCTCATTTACTTTTCTTTATTTCTTCTTCATTTGATGCTCCTTTAAGCTGATATTTACCAAATACTTTTCAAACCGAGGCAAAGCAAGGTTCTCAATAATCTGTATATCTAGGACAGCTTACAAGAATATCACAATATGACAAGAAGACATCTTGACAAAAACTATACCAGAAAAGGACGACATCTGGATTATCTTTTGTATTTATATGAATATGTAAAGAGTTTTAAGATATAAACTCTGAGATATTCTCGACCAATCATGACATTTTTATATCTAAAGAATCGATGCAATATGGGGCTCGTGTCATATATGTACGTTTTTGATAATTAATTATCAAACTTTAACATGCTGATATTAAAATGACGTATTAATCACATACCAAACCAAGCCCGGGACCTGTATGGCTGCTGTAAATTTTTTCCTTTTATACTAGTAGTGAAATGAGAAAGCGGAACCAATTTAACATTTTGTTTATTAATCGTTAATACTCAGTGACATTTTATAATTACGGACAAATGCACTGAAAGTCGTCGTCATCATTGATAACACGTTTTACCACAAACAATATACTCCCAACCTTGGTGGACTAAAATCCCTGAGATGATGTACTTCGTAATAGTAAGAAGCAATCAGAAGCTTTAACAACTTTTAGAAAAAAGCAGAAGAACAATAAAGTGAAAGGGTCTATTTAGAGGCCAGAGGGAATCTATATATGACTGTGACACACTGAGAGTCCAAATTGATTCCAAACAGCTTCTACTACACCTTTTACGTTTAACAATTAACTTTATTTTACAATCAGTCACGAAGATATAGCATTAAATTAACATTTCGTACAGTTTATTTTCCTGGACAGAAAGTTTCGCTATAAAACTTAGACCTTAAATTGAAATTGGTGTAACTTCTTACAAATTTCATGAAAACATCCTTCGTCCTTATAATTTTACGATACATAGCCAATTTTATTTTTAAAGAAGTGCTTTATCATGCATAAACATCCGTCCATGCATACGTTTATACGTTTGGTAAACAGAAAAGGCTATATCTAAAAGGAAAGATGCCTTACGTGGCAAATTGGTGCCAAAATATAGCTTTACGGCAATCGTGACCTTAAGAGAATTTGGTCGTTCTTTACTGCAAATTGTTTGTTTATGCTCTTTTGTTCCACTTGGAGAGTTTTTCTTTTCCATTTTTAAAATGTATAGACCTGAACGCTTGTCATCACCAATATATACCCAATTGTGCCTTGTAACACAAGCTTCAAATGACACCATATTCCTTTGCCCTAAAACCTCACTTAATTATGACGGAGGAGACTGATCCCTTGATAGCTTGTATTTAAAAATGTAGAGTTACTTTTGAAAGTAACAATTTCAAAACCCAAATTGTTGACATAAGACATATACATATAGTCTAATAAGGTTGGTGATCCACTTCAATGCTGAGTGTTGATCATGATGATCGTTTTGCCTCAAACTATCCTAATTTCATCTCTCATAATCGAACCTATGCCACACTGTTCTGAACTTCTGATTCACACGCGGTTAAATGAATCTTCAAATTGCTTTATTGAAAATGTCCCTTTCTGATATTTTCTTACAATAATGATTTAATTTCCCAGCCAATAGGGAGTTGGCATTTCGAAGGATTGTTATATCAAAAGCTTGTCGAACAAAATAGATGAAGAATAAAGTATGAAATGATTGTATAATACTGACTTAATGCAGACTTTAGTTAATTAACTAATTAGAACTAGAGCCTTCTTGGAAAAAGTGGTCAAAATGCTACCTGCTTGAGTGTTTGTAGGTATCGCCATTTTTCTTTTAATAAAAAATGTACATCAATACGAATACAAAAATTGTATAACAAAAATATTCTTCCAAGAACGTGTGACGGAGCTTACTAATTTTATTTCGTTTATTTATTTGTCTAACTAACCTCTTCTTCTTTTCTTTGTTTCATTGAATTTGTCTGCTTGTGGTTATCTAAAGAAAAAATTACAAACCTTAAAAGGCTAATATTTTTCGGGCCTTGCCCAATGCAAACCCAAACCCAATGCCGTAAACCATAATTTGAGATCTCTAATTGAAATATTGAACCAGTTAATGAAGTGGTTTTCCAAACCTAGTGGAGCCCATCATCTTTGACGAGACGTTTTAACGCTCCACTATTTTATTTCCCAACGTTTGTTTATACGACATTTTGAAAAAATAATAATAACATAAAATAGTAACCATCCGTTCCGTTGCAACGGCTCTTTTATTCAACGGCTGGGATTTCTTTAGAGCTTTAGAAGACCGTTAAATTTCAAACTACGATTGGCTTATAAATAAAGATACTCATGGTTCTGTCCGAAAGAAATCTGTCCGAACAACAGAAAAACAAAAAACCGACAAATCCTCTCTTCAACATTACAAATCTTTCTCTCTCTCTCACGATCTATAGGTACATTTCATTCTTCCTTTACTCGTTTGATTTTGTCTAATTCTTCTGGATTTTTATTGCTATTGTCTTCTGCTTGAATAACCTTCTACATTTCTTGAAGTTTCGACTCTCAATAGCTTTTAGTCGAAACCATTTGTTTCTTCAATAATTTCTGTCTTAATGAATCAATCCCTGCTTTGTTTGTGAGAATATAATTTTTGTTTCCCCATTTTTAAATGATTTTATATTCGTTGATCAATTCTGAATATTGTTAAGTTCTTAGATTGATAATTTGTTAGCTTGAAATTAAAATGAAATTCCAATTAGCACTGATAGAAGATGCTTTTGTGTTTACATTCGGCTCTCTCTAGCTCATATGCAATGGTTAACTGTTATTTCCTATTTTCTCAAAAAACATTTATTTTTTTGTGTGGGTAAATCAAATATGCATGTTGTTGTTATTGACTCACATCCTCCTCGTTCAACTGTTAACATAAGTATCTTTCTTTATAGCAACAAATTCGCACATCTTTATTTAAGTCTTCATATAGTTTCGTTTTTCACAACCTCACGTATATTAAAATTTCTCCATACCTCTCTCCACAGCCCACACTACTTGTGGAATAATTGGAATTGGCATACACTAGAAGGAATTTTGAGAACTAAATTTCATAATTGTGAAACAAACCAACTTTGAGCTCAATCCGTTGCACACTTATGCTCAATCAAAATCTGATATGACGGTAAAATTCGGATTAGTTTCACTATAATTGTTTTCTTTTTCTCCTCAAACTGCTAGAATGAAAGAAACAAAGCAAATTTAGATCTTGTCAAGTTGAAGAATGTTAACACACACGCCTTTCGATTGTTTGAGAAATGTTCAATTTGCTTTCACAATTTGATACCCCTACTAACTTCTAATTCAAAGAAAATCTTTACCTAATAAAACGTCAAAAACTCTCTATAACACTAATGAGTTTGGGGGATGACTAGCGTAAATTAGGGTGGGCTTAGGGGCGGGTTAGGGTGTGTGTGTATAGGTTTTAGGGCTTAGGGTTAGGGTATAAGGTTAGGCATAGGATTTAGGGCGTAGGATTAGGGTATTAGGGCTTAGGGTAACCCTAACCCTAATAAGCCCTAAAACCAAATAAACCCTAAAACCTAATAAACCCTAAACCCTGATCAACCCTAAACCCTGCCCAACCCTAAACCCTAATAAACCCTAAACCCTGCCTAACCCTAAACCCTACCCAAACTAAAACACATCCCAACCCGACTTACTACCCTTAGTTTTTTTCTACAAAGATTCTCTATCCCTACTCGCAGAAATAAAAGCTCGTAATGAGTGAACGATTGACCCTCGGTGTGTGTGTTTACCAACTGAAGTGAGTTGTTGTTGTGGTTGTTCAGTCTTAGTTCTGGGATTCCAAGCATTGTTGTTTAGACGTTGAAGTCTTGATCGAGCTTTTGTTTTAGGGTTAGGAGGTTTTTTACTGTAGCTTTAACACTAATTTGCCCTAAACCTAGCCCTAAACCCTAATAAGCCCTAAACCCTGATAAACCCTAAAACCTAATAAACCCTAAACCCTGCCCAACCCTAAACCCTACCCAACTTAACCCTGCCCAACCCTATTTACCCATAGTTTAGGGTATTAGGGTTAGGGTAAAATAAGCCCTAAAACCTAATAAACCCTAAAACCTAATAAACCCTAAAACCCTGATCAACCCTAAACCCTGCCCAACCCTAAACCCTAATAAACCCTAAACCCTACCCAAACTAAAACACATCCCAACCCGACTTACTACCCTTAGTTTTTTTCTACAAAGATTCTCTATCCCTACTCGCGGAAATAAAAGCTCGTAATGAGTGAACGACCCTCGGTGTGTGTGTTTGTACCAACTGAAGTGTGTTGTTGTTGTGGTTGTTCAGTCTTAGTTCTGGGATTCCAAGCATTGTTGTTTAGACGTTGAAGTCTTGATCGAGCTTTTGTTTCAGGGTTAGGAGGTTTTTTACTGTAGCTTTTAACACTAATTTGCCCTAAACCTAGCCCTAAACCCTAATAAGCCCTAAACCCTAATAAACCCTAAACCCTGCCCAACCCTAAACCCTACCCAACTTAACCCTGCCCAACCCTATTTACCCTTAGTTTTCTACAAAGCCTAAATTTCTCTAACCCTACTAGCGGAAATAAAGATTCTTAATGAGTGAACGATCCAATGGTGTGTGTTGTTGTTGTTCAAGCTTAGTTCTGGGATTTCCAAGCATTGTTGTTTAGACGTTGGGGAGTCTTTGATCCGGCTTTTGAATGCAACATCAACCTGCGATCTTTGTTTACCCTAACCCGCCCAAACCCTATATGCCCTAAACCTTAGCCCTATTCTTAATTATGCCCTAAAACCTACTAAGCCCTAATATAAACCCTCTATGCCCAAACCCTACACCATATATTAAAATTAAGTTTCTTTGCTAGTGAAAAATTAAGAAATGATCTTTTGGTAGAATGAGTGAACGATTCTTGACCCATTGGTGTGTGTGTGAGTTGTTGTTCAGTCTTAGTTCTGGTTTCTATGTTTTTTTTTGGTTTTCCATGTTAAGATTTATACCAAAAGCAAAGAGTTACAATATTTACATGCTGATAAAAACAAACTTACCTAAAAACTTACCCCACACAAGTGGAACAGACCAAAGTTTATCATAACGGATATGAGATACAAGCAAAGTATGATTCTAGAAGGAAAGAAGTCGATCTCGAACCGTGCGGTCCACTACACCCTTCAAGGTGAGTAGTGGTGTGGTCGTTGTGGTAAAAATCCTTGCATTCTGCTCTCTCCACAGATCGTAGACCGTGACTTGTAGCAGCAGCCTCATCAGCGTGGTGGTGTGCGCTGAAGTAGAAATCGGAGGAAGCAGTATGGTATCCAGAACGGAAGGATACATTGGTTTCTAAGTTGTTGGCCAAACATTGCTGTTTAGATGATAAAGATATCATGTGAATGCATATGCAACATGTGAACCCTGCGACATGTTATCTTTTTAATTTCTATATTTTTTTTTTCAGTGAGAATTAGTTTTGCAATTTAGCTATAACTCATTTTTGTAACAGTTTTTTCATCTTTCTTTTTCTAATGATACTTATGATTTTAGCATTAAAAGTCGTAATAGATTTTAACATAATACTACCTACATATCCTTGTAAAGTTTATTAATTTTATTTAGGCACGGTCTCTCCGTTCGTGAGACAAGATTCGTACACCACATTCAGTGATCTCGCAGCTGTCAATTCGGCTGCTGAATTCAAACAATATCTCGCTGCCAAATTTAACGCATATCTCTTCTTCAGGCAATTCAAGATGAAACATACACACATGTTCGGCTCGAATCTCACTAGGGTGTGCTACGTAAACAGGTTGTTTGTAAATAGACCATCCGCTTTTGGCTACGATACGACACCGTAATTCAAGATATACGTCTTCTCTTGTGTGTTGGTGCTGATGAGGAGAAATAAGGACGCAAGCCTCGAACCTGGAGGATGCAGATAAAGCACGAATGGTCAAGGAGTTACCTCTGGCTCTGTGATGGAATTCACGAGGCATCACTGTTCCTGGTAAGCAAGCAAACCCGTCACCAAGAAATGATCGTTGGATAATTTGTCTTGTTGCTTCTGCGCCAAGTTTAAAGCAGTTGGTGAGATTGAGTTGCGCATTTGGTGCCTTTAAAGGGAAAGTTACTCTCTCAAGTGATTCACAATCTTCTGCCATTAGAAATGTGAGCGAACCAGGAAGCTCCGGCAATGATTCAAGCTTTCTGCAGCCAGATAGAATCAAGTGTTGTAAACCATGAAGACCTAAAATGTAATCTGGAATCTCCTTAATATCAGTATAGCTTAGGTTTAGCCACACAATTCTTCCAGCTAAATCTGTTAAGGTCTTGAGATTTATGCAGCGGCTTAGATCAAGATACCAAAGACGAGAACACAGACTAATTGATAAAGGCACTTCTTCTACAGCTGTGCCTGACAGAAAGAGTTGCCTCATGTTTGTAGAAATATCTGGAAAGCTTCTCAATCGTAAGCATCCAGCCATATTGACCCTCTCAAGAGATGCCAAGTTGATTTGACTTGAAATTATTTCAAGATTTATGCAAGATTGCATCCACAACTCCTTTAGCCTATGAAGATTTGCAATAGAGGGTGGAAGCTCTACCAAACTCTCGCAGTAACTCAGTTCCAACGTCTCAAGATTTGGAGCATTTGAAAGATCTGGTAGTTCCTTTAATCGCGTGGACCTTGACATGTTCATCGTCTTGAGACTTGGAAGTGGCTGAATCCACAAACTACGATCATTAGAGCATTATCAACAACAACAAAAATCGTATTCTGAAAACCCTAACCCTAATTATAATAGAAAAATACATAAATAGAAATAATGCACAGGAACCCTAATACATAGTATCATAATATTTAGTTAAATCTACGCTTCATCAATATTGTTGTCTAGTGTCACACTGAGAAAGATAAATCTGTAACTAACCTGAGTTCCTTCCCATAGCTTCTCGAGCAGGCTATCTCGCAAATCGAGTTCAACGAGATACTCTGGGCAAAATCTTTGAGGAAGACGCTTTCTAGGGTATGCGTCCCAATGTAGTAACCGTAAACGAGGTGGAAACTCATACACTCTTTCATTTCCATCATTTCTTCTTTTGTAGACACTGAGGAACCGAAGATTACGCATGCTTTGAAAAGCTCTCTTGCTTACAACCACTTTGTTGATTTCTGATGTATCAAATGAAATGCCCGCCGCAGCTATAGCATCCTAAAACAAATTCCAAATCAAAGAACAATAGGCAAAGAGTTGTTTGTCTCCACCGAACGACTTGTTCAAAGTTATATAATGAGTAAGACATTTAGGCCATGCAACAACAAAAAAACTTACTGTATCAGATTGAAGGATATGGCAAATCTCGTGAGCGTTGATTAAAATGTGGCGTGTCCTAAGCTCTTGTCTTTGAATGGCTTCTCTCCCCGTTTGTTCTAGTAACTTGTGCATCGTTATCACCCCATTGGTAGACAACCCTATGAGAGATCTATTGGCTAAGTTTCTCAACCCAAGTCTAACATCCAAGTTACAGCCACCGAGCATGGCTTTTACATGATCATCGTCTTTCTTGTTAAAGAAGACCGCAATGTGAAGAAACAGAATTTGATCTTTGTCAGGTAAACTCTCATATCCAACTCTTAATGCTCTCTGAATATATCCATCATCTACACTAGTTTCTAGCTTACGCATTACATATTCCCACTCGTCTTTCTTCTTCCCACGTAAAGATGAACCCACAACAGATAGACACAATGAGAGGTTACCACATAACTCAGTTATTCTTCTTGTAAGCTTTCCAAAACCATTAGTTGGAGAGCTTTCCCTAAAAGCATATCTACAAAAGATCTCAAGAGCTTCTTCATTAGATGGGGAACGTACATGGTATATATAGTTGATTCCATGTTCATGCAAAAGCCCTTGAGATTCTGAAATCACAATAACCCTACTACCAGGACCAAGCCTAGATACATCTCCAGCCAAAGCATCTACTTGATCAAGATGATCCACATCATCAAGAATGATAAGAACCTTTTGTTTCCGTAACCTTTCGTATCTCACATCCAAATGGCATATCTTCATTCCACTTTGGTTCAAAATCCTGGAAAGAAGGTGTTCTTGTAAACGGATCTTTAAACTACTCCTAGAACTTCCATTGACATTTTCCATAAAGTATGAAAGCGAAAAGTCACAAGATAGCTGGTTATATAAAGCTCTAGCAATGGTAGTCTTACCAATGCCTGGTGGGCCAGAGATTCCAGCTATCATAGGCTCATCGTTTTCTAAATTTAACAAATACTTCATGTTCCCCAAATGAGTGTCAAGTCCCACCATCTCATCAAAATCCCTAGATGGTGTAGCATTAAGTTTTTTTGAAACATCTATGGCAATCTTCTCAATCATCTCCGCTTCATTGGCCCTAGCAAGAGAGAAAAATCACAAAAATCCATATTTTACCATCCTATGTGATGCAAGCCTTTTTGTTTTGTTTTTTGGAATACTTTTTTTTTTTTGTTAAAGTTTTTTGGAATACTTTAAAATGCCATTTAAACAAGTTTGTGATCCAATATACCATCGTTATATATTTTTCCATTAGTAACATTAAAATTGATTTTTTTTTTCAAAAAAAAACCAAAAACATATTTGGATTTGGGTTTAATTCTTGAGGGTTTCAAGTTTAGTTTAGTGGGTTTAAGTTTTGTTTTAAGCTGTATTTTTGGGGAAAAAAATCAACTTTTATTGTACTGATGGAAAAATAAAGCTAGTAGTGGTATTTTTGGATCATAATAAACTTGTTTTAGTGGTATTTTAAGGTATTCCTTTTTTTCATATCTCCATGATTTCCTTACTTTAACATTGTGCTTGAGAATGAATAAAAAGACTACTTTCCCTCCCGTTCAAGAAGTCAATGATTATTGTTTTCAAGTCATTGTAATGAATCAACCGTTCAAGAAGTCATTTGACTCCCTCGAACAAGTCAAATGAATATGGAAAAAGAAAAAAGGAATATGGAAAATAACAAACCAGTTGAGGGAGTGTTCGCCGACTATGTCAGCTACATAGGTGAAAGCATTGATCCAACTCTCCATCTCGGTCTGCGTTTTGCCTTGACAAGTTTTCTTGAAAGCCTGCCCAAAGTTTCCAGTCTGTTTCCTCACATGAGATGGATTCACTTTGTAGAAAATAGCCATCACTACATGTCCCTCTGCTTCTTTGCATTGTAAGATCTCCACCAGCTCGTTCAAGCACCAGCTTGAAGAAGCATAGTTCTCAGAGAGCACCACGATCAAGATTCTCGATTCTTGTATTGCCCGAGTGATTTCAGGTTTGTTGGTTTGGCTTCTCTCGTTCCCTTCATCGTTGAACATTAGGATCCCTTTGCTTTCAAATTGCCTTTGTAAGTGACATAGAAATGTTAGACGGACATCTGGCCCGTGATAGCTTAGGAAGACGTTGTATCCCCAGCTGCCAGACAGCGAATACGAAGAAGGAAGAGCCATGAAAAAGAACGAGAGAGATTTTTTTAATTTTTTTTTATATGAAACTTCTTTATTTCATTTCCCCTCCCCAATGAGGCTACAAAGAGTTGACTCAAGAAAGAGAGGAAAGAACGAGAGAAGTTGATAGGGGATTTAAATAGAAGTTGATGAAGACAACAACATATAAAAAAATTCACATTAAATATGTTTTTGGAAGTTACATATGGAGATACCAAGTGGGAGAAGAAACTTCGAAGATAAGAGGTTTATTTGTTTTCATTCAAAGACTTTTGGCACTTAACATCAGTTTGGTCCTCTGACGACCATGCTCTCTTTTCCACTAAACTTACACGTAGGAATGTTAAAATACGCGGAGTTGACTCAATACGACCTTGCTTGTTCTGGACAGTCCAGTCACTGGACTCTGTCTTCTCCTTGCTACCCAAGCTTCCTATCTTCATATACTCATATATAAACTAAAGTAGACCCTATAACTTACAATATTTGGACTTTCAAATATTGATAACAGTTAGAATATTTTTTTTTTTTAAATATTAGAGTACGTCAAAAACTTATAAAACTGTCTGCGATTTTTAGAATATGTATGTTTCTGCTTGTTTGCTCTAACCCATATATATACGAATCATGATAGACGTGTAATACCAACAACCATATACCTCATCTATTTCATTTTAATGTTTTTGTTGTTTTTCACTGTTTGAATTCTTAAAACAGATAATTATAGTTGAGTTATTTTGGAATTGATGATAATACATTTTTTTTTTAATTAGAAAATTAAATGGGTTTTTAATCTATGTCAAAACATCAACTAAAATGGAACAAAATGAGGTAGGTTCATTATCATCTTCATCGGTAGCGTTCTCTAATATCTAGTCACAGTCTTGAGACGCCTCACTATCGCTGGTTGCAACAAACTCGTCTTCAGAGTCTTCCAAGACCTTGAAGACCTGTTCAAACTCGTAACTCCAGTCAGAAACTTGGTCTATTCCACAATTATCTTTGGTCTCGTCGTCACTGCTTCTCTCCCATTCATCCGTCAAGATTCGTACTCCACATTCAGTAATCTCACAGTCATCCAGTGGACCGCATGCACTGTTGCTGAGCTCAAACAAGATTTCGATGCCAACTTCAAGGCATATCTCTTCTCTCGGCAAGTCACAATGAAATATACAAAGATGTTTTGTTTGAATCTCTGGTGACTCGCTAGGGTTTAGGGAAGAAACAGGGTTTCTATAAATGGCATCTCCGCTTTTGCCTAGTATACGGTAACGTAGACCAAGATATATGTCTTCTCTCGTGTGTTGGTGTTGGTCTGGAGAAATAATGACGCAAGCCTCAAACCTAGAGGATGCAGAGAAAGGACCAATGGTCAATGAGTTTCCCTTGGTTCTGTGATTGAACACACTAGGAATTACACTTCCAGGTAAGCAAGCAATCCCATCAAGAAACGACCGTTGTATGATTAGTCTTCTTGCTTCTCCGCCAAGTTTGAAGCAGTTGGTGAAGTTAAGCTGCGCGTTTGGAATGTTTAAAGGGTGAGTTACTCTCGCAAGTGATTCACAATCTTCTGCTGTTACGACTATGATTGAGGTAGGGAGCTCAGGCAATGTTTCAAGCTTCTTGCAGCCAGAAACATTAAGCTCTTCCAAACCATGAAGGTCTCTCATGCAATATGTGATCCTCTCAACACCACTGTTGCTCAGGTTTAGACACTTTACGGCCGTGGGAAGATTTGTTAATCTCTTGAGATGCATGCAGTGGCTCAGATCAATGTACCGAACACGAGACCATAGACAGATTGACGCAGGTACTTCTTCTACCGCTGTGCCTGAGACAAAGAGTTGCCCTACGTTTGTAGAAATATCTGGGAAGATTCTCAAACGTGAGCATCCAGACATGTCGATCTTCACAAGAGATGCCAAGTTGATGTTAGTTGGAAGGACTTCTAGGTTTGTGCAAGATTGCATACACAACTCTTGTAGGTTATGAAGATTTGCTATAGAGGATGGAAGCTCGACCAAACTCTTGCAAGAACTCAGTTCCAATGTCTCAAGATTTGGAGCATTTGAAAGATCTGGGAGTTCCTTCAACTTCCGAGAATCTGACAAATCCATCTTTCTGAGGTTTGTAAGCGCCTGAATGTAGCAAAGAAGGAACATAATGAGAAGGGAGGAATTTTTCATTTGGCTATTTGACTATGTCCTACTAATATCAAATATCAAACCTGAGTTCCTTTCCAGAGCTTCTCGAGATGGCTATATTTCATATCAAGTTCAACAAGATATTCAGAACGAAATGTAGGAGGCAGACTTCTGCTAGGGTACGCATCCCAATTTAGTAATCTTAAACGACGCGGAAACTCCATCTCCTCTGGTATATGCACAGTGTCATTGCCATCATCTTTACTTTTGTAAACTTTGAGGAATCGAAGATTAGGCATTCTTGTGAAAGCTCTCTTGCTTACAGATACTTCTTTGATACCAGAGATATCAAATGATATTCCGGACACAGCTCTAGTACCCTAAATCAATATTTCAACGAAGAAGAAGAAACTGTTCAGCAAGATCGGTAAGATTTGTTTATCTTCATCAAATGACTATAGAAACGAATATAGCAAATACAAGAGAAAGAACTTACTTCGGCACATTCAAGAACATCACAAATCTCTTGAGCATCTATTAAGATCCGGCGTTTCCATGGTTCTTCTCTACGAAAGGCTTTTGTAGCCACTTGTTGTAGTAGCTTGTGCATCACGATTTCTCCACTATTAGATACATGTATGAGAGACTTATCGACTAGGGCTTTTAACGCATGCTTGACATCCAAGTTATTGTCAGCAAACATGGCTTTCACAAGATCACTATCTTTATAGTTGAAGAAGACTGCGATGTGGAGAAATAGAGTTTGCTCATTCTCTTGCAAACTCTCATAACCGACTCTTAAAACTTCTTCAATATCTCCATGATCAAGAATAGTTTCTAGCTTGCGCATTACTTCTTCCCACTCGTTCTGCTCTTTCCCATGTAAAGATGAGCCCACCACACGGAGACCCAATGGAAGGTTACCACAAAGTTCTGATATTCTAGAAGCAAACTCTTGAAACCCAAGGTGTCGATAGCTTTGTCTAAAAGCATATCTACATAGGATTTCAAGAGCTTCTTCACTAGAAGGAAACACCACATGGTACGTCTTGTTGATACCATGCTGCTGCAGAAGCTCTTTGTTCTCTGTGGTAACTACAATTCTACTTCCAGGACCAACCCATGTAGTTACATTAGCCAAAGCCTCAAGTTGCTTCAGATCATCCACATCATCAAGAATAATAAGCAGTTTCTGGTCGCTTAGATTATCTTTTCCTGCACCTAAACAGCATATACTCATACCATTTTGGTTCCCAACCTTTGAGAGAAGTTGCTTCTGTAGACACAACTTCAACCCATACTCATCAAGGCCACTATTGAAGCTTCCCTTGAGATTCTCCATAAAACAAGAAAGCTGAAAAACACTGCTAGAGAGCAGTGTATGTAGAGCTCCGGCAATGGTAGTCTTACCAATGCCTGGAGGACCATATATTGCAACCATCTTAACTCCATCATCATCTAATTCTAACAAAGACTGTATTCCTCTCAAATGAGCTTCAAGTCCCACCATGAAATCAAAATCTCCCGACAGTATTACATTTAGTTTATCTGAAATATCTCTTGCAATCTTCTGAATCATGTTTGCTTCATTGTCCCTTACAAAAGAGAAAAAAATAAAAGACATTTCAAGTTCACAGGTTAATGTTCACATATTCATACGTATGTTAATGTACAAACCCTATAATGACATATATTTTTAATATTCGTTCAACGAGAAATCATAATATCCATTCAACAAAATCATTCCCTTAATAATATAAACTGTATTATATATTGAACGTAATTTCTTCTATCCTAATAAAGACTATTTTCCTACCTTTTTTTGTGGTTAGAAACATAACAAGAATAAAATAAAGTAATTATCACAAACCAGTCTTGCAAATGTTCTCCAGGTATTTTGCTAACATTTGTCAAAGCTTGCCTCCATTTCCACCTCTCAGCGGCCGTTTTCATTTCAAAAGTCTCATTGAAAGCGATCCCAAAGTCTCCGGTCTGGTTCTGTACGTCGTATGGATCCACTCCGTAGAAGATGGTCGTCACTATCTGTCCCTCTGCCTTTGCGCACTCCAGTATCTCCACCAATTCATACAAACACCAGCTTGACGAAGCATAGTTCTTGGAGAGTATCACGATCGAGATCTTTGATTCTCTTATAGCTCGTTTGAGTGAAGCAGCGATCATTTGACTTTTCTCAATCCCTTGATCATTGAACATCTTGATCTTGTCCAATGAAAACTGCTTGCGCAAGTGACTTAGGAAACCTGCACGGACGTCTGGTCCATGGTAGCTTGGGAAGACATCGAATCTGTTGTTGTGAGACGTAAAAGAAGAAGAAGAAGAAGAAGCCATGTGAGACAAGCTCAGAGAGAAATGAGAAGATAATAATTTCTAAGCTAAAATGTTTTTTTTAAACCTATACAAAAGCGAAATAGATAAATAAATAAAAGGATCCTTCCGTGTAATGAGGCAAACGCGTGATGATGACTTGTATGAGAACTGAGACAAGAAGCATGAAAGGGACTAAAGAGACAAAGGTTAATTTCTTTGTTGTTTACCTAAAGTACGAGTCTACGAACATCTATGTTATTCCACACAATTAAAAGGTCATAATCCATCAAATAAGCACAAAAATCACTTAGCCAAAACAATAATGTTAATACATCTATGCAACGAGCATAAACTAACCCATTTTATTATTATACCTTCACGAATGGCGTGAGTGGATGATCGCTACTATGATTATGTGAATGTGAACTATGAAGTAATTAAGTGGGGTCATGTAAGTCTTGAGTAAGATTTGCTTGTCACTAATTAATTAGTCTTTGATTCTTTGTTTTAGATATTTATATCATTAATTATTTATAGTATTTAATTGTCAAAGTTGCCCTTATAGCTCAGTGGTAGAGCGTCAGTCTTGTAAACTGAAGGTCCGTAGTTCGATCCTGCGTGAGGGCACTTTTTGTATTTTATTACTCGTTTTGTTTTTCCTTGGGCTCTTTTAGGGCCCAATTTCTAAATGGCCCAAAATGTCTTGCTACCCGTTTAACGTTTCCATAGACAAACACCTTGCCGTTTTTCATAATTATCACTTTCTTCTATCTTGAGTTGGCTTCCTCTTCCTTCTTCTCTTGAAACCTTTTCCTAAAACCCTAAAACGCGCCACAACCAAACAACTTCGTTCTTCGCCTCTCTCTGTGTTACTCAACGACGAATCACGATGTTTCGCAGAAACGTTAGGTTGAGAAAGGAGTACCTCTACATGAAAAGCTTGGAAGGCGATGAGCGTCGTAAGTATCTGGAGAAACAGAAGATAAGAGAAGCCCTTCAAGGTCCGAGAGATTTTCTTTTTCTTAATTTGTTCTAATTTCATCGATTATTGATTTCTCTCACTGTCAATTGATTCGATGCTTTTTTTTTCGTTTTCGCTGTTGTGATTTGGGGGTTTATGATTTTAACAGAAGGAAAGCCGATTCCTACTGAGCTCCGAAACGACGAAGCCAAGCTTCGACAGGAAATCGATCTCGAAGATCAGAACACCGCCGGTAAGTAAATTTGGAGCTTGGATTTTGCCGATTTCGTTCAATCAATTGATATATTGTATCCATTTCCAATAGAAATTCAATTAGCCTAAGCTTCGTTCTCATCTTAAGTTTTGTTTGAAATTCTTGCTCATCTTTGTACCTAAGCAAGTCAATAAGCTTGGATTCTGTCGATTTCGTAAAATTTGTATCCATTTTCACGATTTTGTTGATACACAAGATGTGTAAATTGTATTGAATTAGTGTAAAATTAGTGTGAAATTCGTTCTCTTCTTTGTATATTAAAGCAAGTCAATAAGCTTAAGGTTCGAAGTAACTGTAATTACTATTTCATTCAGTTGTTTGAAACTCTCTGTTAGTGTTAATATGGAACATGACTGGTTTGTGAGCTAATGGTGTTATCTTTGTAATCATGCTGTGAAAAAATACAGTTCCAAGGAGTCATATTGATGATGAATACGCAAATGCAACGGAGAAAGAACCGAAGATCTGGTTGACTACGTCTAGGGATCCTAGTGCTCCTCTCACTCGATTCGTGAAGGTATAATAGTAAAAAAAATTAGTTTTTGTTCGTTGAATAGATAGTAACATCATTGTTTTTGGCTAGTGATTTGTGCTTAATATTGTGTAATGTGTTGCAGGAACTGAGGTTTGTGTTTCCTAATTCCCAGAGAATCAATCGTGGTAATCAGGTATGTGCGTTCTTTCTTACGTATTGGTCACTGCTTGTGGTTTCTCATTGCTGTTGTTAAATTGAACACTGATTGTATTAGTGTGCCCTTTAGTTACATCAGATCATTGTCAAATTTGTGTAGCTGAGTTAGTGTAAAGTGCATTAGTGTGACTTTTATACAACACAATACTCATCTATGGGATCATAATAATGATATTTTTTTTCTTTGCAGGTGATATCTGAGATTATGGAAACGGCTCGGTCGCATGATTTTACTGATGTGATAGTGGTTCATGAGCACCGTGGTGTGCCTGATGGTCTTGTTGTCTCTCATCTCCCATTTGGACCAACTGCATACTTTCAATTGCTTAATGTGGTAATGTATCTGATCTTTTGTTTTTTCTTCTTCAAATCTTTCTTCTTCACAACTCCGAATCTTTAATCCCAGAGTCCCTTTTTGTTTTTAAGGTAACAAGACACGAAACTCAAGAGAAGATTAAAGGTACAAAAGTGTCCGAGCAATATCCTCATGTCATTATTGACCAATTTACAACCCCGGTATGTTTGTTAAACCGATTCAAATTCATTCTTTTACTGCAATTTTGAACCGGAAACCAACGAGTTCCAATTCGATTTCCTTTCTTTATGCAGTTGGGTAAACGATTTGGAAACATCTTAAAACACATCTTCCCAGTTCCAAAAGTGGATTCAAAACGTATAGTTACGTTTTCTGCTCGAGATGATTACATTTCATTCAGGTAAAGTTGTTTTCTCTATAGTTTCTAATGACCTTATATTGGTGTTTTGGTAATCTGATTATGTACCATGTAACACACTTGTGGATTAAGAATCTTGTGGCCATATATATGTAGGAATCATGTCTATGATAAAGGAGAAGGAGGTCCAAAATCGGTTGAGCTTAAAGAAATCGGTCCTCGGTTTGAGTTGTATCCCCATCGGGTATGTTTTCGGTTTGTTAAACATTAATCCGGTTTGGTTTAGGTTATAGAATTTAAGTTGCTATGTGGTCTTTTTGATTGCAGTTGAAGTTAGGAACTGTGGAACAAGATGAAGCAGAGAACGAATGGGAACTTAGACCGTACATGAACACTTCTAAAAAGCGCAAGCTTCTCACTGAATGATATGCTAAAATTGCACTAAACCGCTATTTTAAAACACTTTTACAAGTCTTGTCTAAATTCTGTTTTACCTTTGGATTTTGTTGGAGAAGCTGTTGAAAATTTTGTGTCTTTGAGAGAAAATTGTGGTTTTGATTATTCGATTCGATGACTCTAAAATTAGCATCGATTTGTTGTAACGTTTCTGGTCTAAAAGAAAACTTATCTTAGATTAGTAATACACTTTCATTGGAGTGTTTTAGTTATTGAAAAAACTAACAATATGAATTTTGTTATTTGGATGCAAACAAAAATATCTGAGCAGCATCGAAGTGCTCAAGGAGCAATAGAGATGAGTAAAATGGATAATACAAAATATTTGTATTGAAAATTGAAATAAAAAAAAAATTTCATGTATAATTTCTTTTAGTGAAATTTTAAGTCATTTTGTTATTTGTAATTTCCGGATAAATATCATCTTCGTTATATATAAATCAGTACCAGGTTTCTTCAGCTCATTGTTTCTGTTCTGACTCTTTCATCTGATCATCGGATCTCGGTAATAACCTCTTCTTCTTCTTCCTCCGATCGTCTTCCCCAGATTTTGATCTCAGTGGAAATCACGAAATCGAAATTTTAATTCAGTTTAGTCCATTTGCTTGCCCATTTTTTGTATTTGTTTTTATTAATATCGAATTTTCTGGGCCATATTTTTTTGTTTTCATTTAAATTCTATCCTTTCACTCACATAGCCCTAACTTACCGCTCTGTTTTTTCTCTTTGCGAGTGTTGATTCTCTGTAGTGAGTAGAGAGAGTTTCTTTAGGGTTTATATAGCTGGAGGATTTTGCGAGTGATTAATTGTTCTGGTTAGATTGATTTTTAGGGTTTTTGAATTCGGGTGTTTTATTTTGATGGCTCGGTTGATAATTCCTTGTCGAAGTTCGTCTCTGGCTAGATTCAACCTTCTGGGTTTGCTCTCGCATGCTCCTGTGATTACTCTAAACTCTTGGTTTTGATTTTCGATTTTTAATTTGTTTGAGTATAGATACAAATCGATAAACATGTGTAGACTGTAGAGGTGTAATTTATTTTGGATATATTCTGAATAAGCGAAATGGAAATGATGAATTGTTTTGGTGCTCAGAGATCGTAGTTTCATCAATCGAATTGCATGAATATGTTTGGTGGTTTAGTTTTATCATGACGATGTTTACTTTTGATTTGATTGCATACACAATCTTTGTTACTGCATTTTTATGGAGCGTTATCTTTTGATTATATTGTGTTCATTTTCATGAATTTTGGCATTTGTATCTTAATCATCTTAAAATTTCTCTGTCTTGCAGGTTCCTGTTAGAAGCGCTTCTCTACCATTTCGTAATTCGGCAAAGAGACTTACGCAATACAGACCGTTTCTTACTTCAGAGGTTTTTGTTTTTTGGTTTCTTCTTTCAACTGCCACGTAATTTAAAACAGAGAATGATCTTCAATGTTGTTCTTTGTCTCAGGTTACTTGTTTGAGGAAGAATCGGTTTCTATCACATTCTGTTGATGTAATTCTCTATATCCTTCCCACCTTAAATACTGGATTTATGTAGCAAGATTAAAGTTTTTTTGTTGTTGTTTATATGTCAGAGATATAAGCAAAAGAGCAGGAAGCTGATTTGTTCTGTTGCCACAGAATCCGTTCCGGATAAAGCTGAAGAATCCATAATGGATGCACCTAAAGAAATATTTCTGAAGGACTACACCAAGCCTGATTACTACTTTGAAACTGTATGCTAAGCCTTCTTTAAACTTCAAATTGAATATATGACTAGAATCATTCTTTGTTCTAATCTGAAGCTTCTTTTTTTTTTTGTTTGTTCAGGTGGATCTGAGCTTCTCTCTAGGTGAAGAGAAAACAATTGTTAGCTCTAAAATCAAGGTTTTACCTCGCGTTAAAGGTACTACACTCAAGTATACTTGAAATCAATTGTTCTTTTATGCATTGCTCCATGTACGGAAGTTTTCATTTCTTTCTCACATTGCATCCTGATCATGTGTTATGTTGGCCAGGATCCTCCGCTGCGTTGGTCTTGGATGGACATGACTTGAAGTTACTCTCGGTCAAGGTTCAGGGGAAGCTTCTTAAGGTATGGGCCCAATGCTTAAGCTTGTGTAAATTAAGTAACTCAGTTTCCTTTATTTACTTGGTTTCTCATTCCATATCTGTTACACTTTGATTAGGAAGGGGATTACCAGTTGGACTCTCGTCATCTGACTCTCCCTTCACTTCCGGCCGAAGAGTCCTTTGTTTTGGAAATTGATACTGAGATTTACCCCCACAAGAACACTTCACTTGATGTAAAAATTTTCTGATTTTGTTCCTCTACTTCTTTTCTTAACAGAACACTTTTTAACCTTTTATAGTTTCTTTTCTGTTAGGGGCTCTACAAGTCGTCTGGAAACTTTTGCACACAGTGTGAAGCAGAGGGTTTCCGGAAAATAACATTTTACCAGGTTGGTTGCGACTTTAGGTGGATAATATGACTATTGTTGAGATATTACATCCTATATTCTTACATTGCGTCTTTGATATGCTATGACTAGGATCGTCCTGATATTATGGCAAAGTACACATGCCGTGTGGAAGCTGACAAGACTCTTTATCCTGTATTGTTGTCCAATGGAAACCTCACTTCTCAAGGAGATACAGAGGTTAGTAAAATAGTGACTTTCTTGTTTTAGCCAAGTGTCCTTTCAACTTGGTCTTTACTGAAAGAATATTTCTTCGTTGACATGTAGGGCGGTCGGCACTATGCCTTATGGGAGGATCCATTCAAGAAACCGTGCTATCTGTTTGCTCTAGTGGCTGGACAACTAGCGAGCAGAGATGATACGTTTACCACACGCTCTGGTAGGCAGGTGTCTCTGAAAATCTGGACTCCTGCAGAAGATCTACCAAAGACTGCTCATGCTATGTATTCTCTGAAGGCAGCCATGAAGTGGGATGAGGATGTTAGTACTCTCATAGTTTTTGATCATATTGCATCATTTTGTTAGGTTACTGAATCTGATATGCGTGTGTGTTAATCTTATTCTCTAGGTGTTCGGCCTTGAGTATGACTTGGATCTCTTCAACGTTGTCGCTGTTCCAGACTTTAACATGTATGAACAAATAGTGTATTCAATACTCATGCTTTCATGTCTTTTACTTTTACGTATTGTCAGACTGAACAAACTAATTGATTTTCTGCATGATTTTCAGGGGAGCCATGGAAAACAAGAGTTTGAATGTATTTTTCCTTTGCTTTATAGAATTAACGTCCTTGTATTTGAAATTCTTTCTTGATGAAAATGCATGGGCTTCTCTACCTTGCAGATTTTTAATTCCAAGCTTGTCCTGGCATCTCCAGAAACTGCAACAGACGCAGATTATGCGGCGATTTTGGGAGTCATTGGTCACGAAGTAAGTAATCATACCATATGCTGTTTATTGAATTCTTATCTTGTGTATGAATATATTTTAATGAACACGTCTTTCATTGTTTCTGTGCAGTACTTCCACAATTGGACCGGCAACAGGTCAGCCTCATCTATCCTCCCATTATTACAATTGATTAACTCTTGCTGATTGAATCTTCTACTTTTTGCTTAGACACTTGTCTGTACATTAAATAAGACATTGTTAGTATATGTGGAATGGTATATGACTAAAACTCTATTTGTAACGACAGGGTGACATGCCGTGACTGGTTCCAACTCAGTCTGAAGGAAGGACTTACTGTCTTCCGTGACCAGGTACAGTTATCTTTCTTTATTCTAAGATAGATATTGCAACCTTGTTCTCTATCTAATGATAAAATTTCTCAAATTTTGTACAGGAGTTTTCATCTGACATGGGAAGCCGCACTGTAAAGCGCATTGCTGATGTTTCAAAGCTTAGGATCTATCAATTCCCACAGGTACCTTGTCTTAAAACTCCTTTGGGGCCTCTGCAATGGTTTGTTTCCTTTTTTCTCATGCCAAATCCTCTGTTGTTTAATTTATCAGGATGCTGGTCCTATGGCACATCCCGTTCGCCCACATTCATACATCAAGGTCAGAGATTCTTGTTACTTGTCTTGCCTTGAAAATTATGTACGTGTAATCTTAAGCTATTGATAAATATGAATATCTTTCTATCTCTGGCAGATGGACAACTTCTACACAGGCAAGTTTCTGTTCGCTAGGAATTATGGGATTCTGTTATAGCAATTTATTTTGTACTCTTAGTATTCTGTTCCAATCTAACGTGCTTGTGTTTTTGTGACCGTTCCAAACCTGCATTATGTGTCTGGCCATCATCCTGCTCTATCAGTGACGGTAGGGAACTAAGAATTCATTTTTAGTCTCATTTCATATGACTCCTTCATATATCAGCTCTAACGGAATGATTTTTTTCTGTTTGTCGTTTCAGGTTTATGAAAAGGTTTGGCTCTTAATTCGATACTGGTACTGTTACATAATACATGCAGTAAGCATGAAAGCTTAGTTGACTTATACTGTTTTTCTAGGGAGCTGAGGTTGTGAGGATGTACAAAACTCTACTAGGAACTGAGGGGTTCCGAAAGGTTGCTTGCTTTCGAATACTGTGTGTTTTTTTGTGTGTGGATCGTTGTGATCCTTCCACTCACCTCTGTATGTACATATATTTCAGGGAATGGATCTCTATTTCCAAAGACATGATGAGCAAGCTGTGACTTGTGAAGACTTCTATGCTGCTATGCGTGATGCAAACAATGCAGATTTTGCCAATTTCTTGCAATGGTAAGTCAGATTTTTATATTGTGGAATTTCTTCTGAAGATTCTTGTTTTCATACTTCTAAGGATATAATCATGTACGACATTTCAGGTACTCTCAAGCTGGAACACCAGTTGTCAAAGTAGCCTCCTCTTACAATGCTGAAGCTCGTACCTTCTCTTTGAAATTCAGGTTCTAACCTTAACCTCCTGCCATTGAAATTAAACCTTTATAAATCTAAGCTCTATTGAATTAGTTGCTGACACATTGGTTTGCTTTGTATCTGATCACTTTCCCAGTCAGGAGATACCGCCGACTCCGGGCCAGCCAACAAAAGAAGCTACATTTATTCCGGTGGTTGTTGGTCTTCTGGACTCAAGTGGGAAAGACATTACACTTTCCTCTGTTTCTCATGATGGTACACAACAGGCCATTTCAAGCACCAGCACAATACTTAGAGTCACTAAGGTCAGTCTAGAATTCCTTCTTTAAACCAATACTTGACGTGATCATTGTCCTGATCTTCCTCATCAATATTTTCCTTGTTTACGTGCAGAAAGAAGAAGAGTTTGTGTTCTCTGATATATCAGAAAAACCTGTTCCGTCACTATTTAGGGGATTCAGTGCCCCAGTTCGTGCTGAGACTGATCTCTCTAACGATGACTTGTTCTTCCTCCTAGCACATGATTCAGACGAATTCAATCGGTATGTTCCTTTCTACAACGTATTATAGCTCTTATCTATGCCCTTTGCGCATTTCGATCATTCATGTTTCTGTATTTCAGATGGGAGGCGGGTCAAGTTCTGGCAAGGAAGCTCATGCTGAACTTAGTTTCTGATTTCCAGCAAAACAAACCTTTGGCTCTAAACCCAAAGTTCGTGCAAGGTCTCGGCAGTGTGCTCTCTGACTCGAGCCTGGACAAGGTATGTCACTAGTCTCTACATCCCCTTATCAACCTCGTAATCATACAACTGAAGTGTAGGATATAATTTTTTCATCTGTTTTATAGGAATTTATAGCCAAAGCTATAACACTGCCTGGGGAGGGAGAGATCATGGACATGATGGCCGTGGCGGATCCTGATGCTGTCCATGCTGTTAGGAAGTTTGTTAGAAAGCAGCTTGCATCTGAACTTAAAGCTCAGCTTCTAAAGATTGTATATCATCTTCTCTCTACATAGTGAACCTTAAAAATAACAACGGACCAAAGTTCATTGCTTCTTTACTGAAACTTTTTTATTGTGTTTTTTTGTGTGTAGGTTGAGAGCAATAGGAGCACGGAAGCTTATGTCTTTGACCACCTAAACATGGCGAGGCGTGCTTTGAAGAATACAGCTCTAGGTTTGCATTTTATTAGATTTTTAGAAGGAGATGCTCTTTTGCTCAAATCACTAACTTCATTTTTCTGTTGTTTTGTGGAAATATACTCTCAGCTTATCTTGCATCTCTGGAGGAGCCAGAGTTTGTGGAACTTGCATTGAGTGAATACAAGACAGCCACAAATTTGACCGACCAGTTCGCAGCTTTGGCAGCTCTTGCCCAAAACCCGGGCAAAACCCGTGACGACGTTCTTGCTGACTTCTATAACAAGTGGCAGGGAGATTACTTGGTATGCAATTTTCACTTTCCTTCTCCTCCAAGGAGATTACTTGGTATGCAATGTTATATGTGCCATTACTAACATTTCTGATCTCAGGTTGTTAACAAATGGTTCCTCCTTCAATCAACATCTGACATTCCTGGCAATGTGGAGAATGTCAAGAAGCTTTTGGACCACCCAGCTTTTGATCTGCGCAATCCGAACAAGGCAAGTGAACTCTCAAAACTCTCAATTCATACAGCAACTCTTTTTTGTTCTTTCTCGGTTTGTAGGCTTTACGATGAAATCTAACAACGATCAATTCAGGTTTACTCGCTTATTGGAGGATTCTGCGGTTCTCCGGTGAATTTCCATGCGAAAGATGGATCAGGTTACAAGTTCTTGGGTGACATTGTTGTCCAGTTAGACAAATTGAATCCTCAGGTTGCTTCTCGTATGGTGTCTGCCTTTTCGAGGTGGAAGCGCTACGATGAAACCCGGCAAGCTCTAGCCAAGGTGAACGCAAAAACCAAAGTCTTGAATCTTCTCTAAGACACAACAAACCGTTGGCATTTTTACTACGAACGTTTGATGTTTAGTGGATTAAGCTGTTGTGTGTGTGTGTTGTGTTGCAGGCGCAATTGGAGATGATAATGTCAGCGAATGGATTGTCTGAGAATGTCTTTGAGATTGCTTCCAAGAGTTTGGCTGCTTGAGAGAGAGAGAGATAGAGAGAGAGAGAGACATTAAAATTCCTTTTAAAGACCGTTCTAGTTAATGAAATAAGCAAATGTAATGATCACAGATTGTTTTTACCTCCAAATGTTAGCTCATACATTAAACTCTTGCAATATTATATATTACGGATACTCTTTCTTTTTCTTTATATTGAACATAGGTTAATTACTTAATTAATTAATTAATTTTAGTAAAATACATTCATTTTATAACTTGAAAAATATGTCCGATTAGTTTAGTTAGATGGTAAACGCCAGAAAAATAGGTAACATGTCCTTTTTTTAACTTGGCAAAAGGTAATTCTCTCTCTCTCTCTCTCTCTCTCTCTCTCTCTCTCAAGTCTCAATAGTCAACAAAGTCAACAGTAAGAGTAGCGTCTCCTCTCATTTTATCCAAACGCATCTCTGTGAATCTGTGATTTTGAATGACTCACGATCTTCTTCTCTCATGGCTTCTTCTTCTTCTTCTCGGCCTCGCACGTGGAGATACCGCGTCTTCACGAGCTTCCACGGACCTGACGTTCGTAAATCCTTTCTCAGTCATTTACGCAAACAGTTTAGCTGCAATGGGATTTCGATGTTCGATGATCAAAGGATCGAGAGAAGCCAAACGATCGCTCCTGCTCTCACTCAAGCGATTAGGCAATCGAGGATCTCGATCGTGGTGCTCTCGAAGAGGTATGCTTCTTCAGGATGGTGTTTGGATGAATTGGTGGAGATTTTCAAGTGCAAGGAAGAAATTGGGCAAATTGTGATGACGATCTTCTACGAGTAGATCCATCTGATGTACGGAAACAAACCGGAGACTTTGGGAAGGTTTTCAACGAAACGTGCGCTCGTAAAACGAGGAGGAGAGACGAAATGGAGCCAAGCTTTGAACGATGTGGGCAACATAGCCGGAGAGCATTTCCTAAACTGGTTCGTTTGCTTTCGCATTTGAAATTTGTTTTGCTTTCCTTTGTGTGATTGATTTCTCAACCATAAGATTTGCAATAGAATCTACAACGGTGAATTTTTCTCTCTTAGGGACAATGAATCGAAGATGATTGAGAAGATTGCTAGAGATGTTTCAAACAAACTAAACTACAATCTCTTGGGATTTTGAAGACATGGTTGGTATTGAAGCACACTTGGAAAAAATGCAGTCTTTGTTACATTTAGATGATGAGGATGAAGCTATGATTGTTGGAAATCAGGTCCTGCAGGCATGGTAAAACTACCATTGCCAGAGCTTTACATAGCCGACTCTCTAGCAGTTTCCAGCTTACTTGTTTTATGGAGAATCTTAGGGGAAGCAGTAATAATGGTCTTGATGAGTATGGTTTGAAGCTCTGTCTACAAGAGCAGCTTCTTTCCAAGATTTTAAACCAAAATGGTATGAGATATACCATTTACGTGCGATACCGGAAAGGCTATGCGACCAGAAAGTCTTATCATTCTTGATGATGTTGACGATCTGCAGCAACTTGAGGCTTTGGCTGATGAAAGTAACTGGTTTGGTCCTGGAAGCAGGATTATCGTAATCACAGAAGATCAAGAGCTTTTGGAGCAACATGATATCGATATCACATACCATGTGGATTTTCCAACTGACGAAGAAGCTAGTAAGATCTTTTGTAGATATGCTTTTAGACGGAGCTTAGCACCATATGGTTTTGAAAGCTTGTCGAAAGAGTACAGAGCTTTGTGGCAACCTTCCTTTGGGCCTCCGTGTCATGGGTTCACATTTACGCGGAAAGAAAGAAGCTGGCTGGGAAAGTGTATTGCATAGGCTAGAAAGTAGCCTTGATCGAAAGATCGATGCGTGCTTAGATTGGATACGACAGTTTACATGAGGACGATCAATCGCTATTTCTCCACATCGCATTCTTCTTCAACAACGATAAAGAGGATCATGTGATGGCCATGCTCGCTGAGGGACAGAAAATAGGATGTGGCTCGGGTTAAAACACTCGCCTATAAATCTCTCATACAAATATCACCGAGGGGAAAGTAGTGATGCACAAGCTGCTTCAACAAGTGGGTAGACAAGCAGTTCAAAGACAAGAGCTTGGAAACGCCAAATCATAACTGATTTTGATGTCCTTCAAACTGATTCTGTAAGTTCTTTTGTTTTTTATTCCCTTAAATGCAAAAGACTTTCTTACCTATGTGCTAACGTTTTCCTTTTTTTTTTCTTTTTTGAACTTGACTTAGGGTAGTAGAAGTGTGAAGGTATATCTTTGGATATATCCACAGTCCGAGAGTCGTCTATATAAGCAAAAGGGCTTTAAAAAGAATGAGTAATCTTCGATTTCTCAGCGTCTACGAGTCAAGACGTGACATAAATGTTAGAGTGCATGTACCGAGGACATGGATTTCCCACCTCGTCTAAGGTTATTACGTTGGGAGGTATACCCTGGAAAGTGTCTTCCTTTTACATTTACGCCAGAACATCTTGTGGAACTCAATTTGGTACATAGCAAGCTCGAGAAGCTTTGGCAAGGAACCCAGGTTAGTTTATTTTTTATTTGCTTATTTCAATAGTCGTTTGGGGAGCTTTATTAGTTTAGATGGATTTAATTTTAACTGATTTAGAAATCATTAAAATAATGACACCAGACTTGAACTACTTTTTAAATGATTTGAAAAGCAGTAACCAATATAAACGATGTAATTTGTGTCATCATATGTTGATGTTCTCCTTTGTTTGTGTTGTTTTACATTCAGCCCCTTACAAATCTCAAGAGGATGGATTTGTCACTGGTCCTCAATCTTAAGGAACTCCCTGATCTTTCATACGCTACCAATCTCGAGAAACTAGCGGTGGACGGTTGCTATAGTTTGGTAGAGATTCCTTCATCTATTGGAAATCTTCCTAAACTAGAGGAGTTGCAGATGGCTTTCTGTATAAAGTTACAAGTTGCTCCACTCTCTTCAACTTGGCATCTCTTGAAACAGTCACCTTGTGGGATGCGGGCAATTTAGTAAAATTCCATGTATTTCCACGAACATCACATATCTCAGAATCACAGACACAATGTTAGAAGAATTGCCTGAATCAATTAGCCTCTGGTCTCGCCTTCAGTGTCTCACTATATTGGGCGTCTCGTTCCATATCCAACTTGGGTCCCGAATTTTCCATGGCATACGGGCACAGATATTGAGAGAATTCCAGATTGGATCAGAGATCTTCATGTGTTAGAAAGGCTTTATAATTGGCTGTCCAAAACTTGCATCACTACCAGAGCTCCCTCCCTCGCTCAGACACTAAGCGTCGACACTTGTGAATCATTGGAGTCACTAACACCGTTTCCTATTGACTCTTTAATCAGGATCTCAGTTTCCCCAACTGCTTCAAATTGGGTCAAGAAGCAAGGAGAGTCATTACACATCAATTTTCTTACAGTAGCATGCTTACCCGGAAAGAAATGCCAGCTGAGTTCGATCACCGAGCTCTAGGAAGTTCCTTGACCATCCCTTCAGTTTTCTACAGATTTAGAGTTTGCCTCTTGGTTACCCCTAAACACCATGGCAATGGACGTTTTGTTAGTGTATGTGTCGAACAAGCTTAAACGGTTGCCTCATTAAGGAAGAAATGATTGAGAGTATTCTTCCTATATCAGAAGGGAACATCTAATTATATTTCCGTATGAATTGTTTGAGGAAGACGGATGGCTTGAACAGGACAACGAGGTGTTGTTCCAATTCAGCACCTCATCCAATCAACTCGAAATTGTTGAATGTGGTGTCCAGATCTTGACAACAGACGACGATGATGATGGTGAAAGCATTCTCTCTGCTGAGCTATAAAACCTGTTCAGAACAAGTGTCTGGAGACGACTATGAAAGCCTCTCTGATGGGAGAAATGAGTTTGATGAACCCAGACAGTAAAGGTACTATGAGGGATATACTCTTTTTATGATTTTGAAACTGTTTCAGATCGATAGCCAATGGATCTATCATCAACAGTGTTTCTTGTCTTTATAATAATCTCTAGTTGGTCTCATCGTACTTCTTACCCTGATCATACTTTACATATGTTATTCAAATCTGTTGGTATTTGAAACTTACTGTGTTTCTTATGGCATCAGGATAGTATGATGAGCTCAAGAGATGTCAACTCTTACTTGATGCTGGGAAGATTTGTGATGCTGTAGCAGATGATACTGTAAGTTTTATTCGTATTTTATTTTAGTTAACACTGTTAAATTAATGAACATCTGAGAGTCTCAAAATGCAGGAAATACTTAATCCAAAATTCCCACTCTGTTTATTCGTTTCAGATTGTGTAACAGATTTGAAATCATTGATCTGTTTCTCCAGCTTTTCTTGCAACTCCACTGAGTTTTCGTGTTCAGCTTCCTGATGCTTCCAAGTTCGACAGGTCAAATCGTGCAGTCCCACCCAATTTTTGTAAGTTGGCTAAAGGTCTTAAAATGAAATCAAAGAAACGTATCACATCTTTGAAATGTTTCTCTCGTCTGCGTTAATACAGCCAAGCGGGCCACTTGTTGCCTGAGCCTACCTACTTGTTCGTATACAGTTTTTTTTTTCCAAAAACCATCAAATAATTAATGTGAACATCTGACATTTTTCTTCTTCTGCTTTTTTTTTTGTACTAATAATTAATTCCCTCCTCTGAAACTTCGTTTACTTTTCAGAGATTAAAAGGACCCGAAGAAACGAAGAAGCTTGACAATAACTCAGCAACTGTCTGTGACTACCACTTACCACTTACCATTTTCTCCTTCCATAAAAGGCTTATCTCTGTGATTTTGAACCACTCAAGATCCTCTCTCTCTCATGGCTTCTGCTACGCCTCGCACCTGGAGATACATTGTCTTCACGAACTTCCACGGACCTGACGTCGGTAAAGCCCTTTTCACTCAATTACGCAAACAATTTAGCTACAATGGGGTTTCCTTGCTCATCGATGATCAAAGGATCGAGAGAGGCCAAACCATCATCAAACCTGAAATTTCACGAGCGACTTCGAGGATCTCGATCGTCGTGCTCTCAAAGAACTATGCTTCTTCCAGCTTGACTTTGGATGAGTTGGTGGAGATTTTCATATGCAAGAAAGATATGGGACACATAGTGATGACGATCTTCTACGGAGTAGATCCACGTGATGTGCGGGAACAAACCGGAGAGTTTGGTAAAGTTTTCAAGAAAACTTGTGCTGGTAAAACAGAGGAGCTGAGGCGAACATGGAGCCATGCTTTGAACGATGTGGGCAACATTCCCGGAGAACACTTCTTCCACTGGTTTGTTCTTTTTCTTTTGTTCACTTACTTTGGCATTTATTCTTTCTTAATCCGATTTGAAATTTACATTTGAGTAATCTACAAATAATTTTCACGTACTATACTAGATAAATTGGTTTCTTTTGCTGTCGTTCTCTGTGAACCTACTAAACAATATTTCAGTTTACTATTAATTACGATTACTAAAAGATGTATGCATATTTTGCCTAGAGATATATTGTTAAGAACAAAAACGATTATTCCTTTATTGATCCTTGTTAATTAATATGTTATCTCTTCTCTCTATTTAAACTATTTTTGTTCTTATCAATCTTTTCTGTAACTACAAAATATCTACCAATAGAATCCAAAAAATCATTTTCACATGACTATTTGATAAACACAATAATGACTTATCTCTCTTGTTAGGGACAACGAGATGATTGAAAAGATTGCTAGAGATGTTTCAAACACTCTAAATGCTACAGTCTCTTTGGATTTGGAAGACATGGTGGGGATTGAAGCACACTTGCAGAGAATGCAGTCGTTGTTAGAGTTTAAAAATGAGAGTGAAGCTATGATTGTTGGAATCTATGGTCCTGCAGGCATTGGTAAGACTACAATCGCTAGAGCTTTGCATGGCCGATTTTCTAGCAGTTTCCCTCTTAGCTATTTTATGGATAATCTTAGTGGACGCTATAGTAGTGATCTTGACGATTATGGAGTGAAGCTGCGATTACAAGAGAAACTTCTTTCAAATGTCTTAAACGAAGATGGTATAAGGATAGACGATTTAGGTGCTATACATCGAGGGCTATATGACAAAAAAGTTCTTATCATTCTTGATGATGTGGACGATCTGCAGCAACTTGAGGCTTTGGCTAAAGAAGCAAAGTGGTTTGGTCCTGGAAGCAGGATTATTGTAACGACGGAAGATCAAGATCTTTTGGAGAAACATGGTATAAACAATACATACCAAGTGGAGTTTCCAAATGACGAAGAAGCTCGTCAGATCTTTTGTAGGTATGCTTTTAATCAGAGCTCTGCACTAGAAGGTTTTGACAAGCTTGTGGAAAGAGTAAGAGAGTTTTGCAGCGACCTTCCGATGAGTCTTCGTGTCATGGGTGCATCATTACGCAGAAAGAAAGAAGAAGACTGGGAACATATATTGCATAGGCTAGAAACTAGCCTTGATCCAAATATGAAGGGAGTACTTAGTGTCGGATACGACAGTTTACATAAGGACGATCAATTCCTGTTTCTCCTCATTGCCTTCTTCTTCAACTACCAAGACGAGAAGCATGTGATTAATATGCTCAGTGAAAGTCACGTGGATGTTGGGTTTGGGTTGAAAGCACTCGCCGATAAATCTCTCATACAAATAACCAAAGGAAAAATAGTGATGCACAAGTTACTACAACAAGTGGGTAGAGAAGCGGTTCAAAGACAAGATCATGAGAAACGCCAAGTCCTAATTCATGGTAATGAGATTCGCGATGTCCTCCTAACAGATTCGGTAAGCTGTTTTTTCTTTTTCTTGATCTTGATCTTAATGTATCGATCTTTACCTTGTGCTAACATTTTATTTGGAATCCTGTTTAGGGAAGCACAAGCGTGAGGGATATATACTTTGACACATCAACAATCTCAAAGGATGTGTATGTAAGCGCAGGAGCTTTCAGGAAAATGTGTAATCTTCAATCACTCAGCATCTATAACACTAGACGTGGTACTCACGCAAATGATGATAGAGTGCATGTACCCGGGGACATGGATTTGCCGCCTCGTCTAAGGCTATTACGATGGGAGGCATACCCTGGAAATTGTCTTCCTCATACATTTATGCCGGAGCATCTCATAAGACTTGTTTTGCGAAATAGCAAGCTTAAGAAACTATGGGAAGGAACTCAGGTTTGGTTCTTGTATGTGCTTACTTTGAATTTTATATATACTTTGTGTTGATGTCGTCAAATGTTCATGTTCTTTCTTTGTTGTGTGTTTGTTTTTTATATTCAGCCACTTAGAAATCTGAAGAAGATGGATTTGTCCTGGTCCATGAGTTTGAAGGAACTACCGGATCTTTCAAAGGCTACAAGTCTGGAGAGATTGAAACTGAGTGGTTGCAAGAGTTTGATAGAGCTTCCTTCTTCTATTGGAAACCTTCCTAAACTAGAGGAGTTGAAAACGGATCTCTGTGACGACCTACAGCTTGTCCCGACACTCTTCAACATGACATCACTAGCAAAGGTGGACATGTTGGGATGCAGGAAACTGAGAAAGATTCCAGATTTTCCCAGGAACATCCAAGAGCTCGTAATTCCAGACACCATGTTAGAAGAATCGCCTGAATCGGTTAGCCATTGGTCTCGCCTTTGGTCTCTCACTATTCATGGCAGTGTCAATCCATATCCAATCTTGACAATACCATGGCTAAAGGGAAGTGGAGCAGACATTGAGAAACTTCCAGATTGGATCAAAGATCTGCCTGGGCTTACATGGCTTTATGTTGGTGGCTGTCCAAAACTTGCATCATCGCCAAAGCTCCCTCCCTCGCTCCAAACACTAAAGATGGAGAATTGTGAATCATTGGAGACACTCAAGTCTTTCCCTCCTGACTCTGAGATTGAGGATCTGCATTTCCCAAACTGCTTCAGATTGGGTCCAAAAGCACGGGAAGTAATCACACATAAATCGTTGGAGGCATTGTTACCCGGAAGAACAATGCCTCCGGAGTTCGACCACCGAGCTATAGGAAACTCCTTGACCATCCGTTCACGTTTCAGCATATTTAGGATTTGCCTTGTGCTTTCCCCTAAACCGGAGGAAAAAGTAGGTTCGTTTAGTTTATTCATTCAAATAACCATAAACGGTAGCCCAGCTGGAGACGTGACTACGACGCAACCACTCCCCCATATCCGAAAGGAAAATAAATTTCTAGAACTTGAAGAGGAGGCCGACATAACGTTCGACTTCATCACCTCATCCCAGTATATCAAAGTTACTGAATGTGGTGTACAACTCTTTTACTATTTTCCTTTCTTTAGTTTTTCTTCTCTTGAGTTTTAGCCTCATGCTATAGCTTTGTCCCTTTGTATAGAAACATCATCAAGACTTTGAGTATGTGATTTTGTTGCCGTCTCTTGCAGCACTTTCTATTTATGGACTTCTTTATAATTTCAATCACTAAGAAAAATCTGATGAGCTAAACCACAATAACATTCTACCAACTATGGGAAAGTCATTCTCTTGCATGCTTCTGTATTCTTTTTCTATTTTTCCTTTTTTTTTAACTGAATGTAAAATTTAATCAAACCAGAAAAACTGTTTGGTACAATAAATGAAACCTTTTGAGGGCTGCTTAATTTGTCACCTCAAGGCTCACGCACAACTCCTGCACCTTCACGGCTTCAAGTACAACAACAAAATCACATACTCAAGTCTTAATAATGTTTCTATACAGAGGGACATATCATCATAATAATCAAACTCAAGAAAAGAACAACTAGAGAAAGGAAAATAGTAAAACCACCAAAGAACTTTGCTCTGGGTTCGTTAAACTCATTGCTCCCATCAGAGAGGCTTTCATCGTGGTGTTCAGAAACTTTCTCTCGCCAACTAAAGTCATATGACTCATATCTCCCGCCGGAGTGGAACGTCAAGATTTGTACACCACATTCAGTAACTTCCATATCCTGTGATGAGGTGACAAATCCAAACGCCATCTCGTTGTCCTGTCCAAGTTCAAACCATCCCTCTTTGTCTTCGTCAAGCACTTCATAAGGAAATATGAATACATGTTCCTCTCGGATATAGGGGACTCTAAGCTCCTTGACCAGTTTTCCATCTGCTGGGCAGCCGTTTATGTGTATGAAACAGAATAAATCAGCAAAACCTAGGTTGCGTGCTGAATTTGGTTTAGGGCAAACCACAAGGCAAACCCTAAATTTGCAGAAATATGAAGGGATGACCAAGAAGTTTCCTTCAACTCGGTGATTGAACTCTTCAGGCATTGTTCTTCCTGGTAACCATGCCTCTAACGAGTGATTGGTAATTACTCCATGTGCTTCTTCATCACCCAACTTGAAGCAGTTGAGAATTTTGAGAAACTTAATGCGAGAGTCGAAAGGGAAAGACTTTAGTGTCTCCAATGATTCACAAGTGTCCACCTGTAGCGTTATGAGCGAGCGAGGGAGCTCTGGGAGAGATGCAAGCTTTGGACAGCCACCTACACGAAGCCATGTTAACACATGAAGGTCTTTGATCCAATCTGGAAGTTTCTCAATGTCTGCTCCACTTCCCTCTAGACATTGTTCATCTGTCGTCAGTGGATATGGATTGACACTGCCATAGATAGAGAGAGACTGAAGGCGAGACCAGTGGCTAATGGATTCAGGCAATTCTTCTAACATTGTGTCTGCGATTATAAGAGATTTGATGTTCTTGAAAAAATCTGGAATTTTTCTCAATTTCCTGCAGCTCAACATGGAGACGATCTGAAGAGATACCACGTTGAAGAGAGACGGAACAACCTCTAGGTTTATACATAAATCCATACCCATCTTCTCTAGGTTATGGAGATTACGTACGGAGCAAGGAATCTCAACCAAACTCTTGCAACCAGTCAGTTCCAATTTCTGGAGACTTGTAGCATTTGAAAGATCCGGGAGTTTCTTCAAATTCAAGGACCAGCGCAAATCCATCTTCTTCAGATTTCTAAGTGGCTGAATATAAAAAGAACACACAAAGCAGAAGAAGGATCATAACTCATAAGCACATGATCATGGGAAAGTTGTACATGTTAGTAAGAAAATACAAGAACCAAACCTGAGTTCCTTCCCAGAGATTCTCAAGCTTGCTATGTCGCAAAACAAGTCTTACGAGATATTCCGGCATAAATGTACGAGGAAGACACTCCCCAGGGTATGCCTCCCATCGTAATAACCTTAGACGAGGAGGAAAATCCATGTCCTCCGGTACATGCACTCTAACATTTGCGTCAGTAGCACGTCTAGTGTCATAGATGCTGAGAGATTGAAGATTACCCATTTTCCTGAAAGCTCCTGCGCTTATATACACATCCTTTGAGATTGTTGATAAATCAAAGTATATATCTCTCACGCTTGTGCTTCCCTAAACAAGATGCCAAATGCATAAAAGAAAATGTTAGCACAATATGCAAGAGGGATATATCAAAGTCTTTTCCACAATAGGTGAGAAAGTTTATTATAACTTACTGAATTATTTTCGAGGACATCGCAAATCTGATCAGCATTAATAAGGATTTTGTGTATCCCATGGTCTTGTCTTTTAACCGCTTCTCTCCCCACTTGTTGTAGTAACTTGTGCATCACTATTTTTCCTTTGGTGGTTATCTGTATGAGAGATTTATAGGCGAGTGTTTTCAACCCAAACTTGACATCCAAGTTTCTTTCACGGAGCATAGACATCACATGCTTCTCGTCTTGGTAGTTGAAGAAGAAGGCAATGAGGAGAAACAGGAATTGATCGTCCTTATGTAAACTGTCGTATCCGACACTAAGTACTCCCTTCATCTTTGTGTCAAGGCTAGTTTCTAGCTTATGCAATATATATTCCCAGCCGTCTCTTTTCTTGTTGCGTAAATTTTCACCCATGACACAGAGACCCATCGGAAGGTTGCTGCAAAGCTTTCTTACTCTTTCGACAAGGTTGTCAAAACCTTCTGGTGCAGAGCTCTGATTAAAAGCATGCCTACACAATATCTGACGAGCTTCTTCTTCACCTGGAAAACCCACTTGGTATATATTGTTTACACCATGTTGCTCCAAAAGCTCTTTGTCTTCTGTGGTTACAATAATCCTGCTTCCACGACCAAACCATTTAGTTTCATTAGCCAGAGCCTCAAGTTGCTGCAGATCGTCCACATCATCAAGAATGATAAGAACTTTTTGGTCACGTAGTCTTTCTTGTATCGCACGTAAATGGTCAATCTTCATACCATTTAGGTTTAAAATATTGGAAAGAAGTTTCTCTTGTAATCGAAGCTTCAAATCATACTCATCAAGACCATTCTTACAGCTTCCCCTAAGATTCTCCATAAAACAAGTAAGCTGAAAATTGCTAGAGATTCGGCTCTGTAAAGCTCTGGCAATAGTAGTCTTACCAATTCCCGCAGGACCAGAGATTCCAACAATCATAGCTCCATCCTCACAAAAACGTAACACAGACTGCATGTTCTCCAAGTGTGCCTCAATACCCACCATGTCTTCAAAATCCCAAGAGATTGTAACATTTAGTTTGTTTGAAACATCTCTGGCAATCTTTTCAATCATCTCCGGTTCGTTGTCCCTAACAAGAGAGAAAAATCATCGTGTTTATCAAGTGAAATGATTTGGGAATTCTATTGGTAGATATTTTGTATTGATAGAAATCCAAGCAAGAAAGTTGATCTATGAAACCTAAAATGGTATAAATAGAGAGAAGGGATAACAGATTAAAAGTCTTTGAACATTTGGTAAATGGAAGCATTTTAGCTAGTCGGTAAAATTTTGAAGTTACTTTATATTACTAGCTAAAAATTGACACTTCCCAGCCATTAATTTAGAAAAACCTCAAAAATTATCAATTTTGTCAATATTTGTGGTCTTTATTCTACGAGTTTTTCCAAAATTTGAAAAAATTGAAATAGTTTTTTATTTGGCTTTCTTGGACACTCTTTTACAATGGAAAATAGGTGGATCAATTAGATTTCACTTTAGACACACTCCATTCATTAATTTACAAAAACCTCAAAATGCATCAATTTTCTCAGAATTTGTGTGCTAACACCTACGAGTTTTTCCAAATTTTGAAAAAATTGAAATAGTTTTTTATTTGGCTTTTTTGGACACTCTTTTACAATGGAAAATTGTTGGAGCAATTAGATTTCACTTTAGACGCATTCCATTCTTTAATTTACAAAAACCTCAAAATGCATCAATTTTCTCAGAATTTGTGGGCTAATACTTAAGAGATTTTCCAAATTTTGAAAAAAAAATGAAATAGTTTTTTGTTAGGCTTTCTTGGACACTCTTTTACACTGGAAAATGGTTGGATCAATAAAATTTCACTTTGAACACATTCCATTCATTAATTTACAAAAACCTCAAAATGCATCAATTTTCTCAGAATTTGTTGGCTAACACCTACGGATTTTTTCCAAATTTTGAAAAAATTGAAAAAACTTTTTATTTGGCTTTCTTGGACACTATTTTACAATGGAAAGTGGTTGGATAAATAAGATTTCACTTTAGACACATTCCTTCATTAATTTACAAAAACCTCAAAATGCATCATTTTTCTCATATTTTGTGGGCTAACACCTACGAGTTTTTCCAAATTTTGAAAAATTGAAATAGTTTTTTATTTGGCTTTCTTGGACACTCTTTTACAATGGAAAATGGTTGGATCAATTAGATTTCACTTTAGACATATTCCATTCATTAATTTACAAAAACCTTAAAATGCATCAATTTTCTCAGATTTTATGGGCTAACATCTACGAGTTTTTCCAAATTTTGAAAAAATTGAAATATTTTTTTTTGTTTGGCTTTCTTGGACACTCTTTTACACTGGAAAATGGTTGGATCAATAAAATTTCACTTTGAACACATTCCATTCATTAATTTACAAAAACCTCAAAATGCATCAATTTTCTCAGAATTTGTTGGCTAACACCTACGGGTTTTTTCCAAATTTTGAAAAAATTGAAATAGTTTTTTATTTGGCTTTCTTGGACACTATTTTAAAATGGAAAATGGTTGGATAAATTAGATTTCACTTTAGACACATTCCATTCATTAATTTACAAAAACCTCAAAATGCATCAATTTTCTCATATTTGGTGGGCTAACACCTACGAGTTTTTCCAAATTTTGAAAAAAAAATTGAAATAATATGTTTTTAGGTTTTCTTAGATTCTCTTTTACAATGGAAAATGGTTGGATCAATTTGTTTTCACTACTTACCATTAATTTAAAAAAACCTCAAAATTTATCAATTTTGTCAATATTTGTGGACTAACCCCTATGAGTTTTAACAAATTTTGAAAAAAAAATGAAAAATATGTTTTTAAGTTTAAACCTTTCCTTTTATGTAATAAATTTTATATTTTAGCAGAGATGCCAAAAACAAAAAATGCACATATCTTTTAGTAATCTCTCTTTGTAGCAAGCTAATGAGCATTCAGAAATCAATCGGATCTTTTAGTATCACAAAGAAAATTTAACAAATCGGATTAAGAATAATAAATTCCAAATAAGTTGAATGAAAACAAAAACAAATTAACAAACCAGTTTATCGAGTGTTCTCCGTGAATCTTGCCCACATCTTCCAAAGCTTGGCTCCATTTTCGTCTCTCCTCCTTTGTTTTGCGAGCACAAGTTTTCTTGAAAACTTTCCCGAAATCTCCGGTTTGTTTCTGAACATGAAGTGGATCTACTCCGTAGAAGACCGTCATCACTATTTGCCCAATATCTTTCTTGCACTTGAAAATCTCCACTAACTCATCCAAACACCAGCTGGATGAAGCATAGTTCTTTGTGAGCACCACGATCGAGATCCTTGATCCTCCAATCGCTTGTTTGAGAGCAGGTGCGATGGTTTGGCCTCTCTCGATCTCTTGATCATTGAACATGGAAATTCCATTGTAGTTAAACTGTTTGCGAAAGTGAGTGAGAAAGGATTTACGTACGTCAGGTCCGTGGAAGCTCGTGAAGACGCGGTATGTCCAGGTGCGAGGCGTAGAAGAAGAAGAAGCCATGAGACTATGAGAGAGAATCGTGAGTGGTTCCAAAATCACAGAGATAAGGTTTTTATGGAATGAGAAAATGGCAAGTGACAAGTGGTTGTCACATACAGTTGTTGAGTTGTCTATAGAGGAAAAAAATGGAAAGTTTGACGAAATTTCTGAATGAATTATTATAAGTACAAACAAAACGGAGAAGAAGAGAAATGTCAAATATTCACATTAATCATTTGGAAAAAAACTGTATACGAACAAAGAACAAACAAGTACGTGGGCTCATGCAACAAGTGGGCTTTGTCCGTATCAACGCAAAAGCGTAATGAGAGAAAAACACTTTCACATGCTTAAGTCTCAAGGACAGAGAGCTATAGCATGAGGATAATACTCAAGAAAAGAAAAATTAGAGAAAGAAAAATAGTAAAACAGTCAAAGAACTTAACTCTTGGCTCATCAAACTCGTTGCTCTCATCAAACCCCTCAGTGCTCCCATCAGAGAGGCTTTCGTGGTCGTTGTCCTCACACACTTGCTCTGAACTGCAAGATTCATAGGTCCATCCGGTTTTGCTTGTCAAGATCCGTACGCCACACTCAATGACGTCCACGTCCTGTGATGAGGTGACGAATTTGAACGATATCTCGTTGTCTTCAAGCCATCCTTCTTTGTCTTTGCCAAAGATTTGATACGGAAATATATATAGATGCTTGGCTCCGACATGGGAGAAACCGATCCCGTTTGTGCTAAAGTCAGCTGGTCGACCGTTTATGCGTATGCGACAAAACACACCATGGAAACCTAGTTTGGTCCGCGGTTTAGGGGAAACCACAAGGCAAACCCTAAATCTTCTGAAACGTGAACGGATGGTCAAGGAATTTCCAAGAGCTCGGTGATTGAACTCTGCATGCATTGTTATTCCTGGTAAGAATGCTTGATATGATTGCTGGGTGATTATTCTCCTTGCTTCTCGACCTAATCTGAAGCAGTTGGCGAACTGAACAGACGTAGTCCAAGAGTCAGAAGAGAAAGGCATTAGTGTCTCCAGTGACTCACAGTTGTCCACATTTAGTGTTTTGAGCTTAGGAGGGAGCTCTGGCAGTGATGTAAGTTTTGGACAGCCACCTATGGATAGGGATCTCAACCCATGCAGATCTTTGATCCAATATGGAAGTCTCTCAATGTCTTCGCCACTTCCCTCTAGACGTGGTTCTGTCCGGATTGGATATGGATTGACACTGCCCCATATATAGAGAGACCGAAGGAGAGACCAGTGGCTAATTGACTCAGGCAGTTCTTGGAACATTGTGTCTGTAACTACGAGCCTTGTGATGTTCCTGGGAAAATCTGGAATTTTTCTCAGCTTCCGGCAACCCAACATGTCAGCCTTTGCAAGAGCTGCCGAGTTGAAGAGAGTCGGAACAAACTGTAGCTCGCTACATAAGTCCATCCTCAAAAACTTTAGCTTAGGAAGCTCTCCAATAGAAGAAGGAAGCTCTACCAAACTCTCGCAATAACTCAGTTCCATTCTCTCCAGACTTGTGGCCTTTGAAAGATCCGGTAGTTCCTTCAAATCCAAGGACCAGGACAAATCCATCTTCTTCAGGTTTGCAAGGGCCTGAAATGTAAAACAAAGGAAGAATATAAGCATTTGATGACCCATAGTACATACATATTTCTAAGTTCAAACTACAAAAATCCACATTTTTTTAACCTAATAAAGATTTCTCAAACAAGCAAATACAAGAACCAACCTGGACACCATCCCAAAGTTTCTCTAGCTTGTTGTCTCGCATATCGAGTTCCACAAGATATTCCGGCATTAATGTACGAGGAAGACACTTCCTAGGGTATGCCTCCCAGTGTAATAACCTTAGCCGAGGTGGGAACTCCATGTCCTCTGGTACATGAACTCTATCTTTTGTACCAGATTTTGTCCGGTAAATGCTGAGAAACCGAAGATTACTCATTTTCTTAAAGGCACTTTTGCTTATATACACCACATATGGGATTGTGGATGTATCAAAAGATATACCCGTCACACTTTTATCACCCTAAGCCAAATTCAAAACAAAAGAAAATGTTAGCACAATGTAGGTAAGAAAATCTTTGCCATTGACTATTGACGTCACAAAGTAAAAAAAAACTTACAGATTCAGTTTCGAGGACATCACAAATCTCATGAGCATCAGTTAAGAATTGGTGCTTCCAAGGCTCTTCGCTTTTAACCGCTTCTCTACCCACTTGTTGTAGTAACTTGTGCACCACGACTTGACCTTTGGTGGTTATTTGTACGAGAGATTTATCGGCGAGTGCTTTCAACACAGGTCTATAATCCAAGATATTGTCAGCGAGCATGGCCATCACATGATCCTCGGTTTCGTAGTTGAAGAAGAACGCAATGAGTAGAAACAGAAACTTCTCGTCCTCGTCTAAAGTTTTGTATCCGACCCTAAGCACTCCCTCCATCTTTGGACTAAGGCTATTCTCTAGCCTATGTAATATATATTCCCAGTCTTCTTCTTTCTTTCTGCGTAAAGATGAGCCCATGACACGGAGACCCATCGGGAGGTTGCTGCAAAGCTTTCTTACTCTTTCCACAAGCTCGTCAAAACCTTCCAGTGCAGAGCTCTGGTTAAAAGCATATCTACAAAATATCTGACGAGCTTCTTCGTCATTTGGAAACTCCACATGGTATGTAATTTCTATACCATGTTTCTCCAAAAGCTCTTTATCTTCCGTGGTTATAATAATCCTACTTCCAGGACCAAACCAATTAGTCTTTTTAGCCAAAGCCTTTAGTTGCTGCAGATCGTCCACATCATCAAGAATGATAAGAACTTTTTTGTCATATAGCCCTCGATGTATAGCACCTAAATCTTCTATCCTTATACAATCTTCCTTTAAAACATTTGAAAGAAGCTGCTTTTCTAATAGCATCTTTAATCCATAATCGTCAAGATCACGATTGCTATTATAGATTCCGCTAAGATTCTCCATAAAATAGCTAAGAGGGAAACTGCTAGAAAATCGGCTATGTAAAGCTCTAGCGATTGTAGTCTTACCAATGCCTAAAGGACCATAGATTCCAACAATCATAGCTTCACTCTCATTTTTAAAATCTAACAAAGACTGCATCTTTTGCAAGTGTGCTTCAATCCCCACCATGTCTTGGAAGTCACTAGAGAGTGTAACATTTATTTTGTTTGAAACATCTCTAGCAATCTTTTCAATCATCTTTGCTTCGCTGTCCCTAAACAAGAGAGAAAAGTCATTGTTGTGTTTAGCAAATAGTCATGTGAAAATGATTTGTGGATTCTATTGGTAGATATTTTGTTGTTAACATAAATCTAACCAAGAAAAGCTTATATTTGATAATCACTAAAACAGTATAAACAGAGAGACGAGATTAATTAACTAGGATTTAATATAGTTGAACGAAAGCAAAACAAACCAGTTTATTTGTAGATTCCTCAAATGTAAATTTCAAATCAGATTAAGTTAAAGAAAAAGAACAAACCAGTTGAAGACGTGTTCTCCGGCAATGTTGCCCGCAGCGTTCAAAGCCTGGCTCCATTTTTGCCTCTGCTCCACTGTTTTAACAGCACAAGTTTTCTTGAAAACTTTCCCAAACTCTCCGGTTTGTTTCCGCACATCACGTGGATCTACTCCATAGAAGATTGTCATCACTGTTTGTTCATCTTCCTTGCACTCGAAAATCTCCACCAACTCATCCAAACAGCAGCTGGAAGAAGCATAGTTCTTAGAGAGCACGACGATCGAGATCCTCGATTCTTTGATCGCTTGCGTGAGAGCAGGTTTCATGGTTTGGCTTCTTTCGACCCCTTGATCATCGAACATGGAAATTCCATTGTAGTTAAACTGTTTGTGTAAGTGAGCGAGAAAGGCTTTAAGGACGTCGGGGCCGTGGAAGCTCGTGAAGACGTGGTGTCTCCAGGTGCGAGGCGTAGAAGAAGAGGAGGAAGAAGAAGCCATGAGAGAGAGGGGATCTTGAGTGGTTCAAAATCACAGAGATAAGCCTTTTTATGGAAGGAGAAAAGGGCAAGTGGTAAGTGGTAGTCACAGACAGTTGCTGAGTTATATAGAGAGGAAGAAACGTCAAGCTTCTTCGTTTTTAGGGGTCTTTTAATCTCTGAAAAGTAAACGAAGTTTCAGAGGAGAGAATTATTAGTACAAACAAAAAAGCAGAAGAGGAAAAATGTCAGATGTTCACATTAATTTATTTGTTGGTTTTTGGAAAAAAACTGTATACGAACAAGTAGGTAGGCTCAGGCAACAAGTGGCCCGCTTGGCTGTATTAACGCAAACGAGAGAAACATTTCAAAGATGTAATACTTTTCTTTGATTTCATTTTAAGACCTTTAGCGAACCTACAAAAATTGGGTGGGACTGCATGATTTGACCTGTCGAACTTGGAAGAAATCAGGAAGCTGAACACGAAAACTCAGTGGAGTTGCAAGAAAAAGCTGGAGAAACAGATCAATGATTCCAAATCTGTTACACAATCTGAAACGAATAAACAGAGTGGGAATGTTGGATTAAGTTTTTCCTGCATTTGAGACTCTAAGCTGTCATACAAATAAAACTTACAGTATCATTTGCTACAGCATCAGAAATCTTCCCAGCACCAAGTAAGAATTGACATCTCTTGAGCTCATCAGACTATCCTGATGTGATAAGAAACACAGTAAGTTTCAAATACCAACAGATTTGAATAACATATGTAAAGTATGATCAGGGTAAGAAGTACAACGAGACCAACTAGAGATTATTATAAAGACAAGAAACACAGTTGATGATAGATCCATTGGCTATCGATGTGAAACAGTTTCAAAATCATAACAGAGTATATCCCTCACAGTACCTTTACTGTCTGGGTTCATCAAACTCATTGCTCCCATCAGAGAGACTTTCATAGTCGTCTCCAGTCACTTGTTCTGAAGAAGATTTAGAGCTCCCAGCAGAGAGAATGCTTTCATCATCATCATCATCATCGTCGTCTGTTGTCAAGATCTGGACACCACATTCAGCAATTTCGATTTGATTGGATGGGCTGCTGAATTGGAACAACACCTCGTTGTCCTGTTCAAGCCATCCGTCTTCCTCAAACAATTTATACGGAAATATAATAGATGTTCCCTTCTGATATTAAAGAAGACCCTTAACAATTCCTTCCTTGAATGAGGCAACCGTTTAAGCTTGTTCGACACAGTAGACACTATCATCATATTCATTGGCATGCTGTTTAGGGGTAACCAAGAGGCAGACTCTAAATCTGTAGGAATCTGAAGAGATGGTCAAGGAACTTCCTAGAGCTCGGTGATCGAACTCAGCTGGCATTTCTTGTCCGGGTAAGCATGCACATGTAAGAAATTGATGTGTAATGACTCTCCTTGCTTCTTGCACCCAATTTGAAGCAGTTGGGGAAATTGAGATCTGATTAAAGAGTCAATAGGAAACGGTGTTAGTGATTCCAATGATTCACAAGTGTCGACGTTAGTCCTGAGCGAGGGAGGGAGCTCTGGTAGTGATGCAAGTTTTGGACAGCCCATTATAAAAAGCCCTACTAACACATGAAGATCTCTGATCCAATCTGGAATTCTCTCAATATCTGTGCCCGTATGTGGAAGATTCCTAATCATTATGGATCGACACTGCCCAATATAGAGACACTGAAGGCGAGACCAGAGGCTTGTTGATTCAGGCAATTCTTCTAACATTGTGTCTGTGATTCTGAGATTGTGATGTTCGTGGAAATACATGGAATTTTACTAAATTGCCCGCATCCCACATGGTGACTGTTTCAAGAGATGCCAAGTTGAGAGAGTGGAGCAACTTGTAGGTTTATACAGTAACTCCATCTGCAACTCCTCTAGTTTAGGAAGATTTCCAATAGATGAATGAATCTCTACCAAACGATAGCAACCGTCCACCGCTAGTTTCTCGAGATTGGTAGCGTATGAAAGATCAGGGAGTTCCTTAAGATTTGAGGAACCTGACAAATCCATCCTCTTGAGATTTGTAAGGGGCTGAATGTAAAACAACACAAACAAAGGAAGAACATCAACATATGATGACACAAATTACATCGTTTATATTGGTTACTGCTTTTCAAATCATTTGAAAATCCAAATATAAACGCGTTTAAAAAGTAGTTGAAGTCTGTGTCATTATTTTAATGATTTCTAAATCAGTTAAAATTAAATCCATCTAAACTAATATAGCTCCCCAAACGACTATTGAAATAAGCAAATAAAAAATAAACTAACCTGGGTTCCTTGCCAAAGCTTCTCGAGCTTGCTATCTACCAAATTGAGTTCCACAAGATGTTCTGGCGTAAATGTAAAAGGAAGACACTTTCCAGGGTATACCTCCCAACGTAATAACCTTAGACGAGGTGGGAAATCCATGTCCTCGGTACATGCACTCTAACATTTACGTCACGTCTTGTCTCGTAGACGCTGAGAAATCGAAGATCAAGCATTCTTTTCAAAGCTCCTGCGCTTATATTCACATCGTCTCTGAGTGTGGATATATCCAAAGATATACCCATTCACACTTCTACTCTTCTAAGAAAAAAGAAAAAAAAAGGAAAACGTTAGCAGAGTAGGTAAGAAAGTCTTTGCCAAATGAACCGGTTTAACGACTACATTAAAAAAAAAAAACTTACAGAATCAGTTTCCGAGGATATCACAAATCTCATCAGCATTATTAGATTTGGCGTTTCCCAAGCTCCTGTCTTTGAACCGCTTCTCTACCCACTTGTTGAAGTAACTTGTGCATCACTACTTTTCCTTCCATTGATATTTGTATGAGAGATTTATTGGCGAGTGTTTCCAATCCGTGTCCCACATCTATTTTAGTGTCAGCGAGCATGTCCATCACATGATCCTCTTTTTCGTAGTTGAAGAAGAATGCAATGAGGAGAAATAGACACTGATCATATGTAAGTTGTCGTATCCGACTCTAAGCACTGCATCGATCTTTCGATCCAGGCTATCTTCTAGCCTACGCAATACGCTTTCCCAGCCAGCTTCTTTCTTTCCGCGTAAATGTGAACCCATGACACGGAGGCCCAAAGGAAGGTTGCTACAAAGCTCTGTTACTCTTTCCACAAGCTTTTCAAAACCATATGGTGCTAAGCTCCGTCTAAAAGCATATCTACAAAAGATCTTGCGAGCTTCTTCTCAGTTGGAAAATCCACATGGTATGTACTGTTGATACCATGTTGCTCCAAAAGCTCTTGATCTTCTGTGGTTATGATAATCCTGCTTCCAGGACCAAACCAACTAGTTTCATCAGCCAAAGCCTCAAGTTGCTGCAAATCGTCCACATCATCAAGAATGATAAGCACTTTCTGGTCGCATAGCCTTTCTGGTATCGCACGTAAATGGTTTACACTAATACCATTTAGGTTCAAAATCTTGGAAAGAAGTTGCTCTTGTAGATCGAGCTTCAAACCATACTCGTCAAGACCACTATTATTGCTTCCTCTAATATTCTCCATAAAACAAGTAAGCTGGAAACTGCTAGAGAGTCGGCTATGTAAAGCTCTCGCAATGGTAGTCTTACCAATGCCTGCAGGGCCACAGATTCCAACATCATAGCTTCATCCTCATCATCTAAATGTAACAAAGACTGCATTTTCTGCAAGTGTGCTTCAATACCAACCATGTCTTTAAAATCCCAAGAGATTGTAGTGTTTAGTTTGTTTGAAACGTCTCTAGCAATCTTCTCAATCATCTCCGATTCATTGTGCCTAACAAGAGAAGAAAAAAAAATCACAATGTTAATCAAATAGTCATGTGAAAATGATTTGTAAACTCTATTGGTAGATATTCTCTAGTTATAGAAACTAGGAATGAAGCTCTGCCCAAGCGCCGGGTTGTTGCAAAACAATTGTGTTTTTTTGTATTCGTAGATTTAAATTGTGATGGTTTTATCTTAACTTTTGGTGGCTACGTTTTGAATTAAAATCAACTACTCACATTAAAAATGTTCAATATGAATTTTTATATCCAGTGATGTGCATTGCATGAATAATTACTATCTTTCTAGTACCAAAAACGGTTGTTTAGTGAATTTATAACTTCCTCTAATCACCATTAGCTGTCAAAGTTCTTATTAACAGCATATCGAGCCACGTCCGCCTCTTAATTATACTCAACCACCGCCTTAGTCAGCTTTTGAGCTGTACTTTTTACTGTTTGCCATCTGACATTTTCAATAATAACTTTTTGAACTACATTTTTATTTGCCGCCTGAGCCATTTTACGTGCTCTTAACATGATTTAACATTGAAAAAATGAATCTTTTTATTCCTATTATAAACATTTTCCAAATTTTTATATAAAATTACAAATAATTCTTAATATCTTTATTTATTAATTTCTAACTCTTAGAAAATCTATGGTCTTAAAATTTCTCAAATCTATGTTTTCTCATATATTATTTTAAATATGTTATTTTTTTTCTTATTTATAGCTATCTTTATACATTTTGAATTTTCAAGTTATGTAAAAAAAATGTTTCTTCAATTTTATAAATCATCTAATCTTATATATTTGAAATATATTTTAGGATTTTTAGTAAATAATACATTTTATTTTAGGGAAATATAATAACAGAAAACTGTGTAAATTAATTTTCTAATTGATTTTTGTTTCAATGTTTGTCATTTATTATTATTTTTCTTTTGTTTTATAATTTGTAATGAAATGTGGGATCCATATCTCCATAAAAATAGGTTGATATGGATAGCTTTAGAGGATAGAACACTCTCCTATTATAATATATTAGAGACTATACCCCCCGCGCTTGTTTTTTTTCTATTAATTATTATTTATAGATTTTAAAAATATGTTTCTATTATTTTCCCTAAATTTTTCTTTATAATATTGAAGATTTGTAGTAGGTGCTTCAGCTGTGTTTATTTTAAATGTTCGTTCTAATTTTTTCAAATATTCCACAATTATTTCTATGATTTGTTCGTCTTTGCATGAATAGTTATCATTTTTCTAGTACAAAAAGGGTTTTTAGTGAATTTAGAATTTCCTCTAATCATCATGGCCTTCTGATTTTCTAACAATTCGTTAAAGTTTTTATTAACATTATCCCGAGCCATGCCTGCCTCTTAACTACACTCAACCACCACCTGAATCACCTTTTGAGCCGTTTTCTTTGTTGTTTTCCGTTTGACATTTTCATAAAAACTTTTTGAACTACATTTTCATTTGCAGTCTGAGCCGTTTTCCGTACTCTTAACTTGATCTCGCATTTGAAAAATGAAAACCTTTTTAGTTTTTTTTATATACAGTTACAAATAAACTTATAAATTTTTTATATCTTTTTTTATTTGTAACTCTTACAAAAACTATATTGTTTCATATATTATCTTAAAAATGTTAAAAAAAATCTTTTTTATAGTTAAATTTATATATTTTGAATTTTCAAGTTATCTAAAAAAAAAATTCTTAAATTTTATAAAACATCTAGTAATAATTAATTTTCTTAGTTGATATTTTAATTATTTCCTAGTATATTTTAGGCTTTTGATAAATAATATATTTTATTAGGGAAATATAGTAATAGAAAATGTGTAAATTTAACTGATTTATTAATTTTAGTTTTAATGTTTTTCATTTATCTTTTTTTTTTACCAATATATATTGATATATGTTTAAGACTCAAAATATATCCAGATACATCAATGAATAGTCCAGATTCATTTTGTCAAAATGACACTTATTATAAAACGGATGGAGTATAATTTGTAATTAAATGTGAGATCCATTTTTTCCTCAAATTTAGGTTGATGTGGATAGCTTAAGAGGAGAGAGAGTAACTCTCCTATTATATACTCTCCTAGTATAAGATATACTCCCTCCGTTTTTTTTTAATAAATTTTCTAGACATTTCACACATATTAAGAAAAAGCTGATTTCCAATCATTAATGTATAGATTTTTGCAATAAAACAACTTTCTATGATTTTAAACCAATAAAAATCTAACAAACACAATTATTGTTTCTTAAAAACTGAAAAAGTGTATCAAAAAGGTAGAAAATTTATCTTTGTGAAACAACAAATAATGTCTAGAAATTTCATCTTAAAAAAACGGAGGGAGTATAAGATCTAGATTAGTATAAATAGTCTTATCACCATTTGGTAGCTAGTGGGGAGGGTTTAAGGTTTGTTCTCGTGTTCTTGATCAATAAAGGAATTAGAATCGTTTCTGGATCTTACCACAAATACATCTTCTAGCTAAAATACTGTTAGGTCTATATAATAGGCTTATATATCAATAAAATAACACATGAACATTCAGAAACCAAAGATTTTTTAGATTCCCAATTCTTTTTTTTTTGTCAATCAGATTAAGAAAGCCAAAAAGATCCTAAATCAGTTGAAGGAAAATGAAAACAAACCAGTTTTCCAAGTGATATCCGAGTATGTTTCCCACATCTTCCAAAGCTTTGCTCCATCTTCCTCTATCTTCCTTTTTCTTACGACCACAAGTTTCGTTGAAAGCTTTCCCGAATTCTCCGATTTGCTTCCGAACATCAGAGGGATCTACTTCGTAGAAGATCGTCATCACAATTGCCCCAATTCTTCCTTGCACTTGAAAATCTCCACCAGTTCGTTTAAACACCAGCCGGAAGCAGCGTAGTTCTTCGAGAGTATGACGATCGAGATCCTCGATTGCCTAATCGCTTCAGTGAGAGCAGGTGCGATGCTTTCGCCTCTCTCAATGCCTTGATCGTCGAACATTGAAATCCCGTTGCAGCTAAACTGTTTGCGTAAATGACTGAGAAAGGATTTACGAACGTCGGAGCCATGGAAGCTCGTGAAGACGCGGTATTTCCAGGTGCGAGGCAGAGAAGAAGAAGAAGAAGCCATGAGAGAGGATTGTGCCATTGTGGTTTGTGAGTGGTTCAAAATCACAGACTCGCGGAGATAAAGCATAATTTGGCAAGTCACCGAGAAATGTTGAGTTATATCGACAGGAGAGGAAGAAATGTCAAGTTTCTTCGCTTTTTCATTGCTTTCAAATTTGAAAAGTAAACGATAAGTCGAAATTTAAGAGTAAGAAGAATTGCCCAATATTGTTTTTAGTACAAACAAAAATGTAGAAGAAAGAAAATTGTCAGAAAATAAAATAAATGAAAAAATCATGTGGTTCAGTGGTTGTTCTTGGAAATACTATACGAAATTACGAACGAAGAACAAGTAGGTGGGCTCAGGTAACACAAGTGGGCTTGGCTGTATTAACGCAAAGACGCAAACGCGCAGAGACTTTTCTTGGTTTTCATTTTCGAGACTTGAAGACCTACCATGTGCCAATGAAGGTGCTCTAAGATTTGCACACCAAATGTTGTGTGGTTACATTTACATTCATACGTCAAATTCGAGGGAGACTTGTTCGAACTCAACAATTTCAATTTTTCAAAATTTCTAGAAACTTGTAGGTATTAGCCCACAAATTCTGAGAAATTTGATGCATTTTGATTGTTTCTTTAAATTAATGAATGGAATGTGTTTAAAGTGAAATTTAATTGATCGAATCATTTTTTATTGTAAAAAGAGTGTCTAAGAAAGCCAAATAAAATAATAATTCAATTTATAAAAAAAATCTAAAAATTCTTAGGTGTTGACCTACAAATTCTGAGAAAATTGATCCATTTTTAGGTTCTGTAAATTAATAAATGAAATGCGTTTAAAATGAAATTTAATTGATCCAACCATTTTCCATTGTAAAAGAGTATTTAAGAAAGCCAAATAAAATATATTTTCAACTAGTCATTCGCATTCAGCAGTTACCATTACAAACTAATCAGCCAGATTCCGCAAAAACTCTTCAATTTGTCTCTAAAGAATAGATAGAAAGTTCAGTACATCAAAACATATACATGAAATCAAAATCAAAAAGGGAAAGCAAATAAAATAAAATAAATATCTTATACATACTCATGTAGTCATGTTAGATATGAGTTTTGAATATTTTCTTCTTCTAGGCACAACATCAAACTCATTTCTCATAATATCATACACTACTTGTTCTGGTACTCTAGTAGTAGATTCATCACAGCTTCCTTGGTTGCTTATTATGATTCTGTTGCTTTCGTCCGTCAAGATCTCAACACCACATTCAACAATGTCTATGTTCTTTGGATGTGGTTCTGAACTGGAACGATATCTTGTTGTCCTTCTCAAACCATCCGTGTTTGTCAAGCAAGCTACATCGACGTATACAGAAACAAGTACAGTAAAACCTCTGTTATTACTTGGGACCATTATATTTTATTACTTTATCGAGATTATTAATTTATCGAGAGATAGTTAGACCAAAAACTTAATTTGGGACTTGAAAACTCTATTTATTTATCGAGGTATTACTTTATCAAGTATTGCTTTATAGAGGTTATATTGTAGGTGGGTACTGCAACAAGTAGGCTTTGTTCATAATAGAATGAACAAAAAAAAATCGAAAGAGTGAATTATTTAAAGTAGTCCGTAGTATTACTAGTGACCACTGACATAAATCATATACTCAAGTCTTGATTTTTCTTTAGAAAGCTATTAAAAGAAAAAGAAAAACACTTGATTATAAGAAATTTAAAGAAAGAATTTTGATTATATAAATCCTCAAAAGGTACGTTTACTATGGATGCATGCATGCAAAGATCAAACTCACTACTCCCATGGGCCATGAGAGACATTTTCATTGTCATCTTCAAACACTTGCTCTAAGCAAGATTCATAGCTCCCATCTGAGAGATTCTCATCCTTGTCTTCACAGCTTCCATAGCTGCTTCTGCTTGGGTCGGTTTCGTCCGTCAAGATCTGGACACCACATTCAATTATACTGACTTCTTGGGATGGGTTGCTGAATTCGAATAATATCTCCTTGTCCTGTTCAAGCCATCCGTCTTCATCAAGAAACTCATACGGATACATAAAGAGATGTTCTGATTTGATATCGGGGAGATCCTCAACTATGTTTTCCTCAAGGGAAGAACCGTTTATGCGTATACGACACACTAAACTGAAATAGGTTTCCACCATCTCTTGTATAGGTGTAACCACGACGCAAAACCTAAATTTGCAGAAACTTGAAGGGACGATCATGTAATTCCCTATAGCTCGGTGGTTGAACTCGGCAGGTATTTCTCTTCCAGGTAAGTATGCTGAAACTGATGGCTGCGTAATTGCTCTTCGTGCTTCTCCACCTAACTTTAAGCAGTTGGAGAAGAAGAGATCACGAAATCTATACTCCAAAGGGGAAGATATGGTCTCCAGTGATTCACAAGTGTGTACTTCTAGTACTCTTAGCGAGCCAGGGAGCTCTGGGAGTGATACAATTTTTGGACAGCCAATTATACAAAGCTCATCTAACACACGAAGATCTTTGATCCAGTCTGGAATCCTCTCAATATCTGGACCAGTTCGATCTATATAGTCTTCTCCCAACCGTGGAACTGTATCCACACTGCCAACTATAGTGAGACATTCAAGGCGAGAACAAGGCCCAAGTGATTCAAACAAATGCTCCAACATTGTGTCTGCGATTACGAGCGATGTGACGTTGGTGGAAAAATCTGGAACTTTTCTCAATTGCCAGCATCCCAACATAAAGATTTCGTCAAGAGATGTCAAGTTGAAGAGAGTGGGAACAACTTGTAGCTTGGAACAGAAATTTATCACCAGGCACTCTAGCTTTTGAAGATTTCCAATAGATGAAGGAATCTCTACCAAACTCTTGCAAGAATTCAGATTCAGTCTCTCGAGACTTGTAGCACTTGAAAGATCTGGGAGTTCCTTCAAATTGTAGGACCTAGCCAATAGCAGCCTCTTCAGATTTTTAAGAAGCTGGATGTAAAACAACAAAACAGAAAAAAGATCATCATCACATGATTCGGAAATGAAGTTGGGAATTCTCCATAATTTTTCTTTTTTTTCTTTTGTGATTTGGAAATATGTTCTTGATAATATAAGATTTGATCCAGACTTTTAACATCCGACTCAATGAGTTTTCTTCTTAAGCATGGCATTGGCCAAATGAAATGATTATATAATTCCATGCTTGAGAAGAAATCCAATAGTTTTATATTAAAAAAAAAGCTAGTAAAAATGTATTTTCGGCTTAAAATACAGATGTTCAACATCAAATCCATCAGTAAAACTTATCAATTTTGTTTGGTCAAATATTTTTGACTTGTACGTAAAGTTGATGCAGATTTCTAAATTATAGGTAAATGTCATTTCTAAACCAATAAAACTCCAAAAAGTTATTTAGAGCATTTAGAACGAAAACAAAAACAAAACAAAAAAAATATCTTAAGCAGCATAGATAAAAAAACCAAACCTGGGTTCCTTCCCAAAGCTTCTCAAGCTCGTTGTTCTCCATATCGAGTTCCACAAGATATTCTGGACTAAACGTACGAGGAAGACACTTTCCTAGGTATACCTCCCAATGTAACACCCTTAGACGAGGTGGGAAATCCATGTCGTCAGGTACATACACTCTAACATTTCTGTCACGTCGTGACTCGTAGATGTTGATAAATTGAAGATTACGCATTCTCTTAAAAGCTTTGGAGCTTATACACATGTTGCCTATGATCTTGGATAGATCAAAAGATATCCCCAGCACATTTCTACTAGCCTAAACAGTATTCCAAAAATAAAAATAAAAAATTCGTTAGCACAACAGGTAAAGATATGTCGAGGACATGGTTTAACGGTTAAAAAAAAAGAACTTACAGAATCATTGTCGAGGACATCACAAATCTCATGAGCATCAACTATGATTTGGCGTTTAGTAGGCTCTTGTAGTTGAACCGCTTCTCTACCCACTTGTTGTAGTAACTTATGCATGGATATCTTTCCTTCGGTGGATATTTGTATGAGAGATTTATACGTTAGGGTCTTCAAGCCGAGTGTGACATCCACGTTGCTTTCAGCGAGCATGGCCATCACATGATCATCGTCTTCGTAGTTGAAGAAAAATGCAATGAGAAGAAATATCAGTTGATCGTCCTTATGTAGATTGTCGTATCCGACTCTAAGCACTCCCTCGATCGTTCGATCAATGCTATTCTCTAGCCTACGCAATAAACCTTCCCAATCATCTTCTCTTTTTCCACGTAAAGTTGAGCCCATGACACGCAGACCCAAAGGAAGGTTACCGCAAAGCTCTATTACTCTCTCAACAAGCTTTTCAAAACCATATGGTGCTAAGCTTCGTCTAAAAGCATATCTACAAAAGATCTTACGAGCTTCCTCGTTGGTTGGAAAATCCACATGATATGTATTGTTGATATCATGTTGCTCCAAAAGCTCTTGATCTTCCGTGGTTATGATGATCCTACTTCCAGGACCAAACCAGTTAGTTTCATTAGCCAAAGCCTCAAGTTGCTGCAAATCGTCCACATCATCAAGAATGATAAGAACTTTTTGGTCATGTAGTCTTTCTTGTATCGCACGTAAATGGTATATACTCATACCATTTTGGTTTAAAATCTTGGAAAGAAATTGGTCTTGTAAGTGAAGCTTCAAACCATACTCGTCAAGACCTCTATTATAGCTTCCCCTTATATTCTCCATAAAACAAGTGAGCTGAAAACTGCTAGAGAGTCGGCAATGTAAAGCTCTTGCAATGGTAGTCTTACCGATTCCCGCAGGACCAGAGATTCCAACAATCATAGCTTCATCCTCGTTATCTAAATGTAACAAAGACTGCATGTTTTGCAAGTGTGCTTCAATACCCACCATGTCTTGAAAATCGCTAGAGATTGTAGCATTTAGTTTGTCTGAAACATCCTTGGCAATCTTTTCAATCATCTTTGATTCATTGTCCCTAATCCGAAAGAAATGTCATTGTCTTTCTCATTAAAAACATGTGAAAATAATTGTAACTTGTAGTTGTAACTTGTAAGAATCAAACCAAGAAAGTTTGTATTTGATAAGTACTAAACAATATTAAAAGACCATTTGGTAACTGGGAGCGTTTTGGCTAGTGGGGAGGGGTTAGGGTTTGTTTTCGTGTTCTTGATTGTAATTAACAAGGATCAGTAAACAAAGACTCATTTCTGGTTCTCAACATTAATATATCTCTCGGCAAGATATGCATGCATGCATACACCTTGTAGTAGTAGTAGTCTTTATATATTTGTGGTAAACTAGCTAAAATGTTTCTTTTTTTACAGTAGGTGTAAATTATTCATGTTCAATCAAGAATTCAAAATATTTTATATTAGAATGAAAAATCTTCTTAGTTAAAAATTTAAATTTTGACTTCAAAGTTTAATTTGTTGTTGAAATTCCTTAGTTAAAAATATAAAGATCCAAAATCTCATAGTTTTGCAGATAATTTTGTTTTTGTTCAATAGATGAGTGGAATAAAACTCATTAAAAATTTCACATTTTTTTATAGATCTTTAAGATTGACAAAGAAAAATTCCAAAACCGGATTAAGAAAACATATTTTACAATTTAACTGAAGGAAAGCAAACAAACCAGTTTAGGAAGTGTTCTCCGGCTATGTTGCCGACATCCTTCAGGGCTTGGCTCCATCTCCGCCTCTCCTCCTCTGTTCTACGATCACAAGTTTCGTTGAAAGCGATCCCGAAGTCTCCGGTTTGTTTCCGTACGTCAGATGGATCTACTCCATAGAAGACCGTCATCACTATTTGTCCCTTATCATCCTTGCACTTGAAAATCTCTACTAACTCATCCAAACACCAGCTGGAAGAAGCATAGTTCTTCGTGAGCACCACGATCGAGATCCTCGATTCTCCAATCGCTTGTGTGAGAGCAGGTGCAATGGTTTGGCCTCTCTCGATCCCTTGATCATTGAACATGGAAATCCCATTGTAGTTAAACTGTTTGCGTAAGTGAGTGAGAAATGTTTTACGTACGTCAGGTCCGTGGAAGCTCGTGAAGACACGGTATCTCCATGTACGACGCGGAGAAGAAGAGGAAGAAGAAGCCATGAGTGGTTCAGAATCACAGGTTCGCAGAGATAAGATTTTTTTGCCAAGTGGTAGTCACAGTCTCAAACACAGTTGTATAGAGAGGAAGAAATGTAAGGTTTCTTCGCTTTTCGTTGCTTTCATTTCATCTTTGAAAAGTAAACGAAGTTTCTGTGGAGGGAATTATAAGAAAGAATAGAAAAAGTCAGATATTCACATTAATACTTGGTGGTTTTTGGAAGTCTTTATACGAAATTACGAACGAAGATCAAACAAGTAGTAGGTGGTGGACTCAGGCAACAAGTGGGTTTGGCTGTGTATTAACGCCAACGCGTTATGAGAGAAAATACATAAAAACGTTACTTTGTGTTCTTCAAAATAAATATTTCATTTTCAAGACATTGTGCCAATGAAGGTGCTATAAGTTGTACACGAAATGTTGTGTGGTTACATAATTACATTCATACGCCAAACTCGAGGGAGACTTGTTCGAACCTCAACATTTTGTCTTTGATTCCATTCTTGCTTTTGTTGATCACCCCAAAAAATAGGAAAAGTGGACTTAATTAAGCTTAATTTATTGGTTGTAAAACCGGTTCGACATCAAACCTTACAAAGTGAATAACTTACGATCCATATTTGGTTTTGATTCAACTTTCGGTATATGGAAATGGCTGGTCCGATGAATTTTGCTAACAAATAATTAGTTCAGTTAAAGAAATATTCCCTTAGTTTTTTTTTTTTAACAGAATTATTTGACACTTTATATTCAATTTCATCGGTTTGGTAATAATTCTTAACCAGAAACCCACCGGTTTCCTTCCACTGGGTAATTGTTACTAAACCATCTTAATACCAAATGTTAAACCGGAACTGTACCGGTTTCTGTATATTCATTTCTCTCGCTGTTTCTTGATTGAAGAACAGTACACAGACACACAGTACAGTAGAAAATTCGTGCTAAGGTTTTTCGATTTGCAGAGCGAAAGATCGATTTCTGGAGAAGAATCTGAGATTGTGAAGGAACTCGAAACAGCTGAAGTCAAATCGATTGGACGATGAGATCGATTTCGAACGCAATTGCATCATCGTCGTCGACGAAGAGATTTGTTCATCGTAATCTCCAGGGGAGAGGTAATCCTGGAACTGCTCCTCTTCCTCCTTCGTTTTTTCGGTTTCCGTGCTGGGAACGAGCTTTCTCTGGTTCGAGTTATGATTACAGAGAGATTAAGGTGGGCTTCTGATATTAAGTTAGATGATGCTATTGGTTTGTTCAGTGAAATGGTCAAGTCTCGTCCTTTGCCTTCCATTGTTGATTTCAGTAAATTGTTGAGTGCATTGCAAAGATGAAGAAGTATGATGTTGTCATCTCTCTGGGCGAGCAGATGCAAAAGTTGGGAATTGCACATGATCTGTATACTTACAGTATTTTCATAAACTGTTTCTGCCGCTCCTCTCAACTCCCTCTTGCTTTAGCTCTTCTTGGGAAGATGATGAAACTTGGATATGAGCCCAGCATTGTCACGTTTAACTCGCTTCTCAATGGTTTCTGTCACGGGAATAGGATCTCGGATGCAGTCTCTCTGCTTGATCAAATGGTGGAAATGGGATATAAACCTAACACCGTCACATTCAACACTCTAATCCATGGACTTTTTCTCCACAACAAAGTCTCAGAAGGCGTGGCTTTAGTTGAACGGATGGTTGCTGAAAGGATGTCAACCAGATTTGCTTACTTATGGTGCGTTGGTAAATGGAGTGTGCAAGAGAGGTGACACTGACTTGGCTTTAAAGCTTCTCAAGAAGATGGAAGCAGAAAATGAGGCCGATGTTGTGATCTACAACACAGTCATTGATGGTCTCTGCAAATACAGCATCCGGATGATGCACTCGAACCTTATTCAATGAAATGGAGAAGAAAGGTATTAGACCGACGTTGTTACCTACAACTCCCTCATAAGCTGCCTTTGTAATTACGGAAGATGGGAAGATGCTGCTGGACTACTGAGTGATATGATTGAGAAGAAAATCAACCCGGATGTTGTTACGTTCAATGCATTGATCGATGCGTTTGTGAAAGAGGGGAAGCTTTTGGAAGCTGAAAAATTGTACGAGGAGATGATCAAAAGGTCTATAGCTCCTGATATTTCACTTACAATTCACTGATCAATGGGTTTTGCATGCAGAGTCGCCTAGAGAGGCCAAGCAGATGTTTGATTTGATGGTTAGCAAAGGTTGTCTCCCAAACGTAGTGACATATACTACTCTGATAAATGGATTTTGCAAGTCTAAGAGGGTAGAGGATGGCATGGAACTCTTCGTGAGATGTCTCAAAGAGGATTGGTTGGAGACACAGTCACTTACAACACTCTTATCCAAGGGTTTTTCCAAGCTGGAGATTGTGAGAGTGCCCAACAAGTTTTCAACAGATGGTTTCTGTGGTGTGCCTCCTGATATTTGGACATACAACATTTTGTTAGGATGGGCTTGTAAAAACGGGAAGCTAGAGAAAGCATTGGTCATATTCCAGGATATGCAAAAGAGTGAATGGAACTTATATTTCACATATAGTATTATCATTGAAGGGATGTGCAAGGCTGGGAAGGTGGAAGATGCGTGGAAGTTGTTTTGTAGCCTGATCTCAAAGGAGTGAAGCCTGATGTTGTAACATACACTACAATGATCTCAGGATTCTGTAGAAAGGTTTAAAGGAGGAAGCAAGTGCCTTGTTCAGGAAAATGAAAGATGACGGTCCTCTCCCAAATAGCGGTACATATAACACGCTAATCCGGGCACATCTTAGAGATGGTGACAAAGCCGCATCAGCAGAACTCATCAACGAAATGAGAGCTGCGGGTTTTGCTGCAGATGCTTCCACCTTTGGCTTGGTCACTCATATGTTACATGATGGGAGATTGAACAAAAGCTTCCTCGATATGCTTTCTTAAACATATTATCCTCCTCATGAGAAGAGTTGTGAGGTGAATCACACAACTCCCTTGTTTACTGTTACGTATGAGCTTCTTAAACGTGACGACATCTAACTTGTTGTGTGCTGTAGACAAGATCAATGCTCAGAGCCAGAGAAGCTCTCGTCAGGAAGATTTTAGATTTCAGAACATCTTGTGTAGTGTTAAGTTTTTCACCGTCATTTGTTGTAGCAAGGTTGATTGGTTATAACACTGAGTCTGATTTCTCCTTCTTAATGTGAAAGTTTTCCTGATATCTGATTTGAATTCTTGTTCAATTTAAGGTTTGATGGTGCAGTATGTATTGTTCATGTACAGAAAGAAGAAGGAGAACAACCAGTTCCATAATTCGTTTTGATTTCAGGTGAGAGGAGGCTCAAGTTGTGGCTCAAACTGAACTTAAGACGGTGCAGTATATGTTTATTCGCTTGTTCTGGTTTACATTCATTGCTTCTTTAGCTCACTATGCTTCTATTGGTTTGTCCTGTCAAAGATCTTGATACCGCATTCAACAACGTCGACGTCTTTGGATGAGGTCCTGAATTCCAACACAACTCCACTGTCCAGTTTGTCAGAAAAGCTATAGTGGCCTATATACAGATGTTCAGATTGGACCTTGGGAAGAGTCTGAAGTCTTTGTTCACCAGTGGACAAACCGTTTTTGGTTTTGCGACACAGCAAGTCAACATACCCTACCATCCGCTGTTTAGGGGAGACCACGACGCAGATCCTGCACTCGTACGTGTCGAAAGGGATGGTTAAGCAATTTCCGATAGCTCTGTGATCGAACTCCTCCGCTGGTACATTTCTTCCAGGTAGCCATGCATCTCTTGGTTTCTTGGTGATCACTCTACGTGCTTCGTGACCTAGTTTGAAGCAGTTGGAGAAGTAAAGAACTTCAATTGGAGAGTCAGAAGAGAAAGGTGTTAGCGTCTCCAGTGATTCACAAGTGTCCACTATTAGTCTTGTAAGCGAGACAGGGAGCTCTGGTAGTGATACAATTTTAGGGCAGCCATAGATATGAAGCTCTGTTAAACCATGAAGTGCTTTGATGCAATCTGGAATCTTCTCTATATCTTTACATCTTCCTTTGAGATAAACCTCTGCCACGATTGGAAACACATGGGCACTGCCAAATATATCAAGAATCTCGAGGCGAGACCAGAGCCATATTGAGGGTTCTGCGGTTCCCCGGTGAATTCCCATGCCAAAGATGGATCAGGTTACAAGTTCTTGGGTGACATTGTTAGACAAATTGAATCCTCAGGTTAAACACCCAAACCAACTCAGTTTATTACCTTTGGAAACGATCCTGGTAACAAACAACCTTAACGACGTATTTCTCTCTTTGGTCTGAGTCTAGGTTGCTTCTCGTATGGTGTGTGCCTTTTCGAGGTGGAAGCGCTACGATGAAACCCGACAAGCTCTAGCCAAGGTAAATGCAAGAAACAGTATTGAAACTTTCTCTCGATACACGTCAAAACCATTAGCGTTTTTGCTACTTAGGGTTTATAGTCTTGGTAGATGTTTAGTTACGTAACATCTACTAAAAATGTTACGTAACTCTGTTTTAGTTAATGAAATCAATGGGTTGAAATTATCACAGATTGTTTTACATTAAACTTTTTGCAAATTATATATTTATGGATACTGTTCCTTTCTCCTTATACTGAACATAGATTTACCAACCCTCAAAGTAGCTTTTACTGTTTGTGTTCACCAAACTCATTGCTCCCATAAGAGAGGCTTTCATAGTCGTCTCCAGACACTTCTTCTAAACAAGATTTATAGCTCCCATCAGAGAGACTTTCATCACCATCATCGTCGACTAGAGACAGTACTTGTTCATCACACTCATATAGCTCCCAGCAGCGAGAATGCTTACATCATCATCATCGTCGTCTGTTGTCAAGATCTGGACACCACATTGAACAATTTCGTGTTGATTGGATGATGTGCTGAATTGGAACAACACCTCGTTGTCCTGTTCAAGCCATCCGTCTTCCTCAAACAATTCATACGGAAATATAATTAGATGTTCCCTTCTGATATATAAAGACGACCCTTAACAATTCCTTCCTTAATGAGGCAACCGTTTAAGCTTGTTCGACACAGTACACTACAACATCTTCATTGGCAGTAACCAAGAGGCAGACTCTAAATCTGTAGGAATCTGAAGAGATGGTCAAGGAACTTCCTAGAGCTCGGTGATCGAACTCAGCTGGCATTTCTTCCGGGTAAGCATGCAATCGTGAAAAATTGATGTGTAATGACTCTCCTTGCTTCTTGACCCAATTTGAAGCAGTTGGGGAAACTGAGATCATGATTAAAGAGTCAATAGGAAACGGTGTTAGTCTCCAATGATTCACAAGTGTCGACGCTTAGTGTCGTGAGCGAGGGAGGGAGCTCTGGTAGTGATGCAAGTTTTGGACAGCCAATTATAAAAAGCCCTACTAACACATGAAGATCTCTGATCCAATCTGGAATTCTCTCAATATCTGTGCCCGTATGCCATGGAAAATTCCAAGTTGGATATGGACGAGACTGCCCAATATAGTGAGACACTGAAGGCGAGACCAGAGGCTAATGATTCAGGCAATTCTTCTAACATTGTGTCTGTGATTCTGAGATATGTGATGTTCGTGGAAATACATGGAATTTTACTAAATTGCCCGCATCCCAGCATGGTGACTGTTTCAAGAGATGCCAAGTTGAAGAGAGTGGGAGCAACTTGTACTTTATACAGTAATCCATCTGCAACTCCTCTAGTTTAGGAAGATTTCCAATAGATGAATGAATCTCTACCAAACTATAGCAACCGTCCACCGCTAGTTTCTCGAGATTGGTAGCGTATGAAAGATCAGGGAGTTCCTTAAGATTGAGGACCAGTGACAAATCCATCCTCTTGAGATTTGTAAGGGGCTGAATGTAAAACAACACAAACAAAGGAAGGAACATCAACATATGATGACACAAATTACATCGTTTATATTGGTTACTGCTTTTCAATCATTTGAAAATCCAAACATAAACGGTTAAAAAGTAGTTGAAGTCTGGTGTCATTATTTTAATGATTTCTAAATCAGTTAAAATTAAATCCATCTAAACTAATAAAGCTCCCCAAACGACTATTGAAAATAAGCAAATAAAAAATAAACTAACCTGGGTTCCTTGCCAAAGCTTCTCGAGCTTGCTATTACCAAATTGAGTTCCACAAGATGTTCTGGCGTAAATGTAAAAGGAAGACACTTTCCAGGGTATACCTCCCAACGTAATAACCTTAGACGAGGTGGGAAATCCATGTCCTCAGGTACATGCACTCTAACATTTGTACCACGTTTCTCGTAGACGCTGAGAAATCGAAGATTACACATCTTTTTAAAGCTTTTGCTTATATACACTCGTTTCGGACTGTGGATATATCCAAAGATATACCCTTCACACTTCTACTATCCTAAGTCAATTCAAAAGAAAAAAAAAAAAAGGAAAACGTTAGCACAGTAGGTAAGAAAGTCTTTGCCATTTGTTTAACATTTAAGGACATAATAAAAAACAAAGAAACTTACAGAATCAGTTTCAAGGACATCACAAATCTCATCAGCATTATTGATTTGGCGTTTCCAAGCTCCTGTCTTTGAACTGCTTGTCTACCCACTTGTTGAAGTAACTTGTGCATCACTACTTTCCTCCTGGTGGATATTTGTATGAGAGATTTATACGCGGGTTTTCAATCCGTGCTCACATCTATTTTACTGTCAGCGAGCATGCCATCACATGATCCTCTTTTCGTAGTTGAAGAAGAATGCAACGAGGAGAAACAGATTGATCGTCCTCATGTAAATTGTCGTATCCGACTCTAAGCACTGCATCGATCTTTCGACCAAGGCTATCTTCTAGCCTTGCAATATACTTTCCCAGCCAGCTTCTTTCTTTCCGCGTAAATGTGAACCCATGACACGGAGGCCCAAAGGAAGGTTGCTACAAAGCTCTGTTACTCTTTCCGACAAGTTTTCAAAACCATTGGTGCTAAGCTCCGTCTAAAAGCATATCTACAAAAGATCTTACGAGCTTCTTCGTCAGTTGGAAAATCCACATGGTATGTGTATCGATACCATGTTGCTCCAAAAGCTCTTGATCTTCTGTGATTACGATAATCCTGCTTCCAGGACCAAACCAGTTAGTTTCATCAGCCAAAGCCTCAAGTTGCTGCAGATCGTCCACATCATCAAGAATGATAAGACTTTCTGGTCGCATAGCCTTTCTGGTATCGCACGTAAATGGTATATCCATACCATTTTGGTTTAAAATCTTGGAAAGAAGCTGCTCTTGTAGACAGAGCTTCAAACCATACTCATCAAGACCATTATTACTGCTTCCCTAATATTCTCCATAAAACAAGTAAGCTGGAAACTGCTAGAGAGTCGGCTATGTAAAGCTCTCGCAATGGTAGTTTTACCTTGCCTGCAGGACCACAGATTCCAACAATCATAGCTTCATCCTCATCATCTAAATGTAACAAAGACTGCATTTTTGCAAGTGTGCTTCAATACCAACCATGTCTTCAAAATCCCAAGAGATTGTAGTGTTTAGTTTGTTTGAAACATCTCTAGCAATCTTCTCAATCATCTCCGATTCATTGTCCCTAAGAGAGAAAAAATTCACCGTTGTAGATTCTATTGCAAATCCTTAGTGGTTGAGAAATCAATCACACAAAGGAAAGCAAAACAAATTTCAAATTCGAAAGCAAACGAACCAGTTTAGGAAATGCTCTCCGGCTATGTTGCCCACATCGTTCAAAGCTTGGCTCCATTTTCGTCTCTCCTCCTCTGTTTTACGAGCGCACGTTTCCTCAAAAACCTTCCCAAAGTCTCCGGTTTGTTTCCGTACATCAGATGGATCTACCTCGTAGAAGATCGTCATCACAATTTGCCCAATTTCTTCCTTGCACTTGAAAATCTCCACCAATTCATCCAAACACCATCCTGACGAAGCATAGTTCTTGGTGAGCACCACGATCGAGATCCTTGATTCTCCAATCGCTTGTGTAAGAGCAGGGGCGATGGTTTGGCCTCTCTCTATCCCTTGATCATCGAACATGGAAATTCCATTGTAGTTAAACTGTTTGCGTAAGTGAGTGAGAAACGTTTTACGGACGTCAGGTCCGTGGAAGCTCGTGAAGACACGGTATCTCCAAGTGCGACCCGGAGAAGAAGAGGAAGAGGAAGAAGCCATGGGATTAGAACAGCAAGAAAATGTCAAGATCACTTACACAAAATGTCTCTGGATGAGACATAATATATACAGTATGAAGAAGAAGTCATTCCGACATTCCGTAGTATTCACCTTTGACTTTTGCGAAAAAGAGACCAAGTTTTGTAAATGTGACCATGTCATTTGTCATTTCTTGTAGACAAGAAGTTATCGTCCAAGATGTTTTTATTGTTAATATTTTCATCGTTTTTTTATTGTATTGTAACATTGAAAAGATCAGGTCTTAATTCTCCTTTGTAGTGTGAAAGTTTTCCTGATATTTCTATTTGAATACTTGGTCTCATTTAGGGTTTTGTGGTTCACTGTGTAATTTCTCTAGATATTCAATTTGAATATTTGAACACAACAAAATCACATACTCAAGTCTTAATCTGTCTTCCAAAGCTATACAACAGAACACTTGAAATCGAACTCAAAATGAAAGTAAAAACTAAAGCAAGAAACAGAGTATAACCTTTAAAGACCTTTACTCTGTTTTCACCAAACTCATTGCTCTTATCAGAGAGACTTTCATCATGGCCGTCTCCAGACACTTGTTCTGTACAAGATTCATCACAGCTCCTTATGCTTGTGTTGGTTTCGTCATCCGTCAAAACCTGGACACCACATTCACTAACATCGACTTCGTGGGATGATGGGGTACTGAATTTGAACAACACCTCTTCGTGCTGTTCAACAAACTCAGCGAAAAATACACAAAGATGCTCATCTCGGATTTTAGGCAGAATTAACTCGAGCATGAATTCGTCACTGGTGCAACCTTTCCCACGTATGTGAAACAGTACTCTGAAATGAGCTTCTTCCATATCCGGTTTAGGAGAAAGCACGAGACAAATCTTAAACTTGCATATAGATGGACGGATGGTCATACAACTCCCTATAGCTCGATGGTTAAACTCTTCAGGTATCTCTCTTCCAGGTAAGTACGCTCTAAACGATTGCTTGATGATGACTCTCCTCGCTTCTGGTCCCAGTTTGAAGCAGTTGGGGAAGTAGAGGAAGTGAGTTACAGTATCGCAAGGAAAACACACCGTCTCAAGCGACTCACAATTCTCTACTGTTAGCTTTCTGAGCGAGCGAGGAAGCTCAGGGAGTGAAGCAAGTTTTGGACATTTAGCTATGTAAAGAAACTTTAACCCATCAAGATCTTTGATGCAATCTGGTATCCTCTCAATTGTAGAGAGAGAGATATGTGACTGATTCAAACCTGCCAAAAACGGAGCTGAGATGAGACTGCCGTATATGTTGAGACTCTGAAGGCGAGGCCAAAGCGTGATTGATTCAGGAAACTCTTCTAACATTGTGTCTCCGATTACTAGTGAATCGATGTTGGTGGAAATATCTGGGATTTTCCTCATTTGCCAGCATCCTACCATCTTGACTGATTTAAGAGATGCCAGGTTGAGGTTAGCAGGAACAACTTGTAGGCTTATACACATATTCATCTCCAACTCCTCTAGCTTATGAAGATCTCCAACAGAGGAAGGGATCTCCACCAAACCCCAACAACCAGTTAGATTCAGTTTCTTGAGATTCGTAGCATTTGAAAGATCAGGGACCTCCTTCAGACGCATAGATCCAGACAAATCCATCTTCTTGAGATTTGTAAGGGGCTGAATGTAATAACAACAAAGGAAAAATCATCAACACAAGATGACTGACACAAAGAACACATTTGAAAATGTAAAGTTAAAGAAAACACAAACCTGAGTTCCTTGCCAAAGCTTCTCGAGCTTGCTATTTACCAAATTGAGCTCCACAAGATGTTCTGGCGTAAATGTGAAAGGAAGACACTTTCCAGGGTATACCTCCCAACGTAATAACCTTAGACGAGGTGGGAAGTCCATGTCCTCGGGTACATGCACTCTAACATTTACGTCACGTCTTGTCTCGTAGACGCTGAGAAACCGAAGATCAAGCATTCTTTTCAAAGCTCCTGCCCTTATAGATACAACGTTTGGGATTGTTGATACATCCAAAGAGATGCCAATCAAATTTGTACTAACCTAATCAATATTCCAAACAAAAGAGATGTTAGCACAATATGGTAACATCTATGATTTGTTTCCAAATATCAGAAAACAACTTACCGAATCAGTTTCCAGGGCATCACGGATCCCATCAATATCAATTAGGATTTGGCGTTTAGAAGGCTCTTGTATTTGAACAGCTTCTCTAGCCACTTGTTGTAGTAACTTATGCATGGATATAGTTCCTTCTGCGGATATTTGTATGAGAGATTTATAGGCGAGGGTTTTCAACCCGAGTCTGACATCCAAGTTACTATCACCGAGCATTGAATTCACGCGATCATCGTCTTGGTAGTTTAAGAAGCATGCAATGAGAAGAAACAGGAACTGATCATCTTTGTGTAGATTTTCGTATCCGACTCTAAGTACTCCATCGATCTTTCCATCAAGGCTGTTTTCCAGCCTACGCAATATACTTTCCCAGTCATCTTCTGACTTTCTGCGTAAAGATGAGCCCATGACGCTGAGACCCAACGGAAGGTTGCTGCAGAGCACTGTCACTCTTTCCACAAGCTTCTCAAAACCATTTGGTGCAGAGCTCTGTCTAAAAGCATATCTACAACAGATCTTGCGAGCTTCTTCTTCATTTGGAAAATCCACATGGTATGTATTGTTGATACCATGTTGCTCCAAAAGCTCTTGATCTTCTGTGGTTACAATAATCCTACTTCCAAGACCAAACCAACTTGTTTCATCAGCCAAAGCCTCTAGTTGCTTCAGGTCTACCACATCATCAAGAACTATAAGAACTTTCAGATCGCATAACCTTTCTTGTATCGCACCTAAATGGTATAGTTTCATACCATTTTCGTTCAAAATCTTTGAAAGAAGTTGCTCTTGTAGACTCAGCTTCAATCCATACTCGTCAAGACCGCTATTGTATCTTCCCTTAAGATTCTCCATAAAACAAGTATGCTGAAAACTACTAGAGAGCCGGCAATGTAAAGCTCGAGAATTGTAGTCTTACCAATCCCTGCAGGGCCACAGATTCCAACTATCATAGCTTCATCCTCATCATCTAAATGTAACAAAGACTGCATTTTTTCCAAGTGTGCTTCGAGTCCAACCATGTCTTCAAAATCCTTAGAGATTGTAGCGTTTAGTTTGTTTGAAACATCTCTAGAGATCTTCTCAATCATCTTCGATTCATTGTCCCTAACAAGTGATAAAATTCATGTGGAAATGAATCAATTGACATTCACCAAAATCGAATTAAGAAAGATCCAATCATAAATCAATTGAAGGAAAACTAACAAACCAGTTAAGGAAGTGTTCTCCGGCTATGTTGCCCACATCGGTCAAAGCTTGGCTCCATCTTCGCCTCTCTTCCTCCGTTTTACGACGACAAGTTTCCTTGAAAACTTTCCCAAATTCTCCGGTTTGTTTCCGTACATCAGACGGATCTACACCGTAGAAGACAGTCATCACTATTTGCCCAATCTCTTCCTTGCACTTCAAAATCCCCAACAGCTCATCCAAGCACCAGCTCGACGAAGCGTAGCTCTTCGAGAGCACGACGATCGAGATCCTCGATTCCGAAATCGCTTGTTTGAGAGCAGGTGCGATGGTGTAGCTTCTCTCGATCCCTTGATCATCGAACATCGAAATCCCATTGCAGCAGAACTGTTTGCGTAAATGACTGAGAAAGGTTTTGCGGACGTCTGGTCCATGGAAGCTCGCAAAGACGCGGTATCTCCAGGTGCGATGCGAACTAGAAGAAGAAGAAGCCATGAGACTAGAGTAGCGAGAGAAGTCTCTGGATAAGCCATATCTGACGAAGAAGAAGAAGTCGTCATTCAGTACGTTGACTTTTTGGGGAAAGAGAGATAAACTTTGACGATTCAAAATCCACAATTTGTTTTCCAATCAAAATTGCTAGTCCGGTTTGCGGTTCGATGTTAAGTGTTAAACCGGAAATCAACCGGTTTTCATAAACGTTGTTGTCTCTCTCGGAGTCTCTCGTCACTCTCGATTCCGATTAGGTTTCCTTTTCTGAAACAGAGAGTGAGAAAGGAAAATCAATCAGCTGAAGCGAAATTGAAAGAAAAATGCGGAGGTCTATTGTGGTTGCTTCGATGGCGGAGAGATTTGTTCATGGTCAAGGTAATCCTGGAACTTCGATTCCGTCGGTTAATTTATGTTGCTGGGTACGAGCTTTTTCTGGTCTCAGTCATGATAACAGAGAGATATTGAGAAATGGGCTTAGGGTTGGAAAGAGTCTACCTTCTTCGTCAGTCACTTTTGAAGGAGAGAGCTTGAAATTGCAAAGTGGGTCTCATTAATCGAAAGCTTAGATAATGCGATTGAATTGTTCGATGATATGGTTCGGTGCCGTCCATTCCCTTCCGCGATTGATTTCAACAAGCTAATGGGTGTCATCGTGAGAATGAATCGACCGGATATTGTGATTTCTCTCTATCAGATGATGGAAATGCGTCGGATTCCGTTTGATATCTACAGTATGAGTATTCTGATAAAGTGTTTCTGCACCTGCGAGAAGTTGCCATTTGCTTTGTCTACGTTTGGCAAGATCACCAAACTTGGTTCCAGCCTAACGTCGTCACGTTTAACACTCTGCTCCACGGATTTGTCTCGGAGATAAAATCTCTGAAGCTCTAGCTTTGTTTAATCAAATGGTTGAAACGGGATATGCACACGTCATAGCGTTCAACACACTGATGAATGGTCTTTGCCGCGAGGGCCGAATGCTCGAAGCAGTAGCTCTGGTTGATCGGATGGTAGAAAAAGGTCATCAGCCAGACATTGTTACTTACGGAACCATTGTGAATGGAATGTGTAAGGTTGGTGACACTGTCTCGGCCTTGAATCTGCTTAGGAAGATGGAGAAAAGCCACATCGAAGCCAATGTTGTAATCTATAATGCCATCATTGATCGTCTTTGCAAAGATGGACGTCATAACGATGCTCAAAACATTCTCGATCAAATGCACGAGAAAGGAATTTTCCCCAATGTTGTGACCTACAACTGTATGATAGATGGTTATTGCAACTATGGTAAATGGAGTGATGCGGAGAGACTGCTGCGTGAAATGATTCAAAGGAATATCGACCCTAATGTTGTTACTTACAATGCATTGATCAGTGCATTAGTCAAAGAAGGGAAGTTGTTTGAGGCTGAAGAATTATGATGAGATGCTCCGTAGGGGTATATCTCCTGATACGATTCACATATAATCTCAATGATCAATGGATTTTGTAAACATGATCGTCTAGATGATGGCGAGTCTCATGTTTGATTTGATGGCTAGCAAGGGCTGCTCTCCGGATGTAGTCACTTTAAATTCACTCATAGACGGATGTTGTAGGGCTAAGAGGGTAGATGATGGAATGAAGCTTCTCCATGAGATGTCTAGAGAGGATTAGTTCCTAATACAGTGACTTACAACACTCTTATTCACGGGTTCTGTCAGGTGGGCGATCTTGATGCTGCTCAAGACCTTTTCCAGGAGATGATTTCTCATGGTGTGTGCCTATATCGTAACTTTGGCATTTTGCTGGACGGTCTCTGCAATCATGGGAAAGTAGAAAAGGCATTGGAAATGTTCAAGGTTATGCAGAAGAGTAAGATGGATCTTGAATACTGCTGTTTATAACATCATCATCCATGGAATGTGCAAGGGTAGCAAGGTGGACGAGGCATGGGACTTATTCACTAGTCTTCCCTCATGGTGTGGAGCCTGATGTTCAAACTCACAATATATTGATCAGCGGATTTGTCAAAGAAGGGAAGTTTTTAAGGGCTGAAGAATTATACGAGGAGATGCTCCGAAAAGGTATAGTCCCTAATACTATCACCTATAACTCGATGGTAGAGGGGCTCTGCAAGCAGAACCGCCTAGATGAGGCGAAACATATGATTGATTCGATGGCTAGCGAGGGCTGCTCTCCAGACGTGGTGACATTTAATACACTTATTAATGGCTACTGCAAGGCTAAAAATTAACGACGGGATGGAGCTTTTCCGAGAGATGCATCTAAGAGGAATAGTTGCTGATACAGTTACTTACACACTTTGATTCATGGGTTTTGTCAAGTTGGTGATTATAGTGGCGCCTTAGAGAAATTCCAGGAGATGATTTCTAGTGGTGTGGCTCCTGATACCATTACTTTCCCAGCATGCTTGCCGGTTTATGTAGTAAGGAGGAACTACCAAAGGCAGAGGCAATGTTGGTGGATCTGCAGAAGAGTGTTGTGGTATGTGTCTTGTTTATGTTCTTCCATCTTGTGGAGTATGTTCAAGTCAATTTTAAGATCAACCTTCGGATTTTGATTTGGATGTGTGTTGCTTTGCAGGTTCGTCAATTGGGAGGATGAATGAAAGAGTAGAAAAGATCATTCACCTATCTATCTTCTGCAGCAGAGCTTCACTACCATGTTTCTTTTCAATGGATCTACTGTCTTTGTAAACCCTTTTCTTCATCTATATCAATCTGTTGGTCTCTCAGCAAACACATGTAGATTTGAAGGAAACATCAGATTCAAAACTGTAACCAGTTTGTTTTTAAGATTTGGAATCTGAATTTCTCTGTGTGTGTCAGCGCAATCTTGAGTTTGATTCATTTTGTTGATCCAGTTGATATATTGGCTTTACTAACACATTTAAATAGTAACTTACTCTAGGATTATAACAGATGCAGCAACCATGGGCATAGATTTAACATGTTATATGATATGTTTGATTTTGTTTCTTGAGCGTGGAGCCTCCAACTCTCTGTGATGGTTGAGATGTGACTGACAAAGCTGATTGAATTCCTTGCTTGTACTTAAGGAAATAGGGTCTAAGTGTTTCTTGTGATTAGGTGTTGATATGTTTTGAGAAGATGATCTTAAAAAGATGCAAGAGACTCTGAGAAAAGTCATAAGTTTGAAGCTTTGTTCATGGATTAGAAACCATCGTCTGGTATTTAATTACATGCTTGCTTCTTTTTACAAACCGACTAATACGGTTTGTGTCCGGTTTAGGTTTTGCCACTGAATGTCCAAGTCAAAATGAAGATACATTATTCACGGGTTCTGTGAGGTTGGCGATCTTAATGCTGCTCAAGACCTTTTCCAGGAGATGATTTCTCATGGTGTGTGCCCTAATATCGTAACTTTCGGCATTTTGTTGGACGGTCTCTGCAGTCATGGGAAAGTAGAAAAGGCATTGGAAATGTTCAAGGTTATGCAGAATAGTAAGATGGATCTTGATACTGCTGTTTATAACATCATCATCCATGGAATGTGCAAGGGTAGTAAGGTGGACGAAGCATGGGACTTATTCACTAGTCTTCCCCTTCATGGTGTGGAGCCTGATGTTCAAACTCACAACATATTAATGAGCGGATTTGTCAAAGAAGGGAAGTTTTTAAGGGCTGAAGAGTTATACGAGGAGATGCTCCGAAAAGGTATAGTCCCTAATACTATCACCTTTAACTCGATGGTAGAGGGGCTCTGCAAGCAAAACCGCCTAGATGAGGCGAAACATATGATTGATTCGATGGCTAGCGAGGGCTGCTCTCCAAACGTGGTGACATTTAATACACTTATTAATGGCTACTGCAAGGCTAAAAATATTGACGATCGGATGGAGCTTTTCCGAGAGATGCATCTAAGAGGAATAGCTGCTGATAGAGTTACTTACAACATTTTGATTCATGGGTTTTGTCAAGTTGGTGATTATAGTGGCGCCTTAGAGAAATTCCAGGAGATGATTTCTAGTGGTGTGGCTCCTGATACCATTACTTTCCACAGCATGCTAGCCGGTTTATGTAGTAAGGAGGAACTACCAAACGCAGTGGCAATGTTTGTGGATCTGCAGAAGAGTGTTGTGGTATGTGTCTTGTTTATGTTCTTCCATCTTGTGGAGTATGTTCAAGTCAATTTTAAGATCAACCTTCGGATTTTGATTTGGATGTGTGTTGCTTTGCAGGTTCGTCAATTGGGAGGATGAATGAAAGAGTAGAAAAGATCATTCACCTATCTATCTTCTGCAGCAGAGCTTCACTACCATGTTTCTTTTCAATGGATCTACTGTCTTTGTAAACCCTTTTCTTCATCTATATCAATCTGTTGGTCTCTCAGCAAACACATGTAGATTTGAAGGAAACATCAGATTCAAAACTGTAACCAGTTTGTTTTTAAGATTTGGAATCTGAATTTCTCTGTGTGTGTCAGCGCAATCTTGAGTTTGATTCATTTTGTTGATCCAGTTGATATATTGGCTTTACTAACACATTTAAATAGTAACTTACTCTAGGATTATAACAGATGCAGCAACCATGGGCATAGATTTAACATGTTATATGATATGTTTGATTTTGTTTCTTGAGCGTGGAGCCTCCAACTCTCTGTGATGGTTGAGATGTGACTGACAAAGCTGATTGAATTCCTTGCTTGTACTTAAGGAAATAGGGTCTAAGTGTTTCTTGTGATTAGGTGTTGATATGTTTTGAGAAGATGATCTTAAAAAGATGCAAGAGACTCTGAGAAAAGTCATAAGTTTGAAGCTTTGTTCATGGATTAGAAACCATCGTCTGGTATTTAATTACATGCTTGCTTCTTTTTACAAACCGACTAATACGGTTTGTGTCCGGTTTAGGTTTTGCCACTGAATGTCCAAGTCAAAATGAAGATACAGATTTCAAATTAACCTTCTGATTTTGGTTTGGTGTATAATTAGCTGAAGCTATGGTTATAAAGCTAGTTAGTAATGGGTTTTTTTTTCTATGATAAGTTCGAATCTTGAAGAGGATTATATAATCTGACTTTTTATTATTCCAGCTTTTTAATGGCTTTTTACTTTGGAAGAAATCTCACGTAAACTTCTTGTCCTTTTTCATCCAGCTTTGTTGCACGTGAAATCTGGTGTCGTGTTATTATCTCACTGAAAAAAAATTTAAAATAGTTGTGCTGTGTAAAACTGAATTAGGGGATAAACAGTTTTCCATTTTGATGATTAACATTTGTTTCTATTTGTTGGAAACTACTAAATCTTTGAGTGCAAGGTGGGTTGGTGACACGTGTCAAAGCACGAGTCCGTAAGTGGGGTTGATGACCTAACTCATTGAACTTCCGACAGGTCCTAATAAATCCAATTGATAAAATCATAATTTAAATTTTTTTAACGGAAAAAACCGGACAATAATGTGTGTTTTTAAAATAAAAAAAAAACTTTAACGACTATATTCTTTTGATTTCATTTCAGATAACGACTTAAATCTAATTCACAAAGTTCAAGTTCAATTTCCTGATATAACTACGTAGTTTATAAAATCAGGCCTCATCATGACTCACGTTATATAGTTAGTTATACTCTTATCTTTGTAGAGTATAATTGAACTTTGGTTTCCATCAACATGATTTTAAAGTAATAAACCAGATAACTATATAAGTCGTTTTACAAACTTTTTTGAAAGTTATCTCCCCAAAGTTAGGTGAATTGCTTATCAGTCTCTATCAAAAACAACATGACAAATGTATCCTTAAACTTGGCCATAAACCTTATCATCGTTTAGTTTCTTCTATCTTTTTCAAAATTTAGTTCTTCTAACCCCCAACGTCGATAATTTGGAATTATTAGACTTCTGAATTTGATCCAGAAGAAATACTGTATGAAAATTGAAAGAATCCTGGAAAGATCTGCGTATTTATTAGATTTTATTGATTATAATCGGTTACAGCTAAACATTTTTGCACTTAAATCACAATAACTATGCATGTCTTCCTTTTTTGTGTAAATGCTGCAATAATTTTTGTCCCCTTTTTGGAACCAAGAAACAGTCAATTGGACAAATACCACATTGATTTTTTTAAAACAAAAGTAGCTACCAGTTTGTATTATTAAACGATTTAATTATAAGAAGCCAAATACTCCCATAAATTATTGTTCCCATAAATTTCCACCAATACTGAAAAAGTTTTTCTTTTTAGGAAATTCCCTTCATTATTGGGTGTGTTACATAGAAAAGTAAATAAGAGCCAAATAAAAAGTCAAGCCACCGTGCAAAACAAGTTGAAATTGGGTTGTGTTGTGTCATGTTTCTTTTTCTAATACAGAATCTATCATTTCTTTAATAGTTTTTTATATAGTTTAGCCCCACACTTAATGTGCACACGATAAACCCAAAACTAAAAGAGATAGATTCGATTCTCCCACACGTGCACTTCTGTGACACCTTTGGGCGAAAAAAACAATTAAAATATCTTATCTTTTCGTTGAAAAATATCTAAATCTACTAATCTCATTTGAGGCAGTCTACTAATCTATAAATAGTAAAAAAATTAAAACCATTGACAAAATTAAAATAATGAAATATTCGCAATAAATATGAAAATCTCAGAATTAGAAAGTCTCAAAATTATATTTTCAAATTCAATTGAGAGAAACAAAAAAAAGGGAAAGAAATGTAGTCAAATTCTTCGCAATTTAATTGACATATTTACCCTTGAAGATCGTATCAATTTACAAAGAGATTGTAAATAGTGGCACGCTCTTCGTCTTTGCCGTGTTTTGACCCCAAACCTTGACACAAACACACACACGAGCACACATATATACGTATGTGTCTCTGTATATATATATTTCTCCGAGAGTAAACAATATTCCCAGAAATTTCGGGTTGCGTGTTCGTTAATTATCAAATGCTTTTTTAATCCTCCTCTCAGTAGATTTTGATTATTTTTTAAAAGTTGTGTGTTACTGGTACTCGAGAGAGAAAATTCGAATGCTCTGTTTTGTTTTCTCGGGAAAATCAGAGTAAGAAAAGATGAGAGGCGGCGGCGTAAGTGGAAACAGCGTCTTCGAGACTATAAACGCAGCTGCTACTGCTATTGCTTCCTCCGATGATCGTGTTCATCAAGCGTCTCCGATACGCGTGAGTCTTACTTCTCCGTTTTCAATTATATGATCGGAAACTGTTCGATGATTTTCCTGATCCGTTTATCGTTTTTCTCATAAGCATTAGATCGAACAGCTCGTAGGCGAATTTACTTCGATTACTTTATTGATTTTGATTTCTCCGTTAATGGCGTTTTCCATAGAATCAAACAGTGTTTCTTCTCCGATCATTTTTCAAAAATCTGATTTCGTAATTTTTTTTTGTGAAATCAGAAGAAGCGAAAATGGTGGAATCGATTGAGTATCATCTTCATATGTTTCAGACCTTCAAAACAACAACAGAGGAAACGAATCGGAAAAGCTTCTCTCGCACCAGAACCGGTACAATCATCAACCGATTCCACATCCGGTTATCGTTCGGTTATCACGGCTCTCCCCTTCATAGCTCCACCGTCATCACCGGCTTCGTTTTTCCAATCAGAGCCTCCTTCCGCAACACAATCACCAGTCGGAGTCCTCTCTTTCAGTCCAATACCAAACCGTCCTTCGATATTCGCCATTGGACCTTACGCTCACGAGCTCCAATTAGTCTCTCCTCCGGTTTTCTCCACTTACACCACCGAACCATCTTCAGCTCCGATCACACCTCCTCTCGATGAATCCATCAACTTAGCCGCCACCACAACAACACCTTCTTCGCCGGAAGTCCCTTTCGCTCAGCTCTTTAACTCAAACCATCATCGGTTTCCGATCTCTAACTATGAGTTTCAGTTTTACCAACTCCCTCCCGGTAGTCCACTTGGTCAGCTTCTCTCTCCGAGCTCCGTCGTATCCGGTTCCGGTCAGACGTCTCCTTTCCTCGCTCAGTTTCAAGATCCTCCGAAGCTATTGAGCCCCAGGCTGCGTAAACCGGTTTCGTTCGATCTTGATTCGGATCATGTCATTAGATGTGTTGATCAGAAGCTGAGGACGACGTTCCCTGAAGCATCGTCTAATCAAGAAGAAGAAGGAGAAGAAGGGACGACGACGCAGCAGCAGCAACATAAGGAGTTCAATTTCGGCACGGATGAGAAACGTTTGACCATTGATGAGGAGGTACAGAGAGATTCTTCTTCGACCAAGAATAGTAACGATTGGTCGTTTTTCCCTGTGATGCAATCAGGTACACTTAGCTAACCTGGAAGGCTCTGAAGATCTAGTTATTACTATAGAAATCTAAAATTTAGAAATTGGATTTGGACCATACAAGATTCAAGAACGAAATCAACTAGTGATCTTATTAGTTTTTTGTACTACAAGTATGATGATGATTTATGCTCAGGAAGGATCTTAAGGATATTTTTGTTAACTCTCTTTTTGATTTTGTAATAAATATTTGACGTTTGTTTTTGTACATGGGCTTTGTCCTTTCTGTAGATTTTTGGTATTTCTGCTTACATTTGTTCGCATTTGTAAACATATAGTTTCGGTTTTGCTTTCCCTTCACAAGACTTCGTTTGGCTTCTTCATTGATAGGTACATGTATTATGTATATTCCAATCCCCAAATGAAAATTGAACTGAACAAATCAAACCACTAAACGACTTGGTCGAGACCAATACGTAGATTAGATTAAGAAAACATTTGTCGACATCATATTAAACAAACATAAAGGACAATCAACAGCCTTTGGGTGATATATGACAAAGAACTTGGTAGACAAAAAACAAGATCCAAAAGAGAAGATAGGAGAGAATAACCGAGCTAACAAAGCAAATAGATATAGGAATCTTCAACTGAGAAACTCCCAAGAGAAGACAAGAACCAGTAGAAGCAGAAGATGTTGGGTGAAATTGGGCATCTAGTACCTTGGTGATTGATTTCAGAGACCTAGTTCTGAAGTCCACTTGTTAACCAAGTAATCAGTCATGAGGAGCTTGACTTTGCAATCATACATGTCCTTGTAGTCTTCAATCATCTCCACGACAAGTTCAGAGGCTTCAAAATCGTCTCTAAGCGGTGTAGGGCCATTCTCTTCAACATAGATCCTCATCTCCTTCAAACAAGGAAAATAGTCCAAGAAATGCTCTATCATCCGCATCTCTTTCATCGTTCCTCTAAACCCTTGAATCTGTATATACTTAACAGGGCAAGATCTGAGCGAACGGCCTTTGTCCCTGCGATAGTTGCAGTCACAAGCATCCCCGCATCCATCTGTCACATGGTGCACGAGGCCATGAAAAAGCAGAAATTCTAAATTCGGACAGTTCCTTAGAAGACCTGGCACTACTTGCCATCCTCGACGCTCGTCACTGCTAATACATAACGTTTTGACTTTGTTGAACACCGGCATCGATTCACGACACAGAGAAAGCACCTGAAAAAAAAACAAGAACAAGAAAAATCAAATTAACCAAGCATATCTTGATATTCAATTGATATTTTCACAGCTAGACCAATAGAAAACTGACCTCGAGGGTATCAGACTCCAAGTGAAGAACTTGAACACTCTGTATGCCGTTCATGAGCTTCACCACGTTGCCAAATCTGAGAACAACATCATCATCATTTGGCGCTGCTCTTATTCGCTTGACTTCATCTTCAGTCAACAACAAGAGAATCCGAGCCTCGAATAAGTTTTTCATATTAACCAACGGATAGTCCTCGGCAACTAAATCAGCGTAGCTTAAGTGACGCAGATTCGGAGCATCGAAAGAAACGGTCTTTGGATTCTGAAAGATCTTGGAGCCCATGGCGCAAAGTTTAAGCCTTGTGAGTGTTGCACTTGACAAGTTTTCATCCAAATTACTCCACAGTAAGTCACGCATGTACATATCCTCAAGCACAGGGCAAGATTGAAGAAGCCTCTCAACCTTATCATCACAGAAAACCATCTTGGCTTCAACATAAAGACGTTTCAGCATTGGTAAACAAGTGCCTTCACCTCCAGCTCCAGGCCACCAACGAAGAACAAACTTGGTTGTTAGTTTCAGGCTGACGAGTGTCTTACTAACAAACATCTCCAGAGGCAGACGATACTCATCTCCGAAATCGACGGTCAGATCAAGCTCCGAGACACCGCGCCGCAACACATTGCGTATCCAGAAATTCACACGGAGTGGAGAAACACCGGTGCTACACTTGAGGGAGAGTTTCTTAATGGGTGAATCACGCTGTAAAGCCAATACTCGATCCACAAATTCCATGAAGCTCTGCAGGATTCCGTCTCTTTCCCGCTTACCTTTTTCCGGATGAAGGAAGACAGAGTCGTCAATGTCGAGATTGGGGACGAGCGCGAAGAGATTGCGCCACCTCTTTGAGAGAAGCGATGTCGAAGCGGCTTCCTTTGTGGTGAGGAACGATAGTATGTGAGAACGGACCTCGTCTGGTAGACTGCTCAACGGATCAAGCTCCATCATCGAATTAGAATCTCAACAATTACCAAATAGTTCCACAATTTCACTGGTAGAGCCGGAGCAGATTGATTTTGGGACTGACTGTGAACGAATTAACAGAGTCAAAGACCAACACTCACTAAATTAGGGCGACTGATTAAGAGTGAAGAAGACAGAGAGACGGAGTGAGGAACTTGAGGGGTAATTTAGTCATATCATGTTATTCTTCTTCTCGCAATTTTATAGTGACTTGATTTCAATCTTGAATCCCAACTTGGTCTAACCAATCCCCAGAGAATAAAAAACCCGGTTTAGTCGACATCGAATCAAAATCAAAGTCAAAGAAACCAATAAAAAAAAATTAAAAACTGAACAAGTAAACACCAACAAATTATCGTTTAAGAACTGTACCGGTCCGACTTCTCCTTTTCCCGCTCAGTTTCAAGATCCTCCGAAGCTATTGAGCCCGAGGCTGCGTAAACCGGTTTCGTTCGATCTTGATTCGGATCATGTCATTAGATGTGTAGATCAGAAGCTGAGGACGACGTTCCCTGAAGCATCGTCTAATGAAGAAGAAGAAGAAGGGACGACGAAGCAGCAGCAGCAACATAAGGAGTTCAACTTCGGCACGGATGAGAAATGTTTGACCATTGATGATGATGAGGAACAGAGATTCTTCTTCGACCAAGAACAGTAACGAATGGTCGTTTTTCCCTGTGATGCAATCAGGTACACTTAGCTAACCTGAAGATGCTGAAGATCTTAGTCATTATGTAGAATCTAAAATTTAGAAATCGATTTGGACCATACAAAGATTCAAGAACGAAATCAACTAGTGATCTTATTAGTTTTTTTTTGTACTACAGTTATGATGATGATTTATGCTCAGGATGTTATGGATATTTTGTTGACTCTCGTTTTGATTTTTGTAATAAATATTTGACGTTGTTATTAGTTGTTTTTGTACATGGCTTTGTCCTTTCTGTAGTTTTTTTGTATTTCTGCTTACATTTGTTCGCATTTGTAAACATAGTTTCATTGATAGATGCATTATTACGTCTTACAAGTTGCAAGCTATAACCACAATTACTTGAAAAGTTAATCTCAAGATGATAAAATTCAAACTAATAAGCGATACTCAGGAACTAATGATGGAGATCTTTTATCTCAAGTTGATTAGCCGTTTAGCTAAACATCTCATTTTGTCCCACATCGGTGAGAAGAATGAAAAGGATTGCAAAGCTTTCTCTATATATATTACAGGACCGTCTCCATATTTGTCACTTTATCGAAGGCATTACAAAACCAAAGGCCTTAGCCTATAAAATTTGCGAGGCTTGGACCTGCTTACGTAAAAAGTCTTAACAGGTAACTAAATTGCATGAAATGCCCATTTCACATTAGTACAAACATATTGATGAAAATTTTAATGAATACCTTGCTAAATTTTTTGATGAATATCAAATTTGATGAAAAAAGATGTGATGAAATCAAATATGTTAAAAATATTAATGGTAGTTCAGAAATAGAAAGACTCTAAATCTTAGTCAGTTTTAATAGTATAAGTTACTTTATTAGAATGAATAAGGAGTTTAAAAGTTTCCTTGATATTTCTGTCTCTTATTGATAAAGAGATTGATATTACTTTTTACAGCAATTTCCTCATTTCTTTTGAATGTGGATTGGATTTAGACATTTAGTAAAGCTTTATAAATATAACCGTTTATGGGTGCAGGCTCAAAAACAAGTAAGTGAGAAATCAAATATGGAAGCTCATAAACAGACGAGTTTCACATTTGAGATCGATAACTTCTCCGAGAAGCAATTTGTGATATCATCAACAACATTCTTAAGCGGCGGCTGCAAATGGTACGTAAAAGTAAATATTTTATCAGTGTTTTGCTTTTTAACTCATCATCCAGATTCAAATTATAACTGAAAAGCATATGTTTTTTAGGTATGTCAAGGTTCATCCAAAAGGAGATCATATTGATGATCACATGTCTATGTACCTATGCGTTGCGAATCCTGAATCATTGCGATTCGGATGGAAAAGAAGAGCTAGTTTCTCCATGGCTCTACTGAATCAATCTGGCAAAGAGCTCTACAGAAAAGATGGCAATATATTTACTTGAATTATCATGATCACATTTATATATCTATCTTAGCTTGTCGAGTAATAAATCTTAACTCAATCTTTCTGGTTTTGTCTTAGCAGAACCATTTTGCCAATTGTTCTGCGCTCAGATCACATTAATGGGTTGGCCAAAAGCCATGCCTCTTGAAACCCTTAAAGCCCTTCAAGAAAAAGGGTTCTTGGAGAATGATAAACTCGTTTTCAATGTCCAGGTTAAAGTAGTTGAAGCTGTTGATGAAGGATGTCTAACTGGTCATGAGATGTTCGATGTCAATGGTTTCCAAGTTCTTCTTCCTCAGGTACTATGCTTATTACAAGTATGTTTTTTCTCTCTTAGGATTTGGATCTTTGGTTAACATAATTACATGTTTCTCTTGTCGATAGGTGCCTTTAGTAAGTTGGATTTTCGTGGAACATCCTGACTTTGCTTTCAACTTCAAACCAAAGAACCAATGGTTGAAGACAACATACATGAATATCTTACTCGGTCTTATCGGGACACTGAACAAGCCTCTACATAGCCTCACCGAGGCTGAGGTAAGCAACGCTGAGAGCGATTTGATCGACCTAACAGAAGCGGGTTTCAAGCTAGACTGGTTGAAGATAAAGCTTGAGGAGGTTTCCTTGGAGAGGAAGAAAGGAAATGCTGGTGGTTCTCAAGTCGGAGACCTCGTGGAACACATCAATGATCTCAAAGTAGAACTGAACAAGGAGCAAGCAACATCTGCTGCTAAAATTTCATCATTGGAGCAGACAGTGTCGCATCTCAAAGATGAGCTTCACAAGAAGAATGCCACAACACTCTAAGCTTCATGCATATGTATTTATATTTTCTTGTTTTAGTTTGATGAATCTACCTTTTAACATTATAAGTTGAGAGTTTGGTATACAAACTTGAATAAATTTGGGTAGTTAGCCGTTAGGCTTTTGATTTATAAATTATGTTGGCTTTTGATTAGTGAGTAATGTTAAATCAACAAAAAGCATATGATTGAAACAGAAACAAAACACCAATTAATGCCGTATTTTAAGTTGAAGTGCCGCTTTCTTCCTCTCTCTCTCAGGATTGTTCTCAATCATTTCATGGCCAACAAAAATAGTATTTAGAGCATTTACTAGTTTTGTTTGATTAACTTTCTATTTATATGTCAATGATCTATATTACGTACTATAAAATGACTGAATGAGTCTTCAGATTGAAGTTTAATTATTGTCTAATATCAAAACACGAAATTTGGTTTTATAACCTTCTTCTCAATTATTGTGTGCTTGTGCAGGAAATATTATAGGTCGACAGAACTTATTAGGATCACGCGTGGGAATTATAGTTTACCAAAAAGGTACGAATTACACGATCATGTATCATATTATTGCTTTTTTATTTGATATTAAAGTTTTTTTGGCTCACCAACTTAAGTGGCACTAATGGCATTGTCCCCTTAAGCTGCAAGTAACCTTTAATTTATGTAGCCATATCATAGGTGCCAATAATGTATCTTTATGCAGATATATTTTTATTATATTTATCACACACACAAATTGTAATTTGTAAATCTACTAGCTTACAAAACTAGTAATTACGAGTGAACTTAGTTGCTTTTTCTTAGGAAAACATATATATGAACATTCGTATGGATATCTATGTATTATAAGCTAATTAGGTTTTATAAAAACGAATTCAAACAACTATAATCTGAAACATAAAAAGAATTTACACATGAAAATGAGATAGAGTAAACGTTTGATGAAAATGTTTAGATAAACCAACCTCACCAAAGAGGAAAAAAAGAGGTTGGTTTAATGCAGTTGAATTAATGTACACAATATTAGGTTTACGACAATTACAATGGCAAACATAACACTTTACACAACACAAACACATGCAATGCAACTACGTCTTAATTTTTTGGACGTCAGAATCATTAACAAAGAACAGAGATCTTTTTTGTTGAACAAACTTGGTTGCCTTATTAATTTACTCATACTTTTCTTTTTGTAGAATTATTTTATTAACATTAGATATTTTTTTTTTGCTTTTCTTATCTATAAAACAGTAACACAATTACCATTCCTCACACACAAGACACAAACATCTTCTCTTTACAGATTCTCACACAACATGGATGGATCAACGGCTGTGATCATCCTTACCGTCGTCGTAGTCTATCTCACGTGGTTCGTCTCTTTACGCCGTTCTCTCAGAGGTCCACGTGTATGGCCCTTATTGGGCAGTCTTCCAGCACTCATCACAAACGCTCACCGCATGCACGACTTCATCGCCGAGAACCTCCGCACGTGTGGCGGCACGTACCAAACGTGCATTTTCCCGATCCCGTTCCTGGCCAAGAAACAAGGTCACGTGACTGTCACGTGCGACCCGAAGAACCTGGAGCATATACTCAAGACCCGGTTCGACAACTACCCGAAAGGTCCGAGCTGGCAATCTGTCTTCCACGATCTGCTTGGAGACGGGATCTTTAACTCAGATGGTGACACGTGGAGGTTCCAGCGTAAGACCGCCGCACTGGAATTCACCACACGCACGCTTCGCCAAGCAATGGCTCGTTGGGTTGATCGAGCCATCAAGAACCGTCTCGTGCCGATTCTGGAATCGGCTATGAGTCGACACGAGCCGATCGATCTTCAAGATATTCTTCTACGGCTCACGTTCGATAACATTTGCGGCTTAACGTTTGGTAAAGATCCGAGAACGCTCTCGCCGGATTTTCCCGAGAACGGATTCGCGGTGGCTTTCGACGGAGCTACGGAAGCCACTCTTCAACGGTTTATCTTGCCGGAGTTTATTTGGAAGATCAGAAAATGGCTTCGGCTCGGCTTAGAGGACGACATGAGCCGAAGCATCAACCACGTGGATAAATACTTATCGGAAATCATTAACACACGCAAGCTCGAATTGCTGAGTCATCAACGAGATGGGTCCCGCCACGACGATCTGTTGTCACGGTTCATGAAAAAGAAAGAATCCTACTCGGATAAGTTTCTTAAATACGTGGCGCTAAACTTTATCCTAGCTGGACGTGACACGTCATCGGTTGCGATGAGCTGGTTCTTCTGGTTGGTCAGTCTTAACCCGAACGTCGAAGAAAAAATCGTAACCGAGATCTGCACCGTTCTGATCAAGACACGTGGCACAAACGTCTCAGCGTGGACCGACGAGCCGTTGACTTTCGATGAAATTGACCAATTGGTTTACTTAAAAGCGGCATTGTCCGAAACATTACGGCTTTATCCATCCGTACCGGAAGATTCGAAGTTCGTCGTCGCCGACGATGTTTTACCGGACGGGACTTTTGTTCCGGCCGGATCAAACGTTACGTATTCGATATATTCGGTCGGACGAATGAAATTCATTTGGGGTGAAGATTGTCTCGAGTTTAAACCGGAAAGATGGCTCGAAGAGAACGACGTAAACCGGAACCAATACAAATTCGTAGCGTTCAACGCCGGTCCACGGATTTGTCTAGGTAAAGATTTAGCTTACTTGCAGATGAAATCGATCACGGCATCGGTTTTGCTCCGTCATCGGCTCACGGTTGCTCCGGGACATCGAGTGGAGCAGAAGATGTCGTTGACGTTGTTCATGAAGTTTGGTCTTAAAATGGATGTGCATGAAAGGGATTTGACGTTGACGATGGAGAAAGTGGTGAATGAGATGAGGAAATATGAGAGTTGTGGCAAAAATGAGATTATTGGGACTAATATTGATGGTAATAACTATGGTGAAGTTAAATTGGTAGCTGGTTTGGCATGAGTAATGTGGTTGATGGTGTGATTTTACTGTTGTAAGAAAAATAAACTTAAATTAATTCAATATTTTTGGTTTGAAAAACCATCCATATGTATGATTCTTGCTTCGTATTATTGCTAATATAAAATTTCTTTGCAACTTTTTTTGTGTAACTAGCTAGAGTACTGTGATCGATCGATTAAACTAAAATCGTACAAGAAAATGAACTTAAAAATCAAACTGAATACAAAATAAACAAATTCAGTTTTGTACTTGACAAAAAGAATAAGAAGAAGAATAAAACAAAAAAACTCATATTCGCATCACTTCAAAAAAATCAGGGGTCGCACTAGTTTGATTTTTTGGTTAATTGCTAATTTGCAATCTCTACGAGAAGCTTTGTTATATAATTATATTTGCTTACGTATAATTGTGTGATTCTACATACTGAAGAGTTGTATGAGTTCACATCTGCTTTTTCATTTTTAAACACTTTACGCTAAGAAAATAGTACTATAATACATGAGTCCATAATAAATTAATACATGTATATAACTATATATAGTATCGTCATTGTCGTTATCATTATTATTTACCATTGTCAATGTCATTATACTTTATAGTATAGTATTATTTCTGTCGTGAGGATATCGAGGTCAAGCTGAAAGAAAACGCAAAGGTCAACTGTGCAAAGCAATGAACCACCCCGTATTTTAAGGTTTTTAATCTTAACGATCGTCAAAACACGTGATTGTGAATTTGACATTGACTTGCAGTGATATTATACGTTATTACGTTTACGTATTAGGGAAGACGAAAATAATCTTGATAGATGTCCTAACTGGCTAAGTGGCAATTGCAGCCGATGTTTACTGTTTATACGTTAAAGAAAAGACTCTTCATGGCAATTGCAGCCGTAGGTTGTGGGTTTAGGCATAGATTCGATAGTCATAGTCTAGAAGACGTACGCAACTCATATAAATGTCTAATCGGTTTAAGTATTTGTACCTAATACATTATACATATTAGTATTCGAACAGAATCATATCTTCAAATACTTTGATATTGAGTCACTCTCCACCTAATATAATCTTCATAAATCTTGTTGGTACATAAATTAATATATGCATATACGTGTTTATACACGTACCTTGTCTTTTTAATACCAACATTTATCATGGATGATTTAGTTTCTGTGCTTTACATTCATAAATGATTAACGCGTCTCACAAAAGCCTTACGTGACATCATTATCTCCCAATCGGACCGTTAAGATCGATTAGGTGACGTGTTAGAACACATCATGCGTCCTCTTGTCACACACTTTTTACTTTTTTTTGTTGGTTTTTTCACTAAGCACCCAATGATTCAGATGTATTTTCATATTCTTCCCATATTTGGGAATGTTACTATTTAAACTCAACATTTATAAACAAATTAATGATATTTACTTAGTCCATAACTCAAGGTTTCTTTTTCTTAGATATGAAAAGAAATATATTTTTGATCAGTCATGCAAATCAGAAAAATTATACTACTTTCACTTTTTTATCTGAATCCATCAAGTTTGGAAGTATTTCACATTTTCCCATATTTAATAAATATTACTTTTTAAGAGTACCAATAAAAAATCTTAAGCATAGATCAAGAAAATAATTCTCAAAGTTGTGGATATAACTAAAAAAAATTAATTTTGATCAATCAGACAACTAAGAAACAAAACAGTGATTTCCATTAACTTAAGTAAGTCCACTGATCAAGAATTTCAATCTCAGATTTGAAAAAGTTTTTTTTCTTTTTGATCAATCATGCAATTGTTTTTTTATTTGTACCCATCAAATGTGGTAAACAAAAAATAAAATAAAATCAGAATGAAATCGGAACTCTGTCTTTTCAAATTTATTTTTTTTGTTTCTGTTTTCAAGTTGTGTCATTTTCAATAAATAAAAATAGCTTTAAAAAGAAATAAAATATTATTATTAATCAAAAATAATTAGTACTCTCATTTTATCGGTTATCCTCGTTGTTACTACAAAGATTAACGCACCAAGAAGAAATCTCAAGAGTGAATGCTTTCTTCGAACGCGCTCTCTCTCTCTCTCCAGTTCTTATTCTCTCTCTCTACCAAATTTCTGCCTCTTCGTCTTCGTTATCTCTTTCAGCTATCACTACTGTGAGTCTGTGAGAGAGCTCACTGCAAGTGGAAAGCTGTATAAAAGTCTTTTCTCACTTATACTGTTCACTCGTAAGCATCAATTTAGGGATCTGAAACGCTTCCTGTGTTCTGGATTCTCGATTGCTCCGAGTGCGAGCTCTCGATTGGTTCTATTCCCAGCTGCTGAATCTGGTAATTTGTTGCGAATTAGGTCTCGATTAAGCCTTCCACGATCAATTTCACCTTTCATTTGCGTTCGGGTCTTTCTTCGTCTGTTGATAATCCACCGATTTTGTGTGTGTGTATGTGTAGATTTGAGCAATTGCGATGTAATGGCTCTCGTTAATTAACCCTTTAGGTTCATCGTTTGCTGTTTCTGGGTTTCTTAGGTTTCATGCTCATGGAATTTGTCTGTAGATCTGTTGATAAGGTGGAAATTTTAAGTTTACTATTGGAAATGGATCTCGAGTAGCTAAGGTTGAAGATGATCACATTGATTTCTGAAAACTAGGACATTATCGCTAAACTAATCTGGAGATTCTCTCTGATATCATCACTCAGATTCTTTTTTTTTTATTGGGTGTTCGCTCGTTTTGGAATTTCCAGGAAAAAATTAGGCTTCTCTTCTTGTTACAGTTTTGGATTTTGTTAACTTTTTAGCTGTTTATGCTCTTCAGTGTTATTCTGGGAAAGAAAGCTGGAGTTGAAACCCTAACGCTTGGTTTTTATTTTTGTAATCAGATCTCTCAGGTGCTTCTCTGTATTGGTCAAACACCAATGGGATGATAAAAAAATGACGTTTAAAATGGGACTTCTTTTCATTTGTTGACCTCTGCTGGGTCAACCAAGTATGATCTCTGAAGTGGTCAAAAGGATAGTGACTTGGTAGTGTGGAAACAAGATCTGTGAGAAGAGTTATAATTTCGTGGAAAGATCATGCCTTGGTGGAGTATAAATTCATCAAAAGATGAAAAGAAGAAACCTAACAAGGAGAGTATCATCGATGCATTTAATCGGAAACTGGGGTTCGCCTCTGAGGATAGGTCTAGTGGTGGTAGATCGAGGAAGTCACGAAGACGGCGTGATGAGATTGTATCGGAAAGAGGAGCTATCTCTCGGTTACCATCAAGATCCCCATCTCCTTCTACTCGGGTTTCACGCTGTCAGAGTTTTGCAGAAAGATCTCCTGCTGTACCTCTTCCTCGTCCTACGATCCGTGCTACAGTAACGAGCAATGATTCTGGAATGAATGGATCACAGAGACCAGGTTTAGATGCAAGTTTGAAGCCATCGTGTCTGCCACTTCCAAAGCCCCATGGTGCTTCTAGTGTGCCTGATAATTCAGGTGCCGAGGCTGATTTTACCACTGCTTCTGTGTCTAGTGGAAGTTCTGTGGGTGACAATCCATCTGATTCTCTTCTCAGTCCGTTGGCTTCTGATTGTGAAAATGGGAGCAGAACACCAGTAAACATTTCTTCGAGGTGAGTTTTGATACATATTAGTTGATATTCCTTTTGTCAATAGTTTATTCTTTATTTCCATTCTCTAAAATGCTATGTTTTAGGCTTTAATATTTGTAAGGCTCATTCATGCTAGAGAATGCTTTGGAGGTTTCTATCCAGTTTAGAGAAAGAAATAAATATCCTCATGATGTTGCTCTCTATTTCTAAACATGTTATTTCGTACTTGTGTAGGGATCATCCCATGCATAGTAACAAAAACTCAGCTGAGATGTTCAAGCCAGTCCTTAATTTGTCAAACAAAAATCGGATTGTATCGACATCTCCTAGGCGGAGACCTCTTGGCACTCATGTGAAGAATCTACAAATCCCACAACGGGACATAGTGCTCTGCAGTGCTCCAGATAGCTTGTTGTCTAGTCCCTCAAGGAGTCCGATGAGATCCTTTGTCCCTGATCAAGTCTCAAACCATGGGTTGTTGATTGGCAAACCATATACAGATGTTTCTTTGCTTGGATCTGGACAGTGCTCAAGCCCAGGTTCAGGTTACAACTCGGGAAACAATTCCATTGGTGGAGATATGTCTACGCAGCTGTTTTGGCCCCAGAGCAGGTGTAGCCCTGAATGTTCCCCTGTGCCTAGTCCAAGAATGACGAGTCCTGGTCCTAGCTCCAGAATACAGAGTGGTGCCGTTACACCTCTTCATCCTCGAGCTGGAGGATCAACCACTGGATCTCCCACTAGACGGCTTGATGATAACAAACAGCAAAGCCACCGTCTGCCTCTCCCGCCATTGTTGATCTCAAATACTTGTCCGTTTTCACCCACATATTCAGCAGCAACATCTCCTTCTGTCCCCCGAAGTCCAGCAAGGGCAGAGGCTACAGTAAGCCCTGGATCGCGATGGAAGAAAGGGAGATTACTGGGGATGGGCAGTTTTGGACATGTGTATCTTGGTTTTAACAGGTTCGTAACTAAACAAGTCTGAAATGTCTCACATGTTGTTGGTGGAATCTCAGTATTTGTTTTACGATTGATATGCACTCTTCACACATGATTGAATAGGAGAGCTTGCATGTTATAATTCTATGCCAGTCCTGGTTTGATCAGTTATTTTTTCTTCCTCAGTGAAAGTGGTGAGATGTGTGCCATGAAAGAGGTTACTCTATGCTCAGATGATCCGAAGTCAAGGGAGAGTGCCCAACAATTAGGCCAGGTGAGTTACACATCATCATCATCCGTTTGGACCAACAATAGGCTGCTCTTAAGTGCATTTAGTCTCCGAAATTACTAACATTGCAATAATTGACTCTCACAGGAGGTTGCAGTTCTAAGCCGTTTACGACACCCAAATATTGTGCAGTATTATGGCTCTGAAACCGTAAGTTTTACAGACATGTTGTCGATAATTTCTGTTCTCTGATATTGGTAACACACTGTTTTCAGCTAAACTACACTGCTCTTATTTTCCTGCCCCCGTACAGGTCGATGACAAACTGTATATATATCTGGAGTATGTCTCTGGTGGTTCGATCTATAAGCTTCTTCAAGAGTATGGACAATTTGGTGAGAATGCAATCCGTAACTACACACAACAAATCTTATCAGGGCTTGCGTATTTGCACGCCAAAAACACTGTTCATAGGTAAACCAGCTAATTCTATCCATTCTCCTGATTCCTCAGTTTCCTTCATCCTTCCTAAATTGGAGAATTAAGTGAATCTGAAATTTTAACTTTGTTCAGGGACATCAAAGGAGCAAATATATTGGTGGATCCTCATGGACGTGTAAAAGTTGCTGATTTTGGGATGGCAAAACATGTATGAATATGTTCTCTGCAATCTTGTGCCATTGTTTCTGTTTGCGTCCTATTTGAAACTACACCAAACCGAGCTATACATGTTGCAGAATCTAATACAAAATTCATGAACAAAATGCAGATTACTGCTCAATCCGGTCCGTTATCATTCAAGGGAAGCCCATATTGGATGGCGCCTGAGGTCAGTATCTGCTGTTACGAAACGTCTGTTTCATGTTGATAGGCTATATGCTGATCCCTTATACGTTGCGATTGGATTTCAGGTGATACAGAACTCAAATGGCAGTAACCTTGCAGTCGACATATGGAGTCTCGGATGTACTGTTTTAGAAATGGCCACAACGAAACCTCCATGGAGCCAGTATGAAGGGGTTAGTGAAATCATAATCACTCAAACGAACAAGAGAATTAATAATGATGTTAAATCCTTCCTTCTTCCTCATGCGTGTGAGTTCTTTACAGGTTCCTGCTATGTTCAAGATTGGAAACAGCAAGGACCTTCCTGATATCCCCAATCATTTATCTGAAGAAGGAAAGGATTTCGTGAGGAAATGCTTACAGAGAAACCCTGCAAATCGTCCAACAGCTGCTCAGCTTTTAGACCATCCTTTTGTGAGAAACGCAATGCCATTGGAAAGGCCCATCGTGAGCGCCGAATCTGCAGAGTCTATGAATGTAGCTTCAAGCACCATGAGATCACTGGTATGAATGAAAGCTTCTCTTTCTTAACTCTAATTTCTCGAAGCTTCTGGTTGCTTCTGCCTGACAAATCTGTCTTCCGTTTTAAGGACATTGGACACGCGAGGAGTCTTCCCTGCTTAGACTTGGAAGATGCAAGCAATTACCAGCAGAAAGGATCAAAACCTAGCTCCGGTTTCAGGTAGCCATTCCGATTCAACCTTCATTATCCAAAGCATTTATACACATCTCTGTGGCCTCTCAGGAACATATCTTATTTTTGGTCACAGTATCTCCCAGTCTCCTAGGAACATGTCGTGCCCGATCTCACCAGTCGGTAGTCCAATCTTCCACTCGCATTCACCTCACATCAGCGGAAGAAGATCTCCGTCACCGATATCTAGCCCGCACGCTCTCTCCGGCTCATCAACGCCTTTAACCAGTGGCGGTGGAGCCATCCCATTTAACCACCAGAGACAAACGACGATCAACTTCTTGCAAGAAGGCGGCGTAGGATCAAGCAGAAGCCCCGGGAGTGGAGGAAACTTCTACAACAACAGCTTCTTTCAGGAGCCTAGTAGACAGCAAGATCGGCCTCGGAGTAGTCCAAGGACGCCTCCTCATATCTTTTGGGACAACAACGGTTCGATCCAACCGGGTTATGGTTGGAACAAGGACAACCAGCCAGCTCTGTCTGATCATGTCTCGCAGCAGCTCTTGAGTGAGCATCTGAAACTGAAGTCCTTTGACCTGAGACCCGGTTTTTCAACTCCCGGTTCGACAAACAGAGGACCCTAACCCGTCACGTCACGTCAAGTCAAATAATTCGACACCAATGACAAGAACCATAGAAGCCAATGCTGCAGAGACTCCTCCTAGATTTTGGAATTGCAACACAGCCTGAATGGTCGATCAAAACCCTGAACCATTGGCTATCAAGAAGTGAGGATTCGTTTTTTTGTTTTTGGGAAAATCTGAAGAGCTCTTTATCTTGTCTCTCTATTTCTCTGAGGATTAATGGGAGTAAGAGAGAGAGAGATCAACAAAAATTGATTTTGTGTATAGGAAGGTGTGGTGGTAGAACAGATATTCAATCTTTTTCACCTAATTCTTCTCTTTGCCTCTTTCTTCTCTCTTTTTGGGTCTTGATTTGTTGCTGATGGGAAGAAACGAGTACAAAAGGAGATCAAAAGCTTAAATCTTTTAGAAACATAAACTATTTGATGTAATCTATAACTATTTGATCCCCAATTAGTTTATAAGCCCACTCACTTTCATTTTGATTGATGCTCGTTTTCTCTCTTCAGTTTAGCACAAAATACATTTTTTGCTACAATATTGTCGATTTAAAAGTTATCTAAGGTAGCTTAGTGACAGAATTTTATTCAACTTTTTCGAGTCTGCAAGAATAACAACCGAAACCGAAAATTTAAGAGGAAAATTATGACACTTATTACTCTAGATTACAAAATTGTCCACACAATGAGAAGAGCTTAGAAAGTTTGACTACGTGTTTATACACATTGTTGTTTCAACACTCTTATATCTTACAAAAGAAACAAACCATATAGACAAAGATTGATCACGGATTCTTCAATAATGGTGCTGTATCATGTATGTAACATAAAAACATGGATTAATAAATAAAAAAAGTGTGTACAAATTACGTTACTGGTTACAAACCCCAACGGGTATTTTTTAAATCTGTGGTATCCAATTTTGGTCAGGTCATCTCATTTCTCATCAGAGCACTGTTCAAGCCGGACATGGTGAGGACAAGCCCTTTCTGGCTCTCCTTTCGTCCATAGCATCCAAAGATCGTCTCGTTTTCGAGCTAGCGTTAACATTGTTCCTGCATTTTCATCTCAATACTCAAATTCGATGCACATTATGCAGAGAGCACAAGAGAGAGAGCTGTGGAGAGATTTTTCCGGCTTACCGAGTGTGAAAGGGACAATGTAGAGCAATGCCGGTTGGCCGTGTCCATCCATTAGGTTTAGAGCCACGTAAGTAATCAAAAGACCTGTAGTTTTCAAATGGTTGAATCATTGTCAATGAATGAAAAAATGAAGAAGAGCCATGAGATTATACGTATTTGTGGATATGATTTTACCTAATCCATAGGCAACCATTGCCCAAATGAAATAGCCGGTTCGAAGAGTCTTGTTAGCTAACCAGTCATATCTGCAAGAGCAAAATGTTAGGAAAGCTTTTGCAACTTGGTGAAAGGAAACAATGTATGAGGTAGAGAAAGTCTCGAACCTGAGAGAAAAAGCAATTAGCAAACCGGGCAAAAGAATATCACCGAATCCAATAATGCTGTAGCCTCCCCACGGATCAAACATGCGCGGAATCTTTAGTAGCATTGGGATGCCATCTTCTCCACTCTTATCACCACGAGCTACCTGCAAAGAACAAAGAAGCAACACTATGAGAGCAATATTTCAAAACGAGATTTGAGTTCGGGCATTGATGGTTACTTACGACAATCATTACGCTTTCGTGGAACAACTTCTTGGAGACAAACACCCAGAAGATATCGTACAAGAAGGCACAGCTGAGAAGAACTGTCCCGACCTGTAACAAGCGATATGTGGCATTATTAGAATCTTTCTTTTTTTTCACATACCTCCAAAAACGTTTTGGAGATGAGATATAAATCTTTCATAAATTACCTTAAGATTTGGTACATGAACAATCTGTAACACTGTGATGATCAATGCGATACCCTAGTCAATAGAACAACAATGTCAAATTTCATCTGAGGGAATTGGATTGCAGTTGAAAATGAAACTGTATAGGACTGCAATCCTTACAAGAACGTCTTGACCAATCCAAGCGAAGGAGCGATTGCGGTAAACAGCCCAGAGAACAGCAAAGACAATGCAGAAGGGAGAAACTGCAATAGTCAGGTAAGAAATAGGTCCAAGGAAAGGAACTTTTACGTAAGTATCTGCAGCACGTTGGAACCATCTGCAAAAAGAACGCAGAGAAAGAACGGTCAATGACATTCTCCAAAGAGGTGCATTAAAGAAAATAGGCACTGAATCATGCTATTACCTTGATAGTAAAGCGACAAGGCAAGTTTGCAAACCCTGAAGATAAAGAAAATACACCATTTAAGACTTTAAACCGGTTTGTCAATTCAATTTAAGATAGAACTTAAAATAAGTTGGTACCTCAACACCACCAATGCAGAAAACAACCACAAGAAGCTCAATAAACCAATAAGACATCAGCTTGTAAAGAACCACCAGGAAGCCCGAAGCAAGAACTACGAAAAAGATAGCTGAAAAAGTATTGATCTCTACGACACCACTACCCCCATCATTTGTGTTAGGGATTTCGTCTATAGCATCCTACATTTGAAGCACACAAATAAAATGTTAGAGGTAAGAATGCTTACGTAAGAATAATAACACTGACAATAAAAACATAACAAAAAGCAACAAATAAACAAAGCCATGTGAATGTTTTTGTCAGAAGTAGACAAATGTCTCAAGGAGGGGCCCCAGCTCATTAGAAAAGGCCATCCGTTACCTATCCATTTCTTGGATGCTCATCTTGACACGAACCTTTCCATAAATGGGAAAGTAAAATGGTAAAGAAATACCCAAGTGTCGTTCAAAATACTAAAGATGACTTTTCTTCCTCGGCCAAACCAAGTTACCAACTACTCTGTCTCTTTTGGCCTCATTAGGGGAAGGGACTTACTTATTGGCAGCTTACGCTATCCTTATCTATCCAACTATATGTTCCTAGCCTAACATTAGTACTCCCAAATAAGTACCTTCAATAGCTTATCATGTTCAATGGCTGCTTCTCGGGCACTCCATGCAGACCAATAAGATGCACACAAAATGGTACCGATAGCCATCAACCACAAAAAGACTTCGGCTACGTCAACGGCTGGTCGTCTTGGGGAGTAAAGCTGCACCGACACTGCATAAAGTACGAAAGATTAGTGAATAAAACGATACATATACTAATTCACGATTTTAAAGACCAACTCTGAATCATATACATATCACCAATAGCGAGATGACGAACCTTTAGAACTGTTGGTGAGCATTTTTTCCAAGGTTGCGCCGGCATCTTGTGGGAGCATGACGGTAGGAATCTCTATATCTAAATCCGTTTCATCCGGCTCACAAACCATTTTGTAAAGCTCTACATAAATCAAACATATTAATCATTAGATTCTACAAACAAGACTAGAGAGTAGGCAAATAACTCAGCACAACTGATTGCTATGATAGCATACAGTTTCAACAGTCAGATAGACACAAAACAAACCTTTCTGGTTATTTATGATGAGCAGAGCAGAGGCACCAGCAGCTTCTGCATTATTTGCCTTAGCTGTGAACCTACAGTTGCCCCGGTCCACAATGACAACCTCTCCAGAAAGCTAACAAAAACAAAGACGGAACGGTCAGTTCACACATTCACTTTCAACATCACTACTAGTTCAAATGCATTGGTTCCATGCCACAGGTCATATAAAAGCGTAAATGAAAAACCTTGTTCTTGAGAGGTTTACAAGAATCCCGAGGATTGGCAAAAACAACGTGTGTCTGGTTTGCATTCTTCTCCTTGGACACTATCCGCTTCCCAAATCTTGCCCCGACGCCCACAAACTCCACATTCTCAGCACCATCAACCCACGTTTGAACTTTCACCTAAGGCAAATCACACACATAAACTTCAATTTAGTTAACACTTCTCACCTTATAGAAGAAGTACGAGGTTTACATATGAACTAAGCAACAAAAGCTTATCGACATTAGAGTGTGGATGTTCAGAGAAAGCAATCAATAGCTCAACAAACAACAGATGTATTCATCCGAGAAAAAAAAGTGCAATTTTAGGATTTAAAAATCACAATTTTGATAATTAGTACTTAGGATCCATTGATCCAAAGGGGTAAGTAGAACTATACTTCATAATCTTCAATAATCAACCCCACAAGCAACCTCATTGCTAAGAAAGAGAAATGAAATAGAACATTGTACAAAAAGTGAAGAAAAACCCAGAATCGAGGAATCCGTAACTTAGATCAACTGCAAGCTAAACAGTAAACTAAGAGTTCAAGCTTCAACTTTACTAAATCAATTGCCAAATTTCAATAGCATCAAGTTTAAAAACCTGCGATTTCATATTTTGGAACTTGTTTTTGAGCTCCGTAAGAGCCCAGAAACGGAGAAAACAACATAATTCGTTGGTATTTTTTACTAGATTAGCTAAGAACAAGCTGAATTCGGAGTAAGTTCAGAAAAAAACTGGGTAGAGAGAGAGAGATTAGTACCAAAACGAAGTCATTCTCGCAACCTGGCTTCTTCGGAGCTAAATCGTCCTGATGAACAATATCACCGGCGGTGACTGTAGAGATGAGAGAGACGAGTAAAATCGAAGCTGATACTAGAAGAATCCGGAGAAATCTGAGCGAATCCATTGAAATGCTCCAAGGATTCTCTCTCGCTATAATCTCAGCGAATTTTTATCACACAGAATCAATGAAGAGAGAGCGAGAGAGAGAGAAGAGTGAAACACGGAAAGATTAAATAAATTAAAAAAAAAAAAACAAAACAAATTGGGAAGTAATGCATAAAAATAAAAACGAGAATATTTATATCAGCAGATATCATTGTTGGATGGATCTGTGGAAAGTGACGTAAGCGCGAAGGAAATAAAGTGAGGAACAATGAAAACGACGGCGTTAGGTCGAGCCAACTGGACCGGTTTTGGTGGTTCCTCTTTTGAATGGATCGGTTTAAGCTAAAATGGTTATCTCATACCATGTAAGATTTAGAAATGAATTGACCTTTGTTGCGACAATTTCCTAGGACATACCATGTTGTTTTGTTTGTCTAACCAAATGATTATTAATTTGGTTTTAGTATATGATTACTGATTTATATTCTTTGATAATTGGTTTTGGCGTGGACCCAAAGACTAATGGATATCGAGGAATCTTTTAATTCAACTTTATCATTATAGATTCGAAAGATTTATCATATATTCCCTGCCAAACTTACGTAACTTTTCTTTTTTTTGTCACATATATCAGTAGACCTAACCTTGTTATTCGGTCAATCATGCATGTATATTCCTAATTACTCAATTTCTCGTTGGTTCGGGTTGAATTGGTTTAATCCAAAATCAACACATACACAAAGACAACAACCACTTACATTTTTGGGTTTCGACTCTTAAACAAAATTTGTGCATCTTTAGAATCCTCCTCTCTCCTGCATCTACACATCACACATCACCTGTTTCAATATTCAACCTCTCATACATCTCCGGTTTACTCTTTAACAGTAAAAACAATGACTCACAAGGTTAGATACCTCCAAGTCTCAATGTAGAGTCCATGAGCTCCTGGTAAATCGATCTTCTCAAGAGCATTGAGCCACGGTGGAAGTTAAACCGATGTCATGTCTTAGCTATAAGCTAACTTATATTCTAATGATCTCACCACAGAGACATTAATGACTCTCTGGTAACCTACAGAAGCAGAGTCATAGAACATATAAGTGCTCAGGAAGCATACTGTGAAGTTTTTTTATCATAAACTATTACGGTTTCACTTACCGCCATGGAAACTCGCTTGTGTCGATTCCAGCTTGGTGAAGCTCATCAACGTATTGTAATGCTTCTCGACACTCCTCTCGATCATCATAGAACTCTTTCTTGTCACCTTCAAGCTGATACGCTTGATGGCCTTTCCCTGCTACAACCTTCAGAAAAAAAAAAAAAACAGAGCAGTGTCAAGCAAAGCTATATACACCCAAGAGCGATTATATAACTTAGGAGCTTATTTGAAAACTTACAACCATGTCGCCTTCTTCACCCATTGCAACAGCACAACGCACAGCTACACGTCTAACATCGTGAAGGAAGAGTCTATGCCCATTTGCTAAAGGCGGATAGTAATCGTGTTCGCCGTGTTTCAGATACTCTTGCATCGTCCACCCAATCCCAGACAACATATCATCCAAAATATCCACTAAACAACACAAATGAAAATTTTCTTTAACTGTTCATACTCTTCAGGACTGTTTATAGACTCAAACCTAAACTCAAAATTACTTACATGGATCTTCATTCCCTGGATTATCAGATGTCAGCATCGTCACATCGCTCTTTTCAGTAGCGATTTTCGTCATAACCGGTCTCTTCCCTCTCCCATTCTCACCCTCACAACCAATAACTTCAACAAAAAATCAACAGCTTAAACAATCAGATAACCAAACAATTAGCAACATGCAAGGAGTAATCTATTGGATGGAAGAAAATTTATATACCGGTAATGATTCTTCTCGGTTTAAGCTCTCGAATCGAATCAAGCAGCCTTGACAAGCCATCAGGCGTGTTAGCATGATCCACAATAACACCAAAAGCTTGTTCCTCATCAATCAACTCACACCTCCCCGGGACTGCATCGACTTCCTCAACGCCTCTAACAATATCCTCAAGAGGAGCTCCAACAGCGATCCCAACAGCCACAGCAGCAAGAATGTTGTAAATGTTGTGCCGTCCCAACAAACCCGAAGAGATCTCAAGTATCCCCTGAGGTGTGTTAACCAAAACCTGAGTCTCAAACAAGGAAAGCTCAAACTTCAACGCGTGAACGTCGGCTTTCGTGTTCTCCATTGCAAACGTCACAACGGGAACGTTAGGGTTCCCTTGCTTGACGAAGAACGCCGCGTTTGGATCGTCTATGTTCACCACTTTCCTGTGCCTTTCAGGATCAACCATTCTTGCAAACAGCTTTGCTTCTGCATCTCTGTACTCTTCATCACTACCAAGAAAATCTGTATCCTCTCTTGCCAAATTAGTGAAAACCGCAATGTCGAAATCTACCTCATCGCATTTCCCTAAAGCGAGTTCTTGAGGAGAAGCTTCCATAACCAAAGCTTCAGTGCCGTTGTGCAACATCTTCGCCATCAAGCTCTGAACCAAAACCGCATCAGGATTCGTAATCGCATTTGGCGTATCCAATTTGTTATCTCCATGGATATAGCAAGAAACTGAGGTGAACATTCCTGTTCTCACACCCATTGCTTCATAGAGGCTTTTGATCAGATACGTGGTGGTCGTCTTCCCGTTTGTTCCGGTGACTCCGATCACCGCCATGTTCTTCGACGGATGCCTATAGAAGGAAGAAGCTAAAGCTGCTAAAACTGCGTTAGTGTCTTCAACGATGACGAGCGCTTTGCAGCCTAAGGTCTCTTCAATGTCAATCTCTTTGCTCGCTACAACCGCCACTGCTCCTCTCTTATCAGCTTCGCTCAAGAAGGAATCTCCATCGTTTTCGCTTCCTACACAGCAGACGAAGAGATCTCCGGCGCTCACGCCTCGCGAGTCGTGCTGAATTCCGGTGATTTCCACGTCTAAGTCGCCGTAAACTGAGATCGGTACAACTTTGCTCTCGTCTAAAAGCTCGGCTAAGCTCAATTTGAATTTAGGTTCCACGATTCTGGCTTTGGAAGCTCCGAAATCATCCAAATCGAACTCGAATTGATGATCGGATCCGATTTCCTTCTTCTTGTTGATCCTAGGGTTCCCTTCGTCATCCATCCAATCATCTTCGTCGGAAACTTCGGTTAATCCAGTTAGTTTATCGATTTCATCCAAATCTACAACTTCTTCTTCGTCAAGCTCATCGACAACGTCACTAACATCACCTTCTTCTCCATCTTCCTCTTCACTCTTCTTATCCGACGCCGTTTTGGGAGGATTGGGTGGAAGCATCCCTTTCTTAACGAACTCGCTACGTTTCATGGATATCGCTCTATCGATATCTGAGAACAGATCGCCTCCAGATTCCACGTCATCGCGTCCCGTCTCCGGCGCGTCCTCCGCATCGGCGATGGCGGAGAGGTAAGTGTTCCGATTCTTCTCGAAATCTTCTTCCTCTAGCTTCCGTGCTCGAGCAGCTTGTCGCTGTATCTGCTGAAATTTCGATACTCCGTGCATTGAATCCTCCGGAGCTTCAGGCGGGTCGTCATCTGCAGGGTTCGGGTAGGAATTCCGACGAGCAGGTCCCGCCGCTAATTGAAGATTTCGGGAATTACCGGAGAATGGGAAGAGAATCGGTTTGTAGGAGAAGGAAGAGGTGGTTCCACGTAGAGAGAGAAAGACTGGGTGAGGAGAGAGGAAAGTGAACGCCATTGGAGAGACTGAGAGTGAGAGAGAGCGATGAAAGGTTTTTCGAGGGGATAAGAGACAACGATAAACGGTGCGTTTTCAAATGGAAATGATAAAATATTGGGTTTAAATAAGTAGGAATTGGCCCGTTATCAGAGCCCACTATTTTTAGCTTTTTTTATAAAAAAAACAACTCGCATATTTATCTAGACCCCATGTATACGCGGAATTATTTTAAAAAATTTGAAATAAATCTGAAAAATTATTAAACATAATATAATCATTTTTAAAAGTAAGTAGAATAATAATAAAAACTCGATAACAAATCACTAAATAAAATAAGATTAGTAATCTTTTTACATTTTTATTATAATTGACATTTGTTTTGAATTCATGATATGAAAAATGAATTAATTTGTGTTATCTTATTTTTATCTAATATAGAAATACTTACATGTGTTTAAATCTGATGGACTAATTAATACGTGAAACTTTGATTATTCCATCGAAGAGATTTCAGTTGATGAAATCATTTTTTAAATATTTTTTGACCTAACAAAAATTTGAAAATAAACTATTTAAAATTAGAATATCGGACCAAAATAAAATTTTCTTTTTAATATTAGTTAGCTGTTGATAATTATTTTGTTAGCTTTCTATTTATATTCTTTCTTTTATAATATTTATTTTGCCTCGGACCATTATAAATTTTTCTTTTCATTATTAGTTAGTTGTTTTACAATTTTTCGTTTTGTTATTAAATTTTTTAATTTTCTTGTATTAACACATGTTATAATCTGATCAAATATTATACATGGTGCGGCAGTAGTTTTGATTTTGATCCAACTGATCTAAAATTAAATATTCTTCATTGATATCTAGAACTTTTAAAGACATGATTTTTCATTTCTTAATAAGAAAGAAAATTTAAACAAAATATAGAAGCACACAATTAAATCATGAAGGGTGTAACTTATTATATATATTGTTTTTTTCCGTTTCTTAATGGATGTAACAATTTATTGTAAATTATATATTTTCTTACTAACTTTTTCATCAAGTAGTAGAAGCTCAACTCCCATAAGAATATTATTTTCTTTCATCATGTTGCGATCTTATAAATTGTAAAAATCTTATGTGTCGCAACCACGTCGTGCGAATCCAACTTTATATAATAAAAAAATTTGATGAATGGGAAACCTTTTTCTGTAGGATATGGCAAATATTTTTTTTTTCCTTTTTGATATAATATATTAAATGAAATTTCGTTTTTTTAATTAATATTTTTCTGAAATTTTTTTTTAAGTGTTCCTTTTTCTTCTTAGACACGCAGACATAAACTTAAAAGTAACACATGTCACAATCCTGAATTTTATAAAAATTCTACGCGTCGCAACTATGTGCGCATCCAGCTTTATATAATAAGATTTAACAAAATGATAAAAACAAAAGACTAATGACTCTTGATTTTGACCAAAAAGATTGATAAGAGTAAAAAAGATAATATAAAAGAAAAAAATATGTCACATGGCCACTTTAATTTGTAACATGAAGCATATAGTATATAGTTTTATTTTAATTTTATATTAACCAGTATCTTGGTTATGGATAGAAGATAATATAATATCACATGGCCACTTTAATTTGTAACATGGACCAAACCACCGCCAGTAACAGTTGAGTAGGGTTTAATACATTCCATTGTGGTCCCTTTTCTTATTGGGCCTCACTTCTAACATTCCCTCGGCCCATTTCTTAGTAGTTAATACGTGACGTGCACATTCTTTAATATCATAAAAATCAAATATTGCCATTAAAGTCTGCATGCGACTGCCATTTAAAATAGTAAAACCAAACATGAGTTTGAAAATTAAAAAATACCCAACTATGTCATGGTCTTTCACTAATACGTATTACAAAATATGATTATGTCTTTGATTTTTCTGTAAGCAATGTAGTTAATTTGTTTAATCAACATGTATATAAATGGATCATATTTATATGTATATACGATAGACTTCATATATAAATTCTGTAATGGCGAAAAAATGTCATATGTCGTTATACCTTTGTCGGTACACAATCGAAAACAATTCGACTACTGTCTAGTCTGTATTTACGTAAATAATATATATATAAATAATTTTGATACGTGTTGGCAATTTGACATAAATAGTTATATTCTATTGGACGGCGGATAGAAACTTTGGTGAAAAGTTAGATGGATTTGATTCTTAATTATGTAAGACAAGTGGACAACCACACGTATACCGTTACAAGTCAAACAATCATATTAATGTTCAACCAAATTTTTATAGAAATAATACGAATATGTAGATTATACGCAAATGCAATCTCAAATCTTAAATAATTAAGTACTTATTGACTTGAGAGCGAAACCAATCCTATTGACTAAAGAGTTAAATTTGTTTCTTTTTTATGTAGCTTAGGATAAAAGACTTACATATACATCTCTGAATGCAGGAAAACACATGCATTTGCAAGACCAGTCGTTACTCTGCAAAAAATCAATAGTTACAAACTTACAAAAGTTTGTGAATGGTGTGAATCGAAAGTTTAAACAGTCACTGTCACAATCTCAACTACGACAATCACATGTCATAGTTAAAAAACCTACATTACTTTATATAAATTTTATGAGAAAAAAAACACACATGTAGATCTCAGGTTAATTTATGCATTCACTGACATAACTCATTAAGAGTAAATAAATTTTCCAGAGTTTCTGAGACCGTGCATTGCAACATAAATAAGTACGTTTTTTTTATAAAAACAAGTACGTTGTAATACGATTTTATAGTAAGTACTAACGTAAGGTTACAAATCTAGCTTAGTCCATGTTTATCATCTGAATTATCTGATGAACATTTGTGATTTAACTATTATAGAAAAAGAGAAAAAGAGAACATGCGGTATTGGGATCGGCTACTCCATAAAAATATTTTATTCACATATACACATGAACTTGTTGATATATTACATAGATGTACACGCACATATTAAATGTGCATGTGTATACACGTAGTATGACATAGATGGAAGAATACAAGTCCTTACGTTACTAATTAATTAGATTAATCCTGCAGAAACTAAGACTAATCAAATACGGCAATAAATAATACTCCAATAATAAATATAAATATCTCTATATATAACAATCATTAAAAGCAGATGTACTACTACTTATTTCAATTCGATCCCAACGGTTACATTTTCGATAAAAGAAAAAAAACTTTGAGCCCAAAAAAATTTGTACACTGTGACACTGTCAATAAAAGTGTACTTTTTAGACAGTGATAAATTAATGTTTCAACTCACATAAAACCCACTGTAATATTTATGTTTCACACACATTCATTCATTCATACAATTTTATTTTTTCTTGTTTAAAAGCATTCATATAAATTTTTCTAGATAAGAATACGACAGAAATAAAAGCTTTATTTGTAAGCATTGTCTTATTTGTGAAATGATCTGCAAATTTCAATGTCTCTTTCATTCTCACGTCCCTCTCCTTCTTTCTTATTTTATCTTACAAAAAAAATGTAATTTTAAATCGTTAACAATAAAAAACAAAAAATCCCACTATAAATGTCTGGTCATCTGGGAAAAACAAAAAAAAATGTCTGATGGTCCAAAAAAAGATCTATAAAGTGTAAATTTCTATTGGTCATTTGATTGTTTTCCCTTTCTCTCTTGTAATCATTTCCCTATATTTTCACATTTTCCTTTAATGATTTTATAAAGTTTTCGTCCTTCTTCTCTTCATCTTCTTCCTCTTCTTCTCCATAACGAGACTAAAACCCCTCTTTAATGGCGAGAGGACCCATCTCCAAGAATAAACAGTAATCCTCATTTATTGTCCTTATAAATTTTCTTGAAGACAAATTTTCTTTTAGAAAAACAAATAAAGCTTTAATTTTTCATTACATTGGTAGATGAAGAGACAAGGGTCCCTTTAATTTTCGCTAAAGATCTTCAAAAACCCAACCTCAATCATGCTGGGCACTTTTTTTTTCTTCTTCTTTTGTTTGTAGAAACACAAAGTTGGGGTCTTTAACTCTTAAAGTTCATCAGTCCATCACAAAGCTCAGTGCTTGATTGGCTCCACAGTCTCTGATAAAAAGAAAAGTTTGCATTTTTTTCTGACTCATTTCAACCTAAAAACTCTGGTAAGCAAATCTCTGATATATACAGAGTCTAAAGGAGGAAGCTTTTTTTGGGGCTAAAGGAAGTCTTTTCTTTTTACATAAAAAAGAAGTTTTTACTGGAAATCTCAGTTTAGGGTTTAGGGAGAAGGAGCAAAATGGAAACCCAGAAAGTAAAATTGACAGTTTTGTATCCAGAATTTGCATCTTTTTCAGACACAATTAGAAGAATCCTCTGTTTTTTTTGTTGTTCTTTATATGTTTTGAAGCTTATTGGTGTTTTGTTTAAAAGATTGTTTTTTTTTTCAGGTTGTTGTTACTATATTGAAGACAAGACTCTGTGAATGATTTGTGAGTTGTTTGATCATCAATGGAGAAGAGAAGATCGCCAAGAAGCAGCAAGAGTCCTGGAAGTGCAATTTTCCCAAAAAGCCCTCTAGTCTACGAGAGTTATAAGTCCGGTTGTGGTTGGAAATTGATAAACTTGTTCGATTTCAGACATGTCAAATCTGGTAATAAGAGACTGACTCCAGAGAAGAAATTCAACAGAGATTCTGCTGGTTAGTGGTTGTTTTTTTCAAAAACAATGTTTCTTGGATCAATACCAATTCATGATCTTAGTGTTAATTTGATTTCTCTTCTTGCAGGAAATGTTTATACTAAAAGCCAGCTTGATCTACTCAATAGACTCCATGACAAATGTCAGTGTAACGACGTAAGTTTTCAAATTTGGTAGCTTTTGGGTATAGCTTTTGGGATTTCAAAGGAGAAAACTGAATCTTTAGTGATTTGTTCAGAGGATTGTGGAAGGAGAGAATTCATGTAAGCCTAAAACAAAGAGAAGATCTTTTAGTTGTGAAAGAGAAGGTGAGAACTATGATGAATCATCAAAACCTGTTCAGGGATTACTAGAGAGAGAGATCAAAAGGATCAAGAATCTAAAGGAAGAGACTTGCGATAAGCAAAAGCTAAAGCAACCTTCTTCTGAGAAGAACACAGAGATTAACCTTCAAGTTTGTGTGAATGAAGCAGCTGAAACATTCATCTGTTCAAAGGCAGAGGAGAAAGGAAAAGACCGGTCTAAGCAGTTCATGGAAGCGTTAGATATCTTAAGTTCCAACAAAGAACTGTTTATCACACTCTTACAAGATCCTAATTCGTTCTCTGCGAAGAAAGGTCAAGACTTGGAAGGATCTAAGGTAAAGGAAGATGAAATTGTTGTCTTGAAGCCAAGATTATCATCAAGCTCTGTTGATGATAGAGTGTACTTGAGATTCAAACATCTTGCCAAGAAGTTGAAGCTTGTTGTTGGATCTAACAAAGAAGAAACGAAACCTGAATGTAGTAGTGGTAAAGCTAGAGAAACCGAGGCTACTGCTTTGAGAACAAGTGATGTTTCTTCTACAAGTAGTACAGTTGTTGAGTCATCGGTGTTTAGGCGCAAGAAACGAGTTGAGTCAGATGTTTTCAAGCTGAGTATGGAGAACGAAGTTGTTCCACCAAGGAGATTCATAGTGGAAAGGCAACAAGAGAGATCAATTTCAAAGTCTTCACCGGTTTATGAAGTTCCTGATTCACTGAGTAGTTTGCAGGCAAAGCTCAAAGAGAGAAGGCAGAGGCTGGAGAAGAGAAGAGAGAGCTTCAAGCTGTGGTCTTTAGACAAGAACTTCGATGTTTTTGACCCGAAACAACACAGGTCTCTGGACTATGATTGCACAAGCTCTTCTGAGACTACAAGTCTGAGAACTCATGTAGAAGATAGAAATGAGGAAGATAGATATCTTGAGAGCTCATCAGCGGTAAGTTCTGAGAGAAAGTGTATACATTTCTTATGTCTCTATGTGGATTTGATGTTTTTAAGCTATGGTTTAAATCGTTGCAGGAGTCGAATCTGAAACAAGAGCAGGAGCAACCGAGTCCTGTCTCTGTTCTGGAGAGGATTCATTTGGAAGATGAAACTGTTAGCTTTACTAAACTCGGTAACAACCCCAAAGATCAATGCTTTCTTGATTTCAATATTTAGATCACTTAGTTGCTGTTTGATTTACTGGAAAAAGTCTCTTACTTTGGTGCAGAAGAGCAGATTGGATTGTTATCATTTGATCATCCAAACATGGAGATTGTGGAGAAAGACTCTGTTCATGAGTTTCTGAAGAGAGTTCTTGAAGCTTCAAGACTGGATTGGACTAATCTTATGGTGAGATGCAACGAAGAAACATCACTGCTCGACGAATTCTCACACGGTGGTGATAGTAGTAGCAACAAGGATCAGCTTCTTCTTGTTCTTGATTACACGGACGAGATTCTCCGAGGGATTTACCGTCAAGACATCAAGTTTTGGCCTTTCACGGCGTCCAAGAGCTCGAGAGTTGTCAATCTATCACCGTCCCTTAGAGAAGAAGATCTGATTCAGGAGACGTTGAAACGTTTTGACTGGAGTTTGCTCTGTTGCAATTCTCCAAGAACGTTGGATCAGATCATGGGGAATGATCTGGTGAAGCCATGTCTTTGGTTGGATTTTGGTGGTGAATCTGAAGGTGTTGTGTCTGATGTCGTTGAAAATATTCTGCAACAGTTGGTGCTTGAGATCTCTCATGAGCTAAGAACAATGCAGAGGAGGATATGTAGATTAATCTGAATTTTCTACTGAACTATTCAGTATTTTTTTTTGGTATGTATAAAAAAAGTATTAAAATTTGAGAATCTTCTCTTCACGATTAGTTTTCTGAATTAATGAAGATCAGATATTTTCTTTCACTGAAATAAAACTATATAAGCCTCTCACTAACACATGCCTTTCTAAAACACTAAATATAAAATATAAACAAATAGGATTTTGTGATTATTGGTCTGAAATCTGAATCACAGAAAACAGAGAAATGATCTTTCACAAACATTGAACATATATGAGTATTCAATCATCTTTTTCGGTTGTTGTAATATTGCAATTCCTTCACAACTTTATATTATAAACGGTGCACATACGATGCACATACGATGTACATACTCGTTTTAGATGACTATTAATCTTAGACAATAAGACCGACTAAGTGAAGTGTAAAAACTTATGATAGTAATAGGGAATGTGTTGGCGGATTAGACGAGCATAAGGCAAAATGATTGAAAGAAGAAAATGTGTTTTAAAGAGTAATAAATAATTTTAGCATGAATGCATGTTGTACTAGGTAATAATGAATTATCTTTTATATACAAGTGTGTGATAGCATGAATCCGAGTCTAAAATCTACCATGTTGGAATTGGAGGGTTCCTAACGCAAAATGTTTTGTTTTTAATTTTGTTGGAGTGTTCCTAACGCAAAATGTTTTGTTTTTAATTTTGTTGGAGTGTTCCTGACACAAAATGTTTCTAACTATTTATGGAGACCAAAAGCCCAAAAACCAATATATTTTCTAATGTTTTCATGCTTTCATATATTTAGATCAGTATTTATCAGCACCCAATGAATACATATCAATGACTATATTAAACACCATCAAAATATAATATTTTGTCATTCACATATAAAAAAAGAATAGAAGCTAGCTAAAATACAAACGGTGTTATACACTTTTGCTATCCTTGTGATGTACATTATCGTTCATTTCAAGTCATATGCAACAAAGATATTTAGTAGATTACACACAATGAACCGAAGGTTACATTGGTGAATTGGTCTCATTACAAACAGCTGAAAAAGTTTTTTCTATTGTTAAAAGAACATTCAATTGGTGCCACTATTCTCATTTTCGAACCATAATTCATTAAAAAAAGTAAGTTTCTGTATAACAGTATAAGAATCATCGTGTATAAACTAAATTGAGGTATGAAGAAACCCTTTTTCTTGAGTAAAAGCTTCTGACTCAATGAAAAGGTTTTGACTTTGACCAATTGAAGACTTTGATTTGGAATTAAGGGTTTAGGGACTTTTGCCGGAAATTGTGGGCAAAAAGATCACAAAAGATCGTCTCTCGTTTTCTGCGATTCGGACAAAAAAAATGACAACACAAAACCCTAGTTGCTTGCTTCTACTGTCTTTTAATAAGCCTCCACTTCCCGCCAGGCCACTCCTAAACCATACACAGTGAAAAACCCTAAAATCTCCTTTTCCCCCTAAAACCACTTCTCAGCCTCCTCGTCTCTGCCGTCGACAATCCCGAGCTATGGAGACGCCGACGATGAAGCCCGACACGGTTCTGATTCTTGATTACGGCTCACAGTACACACATCTCATCACTCGCCGAATCCGATCTCTCAACGTCTTCTCTCTCGTAATCAGCGGAACCTCATCGCTCAAGTCGATCACGAGCTACAACCCGCGAGTCGTCATCCTCTCCGGCGGTCCACACTCCGTCCACGCGCTCGACGCGCCGAGTTTCCCCGACGGGTTTATGGAGTGGGCAGAGTCGAACGGTGTTCCGGTTTTGGGAATCTGCTACGGTTTACAGTTGATTGTGCAGAAGCTTGGAGGTGTTGTTGTGGAGGGAGAGAGTAAAGAGTATGGGAAGATGGAGATTGAAGTGAAGGGTAAATCTGAGATTTTTGGGTCGGAGAGTGGTGGAGAGAAGCAAATGGTTTGGATGAGTCATGGAGATGAAGCGGTTAAGCTTCCTGAAGGGTTTGAGATTGTGGCTCAGAGCGCTCAAGGAGCTGTTGCTGCTTTGGAGAATTCGAAGAAGAAGATTTATGGATTGCAGTATCATCCTGAGGTATTGAAATTTGAAGAATCTGATACAAAATGATAGTTTTTGATTGGGATTTAGGGTTTATGGAGGATAAAGTATTTATCTTTTGATGAAATGGCTTGCGTTGGATTGGGATTTTAGTGGATTTAGGGTTTAGAGATGATAAAAGTTTTGATCTTTTGGCATCTTAGCTATTTATATTATAAAGAATCTGCAGAGACTTGGTAAATTCATGGCCCGTGACTCTGATAAGTGAAAAATTGGAGACTTTTTTGATAAATCGTTAGTTTGTTAGTCTATTGATTAGAGAATTGTTGGTTAATTTAGGTGAATTTCTAGCTTATGATGAAATGGTTTAAGTTTTAGTGGATTTGGGATTTGTGGATGATAAAGTCTCTATCTTTTGGTATGTTAGCTATTCCTATATTAAAGAATTTGCAGAGACTTGGGAGATTAATACTCTGTGACTCTGATAAGTGGAAAAACTGAGACTTTTTGATTAATCTTTAGTACCATTTGATTGAAATTGTGTGATTAGTTTGCTGGTTCATGTTCTGCAACACTGATAAATGAAAAAATTGAGACTTTATGTGATAAATCCTAAGTTCTGTTTGATTTTGAGTGTGTGACTAGTTTGCTGGTTCATGTTCTGTGACTGATAAGAGAAAAAATTGAAACTTTATGTGCCAAATTTTTTAGTTCCATTTTATTGAAAGTTTGTGACTAGTTTGGTGGTTCATGTTCTGTGACTCTGATAAGTGGAAAAATTGAGACTTTTTTTGATAAATCTTTAGTTCCATTTGATTGCGAGTTTGTTACTAGTTTGTTGGTCTATTGATTAGAGAATTGTTGGTTAATTTTGGTGATTGTCTAGCTTATAATGAAATGGCTTGTGTTGGATTTTTTGTTGTTGCAGGTGACACATTCACCAAAAGGGATGGAGACACTTCGTCACTTCCTCTTTGATGTGTGTAAACTGTCTGCAGACTGGAAAATGGAGGATCTGATGGAAGAAGAGATCAAAGTGATTAACAAAACCGTTGCTTCTGATGAACACGTCATCTGCGCGTTATCAGGAGGTGTAGACTCTACCGTTGCTGCAACTCTTGTTCACAAGGCCATTGGAGATAGGCTTCACTGCATCTTCGTCGACAACGGGCTCTTAAGGTCAGAGACGAACATACTTTTTCATCTTGCTATGGCACTTTCTAATCTGTTCAAGTTCTAACTGAGAATGGTTTGTTTTGTTAGGTATAAGGAGCAAGAACGTGTGATGGATACCTTTGAGAGAGACTTGCATCTACCTGTGACTTGCGTGGACGCATCCGAGCGGTTCTTGAGTGAGCTAAAAGGCGTAGTGGATCCTGAGACGAAGAGGAAGATAATCGGAAGAGAGTTCATCAACATTTTCGATCAGTTTGCGCAAGAGTTGGAGAAGAAGCATGGGAAGAAACCTGCTTTCTTGGTTCAGGGGACTCTGTACCCTGATGTGATTGAGTCTTGCCCTCCTCCAGGTACTGACAGGACTCATTCTCACACCATCAAAAGCCATCATAACGTTGGGGGACTCCCTAAAGACATGAAGTTGAAGCTCATTGAACCACTCAAGCTCCTCTTCAAAGATGAGGTTTGTCTACTATTGTCCTGTCAAGTGTTTTAGTACAGTTTGTTTGATCTTTGTGTATTGTGTTTTGTGCTTTAAAGGTCCGTGAGCTCGGGAAGATCTTGAATGTTCCAGTAGGGTTCTTGAAGCGTCATCCATTTCCCGGTCCAGGACTCGCGGTTAGAGTCTTGGGAGATGTTACTCAAGGAAACGCCCTTGAGGTTCTTCGTCAGGCAAGCTTATCTAAAAACCTTTACTTGGTTTTGTTTGCACTTACTATTTTACCAAACTCATCTTTTTGTTTTGGTTTTATCTCTTCAGGTTGATGAGATCTTCATCCAGTCAATCAGAGACGCAGGTCTCTACGATTCGATCTGGCAAGCTTTTGCAGTGTTCTTGCCTGTGAGATCAGTTGGAGTGCAAGGTGACAAGAGAACACACTCTCATGTTGTTGCTCTTCGTGCAGTTACAAGCCAAGATGGGATGACTGCAGATTGGTAAGCTTCTTCTGTACATTTTCTTTATAACAATGCATATAGAAACCTTTTCATCTTTAAAACTTGTTGCTATGTTGATGTAAATGTGCAGGTACAATTTTGAGCACAAGTTTTTGGATGATGTTTCTCGGAAGATCTGTAACAGTGTTCAAGGAGTGAACCGTGTGGTTCTAGACATTACATCAAAGCCTCCTTCAACCATTGAATGGGAATAAAAGAATCAGATAGTTTGTGGGGTTTGTAAAAAAGATTGTTATCATCATCATCAAACTATGATGCAGATGATGATTATTTTTATTATTAGTAGACTATTGTTTTCTGATGAATTTTTGAGTGATGGTGATTTTAATCGTTTCTGGTTATTTTGAAAAAAAAAAAAATCTAAAGCTTGTGTAAATTTATATGATGAGTGACGATGCTGATATCATAAAAGAGATCACCATTTTATAGTTCAAAGTGTTATACAAGGTATAACCAAATTAACACATCTAGTAAAATAATAATTACCCAGGATTAAGATTGTTACTAAAATGTGTTAACTCGATTATACATTTTTGCTCTCATCTTGATCTTATATAAGTACAGTTGGTTTTTGTACATTTTTATTTTCTCTAAGCAACCAACTTCACCAATAATTGATTGATCTTAGATCTTTGTTAATGGCCACCTACCATGCCAACCAATCTCATTAAAGATTTGCCCACTCTTATATTTTTGTTCTAAATCAAGAAATTGTTCAACCCAATTTTCTAACTCCTGGTTACATATTTTCAGTGAAGTTAACCTCTTACTAGTTTGATGCCTACCATAAGAAATCAAAAAGATAGTCCGATTCGGTTTGCTTATATTTCTTCTTCTAGGAATATATTGAAAAGTAATGTTAAAAAATGGTAACACATGCTCAATTGGTCAGTGGTGTTAGATGCAATTATTTGAAATGACATTACTTCTTTTTCTACAAGGCATTGCATTTTGTGACACTTTACACCAGCTTTTGACCACCAATCTAATCTTTAACTTTTCTAAATATATGTTTCAACATTAATTTTTTTCTTATACCAAAAGTATATTAAAATCTGACTATCATCTATGTACTTAGATTTTACCAAATATTTTTTTTTGGTCAAGCTTTAAACTAGCCACAACTTTTACTTCTTTTGCAAACGTTACTTTTACTTAGTGATCAACAAACTTTTCTAGTTTATTTGCCCACTAAAAATTGATATTGCACGAACTACGGTTAGTGTTTCATTTTGGATAATCTAACTTCATTGTATGATTTCATATTTGTTTACGTTAGAACCAAAAAGAACTCGATTTCATAAGCATTCCAAAGGATCTTCCAAAATTTCGAAATCACAAAAAAAATCCAATTAGATTCAGCAAGTACCAACGATTAGCAAAATCAAACCGGAGAAAAAAGCTAATCCTATCAATCTAAACCGTGAGACCTCAACATATCCATGCAACCCTTTGAAGTGCCTCTTGTATCATTCCTGTTGTAGCTATCTTTGTCCCTTTATGCTGCAACAAACAAACATTAAACCATATATAATCAGTTTTCGGTTTATTCAAGTTCCGGTTAAGTAACCTAAAAATTAAGCTTGTTTAAATGAATATACCTTGCAATTGACGGTTAAGCAGAGTAAACCGTCTCCGGTTGACGACTGTACTGAGTGAGAATCCAAGTTAAGATCACTAATCACATCCATTATCTCAAGCAGTATCCCTTCTCTCCAAGCACATCTAAGCTCAATAACCACCTCATTACCAAACGAGCCGATCCTTAAATTATCGGTTAGACCAACATAACCGGTATCATCTTCTCCTGCATTCACATCACTCTCTTTCCTCTTGCTGTTCATACAATTCGCTGAGGCTCTTTCGTCTTCATGATCATCCTCCGGTTTCTTCCTCTTCAAAGTCATTCCCGTCTCTGTATCGGTAGATTCTCTGCAAGATTCAAGTTCTTGAACTCTTTTTTGCAGTTCTTGAAGATACTCAATCGTATCATCAAGAATCGACACTTTATCTATCTGCATAAACATAAATATATAATCATGCGATTACTTCACTGAAAACATAATATTTAAAACGTTTTTGAAGCAAATGTGTTGTATTATGTTACCTTACTAATCGAAGGAATGATTGATCTCAACGTCATGAACCGATCATTCAACTTCTCACGGCGTTTCTTCTCGGACAAGGCATGGTTTGCGGTTTCATCTCCGACCTTAAACTCGCTATCTTCGGGTGTGTTCGGTAACAACAACAACTCCTTATGGTGCATCCGCGGAACCTCGAGAATAATCTTCTTTAACATCTTCTGCGATTGCTCTCCCATTGTTCTTGCACATGTTGATGATGATCGCTTCCACCGCGTGAAGCTTGACCGTTTATCGAAGTTCTGAAACTGCGGTCCAAGAATCAGCTGATGCGTAGTTTTGAAAATCGTCGAGATCACGCCTTGGTAATGAACATCGTCGTCCATATTCACACGGTAACTCTGTTCTTGAATCTGACCTAACTTTTGAACCCTACCTTTTCTTGGATCGCAAGAAACTCTCCCTGTTGCTCCAACAAACGTCTGGGAAACGCAATCGCTAGAATTAAGCGGTTGCTGAACGCAGTTACTGAGCTCTTCACCCACAAACTGCCAGCTTTGCACCTGAGACGCACCACCACCGTTGATGAACGAATCATGATCGTCTTGTTCTTGCTCAAACCCGCTCGTAGAAGTTGTCTGAAAAGGTTCATTTCCAAACACTGGAATGTATTTATCGTCGCCTAATGGATCGTAAATTTCTTGATAATCTGATCTTGTTGATATTGTAGCATAAGGAGGAGCTTCAAGAAACAAAGTCTTCACACATTGTATCACGTTCAAGTCCTCAGTAATCTAAAAGAATTAACGAGAAAAAATAAATAAATAGCTTTTTTATAACTTTTATAAGGGAAATTGCACTACATATACATCAATAGTTCTGAAATTAAATGGCTATTTCTGACAACTTTTTAGTCCACTGTTCATATGGCTGAAGACAATAAAACCCCTATTAAAATCACAACAATCTTGCTAACAATTAGTCTTAAATCTCTCTAACAAATATTATATCCCTCTGCTAATAAGTTGTTAGTTACTTTGCTAACAAAAAACACGTCATCTCGCTAACAAATACCATATTATTTGCTAACAAACATCACATTATCTTGTTAACATAGATTATGTTACCTTGTTAACAAAAATCATGATAATTGTTTACATTTTGTTGTTAACGAATTTGTTAGCAAGTAATGATTTAAATGTTAACGTATAATGGTTTGAATGTTAGCGTATAATAATTTGAATGTTAACATGATTTCACTAATTTGGTTAATAGATAATGTTAGCAAAAAATGATTAGATGTTAGCACATGTAATTGTTTAAATGTTATATCATTTGTTTGTATTTGTTATCACGAAATCTTACAATCTATTATATGATATCACTTCTAATGTTTTATCTTATAGGGTAAATATGTATGATTTTACTATATGTATTTGTATTGATCTAATTAACAACTATTATAGTGATATATTTAATTGTCAGATTATCTATGTATATTGTCTAAATTTACCCTTTTTATACCTAACACTTTAAACCCCGAACATAAAATGTACAGCTTTATGTCAAAATCGATTAACCATGTCGGAGAACTCAAAGACATTTGGTGATTGATGTGGGATGTTTTTCGTTACTATTTTTCTATTAATATTTAACTGATGTAAAATTCAAGAATGTTATATAAATATTAGTATAAAACATTGGCTTACATGTTCGGTCGTGCCGATCTCAAGAACGCCTCCAAGAAAAGGGAAGCAAACAACGGTTTGAAGCGAAGCACTCTTAAACAAAAAAAAAAAAACCAAAAACACCACACGAAAAAAGCGTTTTCAGTTTTAGCGTTAGCGTTTCCAATATTTATAGCAAAAGTTATATGCAAAACTCACTTTAGCGAGAAGGGAGCGAGTGAAGACTTTGCTATCGGCGGTGTGAGCGTTACAAAGCCATACTGGTTCACCGTTCGCAAACGCTCCTCCGGGTATTCTACAGTAAAAGACGGAAGTACCCTTTACGTTAATCTATAGCTTAATCGGCTAAGACATACCATATGTATAAATGGAAAAATCAAAGAGAAATTTTATGAAATACATCTCTTGAGGTGCAAATTTTCAAAACTACACCTATAATATGTAAATTTTCAAAAATACACCTTTCCCCAATTTTAATATATATGTTTGGGTTCATTAATCTTATATTAGGGTTTAGATTTTGGGGTTTAGGGTTCAGATTTAAGTGTTCAATGTTAAATTTTAGAGTTTTAGAGTTCTTTTACTAAATGAAAAAAGTGTAGTTTTGAAAATTGGCACCATAGAAATGTATTTTTGAAAATTTACACCTCAGAAGGTGTAGTTTTGAAACTTCTCCAAAAATCAAGTATTTACGTTGCGCCTATAAGTTTCCATTATAGTTTTAAAATGTAATACTTTTTAAGCATAAACAGTAGAATATATTTTAAACAATAAAACAAGATTTTTGCATTTGTGACAATACAAATAAACTCGTACATCTTGAAAGAAGCTCCCATGGAAAACGAGAATTGAAGAAGACAAAGATAATAAATGGTAATTTTCTCTTTTTATGGGACAAAATTAGATACTCTGTATTGAACGCCATTTTGAGATTTTTTACACGAATTAGGAAGGAAGAAAAAAATAATTCCAAAATTTTCTTTAACAAAAAAAAAGAGTTAATATTTAAAGTGTTACGACTGTTACTGTATATACTGTAGAGTTTACATTTTTTAATGTAAAAATTTACGTGAAGCGGTACTCTTATTGCGTTAACTAATTTCAGATGAATTTAGAGATGAATTATGAGGGATAAAGATGGAATTACCCTTCACCAATGTCGAAGACAAATGACATGCAGACTAAGTAATACCACTCGGTGTCGGTGAGATCTTCCGGGGAGAGCGCGGCGGCGGAAGCTCGTCTAGTGACCTGAGAGCCACCGGAAGTTGTGGATTCAGCGACGGAGAGAGATTCATAAAGCTCTCTAAGCTGTTCACTTCTCTCAAGACCTAACTTGTCGGCTTTGACTTCCGCTGCTTGAATCGTCTTCCTTGTCTTAATGTCTCCATTGTAGTATCCATCTCCCCACTCCAACACTCTATAATTAATCGAGAAAAAGGGAAAATCGTTATTTAAAGCTATATAAATGAGTTCTTGATTTTTATTTTTTGAGTTCTTGATTTCGAATTAAATATGTGGGAAAGCTACTTTAGCTGAAAAGAATTTGAAGAAATGTCGGATAAATCAGAGCATAGGTTACTTTATCTATAATCAACAATGTCTCATGATTCTGAATCCAAGAATTTCTTATGGACAGAGACAAGAAAATTTTAACTTCAAGAGACAAACTCTAATTTTAAGGATAAAGAATTAGATTTACCCTGGTTGAGAAGTAGAGACAGACCAAAAAATTCCGTAACTCCATTGAATGTTTCGAACTGAAACTGCGAGCTGTTTCTTTAGATTTTCCGGCACCGTTGTTCTGTTATCTCCGGCAGCCATTGTTTATTCTTCTCTGTAGCATACCCATACCAAAAAGATCAAAGTTTTGTCAAACACAAAATGTTCGTCTTTGAAATGATCATAAGAAGATAAAGAAAGAAAGAAAGAAAAAGAGCAGAATGGATTTTAAGGTTATGGACTGATGAGTTAGTGATTTTTACATGATATTGCTTCAGTTAAGGGAAAGAAAGAAGACAACAAAACCCACATATTTATTTTTAACCTTCTATATATGGGAACAAAGATTTAAGTACAATTAAATATGTGTTTCTTGAAGTTACTATTGTTGTGTAGTTGAATCGAGCTTTGAGTTGAAACTTGAGAGAAAAGGATTTTGTCCGAATCTCTTTATGGATACTTTTAAGTGTGTGTGCACTGTATATAACCACAGAACATTGAGTGGTAAAAACAAACAAACAAAAGTAGTGTGTACCTACCCTTTGGTTGAATATTGTGTTCCAAGCACCACTCTCTTTTGGAATTTTTTTAGTTAAAACTTAAAAGAAAGTAAATAGTTCTCTTTTTTGTACTATGATGATTTTTATTTTTAATGGACTTAGAAAATCCTATGTTAGTATGTTCACGTCAGAAGTAAAGGAACTTACACTATACTACTATAGTATGGTAGTATATAAAAGAGATGAAAATCTCTACTCAAAAATGTAATTTCATATAGTTCTAATAAAAATGCTTGATTATTTTATTTCTTTGATGGGATTTATCAAGCAAACATACCCGAAAAAAATACTATGAGTTCAACATGTTTAAAGTTACACACATCATAAAATTTGAACGTAAATTTTAAATTAGTAGCAAATTTATATTCAATGTAGTCCATGAGTCGGAAATTAAATATAACACTCTTATATAAAAGCCAACTAAATCACATTTTTGCCACCATAGCCGCATATATAGGATAACCACTGGTTGAATGCTATGAGTCTAATATATTATACTACAATATATAAATTCAAGAACTTTATTTACTTATTTTTAAGACAGAAATGATTCGAGTGGTGAAACTCGATGAAAGACATGAAATTAATGTTATGCCTCGAGGAGCTCCCCCGAAACAGACAGACAAGCTTGTATAAATTGACTAAAATACAGTGCAATGCTTGATTAGTTTATGTTCTTAGAAGATATTCTACATTGTTTTCGAATCTTAGTTATAATTGCTAATTGTGTCCATCTTCAGTTTTGTCGCAAAATCTTTAATTTCTTGTATTATATATGCGTACGAGCTACCTATAAAGTATAAACCTATATTTATGTGAAGTCAAACGATAAGGTTATCAAGAAAGACGGGAAGGATCAAGGTGGGGATTAATTGGAACTAGAAAAGAGAATGGGAAAGTTCCATAGCTATATATTGAGGTATTTTTATAGAAATTTCCTCAAAAAAAATCAAATGAACTAATGAAAGTAAGTGAATAAGTGATTGTATTTGAATGATATTTGACAAACTATTGAAATAGTGCTCGAAATCTTCTTCATAATTTATACTCCATGTATCAGCAACCTCAAGAATGGCTCAGTAATTTAAATCATATTAGTACCATGTAAACTGTTCGTCACCAGCCACATTCAAGATATTGAGGTTGCTGATTACTTGTCGTGTCTCATGTCCGAACGTTGGAAAAGGAGCAAGACTTTGTTTTGCTTTAAAATGAAATTGCCAAAAAAAAAAAAAAAAGATATTGCCAAATATTTGAATCATTTGATTGTAAAACTACAGAGTATTTGAATTAACAGTTTAATAGGAAACTGATAACCAATATTTTGTTCTAGGTTCTTTCACACTACTAATTAACTAATGTCAGTCACATTTAACCGCATAGATAGTACCGAACTATGGAAAACAAATTAAACAATGAAGGTTTATGTTTCGTATATCAAGATTTGTGTTCTCAGTAATCTCCTAAACAGTTTATTTGATTTATCTTTTTTTTTTTTTGTCATCTAGTGTTATTTGTACACTGTGGTCATCGTGAACGCACGCATACAATAGATTATAGCCTATAGTTTCCTCTCAAAAAGGATCATTTTGACTTTTGTGTTCAAGAATTTGGCTATATAAAACAAAACTACCAAATTCGAAGACAAAAATGTGTAATTTGTTAGGGTGACACATTAACCATTATCAACCAGTAAAAATAACAAATCTTTCGTTATACTAGCTACTACTAGACTACGGGTGTGAATGGTAAATATAGAGTAAGTGAGAGTAAATGAGAGAGAGAGTAAATGAGTGGAAAGAAAATTTAGTTATTAGAGTAAAAGAGTGGAAAAAATGTTTACCTCTAGAAAAATGTGGAGGGATATATCCCACTGTTTTGAGCGTAACTGAGCAGAATCTTTTGCGTTCCTTTTTCACCTGATTGGTAAAATAATAGAGTAAGTGAGAGTAAAACATTTTTCCACCTATAATTTTACTCTAACATGTATATCCAGTCACACCCTACTAGTTAACGAGGCGCAGATTATATATAAATAATTAATTTACTAAAACAATACTCCATAATTGCATGGAGTAAAAAAAACATGTAAAGAACTAAAGATAAAGATAATAAAATGAAAGAGATGCTCTCATTAATTGCATGGAGCAGAGTCTACTGTTGATTAAAAAAACAGTGATCGAACAGTCCATCTTCTGTGGTCCACTTTATTAATTTAGCATTAATAACATTGTCACCACGAGGCCACTCTTTATGATTCCATCATAAATAACTCAATTATAAAACCAACCAAAATTTGTATAAAAAAGGTAACCTTATTAAGTTAATGGTCCTCATTAGACCTTACTTGTAAAAATAAGATGTATTCGATCTACTTAATAGAATCGGGTTAGTGAAACTGTGAAAGTGACCTAGATGGGTTGAGATTTTGAGAGTGTCTCAAAGTCATCATTAATAGTACCTCTCACGCTTTGTATGAATGTAGGATATTCTTTTATCACTGTCATATTGTCTTTTCGTTACGTACACAAATAATGATTTGAATGGATATATATGATAAATACGTGCTTAAGTTATAGTTTTTGTACTATACTAATCAGTTTCTGTTAAATGCCTACAGTTTTAGTCATTAGAAATTTATAATACAATTCACGTCGTCATGATAACAAGTTTTTTCAAGCTAAGTTCTGATATTTTCAAATTCTGATTTTAATTGGAGCTTTGTTGTATAAACCAATTAAATTCTTTAATAGCTACCTGTTAAACTATATCCATATTTGTTTTCTTATGTTTGCCTCTGCGTTTCTGTTTGAAATTAACAGAAAACATATACTTTATATTGTAGCTAAAATACATCTTATTTGTAATCAAATGGTATTTTAAAGTTATAATTAACATGATTTTTGTTTCCATTGAAATAACCTTTTTACTAATAAGGAAACTGAAAACAAATGGGTTGGTTGACAAATTGATTTCGGGTAAAACTAGTGTCCACGTGTATGGTAATACAAAATTCCGAATTCATGGCTTTGATCAATATTACGACCTAGTTATGATGCGGTGTAATTCCAAACCACATTCTCTTCCTTTTTTTTTTTTTTTAATCGCATTAAAAATAATAATCTGACTTAATCATTAATTTACTCCACCACTCTTTTCCACGTTCTATGTATGATGATAGTGGCGCCACGCATGGACATGGCAAAAATAGAAATACTAAGTACTAACATGGCATATATTATATATATAAAATATGTAAATCATATACACTAGAATTGAATTGTTAAGTGTTTATCAGGCCAGTCCAACACTCCAACTTCGAAATGGTAAAAGTCTTACTATCAATTCTTTAAGCTTGAAGTCTCGAACAGATCCAAAGATCTTTCGTTCTCGTCTGACCATATGTGATATATCTCCAACAAGCTTAACGAAAATAATCAGAAAAGAAGATGTTGTTTTCTTTGAGTGATTAATTGATTATGAGATTAAAATATGAAAAGTCATAGTTACACCGATCATCACTTTGTTAAATTTCATGTATTTCCTATTAAAAAAACAATTGGCTAAAAATTGACTGATCGACCATATAATACTTTGAATTCTTCAGAAACATAACATTTCTGTGGTTCTAATTATTGTCTCTAAACGTAAAAAAACAGTGATTATGAAAATCAATAATATAAAATTTTAAAACACATTTTCCCCATCTTTTTCTATAAATCCACTCACCAAATTCATATAATTGAATTCTTTACTCTCTACAAATACGATTGCAAAACTATTTAATCTCTTACGACAGTATTTTTTTTATTGTCATAGACTTTTTCTATACATTTTTTCTTAAAAGAAATACATATTTTGAGAGTTTGAAGTATACCGTACACGACAAATTTTATTTTGTTGTAATAAAGATAAGATTAGGCATATGAAAGTTTTGGTAGGATGAAAGTCGAAGGGCATACGATCCAGTTAGTCCGGGCCTTTGATTGGGCCTAAATGGGCCGACAAATCAACGGTTTATATTCTCAGAAAATATCAAAATACAAACAAAATTAAAAAAACTTTGGATGGGAAAAAGCGGGAAGTCTGGAGCCTTAATTCTATTAGCGAGGGTAGGCCCCACCAAAACCATATGGCGTAAAGCAAAATCAAACCAAAAAGTATTAAGTTTATTAATTTCCAGGAAAAACATTTTTCTCTTTTTTTCGAAGTTCGAAGTTTCGAACCGTAATTAGCATTTGTTTTCTCGGAATCTAAAAAAAAAGAAAAAAATAGAGAGAAAAGAAAGGAGAAACAGTGAGCAAAATCGTGCGACTGGAAAAATTTCGAATTTCTCTCTTCCGGCGAGGGATTCAAACGTCCGTCTCCATTTCTCGCCGTGAATCTGAGTTTTTTCTTCGTTTCATTCCCTTAAGACCAGTCTCCGTTTTCCGGCTTCTCTACCCTCGAAAGGCTTATCTTCCTGCTTCTCATGGCGTCTCAGGTTCGTTTCGGATTTTTGTTCTTGCCTTCGTCTCTGTTACATGTAGGCGGAAATGGTTTCTTAGGGTTTTTGCCTGGATCTGCTTAATTCATGGGTTGAATTGGTCCGCATTGTTGGTTATTTGCTGAGAGATATGTTGAAATGAGGGGAAGAAACTTCGTCATTGTTTGCAATTTGAAGCCTTTTTGGGCTGTTTAGCTCTCGAAATGGGATAACTAGTCTTATCTGAAATCGAAAGCACTTGGAATGGATTTTACCATGTATCAGCGAAGATTGGATTTTATCATAAGAGGGTTAGGATTACGAGAAATTATGCATACAATTGGGAATTAGGAAGTTTATATGTTGACAATGAAAGCTTCCTTAGTTGCTGGCTTACTGGTTTCATTTGGTTCAGGGTCTGCTGCGCAATCTCTGAGTTGAAATGAGCAGTCATCTGGAACAAGACGCCAATATGAGTGGTGTCTATGTTCAGTCAGATGCATCTAGTTTTCTGAGTTTCGATGGTTCAGAATGTCGTGAAGGCGTGGACGATAGTAAGAAAGGTAATGTCTTTTAGTCATTAGTCTGCTGTTTATCTTCTCTCTTGCTAATTCATTTAGGTGGACGATGGCTTTTGTTCTCACTCTTTGAGAATTTCTTCTTGATTATGCTCTCAGGTCATCAGAGTTTGGTGGAGTGGTTAAACGAGACACTTCCTTATTTAAATTTATCATGGGAAGCTTCAGAGGACGAACTGAGAGCATGCTTGAGGGATGGAACTGTCTTGTGTAACCTTTTGAATCAGCTTAGTCCTGGTTCAATGAGAATGGTACTTAAGAATTTCGCTTTTGTATACCGTTTGGCTATGATCTTTAGTATGTTATGCTTCTGGTTATGTATTCTTTTCTCCCTTATTCTTGTGCTGATAGACTCACCCTTTTTGGCTGTTCGATAGGGAAGCAGCTATGAGCCTGCTAGTGTAAAAATTGAGGGGTTTCTGACTGCTATGGATGAAATGGCCCTGCCCAGGTTCGAGGTTACAGACATAGAGCAGGTTAGTTATGTTTTTGCATGGATATATTGTATGGTTTCTGTGGAAAAGTTTGATTTCTAAAATATGTAAAAACTGGTTGGTTTATAGATTATCCCATTATTGAGCAATGAATCCTAATAAAAAGCAAAAAAAACAGGGGGATATGGTGCCAGTTTTACAGTCCCTTAAGGCGCTCAAGGCAAGTTTTTCCGATGGTGGTAATGATAAGAACTCGCTATATGCGAAAAGGAGATGGAGCTTGCCAGAGGACCACTCAGGTTCAAGAGGAGATGACCGAAACTTTACTGAGGGATTTCAGTCGAAGGAAGAATCTGAGGTTGATATGTCTGATGCTAAAATTTCAGAGTTACTGAAATCGAACAGTTTACGGGTAAAGCATTCTAACATAATTTTAGTCTACTGTATCCAACTTTAGCTTTTATACCTCTGTTTATGATTCATATGTCCTTTGTCTTGGTAGAATGCTCCGACTCGGTCACTGTTTGACATGCTGGATAAGCTTCTAGATGAGAGCGTGAAGAAGATGAATGGACATGTGTCTCATGTAAGACAAAGATTGAGCTACTGATGCTACCTTTCTCATTATTTTTGTTTTGTTTTCTGGTTTATTTCAATCTTTAGTTCATGGAATATTTCTTTTTATTCTCCATAATGTTTGTCCCTTTTTTCTGTGTCTTGTTCAGGCAATGGCATCACTCTTGAGCGCACTTGTGCAAGTGATAGAACAGCGAATCTCAAATCAAGCTGATAACCTAAAGAATGTAAGATTCCCTAAGGCTTTTCTTCCTTGATTTTTTCCCGTGATGTACATATCATCCGTCTGACCAAGTCATGAATTATGCTTATGAAACGGTGCAGCAAAATATACTCTTTAGGGTACGTGAAGAAAAATACAGGTCAAGAATAAAGGTCTTAGAAACCTTGGCAGCTGGGACAACAAAGGAAAACGAGGTACTTTTGTCTCTAATTCCAGTGTTTCTCTCACTCTATCTCTGCTTCGCTTACTGAATGGTCTCGTTGTTTCCTTTGCTGTAGATTGTTACGAACTGTATGGAGCATATAAAGGTATGTTATTGATACATCTCTTTCAGATATTTCGCTTTTAGCTTGATCTGAAAAAGTTGGTTTTATAATGATTTTATTCGCTGTTGTGCTCTGTAGCTTGAGAAAACCAAAATAGAAGAGAGAGAAAGGTCAGAAGAAAAAGATGTGGTGCGACTGAAAAAGGAAAAAGAGCGCAGTGATGCTGAGATTCGCAAGCTGAAGCAGGAACTCAAATTGGTGAAAGAGGCACACGAGAACCAATGCTTGGATTTAGAAGCAAAAGTACAAAACACTAAAGTCGAGCTGGAGAAGAAGTTGAAGGATGCGGAGATACATGTAGCAGATTCAACTAGGAAGGTGAAAGAGCTGGAGAAGTTTTACCAATCCAAAACTCAAAAATGGGAGAAAAAAGAGGGCACCTATCAGAGCTTCATAGACAACCAGTCTGGGGCCTTGCAGGTTGACAAATATAGCATTCTAAATAATCACAAATCCATTTGGTAGTTTCTTTAATTGATATAGAGTCTGAATTATGCAGGAGTTGAATGCTACTACGGTTTCCATAAAACATGAAGTCTTAAGGACACAGAAGAAATACTTAGAGGATCTAAATTACTATGGTAAGATTCATTGTTGTCAAAAGTTGTCTATGATTGCTTGGCCTCCATGTTTTTACTCTTGAGCACATGCCTTCATATTTATAATCCTTTTTCTTAGGTGTAAAGCTTAAAGGAGTGGCTGATGCAGCGAAAAATTACCATGTGGTCCTTGAAGAAAATCGAAGACTGTACAATGAAGTGCAGGAGTTGAAAGGTAAAGCTCTTTTTAGTTAATGTACTTCGTTTGCATGAGATTATTCAAGAAATGACTTTTGTGCCTTTTTCTTTCTTTATAGGAAATATCAGAGTCTATTGCCGGATTAGACCATTCCTTCAAGGGCAAAACAGTAGACAAACAACTATTGAATACACTGGTGAGAATGGTGAATTGGTGGTTGCGAATCCATTTAAGCAAGGCAAAGACACACATCGGTTATTTAAGTTCAATAAAGTTTTCGGTCAAGCAGCAACTCAAGGTTCAAAACCTGTCTCCCCCTTATGTATTTGTTGGCGATCTTCTCTGTTTCTCCCAATTTACATTTATTTATCTCCTGAATATGTTTTTTTTTTGTACAGAGGAGGTTTTCCTAGATACTCGACCATTAATTCGATCCATTCTCGATGGCTACAATGTCTGCATATTTGCCTATGGACAGACTGGCTCTGGGAAAACTTATACAATGGTAAAGGACATGCTTGATTTCGCTCCTTTTTATGTTCAGCCAATTATTATAAGTTTCTTATAGACGTATTTCCATTTTGCAAACACAGAGCGGGCCAAGCATCACTTCGAAAGAAGACTGGGGTGTCAATTACCGAGCTCTGAATGACTTGTTTCACTTAACTCAGATCAGACAAAACACTGTCATGTATGAAGTTGGTGTTCAAATGGTTGAAATATACAATGAACAAGTTCGTGACATACTTTCTAACAGTGGTTCCAATCAAAGATATCCTTCTCTAATCTAATATAGGGGCTAAATATTTTTTGGAATATATGTATATTTGCTGCTCCATGCTAATGTTCTCTGTTTAGTATAAGATTTTCCTTAACTTGCATACGTTAGGGATTTGGAATACTGCCTTACCTAATGGGCTAGCAGTCCCTGATGCAAGCATGCACTGTGTGAGATCAACAGAAGATGTGCTTGAGCTGATGAAGATTGGGCTTATGAACAGAACCGTTGGTGCCACTGCGCTCAATGAAAGGAGTAGTAGATCACATTGGTTTGTAAACTTTTTTTTTTTTTTGCTTTTCTTCCAATATTATTCAAGGATTAAAGCAAAAACGATTTTGCTCATTTTCTGCAGCGTTCTTTCTGTTCATGTTCGTGGTGTCGACGTGGAAACCGACTCTGTGTTGCGTGGTAGTTTACATTTAGTCGACCTTGCTGGAAGTGAGAGGGTTGATCGCTCTGAGGCTACCGGAGAAAGGCTTAAGGAAGCTCAGCACATTAACAAATCACTGTCAGCTCTTGGAGACGTCATATTTGCTTTAGCACAGAAGAATCCCCATGTACCATATAGAAACAGCAAATTGACTCAAGTCCTTCAAAGTTCCTTGGGTACTTTCTTAACTCTCTTTGAAGGAAACATTGTAGATTCTTGTTACACGTTTTGCATGATGTATCTGTTGGTTCCTTAATTCTTTTGTCTCATGTTTTGTAGGAGGACAAGCCAAAACTCTTATGTTTGTTCAAGTCAACCCTGACGGAGACTCATATGCTGAGACCGTTAGCACATTGAAGTTCGCTGAGAGAGTTTCTGGTGTGGAGTTAGGTGCAGCAAAAAGCAATAAAGAGGGACGAGATGTTAGACAACTCATGGAACAGGTATCAAACTTGAAGGATGTAATTGCCAAGAAAGACGAAGAGCTTCAGAATTTCCAGAAGCTAAAAGGTAATAACAATGGAACCGTTCTAAAACGAGGTCTAAGCAATCTAAGGTTGGTGGGGCCTTCATCACCTAGAAGACATTCAATCGGAGCTTCACCAAACGCTCGACGAGGAAAACCCCCTGGTTTATTCGGAAGAGGAGCCTCAGATGTCGACAACACCTCAGAGTATAGCAGCAAACACTCTGATTCTGGTTCGCAGCATTCGTCAGACGAACGTAGACACCGAAAGGATCTTCACCAACAGCCGTCTAAGTTTGCTGGTGGTGGTGGAGCGAAAGAAATTGATTTTGATGAAGATGTTGAGCTCTTGGGACTCGGCGATGCAGATTCCGAGGAGAGATTGAGTGATATCTCTGATAGTTGTCTCTCGATGGGAACAGAGACTGATGGCTCTATAAGCAGTGCAGTGGAGTTGACTCTTTTCCCTGAAACCGTTATGCCTCCTCCTGAGATCATAACCGAACGACCTGAAACACACGTGACCACCTCTGAGAAACCTGAGAAGTCATCGAGAATGGTTAAAGCTGAGCCAAAAGAGAGGTTAGTATTACATTTGGATAGAACAAATCTGAATGCTGGAGCTTTATTTACAGATTGTTTTGTTTTTTTGGGATTTTGAAAAGCAGAACTATTATTCCATCGAAGATTCCGAAGCAGACCTTGAAACCACCAGGACAAACCAGACCTTCTCGTCTGTCAATTGCCACTAGCTCCTCCTCTAAGGCCTTAACAGGTAATGTCTCTCTATACATCAACTCTTTGACTTGTATCCTACAATCAAAATCTGATTTGCGTAATTACAAACAAATCAGGCTCTAATCATGCTTAAATTAGAGCCTAAGATCAATATAAATCTTATCTTTAGTGCCAATGTGCTCATGAGTCATATAATATTCTTCTTGATTGGCCTCAGGTGCTAAAAGGCCGACGATTAGCACTTCATCTTCAGCGAAGCCACTCAACCGAAAGCGGTGAGGACTGTTTGTGTTCATCGCGAGAGGTGGAGGATGATTTGTGATGGTGTTTATTTAGTAGCTAATTGTGTAACTAAAGCAGATGATGTGTCTGTGTTCTTGTTCTATGTAAACCACCTAATTAACAAACACCATAACTAACTAAGTGTTGTTTTGTCTTATTACTAGTGTTAACTTACAATCCTATCCACGTAAGCTTTGAGGTTTTCTATGAGTTCGGTCATTCGTTTCACCATAACGATTCTGATGTTTAAACGTATCGCTTACTCTAATAATTCGGTTGTGGTGACGGTCATCCATAGAAGTAGATTCCGGTTAATTCGGTTTACGGAATTTTCGTGGAAAGAAAACCAAATAATTCAAAAGGACTGAGAAAGGAGAGAGAAAGCCAAGAAACTTCTTAGCTCTTTCTCAAAAGTCAGTCAAGATTGGATAGCTAGTGAGTAGTGAGCGCGCCTTTCTGAATTATCTCAGCCATAAGTGTGGCACATCCATATCCATAGACATTTTTAAAATCTTCACCCTACTCTATACTTTGTATCATGGATTCTTGGAGATACGACGTCTATGTGAGCTTCTACAGTAAAGACGTCGTTACGACATTTCTCAGTGATATACAAATACTGTTGAACGACAATGCAATTATCATGTTCGATGATCAAGGGATCAAGAGAAGCAAGACCATCGCCCCTGCTCTCACTCAAGCGATTAGGCAATCGAGGATCTCGATCGTGGTGCTCTCGGAGAACTATGCTTCTTCCAGCCGGTGTTTGGATGAATTGGTGGAGATTTTGAAGTGCAAGCAAGAGATGAGGCAAATAGTGATACCAGTCTTCTACGGAGTAGATCCATCTGATGTGCGGAAACAAACCGGAGAATTTGGGAAAGTTTTCAAGGAAACTTGTCTTCGTCATACAGAGGAGGACATACAAATATGGAGCCAAGCTTTGACCCATGTGACCAACTTAGGAGGATATCACTCTCGAAACTGGTTTGTTCTTGTTCTTTCGTTCAAATATGATTTATTCTTCTTTAATTAATCCGATTTGGGAAACTTTATTGAGAAAATGTACTAGAATAACCTTGGAAAGTATTAAAATAATTAGAATAACTTTCGTATTTGAGTGTAAGAAGACGTCTCAAATAATTATTACAAATTGTCATTTTTATTTTATACTAGAAATTCATCTCGCGGGATTAAAACTATACCAAAATTTTAAAATTTATCAATTTAATTTAACTATAAAGATTTATAAAAAATTACTATTATTATACTAATGATCTACTATATTTGTTCGTAAATTCTGAATTTTTTTAAAAGTAATGTTTTTTAGCTATCAGCTCTTATTCACACTATTATATGATCATAAATTTTATAAATACACTTTGAATACAATTCTATCATTTATATGTAATGTTTTCACATATTTCTATATATAATGCAAATGAACAAAACTTTATATACAAATTTGTAAATAGATTTTATGAAATTAGTTATTATTATTATTTTTCTTTATTTTTTGGAACACTAACTGTTTTACTCGTAATTGTTATTTAAACCTGATATATTATGCAGAAATTGAAAAATAATAAAACATTTGAAAAGTTTTAGTTTTTGTCATGCTCACAATTAAGGTAAATGCTGAAGTATCATCACCTAGAGAAAAGTTATTCTCTTATTATAGTATAGATAGATGAGTTAAATCAAAACCAACATATTAAACCAAAACCAAAAGTCTAGATCAAAAGTTATTTATTTGTGGAAGCTACAAATATTTTTCACATGGCTATTTGATTAACACGGCTCTCTCTCTCTCTCTCTCTATATATATATATATATATATATATATCTTTTAGGGACAATAAAGCGGCGATGATCAAGAAAATTGCTAGATCTGTTTCACATAAACTACATGCTACACCATCTAAGGATTTTGATGTCATGGTTGGAATCGAAGCACACTTGAAAAAGATACATTCTTTGTTACATTTAGAAGACGAGAAAAAAGCGATGATAGTTGGAATCTGTGGCCCTGCAGGCATTGGTAAGACTGCCATTGCAAGAACTTTGCATGATATACTCTCTTACAGTTTTCTACGTTTCCAGCATACTTGTTTTATGGAGAATCTTGGGGAATTTCGCTTCAATAGCGGTCTTGACGAGTCTGGTTTGAAGCTGCAATTACAAGAGCAGCTTCTTTCCAAGATTGTGAACCAGAATGGTACGGATTTAGACGATCTTGGTGCATTAGATGAACGGCTACGTGACAAAAAAGTTCTTATCGTTCTTGATGATGTAGACGATCTGAAGCAACTAAAGGCTTTGGCTGATGAAACTTCATGGTTTGGTCCTGGAAGTAGGATTATCGTGATCACACAAGACCCAGAGCTCTTGCGGCAACATGGTATTGATATTACATACCATGTTGATCTTCCATCTAGTGAAGAAGCTCTCCAGATCTTATGTAGATATGCTTTTAGACAAAGCTATCCACCTAGTGGTTTTGAAAATCTTGCACGAAGAGGAACAGAGTTTTGTGGTAAGCTTCCACTGCGTCTACGTGAGGTGGGTTCATCTTTACGTGGGAAGAACAAAGAAGAGTGGAAAAAATTACTAGGAGTCGGAAATGAACCAAGAGGTAAAAGTTGGCGTTCCACCGGAATGGCTTTCCTCGTCGTCATCAATTTGCTCATAGAGATTGCAGCAGTGGTTTCAGAACAGCTCTCTTCTGTTCACAAGCCTGACTTCGCAAGAATCTCCTTAGCAATGTCAGTTCTCTCTGTTTTCCTCTCCATCTTTGACCTCACTTACAAAATCCGGGCCAGTGAAGCTCGTTTCCGATGGAAGGAAATCATTGGGCGTTCCACAGATACCATCTTATTGTTCTGTGGTGTTGGTCAGTTAGTATTGTCGATCACCACTTGTGTTTTTATCGAAAGGGGACAGGAGAGTCCCATCAACGTATCAGTGTTTCCTCTCTTCTTTGCTGTCGGTATGGTCATCTCCAAGTTCATGGAGAAGCCGGCCCTTTTTGAGGAAACTTTACCTATAACAATAAAAACGCAGTGATTGTTTAAAGTTCAAAGAAAGAAAAAAAGAAGTGTACATGTTGAAGGTTTCAGATTTTCTGGCTGTTCCCAAAAATGTTAAGCCCTTGTTCTACTTCTAATATCAAAAAATAGTGTCATTGGCCATTTACAAGGAAAATTGACAGAGAGAGAGAGAATATTGACATTATTTGTTCTTTCTTGTTTTTGGTTGGTATTAAATCACACTTGCATAATATGAAGTATATATTTGTTACGTTAAAAAAAAGACAAACCTATGATTGTTGGAATCTATGGGGCTGGGGGGATTGGTAAGACTACCATTGCCAGAGCTTTACATAGCAGACTCTCTAGCAATTTTCAGCTTATTTGCTTTATGGAGAATGTTAGTGGAAGCTATGATAGTGGTGGTCTTGACGAGCATGGAATCAAGTTGTATCTGCAAGAAAAGCTTCTTTAAAAGACTTTTGAGACAAATGGTATGGGGATATATCATTTAGGTACGATGCAAGAAACACTATGCAACCAGAAAGTGCTAATCATTCTTGATGATGTCCCATTTAGGTAAACTTACCTTTAACAACAAAAACGCAGTGATTGGTTTACACTTTAGAGAAAAGAAAAGAAAGAGTGTGTTGAAGGTTTCAGATTTTCCGTATATTTAATGTCAAGGCCTCGTTCCAAACTCTTCTATTATCAACAAATAGTGTAATTGACTAAATCATGATGTATTTAGTAATTAGCACTACTCATTTTGTAGAAAACTTGACAAAACTGGTGACACGAAAGAGTTGACCGCTTAATTTCGATATTTTAATTGGGATTAAGAAAATAATTTGGATTTAATCATTTAGTATACTTTCTTTCTTCATTTCTTTAAAAAGAAGAAGTCAATGTATACAAACATACGACCAAAACTTGTTAGATAATATGTTCCCTCAATATTTTGTTAGATAATGGTAATACGTATGAGAAACCATTTAATTGTTTTTTGGTTTTAATGTTAAGAAAACCATTTAATTGTTCACAAAGAGAAAAAAATGACCACCGATGAAAAAAAGAAAGATCATCGAAAATTATTTCGTCGAAACATACCAAAATTACTCAGGGCCGGGGCTGAAGAAACTTCTCCACTCTTTCTTCAAAACCTATAACTTATTCCCTTGTTGAACTCTTAAAACCTAGCTTATTTCCCAATGGCATTTTGATATAATATCTAATTTTTTTTAAGATTATTTTCAGAAAAATGTACTCTTCATATAATATTATAGAAATGTAGTTTATAAATTTCTTCAAAACTTCAAAAGTCAACCGTGAAAAGTGAACGCGCCTTTCTCAATTTTCTTGACTATATATGGCTCGCTCATCCATAGACATTTTTGTATATCTGATCTTGAAATCTTCACCCTACTCAATCTCTATCTCAATCTCATGGCTTCTTCTTTGTCGTCTCGCACTTGGAGATACGACGTCTATGCGAGCTTCTACGGTAAAGACGTCCGTAGGACACTTCTCAGTAATTTACGCAAACATTTAAAGGACTATGCAATTACGATGTTCGATGATCGAGAGATCGATAGAAGCCAAACCATCGCCCATGCTCTCACACAAGGGATTAGAGAATCGAGCATCTCCATCGTAGTACTCTCTAAGAACTATGCTTCATCCACTATGTGTTTGGATGAGCTGTTGGAGATTCTCAAGTGCATGGAAGATTTTGGGCAAATAGTGATGCCGATCTTCTACGGAGTTGATCCATATGATGTGCGGAAACAGACTGGAGAGTTTGGGATCGCTTTCAATAAAACTTGTCGTCGTAAAACAGAGGAGGATATACAAATATGGAGCAAAGCTTTGACCGATGTGACCAACTTAGGAGGATATATCTCTCGAAACTGGTTTGTTCTTTTTCTTCCATTCAAATATGATTTATTCTTTCTTAATCCGATTTGGGAAATTTTATTTGCGGAAGCTACAAATACTTTTCACATTGCCTATTTGATTAACACGGTCCTCTCTCTCTCTCTCTCTCTCTCTCTCTCTCTCTCTCTCTTAGGGACAATGAAGCGGAAATGGTCGAGGAGATTGCAAGAGATGTTTTAGGTATGCTGAATGCTACACCATCTAAATATTTTGATGGCATGGTTGGACTCGAAGCACACTTGAACAAAATACATTCTTTGTTACATTTAGATGATGTGGTTGAAGCTATGATAGTTGGAATCTTTGGCCATGCGGGAATTGGTAAGAGTACCATTGCAAGAGCTTTACATAGCCGACTCTCTCGTAGGTTTCAGCTTACTTGTTTTATGGATAATGTTGGGCAAATTTTCTATGATAGTGATCTTGACGGGTATCGTTTGAAGCTGAAATTACAAGAGGAGCTTAAATCCAAGATTCTGAACCACGATGGTATGAGGATAGACCACTTACCTGGAAATCTACGTGACAAAAAAGTTCTTATCGTTCTTGATGATGTAGACGAGCTGCTGCAAGTTGAGGCTTTGGCTGATGAAATTACTTCATGGTTTTGTCCTGGAAGTAGGATTATAGTGACCACAAAAGACAAAGAGCTCTTGCGGCAACATGGTATTGATAATAAATACCGTGTGGATCTTCCATCTAATGAACAAGCTTTAGAGATCTTATGTGGATATGCTTTTGGACAAAGCTCTCCACATGATGGTTTTAGAGAGCTTGCACTAAGAGTAACAAAGTTTTGTGTTAACCTTCCACTGCGTCTCCGTGAGGTGGGTACATCTTTACGTGGTAAGAACAAAGAAGAGTGGAAAAAATTACTAGGAGACAGAAATGAACCAAGAAGCAAAAGTAAAAATCGGTGTTCCACCGGAATGAAATTTCTAGTCGTCATCAATTTGCTCATAGAGATTACAGCAGCGGTTTCAGAACAGCTCTCTTCTGTTCGCAAGCCTTACTTCGCAAGAATCTCCTTAGCAATGTCAGTTCTCTCTATTATCCTCTTCCTCTTTGAACTCGGTCACAAAATCCAAGCCAGTAAAGCTCGTTTCCAATGGAAGTGGATGCCTATACCTTGGTTCTACCATCCATCAGGTGGCTACAAGAAAATCTTGGGAAGTTCCACAGATGCCATCTTATTCTTCTGTGGTCTTGGTCAGTTAGCAGTGTCGATCAGCACTTGTATTTTCATCGAAGGAGGAAAGGAGGGTCCCATCAACGTAGCAGTGTTTCCTCTCTTCTTTGCTATTGGTATGGTAATCTCCAAGTTCATGGAGAAACCGGCGGCTGTTTCTGAGGAAACTTTACCTTTAACAATAAAAACACAGTGATTGTTTAAAGTTCAAAGAAAAAAAAGAGAAGTGTACATGTTGAAGGTTTCAGATTTTCTGGCTGTTCCCAAAAATGTTAATCCCTTGTTCTACTTCTACTATCAATAAAGAGTGTAATTGTCTATTTCATGATGTATCTAGTACAAAGAGTGTAATTGTTTATGTCTTTCAAATCATATTTTATCCGATTAGTCTTTTATATTTTTACATTCTTAAAAATCACTCCTAATAGTTTTCATAGCAATATATTCCAACTGAATTGTCTACCACGTTATATGTGGACATAACACTTCACACATGACACAACCAGTATAATTCACCATAATTCAGTCTTTATATTCCTTCACCCAAAAGTGCTAACACGTAAGCTGTCATGATGGCAATAAAAATTCTCCCAAATCCTTCGTCTCCTGCAAGACAAACAAAAAAAAATTCTAACATACTAATAATTTATTCCGTATATATTCTCTTTGGACTGATATTTATTTTTGCCCATCGCAAGATCCTAAATGGTAATACAAAATCTAAAGTGATCCAAGAAAAGATATAAACTCACCTTTTTTAAAGCCAAGACTCACTACGTTTGGTGGTTGTTGGTTTGGTTGCAAACCGGAGATGTTATAATATACGAGACATTTAGGAAGGAAGCTCTGAGCCCAAACAACTTGGCTATTATTGCCACAACACCCGGAGAGATCTCGGACCGCACGTCCCAAGCAGACGGTACAGTTTCTTGGATCAAGATCAGGACTACACTGGACCATTGCCTTTACATCATAAGCCCTTTCCAATAGAGTCACACGTTCTTGATCCTCCACAAAATAAGGAATCGGAGAAGACAAAGATACTCTGAGGATAAGATCTTTTAATTTTCCAGGCAGTATTCCATTGAAGAATTGTGAAGTATTAGCAGATGGGATCAGAGAGTGTACAGTGACGCTAGACATATCCTCTACGAGTGTGAAGAAAGAAAAATCCGAGTACCGAACCATACACATGTCGTAGAATATGAAAGCTTCTTTTTTGTTAGTGCAGTTTTTAGCGGCTTCTCGGGTTGCTTTGTGTACACAGTCTGAACAAGATGTTGTGTTGATGTCTCCTCTGCATAGGAACATGCCATAGACTTTGTTTGGGGTAAGACCGGTCGTGGCGTTGGAATAGGTTCCGAGGGAGGAGCTGTTGCGGAGATTGGAGAGAACCGTGTCGCGGTTTGATCCATAAGAGCTGGTTCTAGTGAACTCGTCTCGATCGCAGTATGTGTTCATGTGATAAGGTTGGGACATGGTTTTGAAAGACAAGAAAGAGAATAAGATGCAAAACAGAGCCGAAGCAGTAGAGAAAGTCATTTTTGTGTTCTTTCTTGTTTATTACTTATGAGACAGAACAAAGCAGAATACTTAAATTTATGTAAAGAAAGAGTAATGTCCACATGACCACATATAACGTGGTAGACCATTTCAGAAGGAACATCTATATTTTAGTTGAATTCAATATTCTTGTTTATAAAATATTAATTATATTTTCTTCAAATCAGATGAAGCCAAAGGCAAAAGATGAAGTTGACACATTGGTTTTGTGAAAAGATCTGAAGCAAAACATAAGACTTGTTCCTATAAACAAAATTGAAAACCCTAGCTCGAACATAGCACATGACAAGAGGCAAGCTTTAAATATTGTAAATGTTAACTAGTCTTCAAATTATGGTAAACTCTTAATATTATATTAGACAAAGAACATGTACAACAAATCACGTAAACACATATCATAGACCAGTCTAGACCAATCCTTAAATCATTAGATTTGATCATAGACATACAAAGCCGTCAAAAAATAAAGAAGGATCATAGACCTACAAGTGCTAACGCCGAAGCTGTTATGACTGCGGTAAAAGTTCTCTCAAATATCTTGTTTCCTGTAAGAAAAAAAGTCAAACATGAAAAATATTCGTGAATTCATTTATTTGTAAAGAAGTTTATCATACTTTAAACAGAAAATATTTTGACACATCTTTACAAAAAAAAAACGTTAAACAAGATTTAAAAATAGGTTGAAACGGTCCATGCCACGTACATATTAAAACATTTTTACGAGTGTTCTCATCTTCAGAGGCGGACCCACATGCATTAATACTGATTCACTTGACACCCCTAAAATAAGATTATATGTTAACTTGCAAGCCCAAAACACAAAAATGCAATAGCCTAATTGGTAAAATCCTTCATATTGACACCCCTAAACACAAGTTCGAGTCTTCAGTGACACCTACTAATTATTTTAGTTGAGTTTTGACCCAGCTAAAACATTTTTCTAGGTCCGCCACGATATCTTGTATATAAATGATATATATGCTCACCTTTTATAACACCAAGACTCGGTCTCGGTTTCGGAGTCGTCGGGTCGTTCAATGGCAAAGAGGAGGTGTTATACCTAACGAGACATTTAGGAAGAAAATTCTGAGCCGTACGAGACCGGCTGCAACAGTCCAAGATATCTTGTACCGCAAGTCTCAAGCACTTGGTGCAGTTTCCTGAATCAATATCAGGACTACACTGCACCAATGACTCCACTACGTACGAGCTATCGAAATCATTCACACGTTGTTGATCATGCGCTAAATATGGTTCCGGCCACAGAGTCGTCGACGCTGCTTTCGTGATAAGTTTGTCCATCTTACTAGAAAGTGTATCTCCGAACCGACTCTTATCAGGAAAGTTACTAGGAGAGGATGTTAAGAATTTCGGCGAAGTTTCTAGGAGTCCGAAGAAGGAATAATCCGAGTAACGTACCATGCACTCTTCATAGTATATGATAGCTTCTTTTTGATTGGTGCATGTTTTAGCGATCAGTGTAGTTGCGGTCCTGACACAGATTCTGCATGTTGATTTGGACCTTTTGGTATTATCTCCTCTGCAATGGTACATGCCATAGACTATGTCGGCGTTAAGACCTTTCGTGACGCTGAGATAGGTTGCGTCGGAGGTTGTGGCGCGGAGATACTTGAGGGTGGATTTACGGTTTTCGTCGTAAGAGCTGGCTTCTGCGAACCTGTCGGCTTGGTCGTTGCAAAAGGTGTGTAAGTGATTGACTCGAGGCTGGGAGAGAGTTTTGAGAGATAAGAAAGAGAAGGAACATAAGACGAACCAAAATTTTAGAGATGAAGAAAATGTAGTGATTGTTGCCATTTTTTTTGTTCTCTTATGTTTACTTTGAAGACAGAAACAAAGCATAGAACATATCAGAATTTATAGAGGGAAGTATGTATAATTTGATTCATTCAAATATAATGCTCAAACTGTCAAATATATAGCGTCGTATACCAATTCCTCTCCTTTTTTTTTTTTCCTTGCCGGCACGTCTTATACCAGTTCATAGGAAGAAAATAAACATGCGTAGTATAAAGATCAGCTGGTTTTATAGAAAAAACGACTGAAGCCATATCCTTGTACATAAGTCTTTTATGTTTTCCTTTTCTTTAGACCACTAAAACATAAAGTACTTGACAAAATATCGGTTTTATTAACCTATATGTAGAAAAACATAGACTCCTTCATTCAATATTTTGAAAGTTGTAATTCATTTAGTAACTTAAAGTGTTGACATCAAGAGAAAAAAGAAAAATAAAAGAGTTGAGTGTCGAAAATATTATTATTCATTCAATATTATAAAGCGTGTGGCTCTATATATAATCCATTTGATTGATAATCCACTTGCAAAGGTCTACCAAGTCACATCGATCAACTTGCTATTCTTTGTAAAAAAGAAAAGAAATTGATCATGAGGACCAAATATTATCTATAGGTTTACAAGTCTGTCGTCATCGACCTATCGCTGCTGATACAGCCATGAACCAGCTACCATTTTCATGCATCATCACGATCCAACCTTTGCAATAACAAGTGGACCAGCTACCATTTTCATGCATCATCACGATCCAACCTTTGCAATAACAAGTGGATACTGGTCTAGTATGAGTACTCATTCAACTTCACTTAAAGATGGTGATTATATCTTAATTGTGGTATTATCACCGGCTGGATCCAGAAGTGGAGAAAATTATGGATAAGCTTGGAAATTTCAAGAAAAATAATGAAAACATAATTACAAATATATATATTTAGGGAATTTATTTGTAATTACCGAAGAAAATAACAGATCAAACGTCACACACATTCGTTGAATACATAAAAAGAATATCAATAAGTACTCCCAATCATTGTATTGGGTTTGACAAAGAAAAATAAACAAAAATTATTTGATTGGATCACATTCATAGCTAGTCGCATAGTCTCATAGACCCACAAGTGCTAACACAGAAGTTGTCATGACTGTAATGAAAATACGCCTTAATAATTCGTTTCCTGCAATACAAAAAGCCAAACATTAATGCTTTAGTCACTTATTTTATCATCTTCTTGATAGTTGGATTTCTAAAATAAAGAAAATCACATTTTTTTGGTTTTTTGTTGAAAATAACAAAGTCTCTTCTTCCGTTTAGGTCTCTCTTTTGACAAAGAAGAAATTTTGGATATAACATAAAAAAGTTGCGGTTTCATCCAAGAAAACCTAAATAACGTTAAAAGTTAAAGCCATCGAGGCCATTAGTGTTATGCTCACCTTTGATAACGTTCATTGAAGATGAGCCAATCTGTGAACCGGTTGTGTCATATTTCAAAAGACATTTAGGAAGAAAGATTTGAGCCCAACGAGCGTTGTTGCAACACACTGTCATTTGTTGGACCGCAAGTCTCAAGCAGACGCCGCAGTTTACTGGATCAAGATCAGGACTACACTGAACAATTACGTCTAACGGATACGACTCCAGTTGATTCACTTGATTTCTATTCTTCACGTAATACGGCGTCGGAGAAGACAAAGAAGACTTTGATCTTGTTGTGAGGACAATTAGCTCTTCTACCTTATCGGAGAGTACAACTCGGAACGCAAACAAAAGTGACGTGAAAGTTACGGTAGAGTGTACAGCGACGGAAGGCCCAGAGTTGACGAAGGTTAAGAAGGAAACATCCGAGTATCGAACCATGCATTCTTCATAGTATACTATAGCTTCTTTTTGATAAGTGCAGTTTTTAGCGATTTCTAGGGTTGCGGTTTTGACACAGTCTGAGCAAGATGTTTTGGTGATGTCTCCTCTACAGAGGAACATGCCATGCACTGTGTCGGGGCTGACTCCGGACGTGGCGTTGGAGTAGGTGCCGAGGGAGGAACGGTCACGGAGAGAAGAAAGTAGGGTTTCAAGGTTTGATTTGTATGAGCTGTTTTGTGTGAAATTTTCAGATAACTTGTTGCAGTAAGTGGTCATGTATTGAGGTTGGGACATGGTTTGGTGATTTGACAGAAAGAAGAAGAAGAGGTAAAACAGAAAAACAGAGAATCTGATGGAAGTCGCCATTTCTTGGTCTTTCTTGTTTAAGAAGATAAGAATAAAACAGAGGAGATCAGTTTTATGTTTGGGAATATCTTCTCTTATGTTAATTCATTCAAATATATGACGTCCTTTACCAATTCAGATGGAGAACATATTTAAAAAATTACTGTTTAGCTGAATAATCAGGTGATTTCATCTTTAAGAGTTGAATCCAAATCTCTGAACATAAAACATCATCTTTACTTCTTCTTTAAACCATAAGTGTTTAATTTTTGTAAACGGAATTCTTCCAAACTCAAACTAGATATTAGAAAACAATTTTATAACCATGTAAACTATATGTATTAGACGAGTTTTGTTTCGAAATTTCTCACTAGCTAAAAGATTTCGAAAGTTGTAATATTCTTATGAAACTAATAGTGACAGTCAGTGTTGACAAATATATATCAACCTTAAAATACTTCAACTGGGATCACTAGGATAAGCTATAATACTAAGAATTAGTAATACTCTACCAAAATAAATGAGAAAATGACATAACATACAATGAAAACATATTAACAATGGTTTGACCCAGCTAACCTCTGATGCTATTTATTTATCTTGCGCTTGTAAGCTGATAACCCTGTGAATAGGTTTATACTTTTTTTCGTAATCTGACTTTTAGTTTCATGATAGATCATCATATATTATGACCACGTCAATATTTTAAGAGCAATAACAACCTCTGTAAAGGGTCATTTATGATTTAACAGTTCACAAAGACAAAAAGGTGTTACCCATAAATTCTGAGAAAATTGATACATTTTAATATTTATGTAAATTAATGAATGGAATGTGTTTAAAGTGATATTAAATTAATCCAACACTTTTCCAGTGTAAAAAGTGTCCCAAAAATCCAAATAAAACACTATTTCAAATTTTTCAAAATTTGGAAAAATTGAAAGGTGTTACCCCACAAATTTAGAGAAAATTGATGCATTTTGAACTTACTGTAAATTAATGAATGAAATGCATCTAAAGTGATATTAAATTGATCCAACCATTTTTCAGTGTAAAAGAGTGTCCAAGAAAGCTAAATAAAGCACTATTTCAAATTTTTCAAAATTTGGAAAAACTCAACAGTATTAGCCCACAAATTCTGAGAAAATTGATGCATTTTGAGGTTGCTGTAAATTAATGAATGAAATATGTCTAAAGTGATATTAAATTATTATAACCATTTTCCAGTGTAAAAAAGTGTCCAAGAAAGCCAAATAAAACACTATTTCAAATTTTTCAAAATTTGGAAAATCTCAAAGGTGTTAGCCCACAAATTCTGAGAAAATTGATGCATTTTGAGGTTGCTGTAAATTAACGAATGAAATGTGTCTAAAAGTGATATTAAATTGATCTAACCATTTTCCAGTGTAAAAGAGTTTATAAGAAATCCAAATAAAACACTCTTTCAAATTTTTCAAAATTTGGAAAAACTCAAAGGTGTTAGCCCACAAATTCTGAGAAAATTGATGAATTTTGAGGTTTTTGTAAACAAATGAATGGAATTTGTCTAAAGTGATATTAAACTGATGATCCAAAAATTTTCCAGTGTAAAAGAGTGTCCAAGAAAGCCAAATAAAACACTATTGAAAAAACTTAATGGTGTTAGCCCACAAATTCTGAGAAAATTGAATGAAATGCTTCTAAAAGTGATGTTAAATTGATCCAAGCATTTTTCAGTGTAAAAGAGTGTCTAAGAAAGTCAAATAAAACACCATTTCAAATTTTCAAAATTTGGAGAACTCAAATGTGTTAAGCGCACAAATTCTGAGAAAATTGATGATTTTGAGGTTTTTGTAAAAAAAATGAATGAAATTTGTCTAAACTGAAATTTAATTGATCGACCATTTTTCATTGTAAAAGAGTGTCTAAGAAAGCTAAATAAAACACTATTTCAAATTTTTCAAAATTTGGAAAACTCAAAGGTGTTAGCCCACAAATTCTGAGAAAATTGATGAATTTTGAGGTTGCTGTAAATTAATGAATGAAATGCGTCTAAAAAAGTGATATTAAATTGATCCAACCAATTTCCGGGATTGTTTCACTTCTAGACCCAAATTTGTGGTCAAATGCAAAAGTAACCTCCTGCTTTTTTCGTTTTAAGTTTGTCCAGATTTTTCTAATTAATTACAGGATTGCCATTACTTTTTTCGACTAGTAGACCGATTTGTAGGTCTACCGTATCTGCTGAAAGACCAAAGACCCCTCATCTCCTACACAAAATTTCGAAAATGCCATATCATCAATGTGGCCAACCACCATTTTCACCGAACATGGAGCTTTCAATGCTCCGAAAACTCGTTGGTGAGCTACCATTTCTCCTTCTTTCATCTCACAAACTCTTATTCTTCATTTTCTCTCCATTTTCATCCCAAAATCTAGAAGAAATCTCAAATCTTGGATCTTGGTATTTCCGACTGTCTAGCTTACGTTGACGACCGGAGATCGTTGCTGGAAGCCCAAATTTAAGTTATCAGGCTTCGAAGAGCCTTTCTCCGACGGCGAGGTAACCTTTCTTTCAAAATTGAACGACTTTCAGTTTTGGTCCGCAAAGGTAGACGGAAGAGAAGGTCTACTTTTACATGGTAGACCTCAGTTGAGGTCTACCGGTCAACCAAAAGTAGACCGGGTCAATTCCTTTGCAAACAAAAAAAACAAGTGGTAGACCTCAAATTAGGTCTACTCCACGTGGAGGGTTAGTTTAGCAATTGTTCGAGGAAAATGTTTTTTTGGAGGTCTACCGTGTCGGTCTACTACACGTGGCGGGTTAGTTTTGCAATTGATCGAGTAAAATGTTTGTCGTAGGTCTACCAGGTCGGTCTACCTAAAAAAAAAACGTTGGTCCGGCCGTTGACAAAAGTTTGACTTTCCTCAAAAAGGAGAGAGTTTGCGTCATTGAGGTCTACCGTGTAGGTCTACTGCTTGGTAGACCGAAAGTGAGGTCTACTGGTCAACGCAAAAAAACTGAGGTCTACCACGGAAGTCTACCCGAGGAAAGTCAAACTTAAGTCAACGCATCACAAAATGTTTTTTAGGTAGACCGATACGGTAGACTAATTTGGAGGTCTACTTTTTTACGGTAGACCGATTTGGAGGTCTACGTCTTCTGGTAGACGGAGACGGTAGACCTTGGCAAAAAGTCAACGTTTGGTCAATTGCAAAACTAACCCGCCACGTGTAGTAGACCGACACGGTAGACCTCCAAAAAAACATTTTCCTCGAACAATTGCTAAACTAACCCTCCACGTGGCGTAGACCTACATTTCGGTCTACCGTTACGTTGTAGGTCTATTATTATGTGTTTTTTAAATGTCGTTTTCCTTTCAATATATCAAATATTTTGGAATTTATCTCGAACAGTTAGTTGCTTTTGTTTGTTTACTTGCTTCTGTGTGAGTTTGAAATGTTCTTTCTGCGTAATTAAGGCTATATTCGGATTTCTTTTCAATTAGGTATCTAGATTAATTTTACCTGGTAGACCAAGTTGTGGGTCTACCGTAGCGGTCTACCCATTCTGTCTTCTAATCCGTTTTGTGGTCTTGTTCGTTTTTGTTGCAGGTAATGGTTTGTCTAGCTTCCGTTTATGGAAAATGGGTGGTGATGGAAGACAAGACATGGAATTTTGAGGTCGATAAAGGAAAAGGAGGGAGGATGTTCTACTTGCGTGATGGTTGTACACATGAGGAGCTCCTTACAATGGTACAAGCTGACTATATGCTGGATATGGAACCAGAGCGGGTGGAGTTATCCTATCCATTACCAGATGTTATGCTCCATCAAATGCCCTCTGACTTTCCTCCTATGTACATCACCAACGATGGGCAGGTCCATAGCTTGATAGAGACATGCAAAACGCATGTGCTGCGCCTTTGCATCTCTGTTGGAAACAAGGATAAAGGTCAGCAGAGAGATGAGGATAACTATGTCGATGAAGATAACTATGTGGATGAGGATGAGTATGAAGAGGAGGAGGAACTTTCAGATGTAAACTGGGATGCAAATTCAGATGAAGAAGTTGAGGAAGAGTATGATGATGCAGGGGACGATGACTATGTGGATGAAGATTTTGCAGGAAAGAAAGCTGAAGACACGGACGCAGACTATAGTGAGTATGGGAAAGTTCAAGATGAAGATGATTGGGAGAAAAAACGCTTTGAAGAAAGGCTTCGCAGAGGTGATTTGAATGGTCATGGGGTAGGATTCGATGGGTCAGGCGATATATCAGTTGGCCAGAGCTATGTAAGCAAGAATGATCTCATATCTGCCTTGCGAGTGAAGGCAGTGAAGTCTAGATTCGCCTTCAAGGTTTCTAAGTCTACTACCAAGCTCTATGTGGCAAAATGTTTTGTAGATGGATGCAAATGGATGTGCAGAGCTGCTATAAAGAATGAGGCAAAGAGGTTCTTTGTCACAAAGTATGTCAAGGTTCATACATGCTCTGTGGTGGACCGTGCTCGATTCCGCAAGGGATGTACTCCAAGGTATCTTGGGCAGATATTTGTAGAGCAGTTTGGAATCATTGATGGAATTGTCCCAAGGCATATTGCTTCCGCGATAAGGGTGTTGCTTGGACTTAAGCTTAACTACACCACTGCTTACAGAGCTTTAAAAGCTGCCCAACTTTTTGTTAGGGGAACACCAGAAGCTGGATATGCGGCTTTGCCCTCGTACTTGCGAAGAGTGAAGCAGTCAAACCCGGGCTCCGTGACTGACCTTGTATGTGAGGCTAATGGTCAATTCAAATACTGCTTCTTGTCCTTGTATGCTTCAATGGTTGGCTTTCAGTACTTGAGACGTGTTATTGTGGTAGATGGGACTCATCTAACTGGAAAGTATGGAGGAACATTGCTGGTTGCAGCCGGACAAGATGCTAATTTTCAGGTTTTCCCGTTGGCATTTGGGATTGTAGATGCCGAGAATAACGAATCATGGGGGTGGTTTATGAACAAGTTGCAGCAATGCTTTTCATCTCATCACATGGTCATTATTTCGGACAGGCACCCCTCCATACCTAATGCATGTCTCAATGTTCTACCTTGGGTAACCAGAGGTATTTGTTACTACCATCTTCAGGGAAACATTGTCTCAAAGTCAGAGCTGGGTGCAAAGGATTTGATGTACTTGGTGAAAGGAGCTGCATACGCCCATACGCTGAGAGAGTATAACCGTTGCATGGCATCAATCCGGGCTGCTAAACCTGCACTTGCGAACTACTTAGAGTTAGCAGATCCTAAGTTATGGTCCAGAGTACATTTTCCAGGGGATAGATACAATATAAAGACAAGTAACATTGCTGAATCTATCAATTCCGCATTGAAGAGAGCAAAGGGCTTTCCAATACCGTATCTGCTGCAATTCATCCGGGAGAAGTTGGGGGTTTGGTTTGCCAAAAGGCGAGAGGACGCCTTGAGTCTTCAGACCCCATACAGCAAGGGAGTTGAATATTTGCTAGCTATTCGTACACACCACGCAGAAACATACACTGTGGAACACATAGATGGATGGACTTTCAATGTTATAGGCGGAGGAGGGCATTATATTGTGAATTTGGAAAACCGTTCCTGCGAATGTGGTGTATTCCAGATTGAGAAAATACCTTGTTCACATGCGATTGCAGCGTCTACTGAGGCAAACATGCACATTTCGCAAAACGTGTGTATGACATACACGAAAGAATCTTTGTATGCAACATATGCACGTCCCATATACCCGGAGCCTACAGAAGATGCAGAGGAAGAAGAAGACATTTGCTTACCTCCAGAAGTGGCGCCAACTCGTGGCCGGAAAAAGAAATCAAGGTATCTAACATGGCTAGAATTGTCAAGGAAGAGACAGCCCAAACCAAGGAAGGTCCACAAAGTTTATAGCTGTTCGTTGTGCAGGGTTCCAGGACACACCCGACCTCATTGTGTAAGCCATTGAAAACTCCCTCTTTCCGTTAATGTTTCAGTTTTATCCTTACTTGAGTTCCATAACTCCTGCAGATGAACAACGCAGCGGCAGACTGACTTAGTCGACTAATTCGGTAGACCGCATGTTTAGTCTACCTTGTCTACGTAGACGTAATATTCGGTCTACTACGTAGGTCTACCCGACCGATCTACTACAACAATCTACCGAAGAGGTCTACTTTAGCTGTTTTGAGTTACTAATGTTTTATGTTATTCATTTTGTTTGATATTGACGGGGTACGTCCATGTTAGTAAACATGCAAGAATTTGAATTTATCCGAAAACAGTTATATTATATATTTAGCTGGGTTAGGTAGTTATATTTTACACCAAAAAATAATGAGAGCGTCGAGTTTAGGTACACAGCAAAATATGGTACCATGAGCGCTTTACAAAACACACCCAGCCTAAAACTGATATATACCGATCTACCTAGATAGTTATATGTCATTGTCCAGATCCTCCCAGTTACGCTCTGGAGGGCCGCGACAGTTGATCTCGTGATATAGGTCCGCTGCAAGCTTTGCTCTTATAGCTTTCATGTTCCTACCACAAAGCGTCTTCGGAAAAAGCCTCCCAAGACTATGATACTCGATGAACTTTAGACAGTAGACTCCACAGTCACTCGAATTGTCTTGCGCAGGCACATCTCCTCCGGAAATATACTCGTGGGTGTAACGGTCGAGTGGATACTTATACCTATCGCCGATGTCAGCCATGAGCCGTTGTAGATAAGGCATAAGGACAGCAACGGGCTCGATAGCTTTGGCTAACAACCTCTCCGATAGACATCCTGGAATGCTGTCCCACACAGTAATATGCCTTTTCGGTATAGAAACCATCAAGGCCACCCAATGAGCGTCTTTGACGTTCCATGGCATGTAGATCTCATCAATATCTACTTCCCATTTCTTCAAGGTTTGGCAGAAACGTGGTGCTTTCCCTTCGAAGAGATCGGTCGCACCTCCCGGGACCCACCTTCCTAGTCCCTGTCCATCGGGCTTTGTACTCAAAAACCTCTTCCACTTGTCTTTTTGCCACAGCATACTAGGAGTACTATCACAGAAGCACAGTCGGTCACTCCTAAACCACTCGGGGTGCAACTTCATGCGATGACGAAACATGTTCATTACTGCGTCCATGTGCTGAAAACAGATACGAAATTCTTAGACAGTAAATAAGAAAACATTAACATAATGGTCTACCAAAATGGTCTACCAAATGGTCTACCAAAATGGTCTACCAATATGGTCTACCAAAATGGTCTACATTATAGGCGACTTACCGTATCCGCGAGCCATTCCGTCTGCGTGACCAATTCATGCCACCACATTAGTGGAATGTGGAGTTTGAACTTCGTCGGGCCGCTGGATACAAAACATAAAAATCACAATTGGTAATCAAACAAGCTATAAATCTGCCCAAACCAAGGAAGTTTAAGAAAATACTTACAAAATGCCTTTGAAATCTTTCTTCAGCCGTGCAAGTCTGTCCTTATCCACAGGCTCGTTGGGATCATATCCATATCCAAGCCGTGGCTTGTTAGGAATGATTCCCTTCACTGTGCTATCTCCTATAAACGGAGACACTTGTGATGCGGCCAGCTGTCGCTGTCTCTGTACGTTTGCACGTGCAATATCTATTGTTGCTTGTTGTTTTAATGCCATCCTCTGTGCCTCTTCCACTTCCTCAGCTTTTGTTGGTGTATACTCCTTCACGAAAACCAGGTCCGGGTCTACGCCATTGTCACTACCGCATGGAGATAAAACTTGTTGTTTCTGCAAATGACAATGAACGCCGCTTGCATCAAAATATTTTACTTGTAGCAAACAGATATACATATAAAACAGATATGTTCATTGTTTTCCGCAGAAAAAGATTCACAAATATAGAAACAAGTTAAAACACACAAGTTTATGATAAAACAAGAAAAGCAGCAGCAGACAAATCTACTGCTTGTACTTGGGGTTCTGCTTCCTATTTCGAAGGATCCTAGTAGGTTCAGCAGGCTGATTTTTCTTCATAGTAGGAGAGGGTTTGTTACTAACCCGAGCTGGAGCTTTTCTCTGCTTAGGAGTGGCAGCCTTCTCGGTGGAGTTATCGCCAATCTTCTCGCCGATGTCAGCCTCCTCCTCCTCCTCTTCACCTGACGACTCGTCCTTCTTGGGAGTGGCATCCTTCTCCGAGACTGTAGCATCCTTCCTGGGAGTGGCATCCTTCGCATCCTTCTCCGAAACAGCAGCATCCTTCGCAGCCTTCTCCTCGGCTCGACCATCTTCAACAGACGGCTCGTTCTTCTCATTATCTGCGTCAGGTTCCACAGGTTCGGTGTTTGGACGCCTTGATGCTGCTTGCATAGACTGGACTGTTTTTTCTATGCGGATCACCTTCCTAGTCAGGATGGTGAACTTGGAATCAGACTGTTCAAAGCCAGACTTCATCGCCGCAGACAACTTACCGAAGCCATCTTCAAACAGAACCTTCATCTTCTCCTCGAAGCGACTGAAGCCATCTTCAGCAGAGGATACGCTCTCAGGACACTGCCTCTTCTGCATTTCATCTCCAGGGCAGAGGCTCTTTTCCTCTTCGCAGACTCCGGGGGTATAGGATTCTTCACCAGAACACCTTGAGGATTCCAGTCCGCCGGCTTCCACCTCCACCGGCCCAGGTCTCCATACAGCGCGTTGATGAGTTCATCTACACGCGGGTCTTCCTTATCCTCATCCCACTTTGGGTAAACGAAGTCTCTCTCCACCATTATGCAGTGATCAAAGTTCACCTACACACGAAAGGGAAAGTAAATAAATAGGTCTACCATAATGGTCTACCATAATGGTCTACCATAATTCTACCATAATGGTCTACCATAATGGTCTACCAAAATGGTCTATGTATCGTAGCTTCAGTATCGTGAGTTCAATGTTCCTTAGACCCTGGACTCCTTTGTAGGACAAGAGCGGAATGTCAGGAGCGTTTCGTATGGGCGCACCACAACCCGCTCCGAATTCAGGCATGAAACGATATGCCCATACTTGTAGAGCCTCAACAAACCCATCCAGGACATACCCGGACTTCCATAGCTCTGCTTCTTTGACGGCTTCGATCAGGTTCTTGAAAGCTACACGCCCCCACGGATAATTCTCAAACTCCTCTTCATCCATCACTAATCTGGCCAGGTTGACAGGAGTGTGCGAGGTGTTTTTCCGAGCAGCAATGAAGCCAGTGTAGATGGCCAAGTAACCAAGCCTAAGTTTGTCCTCACTCGGCCAGTCTGTTGCCCATTCGCATGCACGAATGATCTCCACTTGACTCGGACCAAGCTCAACATCTACTCCGAGCTTCTCCCAGAATGCTCTCATCTCTAGAGTAACCTTGCACTTGGGGTCATCAATATCTTCCACATAGTCGCAGTTGAGGCCGGTGAGATGCTCAAACTCATGGAGGGAAAATCTAATTGGGCTATCCGCAACCGCAACCCAGATCTCATACTTCTTCTTGCACTCTAACTGATATGAGAGCATCGTGTGGACCAACTTCGAAGACCACGCGAAGTCGAGGTCGTGAAACTTGCAGAAGACACCAACTCGCGAGTCGCATAGTGTTTCCCACTCGGCATCACTCAGTAGTTTTTTCACGGCAGCAAATAGCTTTTTGTCGTTGCTGCCGTAGGAGATGCTCTTTTGGGCTTCCGGTTCAGCCCCTCTTGTGTATAACCTCCTTGGAAAGGTAGGCTTCTTCATTCTGCAACGAACATAAAAGGAAAATCAAAGAAGGCAAAAACGAAGGCAAAAACGAAGGCAAAAACGAAGGTCTACTACGAAGGTCTACTACGAAAGTCTACTCTAAACCCTAAACGAAATCTACCGAATCACGAAGAAGAAAGACATATATGAGTTGTAGAGGTTATGTTATAGATTGTTGTACCTCTCGACGACGACGACAGTTCTAAGCGCTTATCGCAAAGCACCAGGAACGATATCTTGGACGAGATCTAACTACAAAAACGACACATGAATTCGGCGGTGAGGTTATTTGTGGTTATACAAAGCGAAAATGGTAAGAAAGAGGAGTGAGTGACGGAGTTACTACCGGGAAATGGGATCGATGTGGAGCGCTCCGATTCTGTTAGACAACGGCGACGAGTTCACCAGACGGCGGACCAAATATGAACAATAAAACGGTTAGATGACTGAGCGGAGATAGATTAACGACACTAGGGGTATAGGGCGAGGTATAGGGCGGAGATATTACCGGCGTAATCAAACAGAGGCGGAGCAAACGGCGTCGGAAACGGAATAGCGGGTCGGAAAAGGAATAGCGGCGGAGCAAACGGCGTCGGACACGGAAATCGCCTGAAATCGCCTCTGGAGAGCGCCGACTCGCAATGTTCTAACAAAACCTAGAAATTAACTGCTCAGGGTTAAAACCGCTTTATATACGTCGGTTCGATTAACTGGTTTCGTTATATCGGTTTGAACCAAGAAATTAGCCGGTTATTTCAATTAATATCGGTTCAGCCGTTCAATTTACGGTTCTACGCAAACAATTGAGTCGGTTATTTCCGGCTTAGGTATACCGTTACGGTCTACCACGAAATTACCGAAACGTCGTTTCAATCTCAGCCGTCGCTTTGAAACTTCGGGATTCCCGCTAGGTTAAAACGGTTGGTAGACCTCCACTTCGGTCTACGCGATCCGTCTACTTGTTAGGTCTACTTTACCCTAAACCCTAAATCGAATAATTTAGATACAATTTTGCAACGATTTGCTTGCCATATTGTCAATTTACAGTGTATATCACAAATAAACAAACATTGAATCGTAAAACCAACCAAAAACAATTCTTCATCTAAAATTTTTCAAAACCCTACAACTCTCCCCATTAACTCCTAAACAATCTACTCAAACTCTTATCCTTATGAACTATTTACATATGATATTTATAGATTCATGATTTTTATGAAATTTATTTTTAATAGATGTTAAATGTCTATTATTTCGTTATTTGTGAAACAAATATTTCAAATTATTTTTTAAATTTTCTTAATTTAAATTTAAGATTTGATTATTTAGTAGACTTACTTGGTAGACCTCTCATGGTTTTATAGGCTTTTAACCTAATTTTTGTTTTTTATAGTTCAATTGGTTCAAATCTATGAAATTATATTTTATATAGATGCAAGTTGTCTGTATTGTATTTATGTATAAATAATTTTCATCAAAATATTTTTTTTCAATTTTTATAATTAAAATTAAATTTAATGACATAGTAGACTTACTCGGTAGACCTCACACATTTTATAGATATTAACCTATATGTCTTTGCTTATCTATAAATCATTCATTTGTATGCATTCATATTTTTTGTATATGATAATGTCTATATTAGAATTATTCATACTTGTGTTTGTATAAAAATATTTTTTATTTAATTGTTAATTAAAATTTAAGATGTTATTACGAGGTAGACCTCTAACATTGTCTACAGGTAGATCTACGGTAGATCTACGTAGATCTACATGCTCCGGAGGTTATAATCGTAATCGAGGCATGCGTTTTTTTGTTTGGTCATGAGGGCTTGTGGGGTAATTTTACTACCCAAAGAGGTTAGTTTTGCATTTGATTCAAATTGTGGTCTAGTTGACTAGAAAAAATCAAATTGTGGTCTAGAATTGGTAATTTCCTCCCAATTTCCAGTGTAAAAGAGTGTCCCATAAAGCCAAATAAAACAGTATTTCAAAATTTTCAAAATTTGGAAAACTCAAAGGTGTTAGCCCATAAATTCTGAGAAAACTGATGGATTTTGAGGTTTTGTAAAAAAATGAATGGAATTTGTCTAAAGTGAAATTTAATTGATCCAACCATTTTTCATTGCAAAAGAGTGTCCAAGAAAGTTAAATAAAATACTATTTCAAACTTTTAAAATTTGGAAAAATTCAAAGGTGTTAGCCCACAAATTACGAGAAAATTGACAAATTTTAAGGTTTTTGTAAAAAAAAATGACTGAAATTTATCTAAATTGATATTTAAATGATCCAACAGTTTTCCAGTGTAAATGATTGTTCAAGAAAGCTAAATAAAACTTTGTTTCAAAATTTTCAAAAATTGGAAAAATTCAAAGGTGTTAGCTCATAAATTCTGAGAAAATTAATGAATTTTGAGATTTTTGTAAAAATATTAATGGAATTTGTCTATAGTAAAATTTAAATAATCCAATCATTTTTCATTGTAAAAGAGTGTCAAAAAAAGCTAAATAAAACATTATTTCAAATTTTTCAAAATTTGAAAAAAATTCAAAGGTGTTAAAGTCCACAAATTCTGAGAAAATTGATGAATTGAACCACTAGATATGAGATAACATGTCTGAAAATGTAAAGTAAATTATGACAAAAATATAGTTCGTGATAGTTGTAAATTAATCGATTACTACTAATCTTTTTTTTTTAACAAAAGTGGAGACGTACGATGTTATATTGGGAGTTAATTATAGATAGCTAAAAAAAATGTAAATTAAAGGATAAAATGGATATGTATCAAACTCCAGTTTCTTATTCTTTTTTTTTTTTTTTTTTTTGACCAAAGTCTTATTCTTTTATTGATCAATCCATACAAGCATTTACAACCAACGTAGTTATTTTTTGGAACGATATTAACATCTTTTTGGGTTTTGTATCTCAAGAACATAACACATGACACATATTGAAAGGAAGACAAATTAGTACAAATCAATATTTATGATCCAATAAATCATCAAACTTGATCACAGATTCACAAGTGCAAACACCAAAGCCGTCATCGTAACAACAATTCTCCCAAAGATTTCATTTCCTAGCACACACAAAAAAAAGAAATAATTATTAGAGCCTTTATTTTTAACTAGACATTAGAATATATTTGTTTCAAAGGATGATTATATGAACAAAACTATACATTAAAACAAATAATATAAACATATGCTCACCTTTTATAACGCTAAAAGAAAACGACCCGCTAGGATTCGGTGGCCGTGTGAAAAGCAGCGGCGGCGAAGGCGGCGTCTCGGATAGAAAAGGAGGCGGTGCCGAGACAGGCGGCCGAGATAAAGGTGGAGGAGACGGCGAAGATAGAGGAGGCGGAGACGATGGAGACATTGGAGTCAATGGCAAACCAGAGACTGTATACCTCAGAAGACATTTAGGAGTAAAGATCTGAGCGAAACTTGGCAAACCGCAACAAGTTGAAGCTCTTAAGAACGCGGCAGTGAGGCAAACGGTACAGTTAAACTGATCAAGATCAGGACTACACTGAACCATTGACTCTAAATCATAAGAACCCTCTGCTTGTGTCACACGTTCTTGATCCTCCAAGAAATACGGAATCGAAGAGGAAGAAGATACGTTGACAATCAGTCGGCTGAGTTTATCAGACAGAGTTTGATTGAATCGTTTAGGGTTTGGAACAGGACGATCAATGTAAAGAACGATGCTTGGTCTGATCTCCAATTCAGAGAAGAAGGAAACGTTGGAGTAACGTACCATACACTCTTCGTAGTATATGACCGCTCTGCTGTTGAGAGTACAGTTTGTAACGATCTCGGTTGTTGCGGTCTGAACGCAGTCTGAGCAAGATGTTGCGTTGATGTCTCCTCTGCATAGGAACATGCCAAAGACTGTGTCGGGGCTAAGACCGATTGTGTCGTTGGAATAGGTTCCGAGAGAGGAACTGGCGCGGAGAGAAGAGAGTAAGTTGTCGCGGTTTGTTTCGTATGGACTTGTTTGTGTGAAGTTGGACAAAGGATTGCAGAAAGTAAACATGTGTTCAGATTGAGACATGGTTTGGTGAGAAAACAGAAAGAAGAGGAAGAAAAAAAGAGGAGTAGAGAGTGTAATTATGATTCTTGTCATTTTTTGTGTGTCTTGTTTGTTTTTGTGATCTATGTGAAGCAATGCAAAACAATGGAGACAAAGACTTTATAGTAGAAATAAGAGATTTTTTCTTGTTATTGATTTATTCAAAATAATATCCAAATCATGATGTTGTAGTTGTACTAATTCAGAAGAAGAATATGTAAGAATATTATTGTTTTCATCAATGATTGAATAAAAAAACTATCTTTACAAAGAAAAAAAATGATTAAGTTGACGCATTTGTTTAACTAGTCTTTGAAGCAAAACATAACTTAGTTCTATAATTTGGTTGATGATGTATAGAGATAAGGAAAGCAATATCCAGCTTCTTCTTCATTTGTAATGTTCTTAATTTTTATAATCTTTTCTAAACCCACAAGAACTAAAAAATAGAGTTACTAAGCAAGGAAGATACTGACAATTACGAAATCGTTTATTATTTGTTTAAAGAGATTGTTCATAAGGTTTTGTTTATTATCATTATATTATCCTTTTTGTACTCGTTAATTTGACTTTCAGTTTCATAATAGACCATCATATATTATGATTAATTATGTCTGTCGTCATCAACCTATCACTGCTGATATTGGCCATCTATACCATTCTTGTGCATAAACTATGTCAATGCTAGTATTTAATCAGCTATGCATATCTTTCTCTGATTATTTTTTTGGTTTTAAACTTAGGTATATAGATGTTAACTTAAATCCATATACTGTATGATTTAACCAAAGGGTATACTATTTTTTTTTTGGGATCACTATACGTTAGTAATACTCTACCAAAATAAAGGAGAAAATGACAATAAAACGTGCAATGAAAACATACTAAAATTATATCTTGCGCTTGAAACTGATAACCCCAAGACAAGTTAATACTTTATACAGTTTCATGTGATAGATCATCATATATTATGACTACGTCAATATTTATAAGAATAATAACGATTTCTGTAACAAGTCATTTATGATTTAACAGTTTACAAAGACGGAATTAACCACCAACTTTGATGAATCATGTTTGAAAATGTAGAGTACATTTTGACCAATAAATTATAGTTCTTGATATAGTTGTTGCAAATCAATAAACTTGCTGTTATTTTCGGAAGTTAAATAGCAAAAAAAAATCTTCAAACAAAAACATTAATACATCTTGTGTGGTTTTGGATCTCAAGAACATTACACATGACAAGAATTGAAAGGGATACAGATTAGTAAAAAATCAATATTTTTGATCAAACAAATCATCAAATTTGATCACAAATTCACTAGTGCAAACACCAAAGCTGTCATTGCAACAACAATTCTCCCAAAGATTTCGTTTCCTGCCACACGAAGAGAGCATAAAAAGAATTAGAGCCAAACCTTAACAATTTTTAATTAGCCACTTTAAATATTTGTTTCATACGATCAAAACTATACATTAAAACAAATGATATAAAAATATGCTCACCTTTTATAACGTTAAAAGAAAACGATCCGCTAGGAACGTTCTTTGGTGGCGGCGTCTGCGATAGAAAAGGAGGTGGAGCCGAGAGAGGCGGCAAGGATAAAGGTGGGGAAGACGTCGGAGACAACGGAGGCGATGGCAAAACAAATGTTCTATACCCCAAAACACATTTAGGAGTAAAGACCTGAGCAAAACTTGGCAAACCGCAACAAGATGAAACTCTTGAAGACGCGGCTAAGAGACAAACGGTACAGTTAAACTGATCAAGATCAGGACTACACTGAACCATTGACTCTAACTCATAAGATCCTTCTGCTTGTGTCACACGTTCGTAATCCGGCACGAAATATGGAATCAAAGAGGAAGAAGAGACGTTGGGAATAAGTTTGTTGAATTTGTCAGAGAGGGTTTGATTGAACCGGTTAGGGTTTGGAGCAGGAAGGTTAGAGTAAGAAACGACGTTTGGTATGAACTCCAATAAAGAGAAGAAAGAAACGTTTGAGTAACGAACCATGCACTCTTCGTAGTATATGACCGCTCTTTTGTTGAGAGTGCAGTTTGTAGCCATCTCGGTTGCTGCGGTTTTGACGCATTCTGAGCAAGATGTTGCGTTGATGTCTCCTCTGCATAGGAACATGCCAAAGACTGTGTTGGGGCTAAGGCCGTTTGTGTTGTTGGCATAGGTTCCGAGAGAGGAAGATTCAGCGAGAGAGATGAGTAAAATGTTGCGGTTTGTTTCGTATGCGCTGCTTTGTGTGAAGTTGTTGGAAGGATCACAGAAAGTAATCGTGTGTTGAGGTTGAGACATGGTTTGGTGAGAAAACAAAGAGAAGAAGAAGAAAAACAGAGAAGCATTGAGTGCATTTATGATTCTTGCCATTTTTTTGTTTGTGTTGTTTGTTCTTGTGTTCTATGTGAGGCAATACAATACAGAGGATTTATAATAGAAAGAAAATCATTTTTTTGTTTGTTGTTGTATTATTCAAAAGTATATCCAAAGAATGATGGTTGTCGTTGTACTAATTCAGAGGAAGAACATGTATTTATAATCTTTTCTAAACCCACAAGAACTAAAAAACAGAGTTACTAAGGAAGAGTGGTTAAGCACTTTGTTTACCAAAAAGATTTTTTTTTTTTTATAATCAGTTTACAAAGACGGAGTTACTAGACTTGATGTATCATGTTTTGAAAATGCATAGTGCAAATTTTAAAATTAAGATTTTGTTTATAGTAGTTGTAATTTATAAAATGTAGACATTAGACCAGGTTTTATTCTTTAGTAGATAACAACAAAAAACTTTAAAGGGATAAAAATGGATATGTATCAAACTCCAATTTTTATTGATCAATTCATACAAACATCAGAATCAACATTTTATTTTTTGAACCATATCAACCTTTTTAGGGTTTGGATCTTAAGAACATAACACATCACACAGATTCAAGGACTACAATTATTACAATCATTATTTATAGTCCATAAATCATCCAACTTGATCACATATCCACAAATGCTAAACACCAAAGCTCTCACTGTAACAACAATTCTCCCATATATTTTGTTTCCTGCCACATATATAAAATACAAATATTAATAACTCTATCACTAATATGTTCTAGTTAGATTGCATAATATAATATATTATTTGTATTTTCACGTTTTATATTTTAACATTTCATGATTATTCCGCTGTTTAATATGATAAAAAAATTACTTATACAAAAATATGCTAACCTTCAAGAAGGAGGCGATGGTGACGATGGCAAAACAGAGGTTTTATACCTCAAAAGACATTTAGGAGTAAAGACCTGAGCCAAACTTGGTGAACCGCAACAAGTTGAAACTCTCAAGAACGCAAACTTGAGGCAAAAGGTACAGCTTGACGTATCAAGATCAGGACTACACTGAACCATTGATTTCAACTCATAAGAGCCTTCTACTTGAGTCACAAGTTCTTGATCCTCCAAGAAATACGGAATCAAAGAAGAAGAAGACACTTTGAGAATCAGTTGGTCGAACTTATCGGATAGTGTTTTATTGAACCGGTTCAAGTTTGGAGCAGAACGAAGAGAGAATCGAGTGATGATTGGTCTGACTTCCAATTCAGATACGAAAGAAACATCCGAGTAACGTACCATACACTCTTCGTAGTATATGACCGCTTTTTTGCTGAGTGTACAGTTTGTAGCGACCTGTAGTGCTGCGGTTCGGACACAGTCTGAGCAAGACGTTGCGTTGATTTCTCCTCTGCATAGGAACATGCCATGGACTGTCTCGGGGCTAAGACCGACTGTGGCGTTGAGATAGGTCACGAGAGAGGAAGTTTCAGCGAGAGCGATGAGTAAAAGGTTGCGGTTTATTTCGTATAAGCTGGTTTGTGTGAAGGTATCTGTAGCATTGCAGAAAGTATGCATGTGTTGAGGTTGAGACATGGTTTGGTGAGATAACATAGAGAAGAAGAAGAAGTAAAACAAAGGAGCAGAGAGTGTAATTATCATTCTTGCCATTTTTCTTTCTTTCTTTCTGTGTTCTTTGTTGTTGTGTTGTGTTCTATGAGACAGAACAAAAGAGAGGGAGGATTTATAGTAGAAAGAAAAGAGTTTCTATTTTTATTTTCTATTGATTCTTTCAAAATAATATACAAACAACAATGTTATATACTAATTCAAAGGAAGAATATGTAAAAACAATATGAATCATCAGATGATTTCATACTGAGACAAAATCATAATATTGACATATTTGTGTTACTTAGTCTCTGGAAGAGATAAGAGAAGACATAAGGTTGAAAGAAAATAGTTTTTTTTTTTTTTGTTGTTGATTTATTCTAATGATAATGTACCAATTCAGAGGAAGAATATGCAAATTTTTATCCATGATGGCTAAATGTTTACAAAACAATAAAGTTTGACGCATTTGTTATATGCAAAACAAGGACTTAGTCAAACAATTTGGAAGACAGAGTTTGATGCAGAGAGAGAAGAGATCACTGCAGCGTATTCATGGCAGAGGCTGGGAGAAAAACGAAACCATGAACAGGATAGGCTTGAAGTGGTGCTGAAGTTGTTGTTGTTGTACCTTGAGCAGCAAGATTTGTCGTACCAAACATCATAGGGCAAGAACCAGAGGTAGAAAAGAAGAACCCTGAAAGAGATGTAGCAGCTGATGGAGGAATCATGGCACCATTAAAGGTTAAGTAAGCAGAAACAGAGGAGCTACTCATGGCTCCACACGCTGTGCATCCAAATGCTGGTGAAGAAACACCTGAACCTGAGATTAGTCATTAGAGAGAGAATGTTATAAATATATTCAAGAGATTTGACTAATGAGTTTAGTTTAGTTACCTTTGTTTCCTTTCTGGTAATCTTCCCACCTTAATTCTTCATGGCTCTTATGTGGATAAGCGTTGGTGGCAGAAACAGAGACATATATCTCTTCTCCATCAGTGCCGTGACGACTACTCCATCCATTAGATGCAAAAACTTTGGAACCAGAAGCAGTCTTGCCACAATCTTGCGCTGGCCCGAAGCTGAATGATGCTGGTGAAGAGACACCTGAACATGAGACTAGTCATTACAGAGAGAATGTTTAAATATGTATTCAAGATTTTGACTAATGAGTTAGTTTAGTTACCTTTGTTTCCTCTCTTGTAATCTTCCCACCTTAACTCTTCATGGCTCTTATGTGGATGAGAGTTGGTGGCAGAAACAGAGACATATATGCCTCCTTCTCCATCAAGTGTAGGCGCATAACGAGGAGGATGCTTACTACTTTGTTCAGTGCCGTGTTGACTACTCCATCCATTACCAGAAGCATTCTTGCCACAATATTGCGCTGGCCCGAAGCTAAATGATGCACTAGTTTGGACAGGAGCTGGCCTTGACTCGAACCTAGATCCTTTGGGGACAGAAAATGCACTATGACCGAAAGAGGTTGGGGCAAGAGGTTGCGTTGGTGCAGAAGTAACCGATGTAACAGCAGGAACGGATCCGAAAAGTGAAGAACCGTGAAATGTATATGAAGTTGAGGATGTGGGAGTGGCACCAGAAATAGGAGCAGCAAATGGATTAGATCCAAAAGGAGAAGCTTTTGCTGACACAAATGTAGTTGAGCCGAATGGAGATGGTGTGGGAGCATCAAATGGACCAGAACCAAAAGGAGAAGCTTTTGCTGACCCGAATGGAGATGTTGTGGGAGCAGCAAAGGGACTAGAACCAAAAGCAGGAGGTTCTGTTGACGCGAATATAGATGGCGTGGGAGCAGAAAACGCATTAGAATCAAAAGCAGAAGCTTGAATTGACCAATATGTAGATGTTGTGGGAGCAGCGAATCCACAAGAGCCAAAGGTAGGAGCTTTTGTTGACCCAAATGCGGATGTTGTGGTGGCAGAAGGAGCCGGAGGAGTTAATGTTCCGAATCTGACTGGTGACGAACTGTGAAGAAGAGATGATGCTGAGGTAGGAGTCTCAACAGCAGCAGAATCACGGTCAAGAACTGATGAGCCAATCACATTGCTCGGTTTGGATTCTTGAGTGTTGAGTATCTCTGAAGTGCTGCGTTCTGGATCTGAAGAAAAAATCCCCATTGTTCTTGTGATCTTTAACTCTGACAAAGAAAGGAACAAAAGAAACCCTAAATCAATCCAGATTCGTCAAGAACAAAACTTTCCAATCAAATTCCGGAATTTACATCAAAAAACTTTTCAGTCAGATTGCCTTAGTTGCCGAATCAGTGAATCGATGTTTCCATACGATAACAGAGAATCTAACACGACGAGAACAAATCTATGAAGAAACAGTCTGCGAAGGCGTGCAAAAGAAGCAACACAGAACTCTGAATCCCGAAACCCTAAATTACGAAGAGAGAAACTAATCTCATGCGAAATCCCCCAAACAAGGCAAAGAAGATCATCAACAAACAGCGATCACGGTTTCCCGCACAAAATTAATCAAAAGTCTCCAAATTTTTGGCCAAGAGATAACAGAGATCGAAAGAGGAACTTACGGAAGCAGCAGCAACGTCGCGTGTGTTTCTGGTTCGGAAACTATGATCGAATTTAGGGTTTATGGAGAGAGAGTGAAGAAGAAACGAGACGTAGAAGAAAAAAGAGATCTTTCCGATTTCGGCTCTAAGATTTCTTTTGTTAGAGAATAAAGGTTTTGCAGTTTGTTTTAAGAAGAAAGATGAGATAACAATGATAAGAAGAAGAAGTAAAACAGAGGAGAATTTACGATTCTTGCAATTTGTTATTTTTTGTTAGTCTTATAAAACAGAGGAAATAAGATCATTTATATTAGAAAGATCAGACACATTTTTTTGCTGATCCATTCAAAAACTAAGACTGATTACATAACCGAATTTTCACTAAGACAAAATCATAAATAAAGTTGATATTGTTGTTTTCTGACTCTTAAGCAAAACAAAGACTTATCCCTACAATCTAAAAAGAACAGCGTTTGATGCCAAGAGAGGGAGAGAGAGAGAGAGAGAGAAGCAACTACTGCAGATTCATGGCGGCGAATGGGAGAAGAATCAAACCATGGATAGGGTAGGATTGAGCTGATGGAGTTGTAACTTGGACAGCAGGATTTGCACCAAACATTGTAGGATAGGCTTGAAGTCCTGGAGCAGTTGTGGTACCTTGAGCAGCAGCATTTGTACCAAACATCATAGGGTAGGCTTGAAGTCCTGGAGCTGTTGTGGTACCTTGAGAAGCAAGATTTGTACCAAACATCGTTGGATAGGCTTGAAGTGGCGCTGGAGTTGTACCTTGAGCAGCAAGATAAGCTTGAATTCCTGGAGTAGCTTGAGCAGCAACATTTGTACCAAACATCGTTGGACAGGCTTGAAGTGGTGCGGGAGTTGTACCTTGAGCAGCAAGATAAGCTTGAAGTCCTGGAGCTGTTCTTGCACCTTGAGCAGCAACATTTGTACCAAACATCGTTGGATAGGCTTGAAGTGGCGCTGGAGTTGTACCTTGAGCAGCAAGATTTGCACCGAACATCGTAGGATAGGCTTGAAGTGGTGGAGCTGTTCTTGTACCTTGAGCAGCAAGATTTGTACCATAATACATCATTGGATGCATCATCATAGGATACACCATCGGCATCATCATAGCATAGGCTTGAAATCCTGGAGTTGTTGTTGTTGTTGTACCATTCATCGTAGGACAAGCACCATGAGTAGCTGATGGAGGAGTTGCGAAAACATTAATGCCGAAGTTACCAGAAGCAGAGGAGCTACTCGTGGCTCCACACGCTGTGCATCCAGATGCTGGGGAAGAAACAGCAGCAGGAAACGAACCACCTGAACAAGAGACAAGCCATCATTATTAGAGAGATCTAAAAATAGATATAAATGTATTCAAGATTTGAGTATTGAGTTGGTTAGTTAGTTTACCTTTGACTCCTTTCTTGTAATCTTCCCACCTCAGCTCTTCATGGCTTTTATCTTGGTAAGAGAAGGAAGCAGATATGGAAATCATGTTGCCTCCTGGATCAGTACATGGTGTAGGTGCATAACGAGGATTCCCAGTACCTCGTTCACGGACATCCCATCGATGAGTACCAGTCTTGTGATTGCTACTAAAGGCATTGAAACCAGAAGGTTGGGAAGATGATGGGTTAACACCAGTAGTAACTGGACCAAAACAGGGCAAGTAATCATCACCAAATCCGGGAAAGAGACTGCTGAATGGATGCTTCTTTGGGATAGTGCTTGGAGTGACAACAAAACCAGTCTTGGGACCAACCGATGAAGAAACACTCACTGGAGTTGTACCAAAAACTACTGTCCTAAATGATGTGTTTCCTGCTGGCGAGGTAGCAACATCAGGTCTGGCAAAGCAACCAACATTGTTCCTAAACAGTGAAGGAGGAGGAGGAGGAGCAGTCTTGCCAAGATCTTGCGCTGGTCCGAAGCTAAAGTATTTTGAAGGGCTAGGTTCACTAGCTTGGACAGGAGCTTGCATTGAGAAGCTAAAAGGTGATGTGTGTGGACCAGAATGACCTGTAGTACTGGTTACATCAACACCGTTCCTAGGCAGTAGAGGAAAGCTAAACGTTGATCTGGCTGGTGAAAAACCGGAAGTTGAGGATGTGGAAGTGGCAGATGCAACACCAGAACCAAAACCAAACGCAGGAGCTTGCTTTGAACTTCCAAATGGAGACGGTGTGGGAGCAGGAAATCCACTAGAGCCAAAAGAAGGAGCACTTCCAAATTGAGACGGTGTGGGAGCAGCAAATCCACTAGAAGCATTTCCAAATGGAGACGGTGTGGGAGCAGCAAATCCACTAGAGCCAAAACCAAAACAAGGAGCTTGCTTTGAACTTCCAAATGGAGACGGTGTGGGAGCAGCAAATCCACTAGTGCCAAAAGGAGGAGCTTGCGCTGACCAGAGACTAGGTGGTGGTGTGATGGAACCAAAAGGTTGCGTTGATGCAGAGTTAACCGGATGAGTTCTATTGAATGAAAAACCGACAGGTGGAGGTGAAGTGGCAGTGTCAGATGCACCACCAAAACTAAAACCAGACGCAGATGGTTTAGGACCACCGAATAATGCACCAGTAGCTTGCATTGATCCGAATATGGATGGTTTAGGAGCAGCAGATGAATCAGGAGCTTGCATTGATCCGAATATGGATGGTTTAGGTACAGCAGATGAATCAGGAGCTTGCATTGAACCGGAAGTGGTCAAGCCATGAGCTTGCGTTGGTGCAGAGCTATCAGGAGGGAATGGGAATCTGAAGGATCCGTTCGGTGAAGAACTATGAGCCGGAGATGATGATGATGTTGAGGTTGAAGCAACAGCAGCAGCAGCAGAATCATGTCCAAAGGCTTGAGCTTGAGCCGGAGACGATGATGAGGTTGAAGCAACATCAGAAGCAGAAGCAGAATCATGTCCAAGAGCTTGTGCTGGTTCGGAGCTAACCGGCGTTGAAGTGACCGGTGGTTCGGGGACTGGAGGATTGACAACGCCTGAAGTACGGTTATGGAAACAGGTGCTGCACTCTGGCTCAGAGAAATCGATTCTCATTCTTTCTTCTTTTGATCTTTCTTAAAACTGATCGCACAAAAGAAACAAAATTTGGTTAGGATTTGAGGATAATTTTCCGAAATTGGATCGATTTGCGAAACTACGAATTACAAAACCCAAAATCCAGATCAATCAAAAACAACCCACAACTCAAATTTAGGTTTTTTTTTCTATCATCTAATCCAAATCAAGCAAACAGAAACTAAGATCATCAATAGATAACGATCCGTACGAAAAAAACAAAAGTCTCATACAAATTCGTAAAATTTAAAGCAAATCGAAGCCTTGAGAAAGTTAGGAAGCAGAAAGTGTTAAGAGAGATCGAACTTACGGAGGCTAACAATGGCGGGTTTCCGATTCTGAAACTGAGAATCAAGCTTAGGGTTTATGGAGAGATTGAACAAGAAGAATGGAGAAGATGAAGAAAAAAAAGGGATCTTTGTGATTTCAATTTATAAGAACGGATTTTCTTCAGTCACCCGCGTCGCTAAAACGCTTCCTCGGAGTTTTTGTGGCTTTGTTTTCACGCAGGACAGAATTAATATATGTTGGATTTTGTTTTTACTTTTTTTTTGGTCAAGTTTTTCCTTTTTAAAAAATAATTTATTGGCAAGTGGTTTTTTTTACTTTTTTTTAGTGATTTCATAAAATCTCCCATCAATTTAATTTTTAGTTCTCGTTTAGGCAATTCTAACCATGTAATAATACCAAAATATGTAAATAATTAGTATAAGATGCTTTAAAACAAAAAAAGAAACAAAAATGAAAAGTATGTCAAATCTTGTTAAATTATAGCCTTGATTATTTGCATTCACATTTGCGTTCAAAATCTTGTTTATTTTTTCTCAAATGAACTCACAGTTTTAGCCATTTAAGAAAATAATTTGTTTTCTTGTGTATTTATAACAAATGTATGTTTGTGACTTTGTGTATATATTTACCAAAAATAACGTGGCCATATTTTGAGAAATTAAATAGCTTATGTAGAAAATGATTTTGAATGGAGATATGTCTTCTTAGGATTTTATTGTTTTCTAAAACTTGATCATTGTGTTACCAAGTTTGATTTAGTTAGTCAAATATATATAAAAAAAATAGTTTACTTTCTTTCTTTGTTTTAATTAAACTCAAGTCTTATCCTTAGAATTTGGCATATATATATGAATGTATGTTGAGATCAATGGAACAACACACACACACAAAATCAAACGCAAGGCTTAAGCATGAAAAGCTCTTTCACATTCACTATCTTCTTCTTTGCTCTTCTCCTTACCTCTTGTTAGTCATCTCCAACTCAATATATTTGTGAATATATTTATATACTTTGTCAAATTAACAAGTGATTAATGAGTTTTATGTGTATGTAAATTGATTGATAGGTGTGGTTATGAGTGTCGAGAGGATGCAAGAAGGCACAAAGGATGTATTGAAGCCTATAACATGCAACACCAATCAAGATTGTGCTAAGTATTCCAAAGGCAACATTCTCAGATGCAAGTATCACACATGTCTCTGCGTACCCGGAAACCCAAATTGTTGCTAGAAACTCATCAGCATTAGATCATTGGAATCAAGAAAATGTATAGTCCGTCTATCTAAAAAAAAAAATATTTAGTTTAATTACAACAATATTGAGAATACAAAAGTGATATTAAAACCAAATTTATTATGAAAACGTGTGTAGTATGAAACAAAGAGAACATATTATGGAAACTCTTTTACACGAACGTCTTTTGTAGTCTCGTGTCACTTTGTTGTTGTTATACATTGGTTAATTGGCATGTAAAGAAACACAGAACACATCTGTGGATTTGAGTTTCATCCGCGGATGCTACAAGTTGTGATTCATTCTACCTTGTCTTTTTATGCATATTGTTTACAACATTGGTATAAATATTTTTTTACTAAAACTGAACTCTCAATAATTCTCCAGTAAGTATATAACTCAACTCTCAACAATGGTCTTTTTCGTATTAGATTTCATTTGCATTAGATTCTTGTACATGGAATTTGAAGAGAGAAAGCAAGTGTCGAATATGCGTTACAATTACAAACTTGTTCGGTTTTGCATTTAGCTTCTAGCTCAGACACACATTAGCATATCATTAATATCTTCAACATAATCAAAACCATCTTGGTGTCTAAAATGAAACAATTTGGAATGGTCTTTTTATTTTTGAAGTGCTCAATTCCCTGGAGGGCATTTGCATGACATTTTCTTCCTTGCACACGGAGCCCCACATAGGTAACAGAACTTGTGGTTGCAATGTCTGCAGGTAATGCGATTGCACCCTCCGTTTTGTTGAACGACGGTCGCACACTTGGGACACTTCATCCATCCCTCTGTCATCACTAAAGACTCGAAAAGCGCCGCGTCAGATTTCAGGTAAGCGTCCGACTTCTTGAACTCATCGCACGTCTTCTTGTCGTGCCACGGAACATGACAGTTCTTGCAGAAACACAAGCCGCACTCCACGCACTTGCGTGCTACTGACTTGTCCCGAGGATCCATGAGTGCGAGGAGGTCACGTTCCGACATCAAAAAGTTACAAGAAGGCTTGGGACAGTAAACCCTGTCCAAAACCGGGATGGACTTCTCCTTCTTGCGGTGGATCATAAGATTGATAGCATCATCGTCAACAATACCTCTACAATCCTCTAGCACAAGTTCTTCCTTGCAATCGGGGTAAGGGCAGAGGACAGTGTCCCCTCGTGCTAGCTGGGATGAGAAACAGTCCCTTATGCACGTAAAGCAGATGCGGTGGAAGCAACCGGCCACCTCAAGTTTGTCACGAGGTGGTGAAACGTGTGCGTCTCATACTCAGTGTTGGTGCCGTCACCTTCACGCCATCTCGTTTGGGAAGCTATAGCGTCTCTTGCAAGCTTAGTGACAGAACTCATGTCTCTGCCCACAACAGCGAGTGCCTCGCAAGAAGTGAATCTTGTCTGGAGAAGAGCCACTTTCTCCACAAGTGTTGCTACAAGGGACTCGTCCGGTGCAGCTTTACGTGTTACGTAATCCAAGATGATGGAATCGTCACAGAAGAATTGGATACGTTGCACACCGAGTCCCAACGCCCATGTCATCCCGTGAATTAGGGCAGCCAATTCCGCAGCTTCCGGGTGAGCTAGGGCTTGGTTTCGCAGAGCTTTGCTAGTCTCTAATATCGAGTTGTCGTTAGAGTCACAGAGGAGCAGGCCTGAACCACCAACCAGCATCGTAGCATCCTTGACAACCTCTTCACTCACCAAGCCCTTGGAGTATAGCCGATAGGTTGAGGATGGATTCTCCAAGGAAATAAGATCGAATTCCATGGCAGCCAAGTTCGAAATTGCCGGCCCGTAACCTAAACCCAGAAATCAAAACCTGAATCAAAGCTCAGACCGAAGAAACAAAACTTGCTTAGGGTTTGAATCGATTTACAAAACTAGGAACTAGAAATTATAAATCGAGATCAAATCACAAACAACCCACCACTCAAATTTAGGGATTTTTCAAATTATAAATCGAAAGCTTGAGAAAGTTCGGAAGCAGCAGGGATAACAACGGCACGTTTCCGATTCTGAAACTGAAAATCAAACTTAGGGTTTGTGGAAAGATTGAACAAAGGGATCTTTGTGATTTCTGTTAATAAGAACGTCGCTAAAACGCTTCCTCACAGTTTTTGGAAAAGTTTTCTCGCAGGACAGACTCTACAGAATTAATATACTGTATATTGGATTTTTGTTTTTTCCTTTTTTCCTTTTTTTCAATTTCTGTCACGTTTTTCCTTTTTTTTATCGTCAAGTTTTTCTACTTTTCTTTTTAATAGTTTCATTAAAAAAAGTCAATTAACTAGTTGGACTTAAAAGTAGTAACTGGTAAGTATAAGTGTGGGGATATTGGATTGATGATTTGGGAGGATTTCTATTTTTCTCCAAATCATCTCTTACTGAATCTAGCATTTGTAAAATCGTGAAGTTGAGAGCAAATCGAAAGCTTGAGAAAGTAAGTTTGGAAGCAGCAGGTATAACAATTAAATTAAATCAAAAACGAGAATTAAAAATAAAATTGATGGGGATTTTATGAAGTAAAAAAAAAGTAAAAAACTTGACATTATGACAATTAAAAAGGAAAAACTTGACTATGGTTTACTTTTTACTTTTTAATGTCAAGTTTTTTACCTTTTTAACTTCATAAAATCTCCATCAATTTTATTTTTAATTCTCGTTTTGGAACTTCTAAGTTCTAACCATGTAATTTAGGACGCCTTACAAATATGTCAAAATTGTTACTCCGAAATCTATTGTTAGGTAAGTTTCTATGAAAATATGATTTGTCTTCCAAGTTTGATTAATTTAGTCAAATGTTAAATTTCTTTATTGAAATCATACTCTTACCTAGAATTTGGTAGTGTATATAAAGGTACGTCGAGATCAATGGAATAACACACACACAAATTATTTTAAAACTTGACATTATGACAATTAAAAAGGAAAAACTTAACCATGGTTTACTTTTTACTTTTTAATGTCAAGTTTTTTACCTTTTTAACTTCATAAAATCCCCATCAATTTTATTTTTAATTCTCGTTTTGGAACTTCTAAGTTCTAACCATGTAATTTAGGACGCCTTACAAATATGTCAAAATTGTTACTCCGAAATCTATTGTTAGGTAAGTTTATGAAAATATGATTTGTCTTCCAAGTTTGATTAATTTAGTCAAATGTTAAATTTCTTTATTGAAATCATACTCTTACCCTAGAATTTGGTAGTGTATATTAAGGTACGTCGAGATCAATGGAATAACACACACAAATTATTTTAAGTCTTTAATTATTTATTTGCAAACATGAAAAGCTCTTTCATGTTCACGATCTTCTTCTTTGCTCTTCTCCTTACCTCTTGTTAGTCATCTCCTTCTTGTAAATTTATTTATACACGTTGTCAAATTAACAGAGTGATTAACTAGTTTGGTGTATGTAAATTGATAGGTGTGGTTATGAGTGCGAGGGTGCAAGGAAGAACAAACGATGTATTCATGAAGCCTGTAACATGCAATTTTGATCGAGATTGTGCTAAGTTTTGCAGAGGTCCCATTCTCAAATGCATGTATCACACTTGTCTCTGCGTGCCCGGAAACCCTAATTGTTGCTAGAAACACCTCCACATGTGTTTTTTTTTTAGCTCCACATATATGTTGGTTTTGTAACTTCTTTTGCTTCAGTTTTAAGTATCTTTTGCATTGGAATTCTATTTACACAAATATAATAAAATGTTTCCTTTCTTCTTCGAGGATGCTTTGAATCGCTTCCTTTTTGCAATCGCATTCCCAAGACGCAAAATTTCTAGACCGGATAAAACTGAAATTCAGCAGCATTAGATCAATGGAATCACTGAATCAAGAGAAGATAAAACCCTTCTATTTTGAATAGAATAGAGAAATATCCTAAAATATACTAAAAAAAATTTGGTATAACTAAAAAGTTTTTCCGACAAAAAATAGACTAAATAGTTTTGTAAAAAACATTTGTTTATCATAAATAAACAACATTAAAGGTAGTTCTGATTCAAGAGTGCGGCATTGCAAACAGTATCAAAAGTTTTAAAGGAAACTTTTTATTTGAAGAAGAATGGTCACCTTGAATGTTCATTGGCCGCATTTGCATGTCACTCCCCTCTTTGTACAAGGAGCACCACATTGGTAGCAAAACTTGTGTTTGCAATCTCTGTGAGGGATAAAAATGATAAATAATTAGAGTGAAAGACAAATAATATAAAATCAGTCTCAATTATCTAAAATAAGTCTAAAACCTGCAAGTTATTCGTTTGCAGCCACCATTTTGCTGAACGACAGTGGCACAAAGGGGACACTTCTTCCACGCTTCTTTCTTAACTAGAGACTCCAAAAGTGCATCTCCAGATTTTCGATACAACTCTGACTTCTTAAACTCTTCACAGATCTTCTTGTAGTGCCACAGAACATGACACTTTCTGCAGAAATTTAAGCCACACTCCAAGGACTTGCGTGCTTCTGACTTGTCCGACATGACTTGGTCACGGTCTGACATCAAGAAGCTACAAGACGACTTGGGACAGTAGACTCTATCCAGAAACTGGAATCGCCATCTCCTTCTTGCGTTCATTCATCATCTTGATTAGCTGAGGATCGGCAAAGCTTGTACAGACTTCAGTTTCCAGTTCCGATTAGCAATCAGGGATCGGGCAGACTAATGGTTTCCGTTCATGTAGGAGCTCAGACTAAAGGTGACAACCCATGTCTCATCCGCTATAATCATATCCTCCTCCTGATCTCCATCTCTCTAGTATTCGCGTAGGACATGAGTTTTCAGCATCATGCAAAAGTCTTTTAAAGCAACAAAGAGTGCACGAAATGTGTGCAGAGAAATTGATTATATACATAGATATGCTGAGTAATTGCCTTCCAAATAAATCCAGAACTCTTTCTCACCCATTTTTCAATTAAGCAGAATCTAATTCGTATGTCACGGCTATTCATGGCTCATTTGATCACTTACCCTTGAAATCTATTAGTCAACATCAAAGAAGACAAACTGGATCCACAAGGGCAAGCTTTGATCTAAGATCAAACTAATGCTTATGCAATGTATCTCCCTTCTCTCTATACATGGGCTCGCTTAGTCCATATAGGCAATTCATTATCGATATTCATAATGGTAACTTAACTTAGTCGATTTTGTAAAAAAGTGAGGAAATATGAAAAGCTCCTTCACATAATCACATTCACCATCTTCTTCTTTGTTCTTCTCCTTATCTCTTGTTAGTAATCTCCTCATATGATTATTATTTATATGTCGTAAGTAACGAGTGATTAATGATTGTGCTAAGTATTGCAAATGTCCCATTCACAAGTACGAATGTACGATCATCATACTTTGTGCATGGCCCAGAAATCATAATTGTTGCTAGAAACACACCTTATACATAATCAATCTTATAACGTTGGTTTTCAGCATTTTGCTTGCTTCTGATATTATCTTTTGCATTGGAATTTCTACACAAACATGACTATGTTTTAAAAACCAATGTTCTAAGCAAATATCTATAATATTAATCTCTCTACCCAATAAGCTGAACTAACATGGACTAAATTTAAATTTAGGTGAAATCATACTGCATCGAGGATTCAAAACAACATTTTGTAATGAAATAAGGATAAAATCTAAAACGATGCATAATATGAAATGGCTGAAAGTATAATTTGATACAAACCGACTTCTTTGAGTCGTGAGTACAACGTACAAACATTTGTGCTAAAGTTCTAAACTTTACTTATCTCATCTGAATGTATCCCAGATTCTGGCTGGTAGTTTTATGATATTTTTTTTGGGTAGTTTTATGATATGTATTTATGCACACAAGGAAGGAGGACGGAGAGATTACTTTGTGACATTTGTTTTAAACCCTTGAGATTGGAGAGAAAGTGACATTAGGCATGAAAGACGAAAGGACTTCTTCTCTGGTATCTCTGTTTACGGGAGTTTCCATGTCGATAAGCTCTCTCAGCGAACTGCATCTAGACAAAGAGTTGCTTCTTTCTCCTCCTCTTGAGACTACTACTTCACTTCTTCTGTGCAGCTCAGCGACACACACTGAGAACGCTTGTAAAGCTGAGAGCTTTGCATGAAAACTTACCTCGTAACGTCCTTCTCTGATCAACGCCATTGTCATCATCATCTCCTCCTTCTCTCCCTCTATGAAAAGTTCCAAACTTTGGTGATCGTTGATGCGTTCTGAAGATTCCAGGACAAAAAGGTGACAACCCATATCCCATCCGCTACAGTCACAGCCTCCTCCTGATCTCCATCTCTGTAGTATCGGTGTAGGACATGAGTTCTCAGCATCAGGCAAACCGTGGTTTCCTGTTGGAACTATTACTTGAACCTCACGTCTTGAGTGTTTTCTGTTCTTCATGTATCCAAAACTTTCAGAGTCTCTAATAACAATCGCTGCAATCTCTAGCCCTGGATGTAAATCTGAGGCAGGCCAAGGATCAGATACTCTGTTTTCTGACTCTGTTTTAAGTCTTGAATGTTGTCCACTTCTCTGTGCGCGTGCCATGTCGAAAAGAACGAACTCGGAAAGATTTGATTCAACAAGATCTTCTTCTTGAAATGGTTCCTCTGCCTCTAAGCAGATTTGTGTTGTTGAAGAAGAAACTCTCATCTCTCCTATCAACGAAGAAACGTTCTTGTTGCTTCTCCTAGCACCAATGTAGTGAAACGTGTAGACGAAGCAAGACTCGTTATCATCAGTCCATGTCCTGGCCATATACACATCGTCAGGGCGGTCTAGCGAGAAGGTGAAAACAGGCATTCCAAGTTCATATCCCATACTGAGACTGGCATGTAGATGAACAGGTGATGAAGAAGACTTTCTCAAGAACTTGTCATCGATCTTGATCTCTCCTGGTTTTGAAAACGGATTAGACATTTTCTTGATACGGCTAAACCAGCTTGAATGATTAGTAGAAGAAGTAGACTCATTGCTTCTCTTTGAAGAAGAATGCATAAACGGCAATTGCATTCTTGCAGAGAATGACTTTTGCAATCTTGGCTCTAAAGGCTTAGCTGATCTTTGTTGTTGTTGTTGTTGTTTGCCATTTGTGTTCAACCTAACACCAAAGAAACCACCAGAAGAGTATTGCTCCACAGAGAACTTTTCAGCATCTGATATGTTCCTTCTTCTGCTTCTTTCCTTGGAGGAGAAGAAACCGTGTCTCTCCTTTGCCTTGTTTCCTGGCTTTGTAGGTCTCGGTGGCATGTTCTTCCGGTAAAACATAAACTCATCTTCTTCTTCCTCCTCCCCTGGCTTTTGGGAATTGAAGTAATCACGTAGCGTAGGAATCACGTTTTCAGAACCATGTGCCATTGTAGAACTAACAAATCGCTTAAAAGGACCAAAACTTGTGCAGAAGAAGGCAAGAACCTACAAGGATGTGCAAGAACAATGAGACCTTTGAATCTTAATGCAGAAGAGAAGCTAGCAAATAAGGATCACTTACCTGAGGATGACTTCTTGAAGAAACTGTCACTGTTTTCATGAACCTTTTTACACAGAGAAGTTCGAAATTGCTCAACGCTCTCCTACAGATCTAAAATCCTCATGTGACATAGGAAATCAAGTAGTTGTGAATGTAATGAAAGCAACGGACAAAAGTTGGATAAAGAAAATCATTTTTAAAAGACAAAAGCTTTATTTCACTTGCATTCTAAGCCAATCATAGAAAGGGTGTGGCAAAAGAAACGATCAAGTACCAATTGATGGTTTTCAGAGTAGTGATCCTGAAGATTAGTAAAAAAGAAAAGCTGATTCAATCATTAATCCAACTATATAATTAAAAGAGAGAGCAGAAGAGCCTGTGAAACTCCAATATATTAAAAAAACAACTCTTCTGTAACAATTTCTCAAATATTTTTTACAAATGATAAGAGAATATATGTTTTATCTTGCTCAGATAAGTGTTTGAGTAAATGAAAGTATGAAACTTGAGATTCTTAAATCTCTTTCCTTGACATTTTGGAGTTCCCTTCAAGCTTATATACTTTTGGATTTTGTTATGGTTTAAGCATCCAAGGGTCCATAGCTCAGTGGTAGAGCATTCGACTGCAGATCGAGAGGTCACCGGTTCGAACCCGGTTGGGCCCTTTTTTGTTCAATATTATGTTTTTTTGGGTACTGTACGAGATAACTCAGATCTGAAGAATGAAGAACATTTCATGATATGCATTCAAGGATCATCACAAAGCCAAAATACAAAGTGTTGTCTTCTTTACATAGCAACATTGATTACAAATCATGGAACACTCATCAAAGCAAATCCACAATCACACCATTCTCAAACTAAATGATCAAATCTCCATCAAAGTATACAACTTTTTCTTCTGTATAACAGGGGATATATGTTCATGCCAATAAACCAAAAAAAACAAGAAAAAAAAGGATCCAATCTTGCGGTAGTACACCAAAAGGAATGCTTCTGAGTATTTTGGAAAAGAACAAAAATAGGAAATGAAAAGGGAAACTACAAGAGCGAAACCTGAAACTGACCAGCGATGATGATGCATACAATTCTACTTTAAGAGGATGATGATGATGGTGTTTTGATCTTATTCTGCAAGTGGGGCGTTTTCGACCATCCTCTTCTTTCCTCTCTTCGTTATCCTCTTTGTTGTTTCTTTAATCATCATCATCATCATGAATTCATGATAGTGCGTTTCTTTTGCTTTCGAGCATTGATCCGTCTTTCAGAGCAGCGTGAGCTTCGTTCTCTTGTCCTAGAGATGATAAGGCTACAGCTTGAAGATAAGATGCTATATGCCAAGCGGGAGATATCACTTGAGCTTGCATTGCGTCGTTCAGCGCCTCTTGTGGCATCTCGTTCATCAGGTAACAAAGGCTTCTCCTTGCGTAAACAGTAGGGGAAACCATTGTCCCTCCCTCGATGAACTGTCAAAACAAAACTCCTTCAAGATCAGAAACTGTGACAGGGTTTGCTCTATGGTTTAACCTGAAGAGTAGAAATGATCTAACCTGAGAATAGCATTCGGCAGCATTTGCAAAGTCTTTATGCCGGAAAGCAACATCACCCTTTTTCTTGAAGTTCAGCGAGTCTTGCATCTGGTTGGTCCACATCTGGAACGAAAGCTGAAAACGAAGCAACAAGCCAAAAAGGACACCATAGATTACAGTCTTGCCTTGCAATGATTAAACAAAATAAACAAGATTGGAGTAAAGATAGAAACCTCTGTGGCTGCTCCTTCATCATCTTTGTATCCAAGTTTTTCAACAATCTCATGTATGGCAGTTAGATCTGCTCTCACGCATGCATCTCCCAGTGGTGAATGAGGCATTGTTGAGGCGCTGCTTGGTATGCCCATCAGTTGATGAGAAGGAGTCTTGCATGAGATTAAACCAGGTTCTTATTAGTCTCCGAATTGCTTCCAAAGTTAGTTAATGGTTTTGTAGGAAAGTACCTCAAGATCCTTCTGAAGAGGAATCATTGCAGTGACTAGAGATTTAGGGTTAGGCCGTTCTCGAGGCTCATACTGCAAGCATCTCGAAGCTAAACGTATAAGTTCAGTGCCGTCATCACTTGAAAACTGACCCTCCAAGCATGAATCGATCAACATTTGAATGTTCCTGTCCCGTATGAGGTCCAACGCCTAAGAAAGACAACAGTAAAAGAGAAGCTCTTATTAAAGAGAAAAAAGCACTTAAAGAGAGGACTTGTTGGAGATTATGTATCACAATCATTAGCTTACATGGCTTGGAGGAATGTGTTTCCCACTAAGAAGATCAAGCAACAGAGTTCCATAACTGTACATCACACTCTCTGGTGTCACACGACCTGTAGAATCAAACAAACAAAACACAAACCATTATGTCAAAAGAAAGCTGACCACAAACCAAATTTGGTAAGCAAGAGTATTTAGTTATTTACCTGTTCTGAGATACTCAGGAGGAGTGAAAGCAAGGTTGGTGCTGTAACTCTTCCCATCTCTACTATTCTTCATCAGACCAAAGCACGAAAGCCTTGGATTTGAGTCCTAAAAACAATACAAAACATAAGTTTCATCATCATAAGAAGGAACAAAAGTCTTAAAAGCTTCACTTACATCATCAAAGAGAACTCTATAAGCATTCAAGTCATGGTAGAGAGCACGTCCTTTGCCAGTACAGTACTCTAAAGCTTGAGCAATATGTAAAGCTACTCTGAGTCTCATCGCCCACTTCATCGGTTGCGACTCCCCTAAAACCATGTTAACAGTTTTCTCTTTAACATACTGAGAGATGTACATAGAACCATAAACCAGCTGATACTTACAGTGGAAAAGATGCTTAGCCAAAGTTTCATGTGGCATAAACTCAGCAACAAGAAGTCTCTCTTCACCTTCGTAACAACATCCAAGCAGATTTGCCATTCTATAGTTCCTTAATTGACCAACAGCTTTAGCTTCCTCCTATTGAAGAACAAAACAGAGATTCAGAATCCATGAAATCCATAAAGGTAAGATTTTTAAGCAAGATTTGTTTACCAGAAACTGACGAGAATCAGGCCAAGCTTTCCGATTAAACCGTTTCACAGCAATACGTCTCTGATTATCCAATTTCCCTTTGTACACAACATTTGGAGCTTTCTCTCCATGCTCTGAGACTATGTTCTCTGCAGCGAATCCTGATGTTGCGTTCCTTAGAGACTCGATCGAGAACTCACGAAACTGGGGCAAATCGTTTCCTTCACCTCTCCTATCCTCATCTGAGAATTGAGATCCACGATTAGCAACAACAGAAAAAAACAAAACTTTGAAGAAAAAACTCGATCTTAGCTGGTTTTTACCGAAGCCTGTGACTCCATGATTGGATCCTTCTGGCTCTGAAACGCAGCAAAATGCACATAACTTTGAAACCTCACAACCCATTTCTCAGATTGTTTCAGTTCAAACCATAAACCCTAAAGCACGTCAATCGAGACCTTGACCAGCTCAAATCCGCGTTGAATTTCTCCAGAAAAACCCAGTTGCGATTGTTCTTCAACTTGACGATTACGACCAAAAAGGGTCAAAATCGATCCGTTGAAAAACCGAATTGAAATTGAGCAAAAGAACAGAGAAGGAGAAGAAGAAGAGAAAAGAGAAAAAGGTGGAAATGACGAATCGAGCCGCTCGTGCGTGTGAGTGCTTAGCTCGAGAGAGGAAAGCTCAAAAACCGAGATTTTTTCTGAAAGTTTCTTCCTTTATTTTGCCTTTTTTTCTCTCTGCTTAAAACTTTTCTCCAGAGACAAAAGCAGAGAACTTTGCCAGAAGAAAGTTAAAAACAAAATTATTAAAAATCAAAACTTTATTTTGTTTTCAATTTAAAATGAAAGAAAAGAAAGAGGAACAGCAAAGCAGCAGGCCTCACCAAGTCAACTCACCAGTGGGTCAACAAAAAAAAACTAAAATGAACAACTCATATTTGCTAATATTTGTTATCATACAACAACAAAAAAACTATCATAATAACAAAAAAAAACAATTTATATATTCGATAATTAGTACAGTATATATTCTTGTTTTTTAATAATCAAGATATTTTATATTTTTCTCATTTCTGGTTCACATATTTTTTCTTTACATCAGACGTTTTTGACAAATATTGAAATATACATGTCCACAACAAAAATACTGTATATTGATTGGGTTTTGTAATCTATTATTAGACTTTGTTAGTCGCTTAGTAACATCATCATCATATGTTAATTCGGATTCAAACAGCGAGTGTGAGTTTTTTAGTTGGAATAAAAAAGTCAGTCGTTTAGACTATGATTGTTGGAGTTTGCATTAACGAACATTTTGCATTATGCAATGTTATTGGACAATTTATAAGGTTGGCCTAACGGCTGAAAACAAAATGTGATTCAATAAATAATTTTCAAAATAAATATTCACCTTTCATATGCAAAATATATGATATACATATAATTTGGACGCGTTAGTACACTAGTACCATATTCCAATTTCCATACATAGCTGTCTATAAATAGTTTATAGATATGTCGTTTAATCAGCTCATTACTATATATACACATACATGTCATTTGTCGTATATAGCTCTATAGGTAACAATTCATCTTTTAGTCAATGAAATGATATATATGAAAAGATGATAGATGTTGCGAATCAAAATGTGAAAAATACAGGAATGTGAACTAGAAAATGGAAAATTTTAGCTCAACCAAAATAGTTGCCACCGACATAACGCTCCAATATTTTTTTTTGTTTTCTTCCAACAGTAGAAACGCCTTTTCACCGACCATCCCATCGTACATGACTACATATGCGATATCGAGTAAATTAACTTCCACTTCTCTTTTTCTTGTCTTAACTCTTAAATGTTCAAGTTTTCTTATTTTCTTGGAATTTTATGTTGATATATTATAGATTGCAATTTCATGGAAATGGATACGCGAACATCTGTAATTGTAAATGTGATATTTTTAGATGCAATCTAACATTTATCTTACAGAACTAAAAAAATGAATATTCATGACCTTTTAGATGATTGTAAAATCAAATTTAACATTTCCAAATTAACAAGTTTTCACATTAACTTTACCAAGTTTTCAAAATTTACAAGTCTTCGGGAAAGTTAACCATGGGCCTTACATTCTTCAGCATTTAGGGCCCAACAGTCCATTTTTCGCTTGTAAAACAAAACTACACGTAGTACCTCTTCACTTAATATAAACGGCAAGCAGTTCTAGTTCATCAAACACCGGCACGAAGTCCTCTTCCCAAAAACACAAACTGAGATGCAAGCGTTTGTGTTTCGTAATTTCAGTTACTTTCCAAACCCAATTTTGGAAATTCAGTATCAGTAACAGAGGAGCTTTATAAAGAAACGATTTTTATTAAATCCTTTTCCTTTCCACAAATCAAATTTCAATCACAAAGAATAAACAAAATTTCTCGCACTCGTCTCCTCTACTAAGCTCTGTTTCTCTCCTCCCGAATCGATCAAGGTAAAAATTCCTTAAAACCCTAGAAATTGAAATCCCCACTCAATGCCCTTGAAAATTTTCTAGGGTTTGATCATTTTTTTCACCAATTGGCTTTACAATTGTAGGTTATGATTGTTGTTGATGTGTGTAGTAATGGGAAAAGGTAGAGTTAAGGCCGTAGAGAAAAGGGTTTTAGATCAGAAACCTAGAGGATCGCTCAATGTAGCCTCTGCACCGATTTATCATCCCACGGAAGAGGAATTCAAGAATCCATTAGAGTATATACACAAGATCAAGCCAGAGGCAGAGGCTTACGGTATCTGCAAGATTGTTCCTCCGAGCTCCTGGAAGCCTCCTTTCGGTTTGGATTTGGAATCTGTTAAATTTCCGACCAAGACGCAGGAGATTCACCGGCTGCAGCATCGTCCGGCGTCTTGCAACTCCAAGACGTTTCAGCTGGAGTACAATAGGTTTCTGGAGGAGCAGTTGGGGAAGAAGCTGAAGAAGAGGCTTGTCTTCGAAGGGGAGGAGATTGATCTGTGTGTGCTGTTCAATGCGGTGAAGAGGTTTGGTGGTTACGATAAGGTGGTTAAGGGGAAGAAGTGGGGTGAGGTTTATCAGTTTATGAGCTCTGGAGAGAAGATCTCGAAATGCGCAAAGCATGTTCTGTGCCAGCTGTACAAAGAGCATTTGCGTGAGTTTGAGAGGAATGCTGGAAAGAGCTGCAAGAGGAAGATCCATGCGGTTGAGAGGAATCGAAAGAGGAGGAAGAGGAATGTGGTTGAGGAGAAGGAGAAGGAAGAAGGGACTGTTGATCAAGCTTGTGAGCAGTGTAAGAGTGGGAAGCACGGCGATGTGATGCTGTTGTGTGATAGTTGTAATAAAGGTTGGCATATTTACTGTCTCTCGCCGCCGTTGAAGCATGTTCCACTTGGGAACTGGTATTGTCTTGAGTGTTTAAACACTGATGAAGAGACGTTTGGGTTTGTTCCTGGTAAGTGCTTGTCGCTTGAGGATTTTAAGCGTAGTGCGGAGAGAGCGAAGAGGAAGTGGTTTGGGTCAGGGTCAGTGTCTAGGGCGCAGATAGAGAAGAAGTTTTGGGAGATTGTTGACGGGTCAGCTGGTGAGGTTGAGGTTATGTATGGTAATGACTTGGACACGTCTGTTTATGGGAGTGGCTTTCCTAGGTTAGGTGATCAGAGACCGGACTCAGTTGAGGCAAATGTGTGGGATGAGTATTGTGGTAGTCCATGGAATCTGAATAACTTGCCTAAGGTGAAAGGATCTATGCTTCAGGCTATTCGGCATAACATTAATGGTGTTACAGTGCCTTGGTTGTATCTTGGGATGCTCTTCTCTTCTTTTTGTTGGCATTTTGAGGACCATTGTTTTTACTCTGTCAATTATCTACACTGGTATGTACCTGTACTGTAATTTATAAAGAAACATTTCTTTCATTTTGAGTCTCTTGATTGCGCCTTTTATCTTGAAAGATTCTGTTACCAACTTCTCAGGGGAGAAGCAAAATGTTGGTATGGTGTTCCAGGCAGTGCTGCTAGTGCATTTGAAAAGGTTAGTTTATTTTTGGTTTATTTGTGCTCCAAGTTTTGCTCTTTCAGAAACAAAAGTTAAGCTGCTTGAGTTTTTCTGTAGGTGATGAGGAAAACCCTTCCTGATCTCTTTGATGCTCAGCCTGATTTGCTATTTCAACTGGTGACCATGTTGAGTCCCACTGTTTTACAAGAAAATAAAGTCCCGGTCTACACAGTATTACAGGTTTGATATACAAGAGTTTGTTCATTGATGAGCATTTCTACTGCAAGTTTGGACTCTTGTTTAGTTTTCTAACATTATTCCTCCACTGTTTCCCACTGCTAGGAGCCTGGAAACTTCGTGATCACATTTCCAAAATCCTTCCATGCTGGATTCAATTTTGGTATGTCAACTCTAATTTAAGTTATACTAGTCGCGTGTTCAAATTTTTGCATTAGGGAGTTTGGTTATCAATGTCATTATGCAGTATCTGATAAACTAGCATATGCTGTCCTTTCAGGTTTAAATTGTGCAGAGGCGGTCAATTTCGCCACTGCTGATTGGCTACCTCATGGTGGTTCTGGGGCGGAGCTGTATCGGCTGTACCGGAAACCTGCGGTCATATCTCATGAAGAGCTTCTTTGTGTGGTAGCTAAGGTAGAGAGAAAATATGAGCAAAGCATTAAAAAACTTGATATGAAAGGCAACAAATGTGAAAAACTGTTTTAATTGTCTTGTCTTATAGGGAAACTGCTATGATAGCGAAGGGTCCATACATTTGAAGAAAGAATTGCTCAGAGTATACAGCAAGGAAAAAACCTGGAGAGAGCAGCTCTGGAAAAGTGGTATTTTGAGATCTTCTCCTATGTTTCTGCCTGAATGCCCTGATTCTGTGGGCATCGAAGAGGTTTTTCTTTCTGCAATTAGAAAATTATTGGTTTCTTTGTTAAAGATTTTCCCATTCTGTTATGCTAGCTTGCATAAGATAAAGCTCTGATTTGTGGACTCTTTATAACGGTATTTTGTAGGATCCAACATGCATCATCTGCCAGCAGTTTCTTCATCTTTCTGCCATCGTCTGCAATTGCAGGCCCTCTGTTTTTGCATGCTTGGAGGTAAAATATTTATATCCAACTTCTTAGAGAGCCGTGAATCCTGTTGGCAGATTTTTCTTGAGAATCTTGTTTCTTGATTTTGCTATTTGCCTAAGTGTTTATATTATTGAATTCAGCACTGGAAGCACCTTTGTGAATGTGAGCCTACAAAGTTGCGTCTTGTATATCGTCATACCCTTGCCGAGTTGCATGTGATGGTACAAGATGTTGAAAACTCACAACGGCCGAGTTCAGGCACCAAACGATCAGCTGCTTCCAACAAAAAGGTAAATATACCTTTTCTAATTTAGATTCATTGATTCTAAATATACTTGACTTTTGTAATATGGTTTCTTGGGCCTTGAATGTTACTATAATTTGTAAAATGTTGCTGTCTTATCTGAGTCTAGCAGGAGGGAATGCAAGTTAGTCAGGCAAGACCTGCAAAAGATTGGCTTCTTCGAGCATCGAAGGTTCTCCATGAAGTCTATTCTAGTGATGAATATGCCACCCTTTTGAAGGAAGCAGAACAGTTTCTTTGGGGTGGATCAGAAATGGACCATGTGAGTTTTAACTATCCGTGAGAAGCCTTTTTTTTATGTCTTTGTGTAGATTCTGGAAATAAAGAACTTTTTTCTATTTATGTGACACAGGTACGAGATGTTGCAAAAAGTTTAATCGAAGCAAAGGTATGGGCTGAAGCTGTTAGCGACTGTCTTTCGAAAGTCGAAGGTGAAGCCAACAATGATTCAGAGAAAGTTCAGTTGGAGTTTATTGATGAGTTGCTGAGAGTTGACCCCGTTCCTTGCCTTCAGCCTGGTCATCTTAAATTAAAGGTTAGCCATGTACCTGCAATGTCCTAAGTTTGCCAATGATATCACTTTGTTAGCGTGTTTCTGTTTCTTGTGTAGGACTATGCTGAAGCGGCCAGAGAATTGTCTGATAAAGTTGATTCTTCTCTGTCAAGTAGCCCAACTGTACGCAACTACAAACTCCATTATTTCCCTTACATAGTTCATGTTATGCATTCTGATTAGTGTTGTTACTTGGGTTTGTTTATAGATCACCGAGCTGGAGCTATTGCATTTCGAAGTCTCAAGTTCACCAATCTCCCTTACAAAATATGAGATTTTGTCAGAGAAATTATCTTCCGCAAAGGTAGACCATGATTCAGACAGATATATGCATATTTACTCTTTTCTCTAGATCAAAATATCTTAGTAGTCAGATTTTTGAAGAATGTGTGAATATTTCATATTTGTTTGAATTATGATTCTAGTCTAGTGGTTTCATTTTCAGGTTCTCTTTCATTTTTTTTTTTCCTTGTTTTCATTTTGATAATCTCTCTTTCTCATGCGTCCTCAGATGTTAGCTGAAACGGCGAGATTCTATCTCGCGGATACAAAACCTCCAGGAGTTGAACTGGATGCTCTTTCCAAGCTAAAGTCAGAGGTGACTAAAGTCTATATTATCCTTATTCCGAAATTGATACTCTGTTACTTGTTCATGTGTTTTAATGGTTCTTTTTCCTTGACAGATATTGGAGCTTCAGGTGCAACTTCCAGAGACAGAAGGGATCCTGGATTTGCTAAAGAAATCGGAATCAGCCCGTGATAAATGTAACATAGTTCTGAGTGGATCTATAACTCTCGAGGTCTGCTGTAGTTTTGTTTTGTATCTTTCACTGTGATTAACAACAAGCACTTTTGTCGAACCTCTCTGAAGTCATTTGTTTCTTTTTCTGCAACAGAATGTGGAAGAGCTGCTTCATGAATTCAATAGTATCAGCGTTAACATTCCTGAGTTGAACACCCTGAGGCAGTACCATGTTGACACTTTGTCTTGGCTTTCACGCTTTAATGACGTAATGGTTGATGTTCGTGAAGGCAAGGACCAACGAAAGCTAATCAGTGATCTGAGTTCCCTTCTACATGATGGATCATCCTTAGGCATTCAAGGTCTTACTTTCATACTTAGACATTCTTTTAGTAATGTATAGTGATAGCTTCCTAACCACTTATCTGGTATCTGAAATAGTTGAAGGACTGCCACTTGTTGAGGTTGAATTGAAGAAGGCATCGTGCCGGGAAAAAGCTGGAACGGTTTATGCTGCACGAAAGTCTCTGGAGTTCATTGAGCAGCTGCTCTCGGAAGCTGTTGTGTACGTTGTCCTCTAATCTTGGTTATAGAATATGTAATATGCAATTCTACCTCACTTTTATTCTCATGTCCTAGACTTTATGTTTCAGACTACACATTGAGGAGGAGAAGTTGTTTGCTGAGATCTCTGAAATTTTGTCAACCGCGAGGTGTTGGGAGGAAAGAGCGAGCAGTATCCTTGCTGGTGAAACTCAGTTGTACGACCTTAAAGATCTCGTGAGGTACTTTGTTTTGTAATTTTTTTTTTCAAACTCAGTAATTTCTTGAGTCAATTATTCATCAAAAGATGTTGTTCCTAGGATGTCAGTCAACATGGATGCTGTTTTGCCCTCTCTGAAGGGCATTGAAAACACAATTTCTTCAGCTGAATCCTGGCTTCAGAGATCTGAGCCGTTTTTATCTGTAGCTTCATCTACGGCATCGTCTTCGTGTTCTCTCCTTGAACTTCATGTGTTAAAGGTTTGTCTCCCTCCTGTGCCTATATTCTGGTTTCTCTTTTCTGTGACATGTGATTTTGGAGTAATTCAATTATTTAATTTTTGCAGGATCTAGTTTCTCAGTCTAAATCGCTCAGTGTTCAGCTACAAGAGCCAAGTATTCTTGAAACATTGTTGCTAAACTGCGAGAGGTGGCAGTGTGATAATCATCAGCTCTTGCAAGAGACTGAAGATTTGTTGGACTGTGCGAAAATAGATGATGGCATGGATATAACGATCGTTTCGAAGATTACGGATTTGATAACCAGAGTGGACTCCGCTAGAGAATCTGGTCTGTCCCTTGGTCTCAATTTTGATGAACTTCCCAAACTTCAAACTGCAAGTTTAACACTAGGATGGTGTTGTAAGACCATCTCGTTAAGCTCTAGCTCACTTTCCTCTGAGGTACAGATAGATTCCTGAATATCAATTTGTTTTGACAGTTTTGTTCAAGATGCATGTGTGGTTTTTACTTACCCTTTTGATTGTTTAAATGCGTCTTTAAATCCCAGTTGCTAGAAGATGTAGGGAAGCCCTCGTTACAGAATATTCAGCAGCTCTTAAAAGAGGTATGTTCTGTGTCTTGAAACATTATCCTTTGCTAGACTACTTGACTAGTTGGTTCTGATATTTCTATAAATACTATGACACCACAGTGAATGGTTTGGTTATTTGCTTCTTGACAGGGACAAACACTGAAGATAAACCCTGAAGAGTATTACTTAGGCAAGAGACTTGTGGAGCTACAAGACACTGGACTAGAGTGGGCAAAACGAGCTAGAAAAGTACATGACTAAACACACATTTTCTCAGTCAAATGCTTACTACTCCCTCTTGAATGCTTAACGAAAAACGAGTGATTGATTTTATCTGCAGGTGGTGACAGACTCTGGCGCTCTTGCCTTGGAAGATGTCTTCGAGCTTATATCCGAGGGTGAAAATTTGCCTGTCCATGCAGAGGAAGAACTTCAGGCCTTACGAGCTCGAAGTATGTTACACTGTGTTTGTCGAAAGCCATACAACTCAAGATCCATGGTTTCTTGTAGTCAGTGTGGCGAATGGTATCACACCTATTGTGTTAAGCTTCATTGGAAACCTAAGGCTTATGTCTGCTCCGCTTGCTGTCCAGTTGCGGAATCCAGTCCACAGATTGATCCCGCCAGGTTTGTGCCACAAAGATTTTCTTCACCAATGTTGTAACAGGTTTCTTCCCATTTCTCTGAATCTGTTTGATTGATTGATCTCTGATAACAGGTCAATGGAGCCAAAGACACCATCACTGAACCATAGACGGACAAGAAAGGTAGCGACCGATGCAGAGATCAAGGATTTACGGTGGCAAAACCGAAAACGTGTCAAACGGACGGCTAAACGGAGTCCTCAGGTTCACATTCTTCCCTGGTTTTTCACTTGAGAACCAGAATATCAATCAAAATCCTAACTCCTAAGAATCTGATAGATAGCAATTTCATTTATTCAATTTTAGATTGGTTTTCTCAAACCTTTTTTTCCTTCTATTATTAAATTTTTTTAATGCTTCCATTGGAAGATAGAGATGTTAGCATAAAAGTTGAAAATTTGCCAGATTAGTGGATTTATAACTTGAATTAATGATTATGCTCGATTCTGCATAATTCCCATTGCAGCTGTATATAGAGAAGATATAAGCCTAGACTGTAAAGTTCAGGCTATTTCCATGTTGTTAAATTGTAATGTTGTATCTAATAGCTTAAATAAATTATTAGTATGGTGTTATTGTAACTTTAAAAGTTTATTTTATCCGTGTACCATTAATTTGTACTTCTGTTGAATTCTAATTCAAGTGCTTCAAACTTTTGAAATAATTTCAATTTTTAAAACCAACAAGATCTACCAACATCAAACTACCAGTTTCCTATTAGAAAATTTGAAACTATTGGACCATAAAAAAATCACCGGACCACACAATGTGTGAAGAGAATCATATCTCTACATCCCCACAAATACATCAGAAGGAAAATAAAAAAGCAACAGTTGAGATCACTTTCCTTACAAGAATCAGAGAGAGACCCACTTTTGATGACATCATGTTTCACAGACCCACAATCATACTACATCATGTGTATATATATACATGTATAATGTGTATGTGTGTATGTATATGTATTGTGAAGTATTAATTAAGGGACTTTCATATAAAAAGAGCACTTACTGTACCTTTTCAGACACCATCCTCAAAGCTGAAAGCCTCCTTCAACACTCTTCTTCCTTTTTAGAACATCTACATTTATTAAGATTCACTCTCTCCATATCTAACTCCTGTGGATTTTCTTTTGTAAGATATAAATGTTATATGGACTAATTTGTGTATGTTTATAGCCATTTATGTGTGAGAAACAATTAAAAAGATGTCAAGTTCAGTAGTGGTCGGTCTCAAATATTTATGCGATCTTTCATGAAAACTGCCAAGTAAAAAAAATAAAAGAAAGACAAGTCACATTAATTTTAGGTGAAAGTTGGCAAAAAAAGTGAAAAATTGGAAAGTCAAATTTATTTTATTTTTAATTGTCAAAAAGTCAAATTTGTTTAGGTGTTGAAGCTGTAGTGTAGGATTGTTTGACAAAACAAGTTAGTGGGAAGATTAAGCACAAACTATAAATTTTAATGATGGAATTAACCAAGAAATAAAACATACAGTACTATTTAAGAAACTTCATTTATGTGATTATATCTATTCGAGCACAAAAATTTGACCATTTGGATTTTTTGTCGGGTTCTTTAAGGCCACCGGATATTAAATGCATCATACAAGCTTTCGAATTAGTTGGAAATATATACACTAGTACACATGTATAATATAAAGATCACTTTCAAAACTTTTAAAAGAAAAAAATTAAAAAAGAATTTAGATAAATAAAGTAGTGAATAAAAAAGGGGAATATAAAAATGGAAAAAAAAAAAAGTTAGGAGAGAGGGCTCACTGTCCGAAGCAAAGAAAGAAATAGCAAAGTGATTTAGACATGTGAGAGAGATCTCTCTCTCTCCTCCTCTTGGCTCTTTTCAAGTGGGTCCTCTTCTCTCTCCTCTCTTTAGTCAACAACACATCTCTCTCTAATCAAGAACAAAAGTCGCTTTGTTTAAAAACAAATTTTGATCTACTCTTTCTTTTTGTTTTCATCAAAAATATTTTGATTTAGAGTAACTAGTTGCTAGCGAAAAAAAATACAAATAATTAGTGTTCTTTTTGTTATGTTGGTGTTCTTTATAACCATATAACAAACTTTGTTTTTTTAAAGAGAATCTTTATTTTGTTAAACAGAAAATCATTATATAATGAAAAACACTCTTACTTTCATAGAATAAAATGATATAATCATCCAAAATCACCATTAATTCTTAAACGTGTTTGTTTCGTTATTTTCTACAAACAGTTTCTTTTGTTTTCATGTTATTGACTTTATTCACTACTATACCATATTGTACGACAAATGCAGCTAAATATTTTACTCTACTATATTAGCACTTTTACTATTTCAATATAATAAATTAATTACCCTTTTTACAAAATATCATTAGTTAATTTAGTAAATTGTCTTTACTAAATACTTTTTTTCATTCAACATCATAGTTAATTACAATAATAATAATAAATGTTTATTGGCAACATGCTTATTTTATTAGCTTATAAATTTAGTTTTATATACGGAAGAAACGAACATATGATTTTATACATTAAACGCTTGAAACATTAATGAATATAGAGTCTCAAGTGACTAAATTTCATTTTCAGTCAGAGATCTAACGAGACATTAGATTTTGTTATAAATCCACAAAGAAAGTCCATATGCTTTTTTAATAAAAAATATTCTTAAACAAACCAATTTAATAGATTTTTCAGAAAAAAAAAGAAATATATAAAGAGAAAACAATGGTCGTCACTCTCCTCTCTTCTTCAGTCTTCTTACTTTCAGAGAAGGCCTAAAAATTCAAAAGTTTCACTTCACAACATTTGAGAGAAAAAGAAAAAAAAAAATCTAAAATTATAAATCTGTTGTCTCTCTCTTTTTTCTCTTCTCCCTGATTTGTCTCTTCTGTCATCTTCTCCCTTGTCTCTCCTCTGATGTGCATTGCGTTCTCCATCTCAGAAACCCTAGATTTCGAAAAATCAAATCTAGCTTCCCTTTTCTTTTCTAGATTTACTTTCTCTTCTAGACTGTAACAATAAGAGAGCTACTTTCTTCTTCTTACCCATTTCGCAATTTCAAATCTCCAATTTCACCTTTTTCGAGTTCTCAGTGAGCTCAAAACTTTAAAGCTTCCTTTTTTTCTAGGGTTCTTAAAAACAAAACCCTCTGTAAATCCGACATTGTTGTTCTCCTCCCTACCTTGGGAATTAGGGTTTTACAATTTCTAATCTGTTCTTCAAAAGTTTCGATTTTTATTTTCTTTTCACCAAAAAAGGAAACACTTTGATTGAAAGACTTGTAATTTAGGGTTTTAGATGCATGGATGGGAGAGAAGCAATGTCATTTCCAGGCTCGCATCCTCAGTACTATCTCCAAAGAGGAGCCTTCACAAATCTCTCCCCTTCCCAGGTCGCGAGTGGGCTTAACGCGCCGCCGCCTCCTCCGCCGGGGTTTAGGCCGATGTCTAACCCTAACATCCACCATCCTCAGGCTAACAATCCTGGACCTCCTTTCTCCATAGCTGCTGACCACAGACACTCTGATTTCGGACACAGCATTCACATGGGGATGGCTTCCTCTGCTCCTCCTGCGACGGCGCAGCCGCCTCTGCTTATGCCGCCGCCGCCTATGGAGCAGCCGATGGTTAAGAAGAAACGTGGACGGCCGAGGAAGTATGCTCCTGATGGACAAGTCTCTTTAGGGCTTTCTCCTATGCCTGCTTCTGCTGCTAGTAACAAGTCTAAGGACTCTTCTTCAATGTCTGATCCTAATGCACCTAAACGAGCCAGAGGTCGTCCTCCTGGAACTGGAAGAAAGCAACGCTTGGCTAATCTTGGTGAGATCTCAACTCCTTCTATGTTAAATTGTGAAGAACATGAGCTTAGATCTTATAATTAGGTCAAAATCTGGATGCTAACTAGAAGCTATAGATGATTCTATGCTCAAGTAATTAGGTTGCTGGTTTAGCTCTGTTTTTACTGCTGCTAATTGACTGGTCCATGTGTGGTCTGATGTGTGATTAGTGGATTAGTAACTAGTCAATAACTCTTGAAGCTAGTTTTGGTGAGATCTCAAGCTTTTTTCAAGTACATTATGAAGAACATGAGCTTATGTCAAATTTTGAATGCTAAAGCTATAGATGATCTTATGCTCTGTTGTTACTGTTACTCAACATTGGTTGTTAGGTATTAAGCTGTGAAAAGAGTAATTTGACTGATCCAGCTCTGGTATAAACTGTATTTAGATAAGTAATTGGTCACTAGAATGTGATTAGTCAATATGAATTTGGTGTTAAGAGATTGCTTTTGACTCTGTTGATTACTATAGGTGAGTGGATGAACACTTCAGCTGGACTTGCTTTTGCACCTCATGTCATCAGTGTTGGAGTAGGAGAAGTAAGCTCTCTAAAACTCCTTTCATTCTAATGATTCTGTTTATTGACAATCTGAAAATTGTAGCTTCTCATTGTACCCATTTCCTTTTACTTTGTTGTAGGATATTGTTTCGAAAGTTCTGTCATTTTCACAGCAAAGACCTCGAGCTCTTTGTATAATGTCAGGCACCGGAACAGTTTCTTCAGTCACTCTACGTGAACCCGCTTCAGCAGCGCCTTCTCTAACATTCGAGGTTCCAAATTCATTCATTCACTTAACTGACAAAACCTAAAGATTCTTTAACTTGTAACCTTTGTTTGTGTGTGTTTTGTAGGGACGTTTTGAGATTCTAAGTTTAGGTGGATCTTATCTGGTGAATGAAGAAGGTGGATCCAAAAGTCGAACAGGCGGTTTGAGTGTCTCTCTCTCTGGTCCTGAAGGTCATGTTCTTGGCGGTGGCATTGGATCGCTTATCGCAGCCAGCCTCGTTCAGGTTTGTATACTCCTCTTCATTAGTTATGATGTTTCTTATCTTTCCATCTTTAAGATTTGGTTCTTTGTTTGCTTGTTTGTTAAGGTGGTGGCTTGTAGTTTTGTATACGGAGGAGTTACAAAGTCTAGTAATAACAACAGTAACAAGACCATCAAACAAGAAACCGAACCAAAGGAAGAGCAGCACAACGACAGCGAAATGGAGACCACAACACCGGCCAATGCAGCACCAGAAGCAGCAGCAGCGGCGGCTCAGCAGACGCCGCCACAGAGCTTCTCAGGTCAAGCAATGAGCGGATGGCCCGGTTCAGGTTCAGGTTCAGTCTCAGGCTCAGGGAGATCACTAGACTCTAGCAGAAACCTACTCACTGATATTGACTTGACTCGCGGATGATGATGATTCATCAGAACAAAAGAACAAACATTTTAATCTTTCTTCCTATTTACTACCACTCTACCAATTTAGCCTTTGAAGCAGCAGCAGCAGCAGCAGCATACAAGATGTGAGTGCTGTAAATATCTTTGTTGTTGTAGAATGTTGAAAACCAGAAATCTCAGGATTGAGACAGATCTCTGAGTTCCTTCTAACATTGTTAATGTAACAGTAACATCCCTACTTTCAGGTTATTTTAAGGATTATTTTAACTATTTATCCCACTCTCCTTGTGGTTATTTGTTTAAGTTGATTACCTTATTATTATCACATGATGATTTGTTTTGTGTACTATATGAGACTATGGTGTCTTTATCAACCATGAGATAATGCTTGTTTATCTAGATAACCGGCTTAACTGTGAGAAAGGTTACAAAGATATTGCAGAATGTCAACGCTTTATTACATGAGAAAGGTTAATGATCAACACAGGCGATTCAGTCACAAAGCTCCACCATTCAGGAGATGTTGAGAAGCTTCTTGATGTCATGCTGCAGAAATTGAGACAGAACATAAGCAGAAAGAGGGAGAAAAAAAGAAAGAAAGATTGTTTCTTTAGAGTAAGAGAGATTGTTTCTTTACCTCAAGAGCAAGAGGATCAGTGGTTGGATAGTAACGTTGAGAAGCTTGACCAGTCTTGTCAACAAGAAACTTAGCAAAGTTCCATTGAATGTCGTCCCCAAAGAACCCCCATTGGCCTTTCTTCAAGAACTTATACAGAGGAGAAGCATTCTCTCCGTTTACTTCAATCTAATACACACAACAATAGGTTTTTAAAAAACCTCAATCAATCAAGACATAGAGATTTGTAATGGTTTTGGATCTAACCTTGTTGAAAATGGGGAATTCGGATTTGAAACGAGTACAGACAAAGTCGGTGATTTCTTCAGCAGTTCCCGGTTCTTCTTCGGCAAATTGGTTACAGGGAAATGCAAGAATCTCTAGACCTGCAACACAACAACATCAAGTAGCATGAGACTAAATAGTAAATAGATGTTGTTGACATCAAGTTTTTACCTTTGTCTTTGTACTTGTTGTAAAGCTCATTCAATTCAGTGTAGTTTGAATTTGTGAGCCCACTGAGACACAACCACAGAGTAAAAACAAGATAAGAAACAAACATTTCGCATGTAAAATCAACAAATTTACAAATCAAAAGGCGCAAAAGACAAAAACTAACCATTTGGAAGCAACATTGACAATTAAAAGGACTTTGTCTTTGTATTGACTGAGTTCTAAGCTCTTTCCACTTGCATCCTGTTGCAAACATAACAAGCGAAACTCATGATTATTCAGCTAAAGACTCACACTTTAAGAACATAGAGCTCACAATCTGTGAGGCCAACACAAGAGGACAAAGCAAGGATAAATTATAGATCATAAGCAATTCCTTCAGTGAAAACCAACTTAAAGTCAAATCAAGAATACTACTTGGGAAACAAAAAGCTGCAACCTTTAATGATCCCCTCTTAAAACCCTAAATCAAAGGTTGTTCCTTTTTGAGTTTTTAACTAAAATCACCCATCAGTGTTGAATCGATGATCCAAGTTTAAGTAAATATTTCTCACCTCGACGGTTATCTGGTAAACAGATTCTGGGTCCTTTGTCGTCGTCATTTGAACTTGAAATGAAGAAATGAGAGACGAGTCAATGAGGAAATAGAGGAGCTTGGAGCGTACCTAACGAGAAGTGCAGATTTGTGCCGTTCCGTTAATCTATTTTCAACGGTTGTATCGTCTGGGCTTACTTGGGCTTCAATCTAGTGGGCCAATTTCAAAATATTTCTTGCAGCATTTGTGACAAAAACCAAAGTAGCCTTAAGTATCAAAATGACAAAATATAAAGAAGCTTAACGGGTTTTCCCCTCTTTTTTTTGCCAACAACATTTTGTTTTTCTCTTAATGTTAACAAATGTATACGTTTTTTTTTTTTTTTTTTTTTTTTTTTTTTCAGTTGATTTATCATACTATCACAAATTATTAGAAATGTTACAATGAAGATTCTACAATGAACAATTCCGTCTTCTAGTGTATCTCGACCGCCAATCCTGAGCCTCCTGCAAGCATATCTTCAATAATCTGTATAACTGATAATAAGTTGTATTCTTTGGGATTCGAACCACAATTTTTTGGTGTAGAAATATTAATGAATCATTAGCCAAACCGGCCCAATGGGGCTTCCACAAATGTATACGGTTATCCAACCTTTTTTCAGTTTAAAAAAAAAATATTGAAATTTTAGGAAATGAAATGTGTGATATATTGAACTAGGCCTTTCTTGTGATTTGTATTAAAATGACAAATCTCATGTTATCAAACTTGAATACTAGATCTTCTTTTAAAATTCAATGTTATTAAACCTGTGATTTTAAAATTTAGTTTCAAATCTACTGTTATTGGAAATATTTTAAGAAGTAGATTTTAAAAGATAGATTTAATTTTAATGTGATTTGGTGAGATTTACTTGTTAAAAATATAAAAATCTAAATCACATGATTTTAGATGGAATTGTAGGATACTTTAACTAAAAGATAAGAATTTCTATAATTCACCCAAAATCATCTAAAAACTCATTAAAAATCAAATCATCATAAATCACTTCAAATCTCAAGTTCAATACTTCCCTATAGAGACAAATCTCTCGTTTATTCACTTAAGACTGCCGATCTCATCGCAAAAACTCCTTTAATTCAAAGCATATTATTAATTATTACCCACTAAACCACACATGGTTCCCAATCAATATTAGTATATCATTTATTATTGATTTAAAAACCCCATTAGATGCTTCGTTTCTTCCACCAATCCCATTCATCACTTTCCTCGATCTAGCTTTCTCTCTCATAATCATCTCTTGTTATTCTCTCTCGTCGCCGTGATGGTTCTCTCACACGCCGCCTCGGAGTCGGATGTCTCCGTCCACTCCACATTCGCATCACGTTACGTCCGAACTTCACTTCCTAGGTAAACAATATAGCTAAAGCATTAAAATAAGCTTTGATCACATAATACATTTGTAAGTTGTAACGTCGATTAAAACGTAACATATCAGGTTTAAGATGCCGGAAAACTCGATGCCAAAAGAAGCGGCGTATCAGATAATAAACGACGAGCTGATGCTTGACGGCAATCCAAGGCTAAACTTGGCCTCCTTTGTGACAACGTGGATGGAGCCTGAGTGCGATAAACTCATCATGGCGTCCATTAACAAGAACTATGTTGATATGGACGAATACCCCGTCACCACCGAACTCCAGGTAATATTTTAATCATATTGATCGTTGAAAAGATGAGTTTAAACGTAATCATATATCCGCTTCTATGTATGGATGATGGATAGAAATGTTTATAGGATCTTGAGAATTTATTTTAAAACGACTTTGTGATAGTATATGGCCGAGTTATGATGTTTGATTTGTAAGCTCAAGTTGATGTTCTTGTATTTCTTCTCATAGTATATACCACTCATTATTATTACTACAAGATGCTTTGACATTTACTATCAGTAAACTTTTAATCCAAACTTGATCATCACAACAATACAAAAAGTCTACTCATTAATATTTTAATCATATTGATGTTTTAATATGTATAAATACATATACCAAGTTGACAATTAAAAAAAAAAAAAAATACTGGCTGTCATTATAATTTTTGAGACTATACGATGGTGATTAGGGGGTGGTGTATTATACAAGTCGTTGGTGATATAAATATATGAACTACAATATTAGTTTGTATCATTAATAAGATGCTTTAATATTTAATCATTTTCTATATGTATACAGTATACACAAACTATGTAGACTTTTTCTATTGCTGTGAATGTGATGATCAAATTTGGATTAAATCTGGACTATACGGTAGTAGACTAGTAGTTAGGAAGAATATTTGATATAAATATATGATATATTAGTTTGTATCATTGATAAGATGCTTTATTATTTAATCATTTTCTATATGTAACAAACTATGTAGACTTTTTCTATTGGTGTGAATGTGATGATCAAATTTGGACTATACTGTAGTAGTAAGGAAGAATATTTGTACTGCTTTATTCCCGCATATACCAACCACTGTGTTAGGAGTTGGGTTATTAAAGAGGGTCAAATTATTAGATTCATAACATGGTAGGACCAAGTTTTTTAACATATTTTTTTCACTATTTTTTTATTAGAATCTTATTGTCTTTTTGTTTTGTTTTGCCATTTACCTAATCTTAATTACATTACCTAATCTCATGTTGGACTAATGAATAATGCAATTACTTTGAGTGTGTATTATTTTAGTTATTTTTGAAAGACCTGTCACGTTGTTATTCACTACGATTAATTATAGTTAAGCATCGATCTCGATGTCAATAAGTCATTAGTCAAGGAATTAATTATTTTATTGTTTTGATCTAAAAAACAGAACCGATGTGTTAACATGATTGCACATCTATTCAATGCACCGTTAGGAGAGACGGAGACAGCCGTCGGAGTAGGGAACAGTTGGATCATCGGAGGCCATAATGTTGGCCGGTTTGGCCTTCAAGCGAAAATGGCAGAACAAGCGTAAAGCCGAAGGCAAACCTTTCGATAAACCCAACATTGTCACCGGAGCCAATGTTCAAGTAATCACTCACTCGCCATTGTTTAAGTCTAATAATTTAATTTTTGGTTTTTAGTCAAATTCTAATAACGAGTTCAAAATGTTATAGGTGTGCTGGGAGAAATTCGCTAGGTACTTTGAGGTTGAGCTTAAGGAAGTGAAACTACGTGAAGGATATTATGTGATGGATCCGGAAAAAGCTGTTGAGATGGTCGATGAGAACACTATATGTGTTGCAGCCATTCTTGGTTCTACTCTGAATGGAGAATTCGAAGATGTTAAACTCTTGAATGATCTCTTGGTTGAAAAGAACAAAGAAACCGGGTAATTAATTAATTAATTAGTTTTATATATACCACTATGATCAATAGATTGTTTACACTACTTTATCAAAACAACTAATAAATATATGCATATTTTCTTATAGATGGGATACACCGATCCATGTTGGATGCAGCAAGCGGGGGATTCATAGCACCGTTTTATATCCAGAACTGGAATGGGACTTTAGATTGCCGTTGGTGAAGAGTATAAATGTGAGTGGTCACAAATATGGACTTGTGTACGCAGGAATTGGTTGGGTGGTTTGGAGAAACAAAGAGGATTTGCCTGAAGAACTCATCTTCCATATCAACTATCTTGGTGCTGACCAACCTACTTTCACTCTCAATTTCTCCAAAGGTAATTAATCTACTTAGTAATGGTTTTCTTTTTCTTGCTTGTCCTTTTTTTTTTTTTACTTTTACTAGCCATGATCTTAATCTAAATAGAAATTAACATCAAAGTGATGCAGGTTATATATTCTTATACTAGCCATGATCTTAATCTACTTTAAAGTACCCAAAAGTCACTTAAACGACTCCATATTCTTTTGAATTTTTCGATTTTTTGTTATTAAAAACTAATAGTAGATTGATCATCAAAGTGATTTAAGGTGAAAAAAAATTCCATTTCTAATAGGGAAACGTTACTTAAATTATTTCTTTAAGTGATGGGGCCATATTCTTTTCCAAGTGTGGGGAATGTAACTTTGACTATGGTGTCCTATTCGAAAATTTTAAATTTTCACAGAGTTTTAAATTCTAGACTTTTTCATAATTGTTTTTGTTTTTTAGTGTATTTATAAGTCTACAAATTATGTTCCTTTTTTCTGTATTTTGTTTTACTGATATTCTTCTCTCTGTAAACGTAGGTTCGAGCCAAATCATAGCTCAATACTACCAACTTATTCGATTGGGCCATGAGGTGAGTGGGTCCACGATTATGACTTAATATATTAATGCTAATTAATTAGAGGCTTGATAATAAGAATTAAAATGTACTACCAAACAGGGTTATAGAAATGTGATGGAGAATTGCAGAGAGAATATGATCGTGCTAAAGGAAGGACTTGAGAAGACAGAAAGGTTTAACATCGTATCCAAAGACGATGGAGTGCCACTTGTTGCTTTCTCCTTGAAAGACAACAGCTCTCACACTGAGTTCGAAGTCTCCGACATGCTTCGCAGGTTAGATGTCGTATAACACGTATAGTTTGATGTACGAAACGTATGATGAATCTATAACTATAGACATATTTTGAAATCTAGGTATGGATGGATTGTGCCGGCATACACAATGCCTGCAAACGCACAACACATAACTGTACTTCGAGTGGTCATCAGAGAAGATTTCTCAAGAACACTCGCAGAGAGACTTGTGATCGATATTGAGAAGGTCATGTGTGATCTTGATGAGCTTCCTTCGCGAGTGATCCACAAGATTTCCCTAGGAGAGGAGAAGAGTGAAGCTAACGGTGATAACTTGATGGTGACGGTGAAGAAAAGCGATTTGGAGAGGCAGAGAGAGATCATCACTGGCTGGAAGAAGTTTGTCGCCGACAGGAAGAAGACCAGTGGTGTCTGTTGATTGAACTATTTATGAAAATGTTTGGAGTTACTTTATTAATAATGCTTTTGCATGGATTTGGATATTCGGTATTTATTTTTCTTTGACATCAAATGATTTGGTTGAACCAAGTTTCATTTTATTTAGATTTGTTATGTCATTTGAAATTTTATTGAAATATTATGAAATAAGTTTGTGTTTTTGTTTCATCATACATTACACATATATTCTTTACATAGCCTCATCGAATAGACAAGTGATTCATTATTTACTCTTTTTCATTTGTATTTGGTTTTATCCCAATTTGTTGATCAAGATCCAAAGTCCATCAAAAAGAAGAAAAAGTTTGAGGAAAATGGATTGTGTAGTTTCGAATTTCAATTTTAGTTTAAATTTCTATTATTTTCGTAGATCATCGGACTTTGTTCCAAAACTTATCTCTTCATCTTCTTTTCCTTTTATTTTTAATATATAGTCCCTCCGTTTCAGATTAGTTGTCATTCTGGCAAAATGTATATGTAATTTTTTAGATATATATTTTGAGTTTAATACATCCAAAAAAATTGCATATACATTTTGCCAAAATTAAAACTAATTTGAAACGGAAGATATATAATCTTTTGTATTTCGACATCTAAAACTCATCTTTGTTTTTTTTATCAAAAACATTTTATAAAGAATATCATCTTGTTACTCGGATAAGTAATCTGCTCTTTACCCCGAAAATAGAAGAAGAACAGTGTGGTTTACTATTGCAATCTTTTTTCTTCAGAAATTAATTTTTCACCCTGTAAATTGGTTTTGAGGTCACGAAGTATATTAGTTTTTTCACATAGTTATCGTATCCATATGACCATATCTCTTATTAATATTTTCCCTTAATTACTCCCCACCTGGAAATAAACTTTACCCAACAGCGTTGTCAACTCTTTTAAGAGAATCAAATTTGTAAGATTTATCTTAAAAAAGCAATATAACTTAAACAAAGACCATGGAATTGTTAATCAACATTCATCTTAAAAAAGCAATATAACTTGCGACTTTTTCTCTTCACTTAATCTAGATGTCAAGAGATATGTTAGTATTAAAGATGACAAGTGTACATTTGACCACACGAAGTAAAATGAGCGTTTTGGATTACGTGCTAGATTCCATTTCTAAACTTTCTCTGGCATATTCTTTAATTTATTTGATAATAATAACTCAACAAATTGTCAATTCATTTATACATTAATTATTTTTTTCTGTTTACTAAACTTTCTGGTCATATAGTATTTGCACTAACTCACACATCCACAAGGACAATGTTAAAAGAATGACTGACCCAAAAGAATAGAAAAACTTAAAAATGACCAATTCATTTATTGATCTTCTTGATGGCCAATAACTACTTTCTATATATACACACACACCTCTTTTCCTTCTTTTTGTCTCTACAGGTATAAGCATGGCAACAACAAAAAATCTCTTCGCTTTCTTTGGCTTCTCTTCTCTCTTATTTCTTCTTTTCACCACCAACCAAACCTTGTCAGAATCCGAGCACATGGACACGTTCTGCATCAAATCATCCGCCAATTTCACTCGCAACTCAACCTACCATACAAATCTCAACACTCTTCTCACCACGCTTAGCAACCAATCATCTTTCTCTAACTATTATAACCTCACCACCGGTCTAGCTTCAGACACTGTCCATGGATCTTTCTTATGCGTAGGAGACGTCAACAGAACAACCTGCAACACTTGCGTCAAGACCGCATCAATCGAGATCGCCAAAAACTGCACCAACAAGCGAGAAGCAATCATTTACTACTACGATTGTATGGTTCGCTATTCGGACAAGTACTTCTTCTCGGACTTAGACACATATCCTTATAGCTTATGGTCCTCTGATGATTCAACACCTAAATCATTAGGTAGCTTTGGGGAAACGTTGTCTAAGAAAATTATGGAAGTTATCGATTTGGTCTCTTTGCTATCGTCATCTTTTATACCATATTATCAAATGGATGTGACACAATACGAAGGATCATATGATCTTTCGTCCATCGCTCAGTGTAATCCGCATTTGGATGCTATAAACTGTACCGTGTGTCTCAAGATTGCGTGGAAAGATATAACAGATTGTTGTAACAATAGTCGCTGGGCTATGACTTTTAGTCCTGACTGTTTCGTCAGTTTTGATATCTCAACGACGTCGTTCCTCCCGCCGCCGCCGCCGTCGGATAAACAGAAACGTAGCGATTCCTTCTCCATTAGAGGTGAGCAGATATAAATTAATGAATTTTTATAAAAAAAAAATTATAAATTACATATCACGATTATATTTTGTCTTTTCAAAAATAAAAAATATTAGTAGTATTTTTGTCACTGTTGTAAATTTGTAATGTTGGGATTTCCTTTTGCAGGAAACAATGAAAGATTTGGGGATATGGTTGTTGCTGTAGCTGCTTTGGTGTTTGCATTTTTGGTACTATGCTAAGAGTAAAAAAAACTATTATATTTTGATGCTTAATTGCTTATGCTTTTTTCTACTTGTATTTGGTTATTATTCAGTTGTCGAAAATTGTAAGGACTTTTTTTTTTTAATTAATCGACTTTTTTTTTGTTTAATTTTGATGCCTGCACGCATCCCGATCGGACTTGAAAACGTTGTAATATCAAGATTGTTTGCATCGGGCATCCAATATCAGGATTCAAAGATTATCACAAATATAAATACATCAAAACATGTGCCGATTGCAAAAACTGCCTTTTAGCATGAACATTTTCTTTTTGTAGTATTCCCCCTCATAATTTGAAATCTATACTCAACATTTTAGATGTATACTCTAACATTTTCTTTTAGACATATTTGAAATCTAGGTATGGATGGATAGTTCCGGCATATACAATGCCTGCAAACGCACAACACATAACTGTACTTCGAGTGATCATCAGAGAAGATTTCTCAAGAACACTCTGACTTGTGATCGATATTGAGAAGGTGATGCGTGATCTTGATGAGCTTCCTTCGCGAGTGATCCACAAAATTTCGCTAGGAGAGGAGAGTGAAGCTAATGGCGATAACTTGATGAAATAAGTTTGAAGAGTAATCCACAAGATTTCTCATGAAATTATTGAAACATTATGATATAAGTTTGTGTCATCGTACATAACACATATATTTGTCAAATATCTTATTATATAAAGCTGGATGCGACTACAAATGCAATGTAAAACAAAAAAATAGGAATCAATGTTAAAAACAAGCTTACAAAGTTTTTGAGATCTTATGGAGTAAACTATCCATAGTAATATCACAAGCATCTCGAAACCTCTCAAACTTAGCATTAGAATCTCCATAGACCAAACCAGGCAAGAGCTCATGCACAATGTAACTCCTCATATCCTCTCTTTCCCTTAGAGTCTTTGACATGAGTTTCTCAATCACATTCACTTTCTTTCCCTTCAAATCTTCCTTGTTTATATACACCGAGTATGCCCGGTGATCCTCCGGTAAATGCCACGTGTACTGATAATACGCACTGTACGGATCAAAGATAACCGGAATGCAACCTGATACGAGGGAATCAAAAATCGATTTCCTCGTAGGACTGTCTCCAGGTGGCTGAAGACAAAACTCCGAATCTTGAAAAAGCTCGATAACCGATTCCGGTTTATCACAGATTCCACTGGTACAGTTCATGAACCGGCACTGGTCGGGAGATGATCTGCATTGGTCAATCAATGTTGACCGGATACTATCAGGATTACCGGGCCTTGCTCCACCGGCGAAGCTGATTAGGCTCCGGCGGGGTTTCACGATGATCTTGTTCTGCCAGCTGGAGATATCGTCGTCGGTTTTCGGGTGGAAGAACGTTGGATGAGGTATAGCGACGTCGTTGACTTCCCATGGATTACGTTCGATGAGAAGCTTCGTAGGGTTTTTCATTTCTTCCATCTCAAGTAAACTTGATCCCCAAGAAACCTTGTTCTTCCTTCTAAAATCCCAAGAGATCTTGCCAAGAACGAAAACGTGATCTTTCCCGGAGTTTCTTTTCCAAGAAAGTTTTGATCCGAGCCATTTAACAACCTCGATCGCCAAAACATCCTTCACATCCTCAGAAACGTTCTTGAAATGCCATCTCAAAACATCGATGCCGCCATAGAAAGGCACATAGAAGAGCTTGGCTTGGTTCTCGTCATAAACCCTACATGGATGCTTCAAGACACGAGAATGAAATATCGGCTCAAGAGAATACTGATGCGTTCTATACATGCCTTTACCAAGACTATCAATCGATTCACCAAGTGCATCGTTCTTGAAGAAGCTGCAAAAGTTAGCCCATGGAACCATATCTGAGCATTCTCCCAACAAATCTTTGTTGAATTTAGATGGTAAATCGTAAACGTAAATCTCTCTTCCTTTGCAAGATCCTGGATTTTCTTGGTTGTTTCCCATTGATAGCCAAGATCTTTGTATTTGAAGATACTTGTTCACGGCCTTTAGAGCAGTCTCCTCGTCTTCATCCTTCGGATTGATGTATCGATATCGTTCTTCTCCGGTTTCTGAATCCCAATCAGTGTGGAGATCAAGATCGAAATCGTTCTTGGCTTCTGAATGTTGATCAAGATTCTCCTCATTGATGGGTTTAGAGTCCTGAGCAAGAACGGATACTCTTTCTCCCATGGAAGTTCCATTGTCTATGACGTGGAAGCTTGCTTTGTTTGAATCTCTTTCTCCGGAGAAAGTTTCATTTTTTGCAAAGCCCTTGTCTCCATCTTTACCAAGAACAACAACGCTCTTCTCTTCTTCACTTCTTATCACATTTTCACTAACCGGTTTAGTGAAGTTGTTGACCGGTACATGTAAAGCAGGCTGAGAACCGGCTGTGAGACAATAGAGCTCGTTGAGCTTCCGGGAAGAGATGCAAATATGAACGACGTTGCCAGAGATAACAGTCGTGGAAGTTGACCAAAGATAAATCAAGAAGAGGAAGAGAAACGTGAGAGGAAAACGATAAAGAACTGATCTTGAGAAGATCGAACAAATGTTATTACAGCATGAACGAGGATTCTCTAGTGAATTTTCAGGTTTTTCTGTTTCGGTTTTCTTGGATGTTCTTGGTCGTCTCTTTGAGATGGAGACAGGCATTTTGTTTTTTCTTTGGTTGTTTTTGGATTCTCTTTTGTTGGTAACGTTTTGTATATGTTTTTTCCAGAGACATGCATGCACGTTTGGCTAATCATTGTAGGATAAGATTAATAATGTTGCACGTCTTAATTGGTGTAACAAACTTAATCATATCCTATAGTATGTGTTTGTAGAATTCATTGAATCTTATATCAAACTGGAATAAGGCCAATAATTCACACAATAATACCCTAGTGTTTCAGACATGGAAAATTTATTCACTGGATAGTTTCTCTGTTCTTGGCTTATGTAGTAAGTTGTTTTCTTTTCGATTCCATATTTCTCACAACATAGATTAATGATATAATCTCCTTACAACAACATAGCACTCTCTACGTAATTAAAAAAACGTACCCTTACATGAGTATGTGGAATCTGATTTCCTACATAAAACAAGACATTTCTAAGCCTAATCTCATTCTTCTTGTGATCGTAATAGACAACATGATATTTCACATCACCACACATTATTCTCCAATCGTAGGGTACAAAAACAAACTCACCTGTATGAATAGTGCCACAGATGCGTAAATCAGCAGGGCCAAATAAAGTCTTCCAAGGACGAATAGAGAGACTTATTTTTGACCATTTCTCAGCATCTTCCACAACCCACAAATCAAATGTATATAGTCCAGTCACAATGGCTAAAGCTACTTTCTCTTGGTGGTTTATCAAACATGGAGGATTCTCTGTACGGACTGATTGAACATTCTCGTTTAATAGAGAAAATAGATCCAACTTTTCGGACCTCACATCGAATCTCAGTAAGCACCATTGCAACATGTTGCTGCCCGTGTAAGCACCATAATACAAAACCCCATTGATGCATAAACCGTTAGTTTTGGGACAATGTGGAGTGTCACACTCAATGATCCTCCATGATTGCCTCCAAGTGTGAATACTTGATGTTCACAAGAAGGGACACTTGAGTCTTTCACGTTTTCCGACACCGACATGCACAACACTTTATATTGGAAACCGATTGGGTCGTGTCCGAAAAAGCTTTTGAGAATGATCTTTTTACTTGATTTGACTTCGACCAAGGGCAAGTTTATGTACTTACCGGTGCTAGGGTTTGTGATGACTTGTTGTTGACCATATCCAAGGTTTATCAAGCCATTGACGTAATGAACATCCAAGAGACGCCTATTCAGGATTTGGCATTTGGTACGAGAAAGACAAGAGAGAGCTGGTTTCTCCTCCTCCAAGTAGAAGATCCAGTTTTGGTTATCTAAGCTATTGAGAGCAAAGAGAAGACGCTGCGGCTGAGGGATCGAAGGAGGAAACGGGAACGATCTGATGAAATCTTGACTGCGGATGATAGTTGACCATAACTTGGATACAAGGAGAAACCTTGATACAAGTTTCACAGGCAATCTCCTCAAGATCTCGATCACTAGATCAGGAGGAAGTGACTCTGAATCCTCCTTAGTCTTTGTCTTCTTGCTGCTTCGACGGCTGCTCATCATCATGACCTTATTTCTTTCTCAACCCATTAACCCTAAGTTCTCTCCCTCGGTGTTTTCCTATTAACAATGTTTTAGTTTTTCTTCTTGTTCCTAAATTTATGATGCTTAAGATTTTTTTAAGGTACTTTTTCTTAATTAATGCTAAAAAATACAAACTTCAAAAATTAAGAGTATTTGAATTCTTGTTAATATTTAAACATTTTTAACAAGAAGTACAGTAGATATATAGTGTGAAAAAATTGATGCATTAATAGTTAAACAATATATGTAATTTCCTAAAACATCATATATTAATCTTCTTGGACCAAAAGATCAAATCAAATATCATCAACACTTCACAATATAACAACTTCTCTTATGCACTACTCTCTACGTAATTACAGAAACCACTCCTTCGCAATTGTGATTGTCATGCGGTCAGCATACATACATACATATATGTATATATATATATATATATATATATATATAAAATTCAATCATTCTTTTTGGGAAACGTTTTTCGTTACGAAATGAATTTAACTCAAAACTAGTTTGTCTTACAAAAGAGAACCAGATAACAATTAGAACCACTCCATTAAACTCAATTAATAGTATAAAAATTATATAGTGTTCATGTTCGTGGGCATAAAAGATTTCACACATGAGTATATAAGATAATATCATATTCATTGAGGAATAAAGGAGATAAGCCAAAAGACAAAACAACATGCATATAGATTTATATGTATGATGTTTCTTTACAACAACATAGCACTTTCTACGTAATCAAGAAAAGGAACCATATCCGAAAACCGCCTAAATTCTTTGGATGAGTTTACCCTAATCTTATCAATCCTAGTTAAATCCTTCTCGTGATCGTAGTAGACAATACAAAAAAATCCTTGATAGTTAAAGACAAAACAATCTCCCCCGTACGACTACTATCACCTCCAATGCGTAACTGCTGCCACATTGATGAATTTATCAAAGGATGTTGAATAGAGATACATACCTTTGACCATTCATGTTTCTCAGCATCTTCCAAAACCCACAATTCATATCTCATCATTTGTTCATACGATCTAGTGGCCAAAGTTACTTTCCCTTTGTAACTTATCATAGAAGGATAGCGCAAGGAGCTCAACAAAGGTGGAGGAGGACTATGATCACCCAAAAATCGTACCACTTGATCAAACTTTTCAGATCTCACATTGAATCTCACCAAGCAGCATTCCTTCATGAGAGTACCCATATAAGCACCATAATAAACAACCCCATTGAAGCACACACCGTTAGTTTGTGGAAGATGAGGAACGTTACATTCAATCATCTTCCATGATTTGTCAACTCCTCCCAATGTGAACACTTGATGTTCAAAAGATGGAGGCCGATGAGGGCCACGATAAGCTTTTTCAGACATGCACAACAACTTATGCTGATCATCTACCGGATCGTACCCGAAAAAGCTCCGGATAGTTTTTTTTCTTGATTTCACTTTGGGTAAGGCTATGGACTTACCTGTGCTAGGGTTACATATCATTTGTTCTTGACCACATCCAAGACTTACCAAGCCATTAGCGTAACGAGGAATCTGGTCGGCATTATAGAACCGGCTATAACGGCTCGTGATACTTAAGCTTGTCGTAAGAGGTAAATTAGAGAGTGGTTCTGATGTTATTGATGAAGAAGACGAGAAGAAGTTCCAAATCTGTTTCTTATCATCAAAATATTTGAACGCCAAGAGAGTATGACGAGGCTGTATAAGCGAAGACTGGTACGGGAATGATCTGATGAAATCTCGACTGCGGATGATTGTTGCCCAAGACTTAGCTACAAGGAGAAACCTAGCTAGAGATTTCAAGGGCAATCTCCTCAAGATCTCGATTACCAAATCAAGAGGAACGAAACTTTTGTCTATAATTCCAGACTCCTTCTCCGTGATCTTTGCCCTTTTGCTGCGATATCTACTTTCCATGATGTTCTTTGGTTTTGAAAGCATAAACCCTAATGTTGTGTCTCCTTCTCTTGCCTTAGAAAATTAGGTTGATATATTTATTCGTTTTATAAATAGAAATATGGAAGCATGGGCCATGTTCTAATTCGAGAAAAGAACAAAGTTTATCTAATGGGCTTAATGTCGTGTCGTTCATCAGACCATAAACTACGTACATCCTAGTAATCATTCACTCTTTTCGACATGCACAATGATTTTTTATATTGGCAATTGATTGGATCGTATCCGTAAAAGCTTCGAATAATAATTTTTCTTGGACTTACCCGTTATAGGGTTAGTCATGAGCTGTTTTTTACCATATCCGAGGCTTGAAATTGTTTGTGTGTCAAAATTAGTTTGTCTTTACAAAAGAGATCAAGAAAACAATTAGAACCACACTTTCACAAATCTCCATCCGTTTGCAACAATTCAGAAGCTAGTGTGGAGACTATCTTTTCTTTATTTCTATCTCCCATTTTCAATTGTTTTTACTAGATTCGAACTTTTTCAAGTTACAAATTATTTTATATGTTCTGTAACATCTTGTCTTCCTCTGGCCAGAATTTTATAATTTTGATATATAAACTCAACTGAAAAAAAAAACAAAAAAGCTCATGTTCATGGGCTTAAGATTTAACACATGATGATTAATCAAAGATAATATCATACTCTTTGAAGATCAAATGAGAAAAGCCAAGAAAAAACTCTCGAAACAAAATGATGTTTGTTTACAACAACATAGCACTTTCTACATAATTAAGATAAAGAACCATAACCGAAAACCGCCTAAATTCTGAGTAGAAATTTTCTCTAATCTTTTTGATTCTATAACCCTTGTTGTGATCGTAGTAGACAATATAAAAATCTCCAAGATATTTTGATACAAAAACAATATCCCCCGTCTGACAACTATCGCCTCCAATGCGTAATTCATACCACAATGAACTCATCAAAGTATTATGACGAAATGAGATACATACCTTTGACCACTCATGTTTCTCAGCATCTTTCAAAACCCACAAATCATAGCTCATCAGCTGTTTACCCTTAATGGCTAAAGTAACTTTCCCTTTGTAACTTATCAAATACGAATCTTGATCGCTCAACAAAGATGGAGAGCAGTGATCACTGGAAAATTGCACCACTTGACCATACTTCTCGGATCTCACATCAAATCTCACTAAGCAGTAATCACTCGAGTGAGTACACATCCAAGCGCCATAGTAAACAACACCGTTGATGCACACACCGTTAGTTTGTGGACGATGAATAATGCTGCATTCAATCATCTTCCATGACGTATCAACTCCTCCCAATGTGAATACTTGATGTTCAAAAGATGGCTCACCGGAGCGAAGATATGATTTTTCAGACATGCACAGCAATTTATGCTGACAATCTACTGGATCGTATCCGAAAAAGGTCCGGATAATCTGTTTTCTTGATTTCACTTTAGGTAAGGTTATGGACTTACCTGTTCTAGGGTTACATACCATTTGTTCTCGACCAAATCCAAGACTTATCAGGCCATTAACGTAGCGAGGATTCGTATCGACAGAACAGCACCGGCTTTGCGGGTTCGTGATATTTGCGCATGTCGTAAAAGACAAATGAGAGAGTGGTTCTGATGCTGATGAAGAAGACGAGGAGAAGAATCTCCAAATGTTTGGGTCATCTAAAGCTTTGCATGCCAAGAGTAGAGGAGGCTGACTAAGAAGCGAGTGTTGTAACGAGAACGATCTGATGAAATCTCGACTGCGGATGATTGTTGCCCAAGACTTGGATACAAGGAGAAACCTAGCTAGAGATTTCAAGGGCAAGCTCCTCAAGATCTCGATTAGCAGATCTAGAGGAACAAAGTGTTCGTAGATACAGCTTCTTGTCTCCGGTGTAATAACTTCAGACTCGTTCTCCATGATCTTTGTCCTTTTGCTGCGGTCTCTAGTTTCCATGACGCCGCCGTTCTTTGGTTCTGAAAGCATAAACCCTAATCCCTCTTTGTGTCTCCTGCTCTTCTTCCTTAGAAAATTAGGTTTAATATATTTATTTGTTTTATTATAAATAAAAAAATGGTGGTATAGGACATGGGTCAAATTCGATAAAAGAACATTATTTATTTAGTGGGCTTAATGTCGGATCCATCCTAGTAATAATTCACCTTTTTCCGACATGAACAAAATACTTTTTACTTGGCTGGCAATCCTAAGAGTTAAAAATCTAAACTAGAAAAATGAAAAACCCTCTCTAAAACCCTACCGTTTTTTTTTCACCCGCTCAGCCATCATTTCGTTCGAACAGATCGAGAAACTAAGCAAAACCTTTTGCGTTTTTGTAACCTAGATTGAAAGAAGGATGATGTATCAATGGCGGTTGCTTCTTTTACGTTCCTGTCATCATCGTCCATTTCTTTCCAAGGTAATCTCCAACTCGATCCGATCCTTGACTTGTTTCCACCATGAACGTTTTGGGTTTGGAGCTTTGCAACGAAGCCAGTGTCTTCTCGCCTTGCCACCGCCAGTGACGATCTCTGTTGGCCGAAGCTTTTCAACTGAAGAGAGAAGTTATGAAGAGGCTGTCGTGATTGATGTGTTTAGCAAATTGAGTAGTGAGGATGAGATTAGGGAAGAGCTTCGTTATATTTTGATTAGCCGTGACTTAGTGTTTAAAACTCTGAGGTTCCTTGAATCAAGCCCTGATGTTGCGGGAAGGTTTTTCCGGTGGGTTTTGGAAAATTGTCCGGAAAGACTTTCCTCCAGGAGTTATAACGCAATGCTGCGTAGTCTAGGTCTTAATGGGCTTGTTGATGAGTTTTGGAGTTTGGTTGATGATATGAAGAAGAAAGGACATTATGTATCAGCTAATGTTAGGAACAAAGTCGGTGACAAGTTTCAGAAAGATGGCTTGGAAGGTGATGTGAATAGGCTAAAAGAGCTCTACGCTTCCTCGGATTTTTCAATGGATACTAAGTTGTTCAGAAAGGTTTGCGAGAGTGTGTGTAAGATTGTGATGAAGGATGATGATTGGGATGCTGAGCTAAGGGAGCTGAAACTCGAGTTTAACAGCGATCTGGTGAAGAGGATAGTGGAGAGACTTGACGAGGAACCGAGCAAAGCGTTGTTGTTCTTCCGATGGATTGATGAGTCTGGCAGCTTTAAGCACGACGAGAAGACGTACAACGCTATGGCTAGGGTTTTGGGGAGAGAGAAGTTTCTTGATAGGTTTTGGAAACTTGTTGAAGAAGCAACGAGTGCTGGTTACGAAATGGAGATGGAGACTTACGTTAGGGTTTCTCCGAGGTTTTGTCAGCCTAAAAGGTTTAAAGAAGCTTTCGAGTTGTTCGAGTATGCAATGATGGGTAGCGGCGGCAAAAACACACCCACCGAGCACTGCTGCTTTTCACTGCTCAAGAGAATCGTGACCGTCAAGAAACCGGACATGGGTTTGTTATCAAGAGCCGTGAAAGCGTATACCGGAAGTAATGGCAACATGGTGACGGATTCTATGCTTAGAAGTGTGCTCAAGTGTTTGAGAGGCGTTGATAGGTTTGAGAAGAGCAAAGAGGTGTTGGTAGCGATGAAAGAAGGCGGCTACATACCTAGCGGTGATCTGGAGAGAGTGATTGCATCGGGACTTAGCCGTGAAGAAGATGTACCTGTGGAGTTTATGGATGCCTCTGGAAACCCTCTGGATGACGAAGCAATGAAAGATTTAGTTGGAAGGCATTGTGATGCTGGAGATCTCGAAAAAGCTTCCAAGTGTTTCAGGAAGATGATTAACAAACGAGGAAGCTACCTTCCTACGAGCTATGCACTTGAGAAGTTGATACTTGCTTATTGCGACAGTTTTCAGGCAAGAGATGCATACAATCTTTTGATGGAGCTAGAGTTGAAACCTTGGCTGTCGTATTATATACGTAGCAGTACGTACGAGATCATGGTTACGAATCTGTTGATGAAGAAAGTAGCTGCAGATGGTGGGTTTGAAGAAGCTTTAAGTCTTGTACATGTGATGAGAAACAAGGGTACAGCTCGTTTCGTGGACCCATTCATAGATTACTTCTCAAACAGTGGAACAGCCGCAGAAGCTTTCGCATTTCTAAAGGCTTTAGCTAGGAAGAAGTTTGCATCTAATGTAATTGTTGTGCGCGTGTTTGAAGCTATGTTGAAGTCTGGAAGGCATAGAGAAGCTCAGGATTTGATGTCTCTCTGCGCTAAGCATATCCGTCGCAAAGAAGATGTTCTACAACTTTTCAGTTCCATGAAACCTAGCAAGTGTTCTTTAGAGAAACCTATCGAAGCCTAATGACACATGGTGATTCATAAAAACTTCGGCAGAGAATGTAACAGCAGTTAACTTGTTTTTCTTTTTACTTTTTCTTGAACTGGATGTTAAATTAATTCAAGAAAAAACATTTTTACAATAGATGCTTGAAAGAGTTGCTAACGTCTAAATATTACAGAGGAAATCATGTACGTAGTTGGTGGTAACCCTAGCACAGACCTTTCAATTTTTGATGTTATAAATAAAATAAATTTTAAAAAATCTATAATGTTCATGTTCTTGCCATAACATATTTGACACAAGTATTTAAAATTAAGATAATATCATACTCCTTGAATTATAAAAAATGAGAAAAGCCAAAAAAAATCTCGAAACAGCATGATGTTTCTTCACAACAACATAGCACTTTCTACGTAATCAAGAAAAGGAATGATAGCTAAAAACCGCTCAAGTCCTTTGTATGAGTTTACTATCTTATTAACCCTAGTGAAATCCTTTTTGTGATCGTAGTAGACAATATAAAAAGAGAAATTTTGGAAATATACTCTTTGATGAGTTTTTAATTTGAAAACTACCCTTGTTTTTTTTAGTTTTGAAAAATACACTTTTTAATATATGAAATGACTTAATTATCCTAATTTGAGGTTTTCAACTAATTTAATAAAAACGAAATTCAAATAAAAAATCTAAAATATTAAGATTTGATTATGATTTTATTCATTTTAAAATACTAAACAATACTAATTATCTGTTTAGATTTTATTAAGAGTATAAGTTTGTTTATATAAAGTTTAAATGAGGGTGAGATTAAAATTGTTTATATAATGTTTCAAAAATATTTAAATATGTATAAAGGTAAACATTAAAAATGGAAGATAAAATTATCCACTATTAAAATTTCAATTAGTTTATAAAGTGTAAAGTTTAATATTTATAAATTTTCATTTGGTTGGAATGGGGATGAGATTAAAGTTGTTTATATAAAGTTATAAAAATTAAAATTTGTTTACAGAAAACATTAAAAATGGAATATAGATTTATCCACTTTTTAATTTTTAAAATTTATATTTATCTGAAAAAAATCTTATTGATTCTATTATTTTTGAATTTCGTTTTTAATTTTTAGCTGTAATGATTTTTTAATGTTTTGTTTAAATTAGGTCAAAACAGTCTTTTTACATTAAAAAGTGTATTTTTCAAAGCAGAAATAAATTAGGGTATTTTTCAAAATTTTAAACACAAAGAGGGTATTTTTCAAAGAATCCCAAATAAAAATCTTCATCATGGTGTGACACGAAAACAATCTCCTCCGTATGACTACTAACACCGCCGATGTGTAAATGATGCCACAATGATTTCATCTAAGGGTGGCTAATAGAAATACATACCTTTGACCACTCATGTTTCTCAGCATCTTCCACAACCCACAATTCGTATCTCATAATTTCTCTAGACGTTTTAACGGCTAAAGCTACTTTCCCATTGTAACTTATCAAATATGGATCTTTGGCAAACAATCTGAAAGGTGGAGGACTACGATCACCCAAAAATTGTGCCACTTGATCAAACTTTTCAGACCTCACATCGAATCTCACTAAGAAGCCTTCTCTCAAGCCAGTACCCAAAGAGGCACCATAATACACAACCCCATTGATGCACACACCGTTAGTTTCTGGAACATGAGGAATGTTGCATTCAATCATCTTCCATGATTTATCAACTCCTCCCAATGTGAATACTTGATGTTCAGAAGATAAATCGTGAAAGCGAGGATTTATTATTTCACATTCAGACATGCACAACAGTTTATGCGTTACCGTCCACTGGATCGTACCCGAAAAATGTCCGGATAACATTTTTCCCTGAATTTACTTTGGGTAATGTTATGGACTTGCCTGTGCTAGGGTTACATATGACTTGTTCTCGACCACATGCAAGACTTACTAAGCCATTAACGTAACGAGGAATGTTTCCGGCGTAATAGTAACGGTGAAAACGGTTCGTGGTACTTGACCATGTTGTAGTAGTTGAATAAGCTGAGACTGGTCTCGAGAAGAATTTCCATGTAACCTGGCGTGAGTTTTTGGTATCTAAAGCTTTGACTGCGAATAGTAGTAGAGGAGGCTGATGATGATCAAGAAGCGATCGTTGAAACGGGAACGATCTTATGAAATCTCGACTGCGGATGATTGTTGCCCAAGACTTGGATACAAAGAGAAACCTAGCTAGAGATTTCGAGGGCAATCTCCTCAATATCTCGAATACCAGATCAAGAGGAACAAAGTCTTCGCATATACGTAATCTTCTTATCTCCGATGTTATAATAACTTCAGACTCCTTCTCCATGATCTTTTTCCTTTTCCTGCGATGTCTAGTTTTTTTTTTTGGCATAATTGATAGCTGCGATATCTAGTTTCCTTGACGTTCTTTGGTTTAGGGTTTAGAAAATTAGGTTAATATGTATTCGTTTTTTAAACAGAAACATAGAGGAATGTCCATAATTTATTTCATGGGCTTAATGTCGGGTCGTCAATCAGATCATAAACGGGTCGGGTATATACTATATACTAATCGAATCAATTACAAATTCCTAAGAACAAAAATTAACCAAACCTAAATTAATTCTTTGAAAAATCGGTTTCCAAAGAAACTAACAAATCACATGAAGTTCTTAATCACGTAAATCCAAAGCCAACACAAATCGTGTCTAACGTAATATTTACGATACGGTTTGTTGGTTTATCAAATTAAATTTCAATAAAAAAAACACATTTGATCGGTTTAATTCGGTTATCTAAACCCGGTCCACCTGAACCTCACGGACCTCCATATCATCAAGCATCTTAGGCCGCTTGTAGTTCTTCAGCAAGAGAGAGCAACACACAACACTCACCGAAGAAGCAGCCATCGCAGCACCAGCGATCCACGGAGGCAACCTGAACCTCGTAGACGGGAAAAGCACGCCGGCGGCGATCGGTATCCCCATCAGGTTATACCCGAGAGCCCATACATAGTTGAGCCGGATCCTTGAGAAAGTCTTCCTCGAGAGATCAATGGCTGTGATCACATCTTCCAAGTTGCTCTTCATCAGAACTATATCAGCTGCTTCTATCGCAATGTCCGTCCCCGCGCCGATCGCCATTCCTACATCCGCCGCCACCAGCGCCGGCGAGTCGTTGATTCCATCTCCCACCATTGCCACAACATGACCTGAAGCCTACAAAACCATTTCTTGCTTTCATCAATATTTCAACCTTTTTTTTTACATTTTACTGTGGAGCAATAAGGTCACTTACCTGTAGCTCCTTGACTTTCTCTGCCTTCTGCTCCGGTTTAGCTTCTGCGAAAACAGAGTCGATACCGACTTCTCTAGCAATGGAGTTTGCAGTGCCCCAATTGTCACCAGTCACCATGATGCTTAAGATATTCATGGACTTCAGAATGGAGACGGCTTCTCTTGCACTCGGCTTCAGAGGATCCGAAACAGCGAGGACTCCGATCAGTTCTCCGTCTACAGAGACGAGGATCCCAGTCTGAGCCATCTCTTCAGCTTCTGCTAGCAACTCTTGAGCATCGATTGGAATGTTAACGCCACGAACAGTCATTAAGTTCTTGTTTCCAACCATGATCTCTCTTCCTTTAACAGTTGCTTTCACTCCGTTTCCTGTGATAGACTCGAAATCAAGAGCTTCAGGCCACGCGGGGTTCTCTTCGTCGTCTCTGAACTGCTTCGCGTACTCAACAATGGCTTTTGCTAACGGATGCTCACTGTTTACCTCAGTTGCGGCAACAAGTTCGTAGAAATCTCGAAGTAACATGGTTTTTAGGAGTTTTGTTTTGACAACCACAGGCTTCCCCATCGTGAGAGTTCCAGTCTTGTCAAAGACAATGCAACTTACCTACATTGGTAAACCAAAAACCTTAGCTCAAGTAGAAGATAAAGTATATTTAGTTACAAAGCAAGAGAGTTTCGTTCACGAACCTTGTGTGCTCTTTCTAGTGCGTGGCCACCTTTAATCAGCACACCTTGAGACGCACCAACACCAGTACCAACCATAACAGCGGTTGGAGTAGCTAAACCAAGAGCACATGGACAAGCTATGACCATGACAGAGATCCCGAACTGTAGAGCAAGCTCGAAGCTATCCATTGAAGAAGGAATCCAGGATTCAGGGTACCAGTGAAGCTTCCCAGCTAAGAACCAAGCAAGCCAAGTTGAGAACGAGAGGAAAATCACCTGCAACAACATTTTTATAATCCAGTGAAATCTTCAAAAAGTAGTTTAATTCTGTTTATCAACAGGTCAAGATTACTAACCAGAGGAACAAAGAATTTGGATATCCGATCAGCCAACTTCTGTACCGGAGCTTTGGCTAGCTGTGCAGACTCAACAAGTCGAACAATCTGCGCAAGAGCACTCTCTGAACCAACTCTTGTAACCTTAATATGCAGAACTCCGTTCTCATTCAAAGTCCCTCCTATCACTGTATCACCTTTTCTCTTCGCCACTGGACTTGCCTCTCCAGTAATCATACTCTCATTCACATGACTCTGTCCCCATATGACATAACCATCTGAAGCCACTTTAGCACCAGGAACGATCTTGATCACGTCGTTCTTCTGTATCAACCGACCATCAATCTCCTCTTCACCACTCACATTCCCTTCCTCATCCAAACTCAGCAATATCGCAGTGTCCGGCGCCAAATTCATAAGCTTTGCAATCGCCTGAGATGTTTTCCCTTTAGCCATAACCTCCAGATATTTCCCAAGTATGATAAACGAAATGAGCATGGCACTAGTCTCGAAGAAATCCACTCCCATGAAGTCCTTTGAGGTCGCAGCTCTCAACACTGTATATAACGAATAGAAATAAGCTGCGTTTGTTCCCAGAGCAATCAGAACATCCATGTTAGCCGATCCTCGCCGTAACGCCTTGTAAGAGCCAACGTAAAATCTCCATCCTATGACAAACTGAACAGGAGTAGCCAAAATCCACCTTATGGTTTCTCCAACAGTTAGCATATTCACGACCTTAAACATCAGCAAATGCTTAATCCCAGGGATATACATAAACACCATAGCAGTCAAAAACACTGGAACCGTGAAAATCAAACTCCAAAGAAACGACTTGTAGTACTGCTTAATCTCTCCTTGCTTCTGAGACTCTCTGCCTACTCCTCCCTCGGAAAAAATCGTTGCTTTGATGTGACCACTATGACCAAATACAGTAGACTCAATCACCTGAATGAAATTCCTTGGACCGGTCACATCAGGTTTGTACAACACAGATATCTTATCACTCCCATGGTTGATCTCAACGGCTTGAACACCAGGAAGAGCTTCGAGAGATCTCTCAATCACCATCATGGATTCATCAGTAATCTCACCATCAATCTTCAAATCAATCTTACTCACATCCTCACCAGTACTTATAAGCACGGCTTCAAATCCAGCGTTTTCAATCTCTTCAAGTAGTTTATCATAGCTCAGGAGCCTTGGATCATAATGAACTTCAGCTTCTTCGATTGCTAATGCAACATGAGCTCTATGCACTCCATGAACTGATTGCAGAACGCTTTCTATGGTTGAAGAACATGAGGAACAAGTCATACCGTTTATTCTGATCCTGCAAACTTGTCTCGACTTCTCATTCGCTTCATTTTCTATCAATGATGCTTCAAATCCAGCATCCTCAATCGTCTCACGGATTGTCTCCACCTGAAATGAGAAGAAATCAGAGGCCTATATTCCCAATTTCTACCACAATCATACAGAAAAATCAAGCTATACAGAAAAACCCTAAACCCCAAATATAATCAGAAAAGGTATTCAATTTCGAATCGAAAGCTTACATTGACAGAGCTGGGGTAAAACAGGATTTGAGCTCGATTGTTCAACGCGTCGATGACAGCTTCGTGGATTCCGGGGAGACGATTGATTTGTTTCTCGATAGATCCAGCGCAAGCGGAGCAAGTCATCCCCAGAACGCGGAAAACCGCCCTGGAAATCTCCTCCTCGTCGATCTCAAGCACCGCCGTCTCCGACGGTGATCCGCCGCCGCGAGATCTGATTAGGTGTTTCCGCACCACGGGGTACTGTTCGCTGAATCTCTCTTTTCGGATGCATGTGAGCGCTAATAGCTTCGTCGCCATGGAATTATCACCAGAAAATGCTTCGTCTTGTGTGCGAATCTTTTGTTCTCGTTTCGAATTTGATTACTTTCTGGGGAAATGTAAGACTTTTGAATGTCTAGCTTTTTAAATATGAAACGACGAGGGAAATAGGTTACGGTTGCTAAATGACAAAATATGTGGGCCGATTCTGTAAATATTCAAACTTTTGGGTCCTACCGAAAAATACTGTATTTTAAGTTGCAACCGCCATATACTGTTTGAAAGGAAATGAAAATCGCTATTTTGTCGTGTAACAGTGTAAGTCTAACCAGCTAAAATTATGGATCGATTAATTACAATTTACAAAAGTCATAATGTTATTATAATAACGACATTCCCATGCTATGCGTGAAATAATATTAATTTTTCTATTTAAAGAGTTAAATATTTTTAGAAACTTAAAAATTCCTTTCACGTTACATTTTTTAAGCTTCTGACTTAGTATGCGTTGCGTGCAATAAATAAAAGTGCATTTTAAAAATTGTCAACGAAACTTTCCTAATCCAGATCCACAGTTTAAGGTGAATGGAATCTATTATACGTGTCTAATCTTAAATTAGATGGCACTCAAACCTCGTAAGAAGTCAAACTGAAAATTGGCGGCTTTAAAATAGTCAAAGCACTGTAAATGGGCCAAACTGAATTATATATAGGCCCATTAAAAATTGTTTACGGCCTTTTTAACAAGTTGATCCATACGACATCGTTATACATTATGAAACTCAAGAACGTTTCTCTTCTTGGTCTCTGCAAACTCTGATCTGATAAAGATTCCAAACTGATTGCTTTCATAGATCCAATGCTTACATATGACATAAGATAACATTACAGATCCGAAAAACACCATTACACATTCTTTAAACTCTCTCATAGAATTTCCAAATTATACAGAAAATCTTTCGTAAACTCTATGTTCCTCTCTTCCTTTACAAACACACCCACAAAAAAAACTAATCAAGAACACAAGCAACACGTAAGAACTCAACCACATTCGTCAAGATCAGAGAAAAGAAAAAACAATATTAAATGTTGTAAACGAGTCGACTGATTTACAGAGTTGGAGTTTTCCTTTTGGTTTCCAGTTAGCATTCATCATCAATCCTTCATCACGAGTCAAGAGCAAGCTCAGCCCAAGCCAAAGAAGATGATCTGAGCTCTGCAGAAATCGACAAACTGATTCTACTCTCCAATGTATCGCATAGCTCTTGCACTGAAGGCTTGTTGCTATTGTTGCTGTTGTTGTTCGGATCCCTGTTCAAGCATTGCCTCGCCACTTCGCACACCGTCTCAAGCTCTTCTTGGTTAAAATGTTTCAGCTCTGGATCCACCAAACTCGCCATTGCCTCTGGTGTCTCAAGAAACTCCTTTGCCTTCACACAATGCAACAAACATGTATAAAGGTCAAAACTTTAGCAACCAAAACACATCCAGAGATCGCAAAATTCCAAACCCATTTGGTTAAAAGTAACAAAGTTTGAAGCTTTCTTCAAAATGAGCCTTACCCATTCAATCAAGAAGCCTCTGTCTTTGCAGAAAGGAGGTCTTCCACTGACAATTTCCAGCAAAAGAACACCAAATGCATAGATATTACCAGATACATCGAGATATCGGCTCTCCATTGCGCTTGGTAGCACGCAAATCGCACCCTGACTACTGATATTTCTCAAATTCTTTTCTGATCTCGCAAGAATCGTCTTCCAGCATTCAAAATCAACCAGCTGCATCAGAGAAAGATTGCATTTGAGCTCAGCTCAGAGATTGTATCGTTTCAGAGAACAAGCTGGTCTCACTTTACTGTACCTTAGGAGTAAAATCTTCTGTGAGATAGATTGCATTTGAGCTAAGCTCAGAGATTGTAAATGGAGGATCAAGTTCCATATGAAGATACTTGAGACCGCGTGCAATGCCTATAACAATCTTCATCCGTCTTGCCCATGATACTAAAGCCGCTTCCCCGTCTGCATCAAAACATATATCATTATATATAATATTATCTAGCCAAAACAATACAGTATGATGCAGAGAAAGTTAGATTACTTACAGTGGAGGTGCTCGTATAGTGTTCCGTTTGAAGCATACTCAAAAACAAGCATTCTTGCAAACGGTGAGGTCTCTTTGCAGTATCCCAGCAATTTTCCAGCGTTCACGTGGTTCAGTCTAGCCAAATCTGCAACCTGAAACAGTGTCGTAGAAAGCTCAGAAACAAAATCTTGAAACAGTTTTGCATATGTTCCATGTAACATAACCGGTCTCAGAAGCTACCTCTCTCTGGAAATAGAGCTCGAGATAACCGGTCCAGTCTTCTTCTTTGACGCAAAGAGAGATCACTGCAATCTCAGGCCCACTTTTCATCGTTCCTTTATAGACTTGACTATCTGCAGATAAACCAATGATGTTGCTAAAGTCTTCACACGCCACTTCAAGCTCTTGTCTTGTGAATCTCGAAACATCCTTCAGCATTTCAGAATCTGTAGAAGTAAAGCAAAAGAAGCCACTTCCTTTTTGAGTTCTTTGCTCCAATGGATTTTGAATTTGAAGTTTAGAGAAAGTTTGGGAAAAGATTCTAACCTACGTAGACTGTGAACTTTTCCTTATCACTTGAAGAAGATTTCTTCCAAGGAATGATGAGTGATGATCTGTTGTTCCATCGGTGAACAGCTGAGAAAAGTGCAACCAGAAGAAGCAAACCAACCATTGATCCTGTGACTATCTCAAGTGCAAGAAGCCACTTAGGTCTCGATGCTCTATGATGCTTAGCCACAATTTCAGCTGTTTGGTGCTTAGGTGGAGAGCTCGGGCTTTCATGAGTTTTGACCAACTGTGCATTACCTGCGACGGGGATAACATTTAGAAAACCAAAACCAAAACTCATCGAGGAAAATGGAAAGTTTATAATCTTACACACCGCATTGGGAAGCAGGTCTATGCTTAAGATCCTTGTTTTGCATGCAGTTCCCTTGAAAGCTCTTCCTAATGACCATAAAAAGAGAAACTCTCAAGCAAAATCAGAGATGTCTAGAGCTCGAAAAGACAGCCTAGATGATAAAGAATACCTTGGAAGATACTCCAAACATTTCGGAATGTTTCCCACGAAGAAGTTGTATGAAAAGTCAGCTACTTTCAGTAGAGAAGACTTGCACAAACCGCCATTGTTTGCACTTGAATTTGAAGTAAACCTGAAGTCACCATAGACAGAAGTCACAGAACTGTTTCATCTCTCGCTTCTTACGCTTATTAGCCTAAACTTACACTTTTGATGCTCCAGTACCAAGAAGACTTCCTTGAAGCCTATTCCTGTCAATATGAAGCTCTTTAAGGTACTTCAAGTTACCTAACTCTGGAGGCAGCTTCCCAGTTAAACCATTGGACTGAAGGTTTCTGTAAAACAAAAGTTTCATCTGTCAAAAAAGTTATGAAAAAGTTTCAACTTTGATGCAGAAAAAAGTTTCCATCTTTATTTACAGTTTCATAATGCTGGACAAGCTTCCGATCTCTGCAGGGATAGGTCCGGTTAGATGATTGTTTCCCAAGTCCAAGCTCTTGAGATTCTTCAAGTTTCCTATCTCCTTTGGGATTGTCCCTAGTAGAATGTTCCCATGTAGGATTCTACAGAAGCACATTCAATGATGTTAACTCTCAAACACACAATGCATCAATCAAACTACAATCATTTGTGAGTATGTTTAGAGTTTAGATGAAACCGCACAGTTCTTGCAAGTAGGTGATTTGACCCAATTCCGGCGCAAGAAACCCTTTTATCGATGAATCCGATATATTTCTGCAGATCCACAGAGATATAAACAGTTTGATTTTGCAGATGTTACACAGGAATTAGTGAATGCAAGATAAAGATCAATGCTTTCTTACATTTTGATAACATGATCTTTAGCTGGAGAGCAATAAATGCCGTTCCAAGCACAAGGATCTGAATTGGGGTCGTTCCAATTTGACATAACTAGCAAAGGGTCTTCATAGATTTCTTCCTTGAATCTTCTTAGAGCTCCAACTACGAAAAGAGAAACAAAAAATTAAAGCTTTTAACTTCACAGATTCTAAGTTACAACTATTAAAGATTTTCTCGGAAAAAAAGTATACTTTTTTACAGGTTGATCGAGATTCTAAGTCGTAATGGAGACTGGAGAATCTTAAAGGTTCGACATTTTTCTAGTAGTATTAACGAGAAAACGATCAAATCAAAGAATCTGAGATCTGGGTTTAAGCAAAAATCAAACTTTTCAACAGAGGAGAATACGATTGACAATACCTTCGTTAGAAGCGAACCCATCACAAGAGACGAAGAAGAGCTCAAGAACAAGAGAGAGCTGGAGAGCTAAAGAACAAAGCTTCGATCTCATTTTTTTTCTTTCGGAAGATTCCCTCAAATTCGGCTCATTAAACCCAGATTCTCTCACGAAGAAAATCAACTGATTTCCGGATGAAGAATCTGGAGAAAGGCGAGAACTTTAATCGAGAAGTATGCTTCTGCAGAAATGGAGGTGTTTTGTTTTAAGCTCAAGAAGAGACTAAGATTAGCAAAGTGAAGCAACAGAGAGAAAGATCGAGAATTTGGAGAATAGAGAAGGAAAATGGTAAAGAGTGGTGAAAGTGGACAAGATTGTAGGATTTAGCAATAAACCTATCAATGGAAACTCACTGAGAAGGGAAAAAAGAAAAAGAAAAGTAGGAATTAGCAGAGATGATGAAGTGTGGAGAGAGAGAGAGAGAGAGAGACTTGGATTCAAAGACAGGTTTTTTTGTTTTTATTTTTCGGTTTTTCCTTGTTGGAGGGGAAAATGAGCTTTCAATTTTCTTAATTAATAAATTAAATAAAAAAAATCATGAAAAAGAATATTGATGTAAAAAATTAAAAATAAAGATATTTGTAAAGAAAGAGGACCCAAAAATTATGAATATTGCAATGAATATATATTTTTTTAAACAAATTAACAGAAAGTAAGAATGTTCTATTCTTCTTTTCCTTTTGCTTTCGGAAACTTTATGTGATTTTGAATTATTTTAAAATGTTCTTACTCATGGGTGTTTCACATGAATGTCTTTAGAGGATTTTAAAATAACAAGAACACTAAGTTCAGAAACTAATCTATTTTTAACTTTGATGGGAATTTCTCATGAAAAAAAAGACTATATAACATACTTAAAAAGCTTAATTAGAAACAAACAAACAAAAAACGCTAGATTTTGATTCAAAAATAATGTAAAAACGAAGGTGTATTGGAAATTTGGAATCATATTCGAAATGAATAAACTTCGTTGGGAGATTCTTAATTTTAGACTATGTAATATAATAATGTTGCTAATCATTGAGATAATAACGCGTTTAATTATGAAGAGAATTTTCTCATGGTACGGTGTCTACGGTGACTAGAGCTTTGCTAAGCTGTTCGTGGGACATACCGTACTACCGTAGACCGCATCTCTGATCCCATGAATCGGACGGTGAAGATATACATGCAAGTTGCAACACTAATCAACATACATTAGATGTTTCATGTTTGTAATGAGTTGTGTTCCTATATTATGGTACATCAATATTAAAACAAGTAATATTAGTGCGAGGGACCAAAGGGTCCATCGAAAGTTACGCCACCAATTTAGAGATTTGTCACAAACATTGTTTGTTGTATGTTTTAATGTACAATTTATTGTTCCAAGATGAAAGTTGAAAGTATATGGTTTTACAGATACATATTTGTTTAGATTTTAACACTTATACACACACACACACACACACACACAAAAATGATGACGTTTGTCTAATGATATAAATTTAGACAAATTTCAGAATATCTCTCAATCGCAGTCATATAAATATGCAATGGGCAAATGCACCAAAGGGAAACAAAATTCAATTCCTTACCCCACTCAATGTGTGGTTGTTGCTACTTGGAAGTTGGAAGAGAAAAAGAGACGACTGAGTCTTTAAAAGACTCTTAAAGTAAACTCAAGTGAAAAAGGGTTCGAACAGATTCTGTGAAGAAAAGAGAGTTTGACCTATAACCGGGTCAAGAAGTCGGATAAATTTCCGTTTTAATACATGTTTAATTAAGTAGGTTAATTTGCGGTGACATATTCGTAAAAAAATTATTTTATTAGCACCGGATTGTTTCATTTCATCAGAGGCATAAACAAACCTTAAACGTTTGAGTTGTTTTCACTTTGTTTGTACCTCGTTGCGTTTTGTTGTTTTGCAAGGATCTTCTTGTCAATATTAAATCAATGAACTCTATACGGATTTGTTGTTCTTCAATTCTATGTCCCGTTCTTTCTTTTCTTTTGCAATTGAATCGTGTGAGAAGTACTGCTGAAGTTTGTGATAGATATTCTTTTTTGTTTAGTTAATAGTTTGTGATACGTACTCTTTTGCAAAAACAACATCATCATCAACAACTTCAGTATATATATTTTATTTTTTTGGGTACTATTGAAGTTGCGCTTTGTTAAACCAATATGATACATTGAGTCATGAAAAGGATACAGGAACAATACTCTTCTATAAAGCAAAAAGAGGTATGAGTCTTGGAAAAGCTAGTAAACTCCATTAAACTTTTTTTAATACTTTTTTCATTTAATATTAGTTTTGTCGTTTTGAGAAAATGTATATATATGTATTTGGATGTATTTTGAATTTAATACATCCAAATACATTGCAAATACATTGCAGATACATTTTCTCAAATCAATAACTAATATGAAACAGAGGAAGTATATATTAGTCGTTTCATGAAAATAAATCAACGTTCTTATAAGAAAAGTAGAGAAAATACTATGTATATATATTTATTTTTTTAACTGTGAGTTACATAAGCAAAAAGGTCTAAAAGATACAGCGCTCAACAACTCTATCAATTAATATGAATATTAATTGTCAACAAAGTTACAGAATATATATTTCCAACGTTTGGTACAAAATGTCATAAACATTTTTAGATGAATCCAACAAACCCCTCGTTTCTTTCTAGTACATTCTACGTTTCTTATTTAATGAAACTCTTTTATAATACTATACTCCATAAAATTGGCCTTAACTGATCGTAACTTCATAAAATTGAACAACAAACAAGAGCATGGGACAAATTACCCATGCGTGTTCCATTTTGTTTGTTTCTAACGTTTTTCGCGTTAACTAACATCAATATTTGAACGTACATATATACATATTGGACGATTTGCTTGTACATATTTGCACACATATATTCAGAATCGGAATTAAATAGAGGCAACTAACATTAATATACATATTGAACGATTTGCTTGTACATATTTCTAACGTTTTTCGCGTTAACTAACATCAATATTTAAATTTACTTTAGCACGTAGCATTGTTGCAGTTATGTGTTAAATTTACCATATGATATTATAAATATATCTTTTGTAGGTCGATGATTGATGATCGATATAAAAACCGGGTGATGCTTCACTGTATCGTAATGTCTATTTATGTTAGTTACTTATGAATGAATCTATTTTCTACTGCTGCTTTTTCAATTTTTGTAATCATGATATTAGCTAAACATGATGTACTAGAAATATTTTTTTTTAACTGAATAAGTAAATATATATGAGACACAAACTGGTGACAAATAATAATTTTATTCATATGTGTTTGGACATTAAATTAGGTTCCTCAGTCGTCACACCCAGGAAACATTGAGTAGATACCAAGCAAAATTGATAAGGACCATCATGAATACACAACTTTGTGATGACATCAAACTTAAATATATATAGGCCACTTGTCCAATCATAATTTTGAACAAAAAAACAAATATAGTTTAATAGTTTTCTCAAAGAAACTGAGATAATTTTATATCTAACCGGATATGCAAATACGGTATTACGGTATAGTGTGTTTTATACGCATTTGGGACAAAATTACGATATGTACAGTTCATGTCATGCATGTAGATAACTGGAGTTTACTTGCACTATGTATTATGGCACATTTGTCAAAGATGTTAAGTCTAGTAGTTAATCTTCGATTGAAAATTTGTAAGATTATCAAGTTTAAGTCAACAAATGAGATTCTTAAGTTTTCAATTTTTTTGCATGAGAGAAATCTGAGTCAAAAATATACACCGCCGTGCACGTGAGAAGGAAAAAAAGAAGGACATTTATTAATGAAAATGAACAAACCAACATTATATTTTTTTGCTAAATAACAAACCTACATTATACTATTCATAAATAACTAAACAGACAATAATAAATACACCTAATGTGACCATAATAAATAGACATATCATTCTAATATTAATGGCTATATTATTTTGTGTCTTTATATAATGACTTAACTTATGTGTTAAGAAGAGATACACGTTTGTTCCACCAAGACGAGTACTATCCAAGTTGGTACCTAATGGCATATACAATATCCCCATCATAAAATTTTGAGAAAATTATTACTGGAATTTGGTATATGATCAATCACATGAAGGTAATAGCTTTGAGATACTATTCTTATAATCAAGAAGCTCCAATTATTTAATATTTAATATCTGGATTGAACTTTATCAGGAAAAGCTTAATAAAAAAAAAAGCTTAATAATTACAACAAGTGCATGTGAACGTTTTCTCTGTTGACATCTCTGATCTCATTCATATATTCATGCGTTTGATCATTAATTTCCCCATCAAACTATGATCAATACTCGATCTATTAGTTCAACATGTATTAATGTAAGCTCGATGCAGATCAATAAATCATAACCATATTAACGTATGTAGGTTTAAAACATTGATCTATCCAAACAAATTAGCTACATTATATGTTGTTAGGACCTGTGTACTACTGGTCAAGGAATGATGTATTTCTCAAATTTATAATCAGTCTAATGTGATCCGATAAATACAAGCAAAAATCAAAATTCGCAACCAAATTTAGATTACATACCAATTTGGATACTATCATTTTATTGAACCTTTTTCCCAGTAAGCGTCTTCCCATTTCTCCACTTTCCTGATAAGATTCAATTTCTTCCTGTGGAACTTCTCGAGACCATTGGGATCAAAAGGAGGAGGAAGTGAACATGGGCTTGAAATGTGAGGCTCGTCAGCTAAAGAGCCCATCAAGAACTTCTTATTAGCCCCATTAAAATCTTCAGAAGAGCACAACATTGCTTCTGTGCAGATTTCAACACTGTTTTCAGGAACTTGAGGCTTGAACTTAAGAAGCTTTGAGTATTCATTCAACAAATGGAACATGTAATCATACACATTTTCCATCGATAGATCTCGTTGCATGAACTCACTTGCTCCTCTTCCAATCTCTTGAGCCTGCAACCAAAAATAAATAAAGAGCATGCACAATTATGCATAAATCCTTTTTCAAGGTTTAGTTTGATGTGATTATTTATACATTCACAAATAAATAGAGAAAAAATAATCATGTAAAAGAATATATAGAAAGAGGTTAAAAAAGAAGATTGGATAATGGTACCTTTTGAGTGTGATTATTAAGCCAATCAACAGCAAATTTGATGGATCTACATTTATCTTTATCCTTAATGGGCCAATAGTGTTGGAGAGGTTGAAGAGTTCTTGAGAAGAAATCATGGTAATAAGGTCTCACCATCAATGTGACTGAGTCACATGCTAATATGTACTTCTCACTCACTGACCATGCATACCCTTCTATATATATCTTGTACCTGCACATCTTATTACTCCAATCATTAAAGTCAACTAGACCTTAAAAAGGAAACTATAGAGAATGGTACTACAAACCTGTAAGTGCATTGATTTGCTACATTTGAATTCTCAAATCCTTTTTGTCCTTCTGATATCCAGTCCTATATATGTAGATACAAAATACTCATTCCTTATAAATTAATTTTTACGCTGCATGGAAAGATTACTAACCAAATATGATTATAAGAACATATGCTAGTTATATATAAAATCATATATACCTGAATGAAAATTCTAGCATTCCAATCATGTTGTGAGGATAAATTGCAAGTGAGAAGATTTTCTCTTGAAGGAGATGCAACAAAAGGGTTCCCTTTCCAATACGCATAAGCTTCTCTTTCCATAAACTTCTTCTTCCTTTTCCCTTCTTCCATGTCTTTCAACACTTTGCTCCATGGCTTTATGTTTATCTCTTGCCTTCATTTCACCAATTTAGCCCTTTTTCAGTTTTAATTATTTACCAACTATGCAAATAAATAATCAAGTATGACATTAGAAATGTGTAATAACCTGAAATTACCAAAGTGGTTTTGTTACTAGACTCCATGCTTTGTTGGAAAGATAAAGGAACTCAAAGTTACTTTACTTTATTAAAATCACTTAATCAAAGCACTAAGTGATGGTTACAGCTACACATTACGTTATAGTGGAGACTGATAAATTACTTTTTCGACACTTTAAACTCTAACTATAATACTATACTATATATAAACAAAAATGAATCTATTAAAATATAATCATGTACGTAAGAATCTATGTGTGTATAAATGAAAAAAAATGGACCACCCTATAACTTTTCTCCGGCATGTGATCAAGTGGGGACAAGTGTACATTAACAACCATACACGCTTCAGACAAAGAAAACGAAAAAAAAGAGAGAAAAGGGATAATATTCCAGTACATACCATCCCCAAAATGACCAATCGGGAAAGACGATATCCACCGTCCATCTATCTCCACAATACCGAAACAACGCAGGTGGTCCATCTTCAGCCGTACGATTGGATTTATTATAACCGTCAGATCTAATGACTGGCCGGTCATCGCAGTCAAACATGAGATCCACGTCAGGCAACTTCCCTGGATACTTTCTCAGCAGCTGAACAATCCCCCACAGTGTGAACGCGTCTCTAGTCTGTATAGACTTCCTGTAGTTTTCGACGAACACCTTGCCGTTTACGATGACTAACCTGAAATGCGCTGTCGTTTTGGCTTTTTCCACCATTTCTCTTGTTATCCCGGTTTCTCTCCATGGTTTGAGATCCTCGTGTATCCACTTGAAGTAATCGGGACAAGACCGGTTCGATTCGGTTTGGTTATGGTTATTATCGGGTTGAGGTGTTCTCGAGCAAGAACCGGACCGGTTTTCATTCAAGAAACTTATGCAATCTACCGGGACCGGTTTTGTTGTTGTAATTGTCGGTCGATTATATGATTCTGTCTATGGTAAGCAAAAAAAAAAAAAAAAATCCTATTATGCTCTTTTTCATTGATTTGTTTTTAATTATGTAATGAGAAGAAGAATAATACTTACCTTGTTACTTGAGCAAGAACCGGACCGGTTCTGATTCAACAAACTTGTGCAATTTACCAACACTCCGGTTTTTTGCGGTGGTTCTAGCTCCCGTACCGGTTTTGTTGCTGTTACTAATGTCGGTCGATCAAATTGTGTCGTTGCCTAAGAAGAAGAGTTTTCATGATAACGTAATTAGTTATATATATAGTGATTAGTGAACAAGCTTATAAGTAATTACCTTGTTAAGCCATAGAGAGGAAGTGACGGCAACACCGGCGGCGACAAGGAAGAGGAGAAGTGTTAAGGTGGCTACATGAAGTTTTCCGGTGACTGGACGGTAAGTTTTGAAGTCGGAGATATGAGAAGTGAGAGCTCTAGATTTTGAGAACAGAGAGGTCATTGTTATGATTTTTGTTCTGGATATTAAAGTGATTCTTTTGTCTTTTTTTTTTTTTTTTGATCTCTCGAAACCGAATTGGAGTTTTTCTCTCTTTTGTGTATCTGTCTCTGTCTCTCTCTTTTTTCTTTTCTTTCTCTTAATTGTTTGTATTCAAACTTAAATATCTAAGCAGGAAAAAAACAAGGAAAGAAAGATGTATGAGTGGATTGAGAAAAAATGATAAGGACACGACGTAAACGGTGATGTATTGGACATCTTTTACTATATTCTTTGGACCTCGGAATTTTAACCATAAAACTTTATTACTCGATCGTGTAAATTACGTTATTGTAGTATTATGATAATCATCATCTTACATATACTACTTTTTTGGACGAAGTATAATTCTATTTTAAAGTGGTATTGGTCGTTAACTTAAAGTGTCAAATAAATCACAGTATGTAATAAAGTGATTTTTCTGTGACATCATATGTAATAAGCCATAACGAAAAAGAATTACCTACCTAAGTTAGTAAGCACGGCCCTGAGGCAAGCCAAGTGAGCCTTGGCTTGGCCCCCAAATTTTTTTAAAAGAAATATATATTAATTTTGGCCTCCAAATTTTAAAAAATTGATTTTTGGCCCCAAAATTCTTCAAATCTTACTAAATTTTTCTGGTCTCCAATTTTTTAGGGCCGGCTCTGTTAGTAAGTTATCAGAAAAAAAAAAAACCTACCTATATATGCATGGATATATGTATACAATTATTCAAGCCTATACAAGCATTTTTTTAATAAGTTTGTGCATTTCATATAAATATAAGTCGTTGGAAAATAGTATTTGAGATTTGGCCTATCTTTATTGTTTTCAAACCTGAGCTAACTCCAAATACTTCTGCAAATCTAGTAACCAGAAACAAAATATCCTTGTAGCTTAATAATGATTCTAGGCCCGTTAAGTAGAGAGTCCTAATGAACCTCTTCGAAGACCCATTCATGCATCTACAAAAGAGACTATTGAGACTTGAGTGTACATGGGAAACTCGAGGCTTGAACCCCACGAAGCTTAAAATAATCATTTAATAAATGGAACATTTAGTCCCACACAATTTTCCAATCTCCATAATCCATTGATAGACGAAAATTCCCATGAAACTAAAGAGTAGATTTCCAACATAACCATATTGTTGAGGAAACAAGAAATGGCTCAGTATACTGATTGGCTTCAGTAGTTAGGTAGTTTTTGATAGAAATTGAAAGATTCCTTTTTCTTTTTCCCCTTTGCTTTTTAATCATTACCACAATATGTATATATTTTAACATCCCACAACAATATACGTTTATCAATTATCAGTGTCTTAACTCTTAACTTTATATTTCACATATGAAAGTAAGAGTAGATTTCCTCCAAGATAACGTTATTATTCCATCAAACATGTATATTAAAACATGGTTAAGCCTAGTATATATTAACGACCATCACACACGGGTTTCACCATGCATCTATATATACAAATACTATTGATCTAGTGACATAATTAGGTGCGAGACAACTCGCATAATTACTTTTGGGAAAATTAAACAGCCGAATTTTAGGGGAAAAAAATAAATAATCGAATGAACATATAATATTCATTGCTGACCCGAAAAAAATTGTACGATGAATCAGTTCAATACAATTGTCTCCCGACAAAAAGAGAAATAATTTTCTAACCGTTCTCTTTTTTTGTTTGGACAACAATTCTAATCGTTCTCTCAATTTAGCTTTTGAGAAGAAAGTTGATAGAACTATTGCCATCATTCTTTATGAATGATGGAGTCGGAAAAGACAAAACATGCACAAACATAAGACCTTAGATTTATTATAAGCTTTTTCAAATGTTTTTTCGATTTGTAATGGTGTCAAACATTAGGGTCCCAAACTGAAAAAGTATATAAAACTGGGGACTTTATCTAATATTTTTTCCTCTAATTAAATTATACGGTCGCGCATGATCCTATTTATTTTCTTCTTTAAGAAATAGGATCACAAATGTTATAGAATGATAAGAGAACAATAATGTTATAGAATGACGTGAGTGCGTTATCTTTACTTTAACCGTATGCGGATAAATAAAATAAGAGATTCACGTACGTACTAAGTATAAATTTCTGTGGTCATATACGAACTTAGAAAGGGGTTTATAGTTTGCGTGGCCTGAAATGAAACGTGTGATCCACTAATTACAAAAGGATAAACAATATTTAATTTCAAAAAATTCTAGGATAACACAGATAATTAACATGTGTACGTATATACTGACTTCGTGAGTCATTTCTAAAGAAGACTGATTAATTATCGATTAGAAATTGTGTTTATGGGCTGAATCGATTCCAATGAAACAACATTTAAGAACAAAACTAATCTTCTTTTTTCTTTTTGGTTGCCATCATAGTCATGCTCGTCTCATCTCCTTGTTTAACAAACTAGTTAACCTTTTTTCTGTTTATATCGCTTGTAACAATTCCCTAGGTCATGTTCATTTTAAGGATATTTGGAAATTAAGGTCTAGATTGGTTTACTACATAACGAATATTTAAATTACTACAACTGACAAATTTTGTGGTCTCTTATTAAGCCACGTGCCCTAAACCTTTTAGAGATGGCTATGATCTCAAATTTTTACTATCGGAAAAGCCAGAAGGGGTTTTCGGCTTTTAGCTCAAGCTCGTTAACGAGTCACGTGTGTTGTCGTTAGTCGATTACACATTTACAATCAACCAAAGACAAAGATTATGTAACTTGCTCAATTTGTATCATTTTTTTTATCTGTAAATCGAGAGATGAATTTGATTCATATATGGTAGAGCTCTAAAGAGAGAATTTTTGTAACTGAGTGATTTAAAAAAAACAAATAAACAGTTTATATATATTATCTTTATTTTATATTAGTTATTGTTTTGAGAAAATGTATCTACAATTTATACGGATGTATTAAATTTAAAACACATTTATAACAATTACATATATATACATTTTTTCTTCAAACGACAAAAACAGAGGGAGTAATAGTGACCTAATAATTTTTTGATGTTTTCTTACTCGATCAAGTTGAATTGCAACAATATCAACAGTGGTTACAGAGTTTTTCGTAATTATTGCAAACAAAAATTAACGAAAAGATGAATTAAAGGCCAAAGTAACAAAAAGTCAAAAACTGTTCTTGAGGAACTCGCATTTTAAATACAAATTAAGGACCTCCGGCAGATAAGTTCACTATCATCATATAATATTTGTGAAATGCGGTGTTCGATCGTATTTTGTAAATATATCTTTCTCTCTTTTTAATGTATATACTTTCTTTCTATGACGTCACGATAACAAATGTATTCTTTATTAAAATAATAAGGTTATACACATAAAAACTGTGTAAAAGAGAGCTACTAACGGTGGGAAGTTGGAGAATGACAATTATTTAAGAAAAAGATGGGATTTCTTATTTCTTATTTGACAACAATTTTTCTTAATATAAAACAGATTTTTCCTAAATAAAAGGATAGTTTTTGTTTATCCTTGACATTTGTCGGCTCTAAAAGAATTTACACCTAATTCCTAATTTCAAACATTAACAGTCATATATAGTGCTATGCTTTTCAAAATCGAAAGTTAGTGTCATTTTTAAAACATTAGTTTAAGATTCTGACGTAATAAGTGAGTTTTTTAAAGATGGTATATTCCAGTACTTTCACAGCTGCATTTGTGAAATATATAGCAGTAAATATGTAAAAGTAGTAAAAAGATACAATATTAATGTTAAAAAAAAGAGACAATATTTCCTCTTTTTAATTACTTAACAAAGATAACAACAAGGAACATTCCTCAATGTAAATTTCTATACATAATATAAAATCCTATTTTTATAGATAACAGAAGTCATATGTATACAGAAAAAAAATTATGATGTCAAACTTTAAATTATTAGTCACCTTACATGAATCAGGCATTGGAGAAAAAAATATACATATTCAAAGTGATCCTCGTTATTTGTTTAATAGCGATAAGAAGAAAGAAGGCTATAAATATAAATCATTGAGGTGTACAAGACTTCTTCAACTTCAACTTCATTTTCATAATATTATTGAACATACATATCATCATCGATATATATACAATCTTTCTTCTCTCTTCCATCTGTCTCTCTCTATCATCTCTCTCTACCATGGCTAGGGTTTTTCCTCAAGCTGCCATCTCTTCACCGTACATGAGTACGGAGAGAGAGATTTTCACGGTTTGGATGAAATCTCTGGTTTACAAAACCAACGGTTTAACGGTTTACAATTCCAACGGAGATATTACGTACCGGGTCGAAAACTACGACAAATCTAGCAATGAAGTCCACATCATGGATCTCCATGGCAACATTCTTTTCACCATCCGCAAAAAGGTAAATCTTCGAATTTGATTCTTCTTCTTCTTCAAAAAGGTAATTACGGTTTAAGTTCTTGAACTAATAAAGATTCATTTCTAAGTCAAAAAAATTTAAGCTAAAAAGTTAAAATTCTATATATGAAAAAGAAAAACACATTCACTTTTGTTACAAACAAAGGAAAAAAGAAATCATTCACGATCAATTCTGTTTAACGATCATGCTTCATTGCTTCTCTTTAAATGTGTTGAAGTTTTCATGAAAAAAATCATATATAAAACGAGTAAGAAACCATATTTAAAAAAAAACCAGCCGTGAAAATGGAAGATTTATTCTAATGATGATCAAATGTGAAAAAGATGGGACACATCATATGAATAAATCAAATATGTTTAAAATAATAGTTTTTTTTTTGTTTAAAAAAAACATTTTGCAGAAACTATGGCTTTTTGGGTGTTGGAATGTGTATAGAGAATGTGGGACTTTATCAAGCACTGAGGAAGTGAAACCTTTCGTTAAAATCAAAAGGTCTTCAATTAGAGATGGAGATTGGGAAGTTCGAGATGAGACCAATGAAGTCTTTTGGACTTTAAGATTTGACCCCAAATTTGCTTTTCAGATTATAGACATCCACGGAGACATCATTGCACAGGTAAAAAATCTAATACTGAGAGAGTGTATAGAGTTTAAATAGATAAAACTTATTAACCATATATCTATTTTGTTTGAACTAAATTGCCAAAACAAAATATAGGTAAAGCCAAAGCAATCATCAAATGGGATTACACTGGGAGAAGATGTGTTAACTTTGGAAGTGAAACCACGTGTCGATCACTCACTCGTTGTCACACTTGTCACTGTATATGGATTGATTAAAGGAGTAGTCTAAATTGTTCGACCAACAAAAAAAAAAAAGTAGTCTAATTTTTGTTTGATTTTTTTTTATAGATAAAAGTATACACAAAATAGTGAAAATTTTCCAACCTTGTTTGTGTTGTGAGAGGTGTACATATTTTTTTTTTGTTTTTTGCGAGGTTTCGTTTTTGCTTGTTCATATAGCTTTTTCCAATTCGTTTTTTTTACCATACAAAAGGAATAAAACATTAGTTACTTTAACTCAATTATATATATCACCAACCTTACAAGTTACAAGTATCAATACATATAACTACTTACCGTCAAATCTGAGACTAGACAAGACTATTTCGATTAAACAAAGATCTAAGAGCTTCTCTTCAGAGGATGATGAATATGTTTTAAGAAAGCATATCAAGGAAGCTTTTGTTCAATCTCCCATCATGTAACATATGAGTGACCAAGGCCAAAGGTTGAAGCATCTGCAGCAAAACCCGCAGCTCTCATTTCGTTGATGAGTTCTGCTGATGCGGCTTTGTCACCATCTCTAAGGTGTGCCCGGATTAGCGTATTATATGTACCGCTATTTGGGAGAGGACCCATCTTCTTTCATTTTCCTGAACAAGGCACTTGCTTCCTCCTTTAAACCTTTCTACATAGCCCTGAGATCATTGTGTGTATGTTACAACATCAGGCTTCACTCCTTTGAGGTCGAGGCTACAAAACAACTTCCACGCATCTTCCACCTTACAGCCTTGCACATCCCTTCAATGATAATACTATATGTGAAATATTAGTTCCATTCACTCTTTTGCATATCTGGAATATGACCAATGCTTTCTCTAGCTTCCCGTTTTTACAAAGCCCATCCAACAAAATGTTGTATGTCCAAATATCGGGAGGCACACCACAGAAACCATCTGTTGTGAAAACTTGTTGGGCACTCACAATCTCCAGCTTGGAAAAACCCTTGGATAAGAGTGTTGTAAGTGACTGTGTCTCCAACCAATCCTCTTTGAGACATCTCAAGAAACAGTTCCATGCCATCCTCTACCCTCTTAGACTTGCAAAATCCATTTATCAGAGTAGTATGTCACAACGTCTGGGAGACAATCTTTGCTAACCATAAATCAAACATCTGCTTGGCCTCATCTAGGCGACTCTGCATGCAAAACCCATTGATCAGTGAATGTAAGTGAAAATATCAGGAGCTATAGACCTTTTGATCATCTCCTCGTACAATTTTTCAGCTTCCAAAAGCTTCCCCTCTTTCACAAACGCATCGATCAATGCATTGAACGTAACAACATCCGGGTTGATTTTCTTCTCAATCATATCACTCAGTAGTCCAGCAGCATCTTCCCATCTTCCGTAATTACAAAGGCAGCTTATGAGGGAGTTGTAGGTAACAACGTCTGGTCTAATACCTTTCTTCTCCATTTCATTGAATAGGTTGAGAGCATCATCCGGATGCTTGTATTTGCAGAGACCATCAATGATGTGTTGTAGATCTATTTTTCTGCTTCCATCTTCTTGAGCAAAGTTAAAGCCAAGTCAGTGTCACCTCTCTTGCACACTCCATTTACCAACGCACCATAAGTAAGCATCTGGTTGACATCCTTTCAGCACCATCCGTTCAACTAAAGCCACTGCCTCTGAGACTTTGTTGTGGAGAAAAAGTCCATGGATTAGAGTGTTGAATGTGACGGTATAGGTTTATATCCCATTTCCACCATTTGATCAAGCAGAGAGACTGCATCCGAGATCCTATTCCCGTGACAGAAACCATTGAGAAGCGAGTTAAACGTGACAATGCTGGGCTCATACCAAGTTTCATCATCTTCCCAAGAAGAGCTAAAGCAGAGAGAGTGAGAGGAGCGGCAGAAACAGTTTATGAAAATATTGTAAGTATACAGATCATGTGAATTCCCAACTTTTGCATCTGCTCGCCAGAGAGATGACAACATCATACTTCTTCATCTTTGCAATGCACTCAACAATTACTGAAATCAACAATGGAAGGCAAAGGACGAGACTTACCATTTCACTGAACAAACCAATTAGCATCATCTAACTTAACATCCTGTAGAAACCCATTTCTCAATTTCTCTCTGTAATCCACCAGAGAAAGCTCGTTCCCAGCAACAAAAACCGCAAATGTCAAAGGAAGATGGAGCAGTTCCAGGATTACCTTTCCCCTGGAGATTTCGACGAGCAAATCTCTTCGCCGTCGTCGCAAACACACTCGAAATCGATCTCTGCATCTTCTCGATTTCGCCTCGGCGGATTTGTTTCCCTTTGTCAATCTGCAAATTACAAAACCCAGAGGAAGAGAAACTGGTAAACCGAGATACAATAACCGGTTTAGTGTCGGTTTAACATTACCAAGCTGGTTTAGTAACAAATTACACATAGCCGGCCGAGGACAAAAATTTCAATTTAGTCTGTCGCAAAACCGGAACTCTGTTACCAAAATTAGAACAGTCCCATTTTTCTAAACAAATTTGGTAATAAGATCTGTGCTAATGTGGTTAGATTACCAAAATTTAGTGACATCAATCTAAAGACAACCAGAAAAATATTAGTAAAAGGAATACAAGTGTAAATAAATATCTCATCCGGTTAAGAAAATACCTCAATTCAACATTGATACTTGAACATATTTTGTCAATCTCCAAAAGTTTATTCGTGAACCAACTCTGAAGTCATTCCATTGAATGCTTTAATTGCAACACAAGGCAATAACACTTTTTTGTATATAATGATGCATCTTTGCATTAACTTGCCTTCACATCTCTTCTCTAGAGGACTAAAACCAAAACAATGAAGCTAAGCGAGTCAAGAAGCGAAGCAGAGAAGCACCACAACAAGCGACAACATTTCGACCAAGACCTTAAAAGCATGATCTCTTCGTTAACTCACATGAGAGGAGGAGCAGAGAAGAAAGCAGGACCGAGCCAATACGAAGAAGGAGAAGAAGAGGACAAGGAAGAAGATGGCATCAGAGTCATCACGCTCTCTGGATCCAACCTTGGAGCAACCATGAAGACAGAAGTTGACAACAACAACAACAGCAATCATGGAGACAGCTACAAAAAAGGTGGCCACGAGCTTGATTTCTTGACCACTTTTGTTAACAGCAACTTTCAAGCTGTGAACAACTCGATCATGATAAGTGCCAAGTACGAGACTCATGATCCTGGCGTTCATGTTGAGATCTCGGGAGATGTCGAAACACCTGCGAGGGGATCAAAGGGGAAGAAGGAAAAAACTCGTGTTAGAAGTGACCGTCGAGAATCTCAACATACAGAATGATTCAAGTTTCTTCATTGAAAGAAAAAAAGTAATTTGGCTGATGCTTTAAGTTCTCTTAATAAACAGAGAAGTGGTTGCATGCCAAAGCACTTTACTTTGTCTCTGAAGTTGTTGCTTTTTTTCGACTTGCGCTTATGATTAAACACGTTCGATATGAATAAGATTATATATTAATGATCTTACCTGCTCATAAATCTTGAAACTCTGCATATGAGGCACGGTCTAGTTGATCCTCTTAGATATGAATTACTCAGAACCAATGGTTTCTTTTGCTGGAGTCTGTAGCTTATAACAATGAGATACCAGCGAAGAACATAAACAAATGAGGAGGAAGGTCATTTCTCTTTAGAGCATTACCAAATTCCAAAGCAGACAAACAAAAGTCAATACTAAGACAATCGATCCGAAAAGTTTGTTGATGCATCTGTTCAGACAAGTAAGCTCAATCCTATGCAGTCTGGGATCTCTATTTGAGATTCATATCGAGAAATATAGATCCTACCTGCAACCATTCACTTTAAACTACAGTACACATGTTTGCAGAGAGACCAAAAAGGAAAGTAGAAAAACTGATACAAACGAGGAGAAGAAATCTTCAATTGAGACATCAAACCAAAGTATATCCAACAAGTTTTTATTCATCTCATCTGGCCATCACATAACATATCTCATGTCAACATAACTTACGCATATTATAACGATGAAATGAAAGATAATTACCAAGTTTAACAAACTTTTATTAGTTTGTAATTTGATTAAACATTGTATAGAACACATTAAGCAAAAAGAAATGGCACTGAAGCTTCCATACATACATTCATTCACCATCCTGCAAAGAAAAACACACCAAACCAATTAAAGGATTTATCTGGAAACTGCAGCTAAAGACCTGTACAAATAAATACATATACATTCATCTCGGAAAAACCCCAAAAGAAAAGTAAATAAACTAGAGACACATACCACACTCATCTGCAGATCCAGCAACATTGCCTCTGCCTTTTGTAGTTCCTCCTTACTACATAAACCGGCAAGCATAATGCGGAAAGTAATGGCATTAGGAGACACACCACTAGAAATCATCTCCTGGAATTTCTCTAAGGCGCCATGAAGATCACCAACTTGAAAAAACCCATGAATCAAAGTGCCGTAAGTAACTGTATTAGCAGCAATGCCTTTTCGGAGCATCTCCTCGTATAATTCTTCAGCCCTTAAAAACTTCCCTTCTTTAACAAAACCGCTGATCAATATATTGTGCGTTTGGACATCAGGCTCCACACCATCAATGGGAAGACTAGCGAATAAGTCCCATGCTTCGTCCACCTTGCCGTCCTTGCACATCCCATGAATGATGATGTTATAAACAGCAGTATCAAGATCCATCTTACTCTTCTGCATTACTTTGAACATTTCCAATGCCTTTTCTACTTTCCCATTCTTGCAAAAACCGTCCAGCAAAATGCCGAAAGTTACGATATCAGGGCTCACATTATGAGAAATCATCTCCTGGAAAAGGTCTTGAGCAGCATGAAGATCGCCCACCTGACAGAACCCGTGAATAAGAGTGTTGTAAGTAACTGTATCAGGAACTAATCCTCTTCTAGACATCTCATGGAGAAGCTTCATTCCATCATCTACCCTCTTAGCCCTACAACATCCGTCTATGAGTGTATTCAAAGTCACTACGTTCGGAGAGCAGCCCTTACTAGCCATCAAATAAAAAATGCGCTTGGCGTCATCTAGACGATCATGTTTACAAAATCCATTGATCATTGAAGAATATGTAATCGTATCAGGAGATATACCCCTACGGAGCATCTCATCGTATAATTCTTCAGCCTCAAAGAACTTTCCTTCTTTGACCAATGCATTGATCAATGTACTGTAAGTAACAACATCAGGGTCGATATTCCTTTGAATCATTTGACGCAGAATTCGCTCTGCATCACTCCAATTACCATAGTTGCAAAAACCATCTATCATACGGTTGTAGATAAATACATTGGGGAAAATTCCTTTCTCGTGCATTTGATCGAGAAGATTTTGAGCATCGTTATGACGTCCATCTTTGCAAAGACGATCAATGATGGCACTATAGATTACAACACTGGCTTCGATGTGGCATTTCTCCATCTTCCTAAGCAGATTCAAGGCCGAGACAATGTCTCCCATTTTACACATTCCATTCACAATTGTTCCGTAAGTAACAATGTTAGGCTGGTGACCTTTTTCTACCATCCGATCAACCAAAGCTACTGTTTCCAGCATTCGGCCCTCGCGGCAAAGACCATTCATCAATGTAGTAAACGTTATGACGTTGGGTGCATATCCCGTTTCAACCATTTGATCAAACAAAGCTACGGCTTCAGAGATCTTATCTCCGAGACAGAATCCGTGGAGCAGAGTGCTAAACGTGACGACGTTAGGCTGGAGACCAAGTTTGGTGATCTTGCCAAACGTAGATAAAGCAAATGGCAACTTCTCGCAGGTGCAGAAACACTTTATCAGAATAGTAAAGCTGTAGATATTGCACCGAATCCGACGCATTTCCATCTTCTGATGGAAAGAAATCACAACATCTGGTCGATTCAACCTCACGATGACACCCATTAATTTACAGAAATCAATCACGGAAGGGAAGGGACGACACCGAACCATATCATCGAACAAATCAATCGCATTACCTAAGCTTTTGATATAATGAGACCCACTCTTCAATTTCAAACTCTCTCCTTTGAAAGTTATTTCGCTACCATTGCAACGGACTGGCGAAGAGGGTAGACGCTTTCTAACTGCACCTTTCTGCCGATGAATAAATCTCGTACTGATCAATCTAGCAGCAGAAAAAGAAGATCTCCAAACCTTAGACAGCATTTTAGAATTGTTTGATTCTGGCTATTACAGTCTGCAACTTTTGCTCTATATTTTTGGCGCCACAAAAGACGTCCCATTCAATTTGAAGTGCTTTCTCAAGAACACATTTCTTCAGTGCCTCATCATCAATCTCAAAGCTTTGAGCTTTCAAGATCCAAGTACTCTTTTGTCATATGATTATGTTCCTTCTCGATCTCTTTAATCTAAAGAAGTAGTTAACAAGTAAAGCTAATTGGCTGTAGCAAGTAGGAACCTAAAAAGGAATCATGAAAGGACGACCGGTTCCATTGGATTAGTACATTGACCGGTTCACATGAAACTAATCATAGAGAAGTGAAACTAAGGTTAAGTCTAATAATAGAAATACTCTATGTTTACTTAAACTGTATATAGGCGAAATAATCTGACAAGAATTGCTAATTTCAGTGTCTAAATAGTTACCTCTTCAAAAGATTCTTAATATGTTTCAAGGAGCTAAACTTTCAGAGGCAATCTCAAAGACATCCTCAGCCCAATCCATTTGAAAATGTGCCTGTAAACAAACACACAAACACAACAGCTTAATCTATACATTTTTTTTCTGATTATAATCTTGCGGAAAAGAAAAGACAGACGAAGAACCAATAAAATGCTAATGGTTTTATTTGGACTAGAAACCAAGTTTTGTGATCTTGCCCAATGTTGATTATGGCTAAGAGAATCACCTTAGTTCCATGATACTCTATGAAATTGGAATTGATGTGCATTTTCAGGAAACATCTCTTCAGAGCCTCAGCATCAAATCTCAAAGCTTAATCAAGGTCCTTGACGTTATTTGATACTCTTTCTTAACTTCATATTGTGGCCTTCGCACAAATCAGATAAGGTTCCTTGTCACAATATATCTGTAATACCTGAGGGAAAAAGCTTTGAAACAACAGAGCAATTCTTTTTAGAGCATTACCAAACTCCCTAAGCAGACAAACAAACATTCAACACTAAGACAATAGATCCGAAATGTGTGTTTCTGCATATGTTATAACAATTAAGCTCAGTCCTATGTCATAATATCTGCAACCATTCACTCCAAACTACAAACTAGGAGAAGAAGTCTTCAATTGAGACATCAGACAAAATTATATCCAACAAGCTTTTATTCATCTGATTTGGCCATCACGGGCATCACATAACATATCTCATTTCAACATTACTTAAGAATATTAAAACGATCAAAATGAAAGATAATTTACCTGACAAGTGATGCAAGCTTTGTTATCAATTATACAAGACGCCAGAATTAAGTTTTCCTATTTACTTATGCTACTTTTCTATTTTGCTTGTGGTTGAGACATCGGAATAGAGACAATAGAGACATCGGAATCAGACCAAAGAATTGCTAACAGAGAACGACAATAGACAAAAGCATCTACACACACGCTTGAATGAGAAGGACCATATAAACATATAAACGAGGAGAAGCATGTACCAAGATGCAGCAGCACCAAAGAAAGTCAGAAGCAATCTTTCAATAGAGACATCAGAATCAGACCAAAGTATTGCTATCAGGAAAAGAGATATTGTGACCTTCGCACAAATCAGATTTAAGAGCCATATTTTGACAGTCGAAATAGTCATCTGAAATTACAGAAATACCTGAGGGAAACAGCTTTGAAACAACAGAGCAATTCTCTTTAGAGCATTACCAAACTCCCAAAGCAGACAAGCAAAAATTCAACACTAAGACAATATCCGAAGAGTTTTTTGCTGCATCTGTTATAACAAGTAAGCACAACCCTATGCACTTTGGGATCTCTATTTTCAGATTCATGTCGAGAACTAGAGATCATATTCTGCAACCATTCACTCCAAAATACACATGTTACAGGGAGACCAAAAAGCAAGAGAAAACCTGATACAAACAGAGAAATATCTGAATTGAGACATCAGACCAAAGTATATCCAACAAGTTTTTATTCACTGATCTGGCCATCACATAACATACCTCATTTCAACATTACTTGAATATTAAAACGATGAAAATGAAATATAATTACCAAGCTTAACAAATTTTTATTAGTTTATAATTTGATTAAACATAGTAGGGAATAGATTAAGCAAAAAGAAAAGGCACTGAAGCTCTGCTGCTAAGTACAGAAAAGCTTCGACACATCATTCATTCACCATCCTGCAAAGAAAACACACCAAACCAATTCAAGGATTAATCTGGAAACTGCAGCCAAAGGCCTGTGCAAATAGAATACATATACATTCATCTCGGAAAAACCCCAAAAGAAAAGTAAATAAACTAGAGACACATACCACACTCATCTGCAGATCCACCAACATTGCCTCTGCCTTTTGTAGTTCCTCCTTACTACATAAACCGGCAAGCATAATGCGGAAAGTAATGGTATCAGGAGCCACACCACTAGAAATCATCTCCTGGAATTTCTCTAAGGCGCCATAATCACCAACTTGACAAAACCCATGAATCAAAGTGTTGTAAGTAACTGTATCAGCAACTATTCCTCTTAGATGCATCTCTCGGAAAAGCTCCATCCCGTCGTTAACCCTTCCTGCCTTGCAGTAGCCATTAATAAGTGTATTAAATGTCACCACGTCTGGAGAGCAGCCCTCGCTAGCCATCGAATCAATCATCTGTTTCGCCTCATCTAGGCGGTTCTGCTTGCAAAGCCCCTCTACCATCGAGTTATAGGTGATAGTATTAGGGACTATACCTTTCGGAGCATCTCCTCGTATAATTCTTCAGCCCTTAAAAACTTCCCTTCTTTGACAAATCCGCTGATCAATATATTGTGAGTTTGAACATCAGGCTCCACACCATCAATGGGAAGACTAGTGAATAAGTCCCATGCCTCGTCCACCTTACTTACCCTTGCACATTCCATGGATGATGATGTTATAAACAGCAGTATTCAAGATCCATCTTACTCTTCTGCATAACCTTGAACATTTCCAATGCCTTTTCTACTTTCCCATGATTGCAGAGACCTTCCAGCAAAATGTTAAGAGTTACGATATCAAGGCACACACCTGTGAGAAATCATCTCCTGAAAAGGTCTTGAGCAGCATGAAGATCGCCCACCTGACAGAACCCGTGAATAAGAGTGTTGTAAGTCACTGTATTAGGAACTAATCCTCTTCTAGACATCTCATGGAGAAGCTTCATTCCATCATCTACCCTCTTAGCCCTACAACATCCGTCTATGAGTGAATTTAAAGTCACTACGTCCGGAGAGCAGCCCTTGCTAGCCATCAAATCAAACATGAGACTCACATCATCTAGACGATCATGTTTACAAAATCCATTGATCATTGAGTTATATGTGATCGTATCAGGAGATATACCCCTACGGAGCATCTCATCGGATAATTCTTCAGCCTCAAACAACTTCCCTTCTTTGACTAATGCACTGATCAATGCATTGTAAGTAACAACATTAGGGTCGATATTCCTTTGAATCATTTCACGCAGCAGTCTCTCCGCATCACTCCATTTACCATAGTTGCAAAAACCATCTATCATACGGTTGTAGGTAAATACATTGGGGAAAATTCCTTTCTCGTACATTTGATCGAGAAGATTTTGAGCATCGTTATGACGTCCATCTTTGCAAAGACGATCAATGATGTGATTATAGATTACAACATTGGCTTCGATGGGGCTTTTCTCCACCTTACTAAGCAGATTCAAGGCCGAGACAGTGTCACCAACCTTACACATTCCATTCACAATGGTTCCGTAAGTAACAATGTCTGGCTGATGACCTTTTTCTACCATCCGATCAACCAGAGCTACTGCTTCGAGCATTCGGTCCTCGCGGCAAAGACCATTCATCAGTGCTGGAGACCAAGTTTGGTGATCTTGCCAAACGTTGACAAAGCAAATGGCAACTTGTGGCAGCTGCAGAAACACTTTAACATAATATTCATAGTGTAGATATCAAACGGAATCCGACGCATTTCCATCATCTGATAGAGAGAAATCACAATATCCGGTCGATTCATCCTCACGATGACACCCATTAGCTTGTTGAAATCAATCGCGGAAGGGAAGGGACGACACCGAACCATATCATCGAACAATTCAATCGCATTATCTAAGCTTTCGATATAATGAAACCCACTTCGCAATTTCAAGCTCTCTCCTTCAAATTTTCCTAAGCTACCACTGCAATGGACTGGCGAAGAAGGTAGACGCTTTCTAGATGTACCTTTCTGCGTGACGCGACGATGAATCGATCTCGTACTGATCAATCTAGCAGCAGAAGAAGACGAAGAAGAAGATCTACAAACCCTAGACAACATTTTGTTCTCGCCTGATTTAGCTTCCTTGTCAATCTCTAAACTCTGAACAAATGAGCTAACGAAGTGACTGACTCGACTCAGCGACTGTAAGTCTGTGAACCCTCCTTAATTGGAGAATTGAGATTGAGCATCACAAAACGACGACCGGTTCAATTAATCGGCACGGTTCTCTGTTTAATTGGATTTTTTTTCTGATTCGGTGGCCGGTTCAAATTTAATTGGCTCGTTGACCGGTTCGGATGAAATTATCATGCGCAGAGCTCGAAGGAACGTATGGCGGCGATGAAACAATGTTTCTGGCCGCCGTGGACGTAATCGTGAAAATTTAAAATGCAACAATACTCGTGTCCAGAAAAATAAGTCAATATTACAATTATGAAACTTGAATAGAAACTAGTCAAAAAGAAATCATCGCATAAATAATATTACAATACATTGTGAAAATTAAAAAGAAAATAGTCAAAAAGAGATCATGGACAGAAGCAGAAAGATTCAATGTTTCTGTCAAATCGAACCGTGGACAAAGCAGATAACAGTGAGAGGAGTGTTAGTGAGCATGCTGCTCCAAGTTGTGTTCAGTGTGATCGCTTCAGAAGCTAAGTCTCATGGCACTGGATTGTTCCAAATCTCAACGGCTCCATTTACCTGTTGCAAACTCCCAAACTAGTGAGCAGGAGTGATTCTGCATAAAGACTTTCCAAATTTCTTCTCTCACTTTTCAAAGCATCTTCTAGCAATACCACAGTCGTGATTCTGCATAAAGACTTTTTAACCGAAGCTCCCTTTCTCGATGAACATATCATCTTGCAAAATATCGGAACAGTCCGTCTGAAAAACCATGATTAATTTGTTATTCCTTAACATACACTGCATAGCCCAAATAAGAGTTTCCAACTCTGTCTGAAGTGGTGATATTCCACGCCTCAGATTAGATGTGCCCATCAGTTTTTCAAGAGTGTCCGTGTTAAAATAATACCATCCAAGACCAGCTCTGCAATCTGAGGACTTTTATTTATTGGAAAGAAAAAAAAACTTACAACTTTATTAAAAAAAAAAACATTATTTCAACCATGAAAAATTAAAACAAAGAGACAAAACTGGAAGAAAGAAAACAATAACTACTAAAACCAATGAGCAACTTTTATTCAAATGCATATCAATGAGCTTCTTTCTTTTTTTTGTGCGGTTTGGTTTCTCTTCGGGTTCGAAGAAATTTATGAGAACGTTAAGCCACAATCATGACTTCTTTTGGTGACGGCAAAAGCATTCTTTTTCGTGGAATCCTCCTTTCTTTCTTCAAAACAGTAGTGAGTATGAAAGCAGATAGGATTCCTGGTAAAACCAACCAATTCTCCTTGGCCTGCAACATCGAATAACAGAGTCAAAATGATCATCATCATGACATCATATCACCAAACCGAAAAAAAGAAACCAAAACTTGCCTCAAAGGAACCAAATCTCATATCCAACAATCCAACAGCTTTTCCATATGGATGTTGCTTAGAGAACTCCACAAGGGTCATGAAATCTTTATCACTTCTACGCTCTCCACAGTCTCCACAGTGTTTGTGCTCATAATCCAGCTTCCTCCCTGAGAAAACTTTCACCTGTATATACCAACATTTTTTTTTCCATCATAAGAGTGCATTTACGTTTTCGAAACGTTTCAGAGAGATTGAGGAACATACCACTCGAGGACCAGAAAGCTCCAAGACCGGTTTATCTGCATTCGTTAGCTTAAGTGACCATTTCGACTCCAACAGAGACCAGAAAGTGCCATTACACTCTGCGAGCACGCGAGTTTCACCAGAGTCTGTCCCACCAATCACTTTGAGTGCTGCTCCATCACTAGAGCTCATTTGGAGTGTGAGAAGCTCTGTCTCGTTTCCAGCAACAACACTTGTCCACCTCTTAGCATGACGAGACTTTCTGACAAAGCAAGAGCCTATCCACGAGGGTTTCGGCTCAACCATGTGTAAAACAGATGGGAACCGTGTCGGTGGAGTAAACGAGAGAGAGACTCGGATGCTTATAGGTTTAGCATCTGCTTTGCCAGGTGTCAACTCCAACCACTTCTCAACAGAGAGTTGAGTAACAACCGGAGACAGAAACTCCTCTACTGAAAAAGAAGCAGAGCCTAAGCTTTTAGGCGCTCTCCAAACTTGTAACTTAGAAGGTGAAGATGAGAGAAGCTGGAAACGAAGCTCTCCTCTAGCTTCACACTGAAAGCAAGCAGCTTGCTTCTCCCCAGCCTCGGATAAAATCGACAGTCTAGGCTCGGCATCGAAGAGAGAATCGGGTCGGGTTTTACTGAACACGACCGAGAGCTTTCCCTTATGACCATCTGGTACGTTTCTTACCCCAACAATCTCCAAGAGAACCTGCATGATTCAAGAAAGTGAGAAGACGGCTCAAGTTCTTGAAAACTGAACAAAATAGTCACTTACTAGTTATTACCTCAACAACTTGCACCTCTGGAAACTGGATTAAGTTGTTGAAATCTTCTTTTTCAGTTGATTCTTTGCTCAAAACATCAGAAGAAGAAGAAGCAAAAGGACAAGTTGTGAGAGGTGCATGTGCATTGCATCTATACTATGCGCCGGCTTTGCAATATCTTCTACCAAACGTTTCCTCCCACTGAGAGATTGTATTCGCAATAATTGTATTGATCTTGGTACCTTTGCCTCCACCAGAATCTGTTTCTTCATGCCCCATCACTTCACCGAAAAGCTTCACCGTATCATTAGAGAAAGATTAAGGGTGAAGCAGATGCGTGTGCCAGATGAGGTCAACGTCAACAGTCGGAGCACAACTGTTCTTCTTGATGCACAGATAGAGAAACCCTTTGTATCTAGCAACAGCTTCTTGTAGAAAAACTTCGTTGCTCACATAAGATCTTGAAACCTGTGGCAAACAACAAACACATCAATGAGAATGAAGAAAGATCCATACTTGTGGTTTACAAAATCATTCATTATATAACCTGGTAGTAAAACGCGCTTTGCCTCTTAGCAGCTGAGACAAGATCATATTTGGTGTGTTTCTCAGATGATCTTTCAGAGACGTCCTTATTCAAGTCTAGATCATAAGGTTCCTCCGGATACAAGTTCTTCCATAAAGCTTTAGTTTTTAGTTTGGAGTTTCCGTTAACGGAAGATACGACGCCGGAATTGTCCACAACTCTCCCGTAAAGTTGCTCACAGTCAGACTTAAACCTAACCTGTATTACAAGAAACAAATTACTCAAAAAAATCAAACAAAGAAGAAAAGGTTGTTAATGACTTAATGTGGCTAAGGAATGTTCTGATTTAGCTTTACCGGATTAAGCCTGTGACAATGCCAAATCCATTCACAGTCAAGAGGAGGGACCAAAGGCCCTTCACTAACTAATGACTCAGCCTCAGAGTATTTAGCTAGCAATGGAAGCCAACAAGCATTGTACCTGCGAGCAATCACCAAAATTCACAACTTTGAACAATCAAGAACCCATCAAGAACTTTGAAAGATTCACTGATCTATATACAAACACACAAAAATACGGTCGTTTTAAACCTGTAGACGGCTCTTTCAAGAGCAGGGCCTTGGTAGAGCCATCGATGCCTATCAACAGTTTCAAGGAACTGAAGCTGCTGCTTGGCTGCAGCAAGTAAGTCAACGCTTATCTCTATCTTCTGAGCTTCAAGCCAATTAACTTCTTGATCTTTCTCCTTATCCATGATACTTCAATTAGTCTCACCTTTCTAAACATTTAAAAAAAAAAATGAAAAACCAAATCAATTTGCAGATCAATACGTGAGTATTTTGACCCAAATCATATAAACAGAAACCCTAAATCAAGTCCTTACTTAATCAATTAGATAACCAGTTTGAGGATCTTGCAAGAAAAAAAAAAATCAAGTGTAAGGTAAAATCAAAGTGTAAGGTACAAAAAAGTCCCTTAAAATGGCGTCACGTTGGTTGTTACACGTGCTCCTTAAGTGTAGCTTTGACCTTTTCTCTCCTCGTCATACGTCCGAGATATTGGGAGACGCGTGAGATTCAAATCTTTGTTTCAGGATCCAAAGTGGAAAACTCGTTTTAAAAAACCAATGTATAACAATCTCAATATCACATATTTTTCTAAGAGAAGCAAATATTCCGTATAAAGAAGACAGAGCCGAGAGTGAAAAACCAAACCATTTTATGAAAAACCAAATATGCCAAACGTTGAAGCATCTCCAGCAAAACCGCATCTCTTCATGCATAACTCCCAACAGAGAAACACAGTTCCAGGATTACCTTTCTCCAGAACCTGCTGTCCCTTGGCTGTTATGGCAAACAATCTCCTCATTTTCTCAACTACCATTTAGTTGCGTGATATGTGAACATTCACTTGTCATGTTTCAAACTAGTCTCAGAAGAGATCAAAATTTTTACTATGCATTCTGCAAAGAGCAAAAGGTCCAAGTCTACAGCACTCACTCATCAAACCATGGGAAAATATCAACTAAATCTAAGTATTTAGATGCCAAATCACTTTACTATGTTACATATGACAATCAAACACCAGAGAATAGCATCGACAAAAGCGAGCCATATCCAAATGAGTAGGACACACACGCTTGAGTGAGATGCAACATATAAACATATAAACGAGGAGAAGCATGCACCAAGATGCAGCAGCACCAAAGAAAGTCAGAAGCAATCTTTCAATAGAGACATCGGAATCAGACCAAAGAATACGATATTCTTATGAACAACCTAATCCAAAATAAGATATTCACTTTGTTCAACTCCTTAAAAGGTTATATAAAGGAGAATATTTTCCATGTTTACACAACCAATATACCAAAAAACAACTTAAAGCTGAAATGATTAAAACCTTAAACATTTTTGAAAATATTGTATCATTCTTCTTGAAGAGGGCTTCTCTGATTTCTAACCACTGATTTTGCTAGCACAAAGTGTTTAGATAAACTCTGGTCTGAAACCAACCTGAACAACTATAAAATCGTCAAAGCCATGAAGCTCATAAAGAAATGTAAAAAAAAAAAAAAACAGCAAAAGAATAGTAGATGATAAAAGGTTGTCACTAGAATGGCACAACAAAATTGATTCAACTCACAGCTATGAGTAAGATCTAAAGCACACACAAACACAATTTAGCAACATAGAACTCTAGTCAAAACTGATACTGACACTCACAAGGACCATTCACCAAAACGAATCAAACTAGTGAGCAGACTGTGAAAATTCATTTATTATACTTACGCAGGATTTTGACAATCAACAGCTTCTAGATACAAAGACAAGTAGTCTCTACACTGTGTCCATTGGGAAAGGCAAGAACGCACCTGCAAACAAATCATCAAACTATGGGAGGATATCAACTAAATCTAAATCAATGAAAGAACTTGAAAGCAAGGTGCGTTTTACTTTTCTCATCTTGGAAAACAGAGTAAAGAGTGAAAAACCAACTGAAATTACTTTTCTCAACCAAAAAGAACCACAGTTTTTCCTAAACAACCATTTAACTTCCAAGTTATAGACTAAGTTTGGTTAAAACCAAATGTAAAGTAAAAACAGAAGAATCATGGACTGACACTCACCACTGATCATGTGTTAACAAAGTGTGTCTGCAACCTAACAAGGACATAAACAAACGACAGTATCAGTCCATATATAACGTGGGAACACATAAGAAGTGCGTTCAGAAATTATTAGAAGAAAAGCTAATTCACCTCAAACGATGCTTTAAGAAAGCATATCGAGGAAGCTTTTGTTCAATCTCCCATCAGACAACATATGAGTGACCAAGCCAAAGGTGAAGCATCTGCAGCAAACCCGCAGCTCTTCATTTCGTTGATGAGTTCTGCTGATGCGGCTTTGTCACCATCTCTAAGATATCCCTATCAGCGTATTATAACACCCTATTTGGGAGAGGCCCATCTTCTTTCATTTTCCTGAACAAGGCACTTGCTTCCTCCTTTAAACCTTTCCTACAGAATCCTGAGATCATTGTGTGTATGTTACAACATACATCAGGCTTCACTCCTTTGAGGTCGAGGCTACAAAAAACTTCCACGCATCTTCCACCTTCCCAGCCTTGCACAACCCTTCAATGATAATATTATGTGAATAATAGGTTCCATTTACTCTTTTGCATATCCTGGAATATGACCAATGCTTTCTAGCTTCCCGTTTTTACAGAGCCCATCTAACAAAATGTTGTATGTCCAAATACTGGGAGGCACACCACAGAAACCATCTGTTTGAAAACTTGTTGGGCACTCTCACAATCTCCAGCTTGGAAAAACCCTTGGATAAGAGTGTGTAAGTGACTGTGTTGCCAACCAATCCTCTTTGAGACATCTCACGAAACAGTTCCATGCCATCCTCTACCCTCTTAGACTTGCAAAATCCATTTATCAGAGTAGTATATGTCACAACGTTTGGGAGACAATCCTTTGCTAACCATCAAATCAAACATCTGCTTGGCCTCCTCTAGGCGATCTTGCATGCAAAACCCATTGATCAGTGAATTGTAAGTAATAGTATCAGGAGCTATAGACCTTTATCATCTCCTCGTACAATTTTCAGCCTCCAAAAGCTTCCCCTCTTTCACAAACCCATCGATCAATGCATTGAACGTAACAACATCCGGGTTGATTTTCTTCTCAATCATATCACTCAGTAGTCCAGCAGCATCTTCCCATCTTCCGTAATTACAAAGGCAGCTTATCAGGGAGTGTAGGTGAACAACGTCAGGTCTAATACCTTTCTTCTCCATTTCATTAATAGGTTGAGAGCATCATCCGGATGCTGTATTTGCAGAGACCATCAATGACTGTGTTGTAGATCACAACATCTGGCCTATTTTTCTTCCTCCATCTTCTTAAGAAGCTTTAAAGCCAATTCAGTGTCACCTCTCTTGCACACTCCATTTACCAACGCACCATAAGTAAGCAAATCTGGTTGACATCCTTTCAGTCCATCCGTTCAACTAAAGCCACTGCCTTGAGACTTTGTTGTGGAGAAAGAGTCCATGGATTAGAGTGTTGAATGTGACGGTATTAGGTTTATATCCCAATCCACCATTTGATCAAGCAGAGAGACTGCATCCGAGATCCTATTCCCGTGACAGAAACCATTGAGAAGCGAGTTAAACGTGACAATGCTGGGCTCATCCAAGTTTCATCATCTTCCCAAGAAGAGCTAAAGCGAGAGAGAGTTGAGAGGAGCGGCAGAAACAGTTTATGAAAATACTGTAAGTATACAGATCATGTGAATTCCCAAATTTTGCATCTGCTCGCCCAGAGAGATCACAACATCATACTTCTTCATCTTTGCAATGCACTCAACAATTACTGAAATCAACAATGGAAGGCAAAGGACGAGACTTGACCATTTCACTGAACAAACCAATAGCATCATCTAACTTAATATCACGAAGCCCATTCCTCAATTTCTCTCTGAAATCATGACGAGAGCAGAAAAAGCTCGTTCCCAGCAACGGAAACCGCAATGAAAACGAAGGAGGAGCAGTTCCAGGATTACCTTTCCCCTGGAGATTACGGTGAACAAATCTCTTCATCGACGATGATGCAATTGCATTCGAAATCGATCTCATCCGTCCTCTCGATTTGACTTCAGCTGTTTTGAGTTCCTTCTCAATTTCGCAGATTCTTCTTCAGGAATTCGATCTTTTCGCTCTGCAAATCGAAAAACGATTTTATCACTCTACTCTGTCTGTGTAATGTTGTTCAATCAACGTAGAGCGACAGAAACCGGTATAGCTCCGGTTTAATATTAGGTTCCTTCTCAATCTCAACGGTACAGTTCCGGTTTAGGGTTCCGAGGAGCAACGAGAACTCCGATGAACAAAACCAGTTTTATGTAGACTGAAATGAGAGAGAAATGCAAACCGGTGGGTATCCGGTTTAATACTAATTACCAAACCGGTTCAATAACAACAGCTAATAAAGGGAACGAAATTAAACTCATTTAGTAAAGGGAGCTTTTAAGGTGTCCAAACCAAGTTCATCTAATAACTATGAATCACATAAAAGGCAAGTATAAGAGCTTTCCACCGAAAATCAAGTTAAATGGTTCCTGATACTGAATAATATGTAGATTTAGACTCTGTTACCATGTGCTTATGAGTTCTTAATCACCATTTTCTCCTCAGTATTAAATGGAATGATAGATCGGAGTAGAGCTAGCAGAGAGTACCAAATGGTGATCATCAGAGAAAATTTGTTATGAAAGCGATTTTTTCTTTCTTTCAATTTAACACATCCTTGTATTCATTATGCAGATGCAGAGACAGATATCACAATTTGGTGATTTTTTTTTTTTTTTTCCATTTATGAAGCATGTATGTTTTTATTTTATTTTGATACAATGTATATTCGTATTATTTTTTTCTGTTAAAGAATGATTGTAGTTGTTTTTTCACATAAGAAATTCATATTAAAAAATATTTTTATTATTTTAATTTTGAAAAAAACAGCGATTTTGGCCGAAAGTAGCCAACCCAGCATCGTAATCAAAGAGACCAACGATCTATCATTTGTTTTGCTGTAAAGCAATTAAACAACATAAAATAAAAAAAAGGGCCCACTCTTCTTCTTCTTCTCCTTCTTCTTCTTCGCTCTCTATCTCTCTCGCACAGTCAACAATTTTCTTCTCTCTCCAATTCTATCTCCGTGAGGTACGTCTCCACGATCAGAAATTTTTCTAACAAAATATTATCATCAACCTAAACAAACATTAATGATTTAACGACGAGTTGCTATTCAAATCTGATTCTCGATCTCTTTGAAATTGATTACCTTTCTGTGCTCATCAGGAACGCTCTCTGTCTACACATCTAAAGCTTCAAGCTTTTTCCTTCTCCGATGCCAATTCTGTTCAGATCCGTACCCAGAGAATAGAGGTAAGCCCGACTGATGTTTACCGATCTGGATTTGTTATCATTTTCTCTTTTCCTTTTTTTTAATGTTACCCTCCTCTTGATTCGAATCATGAAACGCCTAAAGGTTAAGCCTTTGCTAACGTTCTGAAACCGATTCCATTGTAACAGGACAGAAGATCTCAACGTGTGTTTAGCAAAGTACAAGGAGGTGGCTTTTGTGTTGCGCTTACTTCTTTCTTCTTTAAGGTAACAAAATGGTTGCGTTTTCGGAAACTGTGTATGCATTTGAATGTATTGTATTGCCACCATCACGGCTTTAGGTTTCTTGCTCTTAGGTTTGCTAGATTAAACTCTATAGAGCGTTGATAGTTAATTAGATCCGATATTTATTGATCTTGGAGGGATATTTATTGTTGATGTCTTAATGTTGCATTTGATTTTGGTCTATAGTTTGCGATTGTGCTTTGAATTGGACTCATCTTGTTGTTTTTATCTCATCAAAATAATAAATACGATCGAAAGTTGCTTAAATGCTTCTCTTTTTGTTTATTTTGTTGAATCTCTGAACTGTAAAGCTGTTAACTTTCGTTTCCATTTCTTCTAGTATGAAACTTCATCATCTGATTTGTGATTCTTGTACAGAAACAATCTGGAGAAA